AAATTTTAAAAGATGAAGTCTTGAAAAATTCATCATTTTTCAAACGTGTTTTTTTAAATTTCATTTCTAAAAAACGAATTTAATGAAAAATAAGTGGAAAATTAATCCTACCATTCGATCGGTTCTATACTCCAATGTTTGATTTCAGCTTTTTCAAACAATTCTGTTTGTTGTATCAAGTGCGTAGTTTATCGAACTGAACGATTTTTGATGATTTCAAATATAAAATTCGAATGACTTACCATTAGGAGCCGATCATTTTCGCATCAAGTCCTTTTTGATAACCAAAGGATCACAGTAAAAAAAATCAAAAGTAAAAAATACAATAAATAATAAGTAATTCAAACGACATTGGATCTTTTTGTTTTTTTTTTTTCACAATTAAAGTTGTCCGTCGTTAAAAAAAACTATAAATGGGGGAATACTCTAGAGAATGCAAATCAAATGGTCATGGATAGGGGAAGTTAAAATTATAGGAAAGGTAAAAGTAATAAGAATGGGGAATTAGCAGTGACAATAAATAAATTAATACTCAGGACTCCGTCTAAAATACAATAAAATGGTGGTTGAAAACGATTATGGATCTTTTTTTCACTTTTTTTTTACATTTAGTGTGTCCATCGTTTTTTATTAGGGAAATATTAATAGGAATTGAAATTTAATTTGAAAAAGTTATTCAAAGCATATGAAAATATTTAGGGATGCTGAAGACGAGTTTCATTTCGAAGTTATATCAAAAGAATTCACTTACAATCCGATAAGCACCTTGATTATGCGCTTCAAATAATTAGAGATCTTCTCGGTTTGGCTTGCAATCTCCACATATTCTTGTTTTCTGTTGGATTCAAATAATAATTGATTATTGAGAATTATTATGATTATTCGATTCCTTCACACCTTTATTCTTTTTTTCTGAAAGCAAATAATTTGATTGAAATTTAATAGTCAATTTTACCTTTTATTATGCATCATTATTATATGCTTTAAAACAACGACATAAAAAAATCGAACCATTGTTAAACCAAGTGGTCCATAATTGCAGGCGTCTTCGTAATGAAAACATGAAATCTCGATGGATTTCTTCAGATTATTCTTTTGACATGCTCGGCGAATGCCCAAAAATGGACAAATCATGTGTGGATTCGACGATGTCACGTTAATAGCTGAAATTGAGCTTATGAAATATTATTGCTCGCCAAAGGTTGAATTCTTACGATTTCATGAACAGCATTATTCATATTGGAATTTTCAGGTTTCCATCAAATATTATCTTCTTCGACTTAAGATGAAATAAACTTTTGAATGGTTTCTAAATGCCGATTTGAAAAAAAGTAAATAAATGAAATAATCCATACCGCTCCATAAGCACCTTGATCGTGTGCTGCATTCTTCGAACCAATTAAATCGTGAATATCTTCATTGGTTCGATTTCTTGTATCATTACTTCCAGGAGCGATTCGACATCACCTCCTTCTGAAGATTCATATGGACGTGTGTAACATCTCAGGCCAACACGCAAAAATATCACATCGACTGAAAGCGATTAAAACTTTGAGAAATATTTGAACTTTTCTGCAAAAAGGAATTCGAAAATTTTGAAGAAGTAATCGATACCATCAAATAGCTGCCATAATCAGGCATTCCGAAATCAAAAATTCGGATGAATATCATCAACTCCCAAGTTTCTCTTCAGAAAACAATTGAATAAATATCCTCCAGTGGGAATTGTCTTCCATTCATCGAAAACCATCAGGATTATAATGAATCAATCAAGAGAATTTCTTCAACCAGTACTCAAGCTTCACTGATATTCCAACATGTTCATTTGGAATTGAGATCTCTTCAGATCTTCTAAAACTGAAATGAAAATCTATTCTTGGACAGGATGATCTACTCTTACAACAAATTGATCGCGATCGATCCAATCGAGCCATTCTCAAGGATCATATTTGGCTAAGCTTCGGCCGAAAAATCGATTCTAGGTTGAAGACGTCCATCATTCGAGCAGAAGAATCCAATCACAGATTCAGATGAAGTCGCAATATTCGCTTTTTGCGATTAAATAAATAGTGTCCTAATATAGGAACGATTTCATTTTTTTAACATTATTTTGGTTTTTCTTGTTTTTTAATTTTTTTGGTTTTTCTTTTTTTTTTTTATTTTTTTGGTTTTTCTTTTTTTTGATTTTTTTGGATTTTCTTTTTTTTAATTTTTTTGATTTTTCTTTTTTTTTAATTATATAATATTATTCTTTTAATTAAATATATTATCTCGCGTGCGGCCTTCACACCAATCTCTCGTAGAACAGTCGTGTGATCTTGGTTTTTGCGCGAATCGCCGAGCTCCTTTTCGATCTTATTGGAACACTCGGTTCATTTTCCGGAAGTGGCGGATTCGCTAAAGCTTCGTCCGCAATCACTTGGATTTGCGAACTCAGCCCTTTCACGACGACTCGCAAAAGGTTTAGCTCCCTCGCCAAATCCATACGCTCAGCCTTTGCCAGGTTGCTAGATGTGGACGAAAGGAATTTCCTGGCATTGGCGACCACGAACAGACCGCAGCTGAACCCGTCCGTCTGGGCCTCTTGATGTTTCTGAGGGACCCATCTGACAGTCGAAATTGTCGACGGGTACAGTGCGGCAAGAAGTCGCTTCAGTCCATTCGAGATGGCGGTCTTTGATTTGCGCGAGCGGCTTCCGACCAGTGAGTCATAAATGACACACTTGGCGGTCGCCACTGTGTAGGCTGCGAGCAGCCAGTGCTGATCTTGGTGCACTGGCAGGAAGAGCACCTCGCTTTGCCTTCGGACTCCGGCCGTACACTCTCTTAGCATGGCGGCGACATGCTGGCCGTCCTCGTCCACCGTCCGCTCGATGACAGCTTTCGTGGCCGACGGAAGGACCACACCGACCTTGTGGCTCTGCGACTGCACCAGGTTCAAGAGCCCGGCCGTCACAGCGCCAGATGTTATGAAGGTCTGGTATCCCGTGGGCAGGTCATCATCGGTGATGAGACCTCGCAACGCGCCCATCAATTCGGGATGAAAGTGCACCCTCTCTAAATTGGTGACCACCACCTCTTCCTGAACGTCCACAGACTCCGTCTGTCCTGACTGTTCTACGTCGCTTCCCGCCTCCATCTCCTCCGCCGTCGTCTCCGCCTCCTCCGGCACGACCATCAACGGGGCCCGGTCTTCCGCCGCTTTGAACGCCGCCCATTCCGCGTTGGCCGTCACCAGCCTCTCCTTGCGATCCCGGCGCGCTCGATATTCGGCCAGCAACCGCATGGTGTTATGATTGGTGCAGTTGCTGGGAAGGCACGGGCAAGTGCCGTCGCATTGCACCTCGTCCAGGAGACAGGGGCAGGTCTCAGAGCACCCTGTTGCTTCCGAGCAATGCGACGAGCACAAGGCGACGATCGGCTCCGGCTCATACAGCGACTCGTCCTCAGGACCAAACGTCTGTCCGATTTCTTCTTGGCTGAAGATGATCGGAGCCTTCGGACTTTCTGGGGCGTCTTTGAGCTTCTTGATCTGCACTTCAACGAAATCGCCGGTCGTTCTCGTGCGTTTGCGTCCAATCTTTGGACCTTAAAACCAAAATTTGTAATCCGAACGCATTTTTTATGCCTTTAAACGACTTTAAAGGCGATATCGCAGGACAAAATAAACGGAAACAACACGGAAGACTGACGAAATTCGAGAATCGGCGAAGAATCCAAAATCGAGACGAAGAAACTCGAAATCCATGTCGCCTTTAAAGTCGTTTAAGACCAATGCTGAACTGCCAAATCAATCGAGTCAATCAGAATATTTGAATCAACAAATTTTCAATAACACCAAGTTCTTTTCTTAATAATCGTCTGGTCCTATTAATACATAATCTCCCCTTCCCGACCCCCATAATGACCCGTTCCCAATTGGACAAATCGTTATAAACAGCCCAGAAAAACTCGCTCCAATAAAGCGACGCACGAAAAATGCGAAATTCTGTATTTACGAATATGATTAGATTCCTAAACCCCGCCCCTTTCCAATTTCATTCAATTATATTCTGATTATTGTTCTCTTCTTCCTCCACCCCAATATTAAAAAATGTCATTTTCTCGATGAGAAGTTCTCAAATTCCAATAATTCTCAAAAATGCCGATTTGAAATGCTTTGAATTTTTTGACTTATTTGTTTAAAGACGGGGAGACTCGAGAAAACAACGATAAAATTATGAAAAATAAGGCGCACCTTCAATAACTTCGAGGTGCACCTCTGTGACTGCTTCACGGAAGCAGACTCGCTTCTTTGGAACCACATTTTCTTCATGAGCACTCGGGCTCTTTCGCTTGTTGTCGCTTGAGTTGGACATAGTTTCTTTCGTTAATTATAAGCGTAGTGAATTGAAATGGGAAATTCTGATATTTAATTCGGAACACGTTTATTTCTCCAAGATTCGGAAATCAATTATTTTTCATTTCAAACATTTTCAGCATTTTAATTGTGTGCTGATGAATGTCATTGCTTCGATTGCCGGCATCAAGATCTGCGAAACTGTCTAACAGACATTTATCAGCGGGTTCAAAGATTAGAAGCGACAACGAAAAAAGGATGAGCTAAGTTTTCAGCCGCACTTCAAAATTGTTATTTTTTAATGAGAATATATATTTTTTCTTTTTTTCGTCAAAATTATGGTTTAATACAAACAAATGACGTTTGGCTGAAGTAAATCAAAAAGAAAACTGAAGACCATGTGACAGATATCGAAATCTGCAAGTCATCGGTATCTTTTACTAAAAAAGTCAGCTAAAACATTTGAAATTCGCAATTCTTGCCACAATGTTACTTTTTGTTTAAATAATTAATTAATCTTTTTTTTTGAATTCTCGCCTCAACCGTAAAAATGTAAAATCATTCAAAAATTTCACATTTATGAAAACATGCATTCAAATTAAAGGAATACGTAAAGCCATGCTTCTTCTTGATCAAATCATCAAATTGAGCAATAAAAGGTTTAAACCCGTAATTGTGCATTTAAACCATTTGATTGTACACCCGTTTTGCCAGGTTCCTGCAAAAAATACGAAAATTTGGTGGGCAAAAAAAGATGAATGGCTTACGCCCGATATATGGATAAAATCAGCAACCGGCACATTATTCCTAGATCGCATTTCATTTTTCGCGAAGTGTGATCTACATATTCGCGGATCCGCTGAATTGGCAACATTCCGGCGGAACGCGTCTCCAAGCCTCATTATCCATGCCTGTCGCGATACGTCATCTTTCGGCACTTCGACAAGTTGACGCGCGGGCCGTATTGATCCGCAATATGTGCACGGCAGATTGAGGAGCTCATCGAAGAAATTCGGCACTTCTAAAGGATTCGCTTCGTTGTCCTCCTCTTCGCTGTACAAACTTTTCTGAAAAAATTTGCCGCTTAATTTCAGAAATCAGCTTCCAAAATCTACTAACCATTTCTTTAATTGATAGCGGTAAACTATACCTCGTCCGATGCTGATTCTTCGGGAAATGACTGTGGCAAATCCAAGAGCTCGAGTTATTCAAAATATTATTTTTGAATGTCTCGCCAAGCTTCAAAATCCATAATTCGCGTGTCTCATTATCAATTGGCACATGCACCATGAATCTTTTAAAGGCGCATACACCGCAATATGCACATTTAAGCCTTTGTGTTGGCCTGGCCTTTTTGATTTTCGGCATAAATCCAACATCTTGGAATTGGGTGCGAATTGGTGTATAAAATGCTGAAATGCCAAATAGGCTTCAAATTCTGGAAAAAAATCCACTTACCAGATGGCTTTGATTCGATTTTCAAATGCTTCGGCATTTTGCTATGAGCAGCAGATTTGGTCGGCAATTGTAATCGTTGATCGACAAGTGAATCCCTTGCCATATACTTTTCGACAACTGACTTTCTCAACGACGACACGCCTGACGTGGATGCTTCGGGCTCAGGATCGTGTTCAAGTTGGCGAGCAGATACCGGTTCCATCTCGTGATCCTCCGGTTCCATTTTGATGTCGGCACAAATGGGCTCGGGTTCAGCGACGAGATCCAACGGTTCTGTCTTAATGCTCGAATTCCTGAAAGACGTAATTCAATAACGAATTCATTATGCTTCACACTGACGATTCTGTGGAAGGTTCATAAATTGGTTTAAGCAACGCCTTAAAATAATCTTTCGGCTCCTCAGTATTCGTTCGCAGTTTCGGTATAATCGTGTGCGTTTTTCCATCAGCTCCGCCTTCTCTCTTCAAATACAAGATTTGTAAAATATTTTCGAAAAGCCGAAAATAGTGTACCGCGAAGCATGGTGGCGCTTTGAACGTCGAATAGGTATTGGCTTGATTTCGACAACTGATCGTCTGAATTTGCGGTTCCGATGCGCCTCGTCCGCTGAAAAAAAAGAACAAATTTCAAAGTTCTCGTTTCGTCCACCATTATCATCTTCTTACATGAACGATTCAGACTGACACACATGTCGTAGAACATCGTTGGAAGCGTCGAAATCGAGCTCCATCAGCATTCGTCGGTATTTTCCATGGTTCCTGGAGAAGGGCAATTGATTTTAGGCCAATTTAAAACGCTCCCACCCAAAGTAATTTTCGCCATCGATAACACATATTGGCGCCGACAATAATTCAATGGCGAATTTTGCCAATTTTTTGCAGTTCGATGCGTATTTTCGCCAAAACGCCGTCGGAGAGCTTACTGGCTGATATTTGTCAATCAAACTACTGTATTTCGTGATTTCGCGCTGAAAAATTGAAATTAAAATGGGGAAGCAATGAGACAATAATGCGAGACTCACATCAATTTCCCTCATTTTGTGCTCTCGCTCAATTTTCGTCGGCGTTTTTCCTTCAAACTCGACATCCACAATTCGAGCGACTAAACGATCAGCGACGCTTCGCCAAACTCCTCTCGTGTTCGATTTGAATTTCGCCGACGCCATTAAATGAGGATTCAAAAAGCATACAAAATTATACGATTCTTTGGAGTCGCCCTCGATGTACGGCAGAAGTTGCTCGTTGAAAAGCTCATAAGCGAGCTTATAAATCTCCGAGTCATTAACCTCCGACTTTTTCTCATTTATGAAGTTTTCGAGGCATTTCTTCAAATCCAAAAGGGTTGTGACTAATAAGGCTACAGTGCTATGGCTATTAGAGATCTGGAACAAGTTTTTAAAGATAAGTGTGATAACAAATTCAAGAATACCTTTTTGATAAACTCCTTTAATCGTATTAGTAGACTATGTAAATATACAATAACACCATGGTCCGATACCGTAATATATCCATCAACTTTATGAGTAACGACGAAATCGAAGAAAACTCGATGCTAAAAAAGGTAAGTCATTTTGAAATTCACTAATTTCACCTCAACTTGGAAAAAGAACAAAAATAATACAAACTATCGAATTATTTTTTTTTTTCAAATCAACTTTTCAACAATTTTTGGTCCCTTTCCCAGTTGCAGTGTTTCAATTCATACCATATCTAGGCATTTTGTGAGAAATTCAATTGTAGTGTACCAATTATCGGAATCAAGTGTCGGAAACTCCAACAGTCCTCGTTTTTTCATCACAAACGTCCGAAAAAGCAGCCACAACTTTTGGTTTTCGCGAAATTTGCCAATGAATTCGCGCAGCTTTTCGAGACTTTCTTTTATTGGCGGAATTTTCATGAGTCGATCGGCGAACCCTGACAAAATTGTAAAAATGCACTCGAATCTGAAATTGTTTTAAATATTGATGTTTTAAGGCAAAAAATTCAATAAGGTTTACCCATTTTTCATCAAGTTTGCCTCACGAAACTCATCATCAAGCTCTTGATCCGTCACGACGATGTTACTTATTCCAACGGCAAGTTCAGGGAGCTCATCTTTTATAGCTCGTTTCAAAATACTCAATTTTGATCTGAAAAAAAATGCGATGCTTTTCTAGACACTTTAAAAATCTTACTCAGTATTCATGTACTTCTTGAGGATCAAATGGCATTGCGGTACATCATCGACGTAATAATGAACAGATATTGCTAAAAAACAATAAACATCGTAGGGCTGAAAGTCGACGGTCAGCGATATCGGCGCATTCTCATCGCGAATTATCGGATATTCCTAAAGAAAAATCATTGCGATTGATACGAATTGATAGCGCAAAATTCACAGTGAATTGATCGTTCAGCTCCCTGACAATGTCCATCAATTTTTTCGTGTCTGGCACCGGATAACTTGGATTCAGAAATTTTGTGGCTTTCACAAGATTATTATCTCGGACCGACGAGAATGGAACACCATTTCGCAGAAAGAATCGGCACAAGTTCGTCGTCAAATCATGTATTTCTTCATCTGTCAATTTTGGCTCCGTTGAATTCGTGTATTCCTCGTCATCAGCATCCTCTTCATCCTCCTCTTCCTCTTCCTCATCATCATCTTCATTTTCATCATTATCTTCCTCTTCGTCCTCCTCTTCCTCACGAGTTTCCCTTCGAAACTCTTTATGACGACTGTGCTCAATGAGCATTTCTACTGTCATTGATTTTTTGCGGAATAATTTCGAGCACACCGTGCATTCTAGAAACCCATTTTCTTTTTCCACGAAACAATCTGGCAATTTTGCTTTGAAAGATGTTCCAGGCATCTGCAAACTATAAAATTAAGCAAATAAGATTTTTAAAAAATTCAGCTACATCCGACGGATGTTTCTCTCCAATAAATGCTTGATTCTCATCGACTTCTTGTTTGATATATATTTCTTCGGGAATTGTGCTAAAATATACATGATCGGCTAACGATGAATCAATCCACGGAATCGTCTATAATAGAATAATTACTAATTAATTACTTGGAAATGAATTAATTACCTCGTCTAATACTGGACTCGCGGTTTGTTCATCGAAGTGTTTTCGGCAGATTTTCGCATTTCCTTGTGAATTGCATCTAACAGTGAATAATAAACCGAATTCAGCTTCCATTCTTTCGAGTAGTCGCGTGTCCTTTTTTGGAACATCCATATAATCGCCTCCAGGTAGTAATTTCCCACAGTAGCAGCATTTATTTTCCATTTTTGCTGAAAATTGACAATTTTGACATCGAAGCGTTATAATTACTCAATATTTTTAACCTATTAATATTATGTTAAACAATTTATTTTGAAGGGGGTCGGAAAAAAATCGTCTTAGGTAAAACACGAACGAACAACGGCGTTGGTGGTTATTTATCATTTTTTTCATTTTCGAATATTAATAAGAATAGAAAGGAGTATTATTATTAATAGGGAAAAACATTATTTAAAAAACGCAAAAAACTACAAAGGAATTGGAAAATCAAAAAAATAACAAGAATATTATGTTATATTGTTGCGAAAAAAAACAAGTATAAACAATGTGGGCAATGTCGTCAAAAAAAATGCACAAGTCCGTAAAGTCATTTTTTAAATATAATTTTAAATTCTGATTTCATTTTTTCGGTGTTTTTATTACCTAACAAGCCTAAAAACGTATTTAAGTGTAAAAATCTATACAAAATTGAAGAACGATTTTCCAAAAAGTAAAGGCGACCGCGTGTTTGCACCTAATGCATTTTATTCGACGACTACTTTTTAGCGTGCAGTTTTCATTCGGTTTGGCGTTTTAAATGCCAATTTTTGCAGTTTCAAGGTCGTAAAGATATAAGTGAAGAGTACTGATTTAAAAAAAAACACCAGGAATATTGAAAATAAGCGAAATTGAAAGCATTAATGCAATTGCAGACGTGTGCACATTCTTGTTCTCCACTGCATCAAAATAATGTAGTTTTTTCGGTCCTCTTTTATTATTTTCGTTTTTTATTAAATGTAAATGATATTTTGATACTTTTTGCGCTATCTATACACATTTTATAATAAAAGCAAGTTAAGGAAAGTCAATAAAAAAACGGAACGATTTCGGGAAAAATTGTAATATTTCACATACTTCCACATATTATTTATAAATCCATCATAGAATATCACACAAATAAAAACTTTAAAAAAAACAGTCAACATTTATAAATGAAATCACGAAGAAAGCTTGGAAAATCATTGCGAAAACTTGAAACCAATAAAAAAATGAATGAATAAGAAGAAAGAAAATGAGACTTGGCAAAGTTTTTAGCAAAACGGAGACGAATTTTGTCAGTAAAGACAAAAATATTACTATTCTCAATTGATCAGCAAAAAATGGTACGGGCATCTCAGAAAATCGTGCTGTAGAAACAAACGCGAGATCCGGTGAGAACAAATGGACTCGATTAATTCGACAATTACGCGTCTGTTTTGCGGCGCGCAGTTTTGCAATGCTGCGGCACAACTCCTGTGGTAAATGAAAATTAATCAGATTCGAAAATAATTTCGTTTTCAATCGAAATCGAATATCAGTTAATTTTTTTCCGAATTACTTTAAAATTTCAATCGAAAATGGAAAATAATTCAAAGGTTTTTGAATCGAAACCAAGTTTTCAAATCGAATTTCAATTTTTTTTTCAATCGAATCAGGTAAATTTATGTTTTAGTTTTCTTCGAACTCGATTGATTTTTTTCAATTGATTTTCATTTTCCTGAGTTATTGGTGTCGTTTGGGTCCTTGCATCTGTGTTCTACCAAACTCAATTGCTCCTTTTTATTAATAGCATCGCAAAAAAAAAACCAGCACCTAATTGTGGATAGTAGCATTTTTCGAGGCAGTAACTCAAATTTGAAAAGTCGAAAATCGAAAAAAAAAAACAGTGTTTCGATATTTGGAAATTTATTAGAAAAAAAGTTTCATAAGTAGATAAATAGATAGAGAAATAACAAGAATACAACGAAAAAGAACACGCGCCGTGATATTCAAGTCGTCGGCACTTCTTGCGAATCCTCTTGGATTTGTCGTTGCGCATCCCCAGGATCGATGTTGCTCGGCAACGAGTTGGTAAAATTCTCATACGGATGAAGATTGAAGCATTGAACCAACTTCTCAGCAAACTTGATTCCGCGAACCGAGTTTCCGCATGTGTCCAACTTCGGACTGTACATGGCGATGCTCATCACTTCGGGCACCACAATAAGCAATGCGCCGGAAACTCCGGATTTCGCGGGAAGTCCAATCTTGAACGCGAATTCGCCGGAATAGTCATAAAGTCCGCAAGTGGACATAATTGTGAGCGTGTCGCGACAACAGCTGAATATTGAATTATTTCAATTTAAATTTGAATTCGCGATTAATCACTTCTCACTAATAACTCTTTTCTTACTAATCGGATTCACCCCGCTGTTCGCCAATGTTGCACCCATCACCGCCAAAACATCAGTGGTGGCGGTCATCGCGCAATTTTGCGTGTAAAACGCCAAGTTCTTTTCGATATCGACGTCTGCTGCAAACGCCTGCAAACTCAAACATGACATCATCTGCGGACATTCTACGACATACCTTGTTCGCCAGCATTCGGTAAGAAATCGCCCGATTAATGTGAGCGGTTTCGATTTCCGACAAGTAGACCAAATGATCGTAGCCGGTTGAGTGAGGATAGGCAAACTCGTTGATTCCTTCGACCGACTAAGACATATCAAAATCATTGGGTTGAATCGAATTGCTCACCTTGCGATACCGATCTGGGAACTCCTCTTTCGGTCGATATAGCGAAGTGAGCATAATGGCGCCAGCATTCACCATTGGATTGAATGGCTTATCTGAGAAAATCTGTTGAGATCAATTCGATCATATTCGGCTTACTGCTTTGATCCAAGTCCATCGAGTTGAACGGCCTTCCAGACGGCTCTGTTCCAATTCGTTCGTTGATTTTGTCGACACCAATCAACTCATAAGTCAACGCGTACATGAATACCTTCGAGACACTCTAAAAATGCAAATAGTAATCGAATGATACTCGCTGATACTTGTAGACTAAACGATTTCGTGTGATCCCCGAAGCTGTGCGTTTCGCCGTTCACGGTGCATATTGAAACCGCCCAATCTTTCGGATTGGCTTCAGCGAGCTTCGGAATATAAGAGGCGACCTGAAACGAAAATCACCGAGGTGCTTCGGAACAACGAGTACCTCTCCACTGTCCTCATCGCTAAACTCCATTGCAAGCCGATCGATTGCTGATTTGAATGACTCATCGCTGACCGGAATTACAACTCGATTGGTCAACTTGTTGACCTTGAGAAGAATTTTCTTCAGTTCTTCAAATCTTCGAGGGTTTTGTGCCAACAAATCATATTCCACAAATTTCATGTTGTTTTCGATTAATCGGATCGCGGCGTGAATTTTGTCGATTATGGACGTCCCTTCTGAGCTCACGCCTTTATTTTTTACCTATATATTTATTGAAATATGAAGGAATTACCCAAAAAACTGACCGAACGAGTTCCTTCATTGCTGAGTGTAGCAATAGTTTTAGTAGTCATTTTTTAGAACTGATGGTCGACTGGACCTTTGCCTCTTTTTATATCGATTGGAAGGTTACGACTAAGCAATGAATTAATTAGCAATATTTGAAATTATAATACTCTCTTCCGTTTTTTCCTTGACAAAGTCCATGATATTCGTCATCGTTAAGTTGCGAAATAGTAATTTTTTTTTTGTTAAAAAAAATGAACTGTCATCGATAAGTTTATGTCGTCCTCTGTTTTTGGGTTAATTTCAAAAGTCTGTCTAAAAAAAAAGTCTGAAAACAAATTTTTGGAAACCTACCAATAATTAAGGTCCAATGCAGATTTTGCAAAAAAAACCTGGTTGAATAAAAAAATCTCTAAAAACCCGATGCAAATTTCTCAAAAAACTAGAATTTGTGTTTTCGAGTTTTTTTTCCAGAAAATCTGCGGCCAGAAAAGTTGAAAAACTCGTTTCTTTTTTTTTACTGTCATTGTCAATGATATGAGTGATTTCACAAAACAGTTTTTACTTATCAGTAAATAAATTGAATATGTTTCATAATTGATTGGTTTCAAAAATTTCATCCGTCTACTCTGATAACTGAATATCAATCGACGTCTTCAGAATCGACACGATTCGACTCGATGAATTACCCCGGACACTGCTCGCGCCGAACATGGTTTCTATTGAAAAAAATTGGCGGACACCCCGCAGACACACCAATGATCGAATATTCGCTGACATCGATCCGAAGAATGCCGGCAGTTGAGCGGACATCGTTTGGATGCTCAGCGGAGGAATGGGGGAATGCTTATTTTGCTGTTTTCACGTGAACTGCTTCATTTTTCTAGACGAGTTTCACATTTCCTTGAATTTCCTACGATATTCGATTAAAAAATTATCGAACCAGTCCATAAAATTTGAAATAACCTGTTAGTCCTTGCGAGACCAATTTGAGAAACGCATTCTTGTAAATCTACCCGTGTACAGCAGTCGCCAGACCCCAACTATATATATATTTGAAAAAAATGCTCGATAATGTCTAAGAATATCGCTACGTTCTCAGAACTACCAATTATTGGGGTATTGAATTCTAGAATTACAGTCAACTGGAGGTTATGATTTCAGGGAAGAGAAGCACTTCAAAGAATCTACGATTTTAACAAATGCATTCAAGGTATTCCGTTGTACCGAATGCAAGGAGATAACCAGGCTATGCTATTTGAAGGTTGCGCGAAAGCGGTCTGATTCTCTATTGTTTCAAATCGTTTTATGTCGGCTTCAAACAATTGAAGGGAGGCGAGACCTTCAAATTCGCGAAATCAGTGTCGATTTAAATTTATCATTGACTGAATATTAAATGCGCGTACGTTATAATGTAATGTACGCAGTCTCGCGTACTTCTCGCTGCCTTGAGAAGCAACCAATATTATTTTCTATAATAGAAAATAAAAAAGAAAACCCTTTGAATGTTTTATGATTTTTTTCCCTCGTTCACTATTTATAACGCTTTCTCAAACTTGTTGTAAACTGATATCTTCTCATGTTCCATTCTCGATTTTGTTTGACTCAATTAATTCTGAAAATGCTGAAGTTATGCTAATTAAAATTCTTATAGAATTTTCCAAATAATTTGAGACATTGTAAAGAGATTCTGACGACTTCTAGTCAGATTCGAATTTGCCACAAAGATCGTATCGGCTTACAATATTTCCGAAAACGAGCAAACGAATCGAGCCAGAGCATTTCTCCTCCCTTTCGCTTCTGTTTTGCTCATTCGTCTACGTCGCCACCCTCCTCACCCTCTATCATCCGTTTTCTTCCCTTTTTATCCTTCCTTTTAAGTCAACTTTCTTTTCGGCATTTTCAACTTCATTATTATTTCAAAACAATTAATAATTAATAGCTGATATATTTTCTCTCTCTCTTTCTCTCTCAAATCATTTTTGTCATAGTTGTTGTACTCAGGTGAGCAAACATAAACTTGTCAAATAGAAAGACTATTCAAATAATAGAAAATCAAGGCCGGTAGGAGGGTTTTCCGACGAAATTCTTATTGATTTCTCGATTTTTTTTCTTTTTTTAAAACTATTTAAAACAAATTCTGCGTGTATTCTGCATGACACCTCTTTGTGGATATTTTTGCTCAGCAAACATGAAAGGTTCAATTTTTATTTGAACTTGAATAACGCCGCCAATATTTTGGTTTACCCCTGTGCAAGAAGACGTTTATTAGTATTTCTATTAAAATTTCATTATTTTCCCTTCGAGACCTATTGTGTTCTCTGTCTCTTTTCTTTGATTCAATTATGCGTATTTTTTGCCGCCAAATTGCACCTTTGTCATTCAATTTGATGAATCACGCCTTAAAATTAAACGTACATGTGTATTAGAAGACATAATACCAACATTTTTTTTAATAAATTTGTTATTGTTATGTTAGTGAGCGTTTGAGGATATAAATAGAAAAAATAGAGAAATTATTGGCATACTTGGATTATTGCCTGCGGACATTCTGAAAACCTGTAAATTTGTCGGGAGAAGAAAAAAATGACAATAGGTGAGTTGTTTTAAATTCTCAAAGGACAATTAAGGTCCTCCGCGGTGGCCGTGAAAAAGTTAGGTCAGAATACCACGTCCACAAAAAAAATTTATTTTGCATTGAGTATTTTTGGAATAATCAGCCATGACGTTATGTGAGCGCGCTTTCTCTCACCTTAATAGCATTTATGATCATCGGAGATAAAATTTGGGCCCGTTTATGGTCGAAAAATGAATTATTTGTAATTTATACGTTGATAAAATGAAATAATGTTCATATTTACTTTTCTTTCACATTGATTCTCTCAATCACTTCGTATACTTGATATAAACTTGCATGTATGGCAGCAGCGGGCGGCAAACCACATCTTGGCACACGCGTGGCCTAGAAAAATTTCCTCAAAATTAGGTTCGGCCACGGCCGCACTTGATTGATTAGTTAATTTGATTAAGTAGAAATAAATGAGTACTTATATACATATATTGTGGGTTCACAGTTTCAAAAACCAAATATCAAAAAAAAATCGTGACTAAGCATTACATATTATTTTAAAAATTTGTCTATGATAGTGTGCCACACTTGCATTTTGTTGATTTTGAGAGTGCCGAATCATTTTTCTAGGCCGTGCGTTGCGGCGAGCCGTGAGCAGGCGGTCAACTTTTAGGTAATGTGCAAAAATTAAAAAAAATAAAAAAAAAGGGAAATTTTCAATAAAACAAAAATACCTCCATTAATTATCCATATTTTTGCTTTTTCTACTTCTAAAATCAAATATAACTTTCTAATTAGGCTATAATTATAGCCCCTTAATTAGGCTATAATTATAGCCAAATCTTTCTAATAATTTTGCCATTTCCAAAATGCCGACTCCCCCAATTCTTTTTTCGCAATATTTCCAAACCCCAATTTTCAGCTGCTTTCGTTGTCTATTCTTTTCACAACAACAAAACATTTGGCACAAAATCGAATTAATTATAACTAATATAATTTTGAACGGAATTTTATTTGCGCGATATTTTTGGCTAAATTCGAATTTTATCGATCACATTCGTTTTTATCAATTCTTTTTTTTTGACTCGAATCAACGTCATTTTTATCTCTTGTATAAAAAGATATGTGTCAACAATGGCCTATCGCAACCTACTCTTTTTTAAGATCAAAGTCAAATAGAATGGCGTAGTACTTCCTGCTTTTGTTCTCGATGCTTGTTAAGTTCAATTAATAGTTGCCAAGGTGGCGAGAGGTTTCTCGGTTACCCGGCAACATGTTTCTCTGAGCTTTTCGTTCGTCTAAACTCATTGCTCAATTCAGTTTCATTTCATTATCAGCGATTTAAAAATTTCGCTCTCGTACGAATGATAAAAAAAGAGAGTTTGCGGCGGGCGCGTGAAATGTTTTTCATTAATTACTTTCGGCCAACTTTTTGCGAGTGATGCCCGCATATTTTTCGAATACTCAAAGGAGCGATGATCATGAGCATCTTATCAAAAATGACGATGATGCTGATATTGATTATGGTCGTGTTCGTTTTATGGGTTTATTGGACATTTATTGAAATTTCAAAATTTCAGATGCTAACCACGAGATGATAGGGTTCTGGCGGCAGTTACGGTTTCTGCTTTGGAAATGCGCGTTGGTTAGGAAAAGGCAGAAGGTGGGCATTTACAAACGACACTCCGTTTTTTCACGTGTGCCCTCGTTTTATCGTAAAGAAATTTTGTCGCTGAATTTTCGGCAAAACTCAATCACTTATTTTTTTGAGTATTTCTCGGTGTTGGTCGAAAACCGTAATTTCTCTGTTTCACCAATTGACAGTAAATGCAATTCTTTGGGATCACTGTTCTTGTTGTTCTCAAAATTCGCCACCGTTTCGCGAAAACAAAAACCCGCGTTTCACCCAGTTAATATTCCGAGTTATATATTTATTTGAAATGACTACAATTTAATTAAATTCATTTGATTGCCAAATAACTACGATTATTACAGTTCTGGCTTGCTGTAGAACTAATCGTTCCATGCATTCTGTTTATTGTTATTGCATTGGTTCGTACTAGGAACTTCGATGTTAGCGAAGAACAATGTAAACATAATTGAATTCAAATTTAGAGACAAAAAATAAATATTTTAGGCCATTTCGATTCTCGAGGTCTTCCTTCCGCAGGCCTCCTCCCATTTATTCACTCATTTTTCTGCTCATTCTCCAATAAATGCTTCGCGGAGCCGACGACGGGCGATGAAAAAGACATATTATTCAATGATGCGGGTGATTTGACGAGAAACGAGTCATTGTAAGACGCGTCAAACTGAAAAAATCAGTTAAAAACGAGGCATTTGAAGAATTGTTGATGTGATTTACTACTCTTCTCTGCAATTACAATGGATTGGAGAAAACGAAAAGGAATTCGATGAGCTTGTCAAATCAACGGCTGAAATTATTCACTGGTTCGCTGGTTTCAATCTAAGCGAACCGATGAAAATCCGAGTGAAAGATGTACATAAAATCTTGATGTAAAATTTTGAATTGTCGAAAATGTTTTAGCTTTTTAATCCTGGCGACTACGAAATGTTGGAATCCAGTTTAGAAGACGTGCTGCCTTCTGATTTAGCTCTCCGTTTGCTGAATTCCTCCATATTGCCCGAAGCTTACACGGTGAAAGATCCAATTAGGCGATCAATGAAATCTTGGTTGGGAATGTTTTTCGGCAAAAATCCGCTATTCTGTAATGATTCTGTTTTCGACAAAGTTTTCAAATTCGATGAAGGGTATGTTTTTTTAATAATAATCAAATTAGAGAGTTTATGAATTTTCCCACAGGAAAAAGCCGAGTTCCAAAGAAATGAAGTTGTTATGCAAAGAACTCGATCCGTATTTTCTCATGGATATTTCGGATGTGCTGAAGAATGCATCGTTTCCAACGGTAAACGTCTTTCGACATTTTTTCATTCATAATTTTCATTTCTAGGCGAATCGAATCAAAATATTGCCGTATGTGACGTCTTTTCAACGCGCAACCAAACCGTTTTTCGATTTTTTGAACAAATATTCGAAATTGGGATTCAATGACATCATATTGGCAGTATTTTGTGGGAATGATCCAAGAGGTTTGAAAACGATTTTTGCCAGATTTTCAAGATTTCTAACATTTTTTTTCAGACATTATCGAGCAAAGTGTGAATCCGAATCATGATATACCTGTGGAAACGCCGTTCGAGAAAATGCGCAAAAATGTGATCAAGTTTGATTTTTCGATTTTTTTTCCCCTCACTCATTTTTTCCGATTTTCCGGTTCATCGAGACTGTTTCACCGGGAAAACAGCAACACAAGAATGGAACTTGTTCGCCGGTCAATTATCACCGGGAAATGAATTGCTCGCAACTTGAAGGCTCATTGATGACGGCGATGCGGCCGGTGCTTCAAGGATATATTCTGGTGACGCCCGAAAATAACGCGACGCGAAAAATGGTTGAAATTCTGAATGAGCCGCTCAAAATTGCGGAATATGTCAGAAATTTAATGTATTATTATCCATCGGAATCGAATAATCTTCAAGATGCCCTACATAATAGCGATTTATGGCCAGCTAGTCAAGTAATTATTAATTGCTTGATGATGTTTCAATTGAGAACTTTTTCTAGAATTTACTGCATTGGTTAAATACAACAAAAAGCGAAAAAGATATTCCGAGAATCGTTATCGAGTCACTTCGGCACGCATTTGCCGATTCTTCGGATCCCGAGTCTTTCGGATCATTGACGGGAGCTGTTCTCGCGTTGGCCAATAAATATTCATCGGTGGGTTTTAGAATTATTTTCAAAATGAAATTGATCGATTCTCTATTTTTCTTAAGTGTTTCCTCATTGATCGATTTCGATTTGTTCCGAATGAAAAGGAGCTCGAATTGGTAAAATAACCCAACTAATAAATATTTTGATGCGATTTTTCAGAACGCGTTATGCCTTATGGAAGAAAGCCAATATTTTTCATCGATTGTGTTCAATATGACCCAAAATGCCAGTGAATTTCCAGATTTTGTCACCTACAAAATTCGCCACTATCCCGATTATATTGATTGTTAGTTTTTTTTTGTTGTTGAAATTGCCGAATTCAATTTCAATTTTTTTTTCAGCCACGAATGCCCTAATGGATAGTCGAAGTCATCCGTTTTCACGACATCAGCCCCTTCGAGATCTGAAGTATTTGACATATGGATTTAGTTTCGTGCAAGGTGTTCAAACAAATCTCAAATTGTTATGGACATCGTGATTTCAGAATCTGTGGACCGCGCAATTATTGCCACCAAAGCCAATCGGAAGGTTGAAATTGGAGCGTATGTTCAACAAGAGCCGTTTCCATGCACAACGAAAGACACGTAGGGGGGCGACATTTTAAACGAGATTCTAGCGGATTCCGATGATTTCAGATTCAATGTCGCCTTATTCATGCCTCTATTTCTCCTCATCTCCTTCATTTTTCCATCAGCATTGCTTGTCAAAAATATTGTTTACGAAAAAGAGTTGCGAATCAAGGTATCCAATTATTCCTTTTTTTTTGTTATTTTCGTATTTCCTTTTGCATAGGAGCAAATGAGGGCTATGGGTCTCGGCGACGCGGTGCACTTCATCTCTTGGGCTCTAATCTCGCTCTGCCTGAATTTCATATCGGTTTTGGTCATCTCGTTGGTTTGCAAAGTATGATTCGCGATTGCAATTTCGACATGATTAAATCCAAACAATTTAGTTTGCGAGAATCTTCAATAATACTGATTACACCCTTCTCCTGCTCATTCTGATCGTCTTCATGTTTTCATCCATCGCCATGTCGCTCTTCTTCTCAACATTATTCACGAATGCCAATATTGCGACGGCGGCCACGTGCGTTCTTTGGTTCCTGTTCTTTTTCCCGTTTCAACTCAAAAACGATGCGATCAAAACGCCGACGTTCAATCGAATAATGGTAATAAATTTGAGAAAAACGAATAGAAAAATGAAGTTTTTTCAGCTTATTCTTCCACCAACCGCCATGGGAAACATTTTCAAGCTTTTGGAGTCGTTCAATGCTGTTGAAGAGGCCACATGGGCCGATTTGCCGAATATGGAGAATCCGGTACTAGGATTAAGTGTGACAATGTGTTTGGTGATGCTCGCCGTCGACACGTTGGTCTTTTTGATTCTCGCGTGGTATGTGTCGGCGATCGCGCCTGGTTCTTATGGTGTTCGACAACCGCTCTATTTCCCATTCACAATTCGCTATTGGTTCCGAAACTATCAAGCCAATCGCGTACAGTACGCCGATGACGAGGAGTTTGATATTATTCCAAGTGAGACCTTTGCAACGCATTTCATTAGATTTCTATTTTTAGGTAATGATAACTTTGAGGCTGAGCCTCTTGGTCTTAAAGCGACTGTTCATATCAATTCGTTGAGTAAAGTGTACGATAATGGAACAAAAGCGGTAATTTGAATTTATTCTTCGCTTCAATTTCTTAAATATTTTGTTTCTAGCTCGATTCATTGAACTTGCGATTGTATGAGAATCAGATCACTGGCTTGTTGGGACATAACGGGGCTGGAAAATCCACAACGATGTTCGATTTTCCAATTTTCCACCTCGTTTTCGAACTTTCATTTCAGGTCCATTCTTTGTGGATTGTATTCACCGTCATCGGGAACGGCGAAAATCTATTCGCGTGACATCCGAACACATTTGAGACGAGTTCGCGAGATTCTTGGAATTTGTCCGCAGCACAATGTCTTATTCTCTCAGTTTGTTTTATTTTCACTTCATTGTCTTTTGACCATTCTTGTGGAATATATGATAGAAATTATCCGATGTGGGATGATAGCGTAAAAATTTGAGTGAGGTGGTCTCACAATAATTTTCGATTTGGTTTCATATCAAACATATCCGCTACAGTATACATCAAAAGGCGAATGCAAAAATTTGGTCTTCCCCCTTCTTTGATGATCCGACGGTTGCCTTCCCTTCGACAATACTGATCTTGCAGTTTGACGGTTGCCGAGCAGCTTCATCTGTTTGCTGCTCTCAAAGGATGTCCGGATGGCGAGATTCAGGCGAATGTTGCCGAAATATTGGAAAGCGTCTCATTGACCGACAAGGCGAACAAATTGGCTGGAACATTGTCAGGTAACTTAGAAAATAATGTTGGGCGGTGTCATTCATCTGAATTCAAAAATTTGAAGGAGGAATGAAGCGAAGATTGAGCATTGGAATCGCGTTCATTGGAGGATCGAAATTTGTGATTCTTGACGAGCCGACGGCTGGTGTCGATGTTACAGCAAGAAAGGACATCTGGAAATTGCTACAGAGGAACAAGAAAGGTATTCAGTCATTCATTATTCGGTTCTTCCATCCATTCAGGTCGCACAATTCTGCTCTCGACGCATCACATGGATGAAGCTGACGTTCTATCCGATCGAATCGCCATTCTATCGCAAGGCCAACTGGTTACTGTAGGCACCTCGGTGTTCTTGAAGCGAAAGTTTGGAAACAATATGACGTTGACCGTGTGCAAGGTTCCTGGAACGAATTACAAGGAGACCATTAAGCTTGTGGAAAAATGTGGAGAAATTGTGGATTTGAAATATGGCGATGAAACCGAGGAGGAGATTGTTTTCAAGTAAGAAAAACTATATTCAACTCGATATTTCATTATAATTATGTAGTATTCCAATTAATGTGGACTCGGATCGATTGGAGAAGTTTTTCACCGATTTTGATGAGCGAATGAGCGAATTCCAATTCGGCCAATACGGAATTTCGGCGCCAACACTTCAAAACGTAGTGTTTCGAGCGGAAATTCGATTAGAGTTTTTGCTGAAATTTGCAGATTTTCGTCTCACTTGCCCCACAAAAAGAATATCATGTGCCGAAAGTGAGCAAATGGGAATGGTTCCGAGTTATTCGCCAGAAGTTGTTCAGAACGTAATCGCATTAATTGTTTTTCTATTCTTCCTTTTTTTTAATTGTAGAAGGGTTGATGAGGAAAGCACGGATTTGATTGCGACGAATGCGGTGAATCCCAATCCGGTTCATATCGATAATAATGAGGTGGAAGAAGTCAAGTTTGAAGGTTTCTTTTTTGAGAATTTACAATTTTGGTTTGAAATAACGAAGCAATTTTCCTAGATTTTGAAAAACCCGACTTGGTGATGGGAACCGCTTTGATCATTCAGCATATTCGAGCACTTCTTGTTGGAAGATTCCATTATACATTGCGAAGTAAACGAACATTCTTGTTCCAGGTAGTTTATTCTACATAGTCCATAAGGACCATAACAATTTGCAGGTGATCATCCCGCTTCTCCTTATCGCTGCGTGCGAGACATATGTGAGAGTTCAAGTTCCCAGAAGTCGACCCGATCTTATGGTGTCGCAAGCGCCGCTGCCACTCGAAACCTCGCTGTTCGGAAATTCGACGGACCTCTATGTTAAGTAGGTTTTAAGTTTCACGAATCGAATTATGAATGATGGAATTACAGCAATTGGGACACTGCTTCCAATTCGACGTCGATCTCAATTTTGAAGGCAATGTTCGATTCGCCGGGTGCTGGAACGAGATGTGCTGAAAACGAGCCAAAACACTTGATGTAAGCCAGCCCATCATTTAAATTCCAATAGTTGCTCATTCGTTTTCACACCGCCTATTGTTCTGCACGAACGTCCGTCAATTTTCAGTGTGTCGTCCTTATCAGAATTTTTCAATTTGTCTCAATATAGCCGCCGAAAGAAAATCAAGGAGCTGTTGGGAGAAAACTAGTACGTGTTTGGCTTGACAACCTTTATTTTTCCTGTGCAGAAAATTGAGAATATCGGTTATTGTTGAAATTGTTGGTACATTTTCAGCGACAATGCATTCCAATGTGTCAACATTAATGGAAGTTTTGATTACACCGAAGACCTGAAAAATATTTCGTATAATGCACCGATTGATTGCGGATGCGTCGATTATGGATTCAATTGCACTTTGGTAATGAGTTTCGGACACTGAAATTTTATTTGCTGGTTTCTACATTATAGGAAAATTGGAATTGGGATGAGACGAAATGGTTGAGATTGAACTCGACTGAACGCGTCTTTGATCTGTCCGGAAGAAATTTGTCGCAGTTTCGACTCATCACTAGAAATCAGCAGATTGCCAATAACTCGGCGCCGTTCTTGTAAGACACTCGCGTGTTCGACGTCTCGATGTCTGATTTTGATTTTTTCTTTGCAGCATTGGGGGCTTCTCGCTTGGCCATCAGAATATGAGAACCTTCAGCGATGCCGAAGTCACCGATTCGCAGAACGGCTGGTTGCAGTTTGTCCAAGAATGGGCCTACGTGAAGAGGGAGCTGAGCATCAATACGACCGGAATTCGACCGGATACGCCGAGAGTTGTCGATCCGTTCGCGCAGAATGTCACAATTGACGACGTCGTCAACGCGATGGTGGCGAATCTTGACAAAAAGGAGAACGTCAAAGTGTGGTTCAATAATAAACTCTGGCCGTCGCTTCCAATAACGTCGAACATTCTCACGAATGCGATTCTGCGAAATGTGGACACCGAGGCGATGCCGGAATTCACGGGAATCCTCACATTCAACCATCCGATGAACAAAACTGCCAAAGAATCATTATCATCGAGCGCGACGGATTTTGCGAAAGGATTGAGCATGTTCCGAATCACGTGCCTACTTTTGGTACTGTCAATGATTCCGGCTGGATTCACAGTGTATTTGGTGGAAGACCGAGTTTGTGAGGCTTTCCACTTGCAAATTGTTGGCGGCCTCAAAAAAGCCACGTATTGGGCGACGAGCTTCTTGTACGATACGGTAATCAGCAATTATAAGCGTATATGTATATTGTAAATCGTCTCACAATTTCAGATGGTCTACATTGTCGTCGTCATCATCATTATGCTCGTTTATTTCGCGTTTGGAGTTAAGGAATTTGCCGGCGATGCTTCGACGTTTTTCGCGTTCGCTTTGGTCTTTATCGTCTATGGGTAGCCGATTTGACAAGTTGAGAACAATTGAATAGCTATCAGTTTTTAGATTGGGCGCGATTCTGTATGCGTATGTGCTCCAGAAACGCTTCGACGTTCCGGCACTCTCGTTCGTTCTCATCGCTATCGGTGCCTACTTCGTTGGCGTCGTCTGCGTTCTCACCGTCATCCTTCTCGAGAACATGATGCTGCAAGACCCGACGCTCGTTCCCGCACATACCGTATGCTCGATTGTGTTCCTCATCATTCCCCAATATTGCCTCGGAATCGCCATCTTCCGGGGATCGATGGTCTATCAAGTGAAACAGATTGGAATCAATTTCCTTGGTATCTCAAATCCTTTTATATTTTTTGTTGTTGAAAATGTTTCGTGTTGTAGTGAGCATTAATCGGCCGGATGTCATCAATCAACTGCCTCTGCCGGCACTTCTAGAATTGGATGTTATGGGATTGCACGTTGTCGTCCTATTCGCGCATATCTTCGTCGCCGTCGTCTTGTTGGTGTTCACACAACTTGACGAGTTTCCGATTGTTCGAAAACGCGAGTGCGAGCGAACCCATGCGATGATGCTCGCTGATCGGACGAACGATGACGACGAAGACGTCATTCGCGAGAATAATCGCGTCGAGCAAATCCCCGAGCACGTTCACAACGAGGCGCTTGTGGTGAGAAATTTGGCGAAGGCCTACACGGCCGACACGTTGGCGGTTCGCGGCGTTTCGTTCGCCGTCGAGCACGGCGAATGCTTCGGGCTGTTGGGATTGAACGGCGCCGGCAAAACGACGACGTTCTCGATGTTGACGGCGAAAATATGGCCGGGGCACGGCTCGATCGAAATGAGCGGCACGAGCATCTCATCGGCGGCGTCGAGCTCGTGCGATTTCCGCCAACTCGGCTATTGTCCGCAATTCGATGCGCTCAACATGAAATTGACGACGCGTCAGAATTTGGTGTTCTTCGCTCGAATTCGAGGAATCCGAGAGAATCAAATTGCATCGGTAGGCTAGTTTTTTTTCCTTAGACAAGCAATACTCGAATTTGAATCTGTCAGATTGTTGATCGCCTTCTCATCGCTCTCCATCTTCGGCCGTACGCTGACACCCAGACATGTAGTCTTTCCGGCGGAAACCGGCGAAAGTTGTCGGTCCTCGTCGCGCTTGTCAGCCAACCATCGCTGGTTTTTCTCGACGAGCCGTCGGCCGGCATGGATCCCGGCTCGCAGCAATTCCTTTGGCGCGTTATCGAGCGTCTTTGTAAAAGCGGCAAAGCCGTCGTGCTCACGTCGCACTCAATGGAAGAATGCGAGGCGTTGTGCACACGAATCGCGATCATGGATCGCGGTCGGATACGATGTCTCGGCGGCAAGCAGCACCTGAAGAACAAATTTGGCAAGGGATTCTCGCTGGTTGTGAAAATGGCGCATCTCGATGAAGCACCGGAATGCGCCCAAATGCTGGTTAGCCGACTAGAAGGCTCCCATTTGGAAGCCATTCATTGCTCGACGATCTTCATTCATATTGCCCACGGAACGTCGAGTATTGCGCAAACGCTTCGTGTTATGAATCAGGTAATCGGATTTCGACATTTTTTTTACATTTCCTTGATCTTCAGGTGAAAAAAGCGCATCAAGTGGAAGATTTCACATTATCCCAATCGACCCTTGATAACGTGTTTCAGTCAATAGCTGAAAATCGATTACCTAGTGCTGGAGACCCTATAGAAATCGTAGAACCTTCTAGGAGCGAGATATATGAAACGACAGAACGATTTTAGCCTGTGATACTTTTTCATGTATTTATTATTTCTTTCATGTTCTTCATTCTTTTCGCCACAATCGTGATTCGACGGGTACAATCCTTTAATTAAGTTGTGATTCAATAAATTATGCTGTTTCGCCGTTTTCTTCCTCGATGACGTCATTCTCGAGGTCTTCGAGTCGCGCGGGAAGTGCGATCTCCTCGTCGGCGTATGAGACTCGTGAGACCTTCTTTCGCGCGACGCCGTTTTGTGGTTCGCTTAGGAGATTCGTGTTGTGCCGCTCCAATAAGCTAAGCTTTCGTTGGCCGTCGTCGTTAATGGTGCATGTGGATAAGCGTAGAGATGTGGCGTTGGATGGAGTCTCGCCCCATGATTCAGTGCGACCTAGAAGAAGGCAGACCAACTTTCTCAATCCACTTTTCTTTTCGAAATTACCATGTCCGAAAATCTGAAATATCAATCCAGTCACTATCAGAATCCCGGCCAAACTGTAGAACGCAATTTTCCATTCTTCCGCCGTATCCTGAAAAAAAAAATGAAACGAGATTGTCTGAAATAGACGACTTAAACACTCACATGACGGGTGATTCGGCCGATAAGAATCGGCGCCAAAGTGCTCGCCACCTGAGAATACATCTGACCGTAAGCGGAAATGAAAGCGGTGAACTGAAACAGTTGGGTATTAATTTGATGATGATGAGACACCAACACACCTGCGGTGCCACGGTTACTATCGAGGTGTTGTAGCCGGGTACGTAAGCGGAGAAAAGCGCCATCGAGCAGGTGATGCTAATTTGAATCAGCTGAATGTATTCGAGAGGCAATGAAGCAGCGATGATGATGAATATCGCGCTGCCGAAACTCGCCAAAGCGTTTGACGCCTTGGTTACGGTAGTCACGTCGACATTGCACTGTTTTACGCGATCAGCGATTACTGCGAACAATAGTTTGGTGATCATTTGGACGATGAATGGAAGGGAAGACCAGATTCCATTCTCAAAAAAAAAAATATTTTGCTTTAAATCAGAAAAGAACGCGAAATATTACATTGGTCATGTTCATTTTCATGGCGATTTGGTTGAATTTCGGAAGATATGTGATTAGAGCCACGATGACGAAGCTCTGCGCGAATGAGCAAGCGCAAATACCAAACACGCAGCCGTTGAGCAAAATCTAAAAATGTCATCAATTTTTCTTCTATTCGATTCAAATGCGCCTACTTTTCGATATGGAGTTGGACGAACTACAGTATTTGAGCGATTTCTTCGCGCTTTTCCTCCTTGAATGTACATCAATTCGGTGGCGGTGATGTATTTCGATTGGCGCGGTTTGTCAGCTATTCTGACGACCCAAACGATCAGAAACAATAATCCAATAATTCCTTGGAAATGTTTGAAATTCGCCATTCATTTTACAAATTTCATTATACCGTATAAGCCAAAAGCGAATGGCCATCCGTTGAAATAAGGCAACTGGCAGAGTTTCGCGGTGAGAAACAGGGAAGCCGAGATTCCGACTTGATTTCCGGTTGTGAATATCGCCATCGCTGTACTTTTCTCGTCCATCGGAAACCATTTCGTTATGAGGACTGCGCCGGCCGGTATCATCAGGCCTGCAGTACAACTGGAATGCTTCTAGAATGAGAACCATGAGCGCGATACCGAATCCGAAACCCATTATGAAACGAATCGCCAGCACCGGAATGTAGCTGCGCAGATAAATCGCCACGAAAATTGTGGCGATTGAGCCGATTGCGTTGGTGAGCAGCCCATAGGTGATAAGTTGTTTGGCGCCGAATCTGGAAATCAATTTATCTGGAAAATTCGATTTAATAATAAACAACAAATAATCAATGTTATATCATTTAATCGGATTAAGTGTTATGTCTAAGAAAATGTCGAATGTGCGTATTTTCCAACAAAAAAAAAATCGTCATCGAATTGTTTTTAATTTTCAAATATTCTGGAAGGAAATTTCAATCTAAAATTATACAATTTAGTTTCATCAATTAAATTTATTGTTAAAAGTAAAGTATTCTAGCGGAAATCCACTGGAATTTAAAAAAAAATCTCGACGAACTCTTCATGTAAAAATAGGGTAAATTTACGCTAAAGAATAAGAATTGCCGTCCACACGGAGTGTTGTTTACCTTCACTTACCAATTTTGTTTTTTAAATTCCTGTTGATCTAATTTAAAGTGTTAGAAAGCTTACGAATTAATATTTATCACTTTAACTAATAATTTTAAGCTTATTCTTCTTCCAAATTAATTCCTTGTGCGTTGGCATTAATGCGTTATCAGCAAAAAATCTACAGCTGTTATAAATTTAAGTGATTCACAATTTTTTGGTAGACACATGCAAATAAATTGACACATTACGTTTGATTTCCGTTTCAAAACTCACTTTTGTGTTAAATACTCGGCGGGAAATACGGAAGCGAATGCGCCGATGTAGAATGAGGTGTGTATTCGGGCCTGCTCATCGGTGTTCCAATCCATATGGAACATAGGATCAGTCGTTTCATTTCTAGAAAAAAAATTGTCAATTAAATTTTTTTAAATGGTTAATTCAAAGCAAATACCCACCGATCAACAATATCAACCATTGCCATCCCTAGGGAAGTTCGCATCAAGCCGAATACGATAGTGGAAAGAGAAATGAGGATGGCGGTCTCGAAGCGAACCGAGGATATCGACCATAACCCTGAAATGTGGTGGTATTCATCAAACAATTTGGCAACAATAACCCTACTTGGTTTGTGTATTTGAATCTGCTGGATTTTCTCGAACGTGCTCGTCGGCATGAGTTGTGCCGCCATCGCGCGCGAGTCGGGAAAGAATATTCGAAAAAAAAATGAATGGAGTTGCTAGTGGGAGGGTGTACAAACAAGGCAAATTAGAATGATAACGACGAATTGGAAGTTGTCCGATAAGCGAATGGGGTCCGAAGTATTTGTGTTTGGGATTGACGTGAAACTAGCGTAGAGAGAAAAAAACAATAATAACAACGCGATTTAGGGTTTCCTATTGACACGAACATCTTGTAAGTAGTAGGTCCAGTAAACCACGTTGAACGCGGCGAATGCCTGGAATTCCGAGATTTTCGAATGATTTTCATTGTCACGCAGGTTGGCATAATGAAATTTGCTATTTCAGCCAGATAACATGCATAAACTTTTATGGAGTCCATTACATTAGCATTAACAAAATTCAAATCAATGTTTTATCAAAAAGGTTAAGTTGTTATAATTTTCAACGAACACATCAAAATAGGGATTTTTTTCAAGTTTAATTTTTCAAAATTTATTTAAATAAGATTTTCATTTTGCTTCGAATTTTAATCAACAGAATATTGGAAAAATTTCCAAAAATTAAAAGAACTTCGCATTTTTGCTGATAAAACAGTGCTAAAGATTTCAAGTTTTCAATTATCTCCAGCAAAAATTCGAAAATTTTAATTCAAAAATTTTACTGTGCAATCACGCTGTACGAACTCTGCGGACTTGCATTTTAATCGACGCCGAAAAATTTTTGTGCTGGAGTTTTGAGTTTTTTTCTTCTCGCACGTGCCCATTTTAAAATTTCATTTTTTTTTCTTCAAATCTTTCGAAACTCGTTTCATTTCAATTTTCGAATGATCGACACATCATCGAATGCTCATTTAATGCGATTATCACGAAAAACAGTAGCTTTACGTGATAATGTGCACATTTTGAAATTTCGGTGCCTCCACGAATTTGCACAGACATCGCGGCTCCCTCGTCATTATCAACGAAACAATCAAGAGATTGGTAAAATAGTATTGAATCGGACTATGGCCGACTTCCTGAGGGGCGAATCATCAAACAGTTTCGCGAATTGGTCATTTTGAGAAATGCCTATGGTTTGGCACGAACGCAATTCAAAGAAGAAATAATAAAATGGGCGAATCCGATTGTTTTTTTGCTGCTTCAAATATAATAAAATATTTGAAAATTGACTGACTAGTGGGAAAACGATGAATGATAATCGATCGACATTCGCTCCGAAGTTGAGCAATCTCCATTTTTTGCGCAAATACGCCTTATTTCGATACTCATCGATCTCATTTTCAATGTCTTTTCTTTTTTCTTCTTCTTCTTCTTCGTCGTCTTCTTGTTCGTCCAAATTTCGCCTCGATTTTGGCGGCGGATCGAATGAACGCATGAAATTCGCAATGACTCGAAATGCTGTGTTGAATTTCGATGATTTCAAAATCAATTTTTTGTCCTGAAAATTTTTCAATTTGGTTTTGCTGATTTGTTGAAGACATACTTGGTAGGCTACGAAGGCTAATTCGAGAAGCGATGCGAAGATAAAAGCAACACAAGTGCACATCCAAAGATCGATTGCTTTCACATACGAAACCGGCGGAAGGGAGCTGATTATCGTGCCAAACTGCAAATTCAATTCGCCTTTTTGGGGAGTTATAAAAAATCTCAAAAGTATGCTCCGATCTACTGAAAAGGCCGGTAAAAACGATTCTGCAATTCATTTTCTTAATCGATTCCAACGCAGCAAAAAAGAAGATCCGACGGATTAGATAAACCACGGGCGGTGATTAACAAAATGGTCTTCGAATTTGAACTTGAATGCCGATGAGATAGGGACCATCATGTTAATGGCATTTCTTGTGAAGTCCAGATTTTGGGACCTTTTGGGCAAATCGATCAGAAGCTTGTTTCGGAAAACCACTAAATCTCTAGTTAGCGGGAATTTGCTCATTTTATTTCAAATCTGGACCATTTGGTAGATGATTTAAATGTCACAACTAGCAAAAATTCCTTCGATATTTCCTACAATTTTGGGATACTACGAAATGCAGTGAAGAGTATTTCGGGTCTTGCGGGTGCCAAATAGGTCCTGCAACGATGATATGAGTAAAGAGTGCGTGATTTTAGCTGATCCGGCTCATCTCAAATTCAATCTCAAAGGAAATAATGATTAGGAAGCCCCTTTAAAAAAGAAAATGATAAGGATCAGAATTCGAATTTCATTTCAAATTGAAAGAGTTCTTGAAGCCCTTTCCTTCTAAACCATGTTTAAAGGAGGGAGGGGTAATCTTTAAAAGTATTTTTAAAAAAATGATGGAAAATAGATAGGAAATAAGAAAAAGGAAAATTCAAATTCGTCGTGAAGTAAATAACGATTGAATTGTCGTCAAATGAAATGCACAAGTCCGCAATGTCATTTTCAGTTTCTTGTTGAAATTTAACGTCTTCAGAGTTTATCATTTAATACCTAATCGATCTAACATAAATACTGATTTGAGAACAAAAATGAATTTCCGAAAAAAAGCATGTCACGTGTTTGCACCTCATGCATTATATCCGACGACTATATTTAAATGCGTAATTTTTAAGTGATTGAGCATTTCGAATCTCCAATTTTTGGAGTTTCGAGACCTCAGAAATGAATACGAATGAAAAGAATATCGAAAGTAAGCGAAATTGAAATAAATCATTGCGAATATGCGCATTTTATGTGACGACACTGAATTTTCGTTTTTTTTCCTGTGTTCGATTTCTTATTTATTTTCCATCATATTTTTCGATTTTTAAGGTTACCCCTTGAAAATCGTTTTTCTACAATTTTACATATATTTTTGAATAAAGGGTTTTTCAAAATTGTTTTCAAAATGTGCATTTTTCCAAAATATTCATATTTTCCCCCGGTTTACCATGAATTTTGCCTAATTTCGCCGAGCGAATACTATCGTGCTAGCCGCGATTCTTTAAAGTGTTTGCACAGGCCGAAAAAAAAAACGACATTATCTCTCAACATTATTTTGTTTAGCGTCGTCGTCGTCGTAAAACGTGCGAAAGCATAAATGAGAACTCGAGTTGTGTAGAAAGTAACCTGAAATGTGAGCGACATGAGCGAATTGACGCCGAGCACGATTCGCGCCGGAAGTGCTTTCGTATCGATGCAAAATGCGATCCATGAGATGAACAAGCTGATGTAGGTTGGCATATAAAGCTGAAATTCAAAAGAAATAACATTTCGGCGGATAAAAAAAGAGCAGAGGTCCGAAATTGCAAAAAAAAACTAGCTAAAAATTGCAACATAATTATACTATTTTTTTAAATAATAATTATTTTTTCACACCATTATTATATTATATAATTTTTCTTTTTTGTTTGAATTATTCATTATAGCATTTTGTGATACTTTGAAGCGATACCTGAAGGATGTAGAATCCGTACTTCCTGCTGAATTCAAACTCCACTGTCAGCCGATACCATTCGCCAGCTTTGTAGACCTCGGTGTGGCGGGTCGTTCGAATTCCGGATAATGCGAAATCGGCAAGCGATATTTCCGGCATCACCGTCACCGGCGAACTCATCCATTCGACTGACACCGATGCGGTGTTGTATGAATAGCTTTCAAAGACAAGCTCGCAGTATTGAATGTCGATGGGGAATCGCTCGAGGTTCATCGAACATGGCGATTGGACGCGAATCTGTAAATTTAGAAATATTAGTGTTGTTTTTTAAATTTTATTTTATTGCCTTATTGTATTTAATAAGGAATCCATACCTGCGGGAGAAAATGCGGACGCGGCCGCGGCCGCGGCCGCGAAATAATCGGCCACGCCAGATTTCGAAATTTTTTATTTTTTTAGCTCAATTTTTAACCATTTTCAAATTATTTGGCTGAATTCTTTTATAAAACGCATTACGAATGTTTAAAAATAATTAAATAAAACAAACTTTCAGGTGAAATCAAGCTAATTTCGTAGCGGACCACTGAATTTGAATATTTAATTTTATTTAATAGGCCGGCTAATCAATGAGCTCATATTTCGCTATATGTCACTTTCATTAACAACCACGGCACTTGAAATTTACTGAACAATCTGATTTTTCATATTATCATCATAAGAAATCGCAAATTTTTCGCGCGCGTGGATGCCCTAATATTTAATTACCCTATAATTGAGCCAAATCGTCCCATTTGGCATCAGCATTAGAAGAACGTTCGGTTTTGGCGATTGGTGAACTGCCGCCGATTTGGTGTTGACAATACAGACATTTGGCGACCAAATTTGCTGAAAACGTTTAAACAATAATCGCGGCCGGTGTGAATTGCGTAAACCTTCTCGAATTTGTCATCAAATGACAGATTTTGGCGGCACGGATCCAGATGAGAAAACGCCAGACGATCGTCGTACCAGATCGCGCTGAACCAGATGTCTAGGGTGAAGCTGTTGCTGAGCACTGAGAGCTCCATTACGTCTTGCACGGTTACTTCGACTTTTACAGGTACCGGTAGAGCACCTGGAAGGGATCTGAAACAATTGGATGTAAATGAAATCGGCGAAATATTTTGAACAAAAATTTTTGAATGTTTCAATTAAAAACCGGTTTTCTTAAATTTTGAAAACTAAAAAGGTTAGGTCTCGCAACGAATTATTCAGCTAGTCACTTTTTTTTTTCAAGAAAAGACTATCACAAGTTTTATCTTGTTGTATAAATTTTCATCTGCGGACATATTTCAACAATTTGAGCCAACAGACGAAAATGCAATAATTGGTTAATAATTGCAAATTAACCTCGTATAATTGGTCATTAGAATATCGAGAAGATGTGTGGGATCGACACGCGACTTGTCGTCGCAAATTGTCGAGCATTTCTGAATCGATATGCACAAAATGGCGAGTTGAAGAAGCGGATGCTCGGAGACGAGCATTGTTGAAAAGAAGAATGAAGAATTTAGGGAAGAAGAGAGGCATAGGGGGGGGGTTATGATTCAATTTTCGAATAGGTCCGTGTTGGCGAAGAGAAAAGAAGAAAGCGATAGAAGCAACAAAGGCAATTTTTGGCCTAGCGAAATCATAGATTTGGATTTCGCTTTGGTATCCGTATTTTTCCGGTCACCTCGAGGATTTGTGGACCATTTTGTGGCGGCGATTCAAATTCGAATTTAAACACTGGAAGGCCCATTTGTTGTTGGCTATTTGATTAGCAACTCGTCTTTATTTATGGGTCGCCAACGGTGTGTGCTCTCGGGAGAGAATTTCCCGAGAATTCCCCTAAACTACCCATAATGGATCTATTCATGCAATGAAAAAAATTTAAAAAAAAAATCAATTTTTTTCTTTTGAATTTTTCATGTACCCACCAGGGCTGTGCGGCAAAGGAATTGCCGAATTTTCAAATTGTCGATTTGCCGAAATCGATATTTTCGGCAATTTGATGTCAAAAAAAAATCGGCGAAACAAAAATCAATGTCCATTGAATAATTTGAGATACCGTGAAAATTCGGTATTCTCAAGCAAATCTAATAAAATATTTTGAGAATCAAATATTCAATTATAAACTCTAAAATATTTTGAGACAATCCAAAGTTTATCGATACTTTCTAAAACTTATTGAGAATCGCTAAACTTAAAATTATTTTTTAAAATCTTATAAGATTTTCTAAAATTTTCTTGAGCAAATTTTAAATTATCTCAATAAAATTCTAAAAATAATTCTTGAAATAATTTCTAAAATTGATTGAGAAAAATCTAAAATATTATAGAGACACGTTAGTTTCTCAATGAACCTCAAAATATTTTATTCGATTTGCCTGAGTTTATATTTCGAATTATCGTTGAAAACATTTAATAGCCGAAATTTTTATTTTCGGCAATTCGGCAATTGACGCGATATATCGTAATTCGCCGCTATTCAAAGGCGCACGCGAAAAGTTGCGCGGGTCACGTCGCGAAGTCGGTACTGTAATTTTTTAATGGCTGTTTTTTTTTCGATATTTTTTTTTTAATTTTTGAGTGTTTTAAACGTTTCTTTTTTATGGAAATCTGTAAAAGTATTTTGTTTAATTCGAGAAATTCTCGAGAGAAATTTTCTTGGTACGGGTTAAACTTTCTCGAATTTTCTCGAGAGCACACACTGGTCGCCAACCAACAATTTTCAAACACCTCCTTTCTTCCGAATCGAATTGGAATCCCCCCCCAATTCACGAAATTCTTCGATCCTACACTTGATGTTATCAACAACAACATGAGCAAACATCGCTGTTTTCATGGCAACGTGTGACCAGTTTTAATGCACCAACTCTCATGCATGAGATTCGTATCAATTGGGTGTCACGAGCAGTAGGAGCCACGTGTAAAAATTAAACCTGTATTGTCCAAGTTCAGGTTTAAAAGATCGTAGAAAAATATGAATAATGAATTGCGCGCGAAAAAAATGTGTGTAAACACCGTGACGCAAATATCACAGAAAATCTCCAAAAAAAGACCAGTCTAATTTGAAATTTTTTCAATTTTTTTCGCAGCAAATTTGCATTTTTTAAAATCTAGTTTCACACTAGTCGGGAGTCAAACGTCTGAAAAAAATTTTAAAAATTAATTGGCTATGTGCCAATGTATCTCGAGGTAGCGAGAAGACTGTGTACGCGCATTTAATATTCAGTCAACGATATATTTAAATCGACACTGATTTTTCGAATTTGAATGCTCCGCCTCTTTTCAGTCGCTTGGCGCTGATAATATTTGAATCATATTCAATCAGCCCATCGTTTTTTGGGTGGATATCTTTAAATCGAAATTCGAACTATTGCACAAAAAATGTTGTCCGTGAAATAAAAAAAAGGCAGGGTGCTCGTATCTTCGAACAAACAGAAAATGTCGAAATAATTGATAATTCAATTTCATCATAGTTCAAAATTTTTGCCATTGAGACGAATGCGATTCATTCAGTCAGAAAAAAGTGCAAAAATTCAGACCAGTGTACTATCATCAGACAAGGTCGTCTCGGTCGATCGCATAAAAAAAAAACGAGTTCTCTTTGATTGATTTTGCCCCCTTCTTCGTATTATCATTGCTCATATATATCATTTTTTTTCGTTGTTTGTTTCCGACGGGCGATGTGATCAAAAAACAAAACAAAACAATATGAAGAGGTCGCGTCGACATCGCCGTCGTCGATGTTCTCATCGGCGGCTCGTTGGTTCTCGCGTCGGCGCCACTCGCCGCCCGACACCGACTCCACCCATTTTGTGCTTTCCTGCCCCTCATTGTCAGCTTCTTTTAGTTATATGGGTGTGTGTGTGTGTGTTTATTTGTAAATATCCCTATGTATGCCATTTGACAAGTCGGCGAGAAATAGAGAAAAACCGCGTTCGAGTGTGCGAGGGTGAGTGCGTGCGTGTTGGTGGTGGCAATCAGCTGACCGCCGGCGCCGATCGCTTTCCTGTGTCTGTCTTCCTGTTGCTCTTTTTTTTGGTTAAAATAGTTTCCCATTATTGGGTTTTGACAGATTCTCCATTGCCAGTCACCTTAATGAAATATTCATGAAGAAACGCTCTCACAAATAAAAAATAAGTACACAAACAGCTCTTGGACCTCCTTGATGACATTCATTTTGAGCGTTTCCGGCGAAAAAAAGTGAAACAAAAAAATGATTTTTTGTTCCGTGTAAGATATTCAACGCTATTTTTGCAATGCGCCTTTAATAGTTGTATACGGTACCGAAAATTTTTTAAATATTGAATTTCCACAAAATTTTGAATATATTCCTTCAAATTTCGCAATTGTTTGCGAAATACACGTGTGCAAGAATTATTTTTAAAATTCAAACATTTTTCAAAAGCATGGTTGGAAAAAATGAGAATTTAATGTAATTTTTCCATTTTTTTAAACATTGTTCATGAGTTGGTCCATAAAAATAAAATTATCGAATTTTGTAGAATATTGATGTCCATTATTCACATGGAATTTGCATTCATTTAAATAGAACTATTGTATATTTAATTATCAGAAAAAAAAAAACAAATAGGAAGCTAACTAGCTGCGGATATTTTTTTTCTGAAGCAAACTTCAATTAATTCGAATTGATGAGATGTTGATGCATATATTCTCCGAAACACAATCTATAAATAGGCGAAATTGGGCAATTCAATAGGATGCATTCAAATTGCCGCGTTTTTTTTTTTTCATTTTGAAAATGAAGAACAATTGCGAGAGAGATGAATCAGCAACGAATTGTGTTCGAAAAAACGCGATTCGAAAAAAAACAAATGTCAAAACCAACCCGGAATTTGTCGGCAGCACTGATTTTATATGCGTACGATCTCATTGGCTTCAAGTGGTTGAATCCAAATGATCAAAAAAAAAAAGATGGACCAACGAAGAAAAATCAAAAATCTCCAAGGAAGTTTCTCCCATCGACTTCAATTTTCTAGGCTACAGGCCAACAAAAAAAAAGAACGGATTGATCTTTTTTGCGATTTCGTCGTGATAAACGATCACGAGATTTCACACCTTGAGATGACGTGTAGATTGATGGTGTTTAAAGGCGCATGCCGCATTAAGCCAAACAAATATACATGTGATTGTTTCGATGACAGACAACCCCCCCCCCCAGACATTCAAAATTAATTTTTTTTTATCTCCTAGCGAAAATGATTCAATGCGACGATTTTTGATCATTCGGCGGCCACCTCCCTTCTATACAACAACTAAATATAAATATGTATAGAGACATATCCGCGTTCGCAATTATTCGTGTTTCCTTTAAAAGGAAATGTGCATGCTCGTCGAGGAGTTTCGAGGAAGGCGCGAGTCGAGTCGTGAGGCGAAACGAAGGGAATCATTGATACTCGTATGGAAACTAACCAACAAATCAATTTCATCAAGCGTTTCCCCTAGCATAACACGCCGGCCTCGGCTCGTCTCGTTTTCGGTTGGGCGGCCGCGTCGCCGCCCGCTGTTGCCATTGGCGCCAGCGCTTCTCCTCTCAAAAATCGCCTCGTCGCCCTTCTCTCTCTTCTCGATTCGATTCGCCATGTGTTTTCTGAAAAGCGTCCCCTGCCTGCACTCTGTGTACATGTGTCCCCCCCCCCTTCGCCTCTACCGCCCCGCATCTCCTCCAGCGACGGGGCGCGACCGGGGCGCCTCTTCCTCTCCCCTTCTCTCCATACACCAGACACATTGCTGCAGAAGACACACACACACATACACATACACACGCTCGCTTGCCCCTGGACGGCCCCGGCATTTTTGGTTGTTCGCGCCCGCCGCCGCCGCCACTGCCAACACGTCGATTTACCGCATTTCGTTTTTGCACTGCTTCCAACTCATCTGTTCACTGCATTTCTTTTCAATCCACTTATTTTCTTGCCGAAATCGAATTCCCCTCCTATTTTATTCGATTTGCCTCTTGCGTGACATCAAACATCGGCGAGGCCGTCCGCGATTTGGCGTGCCCGCCATTGCGGACACCGCGCGCTACAGTACCCTGAGAAACGGGGCGAAATTGTTGGCCGGCTTATTATTGACGATAAAAGAATTAAAAAATCGCGCTGATTTTTCGGACAAACAAGTTGCGAAAATGTGGAATAAACAAATTTTCTTGTCGGTTTTTTGGAAGTAATCCGCGCAAAATTATATAATCGCGTGTTCAATCGCGTGTTCATGGATTTTTCACCTGCGTCGAGAGTTCGATATGTCCAATGGGTTACGGCACGGGACCCACCAGTGTCGTTCAGCAAAATGATGATGATGATGATGATGATTTTTTCGCCGACAAAATCGCTCGCCTCGTTTTTGCAAAAGAAGTTTCGCGAAACCGAATCAAGATGTTCCTTTTATTACATTCTTCTCGATTATATCAACAGGAAAACAGCGAGAAAAATTGCATGTTTTGGTTGAGAACGCGAAAATTTGGAGAAAAAAAAATCGACAAAAATATTTTGACATGGTTACTGTAGTACGTGGTGGTCGGTGTTTGCACACATTATGTTTATTTCGTAATTTTTTTTGCCTCTTTCATCATTTTGCAACAAAAAAAAACGTTGAATACTCTCCTCTTTCCCCCCATTTTTTTTGACGAATTCATAAACAAAAACAACATTTGCACGTGCCGCAGCATTTGGCCGAAAAACAACTCGCTCAAAGTGCACATTCACCATAGTTGCAGATGTCTACGGAAGTCTCAGACACTGCTACCGAAATCGTTGCGCTTAATTTGTGCAAGGAGACCAGCGAGGATGAAGAGGCGCACCTGCGCAAAATGTCCGAGGAGGCCTCATTAAGTAACGAGAAAAAAAGAAGGGCAAGAAATGTCGAAAATTGTTGAATGTTTCAGTGGTCGAAATGAGTGAAATCGTTAAAGAAGTGATCGAGGCGCTTGAGGGTCCCACACCGACGACGACATACCCGACCGATGAAGAAATGACGGCGGCGTTGGCGTGCAACACGGAGACAGCGCCCGCCGTCGTGCCGGAAGTGATGTGCTCACCGTCGGACTCGGCCGTCTCCGAGCCGAGCGCCGACGTTGAGGTCGTTATTGCGAGAGTGGCGACGCGCGATCGAACGCGCAACAAGAATTTCAGCATTCTCATCGATCGCGTTAGTTTCACGATGTGTTGTTGCGGCAAACGCGCTCTAATTACAGTATTTGGAGCAGACCGGCTACAATTTGTATCCGACGCGCGGCGAGAAGTGTAAGTTGGCGCACGACCTGAATGTGCCGTACAACCAGGTCAACAGATGGTTTGCCAATCGCCGCCGCAAACACACAAAAATGACCAAAAAACTGCCGACGTCGGCGTCGTCACCTGAAGCGACGCCATCGAATCGCATCAGCGCTGCCGCTGTTGCCGCTGCAGTCGCCGCTGCCGCCGCCGCCTCCGCTGCTGCTTCTGCTAATAAGGTACGTGCATTTGTATCATGCAATTGAATTGGCCTCATCAAATAAGAATTCAACGGAAGGCTCGCCTCGCGAAATTCATGTTTTAGGCTTCATTTTATAAGCTTTATATATATATATATATATATTTGAGTGTACGGTTGACAAGTTTTCTGTAAACACCGAGTCGTAACTTTACGTACTTTCATGAAATGTCGTACCGCCTAAACTTTTTTCTAAATTTTCGCTTTGAATTTTCAAACGTTGCAAGGTTTTTTAATATTTCTCGATGTTTTACAGTAGACTGGGAATATAAGCCTTCTAATCTAAAAGTATAAAATGTGTCACGTGCCTTGTTTGAGACACTATATGTAGAAATAAATATTCAATTTAATTTTCCCGTTTCATCCATATGACTAATCCATTAATCGCTAGCGAGTATTAAATTGTAATATTTTAAGGAGGATATTTGCGATTCGACAAACGCAGACACGAACAGCGCTATTCTGGGCGAAATCCCAATCGAAGGTAACAGAATAACGCTGCTTGATAGAAAAAAAGAAAATAAATATTGGAAATTTTGATATTTTTTTATTCGAAAAGATTTTATTGAATTCGTTTTAGATCGCGAGCCGTACGCCACCGACCTTACTTTCCACGTTCCACGTGCCGCTAGTACTCCAGGAGACATGAGTGTCCAGCCAACTGAGGAGGCTGCTTCTGTCGCTCCAGGTGCGTTCAATGGTCCTGTTAATGAAGGGATCATCGCTTTTCTTCCATATCCGTCTGTCGCAATGTCCGTGTGCTTCAAAAAAAATTTTTTTTGGCGCTATCGTTCGTCCATTGTCCACTCGCGTTCTAGCCCCTCTTCACTATCACCGCGCTGGCCGCTGTTGAAGCTTCGAATTGACCAAATGAGATGGCGAGAGAATGTGCGGCCCGAGGAGAGTAGAAGCGCCGCGCTCGCGCCAGCCCACCCGTCCGCCTCGTTCTCCCGCCGCTTTTTTGCGGTCGATTCGTTCCTCGTCCCCTTCGCCTTTGCTATACTACTACTACTACAACTACAACTATGACTACTACCACAGGCTGCATATATTATTTTTGTCTTTCCTCAGGAGCTTTTCATTTAATTAGAATCGAAACATCTTTTGTTCACTTTTTTTTGTTCGTCATCATTAAACTAATGGAATCGCTAGTTGAGCAAAGTTCGCTGTGAAGAATACACCAAATTCTTCAACAAAAAACGGTCTTCTAGTCTGCCATGTGTAATAGAGCGTAATAGATTGTAACGTTCCCCCTCTGTTCTCTTAAAAATTTCCGTTGCAAATTGCTCGCGAAATCTATTTTTTTTAATTGTGTTGTGAGCTGTGCACTTAATCGAATCGCCTCCCAAATTGAGTAGAAATCCAATTAATGTAGTGCGAACACCCGTTGCCCACCCAGCCACACCAACAAATCCATCACCAACCCTTATTTGCATTCCAAGTGCCTTTGCTCGCTTCCCACCCGCTGACCATCATTAATAGACGTTCGCTCGTTCTACATATTATTCATACGAATAATTGCTCGTCTATCAAAGCTATCAACATTTTCGTTTCATTTCTGCGTCGCGATGTGGCGCGAAACGGCCTCGTCGCCGCATATGTCGTGCGCATGTGGTGTTCGTCGTCGTATAATGTACAAAGGCTCGTATTTTATGTTCGATTCGCATTGTGTTCGATTCGGCCCTATCGCTTCATTGTTCTGGTTTTTGGGTTTTTAGTGTGCTATTAGTGCATCGCGTCTATGTCATTTTCTGAGAATATCAGCAATTTGTCATGCGAATCGAGATTAATTTGGCATTTTGAGTTATCATTCCATTGGTTGACCATTGCTGATTAGGAGCTGATTGATACGGAACGATATTGTTTTGTGTACGTGACACCGCGGTTTGGTTTCTAATGTATAGGAATTTTATTGACCAAATGAGCCGATTAGAAAATTGCGATTTGAAATGTTGCAAAATCAAATCGGACAGAACCGTCGTATCTCTTTTTTGAATCAGTGGGTAGCCCATTAGAAAAAGTATTTCAAATTCATCAAAATCGTCGCTCAAGGTTGATTCTTTCGTCGTCGTTTCTTTCATTTTTTCGCCGCGGAACCTGTAAATGTCGAGTGAAAGTCGAAAAGTTGTCGACAGCAGTCAAACCAACCAACTAACTAACTAACTAATGTATATATCATGATTATTATGCCACTCGTCCAATTGCGCCCCTCATATAGTTTACATTATGGAGTTGTTAGGAAGTAAGGGGCGAATGAGAGCGGCCGGGAGAGGTGAAATGTTCAATATCAGTGTTTATTGAATGTCTCTCGATCGAGTCGCAACTCTCACCGAGTCGCCGAAAGAGCAAAAATGCACACACATAGTGTGTGTGTGTGTGTGTGTGCGGGCTGTCTTCTTCTTCTTCTTATTCGCTATCCTGTTCGGGCTCACTCTAGACGCGAGCAGGCAAAAAAAAACCTCGAGCTGATGATGCACGAAAAAAATGTGTCAGTTTTCATCGGCGGCGGTGGCCGCCGCGGCAATTTATGGCACTTCTTCTCTTTTTTTTTTCGTTTCGTTTTTGGAGCATTGTTCTCAGCAGCCAAAGCCGCAACGTTTTTTTTTTCGAGTTCTTGTTGTTTTTCATCGCGAATTGATCAGAAATCGGCCTCAAGCTTTTCTCTCTCTCTCTTGCAATTTTTTTTCTGAAATTTGAAACCCAAAATGTTTATTTCTCGCTCGTTTCTCGATGGTTCCACTGGTGTTTCGATGCCAATTAAAATTGTCCGCAGATTGAAATTTATGTTGGCGCGTCTCAAAAATTATTATAATCGAGTTTTTGTATTGAACTCACAAATGTTTGAAATTGGCGTGATTTTTTTCTCTCGGTCTCGCACCGTCGTCTCACCACTATACGATTTTCATGTTTTCAAATATTGGCCATTTTCTCCAATGAACAATGCGTGTTCGATGCGAAACGCATAAAAAAAACGGAATTAACTCCATTTGTTCGATGACTCTCTTCAATTTCATTCGCGTTGTTTTCGTTTTTTTTCTCTCGCCGCCTCTTCCGTGTTTGGTTTTTATAATTGAAGCGGCGACCTCGAAAAAAAGCGCCACTGGTTGGCCTCGCGCCAAAAAAAATTGAGAGATCGTCCAGTCATCATTCTTTATTGTATGTATTAGATTTGAAAATTCGAGAAGAATCGTCCTTGAGATTCGACGAGAGTTTCGTGTTGCGCGGGTTTGAGTTTTTGACACTTGCTTGCTTGGCACGTCCGAAACATGCGTGTCCGTTGCATTAGTGTGTGTGTGTGTGTGTTATCTGGGCCGTGTGATCGGTTTCGCAACTCAGCCAAATGACCCGACCTGCCGACAACTGCTGTTGCGTCATGCCAAATGTTGTAGTTTCGAAATCAATTTTTTTTTCTCTTGCTGCTGCTGCTGCTGCTGCAAAAATCGGTCACCACGTTTTTTGTCATTGCCAATTGTCGCAATCGTTTTCGAAAAATTTCGAAAATTGATTTTTCGCCGCCAATTCTTAGTTTAAGATTGAAAGTGAATGATTATCTCATTGTGAGTGGTTTTTTCTCTTCATATTCTAATGTTTACCAGTTGGTTTTTTTTCTGTTAATAGCCGACCAATAATCGGCGTCGTTTTATCCGATGTAAATACCCGATTTTTTATCTGTTAATTTTATCAGTTTGATTTGAAAATTTCGATTTGTGAAAAACGTGATGTGTTTCGATGCAAAGCCTCGATTTATGTTAGAAATCGCAAATCACTAGGTTTTCTTTAATCTATGCCCATGCGTAAAAGTGCATGCAGCTGCTTGTGCGGCCGCCCGGGCGATACGATTGCCTTTATTGTGAGAGGTTGAGATGTCTACGATTGCTGCTGCTGCTTTTGCGGACTGGTTTGCCTCTCCCCCCTCCCCCATACCGCTCATTTTCGTTGTCATGGTGAAGATTGTGAGCTTCAAGAATAATATGGAATTAGAAGGTGGAGGAGCTTAAGCGGTTTGGCCGAGCTGGAGTAAACAAAAGAAGAAAGCTCCATATCAAACTCGCTAGCGCTCTTTCGCCTTTTCGCGCGCGCGTGTCTGCGTTTTCATATTATGATCAAGTTCAGTTGCACTTTTGTTATTTTCGCGTCTTTTTTTTGTGGCGCGGTTCGGTGTTGGCAGAGTGCCAATTTGTGTGCGCTGACTGCCTGGCAGGTGCTGGTCGACAGTATGTGTGTGCGCGCATGTTTGTCCGACGCAATTTTTGACAATGATGATGCGATGAGGTTTTTGGGACGCGCGCGCGCGAATGGATCCATCTCGCGCATCTGGCCTGCCCAGTCGTCGTCGTCGTCTTCTTCTTCTTCTTCTTCTTCTTCGCTCTCCTAGACTGTCATTTCATCTGCGTTGTTTCCCATCGAACCTTGCTTTTTCTTTTCTCCTGTTTGTGTTTGTGTGTGTTTTTTTTGGCGCGGTCAAACACTTGTGTTAATTCTATTGAACCTATTTGATCCTCTGATCGATCTTGAAGCTTCTGTTTGATATTGAACACTTGTCCTTTTTTTCCTGTTCTTCGTCCTTGGTATTAAAGTGCTAGTTTCCCTTTTTGTAATGAATCGATCACTTTTTTTTTCAATTGATAAGGAAAACTGTAAGACATGTTATCAGAGACACACCTTCCCGCTTCTTTCCTTCTCCTTCTTCCTCCCTATAATGAATGTTATGATTTATATAATTAATATGTATAATTGTGCGGCTTTTCGTTTCAGCTGCACCAGCTCAACCGGGAGAGGCGAATCCAACGGAATCGCTGATCAATTTAAGTTTGATTCAAACTAACCCTCAACTACTCTACAAACTCGTCATGGTCGCCTTAAACGGAAATCCATCAGCTGGGGATATGAACTCGTTGACATATTCCTTGTTGCAGGCCGGTGTCGCTCATAATGTAAGTAATTGAATAGCATTGGTATTAGAATTTCATGGAATGATTGTTTTAAGGGCGACGCTTCGCAGATGATGCAGAGCATCAACAAGCTTCTGCTTCTTCAGAAGAACCCGTCGGATTTGCTGATGGCTGCGATGCTCAATCAGCAGCAGCAATTCCAGCAGGTGGCCCAACAGCAGCCGCAGGTGCCGTCGCCGGATGCGGTGAACAACGCGTACCAACAAATGCAGATGCTGCTTCTGCATCAGCATTTCGCGCAGCAGAACAACATGGCGAATATGGAGTTGGCGAACAACTACCAGGAGCCGATGTACGGAGCGTCGAGCATCTCGGCGTCGCCGATGGTCAATTCGGACTCGGACATGACCGAGTTCACCATCGCTTCGCCGGACTCGGAGATGTATCATCATCAAGTGCCGATGCATCAAGAGTTGTACGGCGAACCGTCGGACGATCGTATTAGGTCGCCACCGTTTAAGGTAATTTTTATGGGTTTGCACAGCGTTTACAATGATTTAATGAAATTTTCGCTTCGATTTCGATTAAGAAATCGAGAGAATCTTTTAATTTACGTGCAATTTATGCAAACGAAATTTTGCATTTTAGGACCCCCACCAGATTGCGGATCCGGAGACGTCGAGACTCTTGAATGCGGTTCCGACGGATCGTGCCGAATTGCGCACTATGACGACGGGGCGCCTTCGCGAAGAATACGCGCTGCTCACCGTCGATGAGCAGATCGCGGTGACTGGCTTGTGCGAGCTCGCTTCACTTTAACTTTTCGATGATCATCTCATAATCGCGTTTTTTGATTCGCCTTTTTTCATCCCCAGTTTCCAGAATATTTTGCTGTTTTTTTTTCATTTTTTTCGAAACCCCGCGTTTTTTTTTAAATCTCGCACCCATCCCCTTCCCAAACCGTTCCAAATCTATCAGTCCCAATTAATCTATCTCTGTTCTTCTACGTTTTCCTTTAATTTAGACTCACGGGTTGGCCAGCAACGTTTTTACGTTCTATTATTCTTTTCCCTCCGCTTATCCCCGCTGTTAAAATTTGATGATTTTTTTCCTACTATTTTTCCTCTCTCTCTCTCTCTCTCTTGGAAATCTCCCCAAATACGTGTACATTCGACCCCCTTCCGATCATTCTTTTCTCTCTCCTTCTCTCTTTTCGAAAACACAAAGAACTAAACACCATTCACACCCATTTTCATAATACCCATTTTATTAATTAATTTTATTTTTTTTCCACAAATACCAGTTTTAAGTATTTTTGTTGATTTTTATTTGGGTTCCGAGTTCTATTCTCTCATTTTTTTAAGTAGTGTGAAACGTGTTTGAATCAAATTTTACTGTTCTTCTCTTTTTTCCTCTCCTCATTCATCATCATCACCCTCTCTCTCTCTCTTTTTTTCTGACTATCTATCTATCTATTTTGTAGTGATTTTTTGTCTCTACCGTTGTTCTTGTATTGTTTAGAAATGTTTGCCATTAGCAGCATTCCGTTGGATTGTCGTCCTTTATTTTGGCTTCTAATGTATTTACTATATATTTTGCTGGAATATTTTGATTTGTGAGCCGTCAAGCTCGACATTTGCCGAAACAAAAAAAAAACAATTGATGGCAGAAGAAGATTTTGAGTAAATGATGTCGAGCTTGATGGCAGTTTTCGTTCAAAAAATTGTTGACAAAAAAATGTGAAAAATTGTCGGAAAAAAACACAAAAAAAGAATAAAAAATACGAAAACGTAATCAGGTTTTTTTAATTGTCTTTTTTTTTTGTGCAAAAGTTGCAGTTTTCTGGAATATCTGTGAACGAGTAGAAGAAATATGTAGAGATTCGTTGGCCTTTTTCGAGATGAGCCGTGTATTTGATGGTGAAGCTCCGGAGACGGATGATGAGGAGGAAGAGCTCGAGAATCACCAAAGGTACGAACTACGAACATTGAGCAAACAGAGATGCGGAGTCGAACGAGTTGTGTCAACAATGCAATCGCGAAAAAAAAAAATTCGAAGGCGAACCGAGTTTTTTTTTCGCTGTCGATGTATAAACGAGAAAAAAATTTCGGGCAGGAACAGCTTTTTTTTAATCGTTGCGCTTTCATCGTTTCAGGATCAACAAAAAACGAGCAAATAATGGCAGAAAAAAGACGTTGATGGAATAATGTTGCATTTTACTGTTTCAAAATGGGGCTTTGTTGTGTGTGCGAAAAAAACGAGCACGTTTCATTGAAAATTTGGTGTATTTCCAAAAATAGGCGGCTACAAGTATTTTTCTCTAGAAGACCTTGAAGTTCAAACGCGTTGCCGTTCGCGTGTATATAAAAATTTTTGAAAAAATTAACCGAAGCCTCATACAATAACTTCGGTAGCGATTTTTTTGGAAGCTGGCTGTTGAAAACGAAATAATCAGTAATTCTGGGTGAGACCATCGCGAAAAACGTATGTCCGTAAATTTACAGTACCGAAACCCATGTTTTAAAAATATAAATTCGAACCGTAGAATCTGAAATATCCGATAGAATTCGTGAAATCTGCACACGTCTAGCAGTCATCGCCTTTTAAAAATCATCATACACAGATGGGAAGTATTATGTTCAAACATTTTCTTTTAATTAAAATTTTAATATTCTTCTGTAATGAATTTTCCGATTTTTATCATTTCGAACCCAGGAAAATGTCCATTTTTTAGCGAGTAGAACGCGAGACTGCGTACATTGCATTATAACGTACGCGCATTTAATATTCAGTCAACGATTAATTTAAATCTACACTGATTCCGCGAATTTGAAGGTCTCGCCTCTCTTCAATCGCTTGACGCCGTAAATAGGAAAAAAATTATCACATAATTTTTCGTCATAAATAATAATCCTAATAATCCGACATAATGAAGTTAATTTTTCTGTTTCTCTGTTCATATACAGTGCGCGTCATAATGATACGCCACCCCCCAAATTTCGCAGTTTTGAGAAAACCATATAAATTGGTGACAAGAAAATTTCATTTTCAAATTCAGGACCATTGAAAACCTATACACGCGTAATTTCATGAGTGTCCGTTGGTCCGTATCCGCACAGCCCGAAAAAGTTGGATTTTCAAGCGCGTCATAATGATACGCCACCCCCTATTTTTTGTCTTTTCTTTCGACATTTTTGCATGTTTCTCGCTGATTCTTCTGTATTTTGTACAGTTTTTCAACAATCTTATTATTTTATCCATAGAGCGATCGTCCACTTTAGTTTTGGCTTGAAATCGGGCCGAATTCGGGCCTTCGAAAAACTTAGTTTTGTTTAAGGACTAAAACGCAAGAAAAAAGTCTAAATAACCATAAGACAACAAGTTTGAACGCGAGAACACAACATATTCAATAATTAGTAGTCTCTCCATAGTTTTGGATCACTTCACATGTTCGTTTCGCATTCTGTCGGCGAGTTCCTTGAGGTATGCAAGTGATCGACCGTTCCATTCCAGTCAAATTGCGGCCTTCAGCTCATCAAAGGCTGGCAAGCTACTGCTTGCATTCTGTGTGCGGACAGCCTGACCGATAATTTTTCACTTATAAACTATTTTCACTTGTCCTTCTCACAATCATCGACCGCGGAAAATCTCTTACATTAGCTCACAGGAGAAAGCTCAAATTGGCATTATGGTATAACTCAATCAGAGTGTCAAGCCAATTAAGGATGGTATCGGACGTTCTCAAAAATCTAACTACGAAATTGCTTTAAAATTTGTTTCACAAATTTCAACAAGACAATCCAGTCATTCACAAGAGCGACGGCATTTTCAATTGGTTTTGGTATCAAACTTTTGGATGGATCAGCCAGCTCCCCTACTTCAATCCCGTCAAAAACGTCTGAAGGCTTCTTGAACGTTCCGTTCGCTCACAAACCAAGCAGAATGGGAACCTTTTATGAGCTGAAGGCCTCAATTAGACGGGAATGGAACAGTCAGTCACTTGCATACCTCAAGGAACTCGCCGACAGAATGCGAAACCGAACATGTGAAGTGATCCAAAACTATGGAGAGACTATTAATTATTTAATTTGTTGTGTTCTCGCATTCAAACTTGTTGTCTTATGGTTATTTAGACTTTTTTCTTGCGTTTTAGTCCTTAAACAAAACTAAGTTTTTCAAAGGGCCGAATTCGGCCCGATTTCAAGCCAAAACTAAAGTGGACGATCGCTCTATGGATAAAATAATAAGATTGTTGAAAAACTGTACAAAATACAGAAGAATCAGCGAGAAACATGCAAAAATGTCGAAAGAAAAGACAAAAAATAGGGGGTGGCGTATCATTATGACGCGCTTGAAAATCCAACTTTTTCGGGCTGTGCGGATACGGACCAACGGACACTCATGAAATTACGCGTGTATAGGTTTTCAATGGTCCTGAATTTGAAAATGAAATTTTCTTGTCACCAATTTATATGGTTTTCTCAAAACTGCGAAATTTGGGGGGTGGCGTATCATTATGACGCGCACTGTATTATGTGTTAGTACGAATATTACATTTTCGTTTCAGAGTTCCATCGCCGCCGACTTCTGCACCTGCTCAAACCGAAGCGCATCCAATTCGAAACTCGCGCGTTGCTCAGAATTGGACGAAATTGGGTGTGCAGACGATTCGGAACGAGCGAAAACGAGCGCATCGCCAGCAGAAGTTAATTGGGCGACTTAACGAGCAGGCAGCTGGTGTTTTTTCGGCGATCCAGGTGCGAGATCGTCTCCGTTTTGCCGCAAATCCCATAATGATTTGCAGACAGTTGCCGCGAAATTGAACACCGCCAACACGAACATCGCGCGATTCGAGTACTCGATCGCCGATTTGCACGAAGCCGCCGGACGAATTCCCAACGAAATTCAAATCAGCGTTCTGGACATTCCGCAATTATTATGAAATCAGTTCATTCAATTTAAACAAATCAACAATCAACCTATCAATGTGCTCGCAAAACTATTTAGAAAGACTTTGATGTCGGTTCACAGAACTCCCCGACATCGGTCATGAACCGCTTTGCGGGTCCTCTCGGCCACTATCTCCTCAACATCCTTCTCATTTCGAATATATCGAACCTGAAATTTTTAGAATATGTTAAATACTGAAATAAAGCTGTGTATTTTTTGGCTCAATTTGATTGGAACATTTTTTTTCCCGAAAATTACTAATAATTAAAAAAAATTAAAATGGCTATCAATGCTTTTGCAGAAATAATCAATAATAATGATACAAGTTGTAAAATTAAAATGAAATGAATTACTCTAGTCATTTTTTTAAAGAAAAAATACTTAATTATTTAAAACATTAAAATTCTATCAGAGGGCGAAAATTCATAGAATTACTGTGCAAAATAATTCATATTGACTGTATATTCTCAAAGCAAAAATGTTGGCCTTTCTCAGTACCAAATTTCAATTTTTTCCACACCAATTTCATTAAAAAAAACGAACCGCCTGTCTCGCCGATCGCACATCCCCGCCGTTCCTCTCAGCTTCCTCCAATTTGGCCGCATTTACTGCCAAACATTCCTCAATCAACTGATTTCTCTGCTCATGGAGCTGTTTGATCTACAAAACAATCTTATCCAATTCCGACTCGTCCAATTTCTTCTCCATATACCGTCCGATCAAACTGTCCGCAGTGTTGCCTACAAATCTTGCTCTGCGCATCAAAAGATTTCGTGGGCAGCGTGTCGTTGAGCTCGAGTATCACGCGATCATCCGACTTGCGAAGATTCGTCAGCCGATCAATGAACAAGCTAAGATCAAAACAGTGCGCGCTCATCTGATAACCATGGTCGCAATGAAACGTTTAAGCGATTATCGAAAAAGACATAAAGATATGCTTTTTAGTTTTCAACTATTCTTGAAACTTAATAAACGGGACTACGAATTAAAAAAATTTCATTTAGTTTGTAGTCAAAGTATGTATAGTTAGACCGGAAATTTAAAAAAAAATAGTGAGATCCAGTAAGTTGGCAATTTAACAAAAAATAATTAATTATCAGCGGTCAAGTAGCGAATTCGTTCACCAGTTCTCACAATCGTCTCCTTCTTCGATAGTTCATTGAGAGCCTCGTCAAACAACTCCTTCGTGAAGTTCTAAATAAAAGCTTATTCTTATTCAAAACGCTTGAACTAAAAATACCTTATCAGCAGTTCTGATAGTCTGGAACAAGGTCTTCGCAGTAACAGTAGCGCCCTTGCTAGTTTGTAATTGCTTAACAATCGCCTCGGAGATATTTTCCAGCGCCTTTCTTCCGGTCGTGCTCATTCCAGACGCCAAAATGGCGACGTCAACACGTCCAGTCGCCGGATCAACAGCCGACTGACGAAGAGCTTCTCGCCACAATCTGGAATTTCATGGAATAAAAATCAAAAACATCGAAATCTTACGTATAAGCATTCTCGACATCATCGACAGTCACTTCTTGCGAAAGTCGAATCTTCGCGTGCGCTTCGGAGAGTCGAATCAGCGATTCGAGTTGACGAGGATACGCCGAAATCTGTCCGTGTTGGGCTCCGGCTATGCGCATGAACAAATACTTGTCGATGAGGAATTGCGAAGCATCCTCGTTGAGTTTCGGATGAATGTTCGCCTTTGCGTACGCTGCAAACCGAAAGTGTGAACGCGAAACGCGTCAATCAACTACCGATATAGTCGCGGAGGAGGTGCATGTCGAGTTGCTCGGCATTTTCTTGTTGTTGTTTGTCGTTCTCAAAATACAAAGAGACCAGGTGATTTCCAAGGCGACGGTCATGCATTTCATCCTATAATCGAACAATCAAATCAAATTGAAAATCAATTATGAACCTGAGGATCGACAATCAAGAAAATAAGATCGAATCTCGAAAGAAGTGTGTGCGGCAATTGAATATTCTCAACAATCGTCTTGTTTCGATTCCATTTCGAATCCACTGGATTGGCCGCCGCCAGAATCGAAGCACGCGCATTCAGCTGACAGATGATTCCAGCCTTGGCAATCGAAAGAGTTTGTTGTTCCATGACCTCATGGAGAACACTTCTCGCACTGTCGTTCATCTTGTCAAACTCATCGATACAACAGACACCGTTATCAGCGAGAACGAGTGCTCCCGTCTGGAGAACGAGTTGCTTCGTATCAGCGTCGCGGGAAACTGAAGCAGTCAGACCGACAGCCGACGATCCTTTTCCGCTCGTATACTGACTTCTCGGCATCAGACGGTAAACGTATTGAAGGAGCTGAGACTTCGATGTACCCGGATCTCCGCAAAGCAAGATATTGATCTAGAAATCGGAAAAAATTCTTGCAACGCTGTCTGAAATAACAACTTACTTCCGATCTCAGTTTAGTCTTGTTAGTATTCTCATCATCCTTGCGAGTTCCTCCAAACAAAAGGCAAAGAAGACCCTTCTTGACATCACTATGCTCATAAATCGATGGGGCAATTGCATGAGAAAGAGCGTCCATGAGATCCGGTCGTTTCGAGATACGAATAATCTGTTGGATTCTCTCTTCTGTGAGAGTATCCCTTAAAAAAAATAAACGACGAAACAGATGTTGTTAAGTTTTGTTAAATTACCCATTATCCTGATGCAATCTCGAAGTATCAATTTTTCTGAAGTGAAGGGCGTCGATCGAAGTACGATATACCGATGCCAAAGCCCGTTGGCGTGGATTAACTTTCACACCATTCGCGCGGAAAATCCCAGTGACAGTGATTCTGTCTCCCGGCTGCACTGACTCGACGAGACTTCCATGGGCAAATACCGACACGGTGTGCGGTGTCTCTCCGGATGGCATATCGTCAGGCGATTCTTGGAGCTTCACAACCTGCTTGTCGAGGAAAATCGCGCGGTTGTGCACGAGTTGGAAGCAATGGGTGTTTGAGCAGTTCGTGCACACCACCGGCTCCTCGATTCTTCCTTTGTCGACTTCACTCTCAACGCTGAAGTTGCAAATCGAGCACTGGAAGAATCCGCTGCGCATTTCTGGGACCAACGACGAGGTTCTGGTGACCATTCCGCTAATTGTAATGAGTTGATCAACATCTGCAAAACGTAATGATTCGTTTGATCGAAGCTTCGAGCTAATTTCCAGGTTAATACCATTCGGGTTCAATCCTCTCATATTTCTCGTCTTCTCAGCGTTGAATGGCCGCAACTCAATCGGTTGTGGAAGTGATCTGTTGAATCGTTCAGCAAAAATTTCGTTGATCGTCATGTCCAAATACGGAATGACATCCTAAACGTTACATTTTCAGCAGAATATTACAAACAGCTTCAACTTACAGCTGGATAAGCGATAACTTTTCGGTAAAGCGCTTCGGAAAACGCTTTCAAGTGCGCCAAATTCAAATTGATGTGATTGATTTCAGCGACATCGCATTCCAACAATCTTTCCATGTAGTAGGGTTGGTTAGTATCGACGGGTTGAAGATGATCAGGCCCCTCCATCATATTCTCATCTTCATCGAGTTGCGAGATTTTAAACGTGGTAATGAAATCACGAAACGCTCTGAATTTCACGATGAGCAATTAAAATGTGTCAACTATGCTGAAACCTCTGAACATCGGCGACGCAAATGCGAGTTCCCCAAATGTAGAGACGCGGTTGACCGTCGTCCATAGCAAGATCATCGTGCAATCCTTGAATCTGTACCGTTCGATGGTCACTTGGCGCAACTCCAATGTCTCCACGAGCGCCTCGCTTCATGGTAGACATCGACGACATTTGGGACATTGATCCCATTTCAGAACCATAGTTGAGGGCCGAAGCGGAAGACATCGACCTCGGTGAGGTAGCTCCCACAGCTCGGCGTTGAAGCGAGCCATCATCTGGAAGCGATTGAAGCTCCGGTGTTTGACTTCTAGCCGAGTCTAAACGGATTAATTTGTGTTTCATTACATCTATGAATAAAATATTTCAATGTTTGGAATTTCGAGAATAATTTTATGCAAATATATTCTTGACATATTTCATCTCTGGTATGTCAAACTCATACCAGAGGTAATATTATCAGTCAGATCCGGTTAATTCCGGAGCTGAATTATTTTCAGTTAGAATTTGAGTTAGCGGAAATCTCAAAATGAAATAATAACTCACATGCAACCGAGTTCGGTTCAGCAAAAACATCAGCCGACTCCGATTGAGGCTCTTGATCGGCTCCTCGTCGAGAACTTGCACGTGACGACGTCGATCGAGGCATTTTCAGATCTAAAATTCTTATTTTTTTTTAGAAAGAATTATCGAAAAAATGGGAGTCCGCGAAAAATTCGCGCATTGGCGCCAACATGCGAATTCAAATTTTCTTATCTACGCGCGCGAGATGTTTGCACACTTGCATACCGTAACCTTGGCGAAAAAAAATAACAACAGAGTGAAAACTCTCATCTCAAATCACAATATTTTCCAAAAATATAAATAAAATACATATTTTTTATTTAAACAGAGCCTCGGAAGTAAATAACTTGATAATACTAATAATAAATGTTGATGATGATGATTATAATAATATGAATAATTACAATTATTTAAATTTAACAGCACCTATTTAATTAATTAAGAAGAAAAATGATATATTATTCGAGAATACCTTTCTCGATTTGAAATACAACAAGATAAAACATTCAATAAAAATTAAGAAAAAAATAACTTACCTTAGAAATATTATGAATTCCATATTAGTAAAGAAACGAAAACCTGAGGGGAAAGAGCAATTAGGAAGCGAACAAAATGGCGGCTTACAACTAATGAAACTATTACTACTGGGAAAAAATTCGAAATTAATGAAACAGTAAGAAAAATTGAAAAGGTTGGGAGGAAACGAAAAAAACAGCAAATACGAAAACGTATTGAACGATGGAAAAGAGTGAAAATAGAAAAATTTAAATCCGACCACCACGTGGACATCCGCTTGACTTTGGCAAGCACGTTGGTAAATTGAATAAGAAAACATTTAATTCACAAGACCGATTTTTTTTTCAGTAATCCTCCCCGTTAATCATGTCCAGAAGTTTATTTTCGACGGCGCGTCGACGAAAAATCTGTTGAAGGCGGCGTTCACGCTGAAATTCTTCACAAAATTATCCGATTCCATTATTCCTAGCTTCTACCCGTTGATGCCTTTCCATTTTCTGCTTTAGCCGCTCCTGTTTCGTCTCTTCCGAATCATCCGAATACTCACCGTCTGATGAGATGTCCGATTCGGACGAGCTCACCACATCATGCGGATTCTGCGACGGCAGCGAAATGATCGCCGGCGGAATAGGCGGCCGACGATTCGGTGGATTCTGAAACTCAAAACACCCATTCTTTGTGAAAAAGCCAATTATGGAAATACTACCAATCCCGCATCGATGTAGGCAGCTGCCGTTAGTTGATAGCAATATTCGACAAACAAATGCGGTTCCAATCGTTTGGCATTTGACATGAACTCGTGTGGTGCCGGCAATGGTAAATCGCAAGGAATAAGACGTTGCATTCGTTTGGCTTCCATTCGATTTTTAGCAGATTCCATTACTTCCTGCAAATTATTACTAGTTTCCATTATCCATTATCAAAATTTCGTACCATTGCGAACGGATGAACATCTCGAACTTTTGAAAATGGATTAATTTTTTGTGCGCGACTTGCTCCAATTAACGTAATTGTTAATGGTGGCGGATGGCATCTCGGTGGTCCGAACTTTCTTTAAAAAAAGGGAAATTGGTTTGTTTGTATCGATATTCGAACAAAAATAAACCTTCTATGAACAATATCGTGCCGCCATTGAATTAGATCATCGTACCACTGAAGCATTTCCTTTCTTTCCTTTTCCTCGTCAACACACACTCCATTTCGAAAAGCCTCACATTGAGCTTCGTCAGGACAACTAAACTTGTATTTTTTTTTGTTGGAAATTTCAATATTTTTATACGTGTGAACTCGTTTTGGTTTCACTTCTTCAGTTTCATCATTTGTCATCGATTTGCTCGAAGTGTCGGCTGTTTCAAATCCAGACAAATCATGCGTTGATTCATCTTCAGACGTGGTCTAGATCAAATTGTTTCATGATAATTTTAAAATTAACGCATACATCCATTCGAACAGATCTAGGTGGCGAACTGTCAGAACTTCTGAACGAAGTTCGATATGACGATGTATTATCATCTATTGAAGTTCGACCAGAAATACTTGAGGATGAATATGATGGAACAATTGTTGAGCCACCTAAAATGAAATTTATATTGAGTAATATGTGTTCATTTGAGCTTACATGATGAGATTACATTTTTAATATTTTTGGATATATTTGACTCAAATGCGGGGTTCAATTTTAAAATTGTAACGTCAGCATTAACGTGCGCCGACGAGGGTCTACCATTTCTTGAAGATCTTGTACTCACAGCGAGTTTGTCAAACACTCGCTTCGCATTATCATCATCGTTGAAAACAATACTTCTGTAGCCAGATTTTCTGTATCTTCCATTTGAGTATCTTCCCTGAAATTTTTTCAAAATAAAAAAAACGCAATTCGAATTCTTCAATTTACAAAATGATTTTTATCAAAACTATTCCAACTGTCTTGATTTTCATTAATACTTGTGTCCAATTGATTGTTGTTACCTCCTTTCGGCTGCGAACATTGATGGTGTAGGTGGGCGTATGAAGGCCACACTTTTCCTGAAATAACTTCGTGGTTTAATTTGAACTGATCAATTTTCAAACCATCGCTGGAAGAATAATTTGATGAAGATGAAGGAGTTGCGGATGAATCGGCCTTCTTCATATCCTTCTTCGCACCCTTGTACAGATCTCGGACAACAAGGATGGGCTTCCCCCGAAGAGAGTTCAACTAAAATGAAATACTAGAATAATTTGTTTACAATCATCAATGTTGAATTAATTAAAATAGATCAAAAATTTCATTTTCAATAATAATAGATTCATATATTTGCAGTGCTCACCTGAATGGATTTGTTTCTGTCGTATCCAAACAACGACGTCTGAACAGTATCAGGAGAATCTAAGTATTTAAAGGAAGGTATTTCTGCAAGCAGAAAATTTCCAGGAAAACAAAACGGGTGAAACCTGAAGCTGTTTTGGATCTCATTAGCAGTTTAATAACAAGTCCTTGGGTCACCCTGAAAACACTAATTAATTCCGAGTACTGCTCGCTTAAAAATAGACTATTTATTAATAAAAACGCAACAATGAATGAATCATTACTATCGAAATTATTTAATTTCATTAAAAACTCAATTCCACTAGGAATTTTTTTAACAAAAATCGATGGCTCCACAAATGATGACATTCCGTCAAAAAACGAATTCAACCGTAACACTTCAAATTATCTTCGAGACCTAGCATAAAATTTGCTAGTTTGCACCTTTAAAATACTTTCAATAATCCAATCAATTTTTATTTATTTACAGAAAAAAAGCAACAATTTATTATTCCATTATTCACAAAAAAATCTCTTGAAATTATTACGATGTTCATCAAATTGTTGACCCGTGTCAAAACAAAAAAATATTAAAAAAAAAAACATGTAAATTCAACAACAATTTGAGAGGTCTCGATTCTCTTATTCTAATATAAGTGGCGGTGGTTGTCCAGGCTTCCGAATCATTCGACGCGATGAAGATGAACCAGAAGGCCGAGTCGGCGGTCGTGGCGGTGGACGAGGCAGCGGCGGAGGCTTAGGCTTACGAAACTCTGCAAACCATCAGTGTCACTAATAAATTCAAAAATTTACCGTCGGAAAACCTTTCTTTCTCAATCGTCATGGACACGACGCGAACCATTCTTTCCACAACCGTGCGCACAACCATTTCAATAGACGTCGAATCCGACACACTCTTGTACATTCGTTCCCTGCTCATCTCCTCGATGACGTCCATTACAGCCGCTGGAGGTTCGATTACATCTTCTTTTTGCCGCCCCGCGATTTTCGTGCCTTCTTTCAATGCGCGAACAACATCCAAAACCGCCGACGGGACCTGCTCGTCCTCTTCATCGCGCTCTTCTCGATTCTCATCCTCATCGGTACCACATCGGACTACTTTTCGATTGCCCATCGATTCAATCACATCGGTAACCGCACTAGGTACTTCTTCCAGCTTCTCCGATCGATCCTCCTCTGGCTGCTCGTCATCAGGAGTCTGTTTCGCTTCGGCGCATAACCGCTTCGGCGGAACATCGTCAAATTCATCTTCATTCGATGCGTCAAACATATTTCCAATATTTTTTGCAACAGCTACCGTACTTTCAACTTGATTCGGACTATATTTGGCATCTCAAAAAAAAGAACTTAGCACTTAGTTCTAATCAATTCGATTACTACCTTTTATATAATTCATTGTTTTGCCGCCTTGTCGTGGCTCAACACTTCGCCGCATTTCCTCATTTTGAATCTTTAAGAATAAAAAAAAACGCTAATTTTAAGTATCAAAAGAATAAAAAACCTTTCTGAGCCGCATTTCCTCATTCTGAATAAAATTTTTAAATTCCTCATCTTCTTCACTCTCCTCTTCCGACGTTGAATCGTCAACAGACAGTATATCATCATCGTCATCGTCGTCGATCTCCAATTCCTCCACAGACGTTTCCTTCTCTTTCTCTTTCTCCTCTTCCGCACGCCTTTTACAATTCTTCGCATCATCGTTCAATTTTCGCTTTTTAGTTCGACTGAAATCCATTTGAAATTCATTTCTACCAAAAATTATTAAAATCCTACTCCATTTTTATAAGATTTCGAATAATCTGTTGAGCTTCTCTCTCCAAAATCATCGAATCATTCGCCTGAAAAAAAAAACGCCATCCAAATCGAAGCATTCATTTCATTTTTTTCAAGTCTTACGCAAATCTGTCGATCTCGTTTTCTCATTCGCTCGTCCTGTTTGATTTCCATAAGGACCCGAACCGCTTCCTCCCGCATTAATATATCTTCCTGCTCCTCCTGATTCTTCTTCTTTTTCTCCGCATTCTGTCGCTTCTTCTCCTCGATTTGCTCAATATTCCGATTCAATTTGATCAATCGCTTCTGCATTCGTTCCTCTTCGCGCTCAATCGACGCCCGTTCGCGCTCAACAACTTTTGCCGGCTTCATCTCCTTTACGCGCGCCTCTTCCTCAATCTCCTTCTGCATCAAAGAAACCTTTTCCATCAAAGAATCGTCGAGTTGGGATGGCCGTCCGAGAGCCGCCGACAGTTTCGCCCAGTTGGTACGTTCTTCTCTGTTGTATTTCGCCTTCAATTCCGCACGAGACCTTCCCGATATATAATGATTCATCAATCCAAAGTCAGAGCCCGTACACCGTACGACTTCTACAAATAAAATGATAAATTTAATTTAAAACCTTAAAAATGTTATGTTAATTGAAATACCGTAGAATAGGTCCGTCTCCTTTTGAGTCCACGAGGTTCCTTTCCTCCAAAGCCGATTTCGGAACGAGAGCGACGTGATTTTGCTTTGATTTTTGCCCTGCCAATATTCATATTTTTCAATCCCTTGTAGTCGGTGTCCGATGTCAGCTGTATACGGGTAGATTTAAGCAGCGCGTCTCTCTCTCTTTCTGGGTCTCACGGCGGACTAAGGGGCTATTCCGCTATTTATGGGTCGCTTCGATAACATTTTTTTAGATTGAATGACGTTGAAAATGCAAGGAAATGCCAAACAAATTAAGCGTCCACGTGAAAATTTAAAAATGAGTGTTCACATGTGACGAGAACATTTCGAAAGGCGCACTCGTAAATCAACCACCGCAAATCAGTCGCCGGACGCCAAGTTTTCTATCATTTCAAACCTCCTCAACAGTTTCCCATATTCCGTCGTCTTTCGTATTCGTGTCCATTACTAAACTCGTCTCATCGATAACCAAACGGCCGTCGGCGCCAATTTTTACTTGTGGCGCCGCCACTTTTGGCGTCGCCGGAGCTTCATCAATTTCGGTTTTCGTGCGAATCGTCGAGCTCGTCGATGTCTGTCGTTCTCTTCTAAAAAAAATTGAATTTTTTGCAACTTTTAATAAAATTCGATGTCGGAAGGGATCAGTAAACGTAATTTTTTTTTTAAATCCCCCTAAATATTTCTCACTTTCTGAAAGCGACTTGATTCTTTGGATTCCAATACGCCAAATCTCCTATTGTCATTTTCGAAGTGTCCAGCACTTCATTTCCAGTAAATCGTTTTCTAGGTTTCCTTAAAAAAAATTGCAAAATCTTCTTTTTTTCCATTAAAACAATCTCTCACTGTTTAATATGCTGTAGAATATTCTCATCATCGCACATTGAAACATTTCTCGACCTAGGCGGAGCCAGTTTATGCGCATGATGATGATCCTCATGAATATTTTCTCCATTCGTATTCCTTAACAAATTGACATTTCGAAGAAAAATATGTCGATGAACCTTTGAAAATTGTTGCCATTACTAGGGTGTTGAGAAATCTGTGGTTCTTGAAAATGCACATGATGATGCTCATAGGATTGTTGTTGTGGTTTTTGCGATTCGATTATCAGTTCAAATGAAGACGGTTGAAGAGTTCCATATTCTGGTTGAACAGCCTCTTGTTTTGACGGAAGGTTGCGGGTTTCTGGCTCTCTGTAAAATTTCATATCGGTTTCACATTCCATTCGGCTTAATTCATAATTCAGCTCCTCTACATTTTGAGGCGCGGTCTACTGTAGATGTGGGTCCTGTGACATAAGCAATGTCATGCTAACGTCAAAAATGTTTTGGTTTTTTTTTAAACAAATTATATTCAAAATAGACAAATTTCTAGAATCCTTAAACAAAAATTGCATATTCTACTAATTTCTAACTATAAAAAATTATTGAAGGAATTTATATTGAATGATTCAAATTATGATTCAAAATAACCTTAAAAGGCTGATAAAAAAAATCTTACTGAATAATCGTCTGCGGTTCGTCTTGGACAACTTCGTTCCGCGGCTCCTCTTCAACAGTTTCCTTTTCAATTTTAACCACAGGCTTCGGGATTTTCGGCTTCATCTGAAGCCTTGGCCGGCGGAACATCTAAAAAAACATTGAATACAAATGTGATAATTGCTCGCTCAGATATTTTCAATACGCAGAAACGCTTCAAATCAATTCCAAAAATAAAATGTTTAAAGAAAAATTTTATGTACAGAAACAAAAGAAAACAAAAAAATCTGTCGGCCTACTATACCTATGAGAGAACTTATTGCAACTCGAGCAGAGCTTTTGGGAACGGGGATCTGAGACAAGAAGGAAACGATAACAATAAATAATAATAATAATAATAAGTATAAGCAAAATGTGATAATTCAAGAATTAAATGAATCTAATCGTCATCGGAAAGAAAACCAAAATTTTAGGAATGTGTCATATTGGTAATAAAATGATGAAGAAGACAAAAATAATGAAAGAATGGCAAGTGAAATAAAAATGACTATTCAATCATAATACTATACTCACTATATGAACAAATAATACTATTTAAAGAGAATTGCTGCAGTTTCGACTACCAGAATGGACACCAGCCTATGTAACTTTGACAAAGATTCATGTGACACGTAGCCTGTTCAATGAGACGCTCGAGTTGCTCACCAACAGGAATCGGTTCAGGATTCTCCGACAACGGACAATTCACAAATTCCGTTCCTGAATTCAAACAGTAAATTGTAGAAATCTGGAAATCGAAAATAATTACCAGCCAATTTTCTCTTGATTGTATCCATTGTGCCTTCGGTTCGACTGCTACTTGGAAGCTGATTCGTGTTCATCCTTGATGGGTCCTTCCTCATCTTCGGATCCCTCTTCATACCTAAAAAAAACCGAATTCCCGTTATAAATGTTTTAAAGCTTGCGCAAACCTTCAACAAGTCTCCAATTAATAACCGGATCATAAACAAAAGCCTCAAGAACCGCGAGAAGCGATTCATTATTTGTCCGCAACACTTTCAGAACTCTTTCAGCGGTATATCTATAAACACCTTCTAATCCAGTAATCTCCATAGCCTAAATCGCAATTTTCAATATCGTTCGTTATTCGAAAAACCAACATTGATAAGCATTCTAGTCAATCTAAATGGAACTCGTTCCGGGAATTTCTCTCGAAGCATCGCCACTTCGAAACAATCTCCGAAATCAATGTGCACGATTTTTCCGGTAAGACGATCAAGCATCAAATTCGAAGGATGTCTATCTCCAAGTCCGAGGATATATCCAACCATCGACATACATGCCATTGATCTTGTGTAATTCGTTCTGCGATCGAACCAAACTTCCGAGCTTGGACTCTTGAGCCAAAGAATTTGACGCAGATCGTCTCCATGTGTTACGGCAAGCGCGTTTTCAAACAATTGAAGCTGAAAAATAAAAAAAAATTATGTTTTCTAGGTATATTCGAAAAATTCTGTTTAGCCCTTAAATTAATTCAATCAACTCAACCTTTTGCATCAATGTTAAATGCTCGGTATCTGCCGACAATTTTTGCAAAACTTTGTGCTCGGCAGAAAGAGGAATCTGAAAGAATGACAATAAGAACAATGAAACAATGCAAATCTTAAACATTGGCTTTCTTTTCACGGTATTCCTTAACAAGCGAGTGAAGAGTATCACAATTCGGAACCCATCCTATCAATCCAGAATCCTTGCTGAGCGCAATAATCGAATATCGCTGAATCGCCAAATTCCTTCGACACGTGTCCGCATTGTTCGCCAAGAGCGTATTGACAAGTCCAAACAATTGCATGACCCTTTCGTCCTGCCTTGGATCCTCATGCCCTTTCAACAAGAACTGATATTCAAGCCCGTTGTTTCCACGGATTATCATCTTCCTCGGCCTTTGTTTGCTGGTAATCACCGTGAGTTTCGTTGCGAAATAGCTGATTCCAACGACTGGATTCGATGGATCATACGTTCCAGGAACAGCGAGTTGCAGATCCTTGGCCTTCATTAAAGCGGGACTCACGTAGTTCAAATCAAGCGAAGTGAGATTGGAGAGCTGATCACGAAGTCGTTTGAAGACCTTAAAAATGTTCACATTGTATTTTCATATAAAACGAATCCCTACTTGGCAATAGATTTCCCAGGATTGATTCAAATCCTTGACATTTCCACTTCGCTCGAAGGCCATACAGTACCTAGCAGCTTCTTTTAGATCAGCAAGATACGTCTAAAACACAGAATGTCACTCTTCTCAGCATATTTGGCTAGTTCACCTGGGTAAATGATTGCTCTTTCATCGTCTTTGGCACACTGCATCCCATCATTGTATTCAAATTTCTCAGGGTTTCGAACATCGCTTGCACATTGTTGTCTTGAAGAGATCTCTGCAAATTTGGAAATTCAATCAAAATCAAGTTTTCCGTCTACTTACGTGGAAGTAAACGCGACTAGCTTCATCCAGAGCATCATGCCATTTTTCGTGCCAAAGAATCGCGCAACGCACGAGCTCCTCCGATACCATTCGACATTCATCAACAAGTTTTGGATGGTGCTCGTACATCTTTGCCAATATCGTTTGCGCATTCTTCAATCGATGTCGATCCGAGCTCCTCGACGCCACCGTCAAAGCGTAGATCAAACTCTGCGGTTGCGCTTTCGAGATTTCCGCAAGAACCTTGATAACCAATTGCACCGGTTTTACTTCATCCGACGAATCGAGACGAGCCATGAGTTGAGGAACAACCTCGAGCCATGTGGCTATTGGCAAATCGACGACATTATCAGCGAGCTTCTTGTAAACTTCGTCGTGTTCACCATAATCGAACCAAAGTTGCAAAAGTCGCAATGTATCCTCGAGTCGCGATCCCGGGGCAAATGTAAGCGCTTTCAAGAAGCAATGAATCGCATTGATGGCGTTTTCAACTATCGAGTTTCCGGGCAAAGTCAGTGGCGACAAATGTCCGAACGATTGTCCCGTCTGCGTGAAAACGGGCGATGATCTGCCCGAACTGATAAGAGCCGGTCCTTGGTTGTTGAATTGCGAGAGGCTTCCCAACGGCGGCGGAATATCCGAAATCGCTCCATTCACACCATTCGTTTGGATGTTGCTGAGCGGATTCATTTGCGGCGCCGGCGGTGGCGGCGGCGTCTGATAGTTCTGCCGATTCTGCGAGACAGCCGGTGATTTCGGCGATTGCGTCGAACCCAAATTCATTCGCCTTGGAGCATCTTTGACGGTCGCGTAGAAGTAAGCAATGGCCAATTTATGCCATGCTTTGTGCCATTTCGGATCAAATTCGGTGGCGCTTCGATAATAGTCGATCGGATGACATCCATCGCGAAGTTCGCCTCGAGATCTTCCGAGACTCGGCGACATTTGTTGAAGGTTCGAATAATCAGTGATAGTGTGCTGAAAAACAAATACGAACATCGTAAATGGAATATTGAGATATATATTGGCAACTCACAGATCTTCCACGGAAACTCTTAATATTGGCCTCTGTCCATTCGCCAAGCTTCATGAACACTTTCGCACAAATTCGAGCCGCTTCAATCGTTTTTGGTGGCTCTTTTGGCGGACGATACATTCGATCAATGTATTTGGATAGATCTTCCAATGTTCGCAATGCTTCTTCTTTGTGATCATCTTGCCACAATTGCTTGCACAGCGCAATGACAAGTTGCGGCTTCTCAGGCGGCGCTGAAGCGGTGAGTAAATTGGCATCCGGCGGTAAATCGAGCAGCTCTCGGAGCACGGCGCGCGACATCGACGTTTTTCCTTGTTTTCGGCAAAGCGACGCGAATTTCACGCGAAGTGGATGCATTTCGGTTGGCGATAGAACGAGTGATCTGAAACAGTCCTGCGTCATAGAAGCCCGACTAGTTTTTGCTCGCTCTACCTTAACATGAGCAATCGCTGCCACTGCTCAACATTCTGCCGACAACCTTGCAATCGGCGACTCCATAAAAGAGCAATACGTGGCCTTCGCTCTTGAATTGTCTGCAAGACGTGAGATAAATCATTCGCAAACATATATTTTCGAGTTTTCTTATTCGAGCAACATGCCCAGAGCTCAGAGATCTTCGTAAGTGCTCAATTCGAATGAATCGCAATGCTCAATTTAAGGGACCGAGCGAGCCTTAGATGCAGTGATTGTAAAAAATGCGTGGTAAACGAGCAAATTTCTCGTCGAAGACGAAGAAGTGTGCAATTTCAGAAATGTGAGCAACCATCATCAAGCTCAAGCACAGCCTCAAGCCGCTCATCAAACCAAACTAAAACCACAACATCGTGTCAATCTCGTAGTTACAACTCGCGCAGTCGCAGTTCGAAGTCTAGCACAAAATCTGTATGGCCAATAGTTTTGCGATTATCATCGATATTGTTGTTAAGGCTTGCTCAACAATCGGCAAACAAAGCATTGTCTATAATCAGAGGACTTTGGACGCGAAGTAAGATTCTTGGAGCTACTAGACATCATTTCATATTTAGAACATTCGCGCCGGACGTCCAATTGGAACGCGGTGATTCAAAATGCAAATATGAGCTTAACGATGGTGGAAAGCTTATCAAGATAATTAAGAAGGTTTGCCTATACATTTAATTACTATATGATTTTCAATTTTAATTAAAAATGACTCCTGTTTCAGAATGGAGATATTCACTACATCCTTCGTTGCGTTGACGGCCGCCAAGTCTTCATCGAGAAATCGAATGCTGGTTGCAGTTTGGTAATGGTTAATAAGAAAGGTGAAAACATGAAAATCCATTCGTTTCATCCCACAAATTTTAGGCGCCGTCACAAAAAGCCTAGCCGCCCAATACTAAATCTTATCACCAAAATCGGTAGAGTGTATCGACAGACCACATTTTCAATAAAAATTCACCTGATATTCAATCGCTTCTTCAAGTTCGGCAATTTGCTGAACAAACACCATAGGCGTATACGCTCGCTCATAGCTCTCATTAGCCATTGTGGTGAGCTCGCTGTCGAACATGTCGCGCACTTTCTCGATGAGATTTACTGTACTGGTGAAATCGCCTCTAAAAAATACGCAAATTTATCAGAAACAATGCGCTTCTATTCACTTTTTCAGCGAAATCACTGCACGAAGCATTGCGCCATCTTGTGTATTTTCTGAGATTCGATCAACAAATGATTGCATATTCTCATAATTGCCTAAAAGGAAAATTGATTAATCGATTGTTCCAATTTGCAAAATTTCAAATCTCACCAACTGCCCAAGCTCCGCGAGCCGCAATTACAGCCATTTTATGGTCCATTGGCAAAGTCTTGTCCTTTCTGAAAATTTCGTTTGGCAATTTTCCAATGCTTATCAACCCTACGTGTACGGTTCAGTTTTCTTATTGAGATCATCCCAATGAGCCAGAGCTTCTAAACATCGCATCTCGTGCATTGTGACATCATCAGGCTGATCGGGATCACTTCGGTAAGATTCAAGAGCTTTCTCCCATTCGTTCAGCTTTTCATACCATCTTCCGCGCATCTCAAATTTTCAAAATTTAGATTATTTCAAATAATATAAAGAATACCATATTCATTCGATTTCTTTCCGCATATCGAACAACACCGGCGGCTTCTTCTTGAACATTCAACTTGTTGGCAAACCTGCAACAACAGAATCTCTGATTGGTAACATACAAATTAAAGGCGCATACGTGATAAGAGCTTGACAATCCTCGACGAGCAACTTGCGATCCTCATTCTCATTCGCTTCCCATCTTTTAAGAATCTGAAGCTCCTTATACCGACAAGCTTTTGCGTACGCTTTAGTTTTTTCTGCACAAGCGCCAAGAACCTCGTAAGCGATTGGCAATGGTCCCTATAAAAAAACAAATGCTCTTTGTAACAATCGACGAGCAACTCAAACCTTCTCCGAGTGATCCATAAATTCGGCCAAATTCAAAATCGCCTGAATCACGTCCGAATGTTCGGAATCCAATGCCTTCCTCAAATATTGCGCGAGTTCTCTTTGATGAACTTCTTCAAGTTCCGTCCAAACCGACATGAATGCGGCTGGAAATAAATCCTTGGCAAGATGCGGATGTTGATCTCCAAGACTTGAAGCGGCGCGAAGCGAAGGTGAACTTCCGCTCTAGATGAAAATAATTTTTTTTTAAACACGAATATTCAATACCTTGAGAAACGCGATTCTCAGCTTCAACAACCATTGCGCCCATTCTTCCTTCGACGTCGAATGCGGATCAACCTTCCAGGCCATTTGAAGAGCTTCCTTGTTCAGACGCTGTTTGCTAATCGGAACCGACATTATTTCCTTTGTACTTCTCGCCGCCGTCGGTTTTCTTTGTTCCGGTATCGTTTCTAAAAACCATTCATTTTCAAAAAACCTTGAATAATCGAAAACCTTCTTCAATTCCGTACAACTCGGAATCCTTCATCTCATTTCGGCTCGCATTCGACTCCATCGATCCATGCTTGAGACGTTCTTGCAGTCCGGTGTTGCCGAACACAATGCTCGCCGCATTTCCGCCTTGCAACAACACCTGCGTCGATTGCGAATTGCTGTGGTTGCCAGCGAACAGCGACATGTTCGGCACGTCGCGGAACATCTCAGCACGCTGAGCCAATTTGCGATACACCTCGAAATTCTCGCTTCGATCCAATCCATTATCGCGCAATTTGATATCCACACTTCGGCGGAACACGTCAAAATGTTTTCCGAGCTGCTTGATGATCTCAATCAAAAGGAGAAGAAGCTTCTCGCGAAGTTCTTGAACACTAATACAATGATGCCAAGACTGCATCATTCTCGGAGCATACGCCGAAACGTCCATATTCTGAGCCATGTGGAGGACCGTGTCAAGAGCCGTCATGCGAACATACAACTCAATCGTATGATCATCGAGGATTATAAGAATCGGAGGCAGAACCAAGTGTAGATGGGAAACAAGACAAAGGCACAACGCTTTCACAACCTCAAGAACTTTGACGGTTAGACCTCGGTCCCTAGACTTGTCCGTTTGAAGGATATGAAGCAAGTAGGGCATCAATTCGCTAGTGTACGCCGAGAATTCCTGAAAAAAATATTTTAACAAAAACAATAAAAATGACATTTTAAAAAACATTAAAGCGTGAATTATAATATTTAACAGACTGATCGAAATTCGTTTGCCATTTCTAGCTTTTTGTTTCGCTTATTATTGTTTTCGGGAGAAGGTAACAAATTCAATGAATGAGGATGACGATAGTTTACAGCCAAGGTCTTCAATGTTCATTTCTATTCTTATAATTCATATGGCATGTCTTTCTGTGGTGATGACATTTTGCAAAAAGAACAAAACCAACAATACGAGTCGTTATCTGAACGTTCAGCGTTCATACGAATCGGCGGCTACGCCGATCCGAAGTCCCCCCAAAGGTCAGAGAGCCGATGATCAACTTGCCGACAGTCCGGCACCTCAAGTCAATCGATCGAATCCATCGGTACCCGCGAAGACGCCGACAACCAACGATCAGAAGGCTGGTGGCGATAATGAATCCCCCAAAGAGAAAGACAAGGAAAAAGACCCAAGTAAAGAAGAAAAGGTAGGAGTTGGAGCGTTTTAAATTGCCCCCCGAAACGTTTCTCTTTCAAGAAGTATAAGATGAAAACGCCGAAGCGCGATAAGGAAAACACCGGAGACGACCATCAGCAACCATCGCCGAATGTTAGCACCAATACGGTAGGAATCGAAATGTTTCAATTTCTTAAAATAAATGTTGCGTTCAGAATACTCCTCAAAAGGCTCGGTCTCCATCACTACGGAATCGGATGAAGAATCGACCGAATCCGTACGCCTTAAAGGGACCAAGTATAGAGGAGAATATGTTCTTCCATATTCTTCATATTCAGAACGTCGCTCAAAAACATCGGTGATACATCAGGCGGTAAAGACTGCGGAAACGATGGAACCATCCAAGAATGATGGAGGGTAGTGAAAAAAAGATGATGACCGTAATTTATAAGAGATTATATTCAGAAAAGCCTCAACCGCGGGTACGGTCGAGCCGGAATTCATCAACTCGGTGAACGATGATGACACCTTACGATGCGTCAAGAGCATTAGGCACAAGTGGGCAATATTCAAGAGCCGTTTTCACACATTTTTCGAATTTTCAGAAAACAGGAGAAAGATTGAATTCGAGGTTGGATGTTTAATGAGTCTGTGAATAAAATGTTTTAAACAAAATAAAAACTCACCGGACCCAATGCGGTTCCCATTTCTTCCATCACCGCCACCACACACATTTTCAACGAGTCGTCGTCATTCCAAGCGTTCTGAATAAGTCAAACGGTTCTTCAAAATTTCTCCGCAAAAAAAAAAGACAAACCGATATAATTTCGAAGATGTCCTTCATGAAAGGCGTCGCGTGCTTCTTTATGATCGCCACAAAAACACTGAGCTGTCGCAGGAAAAACTCGCGGAGTCCGATGTTGCTCTTCTTGGCGTTCATCTGTCGGCAGACTTCTATCAACCGCGGAATCACCTGCTCGACGTATTGCGGCGCAGCGCCGCCGAGTGATCGGAAGATGGTGACTATTGCTTGAGCAATTTCACGATAATACTCAGAATAAGCTTCGTCTTGAATCTGAAGAAATTCAATTATTTACCCATATAACGAATCCGATTTCACAAACCATCATCATCAAATTCGCAATGGTAATAGCTGGATAGAATTCCTCCAACGTGCATTTCTCATAGTTGACCCATTGGATTATATCCATTCTGGGATCCGACGGATCTCCCTGTGAAACGGGAAGCGAGAGAGCAGTACTTATTGCATAGGCCGATTGAACGGATCCGGTGAAGACCTTGTGAGTATAAGGATCTATAGCTCCCAAGATTCCAAGCGTTTTAATCGCCTCTCGTCTCATTGAAGACGACATAACCGTCTTGAGTAGACGTAAAAGATCATCGAGAAGTGTCGGATAGTCACGATAAGGATCAACGACATAAGCCGTTGATCTACAAACTCTTCCAATGGTTCGCAATGCCGCCTGAATAAACATTTGAGTTTTTCATTGAAGTGAGAGGTTTTTGATACCTCTCTCCTTTGAAGATGACTCGAATCGGTAATCAAGTGTGTCAATTTGGCGAATAGAGGATCTATATTTCTCACAATTTCAGCACCTCCGACGGTAGAAACTTCGCCAATAGCATGCAAAATATGGGTGGTGACATCGGCATACTGAAACAAAAAAAAAAACTAATTTTTTTTAAAAATAATTATTAAAAGAAAAAACAACGTGTGAGAAGGGGTTGAGCCATTCCAACAATTCATGATACTCATTTATTCGTTTTGGTCTACTATAAGCACCTAGCTAAAACTCAGGCATTTTGCTTTTATCCCAATTCTCCAAAATGCTATTAATGGGACAGGTCAGTCAATTTGGTATCGAAATCCATTGCGAATCAGACTATTCAGTATATCGGACAAATTCTAAACCTTCTAACTTTGACAGTGATGTTGATTTACACGATAGCGTCGGGATGCGCGAAAAAGAAGTCCGTCAACACGGCGTCAAGCAACTCGAGAATGACCGGCGAAACTAGTAAAGCGGCGCCTCCTTCGACTCCAGAGGCGGGCGGCGCTTCAGCAGCGAACGCACCAGCGGCCCCAGCATCCGCCGAGAAGCATTCAGAGGAAAAGAAGGACGAAGCAAAGAAGGAGGAGGCGAAGAAAGACGAAAAGCCAAAATCCGAAAAGAAATCGAACAAATCGAAAAAGAAGGATGAAAAGAAGCCGGCGGTTGGTGACATTTTTCAAGACGTTCGAGACAAAATCATTTTGTTAAGGAAGACGACGGAGGTTATGAAAATTGTGCTGATATGACCCCCGAAGAATTGAAGAAGATCGCAGACAACGCGGGTGGTGGAAAATGAAGACGAAAATTAGTTCTAACGAAAAAAAAAAGAGAGAGAAAAACAATTCTGAACAAAAAAATTTGAAATCTCCCACCTTCGCTTCAGTTCTCAATTTGATAATCAACGCCGAAATGACGGAGCCGATGTAGGGTCGCAGGAATTTCGGACACTGCGTCGCAATCTGAGCAATCATTTTTGCCGAATGTTGCTCCAATCTGAAAACATCAACGTTTAGGCGAATTTTTCACAACAAAAATTCATCACTTGGCTTGTCCGCTGTTGGTGAGCTGACTGAGTGTTTCGAGAAGCATCTTACGCATTCTTGGGAACACCAACGCCGGATTGAGTTCCGATAATCGTCCCAGCAGCGAGACACAAGCCTGCTGCATTTCAAGCTTCTCGTCGTGCAACGCCATGAAGTGCATTTCAAGCATATCCGACTGCGCCAAATGTACCATCAAGTCTCGATGCATATCCCTGAAGCATGTGATAACCTGCATTCGTACCTTGACATCTGTAATCAACAAGATTGATATGATTCCAAGTTACAAGCAATTATTCGTACGCGGATCGACGACGATGACTGAGACAAGAGCCCTTATGACCCCATGGATTGTAGTAAGAAGGTGCTGTCGTTTGTCACTTGTGACTTTGCTGTATACCGACACAAATGGGATCACCATTTCGCAGCAGCATTTCACAGCGGCTAAACGGATTTCAGTGCTCTCGGCAACCAAGTAGTACTGAAAAAATTTAAGCAAACGTTTCTTTGTAAGACCCATTCGAAATTTTACATCGGCAACGTATTGCATGATTCGCTGAAGAGCTCCTCTCGAGAAATAGAATTCGCCAAGTGTTTCTATCGAAAGCACAATTTTCGAGAGCTCTTTGGGATCGGTTAACGCCTTCTGAAGGATGGCTCGCGGTGCCGGCGGACGGCTCATCGGCTCACTTTTCGACGGAACCGGCACACCTGAAATATGCAAAAATTCGGAAGTTGCTAATAAATTAACACGAAAATGTGCAAACCTGTCAAATTCAAATATATCGAAGCCATGACGCCGTCTTGAACATTCAAACGCAAATTCGTGATTTTCATCATAATCATTTTGAGCACATTGGTGAGCCCTTGCGACAACGGCAACTCAAGCAACGTTCTCAGCATTGATTTGATCTGAAGCTCCACTTTGTCACCATAAGCATCGACAAAAAGAAAGAGGAAAGCGAAGAACTGATCAGCGACACTTTCGTGCATTTTTCTGTAATTCCTGAATCAACCATATTGAGAAGCTCATTCAACAAGTTCGAACTTACTTCATTGCATTCGCAACAAAATCGACGACTTTGGGAATATGAGGCGCGTGTATTTCGGGATTCGACAGCATCATCAATCCGAGCGCAGGAGCCGCCATACAGTTTTTTTGAAGACTTAAATGTCAATTTTCGAAGGATTCTCAGCGAAACACCCGACGACTTACGTGTAAAATGCGGTGTCAAATGCGAGCTGATGAAACGATTTCTCGCATTCGGGAAACGCACATATTCGCGGTAAGAGCTGCATGAGCACATTGGCGAGCATTCCAGTTCGTTGTGAGCCCTGCGATGATTTGCCTCGGGGAGCAACGTATTCAATTATCACTCGAACGCATTTCGTTATCTGAATCCGACGAATTTCGAATTATCCCCACACAAAAAAATCGTCACCTCGTTGAATTTCTCTTTGACGAGTTGTCTAGCCGTGAGACTTTCGACGACTTCCATGGATCGCGGAAGCACAAGCCAATCGATTGGATTCTCGACCGACACGACAACTGGCTCGGCTTTTGTCGATTCAAGACGAACATTCTCATATTTGGCATCCGACAATCGGAAAAGCTCATTGAGCACAAGAGCCACCGAGTGATATCGGCACGATTCGTCTCGAACCATTAGATCCTTTTGCGTTCTTAACGCTTCTTCCAAGCATTCCTTCAAAACAATAAAATGAGATTTTGAAGATGATAATCGTTATTCTTACCGTATACCACTTGATCTTCTGCTTCGCTTCGCGCTGAGACGTGATTGTGAGAACAGCGTGGAGCGCATCAATCGCCGCCATTCGAATAACCACATTCTTGTCGCGAATCGCATTGAAAATGTATTTGAAGAAAAGACTAGCTCTCAGAAAAAATGCGGTTGGTGTGAACAGCGCGAGCTCTCTGGAGAGATGCGCCGCCGCCAATCTTCGATTATCAATCAGAACCGAGTCTTTCGATTTCGGATCATCCGGCACTTGAAGCCATTCCATACAATGATCAAGTGAGCGATCGACAAGCTCAGCTGCATATGATTTCGAAGTCTGAACAATCAAAAATCATTCAGTTCCGTCCAAATCGAATTACTGATTACCTGAATGAGATAGGCGAGAGCGCGACACGCCATTCTCACAGTATCCTCATCCATTCCTCCCACATTCAGCATTTTGAGCAGATAATTCGAATATCTCATAACACCACCAGCTTGTGGATCGGCAAGGCACACTAAACAGGAAAGAGAATTGAGGATTACAAAAATCAGAATCGATTGGTCGTACCAATTAAGAAGATCCCGCATTTTTTCTGGTCAATCGAATTGCTTTTAACAGCATTATACAAGGCACTCTAAAATGCATAAATGAGACACTTTTTTTTTCAAAGTAGTGCTTACATCTGATTTTCCGTCTAACGTTGACAGGAAATGTTCAATAAATTTCGGATTTTCATCCTTGAGATCGCCATTAACATATCTGAAATTCATTCCAAAAATTCATTTAAAAATACGAATTTTTTACTACTTTTCTGCAAATTTTTGCAATTTTTCCTCAGAGAATTGCATATTAAATAAATGTTTGTCAACAAATGGCCTTCGTCTTTCTAATGCGTTGGTTCATAAGAAAAATACAGCCATAGAACGAACAATTTGATGATGAAAAATGCATTTTTATGATGTTCAGCGATAGATACAAAAGAAAAATGACGTGAGTCGTTTTGCGATATTCCCATACTATTTTTGTTTGCTATGCTAATTTATATGCGTTTATTTTGCTTATATATATAAGCATATGAATTTTCTCACCTAGAGAGTTCGCGAGCGGCAGCTACTTGATTCGGTCCATGACTATCGCTCAATTTTTGTTTGTACATTAAAGCCATCGTTTTAGCGGCATCGCTAATCGACTGAAATTCGCATTTAAATGGTACGTGAGACATTTCGAAATGTTCGTTACCTTTTTCTGACGTTCACCGCCCTCAGTTTTCTGTTTCGCGTTCGCTTCCATCGTTTTATCAAGCGTCATACCATGTTGATGAAACATTTCCGTCTAATTCATCACGAAGCAAGGGCGGCCCTCAAAATGATGTGGGTTTTCTCGGAATTCGGGACAATTTCAGATAAAAAAAAAACGGTTAAAACCAGTAATAAAAATCAATTGAGAACGGGAATTCGATAAATATTTATATTCGTTGGATCAACTATAAGAAATAACAACAAAAAAACGAAAAAAAAACTCCTATACTCTAAAACATATTATTTGTTGAATACCCTTGGTGCACCCCTCTTGAATCGGACCATATCCTCTGTTCGCGAATTTCGAAGCTTTTCGTCATTTTCACTAAAAAAAAAGTACCAAAAATCTAATAATCGGATTAAAAATGACATACGCGTCGATTTTCTTCAAATATTCTTTCTCATTCCATAATTTCTGCATCATGTAGGCATCATCATCAAGATATGGCACTTCGTATTCTTTCGTTCCATCTGCTGGTTGAAAATGCTCCGAAGCGGGTTTCCTAGAGTCAAACAAAATTGGAGAATTTTTTTATTTTTTGAAAACCAACTCATATGTGAATCCGGCAAATGAAGTAACCTTGCGGATTCGCGGACTCGCACCTTCTCCAGTCTCCAATCGAAAAACTGCGTCATTTCTTTCATGAACAACAGCTTCAATTCGATCCATTGTCTTAAATTTTAAGATGTTTATCTCTATCTAGAAAACTTTAAAAATTTCATTTTCCGGCTTTATTCAAATTTTCAAAAAAAAATTTAATTTCAATTATTGATGGGGTACTGCAAAAAAAGTAATACATAGAAAAATAAAGAAAATTACGATGCATTGAAATTTTTATCTATTTTAAAATCACATGACCTTATGGGGCAATTATTCAAATCGAAATGTTTTTCATTTTTTTTTTCTATTTTACTTCTCTGCAATGATCCATTAAGAAACGAAATAAAAACCTCTTGGACGCGATCGATTCTTTCTGGATTTGGCATATTTCTCGCCTTGGCAACGTACGCTTTTTTCATTGTGTACAACATATTCCTCTCGATTAGACAAACATACCTGAAATTGGAAATCATTTTCGTCAAAATCATCCCAAAAAAAAATACCAAAGCTTGTGAAGATCGCTGTTGCTTTTTAGACGAAGCTCCTCTTCCGTCCACGATCGTCCCGGTCGGTGCCTCGGCCGCAGCTCAACTTTGCCAAAATTCGCTTCATTATCGAAAAATGCCTTCATTACGCCATTAAATCGAACGGGAACTACATTTTGCGAGCTTAAATATTGATTCAATTCCAATTTTTATTTATATCAGAAAAACCTTAATGTCCTCAATAATTGCGCCGGTAGCCTTCGCAGCATCTGAAACGCATTTTATTCATATTAAAAAAATGTTTTGTATTTTAATCACAATTTTTATGAGCTTAAATGCAATTTTGAATATTAATTATAATTTTCAAATATAAAATGATAGGCATAGTAAAACTTCGGCAGTCGCCTAAAGACCGTTGACAATGGAGCTTATTTGCTCCATCGCAACAAATCGTAGTACTGGCAGCCTACTTGAAATGCCAAAAACGAACGAATAGAAGAATATATAAAATAATTGCAAACAAACGAATAAGCGTTCATAACGTTCATTAAAATTGATATTTGAAAATTATTTTGAAAATTGCGAAATTACGGAAAATTTTCCCTTTTTTTTGTTTTTTGCTGTAATGAAAAAAGTGTTTGTCCGACACTTTTTTCGGCATTTAACAAAAAACAAATAATAATGTGAAACATTTGACTGCATTTCTCCGACAATTGTATTTTATATTTACGCTTTATAAATTTTTGTTTATATGCTAATGAGTTTCGAAGAAATAGTTAATATTTTGAGAAAAATTCCGACAATTCACAGCAATGCCAAAAAAAAGCAAACGGAACCATGTGACCGACGGGTTTTCTTTTTTAAATTTGCAAAATTGGTACGCAATTTTTACGTAAATTTGCACAATTCATTTACAGTAACCGATCAAACAGAATTGCCAAAAAAAAATAGTTTCAATCGAAGAAAGTAATAAAGCCTATAAGAACTTCTGTTTTATATCGTCTATTATTAAGGAAAAAAGTGAAAGAAAAAACGTTTTTATTAAATACTTATGAGTTTGTATCGCTTTGTTAACATTTTGTTCGTTTTCGTTCAATAATGAAGGTTTAATTACCCAAGTTTGAGGTTCACTCGACTTGTTTGACGGTTCCAATACCGTATCAGTATTTGGAAAAGTTACTCTACGGAAAAAAATTTAAACGCTAAAAATCAGGTTTTTTTATATAATTTTAAAAAATATTTATTTTTTGAGAAAACTTGCTATGGTTTAAAGGAGCATGTGAAAAAATATGCGATTTTCATGCGAATCTCATTCATTTTTATTTTTTCTATATATTTTATAGTCACGATTTCATTTTTTTTTTATGGCGATGGGTTTTGTTCTGATAGTTTTGGGGGAAAAAATAAATAGCTGTAAAATTCACCAATTTTAATCATAAAAATTTAGATTTCAAGGGAATTTCCCTTCAGCCTTGATATGAATTTTTCGTCAATCTTATCGGGGGTGAGGAAACACGCGTTAACACTTGACGGAATTTCGCATTTAAACATTTTGGCTCGCTCGAAACACCGCAATTAAAGACAAAAGCCTTCATTAAAAGACTAGAATTTCGGAAAAGAATTGCAAAAAACAAAAAAGAAATACACAGAAAATAAAAGCGAAATAGAGGGAGAAAGTTGAATCCAACAATAATACTGATCACAAATTCGAACATCGAAATATAAAATAAAACATAGAAAAAAAAATAAAACAGGAATGTACAGAAATTGTGAAGATGAATGTTTGAAGACACAAACGGGGGGAAAATTCCATAGAATCGTTGAAGCAGGGTGTGTGTGTGTGTATGAGTTCGTGGAGGGGGGAAATTTATCATGTTCACCTAGTCAATTTTTGAGCTAATTTTCAATTCTAATTTTAAAAATGGAACGGGATCTCAACAAAAACGCCTAAAGAGAAAACTAATAATAACACAAAAGTGAAAGCATTTCGATTTGAAGCATCTGAAGTCGAATCAAGTACAACGGATCGAACCGCCAATGGCGATGTGTGCTCTCCACCGTAGTCGCCGGTCTCTCTTTCCGTTCCATACAAGACCAATTCCCATTTGACAAGCTCTGCGTCTACAACAATCAGAATATTCACGATGATTGGGAGTTATCAACAGATACCATCCCAGCCGTCATTGTCAATTTCCAGAACCCAAAGACCAGCAGCTTGTTCTCCCCAATTATGAGTCGTCATGAATGCCCAATCGGTGAATCCACTCCGACTATTATCTCTCGTTCGTTTCGTTAATAATGTCGATTTAGTGCCTAGAAGAAGCGCTCAATATTTGTTTTCAACGAGTGTAAATCGTAATTTGCTCGATGCGAACTCAATCAATCTTGCTTAATCGCTTTACTATGAAAAGACGCGAACCTGACGGCGAAGTAAGATAAATCTGAAGGTCGCCTCTCTTCGGCGCTTTTAGTGTGATGATAGCCTGCACGTGTTCGACGTAGTTCACCGTCGAATCCTCGCCGACGCCATAGCATCCATCGCTGTATAATTGAAGTTGTAGTCGATTGCCGTGCGGAATTGTTCTGCAAACCAACGCAATCTGTCTAGAAACCAGACGACAAGCGCATACTTGTATCTCGACGGATAGAATTGTCGACATCGATGCTGAACGTCGACACGCTTCCACACCTTTGCCAATTTCACCATCGCGCCGGCATCCATGAGACCGTAGCCGAATGAGTGCGACACATTACGGCCGACGCCATTTGTCGTCCAATCGCCGGCGCGCAAGTTGATCGGCTTCGCCGTCCGAATCACAATGTGCTGAAGATCGCGCCAAGTGAGATTCGGGTTCGCCTCGAGCGACAACGCGACAATTCCCGCCGCCAGCGGTGCACTCGCCGATGTTCCCGTGTGCATATTGGTGCACGCGTGGTGCAAATCCGTCGTGACGATCATCTTTTCGCCGGTGGCGCCGCTTGAGTACGTCGTCGCCAACGTGCTGCTGCATGCTTCCGAATACCATGGAATGTTGCCGTGCTCGGTTGCCGACGATATCGATAGCGTGTAAATCGAGTTAGTGTACCCGTCGCAATTGCACGAATCCATGTCTTTGCCGCCATTGCCCGACGCCCAAACAAATATGCTGCCCTAGACGAAGACAATTATCAAATTAGGTACTAACAAAACTTTCACTCACTTTTCCTTTTCTGCCCATCGTTATTCCTCTCTCAAACGCATTTTTTGTGAGTTTCGCCGGCCCATCGACAGTCCGTCCATCATCGTCAGGACCCCAGGAAGCGCTAGAACAAAATTTCGATAGAATACAAAAAAAAAACGATACGGACAATAATAAATAATTACCTATAGATATCGATGTAATCGGCGTTGTGGCCAACCGAGGCCGCTTCCACAGCATCGGTCACATCACCATCGAGCATTCGGATTCCTCCGATGTTGGCGTTGTAGGCGATGCCAACAATGCACAAGCTGTTGTTGAAAATCGCCGCGACCTCTCCAGCGCATCGCGTTCCGTGCCGATTCTCGTCAGAATATTCATAGCGCGGCATCGGGTCATTATCACGATCATTCACGTCATACGAAGCGCGGACATCCTGAAATCCAAATCATTCATGCTTTAATGAATCCTCAACGATTCCCTACATAATTTGGCAAAATATCAGGATGCGTTCGTTCCAGGCCATCGTCAAGTATAGTAACCACCACACCTTTGCCGGTGTACCCAAGATCCCAAGCTTCCTTGACATTATGATCCATTTTCGTCGAATCTGATCCGTGTCTTCGATTCTGAAAAGATTCAATTAGGCATGTTCAAATGGGCGCGTTTCACTCACCAGATACCACATATCCGTCCAAAGTGGATCGTTCGGATCAGGATGTTTGCGATTCCTAGACTTGCTCACTTGCGACTCATCGTTCTCGAATATGTCGTTGTTGCCGACGTGACGATATTTTCGATAGTCGCGTTTGACGCGCCGTTTTGCCACTTGCTGCTCCATCCACGTAACGCTGTGATCGTGCTGAAGTTGGTTTAAGCTCAGACTTCTCGTTTTTCGATTCGACCGACTACGCCGGCGTTCGTCACGGAATAAAAAGTATTCATCGCCCGGAATGATCTGCAAAATAATTCGGCGATTTCAATCATCGCTATTAAAACAAAAATCACTTACTGCACCCAAATTTTTGTACCCGTATTTGGCAGCAAGCTCGTCCGCAGTTTTCATCGACCCGCCTTCGATGCGTATTGCCCATTCGTTCGTATACGTCCGACGCATCGGTGAGGCCAATGATGAGATGGTCGGCTAAAAAAAAACGAAAATGGGAAATTTGCTTTAAAACGAGAATAGTGAACGAACCTCATCATCCTCATAAACTGCGTTTGAGTCCTCAAACGAGGCAATCGGTGATATTAAAACGAAAAGAACAAGGGTCACGATTTGAATGGTCACCGAAAGGCGTCTAGAAATGGACGTTTTCTTTATGGGCTATGGTACCAACACCGACCTGTATGTAATTCGCCGTCGAACTGGAGTATTTTCCAGCGGGATGAGATCCATATATATTCAAATTTTAATCAATTAGGTGACGATTCAAAAGGTCGATCCAAAAAATGCGCAGAATGATGAGCTGATCCAATTTTATAACATGATTCAGGTTAATATATTAATGATCTGTAAAAAAATATCTATGGCATGAGTCGCGTGAAAAAGATGAGATCGGATACGTTTCAAAACGAAAATAAGGGATTAGTAGATCAAAGGCTATCAAAAAATGGTTCGATAAAATAATGGCGAATGAAAAGATCATCCGCACCTGCGCTCATGCCGCCGCCGCCGCAACACACCTGTCCAAATGACAATTTCAACCGCTTTTCATCTATCAATCATCGTTTTTTTTCAAGTTTGGGATCTAGGTTCAACATTGAATGCTTATCAGAGGAAGCATTGATGGTGGCAAAAACAGCTAGGAATCAAATTCGCATTCGAATCAAAGAAATCGAGCAAACTCAGGCAAATCAAATAAAATATTTTGAGAATCAAATATTCAGTGATAAACTCTAAAATATTTTGAGAAATTCTAAAGTCTATTGATACTTTCTAAAACTTATTGAGAATCAATAAATTTTAAAAATTTGGAATTTGTAAATTAAATCTTTTGAGAAAGTTAAATCTTTTGAGAAAGTGTAAAGTATCTCAATATATTGTGAGACTTTAAAATTTGAATAGGGCCCTTATGACTTCCACTGACGCAATTTGCGGCGTCTCTTTTTAAGATCTCCTAAATTCCAATAAATAATTTATGTTTTTGATGTTCCTTCCGTTTTTTTTAGCTTTTGGTAATAGTTTCTTCACTTCAGTGATGGACGTATTCATGAAATGCATGTTTTTATAATAAATGTTTAACACTACCTTAAATCTGCATTGTTTTACATGCTGAATTTGAAACAGTTGTGTCTAAACATGTCATTGCATGAACAGGTTCATGAATTTTAAAAACACGCACAATTATTACAATTAATTACAATTATACTTCAGTTTCTAATGATTTCGATATTTTAGAAGATCGGGAAAAGTGTGGAACAAATATTCCAGAAACATTGGCCGATAGATTTAAGGAACGAGGTAAATACAGCAAATTCAATGAGCAGGTGCCCATGTGGATCACGGCCATGGATATTTTCCACCTTTTTCACGAGGGAACACGTATAATAAAAGGTACTTCAATTATGTCTCTCCTTTTTCAGCATTTAAAAATTGAAGATTGTCTTTTAGAAGTCTTCGTTAAAAACGAAATAAATATTTTTCGATGCGAAGCTATTGATGTGAAAGCGAGACTGCCATCTTCGGTAAAGTCGCTATCAGGAAAATTCAATGACATTAATAGGTCCGAAAAAGCTAGTGTAAGTTAATTTACCACTTGCAATTATCATCCTTTGAAGATTTTTGAAGTGAAAATTGTTTCTAACGCCATGATCGGAACCATCCCTCCGTTAGGTTCAGCTGTTGTGTTGCTTATACATGCCTGCTACCGATGGATGGTGTCACCGACTCGCTTAGTTACAAATACAACATTACCAAACAAAGTAATATGGGATCGTTAGCTATGTACATAATAGAAAATTTTTATTTCAGATCGCAGGTATTTGCAAATTATTAGAAATTCTAATTTTAGATGGGGCGCCTCGATTGTTTTCTGGTTCAAAAGTGCACGTATGTCGTTTTTTTTGCAATTTTAAGAGTTATTGAACGTTGTAGCATCATGCTATTGTCGTTGATATAAGAAATAATACTAATGATTACTGTATTTATTGTTTCAGCAACTTATATACCATTTGTACAGTAATGTCAGGCGGTGTGGTCAGCTGTCGGCAATAAGCACGCAAGCGCATGAGCACATTTATCACGTTATCAAGAGAAACATGTGCTCGGAACAGACAAACGGGATTGGATATAGTATTTTGAGAAAGTTAGACTCATTCAGTTATTTTTTAAAACTGGCAATTTTCAGCTATAAACTATATCACGAGATTGTGACTTCATTGAAAATGCGTTTCAACGCGAATCCGGATTTAATTAAGAAGTCATTTTATCGCAAAGAACTCATGAAATTAATCGAAAAACGACAAATTCAATCATCAAAATTTGTAAGTTCAACATTTTCTTTCAATATATGCAACGAATTCCTTATAGCAACGTTGTGCGTCATTCGCAGAAAAAGGAGAAAATGCGAAAAGAATAAATTGACTCATTTATTTTTTTCTGATTTTTATTATTAATATATTCATTTCGCATTAATATTGTAATAAATGAAATGTTCATACATATTCAATTATTATGGATGTTATTACATTCTATTTGTGTGAAAATTGCTCGATAACGTATGATATTACATAATATTGGACAGAGTTTATTGAGAACAATCTAAAATTTATTGATATATTCTAAAGTTTATTGAGACAAATCTAAAACTTATTGATACACTTTAAAGTCTCACAATATTCATTAAAACTTATTGATAAATTCTAAAATCTTATGAGATTTCCTAAAGTTTATTGAGACAAATCTAAAATATTATAGAGACGCGTTAGCCTCTCAACGAACCTCATAAGATTTTAGAATTGTCTCAAAATATTTTTTTTTTCATTTGCCTGAGAATGCCGGTGTTTATTATGTAGAAGCATCGGCAAATAAAGATGATAAGATTAGCGGAGAGAAAGAGAGAGAGGATTTACGAGAAACAACAATATATAACACAATGAGCTGAATAAATATAATTGACCTAAAAGAATACAACGCGCGCGATGACACTTCTTTTCGGTTGAAGCGCGGTTTTGTTACCACGCAGGTGTACCAGCCTGATCAAATATTTGGTTATATATATATATATATATATCCATTCTTAGTGTTCGTTTACAGCAGGCAACGAAAACGAGGAGATGGCTAATTGTGTTCAATACTAATAAACGCCTTACTGCCAGACCGCCAAAAAAGACCTTGGCGTTCTGAACCAGCCTCCCCCCCCTGGAGGGAGGGCGCTCTCTATTGTATTCAATTCGAAACCAGCTAGAAACCAGCTAGAAACCAGCTAGAAACCGAACCGAACCGACGTCCGACTAATTCGAATCGTCCGCCCACCCTCCTCTGCCGTCTTACTTCTCGACGGCAGCGGCAACGGGCGCCACGAAAACTTGTGCGCGAATTGCAACCGATTGCATGAACATATTTGAATCGAGAAAAAAAATTTATATAAAACACAAATTAGTGTCCAAACAAAACGAAACGAGTTGAGCTTCCTTCCACCCACCGCTTTTTTTCGGGCAATGAGCTGGTTCAAAACTCTGCCTCTTTTCCGTCTCGCGAGCGAATTTCAAGCTTTTTCGAGTGTCCTCTCGGACAAGCAGACTTCATTAAATTAATTAAGTATGCCCTTGTATGGCGGCACTCGATTCGCACACTCAATGTGCTCGTTCTGATTATTCAAGTATCTAAGAGACAAGGCAACAAAGTGCACGGCGAATTTAAAAAAAAGAATGAAATGAAATGAGAGAAGTGCTCGATTTACTGTTGGTTTACGAGTTTTCTCATGATAAACCATAAATCGGTCTGGTTTCGTGGCGGCGACACCATAAAATACTATGGTTTTATTGGTAAGAAAGGTTGAGATAAAGTGAGAATTCGGCACTTGACCGATTATGCTCTATTATTGAAATATGGGCGGTAGAAACGATATACAGTATTTCAAGGCGCATAAAACGAAAAACTAGAAGCTCAAAATATTCGCGAAAAATATTTTGAATATATATACATACAAATTTTGCATAATAATTGCTTGCTTTGTAACCAGGAATTGATAAACACGGAAATAAATAAAATATATATTGGTCTTGACACAATTCCTATAGAAATTGGTGTGGAACACACAAATAAACGAAAAGGCTCGTGTCGTACAGTGATGAACGAGGTGCGAAAAAAATATGAGAGATGCGTGGAATGTGGGCAGATCGATCGGAAATGAATAGTTGGCAAAAATTAGGAAACGAGGCATAAATATGTGATGGTGTGTGGGTTAGGGCCGTAAAACGAGGCGGAATCTGGTCAAGTGGTTCTGAATAGCAGCAAACGCTCTTTGCCTCTATGACTAACACTTCTCTATTCATCCCGCACAAATAATACGCCCGGGCATCATCAGAATAATAATAATAATAATACTAATAATACCAATATAACAACATATTGGGTTTTTGGGTGGGAAAACGCGTCACCCCCCTCAAGACGAGATCACTGTTCGAATCGCTAATGTGAGAACATGAATGTTTTATGTGGGGTGTGCGCGCGAGCGGGCAGCACTAAATTCAAATTTTATTAGGCTTTACTTTTTTTATGGGAGACCGCGTAGCTCGTCTTGTGAGCAACACCAACACCGGCGCTCACGCACACACACACACACACAGACACAAAGACTCAACGGAATAAAAAACGAAGCATTTGGCGGTATCAAATTACAGACAAAGCGAGAGACATCCGAATATGGAAATGAACCGCCCGTCTCATTGGCAAAAACGGGAGGAGTGATTTCAAAACGTTTCGAATACATAATGATGGTGCTTATTGACGGGGGAAGACCAAGGTCAGATTAGCATACGGCGAGAGGCGAATGGAGAGCGAAAAAACACACACACACATACGAGATGGACACCAAGAAGTGGCAAAAACACCAACCATAATGAGGCATTCTTCGACATTCGCTCCATATGACGTATATATATATAATAAATTGATTGATGATATGTGTAGGTCTCATCTATCTCGAATATTCGATGGCTCGTGTCTGTGGGCGAGATATCCGGAATCAGAACATTGCTATTTTTTTTTACTCCCCACAAAACAAAAGAGATATATCGAGATAAATCCGCGGTGGTTTTCCCTTGTGGAGCATTCATGGAAAATGATGAATTGTCGCTTAGTTTTGCATTTTCAAAATAAAACATTTTGATCCGCAGAAAGCGAAATTCCGAATGTACATATCGTTGAATGCGATCAAAGCATAGAATTCGAGAGTGTCGTGTTAATCGGAATGTAAAAAAATGGCGGCAGATGAATTCGTTGCGGGGGATTATGGCCGAGAATCAATTCTTTCTGGGAAACGGACAATAACTCAAACTTTTCATTTTAAACAAATAATTTATAAATTGATTTTTAATTTCTTGCAAATCCCTCTTATATGGCAACTTTCAGAAGCTATCCATGCAATAAAAATTGTAAAAAAAAACAGCAAATTTAATGTAATTCTTTAGTTTTTTTTTAAATTTCAATAGGTACATTATTGACCCTTCAAAAAAGCGGAAATCTATTTAAAAAGTCGGGATCACCATATATGGCTGAAGTATACACCAAGACAAAAACTTGCACACATTTCAATTTTAAATGGTGCTTTTCTTTGAAAAAATATGAATTAATTAAATAAAATGGCAAAAATGATAATAGAAAAATGTCAAATAGGTCGTTAAAAAAAAATTAAAAATTGCGAGATCATCCACGTGGCAAAATTTCACGAGAAAATGCCTTTTCCTCAGAGCAACATGATGCGGAAGCACGTGATTACGGTAACTTCTCGAGGCGAGCGAAGTAATCATGAAAACTCGAAACTCGTGACAAAATTTGTCAATAATCTCGCCAAATAAGGCGATTTCACGTAAATCGCTCATTCGCATGCAAAATGTTTTTCTTTTGAAATGTGGAAGACGAGTAATGAGTGAGATGTCGCCAGAACAAAGAAGGAATGAAAAAAAAAACACTCATTTCCATTCGTTTTGTTTTTGGCACTGCCTTTCGATTTAATTATAGAAATTCAAAGGACCGACGCGAATTCGACAAACAACACCTATAGAGATCTCCAAAAAGTTTGTGGCGAATAGTGCAAATACGCCATCATGAGCAAATATCGAGCCAATTTTTTTCTTGCGAGGCACAAAACAGAACAAAACTCGAGTAATTTGATGATTGGGAACAAAAAAAATGTATTCGAGATTGAACAAAAAAATAGACAAAAATAGTAATGGAATACGCTGACGAAAATAATAGAAGTTTGGGGGTGCTCGCCGCAAAAAGAGTTCGTCGCGGAGATTCGAGACATGCCGAGAAAACGGTTCGAACATGTCAAGACACCCGGCCGAGCGGAGAGACGCTTGGTGCTCAATGACAGGTGGTCGCGATGTCCGCCACTATTCCCCCTCTTTTTTTCGCCTATTGTCTCAATCAGAACACTTAATTTGGCCAACAAAAAACTCATAATTAATCGGCATTAATAATTTAAAAACTGAAAAAAATTAAATTCAATGTCTTGACTTTAAATTTTCCAGAATGGTTAAAAAAACCCCCACATCCTATTAACACATATATAAATCACCTGTTTCAATTATAATATTTTTGTGTTCTTTTTTTTGCTTGCTGGCTTACATTTGGGATTTCAGCTTTGTGAAACGTCTATTGTTGCCTATTTATGATTCTCTACAGCATGTGGATAAAATATAATAAGCCAACGAATTTCGATCAACTCGGGCAATCTTTGAAAAACGCAAATCTTGATGATTGGCGTGATTTGATAACGATTTCAAACTATTTCAAAAAAACCTCGCTCAATTTGATAAGACTGGCTGATTAAGAAGCTTCAACATCTTTTGATGATATCGAGATACTGATAGAGGCTCGTTTCGCCGATGAACTCGTATCAATTTCTCGCACTTTCATTCGTCACGTCTCATCGAGAGCAATTAATTAAAATTTCACCTGGGAACGCGGTAACGTTTAATGTGCGAATTCGCCGCCTGGCGGGGTTTTTTTTTGGGGGCGTAATCTGGTTTCTAGGCACATGTTGAACACATTGAAATAGTGGTGGGGTTCGCAAATGTTTCAAAAAACGACGAATGGGGATTTTGGGAACAATATTTTGATGAATGGGTTTTTTTTCGGTTTCTCGTTCTCAATTGATGACTCACTCGTCCAGCTACTTGATTTCGAAATTGTTTTTGTTTTCGTACGACGCTGGGTTTGTTTGTTTTTTTTTTTGAAATTCCTTTTGAGGTTAAAGTTATAAAATTATACGACGGAATTTTATGTGTAAATTCAATTCATAAAGGTTTTGAAAAGGGAAACGCGGTTAATCAAATAAGTGAAAATTGGTGGGAGGAAAGTACGCAAAGTGTCGTCATTGTGTTGACAGAGGTGCCCCATAATTGCAGACAAGGAAATGCTAAAATTCGAGGATGTCAATTCGATTAAGCGGGAAAATTTCAATTGGGAAATGTCCGCAGCTGAGAAGCCTTATGCAGTTTGCAATCAGTGTTACGCATATCCAATTTCCGCTTTAATAAACCCGATGGAGTTCCATTTCGAAAATAATTTATTTATATTTCTGTCTCAAAAACTATATATTTTCAAGGCTGTCATAAAAATGGGCAACTCATTTGAGTAAATGAGGTTTTCAAACGCAAAACCAAAAAAAAAGGCGTTCAAAACGCGTTTTTTTCGGTGCCGTTCGTGCCGCCCAAAATTGCGACTTGGTCCAGCCGAAATATGCAAAGAAAAGACAAAGAATGCAGTGTTCAAGAAGAAGCAACACGAACAAAAAAAATTGAAGGATGGACACAAAATATCCGTCAAATTTGCAACACAAAACGAGAAAAAAACGTGGAAGAAGAGCGAACAGTGGTTTATTAAAGGCGCATACCACGCAAAAAGTATCGAAACATTTGCGGGTTTTGGCATTGACACATACGCGAGAATTCAATTTCTCTCGGCTGAAGGAAGAAGGCGATGAGAATAAGAAGAAGGAGGTGACGAAGAGGTTTCCGAATCTAAATTGAATAAAACCGACAGAATGACACACACTGCATGCGCATATTCACAAAGCCAAAACCTTATTTGGAAAAAAAAAAGGCACCATTTTGCTGTAATAACCAAAAATCAAAATTCCTTTACAAATGGCAAAGATCATACTCATACATAATAAATTGCATGATTCATTCGGACATAATCGAATTGTGTCAAATATCTCCTTGTTCGGACTCCGAACAGCTGACCTGAACGCATTTTTTTGGTAGATTTGGAAAGCTATGACGGCAAATTTCACTCTTTTCAACATGTGTTGCTTGAAGAATGTTTCTATCATAGCCAGAGGGGTCTCGAAACGATTTTGTAATGAATTAGGCGTTCATACTTTCAATATTTTTTCTTCTTCAAAAAAAAACTTTTGCTTCCATTATTTTCTTTTTTCTTCCGCAAAAGCATCCCCCCCCCAATAAGTGAATTCTTCAAAAATTTTCCATATGACCTTCAAAATTGGCAAGGATTACGGTAGGCGGGACTTGTTCTAGTGAGAAAACCAAGTAAAAACAACTTTCGAATTCACTTTAGTTTGACGAGACCATTCAAAAATCGCGCTAGTTTTTTGATTGCCTTTCACGCACTTTAATAATAGGTTTACTAATAAAATGGTTTGAGAGGGGTTGCGGATGAAAAGACGAGACGAAGGAATCTAATTTGAGCTCTGCTATACCTCATCGCAGCCGGCGAATTTGCATTTAGAGTGAAAGATACAAATCTTATCGTCGCCACAAATCGCCTATTATGATTGTGTGGCCGAACACAATTGGGCGAAAGCGAGACGAATGCAAAAGCACGCCATATATAGAGATGGCGTGCGGTCGGCTCGGTCGACGAGCCGCCACCAAAATCGCCGATGGACGAAAGAAAAATGGCAACTCTACTTGTTTTGTGTTGGGCGAGTGCACACGCGTTTGTCTGTTTGCGAGTGTTTGTGTGTCTGCATGGAGCACCCAAAATCCGTGCACCACACTTTTTCCCCAACATAAATGACGGCGGCAAAGTTCAAAACCACATTTGAATATTCAAAATTGATGGCCATGATTTTTTTTTGCCGCCAGCGAAAACTCATTTGAATACTCGCAACATTTTTCCTTTTCTGCGCGAAATTCTGCAAAACGCCAGCAAGGGTTTTTCATAAATTCTAAATAAGGAAATGAATTCAATATTTGGCAGACCTTGATTTTTTTTCTTTGCCTTATGAACTCATTCATGACTAATTTTCACTTTTATTGATTATGTACAAATCGGGCATGCAGAACGAAAAATAAACACGAAAAGAACACTGGGGTGAATCGAACAACAAGAACAACGCTAAGCGCAAAACTACGAAAGATCTTCTGAGAATATGAAAAGGCATAAAGAAAAGAAAGCTTCAATTCGAAATAAAGTCAATTAATAAAGGGTAACAAAAAAGAGAGACAACCCGCTATAATTCTCAGTCGCCTGAATTCGCACGAAAGTCTTAAACCAATAATTGCTCATAAAACTATTGATCACCGAATAAAAAACAAAACAACTATTCAACAAGACTATCTGTGACTAATTATTACTAAAAAAAAGGGAGAAAAATCGAAAACCAAATGGATTTCTCGTTTTACGGCCTTTTATGGGAAGCTGATGGGGAACTCCAAGACCGTACTTTTTCGGACATTTCCTGTACCTCATTGGTTACCTGCAAAAGGAGTGCACCGTTTTCAAAATGTCGCAAAATCTCCGCATTTTTCTACCAAATGGTAACGAAAAATACCTTTGTTGTGAGAGTCTCGTACTCTTTCTTGATGTTGTCAATAACCCATTCGACACCTTGTCGTCCTTTATTCGCATTTTGTGAATAGATGCTTAAAAACGTCTTCTCACAATAATCGGCGAAGGCGGGTAGTGTTATTGTCACGCTGACGTCTTGTTTTAAAACTGTCCTGAAAATTGCGAACAATGTCATTTTCATAAAAAATGTTTGCACCAACTTTGTAGGGTCATCTTCCAAGGGCTTATATGTCAATTTTTCGTCAACTCGAAGAAACGAAGCGCCATTTAACTGAAAATAATAAGAAGTTTTATTATCAATAATAAAAAATCGTACGTTTCGCGTTGTTAGCAGCAATTCCTTCTTCGTTGGATCAATAACCGTGTACTCATGGGAGTATTGCGTCCCGGAAAATCCCGTGAGCTGAAAAGGTTCTTTGATCAACGCTTATCGCAAAACAACTGATGCATGGGGTCTTCAACCCAATGTCAATGTCACTTTATTGATAAGAAATGTGAATACCTTTGTAGCCCATCCCGGAATATGGAAATGTGATTGTATAATACGTTCCGTTAAAATTTTACCGGCGTCTAGTGTTTGCCTTATTACATCAATACCTGAAATTTGGGAATTTTTTATGGCTCATTAAACATTGAGAATTCGAATTTCTGCTCTAGGGATTCTCTATTTATGCAAACTATTGAACAGATATTTCGCAAGCGTAGTTCTCCAATATTTGCTCATTCAATAGTCGCAACAAAAGAGTTACGCAAAGGAAATGATGATGAAAACGCAAATAATTACCTGTAACTGCACTATTCAATGGATTTGGATACTTCTTGAATGCTGCCATTGCGACAGTTTCCCATTCATGACTGAAATTGAAAAAAAAAAATTAATTGTTGAAAAAAGTGAACAGTTGGTGTTACAACTGAAAATTTTCCGCAATACAACTCAATAATATGAAAAAATTGAAGTAAAAAACGATTTTAGCCACATAAACAATAACTCACTTAAATACGTGCTCGCTTGTCCAAATTCGCATCGGGCAATAGTGTTATAATCTGAAATAAATTCAAATTGAAATAAAACAATTTGAAAAAAGTAATCAATTAAAGAGTTTAAGTAAGAGAGAAATGGTTATTAGTGTGTAAACGAATATAAACAAAAATTTTACGTGAAATAAAAGAATACAATGTCAAAAATCACATGAATTGAGCAATAAAAGTCACGAGAAATTTATTGGGCATCGAAAGCAAAGAACATTCATTACGAGGCTCCGGTATTTACAATCACCCGACTTTTAACTAAGGGCGAAACGTAAATAGCGGAGCATCGTTGCTTTCTTTTTATTTTTTTTTCACTTTCTTTCCTTATTTTTCCCAAGTTTCCTTCGAATTTTCAATTACTTTAATTTCTCTATAATGGAAAATATGTTTCTTTACTATACCTTACATAAAGTTAAGGTGAATTTTTGAATATTCCTTGATTTTTATGGTTATTTGATAGGATGATGCAAAATCGCTTGTTTTTAATTGCTATCACTTTTTAAATGAATATGTCACCAGGTTATTGGAAAACGCGATGTTTTAAATGCTTGTTTTTCTAAATTTTTCATTCTTATGTTATTACAGATATAATGGGTTGGTTTGGCTTTGGCGGCAGCTCTAATGAAACAACGGCGCCTTCGTCGTCAACAGTAGACAATCCAGCATCAACCATGGATCTCAGCGGTGGTATTAACTTTTCAACTCCTTCTGGATTTGATGCACCTTCGAATGTAACTTGAAATGCTAATCTGTATAATTTAAAATACCATTTTACAGGATTCTGAAATGTCCCACTCGCCATTCCCAGCTGCTCCTGTTCTAGCTCTTGATCAATTAAAATCCGCTGGTGTAAATGTTTCGAGACAGATGACCCCATATGTTCAGGTTATTTTAATTTTGCGCATTTAATGCTGAGTTCGAAGAAAATTCAGATGGACCCCTCAATGTTTGTGTCTCAATCTCCTCAATATATTATGCCGGAAGGAGGTGTTACTGGTAAAGGCAAATTTGAATTTGCTCTAGGACATATAGGGTAAATTTTTTAAATTGCTTTCGTTCAAATACAATTATTATCGATTGTCAGATGGGCTGTTGGTGGTGGATTTGCCGTGGGGTGTGCGCGAGGTTTCTTCGGAGAACTGATGAATCCCGAGACACGAAAAATGGTCGGAAAACCATGGATGACTCGTATGGTTAACGCCACAATGAAACATGGTTCTGGATATGCCCAGCCAGCCGGTAAATTTTATTTGAAAGTGAAAAAATAGCTATTTTTATCAGGAGCCGTTGTCTTCATGTACTCTGCCCTTGAGATTGGATTGCGATCAGTTCGTGCTGAAGATGAATTAAACTCCTTTGGAGCTGGAGCGATGACTGGGGCTATTTATCGAAGCCCACACGGATTAAGAGCCAGTGGAATTGGTATGATTTTGAAAAATAAATTTATTCGATTAATTTTCGTTTCAGGTGCTCTTGTTGGATTGGGAATTGCTACCGCTTGGACCCTTGCTAACCCCGATTCGAGACAAAGACTGACAGATATGTTTTCGAATTAAAAAATTTTCGTGTTTTCTTTTGTTTTCTATAGATCTTTAGACTTGTTGTTCTCGTTGAATATAAAAAGTTCTCGTTGAATATAAAAGAATTAAAAAATGTTCGTGTTTTCTTTTGTTTTCTATAGATCTTTAGACTTGTTGTTCTCGTTGAATATAAAAATTAAATAATAATTTCGCAAAATCTTTATTGTACAGAAATGTATTTGTATGTTGAAGAAGCGATTTAAGCGCGAGCGCGTCTTCTGTTGTACTCTCCAGTTGGAGCAATTGCTGGAGCTTCGGCGACTCCATAGTCAGCAGTTCGCTTCGGGCATGGACAGTAAGCGGCATCAGCTCCTGGCTCACCGTTTGGTCCATTCTCTCCCTGTGGTCCCACTGGTCCGGTCTCTCCGTCTTTTCCTGGGGCTCCGGCTGGTCCCTGTGGTCCTTCCTTTCCTGGAGCTCCATCCTTTCCGTTCTCACCGTCTTTTCCTGGGGCACCAGCTGGTCCCTGTGGACCTTGTGGACCCGGGGCTCCCTTTCCGCGCTTCTGCAATCGATGGAATCAGCGAAAGCAAATTGCGCTGGTGAACTTACTCCGTTTTGTCCTGGGGCTCCTGGAGCACCGTCTTGTCCGTTCTCACCATCGTTTCCGGCATCTCCTTGTGGTCCTGGGGCTCCTGGAGCTCCATCCTTTCCTGGAAGTCCCGGCTGTCCTGGCTGTCCGTCTGGTCCTGCCGGTCCAGCTGGACCGTCGGGTCCTGCTGGTCCTGGAGCACCGGCTGGGCACGAGATGCATGGCTGCTGATCATAAGGATCCTTGGCGGCGGCGACACCATCCATTCCATTATTTCCAGCGACTCCTGGAGCACCATCCTCTCCTGGCTCTCCTGGCTGTCCTGGTGGTCCCGGTGGTCCAGCTGGGCAGTTGTTTGGCTGAGGACCGCAATTGCACGAGGCCGATCTCTTGTTGCGCTGGAAGATGAATCCTTCAACCGATTTGATTCCGCTGTCAGCGGCCTTCACAAGCATGATATCCTTCCAGGTGTCTTTGGCAATGAGCTGAAAATGAGATGAAGTGCAACTCTCGAGAGATGTGTCAAACCTCGAACTCCTTCATATCCTCAACAACCTCCGAATGCCATGCGTTGATGTCGTTGAACAAAAATGTGATGTAGATGAGACAACCGAAGATGACGGCGCCCGAGCACGCCGAAACGGTACCGATGAAAAGCCTTGACATGCTTGCTGAATGAAGCCGATGCGAACGGGCGGCAGGTGTCGCATTTTATACGAAATTCCAACCAGGTGTAATCTGAGTTAAACACTCGGTTTTTATCTCGAAACTTCATCTTTCAAGTTTTTACGCATTTCGTTTTCGAAATTGCATAATAGGGGAGATCGTATCAGGTCAAATTGTAACAAGTGAAGCTTTGATGAACAACACATTACTTTTCGGTGATTTCAAAAAATTTGATGGCTTTTAGCTTCCGCTTAAATTCTGCTTGTAAAAATGTTAATAAAAAAAAGTATGTGAAAAAAATTAAAAAAAAAAGACTTTGACGTGATCTAATTCAATCAACAAACATCATCCGAATACCATCTATTTCCCAGTTTTCATTAAAATTCAAATGAAATGAATTCTCAACTTCAATTCGGTCCAGTTTTGAAGCTTAGACACGAGCAGCCGTCTCATGAGTAAGTGCCTTCAATGGTCCGCTGGAACATTAGCTGCGAATTCAGTCAATCTGCGAGCTACGCGGAATCTGAAACTGGTAATTGCGTTTCGCTGTATTCGTTGGCTTCCACCAAAACGTTGGGCTCGCATTGGAAACGAGTTGCCACCGAAAATGTGACGTCGAGCAGTTTTTCTGAGGCAACAATGGTCTCCGTAAGATTTTTTGATTGAACCGAAATTCATTGCGGATTCTCTCGGCTTTCAGAATGGTGAAGATACTATAAAAAGTTTGAAGGAATTGTGCGAATCGCAAATGTGCGACATTCAATTGGATAATGTCATTGAGCTTTTGGATGTATCGAATGTTTTACAAATTTAAGATTTTATAAATTAATAACAGATAATGAGAAAGTGCAAAAATGATTTAAAGGAGACTATTGGGGAAGGGTCGGATTTTCTAGCGAATTGTTGCGATGAGCGAAAACTTTGCATGGACAAGGTGGTTTCGAATCGAGCCCGGCCACTTGAAACACGTGCATTTCAGATGCTATCAAAATTGGAATCTCTTGAGAATGAGGCCAACTCGGCGGAATGTATCATGGCAGTGAATGGCGAGCGTTTTCTCGATAGCACTCATGAAATAACGGAAATGATCGAGGACAAGGCGAAAATTGAAAAGTTTGTGAATCGATTCGTTTCATTACCGCAGAAATCATCGACTGCTCTCCTTTATATTGAGGGAAATCAGAGAAAAGCGGACAAGATTCGCAATTTGGTCGGTTTCGCGCGTTTTCTTTTTCTCTCATTTCACCGATTTCAGCTTGATTTCAATCGTATCGAGCATGAGCCATTAACAATTTTTGAGCACGAGGATTATCGTGTCAGTCAAGTGGTCGACGCGTTGTCCAATTGGATTGCGAAGCTTCCGCTCAACACCGATGAACGACACCGAATGTGGGACAAAATTCAGAACACTGAAATCGGTGATGTGGAAAAGTGCGATTCCGTATTCCGCGAGCTGATTTCAATGATGCACAAATGGAATGATGTATTTAATAATGATAGAAAATGAAATGTGATTTTCAAATTCTCAGAGGAAAACAATATTGTCGAGCATTCCACCAATCTCATTGCACAATTGTTCTTCATCGTTCTCTGAGGGAAGTGTATACACCGATTATGATCCGACACGGTACAGTACACATTCAACTACAACGGATTCCGTAATTGACGACTTGGATGCGAAGCTCCGAGAAAGTTTGATTCGCACTGCGGTTCAGGCACCAAATCCAAAAATTTCTTTCGGGTGATCATTCGACACGACATCTTCAATATCACTTGTTTTCAGAAGTTGGTCATCGGCATCAAGCATCGATCACATGTTCGATCATTCAAATGATACAAGCCGCTCGAGCATCCAGTCTGTTCAAGAACCCATGTCGCTATCATCCTACGAGTTTCGAACAGCAACTCACTCGCCGACATCGAATCAAGACTATGGTATAATATTGCAAAAAAGAAAGCAATAGTCAATTAATGATTTTTCACAGATTCCGATATCAAGACAGCGCTTTCGGCGGAAGATTCTGTTGTTGCTCCACATGGTCCGAGAACACCGGAGAAGCTAGTCGAAGAAAAACGTATTCATGGTGAGAATCCATGTGTCGACATGTCGGCGATTGATGAAACCATTTAGATGCGACGTTGGATTCAATTCCGAGTAACGCCGACGTATCGTTTTCGACGGTCAGCCTTGCCGATATGATCGACGATGCCCTTCACACTGCCAAAGAGGCGGTTTCGTCGATCGACAACACCGTTCACGAAAAGGCGCACTCGCTTCTCGAGGCACTTCATAACAGCGCGACAAAGTGTGGAGTTTCGGTTTCGGTACAATCTGCCGAGAGCATTCAACTAATTTCAATAATTTACAGAAATTGATGTCCGGAGCAAGCGCGTCGAGCAGCGAGAGCGAGTCGCACACACAAAGCTCTTCGTCTTCTTATAAGTTACCATAATTCATTTTTAAGTTCTTGTTCAATCGAACAATAAACTAGTTTATTTCAAATTGCAAAACAAGAAACCCGAATTTGAAAATGAGAAAATTTAAATTAAAAAAAAAAAACTATTTGATCGTTTTATAAACGAGTGGCTTCGATGGCATCGTTGCCGGTTTCAAGGGTTTGTCGTTCGTCTTCGCGAAGAACGGATTCATCTAAACTCGAGATATTCAAAATTGTTATTCGAAATTTTTTCTTGTATCGTACCTGTATATCTGGGACTAATAGCGACTTTCTCTTCGATATGCTTCAAATCGGGAACCGAGTACAATAATTTGCATGTAATTCGAGTCATACTATCTGAAATTCGCTTCAGGTAAAATTCCAGAATCCTAATGAACAATTACCATTAAATTTCATTAAAATCTCCGGCATTTTCTTCGGTTTCATGAATACGAGGTACAGAATCAACCCGAAAATAACAAGGACCATGCCAACCAATGTTTCCTAAGTTTGTCATTTATAAACAAGTGTCTCGAATGGAAAGATTACCTTTGTCTCAGTGACGAAAGGAATAATGACAAGTGCAATCGTAATAACTAAAAAGAGGATCGAGAAGATGATTGGGACTTGAATCGCGCCTAAACCAGTATTATATTTCATTTTTTCTTTAACTTCTTCTAAATATACCTTGATCAACTTCCATTTTTCGAATTCGAATCCACAAAAGTGCCGCCATTGTGACGATTCTCTGCCCAAACATCACGAATGCGACATAATTGATGAGATCATTCGTATTGATAAATGTCACCGCAATGGTGCAGATCAGCTGAAAACCTTCTCTCATCACATCTCATCAGAGTTTGCGTCTACCTGGAATAGGAGAGCCGCTCTTGGACTATTGGAATCTTCGTTGATGCAACTCAAAAATGTTGGCAGGTGGCCTTCTCTAGCAGCCGCATGAGTGAATCTGATATATTGAAATATTTCAAAGAATGATAATTTGAAAATTACCTCGATCCGCAGAAAATGTTGCTGTTGAGAGTGCCGATCAAAAGAATGGCGATCATAAATGGAATTGCGTAGGAGAAATTGCCCAAAGTTGCTTGCGCGAACTCCGCCGCCACCGCTGTGCTGTTCATGATTCTGTCCTTCGGCAGAATCACCATATACGAAACATTGATGGCAACGTAGAGAGTCGTGACAGCCGCAATTCCACCGATGAGCGCGATTGGCATGGTCCTGCGCGGTTTTCGAATTTCCGGTGTCCCATAATTCAAAATATCCCATCCAGCGAAACTCCAAAGTGCTCCGTAGAAGGCCAATGAGATCGAGCCGGGATCCGTAGTGCTGCCGGCAAACGGATGGACAAGATTCTGGGTCCAACCTGAAATGCCCAATACTACTTTTGCTTTCCTGATCAACTCGTTGCACCTTTAACAATCAGATAATAAAAACCAGTCACAATAATTAAAGCCAATGATAACAGTTTTGCAATCGTGACCGCAACTTGGAATCGGGACGCGTATTTGTCGATGGCGTAGAGATTCAAAACAGTGAGTAAGACTAAAGAAAAACACAATTTCGGTCTGAAATTGGCAAATATTTGAGCAAATACTGATAAGCGCGAATCCGAGTCCTCTTTCCGTTACTTCCTTCCAAGGATCCTCAAACTGAATGACCGGGTCTAATCCAGCTACTACGTATTGTCCAAAAGTTTGAGCTTGTACCGCGGCAGAAGCTGGAAATGACATAACCACTCCAACCCACATGAATGAAAATGCAATCGCTTCCCATCCAACAAACACCTGAAACCCAGAAAAATCGATGATTTTGATTTTGTTATTATTTAACAATCTCACATTATAAGCAAAATCGCATCCAGGTTCAAGAATCGAAGTTCCAAGCTCAATGTAGACAATACCGCCTGCAAGTGCTTCCGTTTGCAAGCCAATTATCAACTCGCTCATTTTCATGACCGAATTTTATCAAGACGGAACGCAAAATTCGCGTTTCATAAAAAAATATTGAACGAACCAATGAGAGAGATCAAACCGCAACCGATCCAGACGATTAATGCGAGACCATTCGATTGTGAGTAAGATAAAATTGGTCCCGGCGTTATAAAAATACCAGCTCCAACAATATTTGCTAGAATAAGTTTTTTTTTAATTCAAATTATTTAATGGTTTGAATTTTACCAATAACGTAGCTCATACATGACCATAGGCCCATCTGATGTCGACTTGCTGCCTCATTGTCAGCCATTTCTGTCAAATTACCAACATTTTAGCATTTTCAAGCACAACTCGCGATATATTCAAGTGAACACTGACAATAAGACGATCGAAACAAAACTGATGTAAGTAGTATAATTTATTTCATGTAAGTATTTTAAATCACAGTAATCCGACTAATACCAGGACTATTTAACATGGTGGAGTGTTGTAATCAACTAAGGTACAGAAGACAGTACAGAAAAAAAACGTGATAAGGGCGAGTGAGGAGAATGCGATAAGGTGCGAATATTCTGCTTATTTTTTGAAGATCGCTGTTACATCAATCTGTGCGATGGGATCATTTGGATCAGGTCTTCTGAATGAAAAGAAAATCACCGATGGACAGAATTCATAAAAACCGGTATACCTGATATTCTGCCCGAAACCAGCTCGGAATTCAGAATTCGTCGTCATTGGCTTCAACGGATTGGCCATCTCGTACGAAACACTACTAGTAGTGCTTAAAGATAAAGTCTAAAGCGGAATCATGACGCTATTCATTGCGAATCGAATTACCGTTGGCGGTGTTGCAGCATTATTCGGAGCAATTTGCTGAGGCATCGGAAGAACGGCAACAGCTGGCCGCGGTGAGCTCACCGCGGCTTTACTTTGCGTTTTATCCGGATCGTGCTGATGCGAAGCCCGCCGAAAATCCGGCTGATTTTGAAGATCTGAACAATTCATTTCGAAATAAAAGCAAATCTCGAGTTCTCACTTTGCACATTGCTCTGAGTCGGCGTGATTGGTGGCGGCAGATTCATATTGTCGAACAGAGAGGAAAGAAGATCCTAAATTAGTTATTTTAGGGTAAGAAAATTTTATAATTTTTTTGAATTACCACATTGCTAGTCGATGAATTTGTTGGAGCTCCACCATTTGGTGCATGGCTACTTTGTACAGATGGTTGTGGTGGAGGCGGATTTTGATTTACTGGAGGATTTTGATTCACCGGTGGTTCTTGAATATTCGGAACGGGATTCAATGAAGAATGCCACGGTGACTGCTAAAAAAAAAGAATCAATTTCAATTTTAATTTCTCGTTTCCATGTTTCACCTGCAAACCATCATGCCATGGTGAAGCTGCTCCAGATTTCATCCAATTATTCGCAGCAGCGCCATTTTGCGGTTGGAATCCTTGAGGATTTTGAGGAACTGCTGAAGTCGACAACTTCTGCGGCGGCGGATTATATTGCGGAACCACGTGATTATTTAGAGCCGGTGTCGTCGAATTGGCGTATGATTCAGGGAAAGCAACGTTCTGCTGATAATTGGCCTGCTGACCAAATCGCTGTGATGCCGATGTTTGCGGCGCTGGTGGCTGAACAGGCGTCATCGTTCTTGGAGCTCCAGCTGGCATCTGATGATTCGGCGGCTGGTTGAACTGCTGCGACGCAGTGCTTGACGGTTGAATCTGCTGATTTTGATGAGGTACTGCACGTGGAGCAGCTGGTTGTTGCGACTGATACGATGGAGTTTGATGCGTTGGAGCCGGTGGATGTTGTTGGTAGATTTGCGGTTGATTATACTGTTGATATCCTGGATTAGGCGGCTGATAGGGCGGAAGTTGTCGATATTGTTGTTGTGGTGCAACAGGCGGTACTCCAGGTGTCGTCTGGTTACTGTACGTCTGTGGCAGTTGGTGTGTTCCGGACTGCGGGCTTATATTCTGTGAAACTTCTGGTTGCTGAGTAGCTGATGAAGCCGGAGGAGCTCCGGGTTGATAAGCGTTGTACTGATGCTGTGGAGCAACTGCTCCTTGTTGAATAAAAGGTTGATGGGCATTATAATGATTTACAGTTGCAGCCGGGGCCGAATACTGCGGTTGATAGCCTTGCGGATTACTGTATTGCGAAGGAGCAGGCGTCGGCGGAGTTTGATATCCATGAGGCGTCGTAACTGGCTGCTGTGTTGGCCACATCGCCGGATTTCCAGGAGTGCTCACAACTGAGCTTACCGCACGATGTTGAATATCTCCTGGTGTTGTATTTGGAGCATGCACTTGTGGCTGGTGTCCTTGACCTACTGGTGGCGGAGTATATGGCTTGTTCTGCATAGTCGGTACGGATTTGTTATCAAGTATTGGCGTTTCTCCAGGTGGATGAGCATGATGGCCATACGATGGAGCAACAGGTGGAGCTGCACCAACACTACGCGGCGGATAACCTTGATAGTGAGGGGCTGGAGTGTAGTTTGGAATCGGCTGCGCATAATTGAGAGCAACTCGCTCAGGCATCGGCACTGAAAACCAAATCTATGCCAATCAGTTTCATAATATTCTACCAACTTGGACTTGCTGGAAATTCATTAATACTGCTCGGCGTCGGCGACGGCGCACCATCAATTGTGCTTCCATGTGCCGGTAGGACCGACAATGCTTGCTGACTAAGTCGTTGCTTGTTGTTTCTGTACTGATCCATATAATCCTTGAGTCGCGATCCAGCTTGTGGTGCGAATGGAGCCGGAGGTGGAAGATGCTTGAACAAAATGGGAAATAGTAGAAATTTGGCTATGACAATAAGTACCTGAGACGAACTGAATTCCGCCATCGCTTCTCTCGATTCCTTTTGAAGTTGCAAATTGCGCATTCTCTCTTCGAATGTTCGCTTCTCGTTCGCCCTCTTCTCAATTTCTTCGCGATCTGTGAAAATAATGAAATGAAACTGATTTCAATCATTTCGAACTAACACTGCTCGTCAATCGCATGAATTGGAATCGCTAGCTGATCGCATCGTTGCATCAGTTGCTCATAGAATCTACAAACGGCAATTTCAACGAGAAATCAATAAAAGAAGCTCACTTGGCTCCTTCGTCAATCTTCTTTGACACTTCATTGAAGGTTTCGTAAGCGTTTACAAGGATGAGAACTTGCTTTTGGAATCTGAAACCATCAGAATTGAAAAAAAAATGAAATTATAACCATACTCTTCATTGAGTTTGTTAATTTCCAAACGCTCTTCGCAAAAATCGGCATTAGCTTCTGTGAATGCATGGATAATATTTCCTTGAGCGGCAAAATTCATTCTCAAATATTTGATCGTTTCGTCATGTTTTTTAAGCTCCTTTTCAAAGATGCTCTAAAAATTTCAAGCCCAAATTTCGAAAATACAGTTCAAGTTCTCACATCTGGAGCAAAATCCCTAGCCGCCAATAGTTCTTTCGAAATATCATCCTTGTTGAGCTCTTCTTGAAGTTGATCAACCAATTTCGTCCTTTGGGCCATCATTTCCTTTAAAAAAAATCAGAAGCTTTATTGAATTCTTGTTTCTTACATCAATTTTATTGATTATTCTTTTAAGAGTTTCTTCTTCTTTAGATGTTTTCGAGTTTGAGTTAAAAGCATTGGCCGGAATAATTTTTTCTTTCAATTCGTGAATTGGAAGTGACAGGATTTGCAAATTCGACGAATCCGCAGCCATTGCTTTGCTCAGAGCAACAATATTCGATCTTAATTGTTTGGAAATTAGACGATAAATTAAATTTAAAACCCACTTGGCGCTCACTAGATGGTTATTCAGTTTATCGAGTTCGTTCGCAATCAATCTGTATCCCTCATCATTTTTCTAAACATCGAATTTTGAAGGATTTTATCAAATTCCGGAAAATAATTACCAATGTTGGCGAATCCACAGCTCGCAATTTGTTAATCAAAGTGGTTAGTTTGGCTTCGGCAATTCTCGACGTGTCCGACTGCTCGCGCAGACGTTCAAGAAGGGCTGGAATTGATTCCGGTTGCGACGACATGATCGCATTTCGTTCCAGTAGTTCATCACTCAATCTGAATCGTGAATCAACATCTTTCCCTTCTTGCAACATCCAGCGCAGTTCAATATAATTCGCGCGATTCAAGTAACTCCTGAAATAATCCAATTAAAAAAATTCTCTCTAATGAGAATATTATTACTCAAGCTCATCATTAGCAGCATTCGCTTCATTAATCAACTGTCGTTTCAATTCAGACTTCTTTTCCTCATAAATGCTCACGGATTGCAAAACTGTTGGAGGAAGAAGTGATCCGAAGAGATCATCTCCGCATACCGAGCGATCCAGTGGATCGAATGAAAGAGCATTTGCTTTACACATAGCCCCATTCTAGAAATATATGAATATTTTTTAAATTCCAAATTAATAAAATAGGTACCTTGAGCTCTTCCAATAATTCTTCAGACTTTGGAACTCTTTCGTGATAGATGAAATTATTCTCTTTCTCGGCATTGACTTGCCTGAAACCGATTATCGATATTGAGCTCAATTTTAAATCCTACTTTGCCTGAACAACGTCCGACAAAAACGAAATTGTCGGCTGGAATTCCGTTAATCTCTCTTTTATTGAATTTATATGGATAAGGCGATTTAAATAGCCTAAAGAGATGTTATAATAGCCAAGACGATGCCCCATCTTCTGATCCTCTTGAGCCTGATCACCCATACTGAGCCATGCGATCGTACCATAGATGAGTCCTTTTACTTCGCAACATTTTATAAAATGCTAAATATGAAATAAAATCTTAAAATACGAAATTATTTTTACCCTTTGGACTCGGTCAGGAATATTCACGTTCCAATCTTCACAGATTTTCGCGCATTCCTCATACGTCTCACACAACCACTTTGAGAGTTTTGCAATTACAATGGCACTTCTGTTATCCAGAAGACTTTTCTGAACTAGGCATTCTTGTGCTTGCGCTAACATCACTTTCTCAAGGAATTGTAGAACGTAGGGATCGAAATCGACGGCCGGAAAGAACATATCGTCATATCGTTGCTCGATAAGATAGGAAAATGCATAAGCGGCATATTGGAAGTGCATAAAGGCCATTTTAATGCTCTGAAATTAAAAAAATTGTTGAATGAAAGAATTGAAGGATCAATGGCGAACGTCTTGTGTTTCTCGATTTTCCAAACTAGCAATTTGAGAATGCGCGATTCCGATATTGAACATCACCGAAGCCTTCTCGAATTCAATGTCAGCAATCACAACATCGCAATTATCCTGCCGGGTTTCGCTCAATGAGTCGTACCTAAAAGTTAGAAAAGAAAATTGAAATTTGGAATAAAACCTCACCAACTGAATGGCATTTCGAGTTCCTGACCGTGCGACATTGGAAATCGCTTCTGCATCATGCACAGTTGTCCGAAATAACGCTTCAATTCTAAACTTGTCTTGACATTAGCACTTGGACCATTGGCGACCTGAATAATTTTATTTTTCTTTAAAATTTTGATACCCAACTTACAAATTTCAATTCAATGAGTTCCTTTAAAGCTTCATCGTAATCATGTGGGTCCGCTTGAAAGTGCAACAAGATGTACTACAAATTTTGAATTCAAATTTCGAATCTTTTCGCCATTTTCATGTGCCACACAAATAACCTTTGATCGCTTACTTCTTTTATTCGCGTTTTGAATTCTCCTGGTCCAGGCATATTGAGATAATCGACTAATGATTCTCTGAAGCTGAATCGCATCATGGGAAGTATTGGAAGCGCCTCCATTCTAAAATTATTCTGATTTGGAATAATGGCGACACGTGTAAATGAGGAAGACAAAGTTGAAGACGATGGTGTAACATTCGCTCAATGCCATTGAGAAGGAAGCGATCAAACGATTTCATAATGTTATCGAAAATTGAGTGTGCGAAACCGGAAAACAATAGAGAACATTTATTATTCCAGTATTGATTCGCAAACTTTACTAGAAACATTTTTACAAAATCGATTCGATAAAGAGAATATACACAATATAATAGCAATAGATAAAAATTCCGGTATCTGATGGAATTAGCGAGATGATAATCGCAAGCTTCTGTCGTCTTTGGTTGGCTAAACGGAACACAAGAGGATAGAACGCGGCCGTGTTTACGAGCTCGGCCATCTTTAATCATAAGTTCGGCCACTTCAGATCAAATGATTGAAAATTGCAATTTCGTGAATATTTAAATGTTTTTTAATGGAATCCTTTGTTCAGAAATTTTCATTGAAAAGAAAATGGATTGTTGTTGTTGGTAAAAAAAATTGAATATTAAAACCCATGGCGAATAGGGCTTCATTCAGAATTTTTCAATGATGTAAACAATGCGCTTCAAATTTCAATTCACCTAGATTCCAGACCAATGTGATATTAAAAAAATCGAAACACAACTGAGAAATGGAGGAAAGTAGCTTAAAAAAAATAACAAAATCATGATGAAGACGACGTGAAAAATACTTTCAAAACTAAGAAAATCATGTTGCGGAAACGGCACTGAATAGAGATTTCGGTAAAACATGGGTGAATTACTGAAGGAGTGTTTCATTTTGAGAGGTGGAAAAATTTTTTCACCGCCATTTCACAGAATCTCGCGTTTTTATTAGTCGTTTTTCCGACACGATTTACTAACACCTAAAAAATTACTGTAGGTTTAATTATGTGCGCTTTTGCGTCAGGGTAATTCAGAATTTCTAGAGATCTTGTGATTTTTCTACTTCTCTTCAGAAATTTCGCGGTTTTATGATTTTATTGTCTAACATCCGAAAATGTTGTAATAATACAAGATAATATGTCCAGTTAATGCTAATTCTTTCTTTAAAAAATTAATATAATAACATGCCACATTTCCTATGAAAGCTAAATGTTAATTTCTAGACATTCGGCCTATAATGCTTTTTAAATATTATTTGAAACATTATTTTGTAAATGTCAACTACCCATAAAAGACAGCAAAATCCCATAGGTTCTCACGTAAAACATTTTTGAGCGTGAGTTTGAGTGTGGAAATTTGTATACATATTCATTATTGATTCAAATACAAATGCGGGCAAGACTTGTAGAATGTCTGCAAATGCTAATCCCTATGCACATTCCAACCATCGACCATTTCAACACCCAACGACGTACAGGTATATTTACACTTTCAAATATTGCATAACCTTAAAGGTAAACGTATTAATGTCTGAGTTGTTATCAAAAACCAAAGATAATTTTCAAAAACCTTATCAAAAAGAAAGGGGTTCCATGTTTTCAAACAACAATTGACGTTCTGAGCAATTTCCGCTTTCACACCAGACGGCCGCCACCCAAAATTACTGTTGTCTCATTTGTTGCGGGAAACATGTGTTTTGCAGCGCGCGCGCACGCCCTGCATTTTTTTGCCATACGATTTGTTTGTTTTCAATTTCAACGCATTGGCGCTGGCGTTTCGTTCGCCATTGGTGTCATATGGCGGCTGGCGGCGTTCGTTTGTCTCCCCAATACTCTGAATACTGTTTATTTACACATGCAAACACGTGTTGGTCGCCGACTCGGCCCATTTTTTTTTGTTCCAACCAACACCACTTGGAGAAACAAAAACAAGGCGTGGCACCAATTTCTCCGCCATCCGATTGATATGTTTGAACCATTCGCGGCTTTTGCTTTTTAGTACACACTCACACAAAAAAACTTAAGAATTTCTCGCGTGCTTATTTCCCCCATTCCAATGTCAATATTATGATAGTAGACGGGTGATGGAGAGGTCTCCAAAATGAAAAAAATTCCAGTGTTCCCTCCCGAGCCCAACTCGAGAGCGAGACAGCTAGCAATAATGAGAAAATAGATCAAAATGGAATACAAATAGTATTCCATTTTGATTTGTTTACAAAAATAACTGGAAGTGTTTATTGCAATCCGATAGGGTGTGTTTCGAGTCAAAATAAAACAACAATGGACGGATCTTATGGCATCCGAAATAAATCCGAATTGGTCCCGATTTTTACGTTTTTTTTGGGCAAATTTAGTTGCAACTAAAAGCTCAAATCAAAAGGGTAATATTGAGATTGACCAAAAGAAACCCACAAAATCAGGTGACCCCGAGACTAGATTTACCCAATATTTTCTCTAAATCGCTATAGTTTCATTAGAAATTGTTATAATAAAAAACCCTTTTGGAATTTTGCACCTCTATTACTAAATGTGGGCATAACGACACTCCAATAATACGGGCGCCTCGCTTTTATCCATTGCGCAAATTTGGGATTTTACGAAAATCGAACGTCATTTTTCTCTGCTCAATTTTCCATGGCGAACGACTGGGGTGAAAATGGAGGCAATTCACGTGGAAGCCGGTAAAAATTTTAGAAAATGCCGAAAATTGTGTGTGTTTTTTTTTGGGAGACTTCCAAAGTGCTTGTAAATCTACCCATTCGTGCCAACAATATTTTTCTTGATATTTGCTCGATCTTCTCGGCGAACCGAATCAACATTTTATCAGCGTGCCAATTAATTATGCGTCGTCGTTTTTCCGCCACCGACAGCAGACAATAACATGTTTTTTCTCCCACGCCAATCTAGCACCATTCGCCCATCGCGACGGCGTCGACGGTATTCTAATATTACGCCTCAATAACAATAATACACCCTCCCATCAATCGTTTATTCAGCTTGTATTGAGCCGCAAAAAACGGCCGAATAGTTTTTCCTGTTATCTTTTATTTAATGGAATGTGTTTTTTTGCAGATCGTTCGATAACCCAAGTCAATTGAGATCCGATTTCACGATGTCGGGACGAACCGTCTTCGACGGTATGATGATTGGGCTCCATTTCTTATCGACTTCATCGATTTCAGATCACTATTCCGACGAGGACTCATTCTTCGATGCGATGAGCCACAAGGAGCGTTCGGCGTCATTTGGTGGCGCCACTCAATACAGTCAGCAATTCATGCACAATCATCTTCTCGACTTCTCGTTCAACGAGCACAACATCTACAATCCGTCGCTTTTGACCATCAACAGCTACAATTCGAGGTTTGTCGGTTGTACGAAAATCCCCAGAAAAAGAAAAAAAATGATTTCCCAAAAACATTTTTTTTGGACTTTAGACGCTTGCGCAAATTGTGGGAAATTGCGCTGAAACCTCGAGCGGAAATTGAAAAGTGGGTGGTTGTAATTCGTTAGAATTCGGCTTGTGATCCGGTCGAATTTTTTTTTTGGACTCTGAAAATAACAAACTGACTAATGCAACTAGCGAGTAAATAATAATAATAACAACAACAAAATCGAAGAATAGAAAGTGTGAAAAACTAAATTCAAATTATTCGCTTTATATAGCCAGCTTGCGAGTTTCTCGAATATTCTACCCTACGAAATAGTAGAGTACGATGAGAGACGCAGAGTTTCGAGAATGTTGTACAAAAATCTGTAACATTCTAGGCTAGGGTACAATTTAAGAAAATTGTCTCTATAAATTGAGGCGTGTAGACTGAGGAATGTTCTAGAATACTAATGCTTGGGGATCTGGCAGGGCTACGGTAGCTTTTTTTTTAATTAAGGCTTTATTAACGAACATGCATTATATTGTGATATTTGAAGAAAAGTGGGTCCCCAATATTACCTGGAAAATGTGGTTTTTCTCCGATTTCTGGAATTTTCAGTGATTACTGAAATGTATTAGAGCTTTCCACGCAAACCAGTAATGAAAGTATTTGGACCCTCACGTAATAAGTGACGAAATCATCAACCGAGTCCAACAAAAATCGCCGCACTCCCAATGATTAGTTTTCTGTGCTCCGCTGTCTGCGCATCTTGCTCCTCAACGATGTCTCCTCTTTCTCGCCTCTCAAAAATCCGCGTTAGTGCGATCCGCAACTCGGCCTCATCCATTTCTGGAACATCTTAATGAATGAAGCCCCCCCCCTGTCCATTCCATCATGTCTTCTGTGTGTGGCTCTCGAGTAAAAGAAGGAGGAGGAAAGCGAAAAAAAGTGAAAATGAATGGGAGAATGTACTTTTTGTGTACACCTAGTGAGCATTCCAAGGGCATTTCCCACTCCCTCTCATTTTTGTTCGAGTCTCAATTTTTGTGTTGCTTCGTCTCTGCCGTTTTGTGTGTTCAATACGCCCGATTTTCGGTCTAAACGCGTCGATTGTGCGCCAACGGGACGAGGACGGTCCTAGATAAATGATCGATTTCTATTACTCCATCTTCCTCTCTAATATTCTGTTCGATGTGCTTCTTTATCGTTATGGATTCGGACTTTCCTTTTAGAATTTTGTTTGGCTCTTGGTATACGGTAGATGAAGGCGGCCACGAAGAAAATAGACCATGAAAAATGAAATTGCGCAATTCCTCGGAAGTTTTCGAGGTTGGATGCTAGTCTTCTTGCATTCGGATGTCTTTCGATTCCCCAATGAAAAAGAGGAGTGTTTCCAGACTTTTCCTTCGCAATTTACCGCCACCCGTATGCGTCCTTCAAAATCATTTTGTGATGGGTTTGGGATGATAAGAATGCGCTTGAGAAGCGTTTAATTCGAAATATCTCACTATCTGATCTTTCGATCAATGTTACCCATCTCCCCCCAAACCGCCCTATCTGTCTCGTATTCGCATAAAAAAGGTCAATTGTTTCGAGAAACCCTCATCAATACATGGCGATCACGATCGAGTAGTTGTGTTTTCGACAGAAAAAAACGAAATTTTCGGTATGATTTACCGCGTATTTCGAAAACAGTATTTTTCGCGCACTATTAGATTTGCAAGTGAAGGTCACTAACGATACGAATCGTGTTATTCGCGCTCGTCTAGAAAGTCGAATTGTTGGGAAAAAAACGAAAGAGGAGAATTTGGTGGTAATGGTGGTGGTGGCGAGTGTGCGTGGAGGTCATTTCGCGCCGCAAACGATGTTTTTTGACAACTTCGCCGCCATTGTTTGGGTGATGATGGTGGCTGAAATTGAAGGTGCGATGGAAATCATTTTCGCCGTCCAATTTTTTTTTGAGGTGGGGGGGGAGGTTGCTGCTCGTCGTTTGTTGGTCAAAGATCTGGTGTTCACGTGACGAAACGCATCGTCGAAAGGGCGCATAAATAGCCCTCTGTGTTGCAGAGGACGAACAGAAAAACGGCGGAATCCCGTGCACGCCAATTACTCACAGCTATTCTTTTTTTTCGGCCTGCAAAAATGCCTCATTATTGTTTGGTGGCACATTGATTGCGATTTTTGTTCGCTTCTCGAGTTTCCATATATTTTTTTTGTTAATTCTTCCGAAATATTCGCATCGTCGTCTTTATGGGAATTCTTGAAATTTGATACCATAAAAGACACGTCATCTCCAATGAAGGCGATGAAGAAGACGAAAAAGAAAAAAAAATGCAATACGGTCGTGGAATCTCGCACATGATTGATATGTTGCAAAGAACGTGTAGCCGAAATCGGTTTGTATCAGTTTTCCGACAATTCTTTTCCTTTGTCCACATTTGTCCGCTCGTTCGAATCTGCGAAATTTGACAAATACTTTGGTAGGAGAAGAAGCGCTTAGAGTTGGTTGATTCTTTTTCGATTCTCGTGATATGTATGCATATATGTATATATTTTGTTATTATGAAAAGCTTAAAGAACACACTTTGACGAGTTAATCCCTAATTGGAATACGGTGTAATCCGTTTTGAGTTGATAGAGGCATATTTAATTGGAGAAACTACGGATATCCGATTTTTTTTTCGGCGATGAATTGAATTACGCGTTTAGAAATCATTTGGAGCATACGACATTTCCTTTTAAACACATTTTTTAATTGATTTTTGGCTGATATAATTTCGTGAAAACAAGAAACTCTGAAAGAAGCCATATTCGGGTTGATTATCATCCACTCAAACCAGTGAAAAAAATTTCAAGGGTCAGTAATTGCACCATTTGCGAATTTTCATTAAAACGGAAATGGTTACTCATTCATATGGTGACGAAGATATTTTGTCTACCGTATTCCTTGAGCCATTCGTTTGGATTACTGTAGTTGCGCGATCATCGAAGATCAACCCTGATAACGTGGTTTTGTTCATTATTTTCTGCTAATCGTTCTGTGAGAATGTTAGTAGATCGGCCTTTCTCAAAAAAAAAAAACGGAACGACCTTCTTTTAAAAAAATGACCTTCTAGCCGCTTCGCCAATGGGATTGAATGCCCTTGATGGTACGGTAGCCGCGGCGAGTCTTTCTCTCTTTCTTCTTTTTTATTATGGGAGGTCTCGTAGGAAAGGAATACGAAAGTTTAAAAAGAAGGTTCCGGAGAAAGTGATAGCGTGTTTTCTTATCAAGATCATATTGATTTCATTAAGAATGAGCTCTCTTCATACACATATGCACACATTTATTAGAATGAGTTGGCGACATTAGCTAATGAAAGGATATGGGAAAGTTCAGGCTCAGATCATTTTCCCAACTGTCAATAGCCTTTAGCCTTTATTTAATCCATTTCGACGTTATCGCCTCGTCTTGTCGGTTTTTCGTTGTGATAAGCTTGAAGTTATAGCGATAATCGACCAATAAGCCACCTCGGCAACAATTAGCCAAAGCGGCGGCACACTCGTGATTTGATTAATCAACCATCGATTCCTTTATTCATAATTGTTGCCCTTGGCGATATTTGCTTAATTGGTTGGTAGGGGGGGATTTTTTTGTACTAATTTAAGGCTAATTTTGGGAAATGAGAAATGAGTCTTGTGATATGTACTCTACTCGGATATATGTGTTTTTTTTTCATGAGTGTAGCCCTTTTCACGTCTGACATCCGCCAAAGACGCATAGGAAAGGGCATGGCGACGCTCGCGTTTCGCCCTTTTTCTTTGTTAACTCCTCGCTTTTCACCGTGCTTCTGCTGCTGGTGTGCCGGCTTTTTTCCCACCGGAAATTCATATTCCAGCTAACAATTTTCCAAAAATTGTTTGCAACACAATCTCGGTGTGTTTTGTTGTGATTGGCTCTCACCAAATTTCATGACGACGCCTATTTTTGGAGATTCCCGATGATGAATAATTGAGCGAAGGTTTTTTTTTGAAATCTGAATTTTTGTTCGCCGTTCTGAGAATATGACTCGACTCCGGACGTGCTGATCGCTTTCACTACGTGAATTATTGCAAAAATTTGCATTTGGCTCTCTATTTTTTTTTATCTCGTCGTTGCCCGCCCTTTATTGCCTACCGAGAATTTAATTAGGAAGGGTGAGGGGGGGGGGAGTTCTTTTGCTCGATGGAGTGGTTTTTTTTGTGTGCACCGGTTTTATTCTATTCAAAGTGCGACGCCTACGAGTTTTGTGGATGACAAATGAATGAGCGCGATATTAATTACTTTACAAACGAGCAAGTGTTGCTCTCGCGAAAACTTACTACTCACTGATTTATGCGCAACATTAGGCTTGCTTGGTTGGATGGATTTTGGAATTGATGATCACGTTTGAATTCTTAAGGAGTTGGGTTGGCGGAATTGCCAGTTGAGTAGAACATTTTTTTTCCGAGTTATCTTTTGGCGGCTGATGTCACTTCAAGAGTTTACTGAAACGATTCGCTGTGCACTTTAAAAATTGCTGACGCTTGAGAAAAAGGCTGATTTTTTTCTGGACCATTGCACATTTTGCGGGGCGTTAATTCAATTTTCGAATTTAAATAGTTGAAATTCGAGTACCGTGCTTTGGATAACATGCGAATCAAACTCACCGTAAATCTGCGCAGGGAGATGGTTTTTTTTTGCGAGTTTAGATATGTTCCAACGCTTAGAACTGCGCTTGGTATTGAAGGGCATCATAGATTCTTGGAATAGATATGGGCAGCGATCCCTGATTTCAGTCGAAGAACATTCGACGCACTTTCAGCCGAACGAATGACATTCTAGTAGCGGTTGATTCGCGCAGAATTGCCCATGATACGAAGCCATACTTAATTGAATTTCGAATATATTCGCTTTTCTCGCTTCCAATTTTCGGCTAATTGAGGGTTGCGAACACCGCTCGCGTAATTCTTCGGCAACATTCTCATATTCGCGGGGGGGTCATTTTCAAATTTTTTTTGTGTGTCTGTTCTCATCAAAGAAAGGATGGAACGAGTGGGTGTGGCGTCTTCTGTCTGTCCGAACGAACGATGTCTGATTTGAAGATTCTATCATTCGAATCTCGCCAAATCGGCGACTGCGGTCACATTTGACGGGCGAGCCGACCGGCGGTCGAGTCCCGCCCAGCAAAGAAGCCGCAATTCTTTTTGCGTTATCTAACGCCCATTTCGAAATAATCTTGCCTTGATTCTTACAGTAAGAATTCTGTCGTCGACGGCGACGCGCGCGCTCGTTTCCTTCATGCACTTTTGCTGGTCACCTCTCAATTTTTCATCTATCGCCTTCTTCTCGCCGCCCATACCTCGCTCTGTGTGTGTGTGTGTGTGCGTGTCGCTCAAATTTTTCGACGATAAGGCACGAATTGATTGATTTTTGTTCGTTGAAACTTCTCGTAGCAGCCACCCCTATCTATCTATCTATCTATCTATCAATTGCAATAAATGAGAAATCAAAAGATGGTGCAATTATCAAAATTGCCTGTTTTATCACCTGAAATGTTTTTTTTTCGCATTTCACCTTTTTTTCTCGGATATCATGGACATCCAATTTTCTTTATTAGGTCTGCATTGGTAGTACCAAGTCCATTTAGTTAATTAAAAACTTATGTAGCGCTTGATTATTTTCTTTTATAAAGGGGGTTTCCCAATCCGGCCCTAGTTTTTTTTCTTCATATTTTTTCGAAAAGAGAGTTTTGTAAAGTGGCTTCTGGTTTTCTGCGTTTTCTTTCGATGCAGTTGGTTGAACCGCTTTTTGTACATGTTGCTTTTGGCATAGTATCAGTGACATGTAACTTGCAGTTGCCATTTTTTTTTCGGAAAGAAGAAGAAGAAGAAAAAACGACTGCATCTCATTTCTTTTTTTGCTTGGGCCCCATCCGAACAACAACTCCTCCTTCTCCTCCTACTTCTCCTCCTTCTACTCCTCATCGCGCAACCCCTCATGGCCCTCACACATGCACACATTGCCATTCGGGCTCCGGGCCAATTCCCTTTCGAGAAACGAAAAAAAACGAAAAGAAAAGAAAAAAAAAACGAAGAAGGGAGGAGTTTGGGAGAAGTGTTCAGAACAGATAAGAAACCCCACCGGCGGCGTCGTCGACCACCATTTTCGAATTTTTCGCCGAGGTTGATTTGGTTTTCAAGCCGTTGATTGATATCATCGAATTTGGATTTCGACGAGATTGATATGAGAATTGCATAAACGTGCAAACTCATTAGAAATTCGTTCTGTCTATTTCGTTTACTAATCCTAATCCGCGCTTCTTCTTCATTTTCATCTTCTGTTGCGTTTACAATCGTTTTTTTTGCTGCTTCTGCCTCTTTTCGTCTCCATTTTGTGGTGCAGCTCCTCTACGCAGTGTTTCAATTATGATGCGTCCAGATTATTGGCTCGCGATTTTCCATTAATTTGTCACGAGAATCATGATGAATCAAGGGGGGAATGGCGAGAAAAAAAGAAGGGTGAAGAAAGTTTCGCTTCCAACGTGTTTCCATTATATATCTTCTTTCTTCTCTCTCTCTCTCTCATTTTTTTTGCTTTCCGACGGGGGCCTAGTTGAACCAAAAACGCCCGACGAAATAGTTTTGGACAAAAAAAAAGCGTGCGCGTCGAAATAGTGTGACGGATGGCAGAGGAGAGGCGATTGGAGACGACTATCAGTTGACGATCGGAGAGAGCGCGACGGCTGGCTGGCTGACTGACTGGATGGATGGCCAGTGGCGACGGCGGCGGCAGCGGCGAACCAATGGAAACTCGCGCCGGCGACCGTCTTGTCGCCAACCAAGCAACCTTGTGGCTGCTTCCCGCAGACCAGCCAAACGCTATCGTCGCGGGCGCATTTTTTTCGCCGTCTTCTTCTTCTTCTTGTTCTTCTACTGTGTGTTGCCCGCGCCGCTGCCTCCCATCGCTGGCGCGCGCGCTCGCTCGCTCTCTTCTTCCCCCCCTCCCATCTCGTTGCCCCCCACCCCGCTCGTCTCCCCCCCCCCCTTTCCCATTTCGCGTCCTTTCATCAATCTGTCACTCGATTTGTAGAATTGCCATTTGTCGCCCCAACCGCGAGGTTCTCTGGATTTTTTTTCAGTGTTCGCGCCGGATTTTAAAGTTTTTTTTGGGACCCAAAAGTCTACAGTTTCATTTTTCACTTGACGAGTTCGAATTTTTATCTTGTAGAAAAAGTTCACCGATTTTTTTTTCAAATCCTCTTGTCCAGTCGACTGTCTTGTGACTCTTCGAAGGTCAATTGATTCCCATCTAATCGACGTTCATTTTTTTCCGAAATAAAAGTGGCACAAATTTTTTTGTGCTGGACGAAATAATAAAAATTTAATGTTCCTTTCTCTTCAACTGGCTTCTTTCCTTATCACATATGTATTAAAAATGTGCAATTTGTGACTTGTATCTTCGCATTCGCTCACACACACATTCAAAAAAATGATTTGTGTGTTTTTCACGAATTTTCAATTTATTATACTATTTTGAATTGTTCAATGATCTTTTTTTCTGTTGATTGGGCAACACGCGCACTTTTAGACTAAAAATTGCACGGGGGAAGGTCGTGACGCGAAGAAAAAAAGGAAAGCTAAGTGGTCAATCGGGCCGAAGTCAGATTTTGAATTCGCAACTTTGCAAACGACAGCTGATTATTGCGAACATCATGGTTTTGTTCAAAACTGAAAAAAATGTTCCTATTCTCGTGAGGCCGTTGGCCCGCCTGGAAAGTTTTCGTTTACTGGGCAAAGTAGCTGAAAAATGAGAGTTCTCCTTCTTCGACTTCTTCTCGCTTCTTTTTTTCTTCCTTTCCAACTCACTCACCAATTCATTTTTCATTGTTTCCCTTTTACTGAGCTGGTTCATTTTGTAGGCGGAGCTTGTGATATTTTCATTCGATTTTTTCGATTGCCGTTTCGTGTTTTTTGTTGCACTTCAAAATCGTCAAACTCAATTCCAATTTTGCATTCTGTAGGCGCGTCGACGCGATTTGAATCGAAACAACCTTCGTTTCACTTTCGCGCACATCCGCACAGTCATTTTTTCTCTGCCAGTGCAAATCTGCGTTGAAACGAATCGAATCGAATCGACTAGCCAAAATTGATCAATTTCTGCAAAAACTACACAAATTGCATCGAGACGAGCAACTCTCGAGCCGACCCGCGCACGACAACTACAGCACGATGAACAACGGTGTGACAGCGATGGACGAGCTATGCGATGGCACGGCGACGTCGTCGACGTCGTCGGTTGGACGACTCGGCGCCGACGCGTTTGTCGGATGCGTCGGGAGTCCCGAGAACTTTTTTCTCGGCGACGAGATTTGCCCGCTGCCGCGAGATCGATGCAACACGTGGCCGATGCGACGGCCTCATCCCGATCCAATCTCGCAAACGAGCCCACTTATACATGAGCAAATTCCCGAAGAGGATCCCGAGTACGTTGAGATACTTCTAGTTTATTAGTATCACTCTTGTGAAGTATTCAACTAAAAAAAAATAGAAAATTGTAGTGTGACAGAAAGAAAAATGGGAGAATCAATGATTTTGAGATATGTCAAATTCAGAACGTGTTTGAAACATGTTGAAGGTCGAATTGCGAAGAAAAAATTTTTTGTCGTCGCCAAATTTCGATTCGTTTTTATTTTTGAAGTTTCGCCATTTCTTTTTTTTTTTTGAGGGGAGTAACTGATTGGTCAATTCCATAATGCTCCCAATCATTGGCGATTAGAAAGTTCAAATAGGAAATTGTAGTGTGTCGGGAGGCGATTGGAGCCACCCTCGTGATCGGAATCGAAATCGGTTTTTTGGGGCGGGAATTATCAGTAATTAAACATTTTTATTGAATGATAGCGAAACTTGGCCGCGAGGTTTGCGAAAAAAAAAAGCCCCTCCAACACCGATTCAATTCGATTGTTCAATGTTTGCGACGTTTCAGCTTGTTCGGAAGCAACGAACAGTGCGGGCAACTTGGAGGAACATCGAATGGATCGACGAACATGCTGCACTCTCCAGATGGCAATCAGTCGGCGTTCTCACCGGGGTATGGCCTTCGTGGCTTTTTTTGTTCATTTTCCACTACATTTTTTTCCGTATGTTTCTCCCAAAGAAAATTTCGAAATTCCCCCGAAATCTGATTCGACCAATCGTGGGAAGAAGGGGGGTCTCAGGTCCTCGTCGGTCGTCGCCTCGTGCCTAGCTCGAGTTCAATTGTACAATTGATAGGTTGGAAAGTGGGGTCTTTGCATTTTTTTGATGAGAACAGCTTTCAGCTTTTTTTCTTATCAGTCCAAAAATTGAGGAATTTTTGGACAAAAACGTAATATTTAATTTGTTTCGAGTAATTTCGATTTTCATTTTGAAGCGTTAATATTCAATTTCGGTATTAGGTTAAGCCACGCCTTCTCCGAAAACGTCAATCCGCCACCAATTCCGATTTAAATCTGCATATATAAAAAAATAATATATAGTGATGTCCGTTTCAGCGAAGCGAATTCAATTTATAATTTCGATGCCACACAAATTCAACGTTTGCTTCAATTTGATGTATTCAGCATGTCGTCGCCGCTCAATCACAACAACATCTCGCCAACCGCCGACGGTTCGCCGGAATCGGGTTCGAAGAAGGCGACGACGCGACGCAACGCGTGGGGAAATCTGAGCTACGCGGACCTCATCACACAGGCGATCATGCAGAGTCCCGAGAAGCGATTAACTCTCGCACAGGGTACGAAATTTTGTTTTTTTTTTTTGCCTTGATGCCTTATTCGGGTTTCTATGAGCAGTGTGGATGGAGAGTCGGTTGTGCTCTCTTCTTCCTCTTGGAAGGAGATTATCATGGGATTTGGTGGAACCGCAAGGAGAAAAAAAAACGTGGGAGAACGAATTGGCGCACCATCTGCTCGTAATTAGACGACCTGCCGAAAATCGCTCGCGCGCGCTTGGCAAATTGACGGATTAGTTTTTGAGCAATAGGCGGTTAATGACTATCGAACACCATTACACAGGAAATTGGGAGTCTGCGAGAATTTTGAAACAATCTAAAATAGTTGAAGTGGTTCTGGTCCCGATACTCTTTTATCGAATCCCTGACATTGACTGAAAGTTTTTCATATGACGAAATTCCTTGGATTTGGCTAGCCTACGTCATTCCCGAGAAAACGAGATTATTTGGGATTTAGGCGTTTCAATATATACATTTTTTTTTAATCTTTCCATATTTACAGTATACGAATGGATGGTGCAAAATGTTCCGTATTTCCGGGACAAGGGAGATTCGAACAGCTCAGCTGGATGGAAGGTGGGTGGAAATTTGAATCGAAGTTGTGCATTCTTTTTGGCATCATCCCTTCCCTTCCGATACAAATTGGCCAAATGCTTTATCACTATAATTATGCATGCGCGCGCGCAGCTCGCGGAAAGCGATAAACAAAAATAATAATTATTATAATATATCTATTTTTGGAATCAGAACTACTTGTCTCCTTTCGTCATTTGTTTGAGTCTGACTCGTCGAGCAGCAGCAGCAGCAGTGGCTGCAGTAGCAGTAGTCGAAAACACTTTTTTCATCTTCATTTTACGTTTTTTTTTCATTCGAGAGCTCACGGCCTTTTGAGATCGCCTGATTCCGCGCGGCCGCTGTCTGTCTGACTGCAATATAGGGAAAATGGGCGCGGCGGGAAGCGGCATGGCGAGCGGGACGTCCCCTCTCGGCGCGGTAGCACATAGTGGCACATAAAAACAGGCGCGGCGCGGTGTGGTGGCACACGAGACACGGAGTTGCCGCTGCGGCGGCGTTCGCTTGTGCGTTCCATGCCTGTGGCACAAAGATCGCAACATTGGCGAAAAATAGAACATGGAGATGGAGAAGCGTGTGGTGACGACGACGGCGGCGGCGGCGACGGGCCCTCCGGCGGCAGGCGACACCACGAGGACCTCCCATTGAACACATACATTAACAATAGGAACATTCCTCGCCGCGAGACATTCTCATATGTATTTTTTTCTTCCTGCTCTCAGCTCGTTTTGGCTCGCCGCCAACTACTACAATTTCTCTCTTTTTTTTTCTATATTTAGCCACTGATATTTTTGTGTTGTTTTTCGCAGAATTATGATGACGATGATGATGATATGCGAGAGATTAATGGTAGTAGTAGTAGTTCTTCGTTCTTGATGGAGCATTGTCTAATTTCCTTATTCGGCGTACATCTTCTTCTTCTTCTTAGTCTTCCTGTTCTTCCTTTTTTCGGCCCACTCCACAAAAACATTAGTGCATTATTTGGGAAACGTGTGGGGTTCTAGTTTTGTGTGTGTGTGTTGCAATTTTCAGTCAGCAACCATCCCGTCAAGTTCGTGAGCACTTTCAAACTTTGCCAAGTGCATTATTTCTATGATGACGACGATGACCGTTGGTGGTGATGGTGGGTGGTTTTTGTAGGGTAAAAAAGAAGCAGAGGGAGACGCCACCTCGACCCATCCTTCCTCTACAATTTACGACACTATTTCCATCCATTTTCAGATCATGTGACTCTAGACGAAGGTGTTGTGAGGCGCTTGTGTGTGTGTGTTTTTGGGAGGCGACACCATTTGATTAACTTTTTTTCGCCGCCGTGCGCAATGCCTACCGTCCTTTTCTGATTCTGAATCCTGTCTGACGTTGTGTTGTTCCTTGACATACCTGGCCAGGTGGAATCACGTATTTGGTTCTAATCATAATAATAAGCGCGTTCTTCTTATCAGGCCCACACACACGCGCGCACACCGAGACACGCATTCCTGCTTGCTTGGCCCATTATGATAATGAAGGGGTTTGTTGGGAGAGGGATTCCGGCTTGAGCTCAAACTTTCGTAGTTTCGTAGGCCTAATTTAAACGGCGGGCAATACGACAAAGATTTTTCGTTATAAGGATGTCGACGGCGTCACCGCCGCGGCCAAAATTGCATTTTACGGATTTTGGCGTCTTTATTGCGTTTAATTCATTTTGGGTTTCACCCAGGAAAAAAATGTGGCGTTTTGCGTAAACAGACGGCAACGACGACGACGTGCTTGATTTCTTTCCATTCGAAAAAAAATTATTTTCTCTTCTTACTTTTTCTATTCTCATTCACTGTCCGACGGCAATTTGTGGATTTTTATTAAATTTGGTGCGAATTGTGAAAATTGCTAAACTTCCGAATTCTGAAAACTGAGAACCGGAATTATTCAAGGTGCCCATTTTAATCAGTTTTCCAGTAAATGTTTTGTGACTGAAATTGTCGTCGACGACAAGAGTTGACAAATCTCGTAATCCAAAGGTGTCGTCACGCGAAACGTCATGAGCTCTCGCCCCTCGCCCTCAGCTACAGTAAATTGGTCGTGTAAAGTAGAAAATTCCCGTTGAGAGCCCCTCGGATTACCCAAACTTGAGAGATTACGTGATATCTCTGAATATTGTGTTAGATATGTAGTTATAATCTAAATTGAGAAATGGATTAGCAGTTTGAGATTATCACGTGAGCACCTCGGACTTGGGGCTTCTCATATCAGTTGATATCAATTGAGATTTTATCATTCTTGTGTTGTTTTTTTTTTTCTTTCTCGACTTGACGAATTGTTTCAATTCTTCTCCTTCTCTTTGAGCTTTTTTTCTATTACTCGAGTAAGCTTCACTCAATTCTTAATCTGCCATCTCGTTTTTTATTCGCTTCTTCCCCCTCCCTCCCCCAGCCTTCAAAACGCACACCCTCTCACTCCTCCCTCGACTTCGTTTTTCGGTTCTTTTTTTCGCTACCCCTCCCCCCCCCCCACCATACTCCTCCTATTGATTGTCGCCGTCCCACAGCGATGAGAATGGTTGTGTTCGAGATAGCGAGTAGGTGAGAGACGTGCAGGGTGGGGAGGCGAATAAAAAACGAGACAACGGTGGCGCTCAGCCAACCAACCAGCCAGCCAGTCAGTCATTCAACCACCAGACGATGATCGTTCGCTAGCCGTCTCGCACCCTCCGCACGCTCTTGTGTTCAGCGTTCGAGTGTTCGGGCCAGCTGATCGATGTCTGCGGCATCCGCGCACGAAACGCTGCCTCGTCCTGAAAAGACGACCCCCAGCAAACGAGGCGAACGCCTGCCTCGTCTCCCACTCCTCCATTTTTTCTATGGGAGGCTGTCTTTTTTTTTTTGGTCGTTGTCGCCGTCGTTCTGCCCTCACGCCACCTCTTCCACCCGTTCGTCGTTTTTCTTCGTCTTCTTCTTCTTCTTCTTCGTGCCTATATACTGATATATACCTGCCGCTGACTGCTACTCTTATGCTTATGCTACCAAAACACTTTTTTTTTCCAACCCTCCCCCTTTGCTTCTTTTCGCCATTTTCTGCCTTTCTCGTATTTTTGTTCTGCCGAAGCTACGAGGTGTGTGTGCGTGTGCGTGAAGTTTTTTTTTCGTCGTCGTTGTTGTTGTTGTGTCCCTCTTTTGGGTTGCAGTATTTTTTTTTCATCTCGGTGTTCCGATATACAGCAACGATTGTTTGACTACGTGACTCGAACCCTCTTGCGAGAAAAAAACCGAGCTACAATTTCTTCATTTTTTTGTGCTCTTTAGATTTCCATTGTTGGATACACACACACACACACGCCGAATAGAGCAGAGATCAAAAAGTTGCCGTCATTTTTTTTAAATATTTGCCATTCTACATGAATGAGAGCTGTCCAGAAGCGCATTCGTGTGACTGAAATTCAGACATTTTCAGCGTGAGCGAATAAATCTTCTAATTACCCATGGGTGGGACGGCGGGGGAGGAGAGGGGCGCTTCTCTTCTTCCGCCTCACATATTATTAATATTTCCTCGTTTGCCTATACTATATGGGTGGGTGTAGATGTAGACATTTGTTTTGTTTTGGAAATATTTGCTCTCGATGCCTCCTCTCCTCTTACTGTCAACGTTTTTTTTTTCGCGTTTCCGTTCTCGTTTCTTTTCGTCCCATTTTCATTATGCAATTTCAAGTAAAAATCGCCTCACCTGAGAAATGGACGGCGATTTCTCAAGCGAGCCGCGCGGGCGTTGCTACACGTGGCCGATGCAACAGTACATGTATGAGCATCCGATGTCGGTGCCGCCATCGCAGATGCCGACGCCGACTCAAATGTCGGTGATGTCGTCGCCGCCGGCGATGATGCATCACCAGATGCCGAACGTCAGCATCGCGCCGTGCTCATCTGGAATGAGCGGCGGCGGCAACGCGCACGTGATGCCGCTCGGCATGAACATGCCAATGAGCCAGGGCGGCGGACCGATGCCGGTGTCGGCGAAAAAGAAGCGGTGCCGAAAGAAGCCGTCGGATCAGCTCGCGCAGAAGAAGCCGAATCCGTGGGGCGAGGAATCGTATTCGGACATAATTGCGAAGGCGCTTGAGACGGCGCCCGAAGGCCGTCTGAAACTTAGCGAAATTTATCAATGGTTCTCCGATAATATACAATATTTTCGCGAGCGGTCGAGTCAAGAAGAAGCCGCTGGATGGAAGGTAATGATGAACTTTAATCGCCCTTTTTGTACAATAATCAGAAGATCGAAACGATGATGGCCTTGACACACGCGCGAAAGATGAGACGAGCGAAAAGGGGGGGGGGTTAGGTTTGCAAACGCGCGAATATGTGGCTTTGATACCACCATTTCTATCGGATGGGAAGATGAGAAACGCCATATAATGGAATGCACTAATAAAATGAGATACACATTTTTAGGGGGGGGGGATCAATATTTTTGTTTAATTAATTATCACTTTTTTTTCCTGCAGAATTCGATTCGCCATAATTTGTCGCTTCATTCGCGTTTCATGCGAGTTCAGAATGAGGGTGCCGGAAAATCGTCGTGGTGGGTCATCAATCCGGAAGCGAAGCCCGGCAGAAATCCGAGAAGGACCCGCGAGAGATCGAACACGATTGAGACGACGAGCAAGGTTCGCTTCTTTCTCGCTTATTTTATTTTTACACAAAATGTCATTTTTTGAAAACAAATTCGTCTCGAAACCCAACATACAGTAATACCCTTATTTGTGCGTTTTAGGTTCACTTGGACAAAACCCGCCGCGGAGCCCGAAAGCGTGTGAAGGAGCGCGGATTAATAGGAAATCTTCACGCGACAATTAATGGATCTCAGGCGTCGATTGTCTCGCATGATTTATATGAAGACGAGTCGATGCAGGGCAATTTCGATTTTAGGTTCGCGACATTTGGAATTTCTTTCATATTGAATTTTTTTTCGCGAATTTCAGAGGAAGAACTCAATCGAATCTTTCGGTGCCGGCGTCATCTTCGCGCGTTTCGCCGAACAACGTCGACCACTCGTACGAGGAATTCGATTTTCCGACATGGGTTGATTCGGCGGCCGGTGTGCCGCAAATTCCCAACGACATTGTCGATCGCACTGATCAGATGCGTATCGACGCCGCGCGTCATCTGAATGGAAATCAGACGAATATGATCAAGCAGGAGATGAAGCCGGTCAAGGTGCGAATTACTTTGGTTTCGAAGCGATATTGATTTGTGGAATTTCAGACAGAGTCCATTGTTCCTCCACCTTCCTACCACACGTTGAACAGCGTTCGAGGACCATGTGTTCAGAATCCACTTCTTCGAAACCCAATTGCGCAGACGACCAAATACCATCCGTGAGTCGTTTCATGAGTTAATTGCCGTTTTTATTACCAATTAATTGGAGAATATTGATAAGATGACGAACTTTTTGCCCTATTTTTTTCGTTGAGCTCCCCTCTTTTATTGCAGGATGCCGATTCCGACATACTCGTCGTACAACAATAGCTGGACTATGCCAACGCCGACGTTGCCTAATATACAATCGTGCGGCGCCGTTGCCGCCCAACAACAATCAGTGGTGTCGTCGTCGTCGGCGCTTCCGATTGATCTCGAGAATTTGACGCTTCCCGACCAGCCACTCATGGATATGGACGTCGAATCGATTATCAGACACGAGCTTTCTCAGAATCAGCAGCAGCTCAGTTTTGATTGGTGAGTTTTGAGAATTTACTAGTGAAACGTCGAACCTTCTCTGAAGGTCGCCTTGTTTTGAGACGTAAAGGGATTACTGTAACAGGAGTTTCTTTTTCGATAATTGAATATTTCAGATCATCCAAAAAAAAATCATATCTCTCTTCAAATTGTACATCTCTCGACACACGGCAATACACAAAATTATTTAACTCTCCTCCCGATTTTTGTCACGATTCTTTCGATTTTCTTTTCGACGTTTTTTGTACATCATGAGATAGTCAACAATGTTATCCTCATATTTTTGAGTTTAACACCCTCTTTCTTCATTGTATGTTATTCGGTGAGCCTTTAATGGTTGAATTTCCCATCATCATTATCATCATTATTATTATTATTATTATTTTCTTTTCGACTCGCTACACCCACACACAAAAGTTAATATCCATCATTCCCTTATAAGTTTGTGTTTTCCGCCTCTGATTCGTCCAGCTTCATCTTCATTTTTATTATAATAATTATTATTTTTTTCTTGTTTTGTTGTAGAATTTTTCGGATTAGTCAAAAGACAACCGTTCTGACCTCAAAAACAACTTTGTGTTTCTTCCCACCCAGTCGCAGGAAAAATTTGTATTCGAGAATGTTTTTTTCTTTCTATCATTATCTTATTACTTCTATTCAATTTCTTTGTCTTCTCTGTTTTTTTTAATCCTCAATTATTCTTCATTGTCTTTTCCTTTTGTCTCCATCCCCGTCCACTTCTCCAAACCCCTCCCCTTCTGAATGTTTAACCTGTAATTTGTTATAATTTTTTTTGATTGCGTAAAGCACATAAAATTCAAAACAACAATGTTGCGAAGTAATTGTACATATAGTTAGCGAAACGGTGAAATATATACATGAAGATTTTTTTGAAAATGAAACATTTTAGACATACTCCATATCAATATTCATTAATTTTCTACCTTTTTCCTCTCTCCTCTAAATCTCTTTTTTTTCTAGAAATTCTTGAAATTTTCTTGTTGAAACACCTTGTTTTGATTGTTTTTTTTTTTTGAATTTTTCGCCAATACTTTTTTCTTATTTTTAAGCAAACAATATGCACCTTTTATTGTATTTCATTCATTTCTTATTAATACCATTCAATTTTTATTCAAATTTGGTATGAATGTGACGAAAATGAGCATTTTTGGCGCAGAATTTACATTGATTTGTGTATCGAAGGTTTCAACGCGCCAAATAAGGAATATGAGCTAAAAATCGTGGGCAATTGAACCGCAAAAACCAAATTTGGGAAATTGATTATTATACTTTTTGAAATTATTCGAACTATAAAATTTTGAATTGAAAAATATTAGTTAGTTTTGAAGAAAATTTGAAACAGAAATTTCGAACGGAAATTTAGACTTGAATTCGATTTTTAATGTGCTGCTCTGAATATTTTGTTTCAGAGCAGCACTTTAATATTTTTGTGGCAAAATATAATACCGAAATAAATTTGTTGCATACGCCTTTAATATCTACGGTACTTTTCCTGTAATTTTCGATTTGATCATAATAGATCGAATCGAAAATTATTCGAAAAGATTTTAATGAAATACAAACAATTCCCATTTGCATTTCGGCCACTTTTCATTTTATTTTCGAAATTTTCTAAAATTTATACCCAAATTTGTTTTTTTTTTCTCGCATTCTCTTGTTCTTCTCAACTGATTTCGATGTGACCAATGATTTATTCGGGCCCAAAAGTTGATCAAAAGACTAGATAGGTATGTGACGTCTTCTGAAAACGCAGGTATCCTTCTAAAACAAAGATCGTTAAATTGAATTCCATTGTTTCACGTTGGACAACGTCGAGATCGCATTAGTAGATAGCTCATTTTTTTTAATTATTCGAACGTTTTTTGCACATAACAAGCCGTATAAGTTTTCGATCAAACTTTTTCCGCCGATTTGAGCGCCAAGTTCAAATTTCGACATCACTTCCAAACTAATAAGTATCAATCAATGATATATCGTTATCAGTCGGTCGCCATATTTGGTAGTGAATCTAGCGATAATTGTAATTTGTAGTGTTCGATGCGCCGTTTTTTATGTGTGTATGTGTGTGTGTGTGTGTGTGCTCGTTCCAGCTCCATCAGTTCGCCGGCACGAGGCGTCCCGACGAAAACAACGCACGCCTCGCCTCTCTCATCGGTTCTCTCAGCTGTTCTTTGCTGGCAGCGCTTCGCTTCTGGCGTTCTTCCATGCGATGTCTTTCATGTTCCGCGTGTGAGTGACTTCAGTCGAGCTTCTCCATTCGATTCAACAATATTTCGTCGGGTGTTCTCAATAAAAAAAATTTTCGAAAAAATACGCCTCCGCCACGCGACACTCTCTCGTCGCCGTCTCGTTTTCACTGGCTCGCTTCGCCTCCTTTTTTTCTCTTCACTCGTTGCCACTTTTTTTTGTTGCGACGCTGACTCTAACAAAAGCCAAAAATCGGTTGCATTTAATGGAGAGAAAAAAAACGAGAGGAGGGGGCTGTTTGGGGCAAATTTTTAATGAAGATAATGGTTAATGACGTTTACGAAATAGAGAAGGGCGAAGAATTTCGAAACAATGCATACAAGATTATTATCATTATTTGGAAAACAATTAGGGATATCTTCTAGTATTCATGATGCAAAGTACTCGTGCTCGAGAATCTGAAGATGATTCTTCTACAAGATTTATGAATTGATGGTACCTCGGTGAATGTTGGACGACTTCCGGGATCGATTGTAAGGGTTGACAAGATTAAACAGAATAATGGAATCGCTTCATAATCACCGAATCGGATGTTCTTCTGAAATATTCGTTTGCCGAACACTTTTGTTTTGGTTTGAGAACTTACGTAAATCGGTTTAATCGTTTGGAACGATGTGTTACGTTTTGTCAGAGTGACTCGACCTGTCGATGCGGATCGGACGACTTTAGTGCTTCTTTAAGTTTGAATAGCTTTTTATTATTTTACGAACTTTTTTAAATTTTAGAACACTTTTAGACTACATTCGCAAAAAAAAAACGAGCACATTTACGGCGAGTTTGATTCGCAGGTTATCCGCAGTACGGTACTCGAATTCCCAGTGTTTAGATCGAAATTTGAATTATTATTATTTGCGATCGTCCACAATTATGCAAGGCGCTCGTGTTTTTTGGGTTTGAATGAGAAAAAAACACACTCAATCGAAATGATTTTCCACTCAAGACCCAAATAAAGCATTTTTGTGGCAAAATCACATTCTTTTCGTTTTTTTCACACGCGATTTTGTAGAAATTTTCCCTCCAACTATTTAATTAAATGAACTTACCCAAGATCAAAAGCTCTTTCAAACATGATTTGTGGGATTGGTTCTCTGAGCACCGATTGAATCAGATCTAATTGAACTTCTTCTCCACCATTAGCGTAGCCGAAGAATAAAAGTTCGCCTGTGTACATTTCCGACAACACACATCCATAGGACCACACATCCGCTTTACTGTCAAATCCGAGACCTAATTTCAATATTTATTTGAATTTTAACAGTTTTCCAACCTAAAAAGACTTCGGGAGCCCGATAATTTTGAGTTTGAGCATCCATCGACGCTCTGAACTCCATGCGATGATTCGCATCGAAAATCTCGCTGCATCCAAAGTCGCCGATCCTAATATAAGCGTCGGTGAACTTGACAATAGCTAAAATGCCGATTGTATCGACGATTTTTCCCTAAATTGTTTTCATTTTTCAAAAATAATTGACGTTTCGGCCTACCACTGCGCCTTTAGGCATAAAAATGTTCTCTGGTTTCACATCGAGATGGGCAATGTCGCATTTATGCAGAAATTCAAGGCCCACGGCCAACTGTTTCGCGATTGTACGAATATTTGAATCTAAATACGCCAATCAAAGAAATAGATAAGCTGCAGTTTATTTTTGATTCTACTTTCTAGACAAAATTGCCTCACATCGTCTGAAGAAGTCCGCAATGATTCCTAATTATAATTGGGCAATTAAGGGCAATTACTGTTTAATTGATACCATGCTTTCGAGCAAGGATCGTCCACTTTCATCCATCAAAATGTAGAATGGCGAAAATCCGTCCAAATTATTTTCAAGTGTTCCAGATTTAATATAATTCACTATGTACCTTTAATTTTAAAATCGAATTTTTGTGTTTTCCAAAAACCTACGGATGTCCCCCGTATGCGGCATATCGATTCATAATCTAAAAAATCCTATTTTTCAAATTTCTTCTCTTTTTGCTTTTACCTCAAGTTCCTCTTTCCAGTGAGTTTCGGGATTCGAGTTGGATGCTTTAAAAACCTTCATTGCTAGGGTTCCTTGCTATATTTTTTACGAATTACACAATTATACTTTGCAAATCAACCTTACGTTTAATTGTACTCGGTACACTTTGCCGTAAACGCCAGAACCCAATTCTGCGAGAATTTTAACTCAAAATTAAAAATTTTCCACAAAATATAAAATTTTTAAAATTTACATTTTGTTCCGTCGGCAATGTCTTGGACGAATTCATCGATTTCATATGACATCTGGAAAGAAAATTGATTTTATACGTGGAATAATAAAAATAAAAAAATAATTTTTGGATTTTCGAATATTTCCGAAGGTACTGTAAGCACGGGTGATGAAGCCTACACATTTTGCATTTTATTGTACGAGCATTTGATTTTCCGATTTTGAGCTTAACCAATTTTCAAAATTTTATTTCCAACATTCAACTGGAAATGTTTTAGATGCCACCGAAGAAGCAAGCGGCGCGTGCACAAAATATTCTCAAATATTTTGCGAATCCCGTGCCGCAAAAAGAGCCATCGATCGACGAGTCTTGTCAAATTTTATATGAAAATGTGCAAAATGGTAATATTTCAATAAAAAAAGAATAAGTTAGCAATAAAGCATTTTATTAGAGCCAACCACAACTGTGCCGCTGCCCACAAAATGGAATTCGATTATCGAAAATGAAGATAAAGCGAACAGCACACGTGGGAGAGATTGGACGAATCCGCTTCCCGTTCCAACCGAAGAAAATAAAAATAAAAGTTTTAATAGGTAAAAAAAACTATGAAAAGTTATATCAAGTATCTGGATTTTCAGCAAAGACGATTTGAAAAAGTTTAATTTCAAAGGAACGTGTATATATTATCCTCTAGGAGAACCTTTCCGAAAACTTGAGGTAATAATCGCTAGTTTCTTTTTTTTATTGCAAAATTATTTCAGGAGAATTTAGTGAAACAGATTGCCCATCGGAATTGTTGTATTTCTCTTCCGGCTTTTGCATGCTCTACGATTCCTCAAATTATTGCTTTAACAACCTTCAACTTTTTAAAGTAGATCGTTTTGGTTCGAAAATTTTCATCAATTTTTGAATTTTAGATGGTTTGAAAATTCGAAAGCTCTTTTGGTATACACAAGCGAACAAAGTGTTGCTGATTGGATGATTGCATTGAAAAATATTGGAATCAGCGAAGATGTGGTATCTTTTTTCATATTTTCGTAGAAAATACTTTAAAGATCTTGTATTCTTTCAGATTTCGCACTATCCAAAGGTTTCAACGTTTAAAACCAGTAAATCGCCCATTGGAAGGATTGTTATTAGCCCTTTAGTAAGTTTTTTCAATATTTTTGTTGAAATTACACTTAAATATAATCAGTGCATAGTCAAAATGTTGGAAACCGAAGAGTTTGAGCAGATAATTGGAGATTTTCGATTAGTGATGCTTAATATAAAAGCGGATGATGCTTCATCGAAATATGGACAAATTGTATCGCATCTGATTCGAAAAGATGTAATTTTTTCGATTTTGAAGATTTCAACTCGAATCTCAGGTTTTCTTTCGTTGTGCAGTCATCACTACGACGATTGCGATAAAATCCCGAAGGAATACAATGAATTTGATCACAAATCGGCAACAAGCGATCACAAATTTGAATTTGTCGAGTTGGAAAGAGCAAAATGAAATGGATATGGATTTTCGGTGAATTTTTGAATTGAAATTTGAACATTTCCATGATTTTTCTTCACGAAACTTCAGTTTTCAAATATTGAAGCAATTTTTTTCTTTAAATCAAAAATTTGCATTATTGAAGATCCTCGATCATTCCTCCAGGAATTGAGGTGAAATTCTGGAAGACTGAGGAGTTGTCAGATGTCCACAAAGAATTGTTGGAAAAATGGAAAGAAGTTTGAATCGAGATCCGATTTTTGTTTAATTTGCGATTATTGTAGGCTACTGCACCGATTCTCAAACAACTGTTCGAGAATTCCAAGGTCCCATCTGAAAATCTGCTAGAATTGATTTGGATGGAGAATCGAACAAGCGAAACTTCAATTGCTGAATTGATTTGCAAACTTTTTCGAATTTTGCTCATTGATGGCATTCCGAATGCGATGCAATATGTATGCAATAGTGAGTTTTTTTGTAATTCTCAGAATTCACATTAGTTTTTTTTTTTGCAGAAAATCAATTAAAACCGGAATTTAGCGCATTTCTTTCTGAACATCCCAAAGTACAAACATTTTTTGAATTTTTAAAGGCAGTTGAGAAGTCTGGAAATTGCCATTTGAAATATTCGTATCTCCAGGAAACAGTTCGCGCTTTTCTTGAAATAAGTTGGTTAATTTGCAAAAAAAAAACGCCGAATTTTATATTTTTTCCAGATAATGCTTCGCGTGGAGTCATTTTTGTGAAAGATGATCAGACGGCTCAAATTCTGCAAGCATTTTTGAGGAAACGTTTCGGCGATGTCGTATTTTGGTGGTCCGAAACTTTGAATGATAATAACGCGATACCAATGTCGAAATTGGCTATGATGTTCTATGAGGTTTGCGCATTTTTTTTTTGTTTTCAAATTTTCTCTTATGTTTTATGCTTAAATTTTTTAGAGAAAATCATCAAAAATTGTGCTTTTTCCAACCAATGCTCCAAATTTTACTACAAGCTCATTATCATTGCCAATTTCTGAAATTGACTTCATCATTTCGATGGATCGCGAGTGGGTTTCCGATTTCTTCAATGTTTTTTTTGCTGTATCATACTAATGCGCCTTTAAACATTTTTCATCTCATCACGTTTTTTTGAAGATTTATTTCCATATTTAGCGGAAAAAATGCATTGAAATGGGACATTGAACAAATTTGTTGAAATTTGAGTTTCGAGACCAAGCTTAAAGGCGCAAATCGGTCATTATTCATTTTTCAGATGTATATTTTATACAAAGAATTGTACATGCCCACATGTCGCCATTTTGCACGCCGAATTTGAGAAATTGGTAATTTCAGAGGCGTGTTTAAGAAAAAATGGCATTTTTTAAGAGAAATTTGGATGGTCGAATCGTCGGCAACGATGTGATTGTCGATGCGAAAAAGAGTAAAGTGCCGCCGATGAAAAAGTGTGTGTTTTTTTTTAATTGCGCTTCCATCATTCAAATTCATTCTTCGGCATTTTCAGATATGAATTCAAATATGAAGCGAGTCGAATGTGCGTCGAAACCAAAAATATGCGGCTCGAATTTTTCGTGCCCAACGCGAATGTGATTCGCAAAAGTGCGGCGATGTGTGAGAATTTGTCGGGTTTGCTGCTGACGGCAAAAGAGCGAAACGAGCTGTTTGAAAGGCTGAAAAATTGGGAGTTTTGCGAATATCGAAGGAAGCGAAAATCGTTTTTGGTTTTGGTAAGGCTTCATTTTTTTTTCTTTCTTTCCAATGGTTTCTACCTCTTTAAAAAAAAAGCTTCGATATTTTGAAGCCAAAAAATGGGCGGATTTGAAAGTACTTGATTTTTAATTTATTTTCAGAATGAATCATCAACGAATGTTGAAATGATGGATGACGAAATGATTGAATGGAACGATAGCGTTCAATATTTGGGAAATGTGAGGCGGCAATTTAAATTTTCGACCTAAAACTTCCTCTAGGTGCCATCTAGCCGACTTTCGGAACGATTTTCGGAGTATTTGAATGGAAATGGACAAATTCGATCTGCGAAATTCAAGAGGAAATTCGAATATTCGAATGAAATGTAATATTTTCCTTGGTTTTTCAAAAATATTCGTTGTTTTTTTTTGTTGCAGAACCTGCGAAACGAAGATGGAAACGCTAAACAAGTTAATTAGAAAAATTGATTCGATTTTTTAAATGTAAATAATAAAAATGTTGTTTGCGCTATTTTGATGGTGTTTTCCCGTCGATCGTTGATACGCATAATACATATAATTAAGTGTGAGTTGCGTGATAAACGCGCGAGCGCGCCCCGACTCGAGATGATCCCTCGTTAGCACCCGTGGCAACCGCCTGCCCAAAAAAAGTGTGAAGATGAAGTCGCCGCTGCCTTTTTCGCTAGCTCCGCATCATATCTATCGGTGGTGAGCCGTCGTGGTCGCACCGCCGCTGCTATTGCTCCTGCTGCGCGCCGTTCTCCGCAACATTTTGCGAAATGGAGCTCGATGAGCAACACGTCGCGCGATTCCTCCAACAGAATCCCGCGTTTCTCGAGGAGTTTGTGACGTCCGACGCCGTCGAGAATGAGACGTTCGAGCGATGGATGATTCGACGCGGAATGCGGCGGCGCAACGAGAAACGAATCGGCGCTGCCGGTCTGCCGGGAGCGTGGAATGTCCGTTTTATATTCATTTGTCCAGGTTTTGAGCACCAAATTTGTTTTGCAGGAACCCGACTTGGCGGTAAAACGAAATGTTATTCTAGAATGTGCAGATAATAGGGTTCGTTTTTTTTTTCAATATTATAAGAAACATAAATTACGAGCAGTTTTATTAGTCATTTTCAAAATAATTGATATTTTCCTAGAGAATTGAAAAAAAAAATTGATGAATTATCAAAAAAATTGTTTTGAGACATTTTTTGAAAATTCTGCAAACATCTAGGCAGAACCTCACAGAAATTGAAACTACAGTAATCCAAAAACTAATGACCTTGTTTTATTTGTCATGGTTGAGCAATAATTGAGTGGGAACCTTTTTATTTTTGAGTAATTGTTGATCTTTCATCCATTGGAGGGTAGCAAAATGAGTAATCAAAAGTATTCACAACAATTCATAGATTATATTGAATACAATCGCACTTTATCAAATAGTGCCAACGAAAAATGTTCTCAATAATTTATGAATTCAGAATTCTTTTGATTATTAATGTCACGAAAGTAAATAAATATTAAAAAGGCACTGAAAAATTGAATAGCTTGGAAATGTTGCAAAATGCTTTCGTCATTGTTGTCTGAGGATAAATCCCATAATACTTCCTGACATTGAAGCCCCCCCCCCATTTTTGGCCGCGTTGAGATTATGCGCAAACCTCCCGAATATATTTAGAGTCGTCTGCTTTATGAGATAACACAATGCTGCGGACAAATTCTGGGGACCAACGAGCTCGAGCTGATTGTTCAAAACGATTTTGGCGCGTTTCTGTGCAAAAAATCGGAAGATGGATCGTTGAAGTTGAAAAAGGTAGGCAATTTCTCAGTAGGTTTTTTTTTGTTGAGAAAAATATCAGATGCTTTTGCTAGCTAATTCAAGCGTTTTTTCTCTCACTTTTTACCTTTTAGATGAAAAAAGACCGAAAACCTCCACAACATGCTCAGATGATTATAAACGCTGGAAATCAAACAATTGGTACTTATACTTATTTCAGTATTTTTCCCATTTTTCAATTTTTTAGGTGAAATCCACTTCCACACGCCATTGTCAAATCAAGAAAAAGCAGTGGTGAACGCGATTTGTACATGGGCGGCAGCCGCCAATTATTTCGCCGAGGTTGGTGTATTTTTTTTATTTTGAGATGAAGCTATAGCGAGCAAACTACCGTAGACATTCATGGGATAATCGTTGCTCAGGGGGGGATTTGGCGTAGTAAAATCTGGTGAGCTTCAGCTTTATGCGCATTCGTCGCAAGCGAAAGATGTCAACGATGTTCATGAGAATATTGCGAAGCAGCGGAAGTTGTCGAACTTTCTTCTCGACGTCGCTCGATCGATTTTTCATGACATCGTCTCAATGGACGCGGTTATCATCAAAGTCATGGTATGAAGCCGGGTGGAAATTCGAGAAAAAAAATATAATGCGTTTTTGTTTTGTGCTGTAGAATTTTGCTCAAAAACTTGTTGACGCCGATCGCGCCTCGCTTTTTCTGGTTGACTCAAAGAATAAGCAGATTTACGCGCGGATTTTCGACGTCGGCACCGGCAGCGAGGAGCACGCGAAAGTCAACGAGGACGGCCAACGCGAGATACGGTAATACGAGATGATCCCCCCCTCCTACCCCTCTCATCCGAGATTTTGGCAGATTTGACATTAGTAAGGGGATTGCGGGCTATGTTGCATCAACCGGCGAAGGGTTGAATATCGAGGACGCTTATGAGGACGAGCGATTCAATGCAGAAGTTGATTCGAAGACCGGCTACACCACCAAAACGATACTGTGTATGCCGATATTGATTCGAGGAACGTAAGAATCTCAATCAGAATTGATTCCGAAAAAAAGTGTTGACTTCTAGGGTAATCGGTGTTGTTCAAATGGTCAATAAACATCAAGGAGTGTTCACGAAAGAGGATGAAGACGCGTTCGAGGTATTCGCGGTTTATTGCGGATTAGCGCTCCACCATGCGAAACTATATGATAAGATTCGAAGAAGCGAGCAGGTATTCGAGAATTTTGCTGAAAAAAAACTCACATTCTTGGCCGATTTCTTTTTAGAAATATCGAGTCGCCCTAGAAGTTCTTGCTTATCATAGTGTATGCAATTCGGACGAAGTGAACAAATTGAAGAAAATTGAGATCAATGAACGGATCACCGAACTCGAGACGTGAGATCATTCTCGTCGACGCGTGTGAATCGAAACCAATTTGGATTTCAGAATTGATTTCAACGGAATGCGATTGTCGGAACTTGAGAAGCCGTTGTATGCTGTGTACATGTTTCGGACCATGTTTGGGAAATGGCTGTAGAATAATAATGCTTGTTCATCAGAAAACACATCACAATTTTTCAGGCGGTACGACAATGATGATCTTATCCGATTTGTGCTCACCGTACGCAAAAACTATCGCCGAGTTGCCTACCATAATTGGGCTCATGGCTGGTCTGTGGCTCACGCGATGTTCGCCACTCTTGTTAACAATCCGGAATTGTTCTCCAAACTTGAGGTTCCTTTTTTTTTGAAAATAATATCTCAAAACATTTGAATATTTGGAAGTTTTAGGCACTCGCTTTATATGTCTCATGCCTTTGCCATGATTTGGACCATCGCGGTAAGAATAATGCGTATATGAAGACAATGAGCACTCCGCTGGCGGCGATCTACTCGACGTCTGTCATGGAGAGGCACCATTTTAATCAGACAGTCACCATTCTTCAACAGGTAAACTTTGAGGAATTAGAGTCGGCTGGTAGATTTACGGGGTGCGCTTTTCGAAATGGTCTCACCACACGTGAACTATTTAATTTTTCTTGATGATTTCAGCATTTCTTCATTTCACTGAAATTAAAAATTAACGGAATGACCTCTAAAATGCCAAATACTTGATACGAAAAATCTATCCGCATACAGCAGTATAAATATTATCGATGCCAGATGACTTCCGCTGGGTCTCGAAGTAGTTGTCGATTTGGCTGCGTATCAAATATAGGAAAAACGACAGTACATATACATACATCAAAGGCGCATGCCAATTTTTTTATTTTCCCACTAGCAAGAAAAATCTTTTAGATGTCCGTCTTAAAATTATGTTTGCATAGAGATTCTTTGGAAATTTTCTCCTGAATTCATGAGAAGGTGCGGCCAACTGTGATGGTCCATAAATCGATATTTTAAAAAGAAAACTGTATTAGGTCGAAATTTTTAAAAAAATTTCCGACATATGCTTGTCGTAATCGTGGATTTTCAGGATGGGCATAATATTTTGAAGTCCCTCACTTCTGAAGAATACAAAAGGACGTTGAGTTTGATAAAAGTTTGTTAGCATCGCGTTTTTTTTTTTTCAAATTTGAGGATTTCAGCATTGCATTCTCGCCACAGATCTCACATTATTCTTCTCAAACAAGGCGAAATTGAATGTGCTTTTGGAGGAGAATAAGTTTGATATTCAAATACCAGAGCACAGGTCAGTCACTTAGTTTATGATTTAAGCGAAAAAGATATATGCATCATTTTCAGACTTTTATCGCAAGCAGTTCTAATGACTGGATGTGATTTGGTGGCCTCCGCGAAACCTTGGAATATTCAGACGGAAACTGTTAAAGTGATTTTCGAGGAATTTTACGATCAGGTAGTTTCACCGAATGACCAAACCCAAAAAAGAAAAAATGTTTAGGGTGATGCTGAACGCATTGGTGGAAAAGAGCCTATTGCGATGATGGATCGAACAAAAGCGCATATGCTGCCCCAAATGCAGGTATCGGTTTGTTATCATCTCGAAGGTACCACCCAAAAACTCGAAAATTTCCAAGAAATGAGAAAATTGTTTGAATTGCCGCCAATAAGAAACTCAGCGATTTGATCGACATGGAACAGTTTTGAAAAAAATAGGAAAAAATTAGTCGAGACAAAATTCGCACGACTCGCCACAACTCACATGTGGCCTAGAGAAAATGTCAATAGAAATTAGGTTCGGCCACGGCCACACTTGATGAATAATTAATTATAAAAATTAGCCTATGATTGTGTGCCGCACTTGCAGTTTTTCTCAGAATTTCTGTGCCGCGCTTGCATTTTTGGTTTTTGAAAGTGTCGACCAATTTTTCAAGGCCACACGTGAGCTGTGGCAAGCCCACGCTAAATTGAGGGCAGTGTGTAATTGGAGTGTCGTACTAGTAGGGTAAAAAAGTTTTGTGACGAACAGCGAGCAACACCCAATGTTCAAATCAAACCCGCGGCTCGTCGTTTTCGAATCGCTGGGGAGTTTTTAACGGCACGTCGAGTTTTAGGGGGAATTTCTAAAAAATACGTATATTATTACACACTCTTTCCCATAGGTTGGCTTCATGCGCGGAATCTGTATGCCCTGTTACGAGCTCATCGCTAAAATATTTCCAAAAGCGCAAAAAATGCGAGACCGCTGCGAATATAATGCGAAGAAATGGGAGGAACTCGCCGAAGAGCAGAAGAAAAAGGATCTCGAGAAACAGGAAGAAGAGAAGCAAAATTAATCAGCTTTATTATTGTTATTACGGAATTATTATTTTTATTATTAATTTCCATTATTATTATTATTATTATGCTAGTTATTACTATGTTGTGGCTATAAATGAAGAGCTGGCATATCAAATGCTCCGTTGCCACCGACGAATCGCTTTGAATTTGAGTTAATTGTGAATCTCCAATGATTATATTTTCAGAATGATTTCACCGAATCTTCCGACTTACCCGATTTCGTCGCCGGGATTCCAGTTGTTCGGGATTTTGAACATCGTGTCCCACTCGTCGCGCGCACGTCCTTGCGTCGAGAAGCCGGAATTCACCGCCGGCATTGTCGGATCCAGCGACGGCAGAATGAAGCGCGTTCCGAGTCCCGGTATCTCCTTCTCGTTCGCGCCCGTCCATCGGAAGCGTGTATGTCGGCCCTTCGGCTCCCAGAACAACGGCGGCACCGGGCGTTCTTCGATCATCTGCGTGACCTTCGCATCGATCATGCTCGCTTTCGACGTCGTCTCGCCGTACAATCGCGGCAACGCCTTGATCGTCTTCACGCGCATTTGACCCTTCTGATCGGCCGACAGCATTTCTCTGCAAATTTTGAATTGCGCAATTTCGCGCGCGTTTTTCTACCGTCCGCTCAATGTTTTCTCCAGATGATCGTCCATAAAAAGCGCGGCGAGACTTGGATTGTTCTTCAAATTCGTGATCACTCTTGATTTATGCTTCAGCTCCCATTCGGCACTCGGATGCCTTCTGACCTCCTCGACTTCTTTCGGATCAGCGCCGATTAACAATGGAACCATTTTGCGAGGTCTTAACAGAAAAATCACGACGCGATTTCGAATTGACTCACTTCGTCGGGATTTTGCGCGGAACAAAGAATCCGGGTTGAGGATTCGGATTCACCGGCACCTTTCTCGGTTCCAAGTACTTCTCGACGTCTTCGACTCGGTACTTGATTCGGTTCAACGCTGCTTTCAGCTCGTCGTTGGATTTGAGCTGCTCTAAAAATGCCGACGAAAGCACTGGTGGAGCACGACGAAGCGCGTTCTAGAATCATCAAAATTTGGATTTTAAAAAATTCCGACGACGATCAAACATCTTCAGCTTCCTTCTCGTCGTCATCGTCATAATCATCGTCGGTGAGTCCATGCAATCCGAGGACAATTTGCGATTTCTGATCCAGCTTCGCTCTAGCCTTCATCGCGCGAAACGTCTCGTCGTCATCGTCACTGGTCGCCAATGGTCGTCTCGAGTGAAGCGGCGAATCGCGCATTCGCCGATTCGACAACAGATTCGCCACTTCCGGATTCTCAAGAAGCGCTCTCAATCTCGGACTGGCTCGGAGTCGTCGCGTGAGGTCTCGCCGCGATTCATCATCCGTCAACGCCTCGTCGCCGTCGTCGTCGCTCGCTTCGACATCCATTCGATTCGCGTCAAGCGCCGACTGTCGCATCATTTTCGCCGGAACGCGCTGCATTTGCATTTGCGACCGTCGCATTTGTTGTTGCGGCATTTTGAACGGATTTCGGCCGGCGATCATGTTCGCGACGAGACCCGGCAAAATTTGAGTTTGGAATTTCTCCAAAACCGCTTTTGCGATTTGTTCCGACGGATCATTGATCTCCATATCGCGTTGGGTTCGAATCGCGTCTTCCAGTCCGCGAATACTGCTTCCGATGGGAATCCCGTTCGAGTTCAGCATATCGATGAAAGCGTTTCCTGACAATAAATGTGAAGGCCGCCAAAATGAAAAAAAAACTCCTACCAGTTTTTGGTTGAAGCTTCGCCAGTTCTGCTTGTTGCATGACAGCATCTGCCGCCAGGTCTTCGACCTTCAGCTTCTTGTACTTCTCGAACTGATCGGGTTGAACCTTCTCCAACACTTCAAGCTGCGTTTTAAACGCGTTCTTCGCCATTTCAATTTGTCCTTTTTTAATGAGAGCGTCTGAAATTGAAGAAAAAAGAATTTATTTATAAGAAAAATATCGAAAATTCAGTTTTTTTTTAATTATCTTTCACATAATTATGGACCATCGCAATTTTCGCGGCGGTAATTCAAATTTTCTCTCTCTGGATAACCTGCGAATCAAACTCACCGTAAATCGTTTTTTTTTGCGAATACAATATGTTGATTAAATAAAATTAATCTCGCTAATAAGAGGTTTTCCATTCGAGACCTAAGGCGGCAATTCAAATAACAACCGACTTTTTCAAAGTTTTAAAAATAGAGACAAACCAATAAATTGAGCTCCGATCATTTCGAGCGCTTCGGTGCTCGGCGCATATGGAATCGCTCGCGATTTCTCATCGCAAAAAACGCTTGCTGAAAATTCGATTTTTTTTTAAATAAAATCGATCGACCAAAATCACCTGCGAACAACAAAAGCAAAAGCGCGCAAAAACGCGGCATTCGAGAATGAAGCGGAAAATCTTGTGTGTGCGTGAATCGAGAAGCTTGCGTCCTGAGTGATATGGAACCGGGTTGCGGTGGGACACGGATTAGATCGGCGAGGGACAAAGGTGGCGGCGGTGGGCATCCGCTTGATAACAACACACCACAAATGCATTATTAGAGTTTATTCAAAAAAAAAGAAAAAATACATATTATGACACACATCGAATCAGAATTTGAATTGCATATTGTTGATCAGTCGCCTTTTTGCCAATTCTCTTCGTTGTTCAAGCTCATTCAGCATGCCTGCAATTATGCGCCTTTAATTACGATGGAACATATTTAATATTCTTTGGGAGCATATTGTCGGTTTTAAGGCTCATTGATGGGATTCAATTTAGCGAAATAATTGTTGATTTACGGAAAATTATGATACCATGCAGATTTCGCAAAAAAAAAACCCCAAAAATACAATTTAAAAGCACCTATAAATCGTTATGCATTGCAAGAAAAAATCCAAAAAGCTCGACTGCGGCCAGGTTTTTTCGAAGCCTACAGTTTTTCAATAAAATGTATTAAGAAAATCATTGACACTAGATTTCGAAAAAAAATCGAAAACCTAACAGATTTGAATAGATATTTGAGAGCGAAAAATCTGAAATTGAATTACGAAATTTCAATAAATGAGCACGACCTCATGCATTTTATCCGACGACTATTTTAAAACGTGTAATTTTCAAGTGATTTAGCATTGATACCTAAATTTGATTTGACGTCTCAGAGATGAAAACGAATAAAAAATATTTGCCAGGAATATTGAAAAAAAGCAAAATTGAAATAATTGCGGACTTGTGCATTTTATTTGACGACACTTTACACCTTATTTTCTTCACGACGAATTAGCGTAGAATTTTCTTTTTTTTTCGATTTCAATTGCTTTCGATATTATTAAAATTGGTAAAACGTTTTTAAGAAACACAAATAAATGAAGAAATGCTAAAAAAAAGATTGTGGGACTCACTTTGATCGAGCTCGTTCCTCGCAATTCGATTCCTAAACATCCGCTCGGCCCTTTGGATAATCCACGGGAAAAAGTCCTTCTCGAGTTCGGCGGTGACGAGATCCATTTTCTGCTCGAATCGATTCATTTCGCGCGTGTCCAATCCGATGCTCTTCTTCGAATTCCTCTCGATGATTTTCAAATTCTCCAACGTTTTTTTCGTCACTTCATGGCAAGTTTCCAATGCCAATTTTTGCGCTTCTCTCGACTCTTTTTCTCTCGCCTTCCACATTTCTAATTGATTATTCTGAATTTGCCAACAAAAATAAACAATTTGTTTGAGCCCCGTGTTTTTTTTTGTCGAACCTTTTCCATTATTTCGCGTTTCCATTTTTCTGTCATTTCCGTCTGCTTTTGCGTCTCGCATTCCAGCTTCTTCTCGCTTTCCATCGCCCGCTTTTGGATTCTCTCAAGCTCGTCTTCGCCCTGATGAAAAAAAAATAGAAAGCAAAATAATTTCATTTTCTCACCTCAATTTGAAAAATCGCCATTGTAATTGCAGAGTTTGCCAATTCTCGAACCAAATCGTCGAATTTCTCATCAAAATTCTGAATATTCAGGATTTGAACAATCAAACAAAGAATGTTATTTTTAGATTGAAAAAAATGCAAAATAGTCATTTTTCGGTATACAAATTATTTAAGAAATTTAATGTTTTAAAAAAATAGTTTTTTTCTTTTCATAATTTTCAAAAAATATTTCTAATAAACTATTTTAGGATTTTTTATTTAGTTGAGCAAAAAAATTCAAATAAAGTTGTGCAATTTAAGAGAAAATAAGATCAAAATCATTTTCTTCTTATTTTTACTTAAATCTTGGAACTCTCGAGTGTGGTCTATTAAGGTATCATTGAAGTTTTATTAAAGGCGATTTCCTGCTGCCGACATTCTTCCGGTCAACGCTCATTTCTCGAATCATCGAATAAAACCGAAAACAATAACAACATACGTCATCAGTTTGTACGCCGCTCTCGACGATTTGATAAATTGGCCTCGGCGATGACGGCGGTGTTCCGGTTTGGGAAACGATGCGTCGATGGTGGATACCGCTCGGACCACGTGGCACTTGGTGACGGCTCTCGAAGCTCACGACGACTTTCGCCGGAAAATTCGCATCGCCGCTGGCGCGTCGCTCCGCCAAAATTTCGCCTAGAAATTTTTTTTTAGAATTTTCATATTTCTCTCTTGTCGCTTCAAAGCCGAATTCGCGGCGGCGAGTCGGCCGCGTTGCGTATGCGTCGCGGTCGGCGTCGCTTTTAAATAAAAACGCGTAGTCCGTTTTGATCGCGTACCATTTCGATAAATTTTCGGCACCGATGTCGATTTGATCGGCGAGAATCGGGCGGTTGCGAACGTTTTTTTGTCTATTGAGCCGCCATTCTGCGAAAGTTCGGGCAGAAAATTGCGATGGGCGCCTCTGAAAATGGCGAGATTAGCAAACAATTTAAATCAAATTTCATCTGCGGACAATAATTTGCAATTCGCCGCGCGTAAACCGCCAAATTTTCGAATATTCGTATAGTCGGCGTTCGGCGATGGCTGTACGCGGGTAGATTTACGCGCATGCGCCTTGAAAAGGTCTCGCCACGCGTGAATGCTTATTTCGCTGTTTTCACGTGAATTGCTTCATTTTCCTTGATGATTTTGGCATTTCTAGGAATTTCTAATATCGTTCGATTTAAAAATTATCGAACCGACCCATAAAATGAGAAATAACCTGGCGGGACCATTTCGAAAGACGCATCCCGTAAATCTACCCGCGTACAGCAGTCGCCCGACCCCCAACTATACTATGTTAATTCATAGATTTGCCTAATTTCCGGAATTTTCTTAATTTCCGTTGCAGCCAAATGCGTGAATTCTCAACGGCGAATATTTTGGCGGAAAATCAAACGAAAACCTTTTTACACTATCATAATTATGAATTAATGTTTCAAGTTTAGAATAAAAATTAAAAAGAAATGAAATTTTCGATTTCTGAATAATCCACTATATTCGTGAATCGTCACCTTTAAAAGGAATTTGTTCCGTGATGTCATCTCATAAATTTTTGTGGCCACATAATTAATCAAGGTCAATTTCTCCCAAAAAATGGAAATCGTTTTTATTGAATACTCGACTAATATGTTGTATTTCCTTATTGCCTTCCACCCTCTCGAATTTCGTCATGCTCGAGTTACCTTTTGCTCAGCGAATGAGTTCGCGACGTCGCCGCCGCCGAGACGCTCGCTGTCGATGTTGAAGGCTGCGCAACTCTCGGCAGCACCGATGAGAGTTGATCGCGGATCACACCGACGCGGTACTTTTTCTCCTTCTTCTCGGCCACTTCGGATTTTTTTGCCTGCAAAAAAAAAACGAGCCAAAAATCGAAATCTATTGGCAAATATTGAAAGTTCAATTTCAAAAAAAATTTCAAAAATTCCATAAAAAATATTTATATTGAACTTACGTTGTTGTACGAGAGTCGACGATTCGCGAACACCGATCCTTTGTAGACGCGCGGATCGGCGTTGATCTGAACCGGCCGCCGAACGCCGCCCAACTCGAGGAGGCTCGCCATTTGACTAATGCGCTCGACGGGCGGCGGCGACGGCTCGTTGTGCTCAGCGAGCTGCATCATCGAATTCTTCTGCTCGCCGAGTTGAGCGATGGGCGTGGCCGGCGCGAGGCGAAGCGGACCGCTCGTCGAAGCGACGACAATGGGCGGGCACACGGCCGACATCAAGACACCATCGCGACGCCGCCGCTGATGATGGTTGTTGGCCGACGAGACTGTCGACGACGAGCTGGCGCCAACAAGACGTTGCGGTGGTAGACGCGAGATGTCGCCGACTGTCGTCGTATTCCTGTTCGAGCTCATCGTCATACTGGCGACCGGCGCGCGATGCTCGTTCCTTGCATGGCACAAGGCCGACGCCCGACAATTGGAGATGGCGAGAGCTGTCGGAATCAAAGGTATCCGGAAAAATCGAGATTTGCCTAAAATCGAAATGATATATCGTTTAAAACCATATTTTATTATGCTATTTGGTGAAATTTGCAAAAAAAAACCAAGACGCAATTGTTATCATTTCATTTTTCAGGCATCTTGTTCAATTTTAATTTTAAAATCTTTAAAATAGATCCAAGAGCGAAAACGCGCTCTATTGATAATTGTTCCAAAAAAGGTTTCATATGCTGTCAAATTGTGGCATATTTTTCAAAATGGTCCCACAGCGCTTATTTTAGGCAATTTCTGGCATTCTCAAGAAAAAAGCAAATAAAAAATCGACTGGTTTGCATTCCTTGAAACCTTCTCTTAACATTTATTATCTGCGGACAATTATGTGATAAATGTCCGCAGATGAGAATTGATAGAATGCGAGTAACTCAATCTCTCTCATGATTTAGATTTTTCGAAAAAAAAAAATAAAAAGACGAAAACTAGGAGAAAAAAGTGGTGATAGCGTGCCGACATATTCATAATATTAATAATATCTTCGGATATCGCACACCTGTTTTTCTCTCGATTTCGCGCACTCTCACCATCATCCAAATTTCCGTCGTTTCCTTTTTTCGGCTGCTGCTAGCCGGCTGATAGCAGCTCTCGCCAAAAAGCCGCTGCTGATAAATAAATGATGTGATGAAACACTATGTATACTACATCCAAGACCCCCCCCCCGGTCTTGAAATATTCATCTTCTAACCGATTTCCGGGTCGACGAATCGCGTTTCGACCGAAAATCGCTCTCGCCAAATAATTTATTTTTTTTTTCAATTTTCAGCCCGACGCGAATTCAACATCGATTCGGTTCAGCATGAGGATGTCAGGTATGTTACAGCAAACCCCCCCCCTGTCCTTGTCGCGGACAACAATGATAATGTCACGCGAACATTGTGTAAGAATCATTCCGATCAATTATTGCTTGTGTTCCACTTGATTGTACCAAACAACCCAATAATCATACGCATTTTAATTGATGAACAGCGATTCTGAACACTGAGGGCATTTGACCCTGTTATTAGAGAAAAAAAATCACAAATTTATATTGTCGGAGTCAAACGACTTGACGAAATTTAAAAAATTAATTGGCTATGTGCTAATGCGCAGCGTACGCGAGATTGCGGACCTTGCATTATAGTGTACGCGCATTTAATATTCAGTCAAATATAAATTTAAATCTACACTGATTTCGCGAATTTGAATTCTCCGCTTTGCTTCAGTCGTTTGACGACTGAAGCAAAGTTGAAAATTGTCCGCAGATGATTTAAATCAAATCTAAGTATCATACGAACTAATTTTTAGTATGCAGATCTTTATGGATGTTAAACACACTTTTGTATAACTTGTAAAATCCCATTTTCGTTAGTATACCTTTTATGGAAAACAATTTTTAAATCATTTCAATCCAAGTTGAACAGATTTATCTATAAATGCGATGATCACACAAAAAAAATGCAACTAAAAATAGATGAACTGAAAATAGTCGCCGCCGGAAGTTGGTCGCTCGACGTCATCTGATCACCTATCGAAATCGCTTTCGGCTGAACATCCGCAATTCATTTTTATTTCACACTCTTCCAAAGTTCAATGATAATGATTAAAGGCGACGGCTCTACTTCAAGGGACTTGACAAATGCAATCAGATTGATGAGGATGTCGCGCAACAGGTCGTCGATGAAGTGCATAGGTCAATTATAGATCAAATCATAATCCATATGTGGAATATTGTAGAATGCAGCGATCGTCGGATTCGGCGATTCTCCGAAAATGTGGCATCTCCGAATTTTTTGCCATGTTCCTAACGCTTCCTTCAATTCGAATGAAGAGAATTGTTGATCAGGTATGTCATTCGTGGTTGAATTTTCGTGTAGAACACCACGTGGAAGTCGATAGACATTTTTTGACGGAAAAATTGATTCGTGGACCATCAAATATTTTTCGGCGCCCTAGTTGGATTTGGGAATTACCGTACTCATCTTGAATCGATAGGGATAGGTTAAAGGCGCATGAAAAAATTTTTTGGGTTTAGCCAATCGCACGACGTCAGCTATAATAATTTTTAGGAATTTGACGTATTCTTATTATCGAAGACGGCCGAGTCTAAAAAAAAATTTTAAATTTAGAAATGAACAAAATCGGAATTCGATAATACCTTCTACGTGCTTATTCGAAATTGTGACAAAATTCAACAAAAAAAAAACAGAAAAAATCGTTTAAATGAATACCAAAATTTATTGAGGAAATAAAAATAAATAATTTCGCAAAATTGACCGTTTTCTCGATTGAACTCAACGTTCCCAATTTTTCATTTCGTTTTTAAATCGATGAGTCAAATGTCATTTCAGCGAATTCGAACGACATTTTCAGGAGACTTGTTTAAAATGTTTTTCAAATTTCCGAAAATCGAAAAGCAAAATAAAACAACACAAAAAAGGCGGCGAAATTGTGAAATTTTAGAAGTCCAATCAAAATTGTTGTAAATTTTTCAATTAATTTGGTATTTTTGATCTCGACCAATTCGAATTTTCTCGGATTTCGATGTCCTTGATTTCAATATTATTGCAAAAGTCATGTTAAAAAAAAAATCTTAATACAATGCCTCTTTATCGGTCAAATTTTTTAAGGCATGTGCTAAACACGAGAAACAAATTGAATGTGGATTGCATTATGAGGGAAAAGCGATGACACTGAAACGAGTGATGGAGCTGAAAGAAGACGGATCAAATAGGTACATTCTAGTTGAATTTTTTGGCTTCTAATCGCGCCAAGACCTGGTACTATGAAAATTTCGTAAAAAAAAAAACAAAATTAATTGGATTGAAAAAAAAATTTTGTGCTTAAAGACGCATACAATAAAATTTTATGTTTCTTGCAGCGAATCAATAAAAACTGTGGTACTGTAGATTTCAAATAAATTTTTTTTTTGAAAAACTGGACTTTTGATATTTTTATTGCTGCATATTATCATAATTCACTGGCCTATTGTAATATTTAAAAATTAAGCTTCAAAAAAACATTGAAATCCACTGTGCTATTAAACTTTTACCCTTAAATGATTAAATTTTTTCTTAAATTTTCAGACAAATGTTTGAACATGAATGCGTCGATGATGATTATTCCCCAAAAGTTTATCCATGTCTTGGAAATACGAAAAAATGGGCGTCGAGTTGCGAGAAGGTTTGAGCAGAGGAATTCTCAGAAAAAAAATTCAAAACTTTTTCAGGTTATTGAAGATCATTCGACAACTCGAATTATTGCGAATGAGCAAATTGAGCGGATTTATGAATCAGCGATAAGCAGATTGAAAACGGAAATTGAGGATCCCGAGGCGATTTTCCAAGAAGCCATGATTAAAATAGCGCATTTGGAAGGACGAAAATGTCTCGCGTTTAAAACAGTACGATTGTGCCATTAGTTTGGGATTCGATGTGAAAATTTCAGATGCGTGTTTGCGCCCTCCAAAGTCTTATCAACAACTGTGGAAAAGAGACAGCACGTGCTTTCGACACAGTAACCTCAAAAGGGTATTTGAAATCTGATCGATCCCTTCGACTTCAGATCGATGTTGAGAATTTCAATATGCCGACTCACCCATTTTGCAAAGATTTATTATAATATGTATTTATATTGACAAATTTGCCGGGGTAAATTAATTCAACATTCGAATTGTTCGCATGAAAACGATTATCGGAACTAGAGGAATCATGAGAAAGCCGAATAAAACGTCTAGATTGTAATATGTAATCAGATCGAGACTTCGACTCTCCGCGTACAACTCCTTCACTCCGTTGTTTAATAGCACCTTGAAAGTTTTTATTTATTTTAATACACAAATTTAAACTATCTGCAGACAACACTGAGATCAATTTCAAAATGGACAATGATGACAAATCTTGATCTTTTGATTTTAGAATGGTCTGGTTGAGAGGGCAACTACAGTAGTTCAAGGAGCATTCAATATCTAGTTATTGCCGAAGCGACTAAATGCCATAAATGTTTTCAAGACGTCGAGAGACGCACGTTGTGTACTCCACACCAGTTTATCTACGTGGGACTTGTTGAAATTTAATTTCCCGGGAAAAAGTCTGTAAACACCGCGCGCGCAAATGCACTCTATTCGAATATTGCGTATTCTTGCTTGTTTTCGAAATTTAATGAGATTTCTTATTTTCTTTTCCATTCTGATTCTGGACATAATCAAATCTAATTTTTCAGATGAGCTTCAAAGAAGGATCGATCAGTGGAATAAAGCGCCATTTGGAAAAACTAAAACTTTAAAAAAAATCCTCGATGGCAGGGAATTTTATCAAATTTCGAAAAAAAAACAAGAATACGCAACAATCGAAAAGTGTGCATTTGCGCGCGCGATGTTTGCAGACTTTCCCATGAACTCGGTCATCCCGGGATTTCGATTTTCCGGGTAGTTGCGCAACAAAACCGGGAACCGAAAATCCCAGGATCCCGCGAAAATCTGTATTGGGACAACGTTTTAAAAAATTAGAGATACACAAAATTCTATTAAAATATTTTTGTCTGAAAATTTCCAAATTATTAAACTCTCTCACAATACCATTGCAATTTCTTGATTCTATTAAAGGCGCATACCCATTCGGTCGTTTCAATGAATCGCTTCCTCGAATTCATCGGCTTCGTTCGAATGAGATCCCGCAATCGCATCGCCTCTCGCTTGTACCTAAAATTCGCCGAAAATTGGCTTCCAACAACCAAAATCAAAACATTATCCCACGCCGGATTCGTGAGAATCTCGCCGAGTGCTCGCCGAATTGCCTCTCCGGACTCATCGAGAAGGTGACGCTTGTCGACGCGAATTCCCCAACCCTTCTTTTCAATCGCCCGGCCGTTTCTTTAAATGCGAAACAGAAAAAAAAACAACGATAGATTAGAGTTGTGCGAGAGCTCACAGAGGCTGGTCGAATCTCAAAGGGATCGCAATTAGCGGAACGCCGGATCGCGCGGATTCCATCACGCTGTTGTAGCCGCAATGAGTGATAAAGGCCGTCAAGTTGGGATGAGCTAAATATTGATTATTGGGTCCCGCCGCGAATTTCACTTACCGAGTATTTGAGGTTGCGGAAGCCAATCGCTAATGAAAACATTTTTGAGTCCCTCGGCATGTTGTCTAGTTTTCTCAATATCATTATTATTTGTTGTCGGTGGTTTTCTCGCGCCAATTACCTTGTCATACTTGTCGGCTCTGATCAGAAAATGATAGTCTGGAAATTTGCGGGTGACGTGCAGAAACGAGCGAAGCACCTTCTCCGGTAGCCGAGTGGTGTTGGCGACGGTGCCCAGCGAGAATAGAACAACACCATTTTTGCCTTTGCTCATCTCGCTTCGCATAATTGCATCATTCGAATCGTCGGCGATTTCATCGATTCCGAGCCCGCCGATGTGGACGACATTGGAGAAGGTGAGAGAGGGAATATCGATTATCTCGTCGGTCGACACGAAAATGATATCAACGGCGCGAAGGATGTCGGTGATCGCGGGAAAATTTGATCTCCAATTTATTCATTCGTTTTTTTTTGCAGAAAATTTTGTTGAGTTTGAATTTCACCAGAAAAACGAGTGTCCACAGAGAAATTCAAATTTTGAGAAAAAAAAAAATGGAAACCGATTTTTCGAAAGTCAATATTGTTCGCAAAAAATGACTTGTGATCAAAATTAGCTCAACTATTGCCAATCTCCCATTTTTCGCGAGTCGCTTTTAATCAATCGCCATCTGCGGACAATTCTCACCCAAATTTGTTTCGATAAATCATCGCCAAATTATGGTGAGTGTATCGATATTGAATGGCCATCACGGCGGATCGAAACAGATTATTGGCCCTCTCCCAATATGTTGGCGTTGTGCTCATTTCGGCCGAAAACGGGACCGTCGAAATCGGCATCGGATGGCCGAGATAATCGTAGACGGGCGCGATGAACGGACAACTGCAAACCCTCTCCCCGATTCGGCAATTCAATTCGATCGGACCCACCTCGACACCATGAATATTCGTTTGATGGCGAGCGCGTGCGCGTAGCCAAATCCACAAATATGGATAGTCTCCGAGAAGAACGCGTCGAAATTCTGTCGTTTGAGCTCGTTGAAGACCTCGTCGCGCTCGAGAAACTCTTCAAACAAAAATTAGGCGCCAAATTCGGCGAGCGGAAAAAGCAACCTTGGCATAATTGATTGCATATCATTTGATAATCATAAAGACCGTGCATGTAGTCGAAAATATTGGGACTGCTGAGCACATCTTGCGAGAAGCCTGCAAAATTGTCGGCACATCGAAAAAACGCAAAAATGTACCATTCAAGACGGCGCTGAAATTGGCGGAATTTCGAAAATTGCGCACCACTCGCTTGCGAGTTCGCTTTGAGCTCTGCACATTATCGGAAATGCCGAGAAAATCGACTTCGAGGAGCGTCTGAATATGGGCGCCAATCGAAATTATTCAAATCTCGCCAACTTACAACATCGTGACCGGCTCGACTCAACTCATCGGCAATTCGTCCGGTCGAGATCAAATGCGATTTGCTAATCGCCGGTGAGAACACGAGAATTTTAAAGGAGCATTCGGCCGGTTGGAAAATCAAAATCGCAACCGATATGATGAACTGGACTAACCTGCCCGTCATCATCGTCTCGCGTTGAAGAAGTGAAACATCTAATAGGCAGAAATTGATAAGATGGTTGACCGACGGGTCTGATAACGAATTACTACAGTAGTAGGATTATTTGCGGGTCGCATTTTCTTTTTTGGCATTAATTTTTATTTCGGCGACAACACCTAAAAATAGGCGTTGATTAATTATGCGACTCTCATCGACCGGTTTTTCTTTCGCATTATTTTCTTTTTGTTATTATTGCTGCCGTTAACAGCTGGATGGCCAAAAAACGATGCGCGGACAAAAAAAAAGACGAAAGGCCTTCGAGGCATTTTTGGCTTCTTCCAATTGCACTTTCGGCAGTCCGTCAAAGGCCCATTTCTCGTGGGACCGATACGACGAAACAATCGTTGAAGTTTTTGCCATTCATTCTTTCGACATTTGCATCTTTAAATAGTTGCGATTCTTTTCTATGCGTTGTTTGCGCGAGAATGATATATATTTTTAATGCTCATTTTTTTTACACATTAAATTATTTGCGAGAATTTTTGTTTGTATTTGCGTCGTCGTGTTTACACAGTTTCCATTTAATCGTAATTCGGAATCAATTTTGCTTTTGGCGCAATTTTGCTTATAACTTTAGCAAATTACGATAAATGAATCATATAAAAACGCTGAAAATTTTCTCGAAAATTGTTACATGGAAGTTTGAAAATTTGATTTTCTTTTTCCCTAATATAATGTTAGACTGTGCAAACACGAGCACTGCACATAAAACATTTTAATTGACGCCAATATTTTTGTGAATTTCAAATTATTTTTATTTTTTTTTTATTATTTTTCGCATTTTCGCGTTTTAATGGTTTCGCATTAATGGCAACCATCAAAAATTATTATGCAAAATGTTCGCGATGAGCATTTTTCCGAATATCTCGTTCCCCTCATATATTCAACCAATTGCGACATCATAATTCACTCTGCCATTCATCATCATTTTTTTGTGAATTAAATATTTTCCAAGAAACGTTCCCAAAAAGTGGCTACAGACGGTGGCGTCGAAAAACGAAATCCGCGTCTCCGCACAATCAATATATACCTCTCTCCATTTGCCATTCATAATCCCCTTTCGGATGCAAATTGAAGCTGTCGAATAAATGAAATGAATCCCTATCTTCTTTCTCCTATTAAATCTTTTCCAGTAGCTCGACAGAAAAAAAAAACTTTTCCCGTCGGGCAGCTCTCGGAGCGACGGCACTTCATCAACAAGGCGCCGGGCCGACCGGTGCGCCGTCTACCCAGCGGTCTAATTCGCATGATGCGCGTTTCGCTCGCGCAAACCAGCGCTCTTCATCTTCAGTTTATCTTATCTCTTCTCTTTTTTTTTGCATGGATTATCACGCATTTCATTCCTCTCGTGCATGCCAATGCATGTTTATTAGTATTTGCGTCGAGCGCGTATAGTCAGTCAGCCACTCATTTCCGGGTGAAAAATAAATGCCTTCTCATTCACTTCATACGATGAATATGAAATTTCGCCGTCCCATTTTTTTTTCAATTAAAACCGCCTCGCTGAAATCCGAATCTTCTTTCCACTCATCCACATTTTTTTGTGTGTCGCATTATCTCATTAAGCGAATGGTTTTTCGCGGGCTCGAATATATCATTTTTGCCGATTAGTGAGAGTATATCCCAATCGCTTTTCGGCTTGTGTGTATTTTTTTTGAATGCTTTTCATGGGGTGGCTATAGTAGTGCACACACACACACACAGACAAAATAGTTGTTGAATTGCGAAGGGGGGAGGAGCCGAGAGAGCGCGCATCGCGAAGAGACCCCCGCCGCGGTCGGCGTCTCTCCACCGCTCACACTCTCTCCGCGGATGATTGAACGCGAGGCGGCTGCGAGGCGGCCATTCGATTCAATGGCAACTAAACACAACCACTGCCTGTGGGTAGGGAGCCTTTTTTTTTTTGGAATATTGTTACTCTTATCCTCAATTATTTTGATTTTCATGCCCTTTCAACGACGAGCCTCTGCCGAATACCCAATTTGTGCGGCGAATCTCGTCGAATGTTGAAATAGCGGCCAAAAAAGGACCGATTTGATGATTAACACACCCCAAATACCTACGTAGTTTCACAATATTCCCTCTTCTCAGTTGCATGCGACTCCCATATATGGTGCATGGGAAAACGGAATCGGTTCTCTGAAATTCTGCCCATATCCTGCTTATTTATCCGGCTTGAACTCGACATTTCGAGTTGCTTTTTCCCCACTTATACTCTGCGCTCTCACTAGCCGCGGAGAGCCGCTATCAATCTGTGGGGCATAATTTCATTTTGTCGGCCTCAAAATTGTGTTTTTGCACGCCTTTCCACATTTCTTTTCGCTATTTTTTTCTCCATCATCATCATTATCATGCCTATATTCAATTGTTCCTTTTTTATTTCTCACAAAATAAATACCTTTCCATTTTATGCGTAGCTCGTTCACGCTTCTCGAATTATTTATTTATTATATTTTCATTCTCGCCAGCTTCTTTCTATCGCCCAAACCCCTTCCCGTTTTCGTTTCTTTACATTCTTCTTCTTTTTTTTTTTCGGGCGTGTTGCACCGGCACATGCATTTTAGACACTCTGATGGTACGATAAACTAGGCGAATCGAGACTACCACGCGAGTCAACAAAAAAAAATAACGCAAAAATGATTCTCCTAAGAATGGACAATAACAAGAGTCGCGAGTCGAGCGATAGGTGTTCTCCATTTTTTCTTCGTTTTCCTTTCTGTTTTTGTGTTCGTCTCGCCTACAATTGTTTTTTTTTCTTCGTATTGAATGGCTCAGCTGCATTGTTATAGTGTTTATCCGCTTTTTTCTATTGGCTGAAAGTATATTGCAAATCGAGTAGGGTGGATTTATTAATCCCCATCGGGACATTCTTAATGTGATTGTGAAAAGTACTGTTTCTTTTTAAATAACCAGAGCCACCAAATAATTTATTGGCTCATTTCAGAAATATCAGATTCAATATTTGGTTTTGTCCTTGTTTTGTAAACCAACAAAAAGTAATGGAAGGCTGCCGCACGCGTTTTTGTCACGTTTTTGAGAAGCTCGCCGTTTCGTCGTCATTGTTCTTCAAATGTTTTAATTTTTTTCTGAGAATTTCAGACGGGTGTCCACCTCAACTCGGCCTCGTCAGGCAATCCTATCTGGCCTCACTCATTGGGCACCTTCCGCAATGACGAACGCACGAGGGAGCAACTCGGCCGCGTCGGCTAGCACCACCAACTCCCAAGGGGTTCTCATGGTTGGGCCGAACTTCAAGGTATATTCGATTCGATCGATTGCGCGATCGACAAAATTCGCGTGCGCTGGGCTTAATTTGATTGGTGAAAAAAGTGGCGACTAATTCGAATTGATTTTCGCGCGCGCACCGCGCCGACCGCGCTTAATTGATCTTGAAAATTGACACGAAATATTTGCGAGAAATTGGAATCGACTCGCGCGCTCCGGGTGACGTCGCAAATTAGATATTGAGCATCGGAAATTTGATCTAGCGCCTAAAAATAGCAGTTTGAGGCCAATTATCGTCGAATAGTTTGATGGCGAAATCTTAAAATTGTCTCTAGTATGGTTCTCTCTTTTTCTGTGTGTGTGTGTGTGTTTTTTTTTAATTTGATTTTTCTAGGTTGGCAAAAAAATCGGCTGTGGAAATTTCGGCGAATTGCGTCTCGGCAAGAATCTGTACAACAACGAGCATGTCGCGATCAAACTCGAACCGATGAAAAGCAAAGCGCCGCAATTGCACCTTGAATATCGGTTCTATAAGCTGTTGGGACAAGGAGGTAATTGAAATCGGAGCCGTTGATTCAATTTCTTTGGTTTTTTTTTGTTCAGAAGGACTCCCACAGGTCCACTATTTCGGACCGTGCGGCAAATATAATGCGCTTGTGATGGAATTGCTCGGGCATTCGTTGGAAGACCTTTTTGATCTTTGCGAGCGACATTTCACACTCAAAACGGTTGCGATGATTGCGATGCAATTGGTATTATTGAGCATATTTCTTGCTTCAATATATATATATTTCGTTTTTTTTTTTGTAGATTCGACGAATAGAATATGTGCATACGAAGCACTTAATATATCGCGACGTGAAACCGGAAAACTTTCTCATCGGTCGATATTCAACTCGAAAACAGCACTTGCTGCACATTATTGATTTTGGACTTGCAAAAGAATATATTGATTGTGATACGGGTGAGTCATCGCTGGTTTCGAATGCCGTGTTTGCCGTAGCCGACATCGAAAAAAAAATTGATATAGATTAGCAATATTATAATTTATATGGCCTAATCCGTTATTATCTATGCTAATCTGCGACCGGAGGAGAAACGAAAATGAATCAGAGCGTGTTTTTCGAAAAGAAAAATTGTCGGTTTGAAAATGAAGATTATTGTAGTTGTTTTCGAGATATTCCTGGAAAAAAATGTTGATTTTTTGATGTTGTTGTTTTTTTGTGCGACGTCACATATTTTATTGTTGCAAAAAAAAAACCCGAAAAAAGGTGTTATCAAAATATTTTGTTTCTAGCTTGAAATTTTGAGAAATGCGAACGACAATCGTACATATATTTTATTTCCAAATGTCAACGTGCTCTTTGGGTTCGAGAAAAACACGAAAAATAACTCGTTTTGTATTTAGGAAAACATATAGCGTATCGGGAACACAAATCACTGACGGGTACTGCACGCTACATGTCGATTAACACACATCTCGGAAAGGAGCAATCGCGGAGGGACGATCTCGAGGCGCTCGGACACATGTTCATGTACTTCTTGCGCGGAAGTTTGCCGTGGCAGGGTCTCAAGGTGAGCTTAATCCCTTTACAAAGCTGATTGAATGTGCGCTTTATTTTGCCTAGGCTGACACACTTAAAGAGCGATATCAAAAAATTGGAGACACGAAACGACAGACGGCCGTTGAAGTGCTTTGCGAAGGATTTCCCGGTACTCATTTTTTTGTTCGAAATTGATCGTTTTCATTTATTCTACAATTTCTAGATGAATTTGCGCAATATCTTCGATACTCTCGAAGACTTGACTTTTTTGAGACGCCCGACTATGATTTTTGCTATAACCTATTCAAAGCGGTTCTTGATCGATTAGGTGCTACTTATGACTATGATTTTGATTGGACACCGAAACTCAACAATGTGGTTGGTTTTTGATTCGTTGTTGATTTTCTGACAATTGAATTGATTGCAGTCGACATCATCTGGTTCACTTCATACGTCAGAATCGAAAGATGTTAAACGAACAGGTTGGCGAAATTTTTCGACTAATTCTAGATTTCCGAATTATCATTTTTAGACCGTGGAGAGCTTAAAGTTAGTCAGACAGCGGCTCATACGCAATTTGGTTCAACTCAGGTATGCGTGTTTATTTCCTCTTTCAAATAATTGGATATAATAAACGGCGGACCCCATTTTGGGTGTTTTAATGGGGTTTTTTTTTCTATATTTCTCGTCCACTTTCTCTCTTTCTCCCCTTTATAATAAGTTTGACCTCGAATAAGTTAATAAAATGCCCCACTTTAAATGGTTTTCTTTTATTTTCGGAATATGCGCATTAAATTTGGGAAGCCATATGGAATTATAGGGTTTCTGCGCGAATTTTGGAAACATACAATTTTGGATTAGAATTGTGCTTGATTCATCGGAATTCCTACTATTTTTTTTTAAATATTCATTGCAGGTAATAAATTCGAATACGGGTGATGCGGTTGAAGAAGGCGGACGGAACGCTGATCGTGCAGCCGCTGGTGACAATCAGAGCGGTGAAGTGAAGTGTTGTTGTTTCCGGCGAAGACGAAGGAAGCATAATACAACGTCGGCGGTGGCTCAGAAATAGATGATGTCAGCCCATTTTGAAAAAAAAATTAGATCAGATGAGAGAAATCTGCACACCCACCCAAAATTCCACAATCATATTACGGCATAGTGTATTTATGCGATCATTATGTATTTATTATCATAGTTTTATCAAAAAAAAAGAGAAAGAACAGAAAAAAAAATAATGTTTTCCCTCCGCAAATCACTCGATATACCTTTTCCAAAGAATAGTTTAGTTGCTCATTTTTCCCTTCCCAATGCCCCTTTTAGCAACAAAAGAAGTGAGTCAAAGAAACAGTTGTCTTTTTTTGTGATCAAGGCAAAAAAGAATTGTTCGTCTCTATGCTGGTGCGAATGTCTCTTTCCGTGTAAGTGTTAACCCTAAATATTGTCTAAAACTAATTTCATTCATCTTTTTTTTGCGATTATTTTTATTATGAGAATCTTGATAAATGAATGAGGAATTTTTGACGTTATTGTTTTATTTTTTTTTTCTCTCTCTCTCGATTATTTATAATGTGTTGAGAAGCCCGAAAACTTGTGATTTAGAGAGTTTGCTGCGTTTCGAACCCCTCCCTCCACGTTTAATTTAATTGTTGACCAATTTAGGATTTTTTTTTGCTCTCGTTTATGGGTTCTGAGATTGTAGCTAACAAGCAGTGAGAGGACCCGCTGAGCAGTTGATATGTGCACTTTCCATTCAAAATTTGATTTTTGCTTGCTTCTCCTTCCCAGCTCCGATCGTTCGATTTCTTTTTTTTGTGAATCATCATCATCATCATAGGAAACCGAGAGTTGCTCCCCGCCCCCGCCCGCTCCGATTTTTTATCCTCTCTTCATCAATTATTTTATTTTTATTTTTCTTTGATCGCAATTATATATACACATATTCCAACGATTTTTTTTGTTCTTCTATAATTTTATTATGGCTCGCTTGTTTGTGAAAAATGAATGAAATTTTTTGATTGTCACCCATTGACGGTTTTCGTTGCTCGCGTTTTTGTTTCGTTGTTGTGGTTGTTTTTCTAGCACTATATCGATGATTTCGTTTTTTTTTCTTCTTTTGATATATAAAATGGTGGGTTTTTAAAGGAGCATGAAGGTTCTGAAACCGATCGACACCAATTTGCCGGATAATCATGTCAAGGTAATTTTTTAATTAAGGAAAAGCCCGCATGATATTCGATGTTGTGAAATTGAAGTTATTTTGCGATTCTGAATCTCGTACAATGTTTTTTATGGCGAAATCAAATCAAGTTCTACTTCCATGTGAGACCCATCAAGATAAATTCCAGATTGGATTTCTTCTACTTCATTTTACTAGAGAAAATTGCCACTTGCGGTCCCATGACAAGCTTTCCATGAGCTCAATTTTGAGCAGATTTTTTTTTAAACCGTCTTTAGTGGAACGCTGGAGATATTTCGCGAAATTTGAATTTTAACAGGCTTCCTTGAATTCGGCTATTTAAAATTTGCTACGAATTTCTTCATTTGCGCCAAGAAAAAAAATGAATTGTCAAAATTTTTGACCCCACAAGAAAAAAAAAACAATCGAGTGGTGTTTGATTCATCATAATTTTTGATTTTTATTTTTGGCAACTCATTAGCATTTCCCATCATAGCCATTTTTTTGAGGATTAATAAAAAACAAAGCTATAGCTGATGGATGAACTCCTTCAAGAAACGAGACCAACGAAAAGCATGGGGGCAAAATCGCACAAGTTGCATTTTTTTGGATGCTTCGGCTTCGGCTGCGCGGTCTCGCGAAAAATGTGTACTCATCAGTCACCCCGACACACACACAACTCTCAGGCTCCCCCCCCCCCATATCATGTCAAATTCTCGCCTTTCGATATATATTTTTTTGTCCGCTGCCGTTGATCTTTGGCGGATGATGTCAGCTGTTGGTCGCCGTTGGCCCAGGCGTTAACCAAGACGAAGACGACGAAAAAAAAAAGAAATACCCCCCCCCCAAACCTATCGGGATTTGCATGTAGTTTTTGTTTGATTGATATTGCAGGGCGCTGTCGTCGTCGACTCGCAACTCGCTGAATGCTATAATGATGCGGTGATGACGGCGAACACGCTGCCGTCGACATTCATTCTCATCGATCGAAAGGTTTGTGAGACGAATCTCTGATCAGCTTAAAGAGTCGCCCAAACGATTTTATGAGAGAGCAATGAGAAATATAATGAGCGGGAGGCGAAAATAAGTTTTTTTGTTCGCGCCAAGGGGAAAATGTGACGAATTTTCTGGGCACCATTATTGTCGGCGTCAAACGAAATTTTTGGCAATTTGTTACCGAAAAAAACCTTTATAAGCCTGAAATGTGGTAATGAATTCTGAAATTTTGTGCCGTAAAATTAAAAAAAAAATTTTTATCTATTAAATTCGTAAAAAAACGGACATCATGTGCAGATTTAAGATGGGTTTGATTCGAATTAGCTTCTCAGATTATACCAGATTGTCCACCGTTTAAATTCGAATTTGAATTACCGCCTCAAAAAAGTGCGATGGTTTACAATTACGCAAGGCGATCTGTTATTTTGCGAGTGTAATATGTAGAATAAAAATTTTTCCGGAAAATTCCGATTGCCGTCCAGCCCTGTCCGACCATACACATTATTGAGAATGCATTCGGTTGGTTTTTAGAATGACAAACTGCCGGAGCTTATAAAACGCATTTCTGCCGAGTTGAGATTGCCCGAAGAGCACACGTATGGTTTGATTCGAGAATCGCCGAAGCAGTTCATCACGCAGGAGAATCTCGAGAATGTTGAGCACGGATTCATGCTCACGATTTCGGCGTCGCCGGTAGAATCGCTTATTCGAATATTGCCGAATTTGGTTTCTTTTTCTTTAGGAGCACTATGTGAAGCGAATTCGCGAGATTTTGACGGAACGCGACGATTTGAAAATAATGGAATGGGCGGTGGCGAAACTTGACGAGTTTTCCATGGTCTCCATTTTCGTTCGATTTCGCTTCTTAGCAATTCATGCAATTTTTTTTAGGATTCCTCTCTAATCAAATCATTCTATCAATGCTCATCGATTGAGTTGTTGTTCAGTCTTGTGAAGGATGATCGCGTCGCGATGCGAAATACACTTTTGAGCACGACACTCCGCGCGCTTTCCGGAATTCTCGACCTTCGTGTTGATTCGGTCGGATGGGAGGCGATGCCGAAGGATGTTGTCGCGTCGGTGGCGTCATTGGTGACTGGAAGGGCGAAACGCGAGGAAACGAGCACACTTCTCGTCGCCCTTCAAATGATTGACAAGCTGGTGAATAGTAATGATCAGACAAGGGATTGGGTGCTTGAAGAGGTTCCCATTGAGACATTGATTCGACATGTCGAGCGATCGGATGAGCGCATCTCATTCGCGGCGCTCTGCCTTATGAATTCGATGCTGAAGCGGTGCAATTCGGATGAGAAGAGAATGGAAATGATCAATGTACCATTCATTTATTTTATTTTAAAAAATTTGATTTGATTCAGGCGCTTACTGGGGTCCCATTTCGCAATGCTGTCAAATGCTCATTTCTACGCGGCGGTCGCGAACGCGAAGAAAGTGTTCTCGAGCAGCTTGTCTTCATCCAGAAGGTTCTAATTTCGGCCTATGATACTTCGACGCCTTCGGACGCGGATATTCAGAAGATTATTGTAATCGTCGCTTATTGTTGCTTGCAATTGTTTTCTTTGATTGCAGGAGCATGAAGTGTTGGTTGAGACATCGACCGAGGAGCAAGACGACTGGAAGCGACAATTGAAGGAACACGTTTGCGGAAAATTGGCGACGAATGCGATTCTTCGATTCATTGAGAATCAGCCGCAGGATCTCCGAACGGTAAGCGATTGCGGCGACGACTAATGGATTTGGAATCAATTTTCGAATTCTAGTTGATTTCCGAGAACACGATGCGAACCGAAGGTGGCAAATGGCAGCTGATACCGTTGCTTCTGCGAAGCGCCGACATCACCGCCGAGCTGTTCGGAATTGTCAAAGGCCAAGACGCGATTCCCGAGCTGATCGTGATACTGTTCTCGTCGGAAAACGTCTACGATGCGGTGTTCGTGTGCACCGTTCAGCTTTTCCATCGAACGTGGCGTGAAATGCAGGCGAAAGAGGGCGAAATGTACAAAGTGACGAACGTTGTGTTCGAGCAGATTCGACACACACTGAAGAAGTCGATTGGCGACATCGAGAGGTTGTCGAGTGAACTCGAAGCGATGTCGTATTGGGAAATGCAGGAGATTTGGAGGAAAGAGCAAGCGGAGAAGGAGAACGATCAGCTTTTGAGCAAGAATATCAGGTAGAATGGATTGGAATATAGTCGGCACTCATCGTGTCACTTTTAGACTTCTCGGAGAGAAATTGAGGCCGAGAATGGAGGAGATTGTGAAAGTCAATTTCAGGAATCACATGAAGAAAGGGTACAATTTCAAGAGGCACGGAAAAGGCAAAAATTTGTCAAAAGGTGATAATCGCGAAAAAAAAAAATAAATAATGCTATAATTTTGAATTCAGCGACTTATTGGTTTTGGAAACTTGATAATTCGGAAAAATTGTTGACGATAACGCCGAATGAATCGGAGAATTATGTTGACGAATTCCATGATGAAGCTAAGCGTCAGAGTGGGAAGAGAGAATATTTATGAGAAAAAAATGCATATTATATTAAGTTTGGCTGAAAGAGATTGAAAATGTGACGACTAGTGATGAAATTGATCGAAAAGCGAGTGCATCGAGATTCGGCTCATCGGCGGGTCCGACAATCCGCAAAATCCAATTGAATCTTCGAGATGGCGAGGTTATTGTGGCGCTGACGCCGGATGAGAGAACGGCGTCGATTTGGATGGAAGGATTGTCGCAAATCATTGGAATCAATCAATGCAGGTTTTTTTTCTCGTTGAGATCAAACAATCACAATTAATTGAAAACAATAATTGGAGGGTGATGGAAGCGATGATTGATCGAATGCTGAAAATGGAGTTGAGGGTTCGCCTACTAGACGTCGATGTGCCATCGGAATCATGCCACGTGGAGATCCCGCCGATTCCTGAGCATATTTCGAAAATCATTACGAATCACTGAAAATTTTCTCGTTATTTTTTGTGTGTGTGTAAATATTTAATTGTACAAAAATAACCGGTAATTTGATCAACAAATGTGTACTGTTCTCCTCTCATTACGTAATAGTTTTTCGCACATTGATAACATCTCGCTGCTATTTAATGTGTGTTCATTCTCGCCATTTGCCGCTATCACTGTCGAATAATTTTGTATCAATTCAAGACTGAAATATACCTATTTATTTATTGTTTTTGGTTGTTGTTGTTGTTGTCTCGTTTTTATTCTCAATTTTAGATCATCATGAGTAATCCGGTAATCGTTGGCTTGAAAAAAGAGCTGCGCACAAAGATGGCCGCCGAGTTGGCCAAATTGAGCAAAGACGATGTGGCGAGGCAAACGGACGCGGTCACGCGAAAAGTTGATCAACGAAATTTCGTTTTTGCTGAAAATCGGATTTTTAGGTGATTAATGCGGATTGGTACAAATCGAGTCAGCGGATATCGGTGTATGTGAGCACTGACGGCGAGATTCAGACCGATGATATCATTCGACATGCGCTGGAGAACGGCAAGCAAGTGTTTATCCCGCAGGTTTGTTCGAATTCGACTGATTAGAGAATGCACTTTTAATTGGGGTCTCGACGCGCTAAAATTTACTGAGGAGTGTTATTTCTTACTTTATTAATTCGTCGCGAAACCGTTTTTAAAAGAGATGATATCGAAAAATATAATTTTTCTCTAACTTTGAAGCATTGCTGTATGTTTGCAGACTGACGCAAAATTGCACACTTTTTTTTCACATCAATTAATATTATTTTTTAAAAGAATTTCGTTGATTGTGGATGAAAAATTTCAAAAAGTGTTCACATCTAACATATTTGTTTCAGCAAATTGAAAATCCCCAAAAGACCAAATTTGAAAGGCGAATTCTTATAAAAAGATGTGATCAAACAGAACGAGGAAATTGAAATTGTCCGCCCCTTCTCGAAATGTGTCGATTTTTAAATTGAAAACCAAAAACACTCGAATCCTCGCATGTTTGTACGTAAGCGCGCAACCAGCGATAATATCTTTTCTTGGAAAACGTTTTGTGAGTTTTGTTTCTCCGCGCTCGTACATACCCATCAATCCCGTTCAATTTCGTTCATCGCTTTTGCGGCAATCCGTCCGATCGGTCATACCGAAGATAAAACTGCGCTCATTCATCCCAACAACGTCTCCCATATTTTTAGTTCATCAAACGGAATAAGAATATGGGAATGGTGCAGTTGAAGACGGTCAAAGAGTTTGACGAGCTGCCGGCGACATTGTGGGGAATCAGACAGCCGAAGCCCGAATGGGAATGGAAGCCGTATCAAGAATCAGGTAGCGCTATCGGCCATAGACTATTTTGGGCATCATTCTAATCGTTCAGGTCCTTTGGATTTGGTCCTTATGCCTGTAGTCGCTTTCACCAAGGATCTCAAGCGTTGTGGACATGGAATGGTACAAGCTTCTTCTTCTCCTCCCTCTAGGCCCCGCCCATTATCCGATTCCATTTCAGGGCTACTATGATCGCTTCTTGGGGCAGCATTTCGACCAATTCGGCAAATGGCCTGCAAAAATCGCGTTGGCCCTCCGCGAGCAAATCATCGACGAAGTGCCAACAACCGAATACGACGTGATTCTTGATGCAATCATAACCGAATAATCATATATTATTTTTATATTATTAATAACAAAAAAAGAAACAAAGAAAAAGAGAGAAGAGAGAAAGTAAGAGAACCGAGATAGGTACGAATAAATATTATTATTAATGTCGAGAATTTATGCATCATTTTTTGTTTTGAAAGAAAGAAAGAGTTGGAATTGTTCTTAAAGAAAAAACACATAAAACATTCATGTGTGGGATAAAACGCCGACATGTTACATGTTTCGTGATTTCGGTAACGGGGAATTCTAGATGATAGGAGGCAGCAAAAAAATGAAAAAAAAAACGACTGATTCTACATGAAAGGATTTCGAAAATAAAGCGCGGACACTGGAATTATATCTCATCAATTTTTTATACGCCTGGATGTGGAGATTTTTGAAAAACGAAAATTGAATAAATGCGAAAAAAAAGAAAAGAACGACGAGTTTCTTGCGATTGCTCTACAATTTGGAGTCTAAAACGAAAATTGGTGCGTCTACCCGTTTTTCGCGGAATTTTTTCAACAAAAAAATATGTATAATATATATCAGAAGAACTTCGTGGAAAGAGGCGGCAAGAAATAAGTTACAATATATTATTGGGCAATAAATTAATTATATTATATAGATAATTAATAAGGTTTTAGTAACCAGCCAAGAGCCGAACCTTCTTGAAATGGTACAATACTGATTGATATGTGAAAAAGAAAAGAAAAAGAAGAACACACAAATGTTTTCACTAATATTGAAGCGAGTCGATCGATAGTACAGGTTGGGGGATAAAACAACAATCAAAAATTTGGAAATGTGTGGAATAAATGCCATAGAAGTGTTTTCTGGTATAGAATCACACGAAGTACGCCGTTTCGTTTTTTGTGTGGAAATTTGATGTTCCTTTACTCTTTTTTTTACACACATATGAACACACCTGATGTAGAGGAAAGTACAAAGTTGTGCAGCGATAATACATATATATGGATGATGAAACCGGAATGTGATTGATGAAAGATGTGCTGGTCGAGATTCTGTGCCTACAAATAACAAAACGAATTTGCTCAAATCAACAATGCTCCGAGTTGAACAGCTCCTTGTAGAGTGGCGGAAGCTGTTCGGCAGAAGCCGGCTCCGTCTCGCGGAATCTTTGAAGCGCCTAAAAAATTCATCGGTTTGCCAAAAGATAAAAAAATCAATCAATTCTCGCAATCCTACTTGAAGATGAAGCCTGGCAGTTTGACGAACTCGCTGACTGATCTCTTCAAGACGACTCATCGCATTATCCATGCATCCAATCCGATTTCCCATCATTTGAAGAAGCGACGATCGAAACGCCTCCGCCGTCGTCGACGCCGACAACTCCGCCGAGCCGATCGTGCGCAATGTAGGCGACGTCGTCGCAAGCTCAAGAATGAGCGTGGCGGCGAACAGAGCGAGCTCGGATGTGGTGAAGCCGACACTGGCGATCTCATGCAGTGTCGAATGGATTTCAGTGATCAGTTGCATCTCGGCCGGATCCTCGGCAATGAACCATGAGAATGAGAAACTATTGCGATCACCGCAGATCATTTGCGTCTCAATATCATATTGTAAAACAGCAAAGATCAAAGACACTTCGAATGCACTTCCTTCAAATGATAACCATTAAAAAAAACTCATTCGATTGTGATTCAACGAACCTTTAAGTAGTTGTATCTGCATTTCCTGAGGCAGCAACATAAACCCGTCGATACATTTTGCAAATTCGATTATATGCTGAATAAGTGGGTTCAATTCATTTGCGAACATTTCCCAGCCGTTCACGTGTGTCTGAAAATGGCCGAAATTGGGATAATATTCATTTCTTTAAACATTTCTTACCATTGTCGAAAGTCGATTCACATCAACCTCGCAAACATCACGAGACGATCGATAGATGCTGTGCTGCTGCTCGAATGACGATATTACTCTAGTCACAGGATCCTCCTCAGGAACTTGCGGCGACGGAAAACTGCCACCAGAAGCTGCAAAACGGATATCAACCAAACGAGTTTCGGGAGAATGAAACCTTGATGAGCAACATATTGATTCTGCGACGATCCGCTCGTGTTCGCCGATGCCGCTCCATACGAGTGCGGCATTGGAGTGACAGGCGTCGCCGCTACCGCCAATTGATATCCACCAACCGGTGTCGACGAGCCCGTTGATGAGTTGTACTGGTTATATACGTTTTGATCAAAGCTGAGAATTGAGAACATCGTGAATAAAACACTGATTATACCGAAACTTACTAGTAGTTTGGATGTGAGGATGGTGGTGAGTAGTCATTATAGATCATATTATAGCCCATACTACCCGCCTCGGCCATTTGTTTATGAAGACGTACCTAAAAAAAATGCAAACTTCAATAGATTTTTTGTGTCTCTGATCACACGAATTCTAATGAAACTTTAAATCGTGTCTAAATTTACAAAATTGCCCATAATTCGATCACAGCCCATTATTACGATGAAGGTTATGCAATTTTTATTGGATCATTAAACTCTTTTCGTTACCGTATTGCATATTTGGTTACGTTTTTCGCCCCAGAATATATATATTTGCATTGAAACCTGGCGATGATTAACGGAAATTAAACTAAGGAATTGTGAATTCAGCGAAGCGTGAATGCAGGTTTTATTTGGTTTAATTTGAATATTAGTGCTACCTCCACCAAAACTCACCTTTCGGCGTTGTGACGCCCGTTTTTTCGCTGGCTCCGGCGACTCTTTTTCAACATTAATTTCAGTATTGCCCTGCGCAATTAGATCAGCTTTTATTCGTTCGATTATTGACGGAGGATTCTCGCTGGATGGCTACAATTTTTGTTGAGATGGGTGAGTGAAATCGTCGATGGAATCCGATTAGCGTTGTAAAAGCAAAACATGCGGTCATTCCACAAAAAAAATCACAAAACAAATAACTCATGACATGCACAATTACTACATTTCCAATTTTTTCCCCTCGCAAATCCCCCCTTTCAAATCCTCTTTTCTAGCTGCACCAGCATCAGCATCAACCACAACAAACGTCGGGACGGGGCGGACGGTGGATGTTATTGTCCATCAGGCGGTAGACCATTGCAAATCCAAGGTCAGCTGGTCATAACCGTACCTGTGGGCGCCTATCCGCCGCCGCCTTGCGCGCGCACACACACAAATCTCGAAACACTCGAACACCAATGCGAAATACGTCCGAATATCGTTGGAGAGACGAAATAAGACGGACGAGCGCGGATAGACGGGCCGTCCCGAATAAAACCCAACAATCCCCCACTCTTCATGCAATTATTCTAATCTTTTTTGAGACGATCCAACCAAGTCCCATGCAAATCCATTTTAAATACGATTATGTCTAATAATAATAATAATGGAAATTGGTCATGCAGGATGGAAGGCGAAACTCATGCCGGGCACCAAACGAAAATACCAACCTCATCCTCAACCTTCTCCCGCTGCTTCTTCGACATTCTTCCGAATTTGACGGCGTCGCGCGACATTCCCAACTCGATGCATTTTTTTAAGCGACAATATTGGCATCGATTCCTATTCACTCTACAAAAAACAAACAAAATTAGATTTTTGTCGAGAATCGCCTTTTTTTATTTTGCGGGATCTGATTGATCGCAATCTACCTGTCGACTACACAATTCTTCTGTCTCGGACATTGATAATTGACGATGGATGATTGGCTGCGGCGAAAAAATCCCTAAAACCGATTTTGATCAGAAAACATCGAGAAAAGGAAAGAGAAAAGCTTTGTCTCACTTTGCATCCTTCGCAAGTGATGACACCGTAATGAACACCGGACGATTTGTCTCCACAAACTTTGCACGGTATCACCTCGATTTGCGCTGAGACTGAAAAAAAAAATGCCTAAAAATTTTTGTGGCAACAATTAATGAATGGACCCAGGTTTTCCCGAATTCTTGGTTAGAAGCACATCCCAAATTTAATAGCATAAATGAAGAGAAACAGAAAAAAAGAACGTTGATAGAGAGAAACAAAGGAAAGTTACCCATTGGCTTATCGTTTATAAGGAATGCGGTATCTCCTGTGTTTGCGATGGCTCCAAACTGCATGAGCGCGTTGTAATCGTCCAGTGTTGCAATTGTTGGCTTTAGCACCTTGGTTTCCAGCGAATCGCTTTCAAGCGCGTGATTCTCCTGCGCATTGCTATCTGGCGAGCCGTGCTCGAGCATTTTGCCATCGAGCAATTTTTGCTCATACTGTTTGATGTCGATCGTATCCGATGGCTGGTCGGCACATGCTTCATCAGTTTTTATCGCGTCCGAGTCCGGCGGTTTCATCAAATCTTTTTTACTATCCTCCTCTAGCGCAAGATTTGACATCGTTACTTCGCCACTTTCTCTCGTTCTTCAAATTGGGTTTTGAATGATTGCGGAAAGATGAATATGAAGCGAATGCGAAGTTTAGGTTTTAAAAACGCAGGTCGACAAACGAAAAAAAAAACTACTGCTGCTGATGATTCAGAGCGCACGCAACACACGGAATAACGCGGGAGAGCCGCAAAGCAACATACCGTTGTCACGGTGTGCGCGTTTTGCGGGAAGAGCCCGTGCTCCCAGGAAACTCCGCCTGTCTGCGCATACGCGATAATTAGCATATGTTGTAGTAGGATTAGTTTTCGCTCGTTTGTAATGTGCTAAGAGCCCCGACCATTCTTTTCAAGATATCCAATTAAATGGTATTGTACATTTGAATAGGGTTATTCAAACGATTGTTCTGAAAATCGTTTTTGTTAAAATTTTGAAAAATTCAAATTTTAGAAAATTATTTTTTGATGAGGTTTTTTGTAAGATCTATGAAAAATCATCCATGAAAGATGTTAGAATTGAAGTTTAGACAATTTATAGACGTTTTCGTGGGTTAGAAAACAAAAAAAACAAACGATTTTAATTTGAAAATGAAAAATTACGTTGAATATTTGAAAAATTCTGTTTCTCATCAGCGCGGTGTATCACACACATTGTCAACTACAGTACGCATTATTACAGCGGTAATTCAAAATCCCCCCCCCCCGATTTTCGCGAAACCGCAATTGCAGACGGCGCTCACTCACACACAATACACACACACACACACACACACGCAATTCGCTGTTTTCTTATTCCGTGCGTCGAGAAGTTTGACCTCGGTACCTGTGTGTGTACGAAAGGATTGGAAATCGGCGAAAAACCGAACGGACGCCGTCGAAGACGTCGCATGAGCGTTGCAATTTCGCAAATTGTTGTACTTTCCAACGACGATCAAGCGGCCAACAAGTACGCGATGGTACACGCGGCGGCGCGCGCGCGCGCATTTTTGCCAATTCAAATGCGACACCGGAGATTGCAGATCGTCAGACAGCGCCATAGACGGAGAAATGGATACGGTAGGTAAACAGGCGACTGAATTCCGAATTATACGCGATTCGATATATCCGTCGGGAATCTCGGCAACACGTCGATAAAAGATGGAAAGCGAGGGGCGGCGGGTCTTAAAACGCAACAAATTCTCAACACCCCGAGAAAGAACATTGAGAATTCAATCCATTCAAAACCGACGATGCGAGACGATGGTCAAATATAGTATTAATGTTGCATAACAACCGGTTTTTTTTAAATGTCAGAGGTCAAAATCGACAATTTTTTTTGACAAAATGATTCGCGAGCGCGCGCGCACGCAAAAAAAAAATAAAAACAAAAAATTTGCATAATTGTTGGCTTTTTTTTCTTGTCCTAACTAACTACAATATATTGCCAAATCCCATGTTCATTTCCGTTGTTCACTCAATTATAGAGAGGCGGGCCTTCTGCGCCGTCCATTCATTTGTCCATTAAGCGACCTTGGTGTAACGAGAGGGGAAGACACCAAATTTTGGTTGCGACAGAACATGAGATATTCACAATACACTGGGAAATTGAAATACAACAGTTGTGACGGTGAAATGAGCCGTCGGCGAAAATTTGAATTTCGTCGAAAGTTGACGAGACGGGGCTGAATGACTAACTCATATAAGGTAAACAAAAAAATTTAAATCATTCTCCCCTACCCTCCAGCCAGAAGACAAAGAGCTTTGTTTTGAACACGCATAAATAATAGAAATTGAGAAATGATTTTAAAAAAATCAATGGCGAAATTATGTTGCAACAAAAAAAAACGAAACCGCAAAACCGACAGTGGCCATGAGAATGTTCTTCGCGGAGTTCGAGATAACGGCTGACACGGCAAAAACGATTATGATGAGGAGAATGAGATAAAATAGCGGAATATTCAACCAGATGGATGAGTTTAGATAAAGAATAATATATAAATAGTCATAATTATAATAATTTATTCAAATATAAAAAATATTCATGTCAATTTTAAGAAGAGAATATTGGTACACTATTGAGGTGGGATGTGCTTCTTTTAAATTTCAAACAACAAGAAAAAAAAATAGATTTCAAACGGGTTCTTTTCTAATGATTTGATTTGAGCTGCACTCTGCACTATGTCAGTGTACAAAATGAACAAATCGAAAGATATCCCGCGAATCCGGGTAACCAGGTTAGCGGGTCCCGACCTACCTCGCATCGTCTCGTGTCGCCAATGCCACAAACGGATAGACACTGCGTTGGTTGACCGAGCCTCAGGGGTCGGTGCCCTCCCGCGCGGGAAAAATCGCCGCTCGAAATAGTGTTGGCCGGCGAGAGGCGCGCGCCAAACCACGCCCACTTTTTACTACTACTTCATCATCATCATCATCGTCGTCGTCGCCACCACCACCACCGCCTTCACCAATCGGACGGCGACGAGCGTTCGTCCACCTACAGATTTTAAGGATCTTGCCGGCTCAATTGAATTATCATTGTTTCGCAATCGGTCGCATATGAATCAGAAGCCCTGACGGCGAGATAAGCGACAAGAAACAAGATCATGGGTTCGAATGTCATCCATACTATTTTTTTTGTTCGGAGACAACGAGCGCACCTGGTACCGCATGGACCTGCGCGAAACTGAGACACTTCGCGTTTTTGGGATGCTGGACACAAAAAAAGGGATGCGATCGACGATGATCGGACGGATTGCGCAATTCAAATTTCGCCCCCCTCCTGCTGTTAGCTGCGCAAGGATCCCCCCTCGATATTTTGATCGATGACGATCGAACGTCGCGATTTCACAAGAAAAATAGTTTGGACGACGAAACAAAGAAACATTTATGAATATTGAGGAGAAAACAAAGAATCAAACTCTTTTCTTTACATGAGACGATCATGCTTCATCGAGCACAAAAGACTATCACCGGTGCCGAATATCTCGTCGAATTCCTCGTTATGATCATCATCGAACGGCGTGAATTCCGAATTCGCGTCATTCTGAAAATTTTGCCGAATATTGAATGTCTGGCCATAATTGGAAGTGACAAGTCAAGAACGACCTCAAACTCGTAGGAGATGTTCGATTCATCGTTTCGCGGCACGAATTTCCTCTTAATTCAAATTTTTATTACACGCCTAATGTGTAAATCGCGCGGCTCAATGATGTCAACTTTATGAGCATACGTGAGAAACGTCATATCGGGGGTTTTTTTGAATTACACCTCTTGGACTTAAATTCAGTATTCAAGATTGGGTAGAAAATATGTATTTTTTAATAGAATAAAAATCTAGGCTCAAAGTTTCAAAGAGGAGCACATTTCTCAAGATTTGCTCCTAAAATAATTTTTTTTTACCTCAATCGTGATTTCTTTCTTAATGGATCCGATTCTCGACTCAATTTTTATCGTCTGCTGCTTTTCCCAGGCGATTCGTGCTTTTCGAGCCTCAATTTTCTGAGATACTAATTGAGCAAGATTATTCATAATTGCTGAAATCAGAAAAATGTGCAACGATCTATAAAAAATTACGATTTACATTTCATTTTTTCTTGCTTCCTTTTATTAACTTCATTCTCAATGAAATCAGAAGTGTTCTGATAAATATCGACCTGTCGTGGGGTGTGAACGAGGTACCGAAAAAAATGAACAATTAAAAATAAATAAATAAAAGGCATACTTGAATGGTCTCTGCCATAAAACAAAAGACGGGACATTAGCAAAACTTTCATCGAGCATGTCAGGGTGGTAGGAGCGTACGAGTGGTCGAGTTGCACCCAAACACTCATTTGACAGTCTGAGACAGGTAAAAATACTTTAATTTTAAAATTTAGAACGAATTACTCAAATCCAAGAAGCTTTTCTACAAATGGGTTCACTGGTAGTTGAACAGATTGCTCAACACGCTCATGAATTAAATTTTTCTGAAAATGTTTGAATTAATTAAAATCGAAAAATATCGAAACCTCTTCTTCGAGAAGTGCGTCGATAACCTTTTCCATATCATAATCAGCATATTTATTAATTGGACGCACTTGATCTTTTTTGAAATTCTGCTCATCAAGATGATAAATAATTGAATCAATTTTATCAATATCGCAATCTTTTTCAGTCAATTCGCGCGTCAATTCCGAATTGCAATTAATAAATGGTTCGAATTTGATGATTGTGTCCCTTTTGAAATCTTTCGTAGTGTCAAAGTTCACCCGTTTAATTCGCCGACGTTTCGGTGCTTCTTCGGATTTTCGTCTTCTTGGCTTCTGATAAATTTCATCGGCGGTTTGAGCAAGATTTTCCGATTTCTTTTTGGCAATTTTAAGAGGTTTTGAAGAAGTTTTAGTTGTTGCCGATTTTTTGGTCACTTTTGCAGTTTCTGGCTCGAAATCGTCATCGTCTTCATCACTAGAAGAACTACTTTCCGTTGTAATCTATAATTTCAAATTAAATTGAAATTTCGAAAAACTTACATCTTCTTCAAATTCTATAGGCTTGACAGATTCTTTTGTAATTTTCTTTTTAATTGGCTTCTTCAATTAATATTTTTATTTGTTTTTTTACTCGGATGAGTTACATTTGCGCGTTTGTCTATCTTTTCACTGTCCACTTCTCGTTTCGTTTTTTGTTTAGCTGCCATGTTTACCTAAACCAATGATTCTTTGATTCTAATCGATTGTTTTTATTCGCTAAACTGAGAGAAAATAAAATGGAGATAATCTTGCGGATAAAAACTGAGTTTGATTCTTGAACGCTATGTTTTATCAAATTTAAAGTTCGCCAATTTAAAAAATGATTCAAATAGTACTGCTAATTTTTATATTTTCGATGATTTCGTCACATAAATAATGTGCTTTTGGAAAAGTTAAAAATTTCTCCACATTTAAAAAATTTTTTGTTTTTCTTGCTTCCCGCTGAGAATAACGCGCCGCGAGGTTGCCACACTGTGCGCGCATAATGCATTTCTGTTTGAATTGACTCCGCCCTTCTTCATTTTGGCGCGCATTAAATATGTCCGGATTGCGTTGTTAAGCCGTTTCCTATCGTTATAGTACGCTAGTATTTTTTTCGAAAATTTTCCCTAATTTAATAATATTCTATTTTTAAAATTTGCAATCATTGATTGAGAAATGATTATTTCACCGAATTCTTGACTTATTACGAAATATTTTCAGGTATGGGTGACAAAAAAGTTACCATTAACAAGGAATTATTTTATAGTAGAGCTGGACGACTTTATGAAGCATGGGTAAATTTTGTGTGACCAATTTTCTCATAAAAACGACATTCTTTAGGAAAAGGGAGACCACGGATTCGGAGATGTGAACTGTTTTATGGTAGTCGTTGGAAACGGTGATAATCCTTACACGAAATCCGGTGCGGTGCACGTGAGTTTTAAAAGTTTTCAAAATTTGATAGTTTCTAATTTTTTTAGAGTTGGCTTCTTGGTCATGAGCTCATTGACACACTACTATTGTTCACAAAAAATCAGATTTATGTACTCGCAAGTAATCGAAAGGCGGATTTTTTCAATCCGGTTGTCAGTGAATCAGCACATGGAAAAATTCCACCGTTGAAATCATTCCTCAGAGATAAGGTTTGTTTTAAAAAAATTGAATTTTGGCAATAATCAAAAATTTATTCCAGAGTGACAAGGATGCGAAGAATTTTGAAACATTCGTCGAACTTGTGAAAGAAAACGGCAATGAAATTGGAGCATTTATCAAGGATAAATTCGATTCTGAGTTCTTTTCGACATGGAACAATGTCCTTGAGTCGAATGATATCAAGAAGGTCGACATTACAATCCCATTTGTTCATATTCTTGCCGTGAAAGATGAAAAAGAAATTGAAATGCTGAAAAAGTCTGGAACTGCCACTGTGAACACATGGGCGGCCATTAGAACCAAATACGTCGACATTATCGATCAGGAAAAGGTATCAAAGGGAAAATCAAACATCTGAATCGTCGCAAGTTTTGCAGAGAGTTCGGCATTCGAATCTTTCAAAAGAGATATCGCATTACATGAAGGATTCGAAAATTCAAGGACCCCTCGCAAAGCATAATATCGAAACGAGCTACGATCCGATCGTAATGAGCGGCGGAAAATATTCGTTCAAATGGAGCCACGAGAGCGCTGAGACGCTTCTTCATTACCAATTCGGAACAATTATTACGTCGTTTGGTGTACGTCTTGATGATTATTGCACCAATGTCACCCGCACCATGCTCATCTTCCCATCGTCATCGTTGGAAGCCGCGTATGAAGCGGTCTTGGCGACTGAACAGGCTGTTATTGCGGCACTCAAACCTGGAGTCAAATTAAGCGATGTATATCAAATTGGAGTGAAAACTCTGGAAGAAAAAGATCCAAAACTTGTCGAAAAGTTGCATAAAAAGGAATTTGGGTAGATATTTTTTTTTCTTTAAAAATTTAATTAATAATTGCATTTTTTTTTTCAGATTCGTTACTGGAATTGAATTCCGTGAAAGTCGTCTCACGATCAGTCCGAAATGCGAGGAAACCGTCAAAGCTGGAATGGTGTTAATTGTATATATCGGCGTTGACGGAATTCCGAACAAGAGCGATTCCGGTGAGAAGGGCGCGCCGGCTGCGATTGCAATTTCTGATACGGTAAGCGAAAATCTGGTCTCCTTTCTAAAATGATTTTTAAAAAACTAAATATTATTTTTAGATTGTTGTTAAAGATGAGCCACCAAATGAGGTTTTGACTGAAAGAGCGAAATCCCGAATAAAATCGAATGTGATTCGATTCAAAGAAGACGCGCAACCCAACGATCATGAGAAGGAGAACGGCGGTAGCAGCAGCAATCAGCTTCTCGGTCGAGGACAACGAAGTGTTGTGCTCAATGACCAAACGCGTAACAAAACGACGAACGAGGAGAAGAGAAAAGAGCGGCAGAAGCAGCTTGGAAAGATATTGAATGAGCAGGCGCGGGCTCGTTTGGCACAGCAAGGCACTGGATCCGAAGAGAAAAAGTTGGAATTTTTTTTTGGAGAAATCGTAAAAAACATTTCTTTTTTCAATTTTCAGAGTGAAAAAGAGCAATGTCTCATATAAATCCATTGAAAAATTTCCGAATGAGCCGGAAATTAATCAACTTCTCATTTATGTCGATCGCCGGCATGACACGATCATTCTTCCGATTTTCGGTGTACCCGTTCCGTTCCATATCTCAATGATCAAGGTGTGTTCTCAAAAAAAAAAAACAAACAATTCTTTGATTTCTTGTTCATTCAGAGTTGCTCGCAATCAGTTGAAGCTGACTTCACTTATCTCCGTATTAATTTCAATCATCCTGGCTCGAATATTGGCAAAGAGAACGCGCAATTCCCGCATCCGTTGGCGACGTATATGAAAGAATTGACGTATCGCGCGAGTAATCTTCGAGAGCATGGAGAATCGAATCCGCCAAGCTCGAATTTGACGACGGCACTCCGATTGATCAAGGAGATTCAGAAGCGCTTCAAGACCGAAGAAGCGGAAGAACGCGAGAAGGAAGGCGCTGTCAAACAGGACAAATTGATATTGAGCCAGAATAAATTGAATCCGAAACTCAAAGATTTGTGAGTGGCCGCTTGACACGATTCCCATTGATTTGTTGAATGTTCCAGATTGATTCGTCCCAATATCATACAGAAGAGAATTACGGGAGCTTTAGAAGCTCATGTGAACGGATTTCGATACACGTCGCTTCGTGGAGATCGCATTGATGTTCTGTATAATAACATCAAACACGCGTTCTTCCAGCCTTGTGATAATGAGATGATCATTCTTCTGCATTTCCATCTTAAGAATCCCGTGATGTGGGGAAAGAAGAAATACAAGTACGCTACATTGAACTAAAAAAAGAACAATGGTTTTTGACCATTTTTTTTTGTTTTCAGAGATGTCCAATTTTATACGGAAGTTGGAGAAATTACGACAGATTTGGGCAAATATCACCATATGCAGGATCGTGATGATGTTCAGAGTGAACAGGTTTATCATATTTAACAAAAAAATGCATATTATTTATATTCTTTGGTTAGATGGAAAGAGAAATGCGTCGAAAACTGAATGCGGCATTCAATAGCTTCTGCGAGAAGGTCTCCCGTCTCACCAATGATCAATTCGACTTTGATTCGCCGTTCTCGGATCTCGGATTCTTTGGTGTTCCATTCCGCTCGTCTTGCACACTTCGTCCAACGTCATCGTGTCTTGTTAATCTTACTGAATGGGTATTTGGGAAAAATTGTGGATTTCAACGAAATCACCATTTTTCAGCCGCCCTTCATTGTCACACTCAGCGAGGTGGAACTCGTTCATTTTGAGCGTGTTTCGTTCCAATTGAAAAACTTTGATATGGTGTTCATTTTCAAGGATTATTCGAAGAAGACACAGATGATTCAGCAGATTCCGATGAGCAGTATCGATATGATAAAGGTTGAGTTTGCTTTTATCTTCTGAAAATGGCTGGATTTTTCAACGGCGATTTTCAGGAGTGGCTTCATTCTTGTGATATTCGTTATACTGAAGGTATACAGTCGCTCAATTGGCCGAAGATTATGAAGGTTTGAATTTTGCACCAACAAAAGAAAAGTTTATCCGGAAATTTTGACATTTTAGACGATCACGGATGATCCGGAAGCATTCTTTGATGATGGTGGATGGGACTTTTTGAACACTGAATCTGACGGTGAAGAGGAGATGGATGACAGTGATGATTCAGAAGCTTACTCGCCTAGCGAATCTGAAAACTCTGACGAGGAAAGTGATGAAGATGAGAGTGAGGCGGAAGCAACATCAGAATCAGAAAGCGAAGGATCATTGGATTCTGATGAATCGGAAGGAAAGGATTGGTCCGATCTTGAGGAAGAAGCAGCGAAGGCTGACAAGAGGAAGGAGATTGAGGATCGCGATGGGCCGAAAGATCGTAAGCGCCATCACGGCAGCAAATCTGGACCACCGCCGAAGAGGAGGAAGTAGATCGGAAAAAAAGCGTTGTAGTTGAATTGCGTGGCCCCTACGGATTGTTAAATGTGTGTGTGTGCTTACTATTTTGTTGGTTGTATTTCAACATTTATTTTTTTAATCAATTGTAACTTAAAATCGAAGAATTCCCGATGTCCCACGATGAAGTTTGTCGCCGCGTCCAATCCCCCGTTCAATGATCCTCAACATTTCGAATTTTCTTTACTAATTTCAATTACTCTTCATTTTTTTGGAGAATTTTAAAAGAATTGTTACAAACATCACCATTAATTCGTACATTGCGGAATAAAATTTTTAGAGTTCAAAGAAAAATAAATTTGGATGGTGGATTCCAAGCTTCCGACTATCTTCTGAATTTTCGCCCTCTCGTTTTTTTGTGTCTTTTTTTTTGGGCAGCTCTTGAAGGTGATTTTTGCACGTGATGTCATAGTCAGTTGATGGATCGGATCGCTGTGATCCGATTCTGACATCGCCGAATGTCTTGCACGTACTCAATTGGCTATGACCGACTTGGGAGATGCTCAATTGTGTTTGGTATTGAATTTGAGGGATTGGTTTCTGAGAAATTGTGAAATTTTTAGGCGGCCGGAATGGATTGTCCGACTAACAATCAACTCGTTGAAAAGGTGAGATGTTTTTTTTTTCAGGGCGTATATATGTGCCTTTAATTTTTGGGCGAGTTTTTCAAACATTCAGAAAACCTACTTTAAAGGCGCATGCTAGTGGCCTAAAACGTTGCTACTGTGCTTTTTTTCTATTTTATAAAAATATTCGAATAATTTTGTGTGGTAAAAATTTAAAAAAGAACTATAAATTTGAATTCATTGTCCGCGAAAAAATGATAAAGAATCTGATTCATTGTTTTTTAACCACCAACAAAAATTTATTTGTTTTCTAGAAATAGGTATCGGATAAAGAATTCATTAGGATATATCTGTTTGGTTTTTTATTTTGCTGAAAAAATTGCAATTAATATTTTGTATTTTTGATTATGAGGAATTTTGTTGTCCTCGAACGATGTCCGCAGATCGGAGTTTAATTTATGACACTTTTTTTAACTGCGTGACTTTACAGAGGCAAATAAGACGGCGAAAACGCGGACAATTCAAACGGGACAATGTGCACGTTGGCGGTCTTACGCTTGATGAAGCCAATAACGTTGCAAAACGGATTCTCGGATACTGGCAAATTGGTACGTGAAGTTCAAACACGCATTTGTTTCCAATTGGCACGATTCTAGATTTGAGACTTCCCGAAATTGCGGATTCCGATTATGGGGGTTGCTCGAAATCGAGGACGATTAATGATGAATCGGAGGTTGTAATACAGCGCAAAATGTGCATGATGTGCTCGATGAATCCGATGGAGGCGTATTTTCGAACGCATTGCCGCGAAATCCATGCGAAATCGGATTCGGCGATTATTGAGACGATGTTTCGAATGAGCGACGTGCGCTACATTCGATTCTGCGCGAATTCGCTGATATCGAGCGAAATCGCCAGCAGTTTGTTTCAAAATAATCGGAAGATTCTGAATTTTCTCGCTTCCTGCGGTTTCATAATCGACAAGGTTTGACATTACTTTTCTATTTTTTTTTTTTTGAAACTTGACTTGAAAAAAACATTGGCAAAAATTTAGAATATCGTCAACTTGGCATCTCGCCAAACAGAAATCGATTTTGACGAATATCAATCGAAATTTGAGGAGTCCTCCATTAAAGGAATACCGATTGAAAAAGCGCGAGAAATTGCGAAAAGTTTTTCGGATGATTTCAAATTTCTTCCAGGTTGGTTCTTATTTCAATTTTCATTCAAAAATTTCCCATTTTGAGAAGTCGAGTTCCCGTTGAAAATTGTGCACACCAGCCGACATATGGTGTTATCGACTCATTATACGACCCATTGTTTCGTTTGTCGAACAACGAAAACGTGTACGAATTTCGCGAAACACTTTGCAAATGTACATAAAAAGCATTGGGATGAGATTCAGACGTTGCTTGGATTCCGATGCGACATTGACGACGCCGTCGAGGTCTTGAAGCGAGTCACTGATGTGAGAATTTGATTTTTAAAGGCGCTTAATACGAACCCGGTTCATTTTTAAAGGTTCGAATCGCGCAATACTTCAAATCAGTTTTGATTGCGCACAACGAAATTGTAACAATTTGCGCCGAAAATAAGCAACTTGAAGAAAATCTGATAAAGTTTTTGCTGAATTCAGGATTTGTTATTGATATGGTAATTATTATCTCTATTTTTTTGCAAAAATTTCAAGAATTTCAGAAATCGAATGCTGATCGTTCGGTGAATTCCGGTCTGGTGCCTTATGACTTGAATATTCCGCCAAATATGGTTTGTCACTCACTTTCTTTTTCATTCCATTCATTCGTTTTTTTTGCCGGTTTTTCAGGTTGCCGAAAATCCGCCTATTTGGGAGAAGCTGAGGCTAATGAAAGCCGAATCAGCATCAGACTCAGATGCTCGAAATATGTCGACAAATTCATCGAGATGCTCCAGTGTTACGGTAAGTGAAGAAGAGTTTATGATATTTTTCAAATTATTCGAAATTTTAATTATCGCAATTTAAAAAGAAAAATTGCGAAATATTTATCGGCAGTTGAATGGATAGTAATATATTAAATGGATTCGAGAAGGGGGGGGGGGACCCTCTTAATTAGCTTTGGAAATTTGAGGATGCCGCTGCTCTCAGAGCTCTCCGGTTAATTGGTTTTCCGAAACGACCCCGAATAATTATCATCATTCAACAAACCACTCGTTATCAGACTGTTGCTGCAATTTCGTGTTGATAATACCCCAAACATTTTTCGTGGCGAGATTTTTGGCGCGTGATTCGACGTTCGCACTTTGTTTCATTCCACAGCGAACGAATTGTCTACAGGGTGCGGCAAAATTACGGGTGCATAACTTTGGCGCAAGCTCATAGTGCACTGTCGTATTTTTTGTGCAGTTTTATGTTTTTATTTTATTTTCTATGACGTTTTAATCATTTTCTGAAAGTTTCATGAAAATCCGTTTCGTATTACAAAAATGACAGCTGATTCTATTCATCGTGCGGCCATCATCGACTTGAAAAAAAGGGAACATCGTTCAAAATGATTTCTAAAAACCTTGGAGTTCACCACAACACCGTACAAACAACTTGGAAACGTTTTGATGAGGTAGGAGGACTCTCTAGCTGTCTTAGAAGAGGAAGAAAATATTCTTTAATAACACCGGAGCGAGTCAAGGTCACCAGGGAACGAGTTCGTCGAAATCCAGATCGTAGCATCAGAAAGATGGCGTCAGAAGTCCATGTGAGTCCGAGATGGTGGGAAGAATAGTCAAAGATGAGCTGAACCTGATACCTTATCGTGTCAGAAAGGCCGCCATTCTAACCCAAAAAAATAAAACAGGTCGAATGAAAAAGTGCAAATCGCTCCTAGCAGGCACGCGGCAAGGAAAGCACCTAACGACTTTCGTCATGGATGAAAAGCTGTTTACGGTAGAAGCTGCTTTCAATCTCCAAAACCACAGAGTGATCGCCAGAAGGTCTGAGGAAGCTATGAACAAAGGCAGAACCATTCATCGTGTTTTCCATCCACAGCAGATCATGGTATTCGGTGGGATCTGCGCTGACGGCAAGACACCACTGATTTCGTTGATCCCGGAGTGAAGATTGATCTTAATGAGATTCTGAAGAAGAATGTCCTTTCCTGGTCCCAATCTCACTTCGGAAATAGATCTTGGACTTTTCAACAAGACTTAGCGCCTGCACAACGAGCCAATATCGTTCAAGACGGGTGCGGCAGCCATTTTCCATCATTTATCAAGTCAACGGATTGGCCCGCTTCGTCGCCCGACCTGAACCCATGGACTATTCTGTCTGGGGAGTCTTGCAAGATAAGGTGTCAGCTTTCCCACACCCAAATACGAACTCATTGAAAGCTGCCCTTCTGAAGGAATGGGACAAATTGGTCCCCAAATACCTGCGTGCCACCGTCGACGCCTATCCGAAGCGTCTGAAGGAATTTATCAAGAATCGTGGTGGAAGAATCGAACAACGATAATTAATTTGTGATTGTTATGTGTTGAATAAATTTTGGTATTAATTTGAAAGAGTTTTGTTGATTTTTAAAAAAGTTATTTCGTTTTATTGATGCACCCGTAATTTTGCCGCACCCTGTATAAGCGAGAAATTCATAATCCATAAATGAACATTGAAAAGAATCCCTTCATTTTTGCTTTGGAATAGATGTACGAGGCTCTTCTCGATTCCATTCTTCAATATACTTGATGAGCGTATAATTCGTCATATGGCCGCTCATTTTTCATTTGCTGAAAGGCGGCGCATAACTTTTGCCCGTCGCACCCTGATTCACTCGCGCCTTGCCTTGTTTTGTTTTGTTTTTTGTCTTGTTTCATGCCCCTCTTCGGTTTTGCTCTGCCAGAGCCGGCCGGCTGTCCATTTGTCTTGTGCGGATTATATACGGACTGCATTGCAGGCGACTTCATCGTCGTCGTCGTCCTTGTCATCTTGCGACGATGAATATTGGTGTCGCTCTTCGCCGCCGTCATCTTCAGAAGCCGCGACTACGGTAATCGGCAATGACGATTTTCCGTATTGTGTGCTCAACGCGATACCGACACATTTTGAAGTTGACACGATGCTCTACGCGATACTCGAACGGCTGACAAACGGGCCGACTGAATGCCTCACCCAATTTGAATATAATTATCTACTCGGGTAAATCGATTTCGACAACAATTCGAAAATTGTTTCGTTATTGCAGATATGCGTCGTACTCGCTGGTCATCGCGAACGGATGTAAAATGAATGTCGTCACACACATGAATTTGGCCGATTTTCAGAATGCGACGTTCGACGAGAAATCGGGGTACGGTGGCAATTGTTTTTTTTTTTCTGTTGTTCCTCACTCGGAAATACGTTTGCACCGGAAATACGTTTCATCCCATCATTTTTTTTTTCAGATTGCATGTATTGTGCTTTGAGACCAAAAAAACGTTTGTGCGAACGGCGTATAACGAATATCTATGCGCCGATCAGCGTGTTTGGCGAGCTTTGGAGGTTTTTGAAGTCGCTAGAGAACGGTTGGTAAATTGAATTTATACTATATTGCCATCGCAAAAAAAAACGAGCACCTTGATTATTGTGGACCACCGCAGGCGGTAATTCAAATTTCGTTTTATATTGTGGGAATTCGGCTACCGTACAACGGATAACCTGCGAATCAAACTCATCGTAAATCTACACAAGGTGTTCGTTTTTTTTATTGCGAATGTATTATATACATTTTTTTAAAATCATACTTTTGCTGATTATAGGCGAGTTAATGAACTAAATATGGCTGCCAATTATTTGAGCGATCAAAGCCCATTTTTCGTCACTTATAATCTGTCGCGGCAGACGAAGGTATTTTAGTGCAACGACACCACCGCAATTCGTGATTTGCATTATAGGATACCAATTATTTTATGAGCCAATTTTTGAGAATGTGCGGTTTGAATTGGCCGTGTAAACCGACGACGGTGAGCGCGGCGTCGGCAAAATTACTCAAACGAGATCTCAAAAAGGTGGGTGTCTTCGTTTTTTTTTTCTTAAAGATCATTTATTTTCTCCAACATCTGGTTTTTTTTTTGTTAAATTTGTTTTTAGGTTTCATCTCGCCTCTACGCGATTACTTACTATGAGCTTCTTCGTCAGCGAGAGCAAGAGCAAATACGAAGCTTAGGTCGGGGCTTCTCCAGCTCCTCATCGACTTATGAATTTTTAATTGATTTAGGCTTCGGACAAATCGAATTGCATCCGACGCTTCAAAAAATCCAAGCGATCACCGTTTCGATGAAACCGAGAGCGGCGAAGCGCAAAATTGCGAAGCTTGCGATTGGTCCGAAACGGATTCGACGGGCGTCGAACAGCTCGGCGAGTGTATCATCATGCGCTAGCGATTGCGGATTTATTGAAGATGAGCCGGAGGAGCAGCAGGAGGAGGAGGAGGAGGAGCTGGAGCAGAGGTTCTTTTAGTTGAAGGCCGATGGGTGCCGCTGCCGCTCTTCGCCCGCCGTTTCATTAGTAATTGCAAAATAAGACATCAAGAATCGAAGAATGCGCGTGTGACCTTGCTAATAATTCTAGAATGAGTGGATGTTTTCGTTCTCGATTTGATATTCGCAAATTTTTTTTATCCCCCTCAAAAGAGCTTGAGAAAAACGTGCGAGTTGCGAATTAATCAGCGTCTTCTTTTTTTTTTCGTCCTCGGAAATTTAATTAAGATTCTTAACCGCAAAGAGGATAAACAGATTTGTCGTGCCGTAAACGCGCTTGAGATTTGAGATTTAATTTCTATGAAAAATTGCCAAAAAAAAGAAAACAATGACAGGTGAATTTTCTTTTTTTTTTTTGCAAATTTTTGTTTCACTCAAATTTGCGATTGAGGCGCGTTGAATTACGTCTCGTCAAAAATTTCGATGTCTCGTCATACGGTAGTAGTATTCTTGAGATTTCAAGTATCCTTTTTGCCTCATTTTCCAGCCGCGTTGTGCTCGATGTGCATATTTCGTTTTACACAAATAAAAAACACACACACACACCTCCCGCACGTTCTCAATATATATATATATATATATATATATATATATATATATATATATATATATATATATATATATATATATATATATATATATATATATATATATATATATATATATATATATATATATATATATATATATATATATATATATATATATATATATATATATATATATATAAATGCTTTTTTTTCTCGCCATGGTTTAAAAGTGGCAGCGGCCCCGTCGTCGAGCGCATTATTCATTTAATGGGATTTGATTTCGTTTCAGTCGACGATGGATGGAATTGATGTGATGTCTCCACAGTGCTCGCCGTCGTTGCTACTAACGACGCCTCTTCGAGCCCACGTGTGGGCTTTTCCTCGATAATTTCTTGTCCCAATTGTTTTTTTTTTTTGTTGAAAGAATCGAATTTTCAGTGTGATGCTTAAACCGATTGCCTTCTTCTTGTTGTTGTTTCTTCATTTTACCAAGTGTTATCACTCACTTGCAATTATTTCTCATTTCTGTGCAAACACACGACGCGAGATTACACACTGAAATTGCGGTGCGCTCGATACATTCTAGCGCCCTCCAGCGTTTTTTTTTTCCTGTTTTCTGTCGTTGTGTGAACTCGCGAATTTCGCCAAAATGCTATTATTGAAGGTAATCATTTTTTGATGGATGACGAGTTGCAACCGCCTGATAGTGGCGGCGTCGAGGTTCAGAGCGCTTCGACGTCGGCGGATCCCGATGCAGATTCGGCGCCATCGGAGCCCGATGATCTCTGTTAGTTTTTGTTTTATTCGAATTATTCCGAATGGGAGATTGAATTCTTTCAATTTACAGTAATGTGTCGAGTATGTCGAGGGAACGATGGCGAACTGTATTATCCGTGCTTGTGCACGGGAAGTATCAAATATGTGCACCAGGAGTGTCTTGTACAATGGCTTAAATACAGGTAGAGCCCGAATTTTTGCTAGTCGAGTGTTCTAATGATTTGGTTGCAGTAAAAAGGAGAAATGCGAGTTGTGCAGTCACAAATACTCATTTCAACCAATTTATCGACCAGATATGCCAAAAATATTGCCGATTTTCGAAATTGCTAAAGGTGAATTGGCAAATTTCGAAAAAAGAAAATTATGCAAAAATTGAATTTCTAGGAATTGTCGTAACGCTAGCCGTAATGCTTAAAACTTGGATAATCTACACACTAGTAATGATGGCCTGGTTGGGTCTCGTACCGTTCACTGCTGCCCGAATCTACAATTTTATATTTTATTTGTCGTTTCAAGACATTATTTCGTCGCCTTTTCAACTAATTAAAGTGGAACACGTCGCGCACGATGTGTTTAAAGTGAGATTTTTCGTTGTGAACGAGAAATTTTGAATTTTTTTTTGCAGGGCTGCATTCTGTTGATCATTTTTGTTTGTACATTTATCTCGCTTGTTTGGCTCCGCGAGCAGATCATCCTCGGCGGACCGCAAAATTTTCTCAACATTGACAACGCCGACGAGGAGGAGAACGAGCAGCGGCCGGCGCGGAACGATGATGATGGGCTCGGCGGCCCGTTTGATGATGATTCGAGCGATGAGGACGATGAAGTATACGGCGAGTATATGGATGGTCGATACGAGAATGCCGACGATAGTCAATCGGATGATCAGGACGACGAGGAGGTTGAAGATGAGAACGGCAACGTTGACGATAATCGAATGATGCCGAACCCCGACATGATGGACGATGCCGATGAGATGGATCGACTCGAGCGACGACGTCAGCGTCGGCGGCGCCAACGGCAGAGGGATCGCGAGAATGCGAATCAGGATCAAGAGGACAATTGGAGAGATTGGGATAGGTGCGGTTCGCCGATAACGCGTTGGCGAAATCTCAAAAATTTAGGCTTGGCGAAGATCTGACTTGGCAGCGCCTTCTCGGATTGGATGGATCGCTCATCTTTCTTGAGCACGTCTTCTGGGTCATCTCACTGAATACAATATTCACCGTGACATTTGGTAATCGAATTAATGCGCGAACTCGTATCGTCGTTTTGTGCTTCAGCTTACATTCCGTATCGATTCGGGCATCATGTGTTGAGCCAATTGGGTCTGTACTCGAAAATCGCCTACTTCCCATCGATCACATCCATGTTGTGCGGTTATGTGATAATTGCGAGTTTGACATATGTTGCGCACGCCTGCGTTGGCGCCATGCGAATGAAATCGTGAGTGGTTGTTCAGACAGGAAAAAATGCTCGATGTGCCAATTTTCAGACTTTATCGATTCCTTGGCATAATGTTTCTAATAATAAAAGTATTTTTGTTGGTGCTCATCGAGATTGGATTGTTTCCAGTGATGTGCGGATGCTGGATGGATGTTTGCACGCTGGTTAGCGATTTTCATTTTTTTTTGTCTGAAAATTCGCGAAGTTATTTTGGAGATTTTCAGCCGCTTTTCCAAGCAACTCTCAACCAAAGGATTGCCACGTTTGCCGCTTCTCCATTCATGTCGATTTTCCTGCATTGGATGATTGGAATGGTATGAGAGAGAGAGGAATTGTCCAAAAAAAACGAGGAATCGATTTTAGGTCTACGTTTTCTATTCGGCTTCTTTCGTTATTTTGCTTCGCGAAATTCTTCGGCCTGGCGTTTTATGGTTCATGCGGAATCTCAACGATCCTGACTTCAATCCGATTCAGGAAATGATCGATTTGCCGTTTACGCGGCATTTGCGACGATTGGTTGTGTCAACGGTAATGAAAAACAAAATCGAAGAGACCGGAATTCCGAATGCTGCAATTTTCAGACATTATTCTTCACCACCATTCTCCTTATATTCTATATCCCATTGACGATAATGACGAAAATGGCGCCGACGGTTCTGCCGTACAATGTCTCGATGAGCGCTGACACGCCGCTCAGCGAGCTCTCGCTTGAGTTGCTCATTCTGCAAGTATGCCAGATGCCTCCCAGCAAAACTCGTTATCTCTCAAAATCATCACGACTCAAAGTTGCAGATAGTGCTTCCCGCGGTTCTCGAGCACGCCCATGGGCGGACTGTCATCAAGTTCGTCGTCACGAAATGGTGCTATTTCGTCGGCAAGCTATTGGATTTGGATAGGTGCGTTAAAAAAAAAATTTGGTTTGTCGAAACGATTTTGCTCAACTATTGGATTCAGATACCTATTGTCGGATAACTCGGCGAACGCGAATCGGCCGGTTCAGCCGCCAGCGGCGGGTGCTGGCGGCGGACTCGCAGCCGAACATCAAGCGCTTCTGCTCCTTCGTGAGCCGCGCGCCTATGAGCCCTACGTTCGGCCGGCATTCTTCGCCGTCCGAATTGCGGCACTTCTAGTGTTCATGGCGATCACCACAATCCTCACGAGTTTGAGCGCCTTCATTGTGCCTCGTACGATAATTTTCTGTCGGCGAACTTCCATGGAATAACCTGATCGTTACAGCGATCATCGGCCGATATGTGGTCTACGCGTTGTCGCGACAAACCAACGTCCACGAGATCTACACAACCGGCATCGGATTCTACGTGCTGTGGCTCGTTGGAAAACTCGCCGTGGTCGTTGTGAAGTTTGCGAGAAGCGACGAGAACGACATGAAAACGCTGGTCTGGAAGTACACGTCGTTTGTAGGAATCGATTCTCATCGAATAGCCCAATGCCGATAACGATAATTGCAGAGCGTTCGCGCGTTCGCCGCCTGCATTCCGATCTCCGTGGTCCTTCCGTTTGTCATCGGAACACTGTTCCAATACATCTTTCTGATTCCGCTTCGTCTCACGCAAAACCAAACCGCTCTCAGCTTCCCCTACCAGGATTGGGCGATGGGAGTTTTACAAATGAAAATCATCGCGGTCGTCATTATGATGGGACCCGAGTCTTGGTTGAAAACCGAAATTGAAGTGGTCCGTTGCCCATTCAAAATTTAATTTATTCTTTCAATTTGAGGTCATCAATGGCGGAATTGATAACTTCAACGCGACGCGCACATTATTCCGGCTCACAATTCCGGTAATGCTGTACATCGGCTCATGTCTTGCGTTTCCTGTCGTATTGTGCGCTGTATACGCGACACTTACAGGTAATTTTGCGCGCGTCAGAAGCCGTACAATGTTTAATTACAGGTCTTAGCTATGAGTCGCAACAAACCATGCTTAGATACAGTTATCCGACATTTATGATAATCCTAATGGCTGTGTGCTTCTTACAATGGCAAATGAACAAACTCAACGAGTTGGCTGAACGCATAAAAAATGACCGGTAATTAACTCCAATTAGGCCTAATTACAACGTTTTTTTTAAATAGGTATCTTGTTGGAACCCAACTAGTCAATTACGAGAAAAACGTCAATTCTGATACGGTAGTGGTCGCTAAAAGCTAAAGAATCAATCATCAAATCAATCAAAACGTGATAAAATCTCCGACTGTGTTCATCATCTCCGTTTTTTTTGTCTCAAAACCCGCTGCTTCGCTAGTTTTATTTATTGTTTCGAATAAAATCACTTTAGTATTGGTTGGCGCAAAACAAATGCAGGTTTTAAAGCCGAAAGTCACATTGGAATTGAAAATGATTTATTGATCGAAATATTAATTAATGGATTTTTTTGCCACCGAGTAATAAGTTTATTTATTTCTTTACCCATTTCGTCTTCCACCAACACCTTCAGCCCGTCGTTGTCGTGGGAGGGGGCATCTTCGAGGTTGATGTTGAAAGAGCTGAACTTCTGCGACCAACGTTGAACAGCTTTTCATATTTTCACTAAAATTAAAAACTTCGAAGTCGTGCGACTGCGGAAAACAGGCGAATGTAAAAAGAAAACATTGAGAAAGAGCATCGGACATGATTTTGAATGATATTTAACATTTTATATTAAATTAACGTTTTGTAGGAATAAGTACAATTAATTACAAAAAAAAAAGAGAATTTCCTTATCGACGATTAAATACAACAATGTGAATTGATCAAATTTTGGAAATTTCGGTTTTACCTGCATGTTGAGTGAGTAAGGCACGAAGTAAAAGTGTACAAATTAGTGAGATAAGTGTGTACAGATAATTTAATACATAATTATTAATTAGTTAGGCGACTTCCCAGGCGCAGCACCGATGGTCGTCCTCGCAATCGGACGTGGTCACCTCGAGACGACCCTCGACGATATCGAGAACCATTTTGTTGAACAAGTCCGGATCATCAGCGTAGACATGATGGCCAGCGCCATGTATAATCTAAACGAGAAAATTATTTTTGTCGGTGTCGCGCGAGTTCGGAAAAAAAAATTAGGGAGTGGTCTTGGGACGAATTTAACCAATCCTCATACTTAGACTCGAAAATCCACAATCCACAAAGTTTTGCGCCAAGACCATTCCCACTATTTTTTTGCATTTAGCAAATTTTCCGCAGTCTATTACCTTAATATCTACATAAGCGTTTCTCGAAGTTTGGATATCCATCGCTGGTCCTGGATCAATCCAGCTCTTGCTTCCAAAAATGAACGTGGTCCCAACAGATTCGGCGATTTTGTTGAATCGTTTAACCATTGGCCGTTTCGCCCATCCGACGGGAACTGTCATACTCATAAACGCGGTCTCACCGGTCGGAGTGTTCAGGTTACTGTAGTATACATATTTATAAATGTCGTCAGTTTTGGTTCCTTTGAAGCGCAACATGAGATCAGGTCGCAGTTTGCGGATTATGAACGGAGCTGCAATTTTTTAATGGAAAACAATTACAAGCGAAATATGTTGCAAATTTCTCTACCGTCTTTTCCCATCCATCGCATCGGAGTTAGAGGATTCATCGACTTTCCGATGTATTCTCCAAGAAGCGACATCCATTGATAGGGTTTTATCAACTTCTCTCCGGCTTCAACCTTCTCGGCGAATCCCCATGGATCGACGAGAATCAGATGCGCGACGTGCTGCGAATTCTCGATGGAATAGGCCGATGCCATGTAACCGCCAAAATCGTGGCCGACGATGACCATCTTCTCAATGTTCATCGCTTTTCGCCAATCTTCGATGGCTTCCACCATTTCGAGTTCGGCGATCGCGCTCTCCGAACTGAATATTGGACGCGATGATCGTCCGAATCCGAGAAGGTCGAACGCGTAGACGCGATGGCTCTTCGCGATTTCGTTGAGATTCGCACACCAGAACGCGACGCCCGCTCCGAAGCCATGCATGAACACGACGGCTGGATTGTCTTCTGGAACTTCGTTCGCCGATTCGACTTTCACGGTGTAAATTCGACTATTCTTGAAGCGAATCTGTAATAAACGTCAAAATATGTAATTTGCAGCGAATTCATTTTTTATATTTACCGGCACGTATTCCGATGTATACTTTACGTCATAATTCTTAAAGAATCGAGATTCAACTTTTTCGAGCTTTTCCAATGATTCTTCCGACCATCGCGCTGTTAGATTAGATCTGAAAATATTTGAATATTGAAAATAATCCAAACAATTTGAATCCTTACATTGCTGAGATCATTTTCTTGTATGGAGGTACGCTGAAAGCACATCAATATTATACCGGCTAGAATTTCGGCTTTTAAACCTTTACAGGAATGAAATTAATCAATACAATAATTATTTTGAAATTCCCAAAAACACCTCAAAGGTACAATGTAGTCATAAACACGCGCCAATTCGCAAATTTCCCATCGAATAAACAAATACGAATTAGTTGTGTTATTGTTTTGAGACATGGGATAAAAACATGCGTGAACACCAAAGTACAATTGGTAGATTCAATTTTATAAATAATTGAATAATACTAAATGGACATTATTTTAATATTGAAAAAAAAACAAATATACCGATTCCAAATGCTCTCATATGTTGAATATAGGGCGGATAACATTATATATGAGATTCTATAGATTTATGAAATACTAGTACAGCTAATAAATAGAGATGTCTACTACTAACTACGGAGCACGCGACGAAAATTTAAACGCGAGGACGCCAATTTTACAGTAAATAACGGGCGCTCGTATGCGCGGAGCATCGTTGTCAAACTGCTCAATTTTTCTTTTCGCCATTTTATTATGTATTTTTTTTGTTCCAGATAATTTTTTCATTGAATTTTTATATATTTTTTTCGAAATAAGGATTCATTACTAACAGATGCCGGCTGTTCCTCGCGTCGACCGTCTGAAAACAGTGTACTCAGCGGCAAAAGCTCTCAACTTCGGATGGCGATTCTCAGATTTTCTCAACATTCCCGCTTATAATGGCATTTCGCGTTACACAAATCAATTGCATCGAATAACATTTCGATTTTGTAAGCAGAGTGAAAGCAGTGTTGGCGTCCGAAATTTCATTGAACGTCAATTAATCGAAATAGGTATTAAATTCCTATTTTTGATTTATTTTGGGTAATTTTCATTTAGGAAAACAGCATCCATCGGTTGTGATCTATGCGCAACCGGTGCGAAATACGGTGCCAACAATTCGTGCCGAATATGGAAATGGTAGAATTCTTCAAGTGAATGCGAAAAATATGTCAGAACTCGAAGTTGGAAAAGACGTGCACATGTTGTTCTCGAGGTCCGGCACACCTGTGGTGAAGCTTGAGAGCAGGCAATCTTCCGTAACTCCTTCTATACAGGTTTAAAAAGATTATTTTTATTTTTTAATTAATGGTATTCAGGGACCATGGACACCGATCACATGGCTTCCATCCGCCATGAACTCCGTGCCGCTTCCATCTCCCGAATTCTCCAAACATAAATCGTGCGAACTGAGTGCCACAGAATACTTCCTTCAAAAATCCACGGATTGAGTGGTTTATTGTTATGTTTATCGTTATTAATAGAATTTTTTGAGAATTATAATATTTCGCATTTGAAAACAAATTCAAACAACAAATGTACAACGCAAAATACTGAATTTCGATGATGAGAATTGTGAGAATGTAATCAACGTGTAAAATTGTTCATATCCCATTGCCATTGATTCGCCATTTCCGGTGCTGGCTGCCAACCGTTGCCGGTGGCGCCAGCGGCTGCCGGCTGCACGAAGTCATTGGCCTGCGGCGCTGGAGGAGCGGCAGCAGGCGGCGCCTCGAACGGATTCTGCACTGGAGCCTCCTGCCAGTTTTGCACTTCGTCTTGCGACACTATTTGATGTGTGGCGACGACGTATTCGAATTGCTCCGAATACGGATTGACGAACTTGTAGGCTGAAATTGTGCATGGCGTGTAATCGGTCTGCGTTCGAATCCGAATGTTGAGGCGCATCGGCTGATCGCTGAAACCAAAGATATTCAAGATTCCAAACGTCTGAAACTTGGATTTCTCACTTCAAAAGGGCGAGGAATGCGTCTTGGAGGGTTTTCTCATCCGATGGATGAACGATATTCCACCAGAATCTTCCAACGAGCTGGTCGACGCTCAGCCCAATCAAATCGGTGACCCGTCCATCGATAAATGTCATTTTGCCGTCTTCGGCGACTCGCACAGCGAATTGATTTGTCGACGCCGGATCGGCGCAAATCGGCATCGAGGCGACCTGGAGGCGCGCGATCGCGACGAGACACGACGACGACGGCGCGTCGATTCCCTGCGGCGGCGCGTTCTTGACATAGCCGGTGCAGTGCATAACGACATAGTTTTGGCCGGCGTGCTGAAATAGCGGCCGACGATAGCGGAGGCGATGAAGCGGCTCGAGCGAGCCGACGCGCATTCGGCAGATGAAGCCGCGACGGCACGACATGTGCACGCGCGATGAGGCGCCGTCTCGTTTCACGCTGCCTGCAAAAAGACAATCATTCGCTCGACAGTTTATTGATATCATGAATTGATTACCCGATTTCAAATCAAGCACTTTATTCACCGACACCTCACTGCCGCATAGTTGATCGCGAATTTTCTCCTGATCATCGGGATGAATGAGCTCGTTCAAATTCCGATGAATCCAATCTTCCTGAAAACACGAAAAAAAAGGAAGCGGGTGATCAGTTCAACTAGCAGAATCGCACCTGCTTCATATTGAGCACCGGCACAATCGAATCGGCAACATACAGAACCCTTCCAGTCTGACAACACACTACAAAAAGGAAGCCGTTGGCGGCTTCCAAGATCAAATGCTTAAGCTCTTGATCGGAGAGGAATGACGGCTTGTAGGAAGTTTCGTCCTGCAAATTGTCAATTGTTCGATGGAAATCGGGCGGTTTCGATCGAAACCTGCGATGTGTTGCCGCGAATCGCCTTCATGTGCGACACGGCCATCCGCAGAATCGTGAGCTTGTCGGGTTTGCGTCCGAGCGCGGCGCACTGCGGCACCATTTCGGCGAGCTCATTGATGTAATGCGTCATTTTGTTGCGGCGACGCCGCTCGATTTCCGAATGGTTCTCGCGCGCGAATCGCTCCTTGTTCTCGCCCATCTCATCGTCCATTCGCGCGTATTTTCCCGACGGCATTCCCATCTCGTCATCGTCCATACTGAAGCTGAAATGGAGATGAATGTCGGTCTAATCGCATTCGCAAATTACTGCAATTTGCATTTATCTATCGACTCGGTAATTCGGTTAAATAGCATTCCATTCTATTTACTAACAAAATTGCCAAAATTCTTTTTGGCGATGAATGAGATGCGAAAAAAAACTTGATGAATGATCAGATAAAAAAAAATCGCACCGAATTCCTGCGCGCATAATTTCAAAATAAATTGCGAATGGCGCAAATTTCTTTTGAAAATATTTAATAATAGAATTGTATGATGCAATTTTAAATAAATTTTGGTTTCCAGACAATTCTAGACTGCTATTCCGAAGCAGATGGAAAACTATATCAATAATCACAAGGAAATTGCGATATAGGGAAAGTAAATAATAGAGCAAATAGTATGCTGCTTGGTTCCCACTGATTGATCAAATCAAAAGTAAAGGGAGAGAAAATTTCAAAAAAATAAAAGATCAAAATCTAGATGCTCTAATTATCTTGAAGGTTGGGATTGATTGAATGACGCAAAAATATCTTCGATGAATGAACATTAGAACGTTTCGAATGTCTCGAAACGAAATCGAAAGTGATAAGGATTGGACGCGTCCTCGCGAGGAAAAAAAAAGACAAGAATCAGAAAAAGCGGTGGATACCTTGTTGCCGATTGCCATGGATCCATGTAAACGTCCTGCGCCATTGTTGGTGTCACCGCGCCTGAAATTGCATTCGTACAGCTCATAAAAAAAAGCAAACGGCTAACGACACAAATCTGAAACGCGAGACGCAAAAAAAAAAATATAGCAAATAGGCGGTTGCTGGAAAATGGCTCAACCAAGACAAAAATGGAGGTTGGCGAAATTTCTCGTCGCCTCGACGTCGCAACAACACGCGATCCGTCCGCCGCCGTCGTCGCCTCGACATCGCATTCGCTCTAATCGTCTGCGTCTCACATCGATAAAGCCCATTCGGTCGATGCGAAACGCAGGCACAAACGAGATGGAGGGAGAGAGAGAGAGGGGGGGGGTCGGAAATCGGACAGACAGACATTTATACGCACAGACACACATGGAAGATGGGGGGGAAGAGTATGATCGAGTATTTGTCGAGTACCAGCACATCTCGCGCACCGACCGCCCACTTTCGCGAAAAACTATAATACATTGCGACCGAGGCCTTGTTTATTTATTTGTTGCTTTGCTCCATTTTCGATTCGCGAAATATCCATATGGTAGTTACACGAGCATATGGTCATCGAGTGGAATGGAGAAGGGGGGGGGGGCGCACTTGCGTCTCTTATTTCGACATCAACAGGAGATGCTCAAAATCCCATCAATTATTGATGGTCCGACCGTTTGGAAACAACCATTTAAATTCGCATTTATTCCCGACAAATATTAATGATAAAACTATGGATAGCGGCAAGAAATGAAGAAAAAAAAACAGTATAATATTTTGGTAAAAAAAAAGGAAGCAACGCTTATATGGAATGTGGGAGGGGGCGGGGGAGGGGACGATATTCTTTAAAAAAAATATATATTAAATGAAACGGGGCTGGAGATTATAGACATTTGGAGGGGGGGGGGGGGCGGAGACAACTACCATTGACAAAAATCATTTTCTCATTTGTTTGTTGGGTAAAGCATAACAATATAATTTAGATGAACATGACCGGCTGAAACGAGAAAATAATGAGAGGGGGAGGGGGGTGATCAGGGATAATCATCATCATCCTAATGATGCGATCAAACAACAAAATTTAATTAAATCAGAGAAATTTGAAACAGAAGTTGTGTTTTTTTTGTTTTTCTTTTTTTTTATTTCAGAGAAGTTTTCGCGCCGCTACTTGGCGGCTCCAAAAACGCGCCGGTATTGCTCCAAGACATAATGTCGAGCGGGCTCATAGTATTGATGGCGGAGCTCGGACAACCTCTTGTCTCCCTCCACCCAATCGTTCTGGTAGCTGTCAGATCTCTGAAACGAAACAACGTAATTTGATGATTTGGAATTTTTAATTTTTCCTAGGCTCCCATCGCAATTCTGAGAGCAACTCACCTCAAACACACAAATCACAATGGCAATGAGGAGTAATGCGAATAGGAACAACACAAATAAACTATTGGTGATTTTCGACGCCAAACTCCGATTTGGCTTCTCCAGTTTCTCAACTACTGTATGGCCGTTTGAGAACGTCTAAAATTGGGTGATTGATTTCGAGTCCTTCACAATCTCACAATTCCAACCTTCAAGTCCCCATTTTCCGCAATTTTCGGCAGTTTTCCGTTCAAATTGACATCGCTATTCTTCTAAAAAAACTTTGTTTTTGAACTTCTCCAATTAATCACGATTTGCAAATAATAATTTTTGGCAGAATTAGAAGTTGTTAAGGTTGCGAAGAAGCGAGAGAAAGAAACTGTTGATTTTTCTTTTGAGAAAAAAACGGCAAATGCACTAGAAGATAGAGAAAAACGAGGAATTCTCGACAACACAACACCTTTTCAGCAGCTCGCGGTGTGCTCGACGCTAGCGGATCTCCCGGCGGCGAACAATTGTCGACATTCGTGTTGAACTCCTTCTCAAGGCTCTCGGCGCGCTCCTGAAATCATGCTTAAGAAAACACCAAAAAAAATCACGGTAAGAAACACAAAACAGCGAGTGCGTGTTCTAGCTAGATTAGGGGCTAAATCGAAGCACACTGTTGTTACGCGCAAAAAAAAATCGAAATGAAACGACGACACAACTACGAATAGACTAGCTAGCACCCAAAAAATGACAATATTGGTTGGGAAGGGAGGGGAGGGGGGAGGAAGGTGGGTCCGAATAGCGCGAAAAACACACCTCAAAGTCAAAGTCCGTCGGCGATTGGCTCCTCGACGCCTCGCGTCGTACCAGATGCACCGTAAAACTCGTCTGCAACTCGTCTCTCGTTTGCGGCTTTTTATTGTTTAAAATTTTGTGTTTTTTTTTGTAATTTTTTGTGGTTTCTGGAGCTCGAGCCAAACTAAAGTGTGTTGGAACACAAAACGATGATAGTGTGGGCATGCAGACAAAAACAAAGAAATAATGGAAACAATTTGGAAGGAACGGAAATGTCGGGAGAAAACAACGGCGAGCAACCGATCATGTTTGATGAGACGTACCTGGTTGCGGTCCGACGGCGAAACGGTGTGCACAAACTCCGGCGCTTTGATGGCTTCGGAAGTCGATGGGGTGTCTAGAAGTTCAGATGAACGTCCGGCCTAGACGGATACAAAATTCTTACCATCATGCTTGTCAAGTTTGGGTAGATCAAATGAGATGTTTAGATTTGTTGACTTCAACTTATTATTGTTATTATTTTCCTGATCCGACGAGGATGACGGATCTGCAATTGGCCCAGAATCATTCACTAGATCATCATTTCAATTCAATTACCAGAATTATCATAGTGAGCCGAGGCTTTGAGCGACGAGTTCGTTGATTTGGTGAGCCACGGCTGCTCGACGCGCATTTCCTGTCGCGGCAGCTCGTACCGCACGACAGTCGGCACACTCACCGACGACCTAAGATCATGCCGATTAGCGACTCGAATAAAAAAACGAAGAGAGATCATCCATTCTTACGTGTTAAGCTCATTATCCGTATGAGTCTGATCATGGGGGAAATCGCTGTGGTTCTCCTCGGCCGAGAAGCTCTCCTCGATCTCTTTGTAAACGCGACGCGACGGGAATCGGAACGTGCTGCCGCGCGACAACAGCGGTATTCTTGGCTTCGAGAATCGCAATTTCACCTCTTGCGCCGACGACTCATTGAAGAACGCCTGCTGCGAGAGGATATGGATCCATAAATGTTTTGCGAATTGATGGCTCGGACACACATATTTCAACGTCTGAGCTCCTGCCTTCTTCTAAATGCTCATTTCGATTAAGTGACCCACAAAATAGAGATCAAACCGTGACGTTCTTCTCCGGCGACGTCGGCCCATTCGCGCGATCGATTGTGCTCGTCGGCGACGCGGTGGCGCTGGGCGCCGGCGGCTGATAATTCTCGGCGATTGTCAATTTCAGCTCGCGTCCCGAATAATCGACATTGGCGAGCTCCGACCAATGGATGTGGTGCGATTTCATCGTGCCCGTGTAGATCAAAATCCCCTTCGCCGACGCGCCAAGATACACCGCGTTCGACGTGTCCTGCGGATCTTTGATGGTGTACGGATCGAACGCATACGTGTCGAGCTGACTGGCCTTCTCCAGAAACTCCAATTCAGCTTCAGCTATCGACTTGCCTCTGAAAGTGTATTTTTAGAAATGGTGCCGCTGAAAACATCGCAAGGTCGCCCCACATAATCCCTCCCCCCTAAACCACCGCCAAATCCCATTAGAAATTGCACGGCTCAAGATTAAGAAGCACTTAGGAAAATAAATCAAGATTACAAATTTCATGTCTATCTCATGAGTGCCGCTTCCAAATTAAGGGGTCTTATTCAAACCAGTGGACCATGCGTTAAGATGAAATAACAAACGCCTACTTCAATTCCTTATGGATCGAAGCGATTCGCTCCTCGAGTTTCGGCGTCTGACGCAATAATAGTTTGTAGCCACTGACGTAGTTCGACGGTAGTTGATCCTCGTTGTAATCGCCGATTTGTGCTTGGAGAATGAGCGCCGCGAGTTCGGCGGCTTGCGTCTGCGGACAATACAGACGTCCGTGCAGCAGATCGCGTTGAAGCTGCACAAACAAATGGTATCTGGAAACGGAAAGCTCAACCCATCGACGATTTGCGCGTGTTCCGCAATACCTCAAATTGGCATCACGAATGCGCGTTGGCTCCGCCGGATAGTAACGGAATCGCAAATGTAATGTCAAGTTTTCGGCTGAAATGCGAATTTACGTCCGATTGATTGTGAGAAAGAAAAACCAAAGAAAAAGGGTTGGTTGCGAGGAATTCTGTTATTAATCGTTTTCGACTTCTTTTTTTAATTATCGAATCGAAAATCACTACAAAGCACACACAAAATTAGTACGAAAAATTTAAAAAAATGATTTTTTTTTTGAAACTCCCACAAAAGAAAATGAGGCAACAAAGGAACACGGAGATAATCGTTGTTAATTTGGACACCCTCAAATTTCGTGGCCATTTTTTTGCTGTTGTTGCTCACATCGACAACATGTGCATATTAGGCAAAGAAGTACACACTCTCAACTTACTTTTGCCGACTTTTCTAATTTCGTCTAAAAATGAAGAAAAAAATAATAATTTTCGAGCCAAAAACTTACAAGTGACGAGAAAAAAAACCGAAATGAAAGAAAAAAAACTCACTTCGAAACTGCTTAACAACGTGACCAATCGATCGTGTCAAATCTAGCCAATACTGCAAAAAAAACAACATCAGAAGTTTAATCTGGAGTACTGAAGCCAGCGTTTATTCAAATATGCAAGCGACTCTACTCTGGAAACTCAAAAACAATCGGATTCGTCTCCGGAATCGAAATTCTGCAGATTTGTCGTATTCGATTGGCCTTTTGCATGTTTCCGAAATAGATTGGTAATTTTTCAAATTCGCCTGAGAAATTTGTGCAATTCGGAGGGAGCCGAAGCGTTTTCGAGTTACTTGAGTTCTTAAAAATGCTCGCCAAAATGTTATTATAGGAAACTCATAGGCTAACTATAGCCGAAAACAAAACGTAAAAATCATTTTCGCCTCACAATAATTTGCCATAGCATACACCAAAGACGTATGCAAAAAAATTGTTAATTTCGCGCCAAGAAACAAAACTGTATTTGGTTGAAATTCTATGAATTTCCGATATTATAAATTTGAAAGTAACTTCATTATATATTTTAGACGTTTAATAACCATGCTTTTGCTTATGAGAACTATCACGCCTTGAAATTCGAATAATGCGGGCGGTCTCATTCTCATAGCACAATTGTCAAGAAATTCTTCAAAAAAAAATTCAATCGAGTGGGCCCACTTCTCAAATTTCATCAAGTTTCGTGTGAATTCGACGTCATTTACCAAACACATCGATGCGACACTCGACATCAGTTTTGCGTCAAGCACATTCGTGCCCGCGACGACGACGACGACTTACACGATGTTTGTTGTGATCCTGGTATCGAAGGCCAAGAAAATCCTTCTCCTGAATTTTCTTCAATTCGCAAATGTAATCAAGCACTGTTTGAGCAGGTTGCGTCCTCTGAAATCACCATTTTCGGTTTTAAATCTTGAACGTCTCGATTGAGTTCGCGCTCTTACAGGAAACTCGTTGGCTATTATATCGGAGTCATGCAACATGTGGACATTGCATCGCACCTCCTTTGGTGACAAAAAACTCGATCTGAAATTTTCAGCGTTGATCGAAACCATCGAATCGCAATATCACCTTGTCGAAGTCGATAGCCGTCCGAACAACGACGACGACGACGTGTTGTGCGGCATTTTACCCCTGAAAAAAAGAAAAGGTAAGGAAAAAATGTTGGAAAGAGAAAAAAAAATGAAAAGAAAAATCGGTCCGAGAAAGGGGGGAGGGGTCTTATCAACAATGAAATGCTCTTCGCACCGAAAATGGTTTTCTTTTTGAGGCAAACGACAAATAAAATGTATCGGAATCGATTTTTCGTTTTTTTTTCTCTGCGAATTGCCACGTACACATAAAATCGCGAATTAGGAGAGAAATGAGCGGTGGGAAAAATCGGCGCATTTTTTTTTTCAAAAATTGCTTGCTGACGTCATCGAATTTCAATTTGAATTTCGACAGAGATCACATAATTTCGGATTCTCGCTGAAGACCGACGGTCTAGTGCTCTTCTCAAATGTCACAGAATCCTAGCACATTCCATAAAATAGGAAATAATAAAAATGGGGCAGTTTCGGTCAATTCGAATTGAGAAATTCAAAAAAGTTATTCGACAGCCTCATTCGAGGGGAATGTTTTATCCATTCTCGGAAAAAAATATAGATGCTTGCAAAATTTTCGCATCGAGAACCTTGGGAAATAATCAAGCAAACAAAATGTGGAAAAAAGGTGTTTTTGATGAATACTACAATTTGCTCAATATTTGATACTTAAGCCAACGGCTCTCATTCAAATTTTTCACGCCTACGGGAAATTTTTTAAAAAGTAGACCACAAACTACGAAAAAGACCGATTTTGATGGCACAATTCAAAAAGCGAATTAGAATTCAAAATAAGAAGGCCGATTGGTGAACAATGCTGGCTCGACAACTTTCTTCGAAACCGTCGACGACGCAAACGCGTTTCGACCTTCGCAAAGCGAATTCGAATCGAAAATTCATCGCGCGAGTTCAGGGTCAATTCAAATGCCTAATATTCGTGTGGAAAGACCGGAACAGAAAAAAAACCACTGAACTAATCGAGTCGACGAGCAATTGTTGACTAATGTTGACCATTTATAATAGAAGTGTTGCCAACAAGAACATTGCGAGGGTGGTTTATTTTATTGCTTTCCTTTTTTGGCCCATAAAACCAAGAATGATACGAGAAAGAGAGAAAGAAAACAATTGTTTCCAAATATGGACGAAAAAAAAAACAATAAAATGCGACGACGGAAGGGCACCGCGGCGCCGGTTTAAATTATTAATATAAAACTTGTGTCATTCGAAGAAGAAGAAGAAGAAGAAAGCATTTCGTCCCCCAATTAATTTTTGATTGAAACAGTCTTTCGCGTCGAGACCTTGAAATTAATTGCCTCCGATTTATGAGTATCATAATAAATCTCAATTCAAATTTCTGTATTGATCAGCAACAAAAAATACGTCGAGAAAGAAAAATGCAATATTCGCCGTATTTTTTTATTACGAAAAAAATGAGAAGGCAACGTGGCTCTCATAAAATGTGTAATAAAACTTTCAATTCTACAACGTTTGACAACTGAAATCGAAAAATGATTGAATCTCGCTGACTACTCTAAATTGGGTTCCGAAACGAACGCAATATTTATTCGAAGACTTCTCGCTTAATTACAGTACCTCGAAATATCGATGAGATTGATTAAAGGGACATCACAAACAAAATCGCTTCAAGACCTAACCGCGACGTCATTCAGAATACGATAACTCAATCATTTTTTTCAATTTCCTTTTCAAATATCCGGCTGTTCGGTGTCATTCTAGAAAAATTTGTGGAGCAATTCGATTTTTTAAGTAATGATCGTGAGAAAATAGCCGTAACGCGACCGCAACGCGTCAAGCGTTGTTCGCGGTGAGGATTGTCGAAATAGCGGCCGGGGGTTTGCTTTTTTGAATTTTAACAAAAGGAATTTCATTGTAGACATCTGCGAACATTTTCCGAGACGTGCCACAATCGCCCCCTTTTCAGTTAGTCGTTTTTTTTTGTTGAAAAAAAATGTGAAAAGATACGTTCCAAACGAGACCCAATAACGAAATATTTGAGAATTTCGAGAACTTTCGACAATCTCACTTATCGGAAACGAAACAACAAGAAGCCATGATCGAGTGGAGGTGTGCTCTTTGAAATATGAAAAAAAAAACAGCCGACAAGTAAACATCGGTTCGGTCAAACCGAACGACATCTCACAGCTGTTCACTCGGGCACCACAAAAAATGTTATTAGTTGAAGCACAAGCTCATGCACTTCAAGTCAATTGGAGAAGGACCAGAGGGAAAAAAATGGCGACGAAGAGATATCGCAACATCCAATCGAACAACAAAAAGATTGATGTTGGATATCAGGCAAAAAGAGAATGAAAGCAACGTCGCGTCGGTAACCCTTTCGTGCTCGTCTCATTAAACACCGAGCTTTCGATCATCGCCAATAAGCATTCAAGCAAAAAAAAAGAACTAGTGGGCACCAATGAATGCGAGAACAGAAAAGCACCAACGGCGAGCGGAAATGAGCATTGAATGGTGTGGAATGTTGCTCGGCAACGAAACGAAACAGGCACCCTCAAAAAAAAAAACACTCGTGTGCCTCCTAGGCAAGCGTTTTTTGTTTGATACAGTCTCTCCGTTTGTTTGTATTTCGTTTCTTTTTTGACGAACGCCGAACATGTACTATTTATATTTACTATAAAGATTGTTGTATAATTTTTGTGTTTCCACAATGAATCAACCCTTCTTGCGCTTCTAATTAAAATTACCAACAAAAAAAAAACTAAGCGTTTCGCAAATTACGACAGTAAACACACATTTTGCTTCATTTCGCTTCAAGACCTCGTTAACTTTGTACCGAGACTCAGTGAACATTGAACTCGGCACTTGACGGTCCAAGACTTTCAATACCGTAAAGAAAATGATAATGGTCTCAATGAGAATATCACTAGGCCAGAAATGGTGATAGCAAGACCGACCGACCGCACGGTTTTATAATGTGAAATTCACATGACCTGGGGGGCATTATTGTCGCTGTGATTCGTTTTCCCACGAAAATATCAACTTCGCTGATTGCCTATTCGCGCATTCAAACGTTTATCGGGATCAAATGAGCAATTCGTTGAAAATCAAAAAGATCAAGCTGACTTGCCTTCAATTATATCTTATGGCGAAACAAAAATTTCGAATAGGTTCACAAAAGAAGTTGGAAAAAAAATTGAATGGGGCAGAAAACGCCGCGTTCCCGTCAAGATCTTAATTAAATTTCGACAAACTCGCTTTTTTTGCTGTTTTGTTTTATTGGACACGATTTTATAATGGAATGATACGGGAGAATAAAAAAAAACAAAGTGTTACGTTGAAATTTAACGATCGCCTATTTACCATCGAACTACAATATTGCGGCACGAAGTAGAAAAAAAAGAGGAAGAGAGAAGAAGCAACAAAAAGCTTATATGGGCGTTGTAATGAGTTATTTTCGTTGAAAGAAAAAAAAAACGCGGCGTTGCAGGGAAGGAGCAGTGAAAAACAACGACAACTACTGGAGTTCGCCCAAAATCGATATGACGTCAACCATTGTTGGATGAGAACTTGCCGATTTTCATTGTTATCAGCCACTAATTATGTGACACATCTAATTAGTCGTACAACGAGAATCATTGGAAAAAAAAACAACCAACAGGGTTATACACATTCATTTTCCAAATCCACTAATCCGTCCAGATGTACAGGGTGTCATTTAAGTTCCCGCACAACTTTTAAGACGTATATTTCTGAGACTAAAAGTCCAAATCAAACGAGACTCAAAATATTTTTTATGTATAGTATAACAAATAATTATCTATTAACTCTTTTCGATTCGGCCTCCTTTCGCAGCTATGACTTCACGGAGACGCTTCGGGTATGATGCGACTGTGGTACGCAGGTATTCGATGGAAAGATTGTCTCATTCCGCCAGTAATGTTTTCTTCAGAGACTCTACATTTGAGTGGGGTTTTGCGTTGACCTTCTCCTGCAAGACCCCACACGGAGAAGTCAAGCGGGTTCAGGTCTGGGGAGCAAGCAGGCCATTCGGATGACTTGATGAAGTCGGGAAAATGGGTCTGGCACCACTCCTGAGTAGTTTTGGCAGTGTGGTCGGGTGCTCCGTCCTGTTGAAAGACCCATTTCTGCCCACCGAAATGCGTTTGGGCCCAAAGCATCACATGCTTCTCCAAAATGTCCCGAACGTAGACTTCTTTGTTCACTTTCACCCCCGGATCCACGACAACCAGGGGCCACTTCCCAGTTGAGCAGATGGCACCGAAAATCATCACACTGGCAGGATGTGAGGCTCGATGAATTGTTCTGCCTTTCTCAGAAGCTTACTGGGATGTCTGGGCAAGTACTCGATTGTTTTGTGAGTTGAATGCCGCCTCCACACTGAACAGCTTCTCGTCGGAGAAGACAGTGACGAGATGTTCTCCAGACCGCGTGCGAGCAAGAAGTCGTTTTGCTATTTTGAAGCGTCTCTGCTTGCTGACGGCAGATAGAATTGCCGCTTTTTGGACACGATATGGGGTCAGTCCAAGCTTCGTTTTGAGGATTTGTTCCATAGCGTAGATGCTCATTCCCATATCTGACGTCATCTTTTTCATGTTCCTGTACGGGTTTCGCCTGATCCTCGATTTAGCAGCGTTGATCATCTGACGAGTGGTTACCGAGACGAGTCTTCCTTATCTGGGACGGTCACTGGTCGTATTTAGCTCTTTGAAACGTTTGGTGGTGTCGCAAACCGTTCTACGAGGCACACTGAGGCGTTGAATTATATCTCTCGGGCTCACATTTTGCTTATGAAGTTCGATAATGGAAGCGCGATGGATGTTAGCCTTCGCCATTTCTCGGAAACACATCCGATTGAGGTGAAACTTGGAAAGTAAGTAGAATATACCTTATTTAACAAAAATAAATTATATTGGTGCACGAAAAGTGCGTTAGCGAAGCTCTTCATAACGTCAAACTTTTGTGCGGGAATTTAAATGACACCCTGTACACACATTGTTTTTTTTTTCTTCTTGCTGAAGAAATTCGCGAGAATCGCGAGAAACGCAGGACCGCTGATGATACGCGCAAATTGCTCTCGGCAAGCTGGAAAGAATCTCATTTTTGATTCAAACGAGCCCGCCGAATTCTCTAGAAGATGATCGCACGGCGAAAAGAATGGCGAATAAATCTTGTTGTGAAGTGCGAGTCAAAAAAGAGTTTCATCAAAATCGCGCGGTGCCCTTCCCCAACTCTTTCACTTTGTGAGATATTATCTAAAGACCCTTCGTACGATTGGCAATAAAAAATAAACAGCGAGAGATGGGTGGTGAGGTTGGGTAGATAAATGAATAAACAAAATTCGTTCGTTTTTTTTTTAATAAAATTTACGGAAGGTTACATGTTGACATTGCCGAGTCAGATACTCAGGTTACCTGCCTACCAATATTAAAATAATAACACCTACACGGCATATAGTGAGTGTAATGCGCCGAAAGCACAACATACAATTCGATTTGCTGACAAATACAATTATAATATGTTTGAATAGGCCTAATGCACTAGTGTTTATTTTTTCGCATATTTAGCGTATAACCATTTGTAGCTCATTTGAACAAACTACACTATACAAACTGAAATTTCAATCATTTATGTGTGGAGACGATAAAATGGTAACGCCGGGGAAAAACAATTCATATCGCGCCTACATCGTTTAATCAACGTTATCAATTCTCGTGTAAATATTTACAGAGGCAAATAAAACGCAAACATAAGCGAAACAAATGAAAAATACGCAGAAATCAAGAAAATTGAGATTTTTTTCAAATTTTTAAATTGAATTCCGCATTATATCTTACGCAAAAATGCAGACAGTTTGATTACCGTATTAAAAAGGAACAAATTGGAAATTTTCTGTAGTTTTGTTTGATTTTATCAGCGATTTTTCTGGAAAAGAAATGCATAAGAGAGGCGTGCACGACTAGCGGTCAGCACAAAAATTTTTGGAGACGCCGGCTGGCAGCCATGCAACGCGCGCGAGCGCGCGCCCTCCAACTCTAAATACGTCTGCCATCTCCGCCCAATCGCCCACTATTTTCGGAGTGTCTTTCCCTCTTTCGGACGTCGTCTATTTCGCGCCGCAAAATTTTGAATATTCTGGACCGACGACGAACACAACAACGATTCATATCGGATTGTATCAACTAAATGTGGCTAAATTAGAAATAGAGTGATTGAAAAATGAGGGGGGGGGGGAAGAAGCGAAAACAAGAAAAATGTTAAAATGGTGATGGAGGTGGTAAAATAAATCAAATAACAATAAGAAATGACAAAAGAAAAACAATGTTCTGTCGGAGGCTACAAAGAAACCGTGTTATACAAAAGAGGAGAAGAAAAACAACTAACAGGAGGCTACGTAACGTCTATAAAAGGAGACATTTTAATATTTCCTATTTGATTGCGACAACGCGAGCTCAATTAGCCTCTCCGTGGCTTCATTCCGATTCGCAAACGAAGATGCCTAAAAAATTACTTTAGAACGAAATCCAAATCGATTTTTCGCAATACCGGATTTGCTGTTTTCTTTTTTTTCAGCACTCTAATAAGAAAATTATTTTCTCATTAAAAAGGTTTGAAAAGAAAAATGATATTTAACAAATAAAAATAATGAGAAGAAAAATACATTTTCTTCATATTATTAATTATAAAAAATCCACACTCATACCAATTGCACCGCCTTCTCGGAATAGATCTCGATGAGATCTCTGGTCTTTCGCATTCCGTCCGAATTTGCCACAATCTCGCGAGCGCGTTCGGCATCGCCGACTTCGCGAAACTTGCGCACAATCAGCTCATTCAATTCGGGATATTGCTCGCTGGCATAGAGCACCGGCGCCGTCGCGAGACCTCAACTCATTATTGTTTTCATCATCAACCAAATTCAATTCGGCCATACCCAATTTCAAATCGGCCGCCACCGGCTTGCCCATTTCATCAGCGGACGCGACAAAATCGAGCATGTCGTCGACTAATTGAAACGCGATTCCCAAATTTCGGCCGTATTCGTACGCCGCATTTTGAAGATTCATATTTTGATCATCTAAATTAAACATGCTTATATCTACTGTAGGCGGGTAGATTTACGAGCATGCGCCTTCGCTATGGTCTCGCGCTGACTCACTGGAATTTTCGCGTTATTTTTTTTCTGTGATATTAAGCAAATGATATTACATTCGCGAAAATTTCAAAATAAGCGTTCACATGTGGCGAGACCATTTCAAAAGGCGCACTCCGTAAATCTACACCGACTAAAAATAAAATTAAATATTTTATTGAAATAAAATCCTGCATTTTTTTTGAAGAATATATTTCTCAGAACAAATATTCGAGTACTTCTCAACAACAAAAAAATCTCGGAACATGAAAATAAATGAAAGGAGCGACTTGTCTGGAAGACATTCTGAATGTTGCTCGATGTTCTTGAAAAGAAAATACTTTCGCGACCTGTTACGATACATATTTTTTTTTAAATTTTTGTCAGATTCGACCATTTTGTACTAGGCTGACCCTATTTTATTGACATGGACCAAAAATTTGCAAATTTGCATTTTCTTAAAGGGAAAAACTCAAGAAATGTGCTAACTTTTGAACAAAAAAAATTGTAAAAATGGTCCAAATTTCTTTGTTTTGTTACATGCGGACCATCGACGGCGCAACAGGCCAGAGATGGGACCAACATTCATTCGACCCTTCCATTTACCTACGAAGTAGGTCGCATGTCACCCGGATCGCCACCCACTATCATATTCATATCTTATTCCAATAAAGTATTCTACGGCTTCACGAGAAGAGAGTGGATGCGGGGCTGTGAGTTACTATTAGGAACTATAGTAACCCCTCCCCTCCGACAGATTTTTTCGCACCAAACCGTTTCAAAACTCGACAATTTTCAAACCAAAAACCATACCAGCCAATATCGCCACCGATCGGCAGCTATTCGCGAACAAACTCGCGGTTTTCCTATGAGTTTTTTCGATATAAGCTGCCATTCTTTGCATATGCGTCGCTTCTTTGGGCGGCGTCGACATTTGCATGAATTCGCCCTTTAAAAATGGACCATCACTTTCAAAATGATATGAAATTTTCAACAAAAAAAAAACCAAAATTAGCAAACCAATACTAAATCCTCAATGATCGACGCCATTACCGAAATCACATCAGGCCGTTTGATCGAGCAAAGAATTTGTGTGGCTTTGGCGAGAATAAAATCGCCAACAAGAACACTCTGAAATGTTTTCGCCATAATTCCCTTGTGCAACAAAATCCCTCTCCGAATACCATTTTATTGCCCCAGATCGCGTTGACGCTGGCTGTTCCTCGTCGAGTGTTCGCCTCATCAATGACATCGTCGTGAACAAGTGAAGCGGTGTGAATCATTTCCGCTGAAAACATTCAAGAGACCATTCAAATTTGTTCAAGACAACACAAATGACTTGCCGATCATCCCAATTTTATATTGATTTCGACAAATTGACAATGAATGTGCTTGAGAATTTTTCGTCAACGCCACCGATTCATCTCTGAAAATCAATGATGTGCTTTTTTGAACTTTTATTTGACACCAGAAATAATTAGAATTTGTATATTTGGGAAAATGTCTAAATTCCAAAAAAAAACTTAGTGGAGAGATCCTAGTACGCGGTATGCGCCTTTAACCTATAATTATACTTAGACCCGTATATCTACAACTATAGTTTTCGCGCCAAGACCATTGTCATTACTTTATTTTTTTTTGAATTCAGCCAATTTTCCGCATCTGCTCGACGTTGACAATATTTACGAGTGCTAAATCTAGAATAACACGGAGCCGTGAAATGTCCGCAGCGAAAAAAAAATTTTCAGCCAATCTCGGTCCGATGGGATTCATCGAGTAATTTCGAGGCTAGCGAGAGTTATAATACGATTGTTTAAGTTTTAATCACCGCGTTTGGTCTCGTATGGAAAAAATCTCTGAGTGCTTTTATTTCGTCGATATCGAAGTAGGTATAAAAGAGCACATTTCTTAAAGAATTTTGAGACGAGCCAAAAACAAAAATGTTTCAATTTTGTTTGATGGCACTGATTAAATGGAAGCCTCCGGGTTATTCAAATTTCTCAAAATCGCCGGTCTTCGAGAATACCATTAATTTATAAATTCTAGTATTCAAAAGTGTCTACATAAAAATTTTTTCGCATCATTTTAGACAAAAAAGAAAAAAAAACTCACAAAATATTGCGCAATGAAGCAGAGTTGCATGCGCTCGCCATTAGAACGGACAACGTCGGCCGCAGCATTTTTCCACCCTGAATTCAATGGCAAATCACAACGATTCATCGGCGTACCTGTTGAAAATAATAATGGGTCATTCGGCCCAAGTTTGACGTCACATTCAAATCAGCAAGATTCTCAACAGCTCCAGTCGAATCATGCGGAATCAATTGCTCGATAATGTCGGTCTAAAATGGAATTCAGAATCAGAAACAACGGAGTCCGCCGATTGATTCATTGCGGTTACCTGCATCTGCCTAATATGATCCTGTGTGAATTGGCCAGCAACATCATGCGGTGAGCACGTCGTTGTCGTCGTCGACGACGACGACGGAAGCGGCGACGTCGAGCATCGCCGCAAACACTGGCGAACTAATAAACTAGTCGAAGCTTTTGATATCATCTCGTTTTCGGTTTTAAGCAAGCGCAATCACCCGCAGATCTTAGCCAACGTTACTCTGAATTTCAATTTGATCAAACTACGCCAAAACAAAAACGAAAACGGTGAGACGCAAGGAATTCGACAATCTGATAACGGTCAATGAACGACAAAAAAAAACCCGAAATTTAATTAGCCGTGATTTTAACCAAAAAAACTCTGTTAGCTTTATTTATTAATGCAATTTCAAAATTCTTGAAAAAAAATTATTGAAAAAAAACCAAGTATCTTCATTGGAAAAATCCGGTTTTGCCTGGCTACATTCAGGGTACAATATTAAATCGCTAGAAAAAAAAACCATTTTATATAATCAACAAGTTATTACTAAATAATCACAGTAGCTATAAAAGGACGGAAACCAAAATACTATACGGAAATTCAGCACGCAACTCGTAAATCATAAACCATATCCCAGCAAAAAAAAAGCAAAAACGAAAACCACAATAAATGAATTGAGTTTGAGAGGAGAGATGAGAAAAGATGAGGAGAACAAATCGATGAAGGCGACAAATCGAAAAGATAACCAAAAAAGGGCATATCGTCGTCGTCATGGTTCAGGAAGATTGACTAATTCATCAAAATAAAGCTTTTTTCGGCAATAACTCGGAGGAATCAATAATACGTTGCCTAATTGAATTTAAAGAAAAAAAAAACACCCATGAGTTCACATAAATATTTGAAAACACAAAATAAATACATCATCATATTACAATTCGGTCTTATCAAGTAAAGTATATCGGCTTGATGCCGGTTTCAGTTTCTCGAACACCGACGGCGGCGGCTGCGTTTCCGGCGCAGGCTAAACACAACATTTTCGACGTCTCTTCCGATTCAATTATGTTTTACCTGATTCTCCTTATCCGGCCCATGATGGAATTCGCGATGAAGTTTGCCACTGTGAAGGTCCAACACAAATTGCCGCAGTTTTCCTTGAACACTAAAAACAGAAAGGAGAAATTAACCAAAAAGAAAAGCTGAAAGCGGCTAGACTTACTGAATATCGTTATAGTTATTGAAAAGATACATATGACGGAATGAGTCGATGGCAATTACCGGAAGATCGCCTTCAGATTTTCCGAGGTGATGAAGTGGATGCGCAAACTTCTTTCCATCGGCAACCAAGCAATTCACAGCTGAATTCAATCCCATTCGTTTTCGGAAACCATCAAACGCAAAGAACTCTCACCCTTCTTCTGATCCGGAATCTCTCGAATAACAGCATCTGTGAATTCTTTCTCACTCGTCTTATCATCGGGATGTTTGAAAAGAATCAAAAATGGCAATCCCTCCTAAAAATGCAAAAAATATCAAGTTTTGAAGAAATCGTCAAACCTCAGTCAGTTCTTCGGCATTCTGGAAAGTGATCTCTCGGACAAGAGGCACACAACGATCAGCAATCCATTGTCTAAATCATTAGAGCTTGAGTTATTTTAAATATCCATTTTTCATCTTACTTGAGGTATTCATAAGTTTGAAAATCACCACTAAATGACACTGCAGTTGGATTTGGCACTTTCTAAAATACGCAAAGAAAATAAACGCACTGAAAAAAATTTAAGATAAAAATCTCACGTTTGATGGCTGGAACAAAAGCTTCGGCGTCTGACCAGCAGGCATGACGTCACCAGGGAAATTCTGTTCGCCAATTCCCACCAAAAAATCACAATCATCGCGATAGAGTTGCGAGACCTTTTTGAGATTTTCGAATTCGACACCGCTCGATTCGCGGAAATACGCGTAAATCGTGCTCTTTTCTGGCTGAAAATCAAATTTTCGTCTTTTTTTTAAACAACTTCCAATGCTATACATTGTAGGAAGTTTGCATGGCAGCTTTATCGTTGAATGTCTTCAACGTCAATTGCATCTGCTTATTTATATAATCAGTGAAGGCTTCAACCGATCTCGAGCTTCTAAACCGAACTCATCTAAATAATCATTCGCAAACATTCAAGTCATACCGATATTCGCGCATTGAGACCTCTCCATCTCTAAACAATTTCAATGTCGGATACTTATTAACATGATAGCGCATTGAAATATCATCTGAAAATCACCAAATTCTCAAATGTCCTTATCAATTAATGTTCATACTATGTTTATCAGCGTCCAACGAGGCAAATGCCACTTTTCCTTTCATTCCCTAAATATGAAAATAAAAAAATTTGAAGTTAATCAATCTTCAAAAACATACATCAAATTTTGTCGAAGCTTCTGCGAATATCGGCTTGAGCATTTGTGAAAATCGGCACCAGTCCGCATAAAAATTCACAAACACCAGCTCATTCTCTTCTTAAAAAAAAAAGACAAACGTTGAGAAATGTTGCGAATTTGAATGAAATTGAAAAACTTACTCAAAACTTTGTCGAAATTCGACGAATCTAAGACAATGACTTCCGCCAGACAGCTTCCTACGGCTAACAATACAAATTGAAACAAATAGAGGCACCAATTCATGCCGAGATTCCTATAAAGAATGAAATGAAGAACGACAAAAAAAATGAAATACGGGGTGTCAATAAAATATAAAAGCGGCGCAATAAACCGCAAAAAAAGACTACAGCGAAATCAATAAAAATGGGAACCGTAACAATTTATTGGAGAAAAAAAAAGAAAAGGAATAAATGGAAAAATGAGATGTAATAAATCAACAACGAATTCAACAATAACAAGAAACAAACAAATCAATAATCAAATCAACAAATATCATCTCCGAATTGCTCAAAGAGCCCGCCATGCGAGCGACACGTATGTTTCCGTGTGTGTGTGCGTATAAATGAGAGAATCCGCTCCACCGCTCACTCGCTGTGAGCGTGTGTCTGTGCACCAACGGGCGACTGCAACAACACTTCGCAATGACATTACATTCGAAATAGTGCCACGAGCCAAAAAAACGAAATAACAAAGAGACGAAAAAAAAGATATATAAAATGAAAACTAATACAATTTTCTCCCGTATGAAGAGCATGAGGCAATTCATCACTTTTCTTCCATGAGAAGCTTCTTGTTGATGGGTCGAATGGCTCGTCCCGCCTGAAATTGATCGATAGTAAATGAGGAGAACAACGAATTGCTCATCAAACCTCGACAACCACGGCCGGTTTACACAGCTCATCACGCATCTTCTCCATATTCCATTCAAGACCCAATGGTTGCTGTAGGACGGCTTGATAATCTTCAACACGCGTGTACGGGAATGGAAGAGACCTCGGCTGAATTTTTCCGATACCCTGAATAAAATTTGAATTGAAAAAAAAAACCGAATGCAAAATAAAGTCACCTCTGAAGGTCCGACCGATTCCTTAATGATTACTCCATTCAACAGACCGTCTTTCCTCTTTTTTTCCTTGGCTTTGATGATAAAGTTCTTTCGGCGCTTCTTCTCCGTCATTCCCGGACCAACCCAGCTACCCCAACCGGCCAAATTCAAATCAATGTCTTTCACCTTTTCCTTCTCCTTCACCTGAATTCAAGAAAATCAAATAAAAATTGGACCATTTCACACATACTCCATCTTTATTTGTTTCAAATTCTCCAACAACATCATCATCTTTGAAGGCCTCATTAATAACATTAGCCGTTTCTGAAAATATAGAAAAATAAGTGATTTTCACACAATTGCATACCTTCATCAAACTGATCCATCTTCTCGACTAAATCAGAGGAAACTTGAGTCAAATCTTTCGAATTAAGCTAAAATTTGAGATTTCGTTACAAGAAAAAAAAATGACAATTTCGATACCTCCAAAAACTTTCGCGGATCAATGGCAATTTCTTTTTCCAATTTCTCGTGATCATTAACTCCAGCTTCTTCAACAGCAAGATCAACCTTCTCCTCATAAGTCAATTCCAATTCCTTATCAGGATCTTCAATTCATCAAATTAAATCAAACTAAGAATATTTTAAAATTACCGTAATCCTCAGAAACAAAACTCATTTTCGCAATAGAACCCTTCTTCTTTTTAACATCTTTCTTATCATCTTCTTTTTGCTCATTCTTCCTCTTATTCTTCTTTTTCGCCTTCTTCTCACCGCTCGTCTGATCCCAATTCGTCTCAACATCAAACAATGGCTCAGCTTTTTGCTTAAAAAAGGTAAAATTGAAACACAATTTATCGTCGTCGAAATACCTCCGCATTATTGACATTCTTCGCCAATTCCGCTGCTTCTCGTCGTTTCTTCGCTCGCATTTCAGCCAACGAAATTTTCTGAGCTTCAGAATCTCCTAGAAACGAGTCAACCAAAGCTTTTCCGACATTTACGGGCTCTTTTGCAGCTTCATTCGCAGCATCCTAAAAATAAAATTAAATTTTAAAAAAAAAAACGAAACTGAAATCGAATTTACCTGTAGTATCTGATGAATACTTTTTTTTGATTTCTTGCTTTCCACCTCATTGCCCTCATCATCATCATCATCATCATCTTCCATAGATACCTTCTGCTTCAATTCCCGACCCATTCTTAAAAAAATACGTCATATCTTTAAATAGGCTTTAATCTTCTCCAGTAACAAACCTCAAGTGTTCTTCAAGAATCTTTTTGACTTCTGGATTCCGACTCGCATGTTTTTCAAGCATCTGCTTAAATTTCTGATTCTGACCTCGATGTTTTAAGCTTCCACGCTCCTGAATACCAACGTCCGAAACAAATTCAAGACTGTGAATACCATAACACGCTGTAAATCTAATTCTTCGAGTTTCTTATGAGCTGCTTCTGGATCGCGCGTCACCAAATCGTCAAACTCCTTCAATAGTTGCTTCCGCTTTTCTCGTTTCAAAATTCGATGATATCTAAAAACGAAATATAAAAACCGAAATATTTCCATTCTAAATACCCTTTCGATTTAATTTTTTTCAAATATCGATTCTTGGCTTCCGTAATTCCAATAATCGCTCTCATTCGCTGCATCTGCTTAAGTTTTTCCTTAGCCTAAATAATCAAATGCAATTTGTTTTCAAATTTCCAGCCAAAAAATCCTACCAATTTGATATCAGTGGCTTTTTTAATAGCAATTTCCTCTTTCGTAAGCTCCGGCTCGTTTTTCTCATCTCCCCAAAGCAAGCAATCCGGCTGTGTCAACGGGAAAATCAATTGATCGGCGACACGATTCGTCTGAACCAGCGGCGTCCAACTTTTCGTTACTTCTTTTCTAAAATATATCTCAAAAATGTTTCAAATTAGCTATATATATTCGCAAACTTCAAATCTTTGAACGCGATTTCTCCTTCTATTCGTTTTCTCGCTTCAATATCTCGAATTGGTATCAATGTTTTACTTTTCAGCTTCTTCTTTTTTGCTTTTTCCTCATTTTTATCTTTCAATTTTCGTTTTTTCGCTGTTTTTTCTTCACCACCTTCACCTTTTTCGTCTTCAATACCTCCAATTCCTAGACTTTTCTTCGCCTCATTCGTGGAAGTCCTTTAAAATCACGTTTTTGTTTTATTTCAAATTTTTCCAAGAAAAAAAAACCTTGCGACTGTGATGTGTGACAAAAGTGAAGTGGCATCAATTTTCTTCGTGGGCGCCTTTTTCAACTTCGTCTGAATATTCGAGATAAATTCGAAAATCGCGAAATTCCTACCTGTTTAACCGATCCTGGAGTTTTGATCGATTGGAGCAACTTCTCATGAGCAACATCATCAAAATCTGAGTCGTCGCTCATTTCTGAATCCTTCAAAACCGCTAATATACTATTGATTTCAAGAAAAATAATTGAATTCGATATTAATATGGGAATATTTGCAGCACCATGTTTTTCTTTCACACACACTTCAACATATTGCAAGACTTCTATATTTTATTTCCACAAACATTTAAACAATCAAAATATTACACTGCGAGTGTAAGCCACTGAAAAATCACTAAAATCGAATAAAATACATAAAAATTGGCTACTAAAAAAATAATGGAACGGGAATACGAGAGCAGGTAACATTTTCGATCATTACAAAACTCACGGGAAAAATGATTGCATTTGACCCGATCGTTTCTTACAAAAACCACCAGAAATATGGAGACGTGAATTTTATTTGATTTAGATTGCGGTGGCGATGGCGTCCTTGTATTTCTTTACTCTCGAGGCGATCGACAAGTCAACGTACTTGTCTCCGATGGTAACGACAAGTCCTCCGATGATCGATGGTTTCACGGCGTAGGTAACAGTGAGCTTCTGTCCTGACTTGGCGACCTGAAAATTTTAAAACATAAAATTGATGATTATTGATTATAATAAGTTTCACCTTGCTCAAGGCATCAGACAAAGCTTTTTGGTTGGCAGCGGAAAGTTCCTCAGCCGATGTTACTTGGACAGAGAGCTCTCCACGGTGGGCGCGCATGATAGCTTCGAAGGATGAGGCGACCGACTCGAGCTTGTTCAATCGACCATTCTCAGCCAAAAGTCCTGAAATCAACTTTGTTTTATTTATATAATGCAGAAAAATTTTAATATATTTATACAGCCATTCTTCTTTGCCAAATACGTTTTTTTGTTAATTTACTAAAACACACCGAGGAAGTTTCCGGTTTCCTTAGAAAGTCCGAGCTTGGAGGAAATAGCTTCAATAGCGACCTTCTTCTTCGTGGCTTTAAGGGTTGGGTCAAGAACGAACTCCTGGAACTTCTTGTTGTCCTTGTAAGCGGAACGAACATTGCTCAAATCCTGAGCAATTTGGTCGAGTTTGTTTTGCTTGTGCCCGGCGGAGTACAAAGCGGCGGCATATCGTCCCTCGATTCCATGAACCTGGATTGGAGTCTTGACGAGCTGAGCGGACTTGGCGAGAGCAGCGCTCGTCGCAAAACCACGTTTCATGATATGCGCCATTACCTTGAATTTAAGATTAAATGAAGTAAGTGGTTTCGAGGACGGGAAAATTTTAATTTTGTTTGCAAAAACGAAGAAAACACGAAATTTCGAAAATTTGCTTAACTACGGTTTGCCATCAAAAACATGAAAGCTATGTCTAATTTCTATGTTCTGGAAACGTTTTTTTTTTTTGAAAAATTTATGCAATATAGTACCATAATTATCAAAAAACTTTGGTCTAAAAATTAAAAAAATAAAATATGAGCCGTTGACTGCGTTCATCTAAATAAACCACATGAAATGTACGCAGGCAATGCATCAGACGGTGCGTTGCATTAGAGCGCGTTTGTCACTTCAAACGTCAACACCGGCTTTTAGCTTTAGCGTTTTCCGAAAATTGAGTAGCTGTCCTTTCTGAATTTTTGAAAAACTTCGGCTTGAGAGTAAATTAATAACAAAACAATTTATTTAGATTAAAATTATAAAAATTATAATTTTTGTTGAGTTATTCAGTGCGATAGACTTCCGCATTCCGAACAAGGCTCCACCCTTTCACTATGTTTTTCTCGATGCTCTTTTTCATGAAGTGATTGCAAAATCACAACTGGATCATCGTTATCAATCTCGTCCAATCCATTACACCTAAAGTTGATAAATTCGAAATTTTAAAATAGGCCAACCAGCTTAGTCGAAATAATATAAACACTAGAACGACTGCGAATGCAACTTTGACAATAGAAAAAAATAACAGCATAACATTTTCTGTTTAAAAAAAGACGTGGAGAGAAATTATTTCCGTAATTTGATTTCAAACCGTTTTTTCTTTTCGAAGAATCATCTAAGCATAATAAAATCCGCATAAGGAAAAAGTACATTTCGAGGAAAAATATAGAGCTCTAGAAACGCAATATGAAGTGCAGAAATTCGCTGAAAAAGCTTACCGCTAAGACTGCAATAAGAGAGAAGAAGGTCTTGGAGCGAAAAAGAAGGGAGAATGCTAGTAAAATTGCAGTCAAAAACTGAAAGTCTAAGGAAAATTGATGAAGTTTCAAAAACTCCCTATACACTGATAATTCCATTATCGCAAATTGTACTATAATTTTTGCTGAAAAAAAAGAAGGCAATTATTTTTTCTCAAGTAATTACATTTTATCAAAGTCATAAAAATTGATAGTGCCTAGGAAAATTTGAATGACAATGAAGACAACAATCCAAGCCTTAAAATTGGGAATAATAGGGATAATCCTGGATCACTTTACCGACGCCTTCATTCCGCAAACATTGATCCCGATATGAACATGATCGCCGGCCGCTGAATGTCGATTCGAGCTCATTGCGATTCTGACAACAAAAAATATATAAAACGGTAAAAACGAAATCGACGACTTCGCTCACGTCAATTCAATAAAAAGAAATAAATAAATAAACGGAGCTGATATAAAATGAGAGCGATTTCGCGAGAATCCTCATTTATTCTACCGCATATCGGAAAGTTCACACCAATATCAAACTATGAGTGACTACGGTGAGTGGCGTCTCGCAACGATATTGCTTCTTCTAAACGAGACGCGCTTCAGAAAGTAACGATAAGAAGCAAGAAGACGACGCAAGTGTAGGGCGAGCGGGCGCTTCAACGATTGAACTCGATTTCAGAGTGTGCATCAATCCGATGAGAAGAAAGTTGAGCTTGATGATAATAACAATAAAAAAGATGAGAAGGAGGACGGTGGTGATAAGCAGTTGCAGACTTGTCGACTAACGCCGGCTCCCCTTCAGGCAGACAATAAAGATATCTTAGAAGACGAAGCTACATACAAAGTAATCATTATTATCGAATTGGATCATCGCTTCTCGCGCAGATTCTTCAATCATTGCCATTTTACCACGGATTCCTTCCAAGAGAGGATTTGCGATCGCTTCTCCGCAACGACGGCGATTATTTGCTGCGCGTCAGCGAGGTTACGGTATGTTTTCGCGTCGAGACCATTCGCTTTTGGTGTTGAGCGCGTTCTTGCAGCTTCCATCGAAAAAAGAAGCCGAAAAGGAGGCGCCGGCGATCAAACGCGATTTGATATTGTCGGTTTACGAGAACGTGCCGGCCCAACAAATTTCCGACAATCCGGAAAATGTCGGAAAAGCGAACGGTCAGAATTTCGAGGGAAAAGTGAGGACGCCAATTTTCATTCTTTTTCTTTTTTTTTCCTCGAATCAATTTCAAATTTCAGATGAGAAACATGGTGGTTCGACGTTACGGCGGAAAATTCGCCATCGAGTCCAACCTTCCATTCGACAGCATCACCGAATTGCTCGCATTCTACAATTATTCGAACACATCGGAAAATGTTGGATTTCGCGAAAAACCCAAAACCAATTGAGACCAACGGTTTTCATAATCGCCAATTAGTTTCAGAAAAAGAATCGCTTCCTCAAGAATCCCATCAAACTGCACAGTTGGGAGTATCGACATACGGACATCGCGCTCGGTCAGCTGCTCGGCGAAGGCGCCTACGGCGAAGTGCGCACCGGCATTCTCAAGCGAAAAAACAAGGAGGTCGAGGTGGCGGTGAAGCTGATGAAAGGCACCGCCGATTTGAACAAGGTCAAAATCCGAGAGATGATGAAAGAGGCCCGCCTCATGCGAGCCTTCAAACACAAGAATGTCGTTCGATTCTATGGGGTCGCCGTCGATGAGCAGCCGTTGTACATCATTCTTGAGCTCGTTCGTGGCGGTGCTCTCAACACCTATCTGCAAAAGAACAAGAAGGTGACGACGGTGGAGCTTATGAATATGTGTCTAGGTGAATATCATTATAATTGAAGCCCAATATTATGCTATCCATAGGTGCTGCTCTTGGCCTACAATACCTTCATGCGAACAATTGCATTCATCGAGACATCGCTGCGAGAAATTGCCTTTATTCCAATGATAAAGTCGTCAAGCTTTCGGATTTTGGATTGTCGCGAATCGGAAATTCGTATAAATTGTGCACTTCGCAAAAATTGCCGATTAAATGGCTCGCCGCCGAAACCATTACCACTCTATTTTTCACGTTCAAAACCGACGTCTATAGGTTTTTTTTTTGAGAATTGTTGTTTCCAATTGACCTTCTAGAATGATTGTGATTTCAGCTATGGAGTGATGTGCTTCGAGATATTCTCGGAAGGCGAAGAGCCGTGGGATGGCATCACCAACACGGAGGCCAAACGAAACGTGGTGTCGGGAAAACACTTGACGATTCCCGACACGTGTCCGGAGAAATTCCGCACGTTCATCTATGAGAAGATTTATGTGAAGGATCCGAAGCGACGAGTCACAATGGACGATGTCGCTCGATTCATTGAGCCGATCATCAACGAGCTGACGAACTCGCAACGATCGGAGAAGCGTTTCGACAAGAGCGACGGCCGATCGACGATTATCTCGACGGTCTCGGCGATGGGCAGCTCGTCGAACAAATCGCGAACGGCGAAGCGAACCGACACGAAGAAGAGGAAGAACAAGAGGGAAAAGACGGCGCGACGATCGTCGCATCCGGGCAATCACAGCATGATCGAAAAATAGTGTTGCCGTCTTACTCACAATTCTTTTTTTTTGTGCAATGAACCATTTCATGCTTTTTTTTCTCGGCATTTCAATGTCGATTCAGCGACAAAATGCTTCCGGTGATCAAGCGGATTGCACTTCAACGATTTGCTGGATTCCGTCGATTGTACATTTTAAGTCACACATCGAGACGTGCTGAAACCATTTTCAGAACTATCTCAAGGTGTTCATCTCGTGGAATTTGATTTTGTCGTCTGGAATTATTCTAGCAACAATTGCGTTTGTCAAACACCCAAATATTTATCTGGAAAATCGTTTCAGATCCGACAAATTCAAACCAGTTACGATTATTTCAATAATCCCATTTGTAATCAAGTTTTGCTGAAAATCGTGCGAATATCGAGTAATGCATTTCAGATTCTCTTATCGACTCTTACATTGTTCGCGATACACATGAAATCGAGATTGATATTCGTGCTGTTGGCAGGCTTTTTCGTCAGTTTTTGAAATATTGTCGAATTTTCTAATGAGCCTATTCATAGCAATGAAAAAAAAATCAAATTTTTTCTTTTGAATTCCCTATGCACACAAATTGACGCGATCTATCGTAATTCGCCGCTATTTATTTTCAAAGGCGCACGCGAAAAGTTGCGCAGGGTCACGCCGCGAAGTCGGTACTGTAATTTTTTATTTTTCATTCTGTGTGCCATTTTTCCATATTTTTCGAAAAAATTGAAGAAAAAATGTGTAATGGATTGAAGAACAAGGAAAAAAACCAATTATTGGTATAATTACTCCTAATTCGACAATATAAGTCCATTTTTCCTTTTCTTTCTTTCTTTTTTTTTTAAATATAAGTCTATTTTTCATTTATGAATAGGTCCATAAAATCGGTTGAGCTGATTGGTTTGAAAATGTTGCCGGACACGACGATGTTCAGAAACCACGCAGCTATCAATTGGTTGCTGATTGGAAGCTGCGTGGTCACCGATCAGTTTTAGAGACACAGCAAATGGTCTCGAGACACGCGTTGGATTCTCCACGCGGATAATGCAATGTTAAACAAGTCTCGTGTAGGAATCCCGCGCGTAAATCGACACTCATGCCCAACTCAAAAGTAGATATTGTCGACGTCAAACAACTGAAGGGAGGCGTGGTCTTCAAATTCACTAAATCAGTGTAGATTTAAATATATCGTTGATTGAATATGCCTCGAGACGCATTGGCACATAGCCAATCATTTTTTATGTTTCGTCAAGTCGTTTTCTGACAATAATATCCTATGCAGATTTTTGAAAAAAAAAATCACAATTCTGGTCAGAAATCGGGAAAAGGTAGTTTTTATTTTTATTGCGGATATATGGCAGCGAGATTGCGTACATTGCATTATAGTGTACGCGCATTTAATATTCAGTCAACAATAAATTTAAATCTACACCAATTTCGCGAATTTGAAGACATCGCCACCTTTCATCGCTCGACTACGGAAAATTGGCAAGATTCCAAAAAAAAAAAACAATGACAATGGTCTTGGCGCAAAACTAACAAATTTAGATTTACGGGTCTAAATATAGGTTAAAGGCGCACACCGCGCTATTTTTATTTTCACCGAGACCCCTTTTTAAAATTTTTGGCATTTTGCCAATTTTCCGCAGTCGAGCGACGCCGACAATAACCGTTTTTTTTTTGTGATTTTTTTTTCGATATCTGCATATGAAAAATATTCAATTTTCAGAGCATATTGATTTTCAAATGTTTTCTCAGCATTTTCGTGGTGATGATTCGAATTCTAACCGATAACCATCTCGTACAATCGCTTGGTTGAACCTGTTTGAATTCGATTTGAATACAATTATTCGGTTTTCAGCATTTCAAGTGAATTATTTCTCAAAGCCTTCTGTTATCATTTATACCATTCATACCATCATTATGATGATCACTACAATTGCTTTAATAAAACTGAGCGGGTTTGTGAACCCTTATGTTTAATAATATCTATTGAAGAATTTTAGAGTTTTACGCAAACAAAAATCGCCATATGAATGTGAAGAATGCGATCGCAACGGCTTTCCCATGTCTCCTTTATACTTATAGCTTAATTAAAGATTGAAATGGAAAACTCAAAATATCGGCTAGAACCCCTATAAAATCTAAAAACTCTTAATCTGTCTTGAAAGCTTTTAACGTTTTTCTGCCGTATTTTCAGCTATTGCATGTTTTTGAAAGTATTTTAGGTTTCAGAAAGAAACCGAAAATCGATGGTGAAAATTTTGAAATAGTTTAATCCACCCTGATATGAGATTTGATTATGGGAAATCTTTAAAAAGGTAATTATTTGGAATTTGGTGAAAATTAGTAGGAAACTGGATCGCGAAATAATTGAAAAAGAGAGAAAAGAAACACATAAAACAAAGAAAATGTTTACAATTTGCGATGAAGGCGTATGTAAATCATAATCGTTTGTCATTATGTTTTTTTCTCTTTATTAATAATCATAAACGCTAATTAATTAATTTACAATTGAAAATGGTACAAGTGGTTAATTGAAATCATCAAACAAATCATTATCAATTAAAAAATTATTCGTCACTCGATCACGATGCGCCTCTTGAACGAGACGACGCACTCCGTCAAAGAACGTCTTGTCGGAACCACGGCAAAGAGAGAACGCCTTGAACTTCTTCGATGCACCGGCGATCAAATCGGCTTGGTAGTGGTGGAACAGCGTGTAATCGTCGACTTCCTTCTGGTACATCCATGGACAGCAGTACACATAATGAGGCAATTGGACCCTGGCGTTTAAAGTGTTCATCCGACGGAAACATAGGAGCTCCCAGATGCCATGTGCGTCGCATCGGACTCCGTTCGGCATCAGCATGATATCCTCAATGGACAGATTGACGAAGAAGTAGGGATTCGAAATGCGCGGCTCGATCTCGACGTTGAATCCATCGCCTTGAAGCAGCTCGTTGAAGAACTGGACGACCTCGCCGAGAACTGGACGCGCCGGTTGTGTTCCGAGGAACACAGCGGCCTTCTCGACTTCTTCCGGAGTCATCTGGCGGGGTTCGTCGAACATCTCGGAGAACATCGAACAGCAACTGCCAGCACGGGAACCCATAATAGCTAGAGTAGAGTAGCGAATAGAATGCACACAAATGGTTGTGACGCTCTTCTCGTTTCCGAACAGCTCTTTTATACTCAACGTTTTGCCACCTATTGGGCGGAGTTTCTATAAAACCTCATCATTTCCGTTATTCCTTGCCCTTATTAGTGCCATACTGCCTAGGTGATGACAGGCTCCCGGCAATAAATCTCGCAGCTCCAAGTGTCATCCTGAGATTGATTGCGCGAAATGTGCGAACTGCGTGGCAAATGCCGCCAATTCAACAAACACACGTGTTACTGACGGCTATTGTATGTCTGAGAGCATGCCTGGCTAGGGGGGTCCGAAAGCGTGTCCCATGAAGACTGTCATTCGCTATGGGTTGGCTGAAATCATCATACGATAGTAACCCATTATGTGCCAACTCGTGTACGCGCAACTACCCACAGGCTAACCCCCACTTCGAAGCCACCACAGAGTCACCGCGAATCGAACAGTGCGATTTTTTGTGAATTTCTTTCTCATAAACATTATAATTAATAAATTTAGAAAGTTTCCAAAAATACTTTAAAGGAAAATGTTTATTTTTAATCTATTGTTCGCTTCTCTACAAATTGTTGTCTAAAATATAATTGAGATATAGTCGGCATCCGGCGACTGCTGTACGCGGGTAGATTTACGGGAACGCGTCTATCGAAATGGTCTCGCAAGCACTAATAGGTTATTTCAAATTTTATGGACCGATTCCATAATTTTTTAATCGAACGACGTTGCAATTTCAAGGAAATGTGAAACTCATCAAGAAAAATGAACAGTTCACGTGAAAACAGCAAAATCAGCATTCACGCGTGGCGAGACCTTTTCAAGGCGCATGCGCGTAAATCTACCCGCGTACAGCAGTCGCCGAATGCCGACTATAAATACTCATTGTACGAAAACGACGTTTTAACAAAAATGAACAACAATTACATTTTATTAGCATTTAGGCTTCACCTGAATAAATTCTCAATTATTGGCACAATGTTTTCGCTTCATTAATTATAGTACAATTTGGTATTTGACTAAGTGATTTTCAGACAGTCTTCATGGGACACGCTTTCGGACCCCCCTAGCCAGGCATGCTCTCAGACATACAATAGCCGTCAGTAACACGTGTGTTTGTTGAATTGGCGGCATTTGCCACGCAGTTCGCACATTTCGCGCAATCAATCTCAGGATGACACTTGGAGCTGCGAGATTTATTGCCGGGAGCCTGTCATCACCTAGGCAGTATGGCACTAATAAGGGCAAGGAATAACGGAAATGATGAGGTTTTATAGAAACTCCGCCCAATAGGTGGCAAAACGTTGAGTATAAAAGAGCTGTTCGGAAACGAGAAGAGCGTCACAACCATTTGTGTGCATTCTATTCGCTACTCTACTCTAGCTATTATGGGTTCCCGTGCTGGCAGTTGCTGTTCGATGTTCTCCGAGATGTTCGACGAACCCCGCCAGATGACTCCGGAAGAAGTCGAGAAGGCCGCTGTGTTCCTCGGAACACAACCGGCGCGTCCAGTTCTCGGCGAGGTCGTCCAGTTCTTCAACGAGCTGCTTCAAGACGATGGATTCAACGTCGAGATCGAGCCGCGCATTTCGAATCCCTACTTCTTCGTCAATCTGTCCATTGAGGATATCATGCTGATGCCGAACGGAGTCCGATGCGACGCACATGGCATCTGGGAGCTCCTATGTTTCCGTCGGATGAACACTTTAAACGCCAGGGTCCAATTGCCTCATTATGTGTACTGCTGTCCATGGATGTACCAGAAGGAAGTCGACGATTACACGCTGTTCCACCACTACCAAGCCGATTTGATCGCCGGTGCATCGAAGAAGTTCAAGGCGTTCTCTCTTTGCCGTGGTTCCGACAAGACGTTCTTTGACGGAGTGCGTCGTCTCGTTCAAGAGGCGCATCGTGATCGAGTGACGAATAATTTTTTAATTGATAATGATTTGTTTGATGATTTCAATTAACCACTTGTACCATTTTCAATTGTAAATTAATTAATTAGCGTTTATGATTATTAATAAAGAGAAAAAAACATAATGACAAACGATTATGATTTACATACGCCTTCATCGCAAATTGTAAACATTTTCTTTGTTTTATGTGTTTCTTTTCTCTCTTTTTCAATTATTTCACCATCCAGTTTCCTACTCATTTTCACCAAATTCCAAATAATTTCCTTTTAAAGGTTTCCCATATTCAAATCTCCACACGAAGGGAACGCTTTAACATAAAATGCAATTTTAATTCTTAACATTTTCAGTCGGCGTTTCAATATGCTTGCAATTTTCAAATACCTAAATTCTTACATCTCTGGTTTCAATACTCAACATCTTTCTGTTTCAATTCCCACAGACATTGATCTGTATCATTTATCAGACCATTTAACTCAAACAATAGAACAAAAACACTCCCAAAATCCATAACGGACAACAATTCATAATCAGGGGGACGATTTCAAGAGGGAGCGGCTAAAATTAAAATTATTTTTCTCAAAACCTACTACTTATAAAACAATGATATTGTATTATTAAAACTAATTATTACCTATTTTTACAAAACTATTGATTAATAAATTATGACAATAATTAAAAAGGAGTGGTCAAACATTAAAATTTACTTAATCATATTGGTCCACGGATGACATCAAGCGTCTGATTCATTGAATACAACCATTCTTTGAGCATTTCGTCAGAATCTGCCGACAACAACACTCTGAAAATTCAAAATTTGGATGTTTTTAATTTTAGAAAAGCTAAACCTTTTCTTCTCCACAATACTTCCAACAGTGCATTCAGCCGTGTCAACCAACGTTTCAACAGAAAATGACCATGGTCGTGGGCACATATCCGCTGAGCATTTTTCAATTGAATTGTTCGTACATTTCGTCAAATCAATTTGCATTCTCGGTTCCTTAATGGGAATCATATTCCACTAATTATCAGCAGCCTTTACCTTTCCAGACAGCTCCTCTTCAGGATATTTCCAAAAGAACACAACACCTCTGCGCAAAACCGCGTAATAGCGGTCCCAAGAAGCCATATTGCTAACCGTTTGGTACATCGACTAAATATGGTTCAAAGTTTGATTTGAGTACAAATCCAATTATAAAAAATACCAAGAATCCTTTGAAATCCTTCTCAAATGCTTCAGGAAGGCGACTGCACTCGGTGGTCAAAGAAATAGTTCCTTCGAGCGGGAAACTGACATGATCCAAATAGAAGCTTCGCTCGAGAGCCGCATCTCGATCCAAAATCGCTTTGCCGCGAATCTTGAAGGCGGTTTCGGTAACAACGTGCGGTGTTTTCTTCGGTTGCGGCCCTATGAACTTTTTGCACTTCATCGCAAATGATCCTAACGAGGTTTCAACCGGTCGCACCGGTGGAACTTGCTTAAATTGCAATGTTCATAGTACTTCTTCCATGTTCATTTTTAACAAACCATTGCGTAAGCTTCAACACTAACAGTGAAATCAATAGGCAAGTCCGAGAATTGGATATACTTCTCGAAAGCAACTCTGTCGACAACTTCATTACTTGTAAACTTCATCGGAACATATTCGGTTGCTTCAACTTGATATCCACACTTAAATAGAACAACGAACACAAAAATGTTGTCTGCAAGCAACACGCAATTAACTCGGAAGTTTTCAATTTGACCAACGTTGCGCTGGAGTAAATTTCAAGCAGAAATTCTTGTTCAGCTGCAAAGAAATGTTGCGAAATTCAACCGATCCGCGAAGATCGCGCGCGATTGGCGGCGGTGGATGGCGAACCCTCGAAAACGCGTGAAGACGATGAAGCTCCGCTTTTTGCAATCGCAGAGTCTCACGCGAAATCAATAACGAGCGATTGGCAGCAATCTCAAACTTTACTTTTTTCCAGAACATTACATGAGTCCTATACCTCTTGCGCTTGTCTTCCCCTTTTTATCGCATCATTGAGTGCGGCTTCATTCATCATTAATTGCTTCTCAGTATTCTCAATCATATAAGAAATACGCTAAAAAAATACAAATACAAAGTAGGCTTCAACACAACTCTGAAATTGCTCACGTTAATTTTTCTTCGGATTCCCGCTTGCCGCTCGACATTCGAAGCACCGCTAATCGATGAGACGAACGTATCATTCTGCGGAATGTTTCCGAACATATTATTGTTCACATCATCATTTCTCGAACGGAATGAAGAAGACAACACTGATTGCGGGCTGTCAAGCGGAGTAGAAGTGGCAAGTGCATGATAACCCTTGAAACTATTGTCATATCGAACCTTTAAAAAATGCTACCCTACATTCTGTGATCGACAAAAACGCCTACCTTCTCACCAAAAGTCGGAGTTTCACATACATCTTTGGATTTGTAGACATTCAATGACTGTCCAGCATGCGGCGTCGTCAAAGTCGGCGATCGAAAGAACTGCGGCTCATCGACATTCGAAACTCGTCTTCGCAATTGCTCTCGTTGCATTTCGCGATATTGTGTCAACTAATTTTGAACATCCATTTTATTTAAAATTAAAAAATTCCAAGTTCGTACCGAGTACTCCAACGCATTCTCACAACCAAACGTGTCCGTCGGCGAGTCCGTTCCGGCAACCGTATTCCTTCGCTCCGGTGATTGCAATTTTCGCTCAAGGAACTTTCTCTTCGGCGCATTAAGATCGGGTGGCACCGCGTTTATAGTCGACAAATTGAAATACGAGTTCGATTTCGCGCCATTCTCATTATAAACCATTCGCTCCCATTCGCCATGCTGATCATTTGCTCGCTGCTGCGACACAGTGACATACTCAGCGTACCTAGATCAGCAAACTCAATTTAAACTTCTCACATGAATACGCAAACTTCTTATGGGGACTCTCCTCCTTCTTCTCATATCGACTTCCTTTTCCAACTGTGTCCACCGACAAGCTCGAATTAATCGTCGACTGAACGCGAGGTGTCGATTTTCGATTCGATTCATCATTCTCGACAAAATCAAACATTTTGTCAATTTTTCCTCGGATGCTGCTATCCTCGCCAGTTGTCACACTGTGCACATAAGAAGCAGCATCATCATGTGTAGTCATCGTATGGTGAGTAATACGGCTTCCAGCGTCCTTAAAATTAGATTCATGCTTAACATTGAAATAGAATGTTTCGAATATACATCGGTAGCCGGGGGAGAATATTTCGAAGACAACGGCGGGCGTGCAGTCGCCAGACCTGACGTCATATCGAAATTTTTAGAATGGCTCTCATACATATTCGTCTTATCATTGTGACCTAATTTCGGAGAAACCTCCAATGGCTGTAATTATCACTCATTTCGGAAATATTTCAAAAGAAAAATCATACCCGAGGATTCGTCCTAGCATTTTCTAATTCCCGTTCACGTTCGGCCTGCTCTTCCAACTCTCTTTGACGTTTCCGCTCTTCAAACATATTTCGGCCAGTGTGTGACATTGGTTTGGTTTCAGCGAACGCGTAATTCGACGACGTCTTCCACGAGCGTTGTGCCTGTGGCAAACTCCATGCCGAATCAAGTTCGTTCTGAAAATAAATTCAATTTTCCAACACGAATTTCTTCAGATTTCGAACCAATCGTTTCGTCAAATCCTCGGTCGTTTGCCTGCCAAAAGCGTCTCGACTGGCTTCAAAATACGATTTCTCCGCAGCTTCTTCCCCAATATCTCCACTGACAGCTCTTGTGTCATATTTCGGTTCTTGGTATACGGTTCTCGACACTTCCTGAGTTTTTGCACGTTCAATGCGAATTGGAGTAGTTCTGCGATTCATCTTGTCAGTTATTGATCCAACCATCGTAATGGGTACATTAACCCTATTGGAACCATCGTTTTCAGTTTCTGCAATTTCATCAATCAATAATTTTCTCTTAATATTGCTTACTCTCTTTCGCTTTCTTCACAATTGGAACATTAACTGGCGACTGATTCCTCGGAATCTCGACATACGCAGCCCAATTCGTGCCAGACGGCGCATTCTTCTTCTCCCAGCGCGCTGCTATACCATTAACGGGAATCTCAACTTGCGATCCAAATTGAAAATGCTGATCCGATGTCGTTTTGGGCATTGTGTCTTTAACAACTGTCTTTTCGAAAACTGTTGTTTGTCTACGCAAAATTGGGGTTTCGCGCTTATTTCCCACATCTCGAACAGGCATTGATCTAAAAAAAAAGTTATGTCTGTTTGAAAACCAATTTCTTGAAAGAAAATTTTATACATGTACCTTCTCAATACGTCTCCGCGATCCGGAGCGACTGATGAGCTTCTTCGATAATCATGAACATATTCAGTCGGACGATCGATTTCAATCTTTTGTCTGCGCATGTGTATATATTGATATTTGACACTCAACGCCTCGCATAAACAAAAAAAAAAACATACCGAAAGCCAGGTGAATTGTTAACCGCTTGCGATTTTGGCGAAACCGAAGTACTTCGTCGATATCTGGAGCCCAACGATGGCGGCGGATTTGTTTCTCGAATCGATGGAATACGTTCGAACATTGATATGAATCCTCCATCACCTTGAGCATTTCCACTTCCCACACTATATTCGGAGCCTTCCAGGTACTGTGAAGAAGCCATCGGAGTTGTGGTAGTACGATCACCTAGAAAACGTCATTCGTATTCAAAAATTCGAAAACCACTACCAAGTTTGGAGTTTCTGACAAACGTGTTTCTAGTGAACACATTTGGCTGTTGGGTGAATGATGAAGTGCTTCTCGGCCTCGACTCCCCATTCATAATCGATTGCGAGTTCTGCAAAAACGCGTTCGATGACAACGACGATCCGTAAAGTTGATTCGAGGATGCACCACTATTCGTTCCAGACAATCGTTTTACTGAAATCGCAATTACAAAAAGTAGTAAAGAATTTCCGAGCTCACGTCTATCGCTAGCAGCCGATGATCGATTATCGTCATGTCTGAGAACCGCTACAGATGCCGCTGGAGGCTTAGAAGGTGTCGTCGAGGCTTCCAACATCTTTGATTCAAATACCGACGCCAAATCGCGAATTCTGCCGCGTGGGATGTGCTTCCTGCAAACATTAACATAAACAATTGCATTTTGCTGGCTTCAGTTTACCTAATAGTGTCGCCGTTGGTGCGTTTCCCTTCTGTCCATCTCGCATCAACATTCACCCTCGTAGCTGCTTCTTGCCGATCTTTCTCACTTTTCGAAGAAATGTTTCCTTAAAAAAAACATTTTTTTTAAATTACAGTTAATCTAATCAAATACCAATAGAGCTTTTTTCTGAACCAGTTCTTTGATAAGCATCACTCTGCCAATTGCTAGAAAGCTTATTCGTTTTGGAAGGAGTCGAAGTGGTAATATTTGAAAGACCCTTCGAGAACTGCTCGTGAGTAACCTAAACAGGTAATTTGAACGTTAGATCCGATACGATTTCAGACATTTTCATTCTCATCAATTTCCAATCCAATCGGATCTTGATATCTTTCCGATATATGACGTAAACGATCACTTATTAATGTCACATTGCTCGCAGAGTTTTGGACCATTGTAATTTGATGAGACGAATTCGAGTTGGATGAAGTAACATCGCAATCCGATTTTGAAGCAATCGCACCAATACGATTCTGTAGCATTTTGGACAATGCGGAGACCGCAGGATGCTGAAAAAGTCAATATTTTAATTTCATCAAAATTGTTCAACCCCATTCTTCTCAAAGGAATTATTCATCAGAGGACGATTCAATCTCGACTTTGTCGGCGTATCAATTGATTGCGAATCAGTGGACTTCGGAAGGAAGTTGGCGGATTTAACCGAGGTCAAATCAAATGAATCCTTGTCAATTGTGGCATATTCACTCAGAACTAAATACCGTATGTTATCACATAGAACACATAAAGTTTTTGATTACGCATCGCATTCCACGTCGCTTGTCTCATACGGATCGTATCACCAGTCTGAATACCAATTTCCGTCGTCTCTTTCGTCAAAGGCTGAATATCAATCATTCCGAGGGTTCAACACAATTTACTAACTTCAAAGTTCCTTCGGATACACTTTGGTTCGACATTTCGCAATACAGTCTGTGGTGTTCTCATTACAAAACTCTCATGACTTCCATGAGCTGAGGCAGATCGTTTTGCAATTGGCTGAAATAAAGGGCTCCATACAATATTCAGACATTTTTGTTTTCTACCGTCAAAGCAGAAGTTGTAATTAAGGCTTTCGGTGGATCTTGAATTCTTGCGCTGTTCGTCTCACTGTCCCGTAAGCTCACCCGCGAGCTGGATGCACTTCGCCCAACATTCATCGGCGTCTTCTGGTGTTCCGAAGTTGAACGGAAAGGCTGAATAAATTATAATAAATATATTTAAGAAAAGTGAAAAGAAGGAAACGAAAATTAACGAAAATGAGCACGTACGTAAAAAAAAAGATATGTGAAATTACAAAAATATGCACCACTTTAATTAATTTTTACGAAGCAACGACTTACGACTCCTGGTTGATCATTATTATCGTCAAAACGATCTTCAGGATGGCTATAAAGGGTTGGAATATCGGCAAAGTTGACCTTCTCACTTGCGTTTGACGTGCACGAGAGGGTTCGCGACAAAGGACGACTTTGAAATTTCGACTGATCATTCTAATGATATGATATTATTTAAACATCGGAAGCTACAAGAGTTACAATATCGGGCGAGAAGTTCGATTTAGAGGCGGATCGTGATCGCGCGACCGGTATCGGCACTAAACCTTCAACCTCGGGAGTTTGACTGTAACGAACTGCAAGGAGAAGGCGGTCATCAGTGTTGGACGTTGTTCCCTACAAATTTTAACTCTAAATTTTATAAAAAATTTTAAGCGGTACCACTGAATGGCGAGAGGAAGCTCGAGAGTTTCGATGATCAGATCGGACAGATTCGGAAAGACTACGCTGCGATATGGATCTTCCGATATCATCATTTTCCGAATTCTTATCGAGACCAATGGTACTCGAGTAATTCTAAATATCAATTTATTTCATTTTAAAAACTCGTTTTCGCAACTTTTACATTTGGAATTTCAATATTCGACACTTTGCTCAATTCATGAGGATCCGTGCGCGAAAGGTCATTGCGATTTGATGAGATTTGCGACTGAAAGGTGTCGTCAGTTCGAATTGATCGATTGGTACGATTTGTGAATCCATCAGTCATTGAATAGCTCATGTTTGGAGGATGGCCTCCAACAAGAACAAACTCATCATTATTAGTGTGTATGGAAAGCTGAAACGTTGACTCTTAATTTTATTGAATAATCAGAATAGGATTACCTTGCTAAGACGTTGCTGAAGACAATTGGAATCAGCATGATAAGTGCGAACACCTTCACTCGCCTGAGAAGTGTCGGGATTATGAATCTGCTGGCTGACGCTTTGCAAAGGAATTTCCGACGGCAAGTTGCCGCTCTGTTTCGAGCTCTCGCTCATTGTGCGACTTCTCGGGAGCCTTGGTCGCATTCCATCGTGAGAATTCAATGAAGCGTTGACGATGTCAATGTGCACGAATCCACCGGAAGCGCGACTCGTCGATCGACTTCTACCAGGCAACGAGAGGCATTCATGTTCGCCGATACCGCGCGAATCCTCGCGAAGAATTTCAACAAAATTGTTGTTGTTCTCATTCTTCGACGCGCTGTTGCGACTGTAGACGCTGGAACGTGAGCCGCCGAACGAGTTGCGTGGGAATCCGGCAATCGACTGAAAAAATATCATTGTAATAACGAACAATAACTGCTCGGAACCCTTTCTTCTGCTGGATCGGAGAACAAGCTTCGCCTTGAATTGGAGTGCGATCCAATCTGAACTGAATCGCCGACAGCGAGATCATTCTGGGATGATCTAAATTTTGCATAGGCACCTCCATCCAGATTTTCCTTAAAATATGTAATTATTTTTTAATAAACGTCTCTAGCTACATTGTGACTGGCAAAGCTGTTAACGCGACTGCGTGACGATGGAACAACGATCTCCTACAATAATAATTATAAATAATAACTTTCAAAATAATCAAATTATACGTCATGTTGTTCTCCATGACTGACAGGAGAAGTTCTGGCACTAGTAACGTTATCGGAACTCATGAATGCGGTTTGATATGTATGCTTAACAGGAGCAGGCTAAAAAAAAGTTAAATAAAACAAATCAGCAACTTTGAAAATATTACTGGGAGAGATGAGGGGATGTTAACAATTTTTTCATCAGAAGTAGGAGCTCGCAAATCAAAATCCATTTCGTCATAACTCATGTTCAACGACGCCACCGATCGACTTTTAGAAGACGAGCGTTGATTTCCCTAGAAAAATGCTAACAATTTCAGAAATTATTTAAAACGTTCATATACCGCGTCGGCGTTATCATTTTGCGGTATCACAATTTCCTGTTCAACAGGGATTTGAATTTGTTGCTTGTTTCTCGCGTTGCGATTCTAAACAGTTGTATATTGAAATAAATTATTAAGTACACCAACCTTCTTCTTTCCCATTTTCAAAATTAGTTGTTAGACGGTGAGTGGTATTTGGCCTGAAGATCTGAAAAACAATTTCTCCATCACAACAATAGTTATGACGATTTTTTATAAAAATTTTGTTAATGTTAAATTAATTTTCTAATGACGGCTCTAACAAATTTTTAAGGAAAAAACCCCCTGAAAGTTGAAAAAATTCCAAACTGAAAGACAAATTTCGAAAGACAAACATCGAAAGTTACCGTAACTACTTTAAAGACGCATCAAGAAATACTCATTTTTCGTCTCGAGATTAATTTTTAATTTAAAAAATAAAACCTTTATCAAAACTCAGATAATTTATCATTTTTCGGTAGATACTGAATGGGGAAACGTCTATTTTTTGTTTTAATGGGGGGAAGGGCTGAATGGCGGTAAATTTGAAATATGTTATATCTGAATGGGGGTAAGATTATATCAATTGATCCATTTGAGTGTTTTTTTCATTGATCCATTTGAGTGTTTTTGCGCGCTTTAGGTAAATCAGTGTTGGGCTTAGCCCCTCCAAACGAGTTGTTGCTCTATGTCTTAAGCGAACTGCTGGAAAAACGAAACCAATTAAACATTTCACGGTTTCATCTAATCCTTTTATTTGAAAAATACATCAAGAAAATTACAATTGTTTCTGCTTCATCTTGGATGGGTCCTACGCCTATAATTCTGAATTTATAAGAACACTCGAAATGTTTTTTTTGTAGTTCAATTCTAGCGACGATTAAATCTTTAACATTTTTCAAATATTCATCACGACTTTTCCTCCATTCAGAAATAACATTTTTCAACTTTACCCTCATTCAGTTGATATTGTTTGTAGTCTTCAATATCAACTGAATGAGGGTAAAGTTTTTTTGTTAGTCGTATCGAATTGAGAAAAAAACTATTTATTCAAATTCTTTCGAATATAGACTAGACAATCTAAATCAGAATGCAAAGGGGAAGAAAATGGGAAGGGAAGGGGAAATGAAGCAAAAAAACAAGACAACGGGGGAGTCGTGGCACACCAATTCTTTTCACAATAAGCTATAATCGAAAAATAGTAATAATTGCCAATAATAATAATAATGATAATCAGAATAATGCATATAAATATATCATTAAAATCTATAGCACAGGAATTGAATGGTACTGGGAAATTTTTTAGTGAGCAATGAAAATTCAGCACATTTTTAATGCATATTTTAGTTAAAAGTGAAAGAATTTGGACAAAAAAAAAAGACATCACAGATTGTTTCTACTTCGTAGTTGAACCCGCTTAAATCATTTCAGAACATACAAGAAAGTGTCGAAATAAATGTACCCGCAGCAAAGAAAAAAAACATTATGTCAAGATTGAATATGGCCAAAAACAAACAGGAGAAGCGAATGAAAATGAGTGAAGTTGAATCAATCACAGCCGACGACTTCGTTCGGCACACCGGGCCGATTTCGGCGTCTCAATCAGCGTCGAACACAATTGTGGTTGTCCAAACGTGCTCTCAAGAGTCCGATTGATCGGCGTCTTCGGAATTGACATCATCGGCGGTCGTACCATCGAGGCACTGCCCCCAATTGTCGCAGACGTGTTGTGTACAGGCGGCGGTTGGCCAGCAGGACTCGATGTACCACCACTTGGAGTGTTACGGTACATTAGACTGGAAAATTTCAAACCGTATTGCACAATTTCTTGAGTGCTGCTCACCTTTTTCTCGCTCTTCTTTGCTTCTTCGTATAATTTACAAAGAATATGAGAACAACGATGGTGACTGCTCCAACAAACGCCAAAGCAATCGCCGTGATGATTCGAATTTTACGATGCCGCTCTTGCACTTCCTTTTCCAGTATCATTTCACTGGTCAGCTCATTAATGTCATAAGGCACAAATGTCGAGAGCTCCGGTCTCGCGAATACAGGAAGCTTCTCCAGAATCTCTTCGATTGTGATATTCTTCTTGAAAAAAATCGAATTGAATATGCTGAATTTAGATGCATTTCAAACCTCTTTGGCACCAGCAAATAACGATGTCAACGAGCTGGTGTGACTTCTAAAGTGATCGAGTAGATCCTGCGGCAGCAATCGCATGTCGGGAACCTCGCCGCGCGTCACCGCGGTGATCACCTCCATCGGAATTCGGCTGATATTGTAGCCGGGCGGCAAGATTTTGAGAAGATCAAAAATCGCCGGATTGAATGTCGAAGGTTTTTGCGTCGAGTTCGTCGCGTTCTTGTCCACAATTGGAACCCCTTCAATCGTTGGCATCTGTTGGGTGTAATACTCCTGCAAACCGCTCATTTTAGGCACACCTCGCGCTGCACATTTTCATCCTACCATGATCGTCTTCGTCTGATCTTGATCAAGTCCCGGCAGTGGCTCACCAGACATCACATGCGTCACCAAATCCGATGGTAGTCGCTCCAACGGCGGCAAAATTTTGTCCTGATTCTCCATCGGATTGCCAGCAAGATTCGCAGCAGCCGCTGCGTGCATTTTTTGCATCGCCTGCTTTACAATCGATTCAAGAGTGGCCTTATCAATTCCCGGAATCTGACCGCCATTGAGGACATACTGGATCATCGCCGGATCCATCTGAAACAGAGAAAAAATATATCGACAATGAAACTAACATGTGGATTTCCATTTCGTGACCGATTTTCTAATTGACACATTTCACGATAAAACGAAACCGCTCTCGTTTTTGTCAACCCGACAATTATCTAATAGCTACCAATTCGGAAATTGCAAAACAAAAAAAAGTTTGACACAATTCAATTCCCTCAATGTTTTCAATTCAACCTTTCTACTAACCTTACTCAAATCGACATCTCCAAATCCTGGAACATTCACCATCAAATTCGGAATCGAGCGTATCATTTGTTCAATATCGCTTGGCACCGGCTGTCCGCCAGTAGCAAATCGAACAAGTGGTGCTGTGAATTGCTCAATCGCGTCATTGAGCTTCTTTTGCGGCAGCGGCACGGCCCCACGCGTGTTCGCCACGGCGGGGTCAAATCCTGGAATACTCCTCAGAGCGGGAATCGTCTGCGTGATTGTGCTGAGCAGCGGAATATTTCCGCCAGCTTGATTAAAGTTTCCAAGTGGTCCCAGCGATGGTAAGAACGAAGAGATAAGTGAATTCTGTTCGGGCTTCGTCGACAGTCCAATCAATCGAGATCCCTGCGTTATCGTATCATTCGCCTTCTTCATCATCAAGTCCTTCAATCGCACACCCGCGTATTTTTCCGGCCCGACGCAGCGGATTTCTTCTTGGAACGGTAGAAACGTGCGCACTTTGTTCGCGACAAGATATGTCAGGAAATCGTTGAATTTCTCGTCGCAAATCAATTGATTTCCTGATGATTAATCAATTATTTCGGCAAATTCAATCAATCAATCAATCATTACCATCAAGCAGAATATTCGAGATTTTCCTGCTAAAAACGCGCGGTCTGAATCCGGTGATGTTGTTGTGCGACAAATCCAACCAGAACAACTTCGTCAATCGATCAAACGTGCCCTAAAATCAACTTGTGAAACAATTCAAAAGTTCACGTCGAAAACCTCCGCAATATCGCTAATCTGATTATGCCCCAAATCAAGAGTGGTCAAATGCAAAAGCTGCGGAAACGATGAAGCGTCCAGCGACGTCAGCGAATTATTGCGAAAACTCAACTGTTGCAGATTTCGCATTCCGTCAAGCATTCCGCGCTCGATTTTCGCTATCGAGTTGTTGCCGATGAGAAGAACGATGAGCTGGTCAAGCGAATCGAACGAGTTGCGCGAAATCTGCACGATGTTGTTGTTTTGCATACTAATCAGCTGCAGTTTCGGGTTGTTCGAGAACGCCAGCGTTTCGATTTTCGCGATCAAATTGCCATCGACACGCACTTGCTTCAAATTCGGCAAATCTTTCAGTGAAGGCAGCTGAAACAAAAAAAATCGATTAATTTAGAATCTTAAAAAACAAGTTTTATACCGCGTAAAGCGCATTATTGCTAACATCGAGAATCTCCAAATTCTTAAACGCTTGCAGCCGATTACCATCCAAACTCGATATAATATTGTCCTGTAGGTACAGGTACTGCAACTGCGGGACATTCATAAACGCCATCGGATGCAATCTCCTCAACATGTTGTTCTGTAAGCGTAGCTCTCGCAAATACGGCAAATTCATCAATTCGAAATTGTTGATCTAAATCATTTTTTCTACTCTCAATACCGATCTCAACACATTATTCCTACTTCGCTGATATTATTGCTGGCGAGATCAAGGTACATCAAATTTGCAGCATTTCTGATGATCTGCGCTGGAACACTGTCGAATCGATTATGACTCAAATCGATCAGCATTATCGTTGATTTCATTGCATCCAGAGTTTTTCTAAAATGGTGTTCATGTGAAGGCATTCAATTGAAAAAAAAAGAAACGAACGGTGGAATTTCGGAGATTTCATTGCCCTCAAGTCTCAGCTGAGTCAATGAGCTCAAATGGGACATCGACTTTTCAGAAACTGTCGAAATCTAAACAAATCCATCAACTCGAATTGGGTTTCCTGTAGATGATTAATGTAAAACCTGGTTGGAATTCATATTCAACGAAAGCAACGATTTGAGTTCTCCAAACATTGGCACCGATTTGAGGTGATTCCCATTCAAATTGAGATGCTCCAACGTCTTGTCGATTCGTTTCCATGCCTTCAAAACAAAACAAAAATCGAGGTAATCGTTTTGTTATTTACTTTCGCCCAATTTCCCTTTTGCCCCTTTTTTTCTGGTACGCAACATAACGAGCGTATTCGTGCGCGTGCGACCCTCTCCTAGCCCAAAGTCATTTCGCGCGGCAACATTTCGAAAATTCGTAAGCGCGACTTTTCCACCAGCCGTTCACTTTCACCATCATACTGACCCACTTTTTGTCATTCCCAACATTGCGGCAATGTCCGATGGTTAAGCCTATTCGACGACGACGCCGACGAAATACACAACGGCTATTTTCAAACTAGTCGACACACGGGTAATAAAAACGTCGGGAGAAAATAAAAACAACTCAATGAGGTTTTGTACTTTGTTTTGCAGTTATTGAATTTATTCAACCTATGATTCCTCCAATCAGGATGTGAATTCTAACAAAGCGTTCAGCCGAGAACAACTCTTGATCCCAAATATTGAGGTCTTACTGACTAATCCACATGTCAAGTGCCTTCTTGAACATCTCGGTTTAACACCGAATAAAAAAACTCCACCTCGGCATAACAAAAGATGTTTGGCGGCGCGAGGAAGACGAGGACAAAAAAAATGCGTCGAGGCAAATTCCTCTAATCTGCGATGACATCCCGTGGAGAATCGAAAGGCACACACACACGCGCTGGTACCGAATTGCCTTATCGCAATGGTTAATCGAGAATTGAGGGTGGTGGTGGATTTCAACGGAAATGATCGTCGATTCAACGACAATAACATAAAAAAAGGGAAAAGTGTAATCTTCGAAACCTACCCCCGGCGAAATCGTTTCAAGACTCGAGTTCACGATACTCAGAGATCGAAGCCCATTAAATGGAAAAGCATCGATCTTGACATCCTTGTTGTTAACAACGCTGAGCTCGTCGATGGTCTTGGTGCCGAGCTTCTGCGCGATTTCAGCAATCGAGACGCCATCGCAACTCACTGATACCAAGTGTTTATTCATCTGAAACAATTTGGGCGATTAAAAAAAATGACAATCGCAATGAGACGCCTCACTTTGCATGCACATTTTTCCGGCACCTGCGGACACGACGGAGCCGATGAGTCGGCCGCCGACGCGAAGGAGAACAGCAATGGCAACAGTAGAACGAATTTCATTTTGCAACCCGCTGGTGTTAATCGGGTGTTCTTCGAAACTGAAACCAAATTCAAGTTTTTTTTTAATCAACTCGAAATTCTTACAATAATTCCCCGAAGGGGATTTATGCAGTCGGCTCGCCAGTCTTCTTCTTTTCAACACTGATACTACGAGTTCAAAACCAAAATAAAACCTTGTCGATGATCGCGAGTTATTAACGAGAGCGCGTCAGTGTGGCGAAATAACGGTGTGCCTATAAATTAGAATGAAACTGTGATGATGGTGGTTGTAATGTAAGAGACGATATGAGTGCGATTTGAAAAAAAAATACTGGGAACAACTGTTTTGATCGGAGAAGTATTTAAAAATGACATCTTCTTCTCATCAAGAAATATCTGGGTCAGTGTTCTGAACGAGGAATGATATCGAGACATTGAAAATGCAAAAAAAGGGCGAGGGTTTTGTTGTAATTTGGAAATTAGCGCGATACGCGTCTTCAGTTTGTGTGCTTTTTTCTTCTTCTTCCTCGATTTCGTTACCGACTAAAAAAGGTCACTGATAGGCGGAAATATATGGGTTAATCCAATAAGCGGCGATGAAACGAAAACAAATTCAATACACGTCGTGAAATTTGCAAATTTCGTCCATTGATTTCAAATGTGACGCGAGAAAAATTGCGCGCGAAGTTTACAATGAGAAATCGACAAGCAGCTTTTGATCTACCAAAATTGAAACGTTTGAGACCTAAATAAAGAAATTGGTTTGGGATGAATGTCATGAAAGACAATGACGATTTTTCGCACTTTGTTGTCACAATTTTATGACCAAATGAATTGTCTTTTCTAGGACATTTTCTAGTTGACAGCTGGCTGGCGATTTACAATGTCGTAAGAATCGAATTAAGGTTTCAACAAGTTATTGAAGTTATAAAATCTAAATTATTCAATAAATAATCCGACAGGGAACTTTGAAACAAATTCTATTAAGGAAAAATCAAATATGGCTTGAAAACCCCAAATTAAAAGAGATTTTGATTTTTAGATCAATCTAAATTTCGCCAAAAACTAGAAAAAAAATAGTGAAAGAATGAAAATGTATCAAAAGTTTGGGTCATCTTTTGCGACTTTCCATTTCGATCTACTTACATGAATACAGGAGAATATAATTACAATTCATATATAGTTTCGCGAGAGGATGAAATTGCGGCGAACCGGCAACACGATGATAATTGACAGTTTTGAGAAATGCGACAATGATGATGATGATATTGTTATTGATATCGGATTTGCATTTGTATCCATGTTTTCGCGCAGACGTTTCGGATCGTTGAATAGTGAGTCATTGGAAGACCCCCCCCCCGGGAACAGGCTAACAATTGCAAATTGGGGGCAGCATTTTAAAACACATCTCGATTCAATAAAATTGTGGCTACGAATAAATGAAACGGATATAAGCCAATTCGGCTTCCACAAACTAGCCATATGAATTGTACAGTAAAAACCAATGGCAAACGAATCGAATCCGGGAACGTCAGTTTCTGATTCGGCAAAAAGCCGGTTTACTGTTCGACGGCTCATAAAACATGCGAAAGTTTTCAGTGTTCGTTACCGCTTTCTTTCCGATGATGACCAAAACAAGTTTGCCGCACCTTGACCAATAATAATCCCCAATAATACCACGAAAATTGCCACCAAACGACTATGAAAATTAGTCGGTCAGATCGCTACCAACTGTTGAATATAATAGTTTAAGACATAATGTAAAAGACAGACGACTTGCGTAATAAAAAAAAATCAGAAATTAGACTAAATTATTAAAATTGCCGACAGCTGGTTGTCTTAGACGATATTAAATTATTATTATCAAAAATATTTGCAAGTGTTAGGGTAAGCCGATAATTGGACATAAAAATCATCTGAAAGAAAAAACAGAACAATAATAATGTGAGGTAATGTTTGGCTTTTGTGTTGATCATCAGGCTGCGAGCGACACTCCAATTTTACCGAAATGGGCGGGGCTTTGGCGGGAAAGTGACGGATCGCCGGAGAAGATAAAGTGAAATTATTGGGGGCAAGGGCGGCCGCCAAAGTCGGAATCCTCATATCGTGAAGCGCTATTTTCCAGGATTTCGTCCGATGCCTCCTCACTATTGCATTATGTCTTCTCGGGCGCGAAGGGGGGTTCAAAAGCAGATTACAGGTTCGAGGATTGATTGCATGGAATTCGCCTTTGAAACATTATCAATTATCAAATACAATTAAGATTTAGAAAATTCAAAAATTTACTATCTAATTGAGAAACGACCACAATTTAAAAGACTAAAAGCTCAATAAATGAAACTCGACATCTTGACCTACTAGGATATTTCCACCAAAAATACGGGTTCCAAATAGATCTAAAAATTCTAGCACACATTATTTACAAATTTAAGAACTTGCAGCATCAGAAAAGCGCATCAGAAAAGTGATTTATATAAATTTTGGGACCACAATATTTATAAAATACTTTTAGAGCGCATTGTTCTCTTGTGTGTACCCGTGTTTACGTACATGCGCAAGAATTGACGAGACGAATAAATTAATTTTTTAAATATTCGTGATCATTTTCACTGTTTATAGTGATCAAAATAAATTTCTGCAATTTTAACATTGAAATTATTTCATTTCTAAACTCTTCGTGCCATACTGTAATCTGTTTTAACAAATTTATTGTTTTAGGCGAAATTTTGTTTTTTGTTTACACTCTTCAATGGAGCGCACATTCAACCCTCTTCAAATTTCGTTCTTTTTCGAACCAATTTTCCCAACGTCAAATGTAAACGCTAGTTTCCCCAAATGAGGAAGCTTTAAAATTCCACTAACTCACTTAGTAATTAAAGAATTCCGAAAAAAAACAGTGAAATTGTATTAAAAAAAAGACGTGAATGTTTGATCGAAAAAAAAATTTAAAAATTGGTTTGAAAATAGATTTTACTAAAAGATTATAAATCATTTATTTGAAAAACACTGATAAATACCTGTAAGACTCTACTAAAAACATAAATCGACGAGCCTATGGTTATAATGCAATAAATTATAGACATTATCATTTAAATAGCTTGCTTCTGCTTGTACTCATTGTCAATCAATTTCGCAATAGTGTTCAATTGAATATTTGATGTTCCCTCATAAATAGTTCCTGAAATAATTATAAAAGGTCTTCAAAACACCTAACCAGTGAATTCATACCAATTTTGGCGTCACGGTAGAACTTCTCAACAGGGAATTCTTTGGTGAATCCAACACCTCCGAGCCATTCAATACATTTCGATGTAGTGTTTGTAGCAACCTGCGATGCATAGAGTTTCGCCATCGCAGCCTCCTTCACAAAATTGATGCCATTCTCTTTCAGACGCGCAGCGTTGTAAACCAAAAGCCGAGCGGCTTCAATTTCAGTTCCAATTTGGGCAATTTGGTGTTGCATTCCCTTCATTTCAAACCGATATATTATTGATTCTCTAATAAACCACCAACCTGGAAATCAATAAGTCTCGAACCAAACTGCTCTCTTTGTTGCAAATATGGAATTGTGTTGTCATAGCATCCCTGAGCAAGACCCAACATTTGAGCACCAATTCCAATTCGACCAGCGTTCAAGCATTCTATTGCATACTTGTAGCCTGAAAATCGAATTGATTTTAGATGGGTATTACCGGGCTATGGAAGATTCTGGAGCCAACAAGCACAGAAATCCCACTAGAATGTCTTGAAGGCAAAAAGCTAGCTGTAGGTAAGCGGCGATACAACAAATTATCATTCAATGAGGTCCATATTCAGACGTCAGTATTTGGATCTATCAGGCCCAAACAGCGTATCCATCAGACCAACCCTATCCTCATATCCGATTACTAATCAATCGTCTGTGTAAGCTACTATATTACAAAATTCGACCCGTGTTTGTTTTTGATGGTCCCGAAGTCCCAGCACTAAAGAAAACCATTTTGGTATGATATCAATTAGAAATTAGCATCAAAAAGTGATTTTTAGGAATCTAGGCGATTGAAAAAAATTCGCAATGATGATATACTCAGCAATTCCAAAAAGATGCACCATTTGAAGCAAATCGCCGCCGGAGAACTCAACGAGGACGAATTTCAGAAAAGTCTGAAAACTGTTATCAGTCCTTCGAAGCGAACAGTTCTCAACGATATTTATAAGGATGTCCCAACAAGGTGATTTCTCATTTTTCCAATTATTATTGAATTGATTTTTTTTCAATATTTTCAGTTCTATTGACACAACCCCTTCACAAGACATGATGGATCGTCTGTACGTTGAAGAATCTTCCGATGAAGATGACGAAGTCATTTTTGTGAATCCTGATAGGCCGATCAAAGAAGATCTCGAAAGCATTCCAAGCACCTCGGAATCATTACCAGAATCGTTCTACGAATCCGTCACAATGGCAACTTCGAAGCGGTCTCATCGCGAAAATATTGACAGATTAGTGGAGCAACGGGAGCGAATGCGAAAAACGCGACTGAACCCGTCGATGATTCCGAGTGATTCCAATGATTTCAGCAAATTTCAATTGCAGCGCATATTGAAGCGAGGTAGACTGAATGCCGAAATCGATAAAGTATCCAAGTATGAGATGGAAATAAATTAAAATGATTTAATTAAGATGGCAAAACCATCTTTCGGAGCAACCGGAAACGAGCGGATCAATGTAACTGGGCCAGATGGAACACAGCATATTCTTAAATATGCCAACAGCGATGAGATTCAAGTAGATATTTTGTAGTCGCTTAACAATAAATAAGGAATTTCTAGGTTATTGATCAGGAAAAGCCTAAGAGAGACATTAATATCTACCAGGAAGCTGATAAAGGCACTTCAAAAGATAGCCGAATTGAACTAAGTTTGGATTTATTCTCGTCAGTATATTGTGATTCCAAAGAAGACGTTACGGTGAAATCGGAACCGATTGAATTTAAATTTGAAAAGGTAGAATGACTTGGAACTTGCAACAAAAAATAAACAATATTCGCACAGAAGTCGACGTCTTCAACAGATGCCGAATATCATAGCAAATCTGGGCTTTTAGAAGCTATTGCAAGGAAACGAATCAAATTACATTATGATGAAACTAAGCATCAGAAGGACGACGATGAAAGCAGCGATGATTCATTCATAGGTAAAAATGTTAGTATTAAAATGTGAGCATTTGAAGATTAGATGTAAGCGATGATGAGCAAACCATAAAGGCGATCATCGATTCAACGTCGAAATCGCAGAGAAATTTTGAAAAAACTCCGGAAAAGGATCAACAAGAAGAAGGAGAAGAAGAAGAATGGGATCCACAACGATATGATAAAATTGAAGGAAATGAAAAACCACGAGAAGATTATGTTCGCCTCGATTTCGAAGAAGACGCACACACGCCAGAATTGTATCGCGATCTTCAAGAATTTCTAACAAACTGCGGAATTCCGTGGATCGAAGCGCCTGGTGAAGCCGAGGCTCAATGTGTTGAGCTTGAACGTCTTGGCTTAGTCGATGTACGTTTTTCTTTCATTTTTCGCATCAATAAATGCATATCGAATGATATATGTATAGGGAATCATTAGCGATGACAGCGATGTTTGGGCGTTCGGAGCTCGTCACGTGTATCGACACATGTTCGCGAAAAACAAGCGGGTTCAACGATACGGGATCAAGTCGACAAAAAACGCAAACAGCAATTTGTTTTGTAGGATGTTTCGATTAGACACCCAAACCAACACGATCATCATTTGCAGGCCTCCAACGCGAAGATTACATTAGCATCGCGATTTTGTCGGGCGCCGACTATTCAGCGGGATTGAATAAAGTCGGCGCGGTCGGCGCTTTAGAATTGATTTCCGAGTTTGTCGAAAAACGAAATGGCGACAATGATGAATTGCGGGTTGTCGAACAAAGGGTATCAATATTAATCCCCCACTTTTTTTTAATGCATATTTTGAGATCCTGACGCTTCTTGATAAGGTTAGAAAGACGTTTATATGTTCGGCTGAAGAATTACCATCGTTGAATGTTAGTCGAGAGATCGTGATTCTACGTCGTCATGTTCAGGAGAGCAACGACAGCGATGCTATTGAATCGGTTGAGCCATAACCTTTACAGACATCTTTAATGTTGTCATATATTCAGATTTGCTCTAACAAAGATGCTATACGGGCGTATTTGCATCCAACTGTCGATAAATCAACAGAAGTTTTCAAATGGCGTCGTGTGAGCATTGAGCTGATTCGTCAAATTCTCAACCAAAAGCTGAATTGGCCAGAGGAAGGAAAGTACGAGGAGAAAAACACCATAGACGCACTAGAACGATGGAATGAGTTCCTGGCAAAAGGCGGAAAATCGCAGCATCGTCTTGACGCATTCTTCGCTCAACCTTATGATACTACGCTGACATTGGCGTATTCAAAGAAGGTCACCGACGCACTAACAAAGATATCGAAGAAATCTCAAGGTTGGTTGGTTCTTAATGAGTACGTTGAAATATATCGTCGTTTAGGTGTGTACATGGCACCAAAGGAAGCTGAAATTGATAAAAAGAAGGCGGAAAACGCTGTTGGAAAACTAAAAACTTGGCCAAAGAAAAAATCTGGTGCCCAAAAACGTAGGCGTGGCAAGAAAGAAGCGGCGGCACGAAAACCACCGGCAAAATTAGTGCTTTCCGAAGAAAGCTCAGATGATTCCTTCTAACTTCGATGTAAATAATATGAATGTTTTAACTTGCCTTTCTTGAATTCGCCGAGAATTGCTGATTTGTGCACGCGAACGTTGTCAAAATGCACTGGGCACGTTGAAGAAGCACGAATTCCGAGCTTGTCTTCCTAATTGGCAAAAAATTAGAGTCATAAAGTTCGCTGAATGGAAACCTTCTTTCCGACGGTTACTCCAGCTTGATCGCGATCGACAAGGAAGCATGTGATTCCTTTGTATCCTTGGCTCATATCCACATTGGCAAACACAAGGAAGAACTTGGCGTGACCAGCATTGGTGATCCACATTTTCGATCCTTAACAGAATATCGAAAATTCCTTTAAAAAAATACAGAATTTACCAGAGATGAGAAAATCGTCGCCGTCTTGCTTGGCGGTGGTCTTCAATGCAAACGCGTCGGATCCTGAGCCGGCTTCAGAAAGACAGAACGATCCAACGGCATCGGTGACAATTTTCGTCAAGTATTTCTGCTTCTGCTCTTCGGTTCCCAATGAGATGATGAGTGGAGCGACAAGTGTGTTCTGCACGTCGACGAACACCGAAACCGACGGATCGACTTTGGCGAGCTCTTCGATGACAAGAATCGCCTCGAAGAAACCGCTTCCTGGTCCGCCGTACTTCTCCTCAATCTCGATTCCCATGAGCTGAAATGAATACTCATTATTTTTTTCGCTTCTTCTGAATCTTTAAAAATAGATGTCTCATTCATATATATTTTTCGCTCAATTAATAATATTCACCCCATTCTCAAATGTTCCTGTGATCACCGATTGATGCATTTGGGATTTTTCGTCCATTTCACGGACCAGCGGCTTGATCACATTGGTGGCGAAACGACGGACTAAAAAAAACGTGTGGTTTTCAATTTTTTCGTAAAATTTTCTACCAGTTGAGACGACCGAGTTCTCTTGTTCAGAGAGTTGATTGACTGGTGGAGGTACCTGTCCCTCTGGAAGCACTCTTGGCTTCGATGAAATTTGGCGAGTGGCCAACGTTGCTTGACGGGCGAGAAGAAGGGAAGTTCGGCTGACGGACGACATCTAAATGAGTATATATGATTCGATTCAAGATCACCAACGGCAGTGGAAAAAAGTGAAACGATATTTATAGGCAGTTGGAAACACTCTGGCGAATGGTTAATGATGAGTGAACAATGATCTTATCTGATAAAACTTGATGGAACAAAATGTTAGAGACTCGTGAAGAAAAATGAAAAGTTATAAGAGACGCAAACAAGAAAAGTGCTAGCGAGCGAGATGGCCGTGCGTTTTAAATGTTTGGACGGGCTCTATTTATTTTTAATAGAAACAATTCGTTATGGAAGGATAAAAATGATCGAAAAGTCGGTGAACGGGAGTTCTTAAGAAGAGAGTGTCTCTCCAAGTCGATCGTTTGACAGGTGTTATCTTATCAGTAGGTCGAACTTGAAGTTTTCGATTTAAACGTTGGTCTTGTTGTTTTGATTTGCAGGAATTAACAGATGACACAATTGAAAATATTTGAAATTGGTCAACATTTGTTTTTGTGCAGAAAACTTGAACCTAATATTTCCCGCACGAGACAATCGGTTTAAGGCATAGAAAAATTATTAATATTAAGAATTTACTAAAATCCCTAACTACAATACTATAACTACAATACTTAAACTATAAACTATAATAAATACCTGTGAATGTAAAAATGATATATTGACCTCCAGAAAAAATTGGCGAAGTTGAAAAATCGCGCATGTACGCAAACAGAATTTCTTAAATTTACACATTTATTACTAAAAATTTATCCCATTTTTGTTTGCTTTAAAGTGTCATTATTACCAGAAACTATTTTTTTTTTCAATCGTAAAAATTTTTGGATTGTTTATTCGCAAAAAATGTGCGCCTTGAATTATTGTGGACCATCGCACTTTTTCGAAGACGTAATTCGAAATTGAATTAAATCAGTCGGAAATCGAGTACCGTTCCACATTTATTAATCATTTTCAATATATTCTCGATCCATACGGGAAAAACGGTGGTGTTTCTAGCAGAGATTTTTTTCTGCCGTTTAATATGTAGTTGGAAACTATTCCGCCTTTTCAACCAAGCGCGAAAAACTCCGTCGCTTTTCAGGCACCGATTGCCGAGTTAATTAAAAAACTGTAAATTATAGAAAAATCAAAGTTTTTTTTTTTAAATAGATTGCCTTGTGACTTGAGCAAGATTACTAATTTATTTTCAAATTTTATATTATGGACCTATTCATGCAGAAAAAATTTTTAAAATTACTCATTTGTGCAGAAAGAGTAAAAAATAGGAATTTCGTCAAATACAATAATTTTTAAACATTTTTTTTGTAAAAAATAATATTTCATAGATATTTAGGTCCTTTAGTCGTCTGAATTAATCTGAGTTCGTGACCCAATACTTTGAAAATCTAAATATTAAACGAACACTAAACATTTTCTTAATTACCAACAAATACGCACAGCTCGTCAACATACAAAACACATAATGAAAAAGTTTTTTTTTCAATTTTCAATATTATTCTTCATCTTATTAATTTATATTTAATAAAAATTGATTTCAGAACAATATTGCTTTGCAATGCCGTCGGACAGCCAACTGGTCAGGAGGAAAAAACGTAATAAAGCGTGAGTCTCGTTATTTTGTGTAAAATGTGTTTCTTTTTTATTTATTTATGTTCGTCGAATATACTTTTTGCATTTGTGCCACTCAAAAGAAAATGTAAAATCGTCATTTCATGCATTTTGAACGGAATGCCCAAGCGCATCAATGTTTCACAAAATATTCGACCTCTCGCAATTTTCAATTCTCTGTGTTCTCACCAAAAAAAAAAACATGAACGCCAGCGATGATGTGTATGTGTGCGGCCTGAAATTAGCTAAATCATTTCGAATCACACAGTTTTCGAACAATCGCATTCAATTTCGTTTATCTCTTTTGTCAGCGCTGCGTCTCCGCTTCTTACGCACTCTCTCGTGTCACCCAAAAGCGGAGGGGACCATCTGCCGCTTTTCTGCCATGCCTTAAATGCATCGATCCCTTTTCAAAATGGACTCCTTCGCTTCTCTGCGTCTAGCGCTCCAGAAGTTCCCGACGAATTCTTTAGTGTCTCCTTTCTTCCTTTTTTGACTTTCTTTATCATTTTATAACGAGCTGCAAATCATTTTTCGATAGAAGGGTCTGTGGTTTCCATGACAATTAAGGCATACATTTTTGCAAACATTTCTTTTTATAATTTCGCAATCATATCAAATTTTTCAGATTCTAATCACCTACAATATGGATTAAGCAAGGTTTTCTTTTTTTTTCCTCTCATAAATCTGAAATGTTTTAAATTTTTTGCAGCAATGCCTGGAAAATCTCCGTCGGCAGCAATTTCGCCGTCGTCCAAACTTTCTGTTCAGTTTTCAATAAGAGAACGGGATGTGATCAAAGCGATTTTAGAATTCCTCGAACTCCGCGGCCTTCACATTGCTCAGGTTTATCTAGAAACAAATAAAAACAAACAATTTTGTGTTTCAGTTGTCGCTTGAACGTGAAACAGGAGTTATCAATGGAGAATTCTCCGACGACGTGTTATTTCTTCGCCAATTGATTTTGGATGGACAATGGGATAACGCGCTTGATTTTGTGGAACCTCTCAAATCGGTCAAGGAATTCGATTTTCAATCATTCAGGTAAAGAAAAATCGCATTTGTTTGAGAACATCTACCGTCTAAATAAATAAACCGATTGAGTGCAATATATATATATATAATGAAAGTGTATAAATAATTTTTCACAAATAACGGGAAGTGCTTTTTTAGAGAAGATACTACGTGGTTGTAACGTTGAAAAATGAAAATTTAAAAGAGGAAAAATTTTTCCTATTAAATAAATCAAAATTGCGCTGAATGTCGATTTTATTACAGATATAATCTGACGAAATACAAGTTTTTTGAGCTGCTTTGCGTTAAACTCGAACCCGGACCGTTGCATGATAATGATTTTGCTGTCGAGGTGACATTTCGATATTAATATTCTACTATATAACAATTGATTCTAGGAGCTTGTTGAATGCCTCAAAGATCTTGAGCACATCTGCCCGTCACCCGAAGATTATCGTCATTTGTGCGCGCTGCTCACATTGCCGAAACTCTCAGATCATGACGATTTCAAGAATTGGAATCCGAGTTCGGCGCGTGTTGAATGTTTCCATAAAGTGTTGGGATTAGTTGCGCATTTGTTGCCGCCAACCGCGAAAGAGAAAGATCGCGTGCAGGAAGAGCACTCGACGAACGACCGATTGTTCGCGCTGATTGCCAAAGGTCAATTTTACGAAGGATGCGTTGATTACTGCCAAGCGCAGGCTATTGGCGACGTGCGCGGTACGATTTTGTAATTTTCTAATAAATAGTGTATCGAGTTCTTTTTGTTGTTATAGGCATTGAAGCTGGACCAACTCCATCGTCGTTGCTTTCGAATCGCGCGCGCCTTTCTGCGACCGATTTGTCATTGGTGTGTTGGCTGGAAATGGTTAGCAAAGAGCAATTTGCGATGCCATTTAAACAGAAACAACTCGATCTCAAAATCGAGAATCTCCGAAAACCGCGACTTGAGGCGCAATGGACTGAAACAATCATGGCGACACCGATCAAACCCGGCGGTCATTTTCCGCACAATTTGGTGCCGACATCAAAATTGAAGTTCGCTGAGAAGATGAGCCAATCGATGACGATGAGCATGCTGCCTGGTGTTGCGGATTGTATGGCGACGAGCGCATTCCCAACGGCGGTTAGATCGCATCCGATGTCGCAATCGACGGCCGCTGGATTCTGTTTGGGCGTAATGGATCCGTCAGCCGACGCAATGGCGCAGAGTCAATTAATCGATGAGATGATGGAATCCAGCCAGTTGGCGAAAACATCGCGGCCGGACACGTTGAAAGGTGTTCCCACACAGAATCCGATGGCTATGTCGATGGCTCCTCAGCTTCAAGCACCGATGGCGCAGAGTATGATGAATTACGATTTTACTCCAGTTAGGAGGCAATTGGACGAAATGGCGCGAAGGCATATTAGATAGCTGTTAGTTAACCAAATGTAAATATTATTTTGTTCAGATCAATGCCGCCTTCTAGAATTCCGACGCTGCCGTCCGTTCCCGAGCTCGCATCACCCAGCTGTCAGCAAGAAGAGAATCTTATGACGCAGAGTCGGCTATTTCAGCAGTTTTCGGCGACAAAACAAATTCGTAAGAATATTTCTTTTCGTTAATATCAAATTTAGTCTTAAACCGCTTCTGGCGAAATTCCGCGATTCAATTCGGAGTGCGATGCGGCGCATGAGAGTGCAATAACGTCGCGATAGCCATTCATTGAAACGCTATAAGACTTCCCGATTTATTTATATTGTTTTTAAGAAATGGGTTAATTACCTCATATGGAATGGTAGGACGGTGTTTCGCGCCGAAATGAGCGCTTCTTGAATATTGGGAAAGAATGCCGCGCGTGGGACGGTGTTGTGAAAACCGAGAAGCTCCATCGAATCGCGAATGGCGGCTTGAATATATTTTTAATATAAATCCAATTGCCGAAAGAGAATCGTCGTTTACCTGGAACGCCGGCGAATAGGATTTTGATGTTCTCGCTGTTCAAATCGCCATACACCTGTGGTTCGAAACTGAATCGCTCGCATTTGTCTCATTGATGTCATACCTGAGAAATACACGTGAGCATATCCTTGTCGATGGCAGTCACACCGCTGAACGAGAGTATCAGAAATCGGAGAATTGATTGTTGAATGTCGGTCGTTGGCTGCGTCTAAAACAAATGTTCGCGTCGTTTCGTTTTCACTGAGATCGATATCTCGATATTACCATTGAGGTGTCGGTTTCCTGTATAATTGTAATGTTTGCTGATAGATTGAATGATTCGCGAGCGGCGACACTCTCCTGCAATGAGAACTAGATTGATTGTGTGCTAGTAAGAGGCGCGAGCATCAGTCTCACCTTCGGTCCAACTGCCGATGGACACTGACTCCTTAATGAAGCTGTCCGAGTGCCGATGCCAATCCCAATGAGGCCTTTCACATTCACGGCTTGCTTATTGAGCTCGGCGCGGATTGCCTCGCAGTTTACTGATAATAATGGTCCGCCGAGACGGATTATTCGCACCGGGGTGTCCAAACAGTCACCCTCATAGCTGAAATTGATTGTCTTCTTCAATATTGCCTTAATTGATTATTTCGTCGCACCGGGTCTCTTCAGCGAAATGCGTCTCTGACAGCTTCGCGAGCACTTCGACTTGTGGCCATTGAACTCGAATTGCGACAGAGAAGATTGAGAGGAACATCATGAAGATGAATCCGGTGCAGACGTTGGGGAATATGATTGCGCTGATGATCGAGGACACGGCGAGAGCCTAGAATTCTATGAAAATTGGATTTTGAGCAGAATTGCCTACAGCATCGTACGACGATGAATAGCATATGCTTCGAATCGACTTGATATCGCTGTACCATCCATTGAATGATGTTATTACCATGACCCCAACAGCACACTGAAAATTAGGAGGATGTTTGGAATTGGGATAGTTGGATTACCATTGGTAACACGTTGATCAGTGGTCCGCCAAAGTAGATCATCAAAGCGGTTGGAATAAGAGAGAGGACATTTGAGACGAGGGAGAACTTGGAGGACTCGATGTTGATGTTGCTGCCACCGTAGCTGCTGCTAGGTGGAAGTAAACCGAATACTGATGAGATGAAGGAGATGATTGAGAAGCAGAAGAGTTCCTGCTTTCGGTGCACTTTATACATTTTCTCCATCGCTATCGACTTGGTGATTTGCATATGAGACGTCATTGTATATGTTGATATGGCGAATGAGTCAAGCAATGTCGAAAGTGTCGGCCAGCTCGAGAACTCGAGCGTCGGCACTGAGAGATCTTGAATTGTGGTGTTCGTCGGATCGGAGAACACGTAGAGAATCACTGTTGAGAGAAGAATTAGAATGAACTCGTGTGGTAGATTGAAGCCGATTTTGTCGAAGATCAACTTGCTGACGCGCCACCGAAACACGATCAATATTATCGAGCAGAGAATGGTGATGATGATGATGACAAACTCGGACGAATTCAAGCACGGCACGACGGCTTTGAAGCATTGAATCGCGCGTTTCACCTCGGTCGTCGAATTCGCGATGAAAAGTCCCGGCTTACAATCGCTTCCGCGAAACACGAGAAATTGTGGAAGAAATCGAACAATGGTCCGAATGAATAGGCCTATCGAGAAGCCGGATAATGATGACGTCGAGATGTAAGAATAAATAAACTCGAGCGGGAGCAAGAATTGCAGAAGCTTCAACAAACCAAAATCTGTTATTGAATGAGAGCCGACGGCGGCGGTTTACCTGTAATATCGCGCAGCAGAATGAAATGGTGCCGATTGTCGATGACGAATGAGCAACACTTGAGTAGATCATAATCGATGTGAACGAGAGGGAGCCCAACGATGAATGTTGTGCGGAGCCGAAGAAGACGTAGATCAATGGGGGGATGAATAAAGAATAAAGGGCGATTTGAATGTTGCCGATGAGGACTCCATAGCCGATGGCTTGTGGGAACAATAGAGCGGAAAGGTAGAGAGCGCCAAGAAAATCGCGCGGTAGGGTTTCCTTAAAACGCGAATAAGTGGGCTCATAAATTTCCCACGCAATTGTTGTTACCTTCACATTATACTTGTTGATCCATGTGCTGATTGGAAGAAGCTGCGTCCACGAATTTGGCGGCTGATAGAGAATCCAATTCTCGCCGATGAGATAATGTTTGAGGCACTCGAGATTCGTTCGTTTTTTGCGCACCTTGACGAAATTGTAGCGCGAATCGAAGTCGTCTTGATTGATCGAGCGTGTGGTGTTGGGCGGCGGGCCGACGAGAAGCGAGATTGAATCCATTCGCTAAAAAAACGAACGAGGAAAAAATCACATTGAAATAGAAAGGTTAACCGATATTGTGAGAAAGAGAAAGGCAAATGAGTCGACAAATCTTTCGAATAATTAATTTTGTTTCTGCATTAACCACCGCCACCACTTCTATCTAGCTTTCCAACGTCTGGGCCCTCCTTCGAAAATGAGAAGAAGAAAAAGTTTTGCTCTCGCGCAGAGAATGAAAAGAAGTCATAACGTGCAAATCAATGAATGGACTAATCGAGAAAAAAAAAGATATACGAAATTTGTTGCGCTTATAATATACGATGAATAATTAATCGAGCCATAAAGTGGGGCAATGATGAATGCCCTTCTCATTCATTTTCAAATATTCATCGGCATCTTTTTTTTTCTTGGCGATGATTGAAAAGAAAATTTGGAATATAAAGTGGGTGTGGAGGAGAGCCAAAAATGAGAGCATCGTTTCGTTATTTTATTTATTTGTTTTTTTTTTCACGACAACTGCGTAGAAAAAATTTTTTTGATTGAAATTTGATAGTGCTCGCTGTTCGTTTTCCTAATTATTTTCTATTACATGAAATTTGCGCGAGCGCCAACAAAAATGGGAATTGCGAACTTGAGAACAATTCCCCCAGTGAGGCGACGAGCGAGCCACCGAAATGACATCAAGAGATTCTATTTTTAATGTGGAGCAGAAAAAAGAAATTTTTTGCGGTCGACTTTGATTGTTATTAGTTATTAGTTGTTATTAGTATTGAAAATGATGTTTGAATATTTTTACCGCCAATAGACGGACTCAAATTTTGTGTGTGTGTGTGTCTATGTGGAACCCTGTTTGATGTGAATTTACGTAAGAGTGAATTTATTTAATTTTCCTTCGTGTTTCTCTACGCCTGTCTACTTTTTCTGAAATTTGGACTGGGATATCGTAACCTTAAAGGAGCAGTACAAAAAAAATAAAGAAATTGAGAAATTTTAAGTGAATATAAACAGAAAAAGGATCATTTTCCCTTTTTATTTTTATTTTCTCTACGCTGCCTCATAATCCGAATATAACCGAACATTCAAGAACTTGCAAACACATGCATAATTCGATTGTCTTTATATTAATAATTTAGAAATTCAATGTAGATTTCGAAAAACAAAAAGAAAAGCTCTTAAATCAGGTAAAAACCGTATAAAAATTCCCCAAAAACTAGATTTTTGAGTTTTTCGAGTTTTTTTTAATCTCAAAATCTGCATAATGTTACGTTGAAAAATTGAGGAATGGATTAAATTGTTTGAAGCGAGAAATAGACGTTGATCACGAATTGCTGGGCAATTTCCAAACAGGGTTGCGGCAAAATAATTTCTATATATCGGTGGATTTGAAATGTGCTCGTTTTGCGTAATATACTTACTCTGAGATAAACTAGAATAAGTAGGCTATTTGTCGAAGAAAAACGATTTTTTCATAATAGACCCTGCTGCTTTTAAAATGAAAGCTTTTGTTGAAAAATTAGGAGTTTCTATTATTCTGAAACAATAAAAAATTCAATAAAAACACATGGATATTGATTTTGGCGAGCACGCGAGTTGTTGAAGGGATTAACCGATTAAGAGTGTCGGTTGATAATCTTGGTTGAGATTAGATTATAGCGTTTTTTTTTCCATATTTGCATGTACACTTGAATAAATTAGTCATCGAGGCGAAGTGTTGAAGCGAATTGAAAAGGTGAAAAAGTGAGAAACAATGGAAAGCAGTCTGTGCGCATGTTTGATGAGACGACGGCCAGGAAAAAGCGTCGTGTTTAATTATGAAGCGGGTCTCTTGGACTCTTGGGACGTGCCGTCTGGGGGGGGGGATGGATTTCATTTTTTGAATTCAATCATAGTGAGCAATTTTGGCCGGGTTTTGAGCTTGATTTGCCGTTTTAGCGGAAATTATTCGGAAATTGATATTACACAAATCCGCAATACAAAAGGGCGCATTAAGATATTCATTTTATATTATTTTTTTTTTGAGAGGGGAGGGGGAATTGAAGAAATGCTCATCTATGTAACGGAATTGGTAAACAAAAAACATGAGGAAGCGCTTCTTCAAATGCGATTTTTGATTAAAATATAATTTTTTTTCCCTCTTGTATGCAATTTGCTCAACAACAAATTCGGCATTCATGGAAAACGATTAATCGAATTTGGGAATTTAGTTTTCTCAGTATAAACTTGACTTTCATTTCGAGCAGTCATTGTTTTTTTGGAATTTAATTTTTTTGGCATTTTCGATAAATTTTGAGGGGGAGAATTGCCAAGAATCGCGAGCCGTTGAGAACAACACACGCAAAATAAATGCATGTTTCGGCGAAATTCTCTAATCCGCAAATCTCGAAATCGTTAAATTTCAGCCGATCGACGAGCCACTGCCAGCCATTCGATGGTTCCGATGTATCAGAATGGGCACACGCCGATGGCTCCGATGAGCCTGCCGATAATGCCACCGCAGATGGCAGCCGGACTGCCGGTTCAGCAGCCGATTCGGCCGCAATCGATGATTGTGCCCGGAATGCACTCGACGCCGATTCAACATCACCAACATCAGCCGATGATGAACGCTGGAACGCGGCCGGTGTCGATGCCGGGCAACGCGGGCTTCTCGGTGCAATTCGTGCCGGTCTGTCGCTACGAGGACTCGCAGGCGATTCGAACGACGGCGTTCCACCCGTCCGGACAGTATTTCGCGTTGGGCACCAACTCGAAGCAGCTGCTCGTTTGCAAGTATCCCGATAAGCGCGCGACGAGGCCCAATGAAATGAAGAGTGTCGAAGTTGCGCTCGCACGACCGAAACAACATCGTGGTTCGGTGTATTGTCTGGGATTCAATCCGAACGGCGATCTACTTGCGACAGGCTCGAATGACAAGACGCTCAGATTGATGGCATTCAACGTCGACACGTGTCGAATAGGTAATTTGCACAAAATCCAGCTATTTTTCTCAAATATTTTTTTTTAAACCAATTTCAGGCGCCGAAATGGAATTGAACTCGCATGATGGAACGGTGCGCGATTTGATTTTCATCGACGACGTCGCGAATCGCTCGACGATTCTGGTGTCGGGCGGCGCTGGAAATTGCCATTTGAATGTGACGGATTGTAATACTGGCAAGCTGATTCAATCGATGCGCGGCCATTCGGGTAGAATTTGTTCGAGTTGTTGTTTCCATTCATTCGCGCGCTCTTCAGCACCAATTCTTGGATTGTTCTCATGGTCGCAAACCCAGCAGTTCGTCTCGTGCTCGCAAGACAAAACGATTCGATTTTGGGACCTCCGCCAACCGCAGCCCATCAACATCATTTCGCCGTCGACGAATCGGGCTCACAGCGCGCCGGTGACGTCAGTCTGCGTCGATCCGTCCGGAAAATTGTTGGTGTCTGGTCATGAGGACGCATCTGTCGCTCTTTTTGATATTCATGGGAATCGAGTTATTCAGACGTTTAGGTATTTCACGCGTCTTGTTTGTTTTATACACCGCTTCGCAATTATTTAGACCGCATGGCGACGAAGTGAGAACTGTCCGATTCAGCAATGCTGCTTATTACTTGTTAACCGCTAGTTATGATAAAAGGTGCGATTTCCTTGGGTTTTTTTTCTATCAACTGATTATGCATTTGTTAAGGGTTGTTATAACCGACATGCGAGGCGATCTAATGGCTCCTTTGATGTATTTACCTGTTGCTGAGCATTCTGACAAGGTTGTCCAGTGCCGCTGGCATCCACACGATTTCTCGTTTCTTTCTACAAGTGCTGATCGATCTGCTGTGCTTTGGGCTCTTCCGACTTCAAGATAATCAATTTGACACACGGGTTTTAAATTAATAAAAACAATTTATTGGGAACAAGTATTGAATATTACATGAGTATATTACATGCTATATGCTTAGCTAACAGGCTTACGATAATTTGAATGTAGGAGGTTCAACATCAGAAATGCGTATAATTGTCTCATTATTATTGTCCCTTTTTGACGACTGTACAGCCTTCTCCAGTGAATCTTTGATGGAATCCTAAGTGATAACATTGCTATTAATTGAAAATTAAATACGTTACCCGAACAATGCTCGATATTCTCGTGATGGCGAAACGACTCTCATCCATATCAAATGGCATTACGCCATGGTAAAGGCAGCACAAAATGCCGAGCGCGCCAAATTCCGAAACTCCGCCAACGTAGTGCTGACAGAATTGAATGTGAATGGGAGCTCGAAAAAGAGAATGGGATTTACCTTGGAAATAAGCTCGGTTCCTTTGTGATATTGATAGGGAAACTAAAATTACTTTGCCTTATACACAGGAAAAAGCGATGAAAGACAAACCACTCCGCTTTTTTTCGAAAGCGCATTGCAAAACTCTTGATGAACAGAAATCATGTCCGCGGGAAAGTTGGGCACCTTTAAATTTGCCAAATTTCTTTTCGTTTCGTCACATAGTTTTTTACCAGCTCGGTGATATTTTGTAAAATCGACACTCTTCCCATTATCAGCTTTCTTAGAACATTATAATACCTGAAAGTTCGTAATTTTGCTAACACTGGTAATAATAAGAATCATTACTTTGTAGTCGTCTCAACTTTCATTCCCTTAACAATAGCGTGCCAAAGCTTTTCCAGCTCTTCATAATCATCACATTCGAGACCTATTGGTGTAGTTTCAATGATTCTCGACATGTTTTCAGCTTCATCGTCTTCACTAAAAATTACCGGTGTTAAGCCATCTGCAACGCGCATATTTGAATAATGAATGTAGTAGACAATCAACTATTGTTCTCTTCGATTCCAAATTCTTCTATTTTTTCTATAGGGATATCAATCGAATCATTTTTCTTTTTGTATTTTCTTTTCTTTGGCATCTCATCGTCGTCCGGCGCCGCCTTTTTCCGCTTTTCTCCTTTCATCGTCATTGTCTAATTCAAATTGTAAGGAATTATATAAATCAGTTTCAAAATAATTTCCCAACACCTTCTTTTGTTTATCCTTGCTTTCATTCTCAGATTGTTTGCCCTTTCGCTGATTCGTCTGTTTCTCCTTGATCTAAAACAAGAATTTCAAATAAAGATATTTAAAAAGTCTGCCTTGCAGCGTTCCTTCGTCTTTTTATTCGCTAAATGCTGAAAACAATTTAAAAAGAATGGAAACTGAAACGGTATTGATACCTTCTCGATTTTCTGTCCGCCACTTGCCAATGCGATGACAGCCGCCTCTTTTGCCTTGCGCGGAGCCATCTGGTGCTGTGCTTCTAAATGGAACCAATGAATTGATTATTGATGAATTGATTCTCGAGAAAATAAGCGAAGAGGGCCGCGAATTTGAATTTTTGATGGCCGAAAATTTAAAAGAAGCGCGCTCCATTGCTCGAAATTACGGTAGTTTTAGCCTAAAAAATTTCGCGCGCCCCCCAAAAATCAAAATTTTGCCCCATTTTCGCGGACTCGAATCGAATTTGAATTTCATCGTCATCAATATGTGTTTCGATTATGCAATCATCATTTTCTTTTGCCTTTTCTCTTAATCTCAATGAAACAGAGTCCTTTGCCTTTTCCTTCTTTGAACAGCTTCAGAATTTTTGAATGTCATATTCCATTCTTTTATATGATTCTTTCATTTCTAGTTCCTGAATAGTAAACAAACAATTTTGAAATTTAGTTCGTTTTTGGTATTTCTAGCTTGTCGAAACTAGCATCTGTTAAATTCACCCTCATCAGATTTCTGTACTTTTCCAACAGCAACAATGTCCCTGTGATAAAAAATTTGTTGCACAATAAATTCATCTATTGATTTGAATTCAAATTATTCAAATATTGTACGAACAGCGCCGAATATAGAGACGTTCTGCGGGAAACAGCGGTCGTAAAATGAGGAATCGCGTGAGACCGGCAATATCAAAAGTTGTCTCGTTGTCGTTTTCTCAAAAAAAATCGTTGAATTGCTTTTGCAACGTATTTGAGATTCAACAAAAATCACGAATCACATTACAGTCGCTCTTTGAGGTATATGAATGGCGGCAACGGCGGAAAAGAGCTACAACTTCTCGATTTCCACCACCAACGATGTTGCAATATCAAAAGTTCTGATTGAAGAAGACGGAGATTCGAGAGATTCGGGTACGAACTTTTAAACTATATCAGTTTTGAACAATATTTTAGGGATTTCAATTTCGAGTTGCAACGAAAATGAGTTCGAAGAAACGAAAGCCGTTTACAAAAAGAGCGAGTTTCTGCCACTCCGACAAGCTCTCAGTGACTGCTCCAATCATGTGTCTAAAGCAATTGTACATAACACTTCAAGAAATTCATCGTAAGCATTTTGAGACTTCAAATCTCGAATTTCTTTTGATTCAGTCGCTGCGATACGCCAACAGGTCGAAAAATTAAGTCAGTTTTTTCTTCTGAATCATTGGATCAAAGCCAATATGATAAGCAGTTTCTTCAGAATCAGGTATGATTTATTATTTCTTATTGCCAGCAATCTGAAAATACTTGCAGAATTCCGCCAAACGTTATCTCGACACATCGTCCCGTAAAAGAAGTAGTAGTTCTTCATCGAACAGCTCAATCCACAAACGCAGCAAACAAGTCACCGCCGACGTCTATGATGTGATCACCTAATAGTTTGCGAATTGAAATCGTAACAAATTCAGGAAAATGATCCGTTTTGTCCGTTTGAGGAGCCAGCATTCCAACGGAGCAATCCAATCTCCTCTATTTCAATGTTTGACGTCTCATCTAATTTGACGGCAACAATTAAAAGGAGTTTGCACGATGAATCGAACGGATCGTTTCGCAATAGTACTGAAGCGGTTCAATACCAAGCGAAGGCGAGTCGAACCATGAGCGTCGGATTCCTCGAACCCGATGCTCCATTACCATCATGTCTCGAAGTGGTCAGTTAATGTTTGAAAATGGAAAATTGTTATATTGTTTAGAAATACCGCCTACCTGCAGTGGATAGACCTCAAAAAGAATCGCAAGCATTTCGCAGCATATCCCCAATGACACTATTGAACGAATTTCGAAAGCGTGGAGACGATTTTTTCTCAAAATTCGTCATTGTCGATTGTCGATATCCGTATGAATACAAGGGCGGTCACATTAAGGTACCAATTAGTTATGTCTTATATCAAATATTGGCAAATTGCAGGGAGCAGTGAATATTCATAAGCCGACGGATCTCGAAGCGTTCTTCTTTCCACATGATCCAGCGAATGTGATTTGCAAAAAAATTCCTATATTCTACTGCGAGTATAGTCAGAAGCGCGGTCCAGCAATGTAAAAAGGATCGATTGCTGAACCTGTAATGAATGCAATTTTCAGGGCTCATTTATTGAGATCGCTTGACCGTGTTCGTAATGAACTCAAATATCCGCATGTTGAGTATCCGGAGATGTATCTGCTAGACCATGGATACAAAACATTGTGGAGTGTAGAAGAATGTCGCGTAAGTATAAACGCGTGGCATTATTATTATTATTAAATTTGTCAATTTCAGGAGATTTGCGAACCATGTGATTATGTGGCAATGTTGGACGCTCGCCATAGCTCGTCGTTGAAGTTGTACCGTGGTGCCAGCCATCGATCTACGACTTCAATTAAGTCGTGTTCTGAGATTTCTGTGAGTGGAACAAAAAATCTTCGGAGATTAGCTTCGAAGAAAAACGTCAGAAGCTGTTCGTTGTTTGGAGTGAGTTGAGTTCGTTTTTGAATGAATTTCTTTGTTTTCTATTTAAAGATCAACGAAAAGTCGAGGACATCGAAATTATCATTGTCTTGCGAGTGGAATTCTGACGACGTGTTTTACGATCTGGATGCGCCACAGGACAGCATGATCATTTCGCGTTCAGTATCAGCTGTGGAAATTAGCACAATTTCTACAGATGAGGTAATTTAGAGCGAGGGATTGCTTATCAAGCGTTCAACATACCTATTTCAGATTGACCTCGATAAATGCTTGGAATCTGAAATTCCTGAAGTTAAGACATCACTTAAATGGATCGAAACTCCAGAATACCGGCAACCCGAGGAAAGTGTCGATGAAAAAGAAGCGCAAGATGAGTCGAAGTCGGAAACACCGATTTCATGCCTCGATTTCTCGTCACTTTCCGATACTGAGTGATCCTATGGCTACTAAGAACTTCTCGTTGGTTCGACTCATTCTAATCCCCATTCAATTCACTGTTGTTCACACCTCGTAGTAATTTTATCAACAAAAACATTGTATACCCTAATTTTACTTTCGCACCAATTTAAGTTAGAAAATTCACAATTCATTCATTTTTCATTATTAACCCTTTCACTTATCAAATTTTTAAAATCATTTATATGGGTACTCCTGAAGTTTCTAGTATCATTGGCAATTTGTTTGATATGTTTCATTTTTTTTCCACATTTCATTTTTTTTATGATGTATTATCGTTTCGCACGAGTTGTTCGATGTTTAACATTGTTAATTGTTGTGAACTGATCACTAAAACACATGTTGTTGAAATCCTGACGAATATGGTAGCAGTTATGTAATGGGACACTCCCACAGTTTCCTCAAAAAACCCCAAATTGACACACTGTACCATGTTACCCATTCTTTGGATCTTTCTGTTGTAAACGTTGTCGCTTTTCCTTTTTCTCTTCTCAATTTGTTGCGATTCACGCTTTTCAAGGACTTGATTCATTTCGATTTTTTTTTGTGAAAAAATTGTATGAAACAGATTCCAGGGAAGCGTGAATCAAACAGCTCACTTTCTGTGGCTTCGCAATTTGCGTTTCAACGCAATGAAGCTTTGTATCATTTGAAATCAAGAATATACACACATTCAAAACGAGCAACTTTTTAATACAAATTGACTACTTTTTAAATATATTAAAAATATTGACGTCAAACGACTGAAAGATGGCGGGGCCTTCAACTTATTGTTAGTCAGTGTGACTCGCAAAAAAATGAAAAACAAAATCAGAAGAAAGCTCTGGTAACTCAAAACCAATCGGATCCGACAAAATTCGACTTCGGAATCAACTCGATCCGATAGGTAATTCGACGGATAGGATTGTAAAATCATCGGTAATTTGTCGGATCCCATTCGAATTGAAAAATTAAAACAAAACAGATTCGAATAATAACCAGTTACCAGCGAGGTCTTAGTGCGCGGTGTGCGCCTTTAACCTATGCATTGGACTGTAAATCTTAATTGATAATCTTGCGCCAAGAGAACTGCCATTGATTTTTTTTTTGGAATTTTGCAAATTTTTCGCAGTCACGCGATTTAAAAAATTAGGATAATTTCAAATCGATTAACTCAAATATCATTAAATTTGTGAATTTCAGGAATCATCGCGGTTACGTCTTCGAAACGTCGTTGACTTCATGCCCAAAGAATTCATCTCACTTCTGTCGATAGAACAACTCTTCGGATAAAACTCAACATTCGTCGGCATTTTCGTCAAAATTGTGAATTTGCGGCGAATTTCAAATAATAAATGAGAATTAAATCGAGCATTTAGCCTTGAGATTTTCAGAATTCATTGATTATTGAATTTCTATTCATTTTTCTTTTGTGCGACCAACGAAAAATCGAGGCAAAAAACAAATCGATGGCTCTTTTCCACAATTTTCGTTTGAATTTTTTTGTTCACGAATAAATATACACAATCGCGCTTATTTTCCACGAATAATATCCTAATACGAAATGAAGCCCTTGATTAGTGGATGCTACGGTAATCGCGTGGGCCCCCGACTGCGGATTAAAATGAGGAGACTGCCAACCGGTGATCATCTCCATTCGCTCAGCTGCTCCTTCTGGACTACGGTACCCGATTGAGTTTCATGTCGTATCATTATCAAGCAGCAAATGATTTTTTCGACACTTCCAACAACCTGCCACAGGTTCACATTTTTTTCTTCGAAATCGCGTTTCATCACATTTGTCTATTGCAGGTTCAAATGCACAATGGATACACTGACTTCTATCCAGCCGATTCATCGTTAATGATCTCACAACTGCCGACGCAATCGGCGGTTATCCCGTCGTGTTCAACATTGGCGCCATCGATTCCTGTTCCGTTGGAGGCAACGTAAGCCAGTCGAATAGAATCGAGAAGGGAGGAAATGGCGAGGCGGCGAAAAATGGATGAGAGCAAAAAAAAAATTGAAACATGCACCACTTTTATACGCGAAAATTGTGAGGATTCAGAATCCCCGCGCGTGTTTGCAATTATGACTTTTGTAGAGTTTCATCGCTCCTCGCGATTCCCTTTGGTTCAACCTGATTCTTGTACGGCTGCGCACCTTGAAAGGCCTCTTTTTTATTTCAGTGCTTCGTATAGTTGGCGAGCCGATTGGAATCCGAACGGCGCCGTCACTAATTGGCCAATTAACTCGAATGAACCATCATCATCATCATCAGCGACGTCGACAGCGACAGTTTCAAATTATCGGTTGGTGCACAAATGTGCATTTAAGGATATATTGTTGAAATCGTGCGAATGAAGGGGTCCTACTGTAGCGTTGGGTCTCGCTACATGAGTGTCGATTTACGCGCGGGGGTATTTACATCCCACCATTAAATGGTGCGTTGTCCGTGTGGAGTACACAACGAGACCATTTCTGGTATTTAGCCAATTTAGTCGCGCGATTTCAACAATACTATTCTACAATATAATTTGTTCATGTTAACACACTGACGGAAACTTACAGACTATTAATCTCTTTATCTTAAAATTAATGTTCAAATTCCCTTAAATAAAATTATAATTATATGCATTTTATTTTACTAATGTAAGTATTTTTAAGAGTATTTTTAAATTTCAAAAAAGCGCAAAAAAGAAGTGGCGAATTTGGGTCTCGTTTTTTTAAACTCTTTGGAGCTATTTTTACATGTTCGAACGTTCATTATATGAAAAGAGCACACAAAATTAAAAACTAATTAATTTTTAAGTATTTTGGGTATTTTTTTGGTCCTTCCTTCCCATGGAAATTTCGACGAACACGCATGGCCGAACTTCTATGGCCGTATAAATTTTTTATTCAGCAGCAACCATTCGTGGGAGCTAAAATTTGCGTTTTTCTAAAAAAAATTTCGGACGCGAAATTTCAGAGTTCGGAGGCGTAGTGAATGAAGAACCAAGGCACAGTCGATGGGAAATTTTTCAGATAATTGTCTTGAATTTTCTATTTTTTTGGCTATTTTCACGTAAATTTAATTTACTCTTCATTCGTCATTTTGAATTTCTAATTAAAAAAAAAGAGCAAAAAATGAGATCGTAATTCTGCCGCTAGTATCTTATGGACCTATTCATGCATTTTTTTCATTTGAATTCCCTATGCACGCACGTCAAAAATTACAAAAAATTGACGCGATATATCGTAATTCTCCGCTATTTATTTTCAAAGGCGCACGCGAAAAGTTGCGCGGGTCACGTCGCGAAGTCGGTACTGTAATTTTTTTAATGGCTGTTTTTTTTTTTCGAATTTTTTATTTTTTGAGCGTTTAAAATGTCTTTTTTTGGAAATCTGTAAAAGTATTTTGCTTAATCAACATTAAAAATTCATCAGAAGCGTCATCGAGCGAAGTCTGCATCAAATCAGCACAAAAATCACTATTTCACATAATAATTGGTATCTAAATGACGAAAAATAGCCTTATATTGTGGAATTAGGTGTAATTATACCAATAATTGGTTTTTTTACCTCGTTCTTCAATCCGTCACTCATTTCCTCTACAAAATTTTTGAAAAATACGGAAAAATAGCACACAGAATGAAAAATAAAAAATACAGTACCGACTTCGCGGCGTGACCCGCGCACACTTTTCGCGTGCGCCTTTGAAAATAAATAGCAGCGAATTACGATAGATCGCGTCAATTTTGTGTAATTTTCGACGTGCGTGCATAGGGAATTCAAATGAAAAAAAATTGATTTTTTTTTAATTTTTTTCATTGCGTGAATAGGTCCATTATAGACCTATTCATAAATTATAAAAACTTTTTTAAAAGTACATTCAATGCCCATTTTTACACCCTTACGTTTGACAAATTTGTAATGAAAATTGTTATTTGTGTATTTCAGAAACATTGCTCAAAATCAATATTATAATGAGGCGACACCGGCGATGCCAATCCGACCGCTGGCGTCAGCGAAGAAGATGGACCAATTGCAGAAGCCGTTGACGCGATTCACGGCGAAGCCATTCAAATGTCATATTTGCTGCAAGGCGTTCTCGCAAGCCGCCAACCTGACCGCCCATAAGAGGATACACACCGGCGAGAAGCCGTTCCTTTGCTCGGTGTGCCATCGGCCATTCTCGCAGAGCTCATCACTAGTAACCCATAAACGGTGAGTCGTTGGAAACTCGCCACCAAGAAGAAAACCAGCTGCCACGCGTTGACACTATTGATAGTAATTTGCGGATTAGAGAGTATAATTAATTGTTATAGGACGCATACAGGTGAGCGACCGTATCCATGCACACAATGCGAGAAGGCATTCACCGATAGCTCGACGCTTACGAAACACTTGAGAACACATTCAGGTTCGAATTGACGTCAGCTTAAATCTCTGAGAATCACTGGCATTGCAGGCCACAAACCATACGGATGTCCGCTTTGCATGATGAGATTCACTCAAAGCGGAAATCTGCACCGGCACATGAAAACTCATAAAAGAAATTAATTGATTGATAAATGCATTTTTATATTGGAGAGGAAATTTGAAATAATTTCAATACTGAATAAAAGAAATAATATTTATTTTTCTATCGAATCCGACAATTTTGCCATATTATTCGTAGAATTACGAGTCCGCTAGAGTTGGAGACAAATTTTGTCGGATCTGATTGAGTTTTGAGTGATTTAAAAGAATTAATCTTGTTTATTAAGAAGTGATGATTGAAGGAATCGAAAGACGGCAAATGAGGCGGAAATCACACAAAAACTATGCATATCATCTTCTTGAAAACCCGTCATCAAAAAACATTGGGGAACTATATACATTTTGAGCAAAACGCCGAATGATTGTGATGTTTGTCACGGCATGGACATATCCGTGAAATTGTGCCAATTCTCGGCGCCGATGCGCAACTGAACAATTGCGGTTCCTTCTGAAGTACGCAATCGTATGGCGCCACCGGTGATCGATCATTCGGACTCGACGAATCACATTTCGGAAACACCCTAAATTTCCGTTGAAATTTCGCATATGCTAGAGAAAAAAACATAATACTCCTACCGTTTCAATGTATTTTTATTGTTGATTAGTGGAAAATGGGCCGGCTCACAAACAAGATGCTCACGGGAGCACGCAGATTCACAAGATTCTAGCGGTCCTCCAGTAACAATCTGAACAATCATCTTTTGAATTTCGATTTGTTTGCATTGCAAAATACCTTTAATGACTCATGAGGTGGCCAATTTGCTACCAAATTTGAACAAAAATCTTGTTTTTCGACGAAAACGCCAACCCTCAAAAGCATTCCCTGCGTTGTAAATTCTTCAGGAACATAGGGTTTCGGCTAAAAACATTTCCAACTTTTATAAATAATTGAAACAAATCCAAACCTTGAGCGTTTTCGCGTGCCTTATCGCCTTCCTTAGTGCATATGGGTCGTTGATATTTGTTGTAATGACATACGGCAGCCCGATTTCTTCCATATATGGGCATTGGCTAGTGTACTGAAACAAGATTCTAATCGGAATTTGAGAAAATCCGACAATACCTGGCGAAATGTCGGCTTCTCACCAAGAAATTTATAGTTTATACGATTTTTTGCCACATCAAAATGAGCATTAATGAAGATCGCTCCATGAGCAATTGCTTCAAGCGGCGCGGGACCTGAAAAACCATAAAATCTTGAATAAAACAATTGATATGCAATTTAGCGAAAAAAAACCTTCTAATGGGAATCCTAATCCAAAAAACAAATGGACATCATCGAGAAGTTTCGAAATCGCGCGCGAATCCAAAAATCCATGATTTGTGACATTCTCGAACATGAGCTCGGTTTGATCATGCTCAACGTCGACAACGGTTGCGTGAATATCGACGTTCTCCTCGCTTAAAACGCGAATAGCGGTTTCGGCATTTTCCCACATATACTTTTCCTGAAAATTTAGCCCCTAATAAAATGTTTCTCCCCATTTTCAATACGTACTTTTCCATAGATGAGTGCTTTGAATTTTTTTGAGCTTTTCGTAATATTCACATCAATTTCAGAAGTGTCAACGACGAATCCAAGAAACGTATTATCGCTGGTATGCGGATAGAACGTCCAATGTTGGCGAAGGTTTAATTCAAGATTTCCCCACTGATTCTTTCTGGCTGAAATTGACAAAAAAAACCACTGAAATGTGACACCGTAAATCTAGCAACTTTCTACTATTGGCTGCGCAAATTTCTGAAAAAATTGAGGCGTTGAAAACTCGACATGCGTTCCAAAACTGTCAATAAGTCGAAATCGGCATCTGAAAAAAAAAGTATTCAATTAATTTAAGAAAACCAACAATTTCAACCTATTATTGCTTGTATATTGTTTTTTTCTTTTTCGAAAAATGTGAAAGCCCATTATATCAGTGAATATCAAATCGAAATTGATGACACTTGCATCGCACTCATTCGAATTTTCAATCAGCGACATTTCTCTTAAATTATATAACAACATATTAAGATTTCATTTAATGTGTATTTCATACGTTCGAAGTGCTTTGACACTCGTCGCCACCGTCACATTATGTCCTAAAATGTGCAGCGATGCTATCAAATCGGACCATTGAAGAAGTTCGCCAAGCGGGCCGCCCTTTTTCGAATATTTGGCAAATTTCAGCGTTCTCTCGTGTGCGAGAAACCCAATAAATACTAATATCTTCAAAATTAGAAGCAAATTTAAAACAAAATAGTCAATTTCGAAAAAAAAAAAACCTTTTTCTTTTTCCGTTTTTTCATCGAATTTGGATATAATTCTGATGCAATTCGATAGCCTTCATTCCATAATTTCCACATTCTTTTAATCCGAGCCTGCAAATATTTTTTCGATTGGCTTCTCAATGATATTCGTATCAGTTTGTGATTCACATATCGTTTTTTTTTCTTTTAACGTCTTAAAATGTGTTTTTTCAAAGTGGTTCATAAAGAGCCTAATATTGTCGACGTCGCGCGACGGCAGAGAATTAGTTAAAAGCCAAAAAAAAATTTTTTGTCTCAATGCGCGGTGTGCACCTTTAACCTATCCTTATACTCAAACCCGTAAATCTACACTTTTTGTGTTGCCTCAAGACCGTTGTCATTGTTTTTTGGCATTTAGCCAATATTCCGGAGTCGCGACGCCGGCAATACCTATTCATACAATAAAAATTATTTTCAGTGCAGGAATGTAAAAAAAAAATTAAATTAAATGTGTTTTTTGAAACATTTATTGTATTTCATAAATTGGCTCATAACTATTTTAGATTTAAAGCACAATTATGGAACTCGCGCGAATTGAATATTTCAAGCGTTTTGTTCCGAGCTAAATAGAAAACTTCCGTGATAAAATAATTTTGCTTGAAATGAATACTAATGAATAGTTTGAGGAAATCATTGAACATTTTGTTGAATGTTTTTTTTAAATTTCGGCTAACTCGACCGAATATGAGAAAAATGCTTTATCCCAACTTTGACGCGGCCGGCCAAAACAATGAACCTGGAATGTCTATTTATCTAGCTACTTATCGCATATATTCAGCGCCAAATCAACTATATCGATAGTGGAGTAACAATTTATTGAGCTCAAAAAGAAGTGGTAGGTTTGAACATAAAAAACACACAATATTAATAATCATACCTGGATATAGGCATAACTCTCCGGAAATCCATGCATCGCCGAAAAAAGATGATCGATATTGGATGACTGCTGAGCATATCTCGTTTCGTCTCGTCCGTTTCCAATTGGCGGGCAGAACGATTCAAACTCGGACAAATATCGCCGAAATGAGCACAATGAGCCATCAACTTTATGTTGTGAATAGCATGGCTCTTTTCTAAATAATTGGCTTCGAAAAATGATGACGGCAGAAGAAAAAAAGAATGAAACCTCCAATTGCCCGATTTGAACCACTCAATTTTGTTGAGGCACAATGGAAATGTGATGTTCACCGTGTCCGGCAACACTTCGCAGTCGGCCGCGTATTTTTCCAGCGGCACCCGATTCGTTCTCTCATTCTGAACAAATTGGTGGTGAAAATTCGAACGAAAATGAAAAACGCATACCGCAGTAGTGATACTAACCGAATAGAAAATCAAGCAAAACGGCGTAATTGAGAGTGTGACGATGACGATGAGTAGAAGGACTCGAAGTCGTATTTGCATAAAATTCTGAAATGAGCCAAAAACTGCACAATACATATATATATGTATATTCCCAAATGGGCAATGTTTGTCGATTGGATCTCGCCGCCGAGCCCCCCGCCAACCAGAAATGCTCTTCTTTTGCCCTCTTTACACAGAAATAATCTATCAATAAAAAAAAGAACAGAAGTGAAATGAAGTCGGCGTTTTGTGGGGCGAAATTTTTTTCGAAGAGTTCACGCGGTGCCTCAATTTTTTTGTTTGAAAAAAAAAACGACGAATCTAATTAGGCGGAGAAACTGGAGGAATTGACTGAAGAAGAAGAAGATGAGAAAAAGTTGGAAGAACGCAAATAAATGTGAATGCAATGTCGAACAACAGGTGAACTAAACAGCTGTTTTGGCCGCCAGGCATCGTTTCGAATTTCGCTGGCCGCACGTTTCTATGGAGCTCGCAGAATTCGCACCCCGACCGATTTCCACGCTTTATCGTTTCAAATCAAACAAAAGAATAAACCGCGAATATGATTTCGTATGAGAATTTTGCATTTCAAACAGCTAGACTGAACTAAGAAACAAAATTGTTAAAATTCATTTTAAAAACTCTACTTTTTCACATTCACAGGACGGCTGTTTGAAAACACCTCAATAAATTTTCGATACGAGACCCAAGACGGCAATATTAATAACTGCAAATTTATGCAAAAAGGCTCCTCTCTCTCCGTCTCTCTTTTAGAAGGAAATGCGGATTAAAATCGATGCAAATGAAGGTGTTGATAGTGATTAAAAGCCGCGTGCACATAGCTAAAGCATTGAAGAGCACAACGCGATTTTTTGACGTCGCACCCAAATTTTGTTTATGTTGATTTAAATATTTATTGGTCTCGCGCCGAAATTTGATTACACCTGCCAAAAGAAACGATTGACTTACCTAAAATCTCTTTTCGTCTTCTTTTCTCACTCGTCGGCACAATAATTTAGTATGCAGGAATAAATTAAGTGTAAAGTTGTGAAAGACGACACGAATAATGACGCGAGCTCTTTTCCCCCCGCTGTTGTAAATATTATCCGAATAAAAAATATATGCGAGCGGGTGTGTGGAGACACAAGCGAACGAGCTGCTGCTAAATCATATTAGACAACTACTATCAGTAAAAAGAAATTCTCAAGTTTTTTTTGCGAGGGGGAAACGAAGTCGACACTGCACACATATTGGCGGTGAGATTTGCTGCATAACTAATTCACTAGTTGAAAAGAAAAGAAAAACAATTTTCAGACTACACACAAAACAAATATTCAACCTTTCTTTGTGTTGAACTCCACCATAAACAATACCTCCTTGGAATTTGCTATATTGTACACGACTCGCTGCTGTAAACTGAAAAAATAGAGAAATCGTAATTATTGTCGATTTCAAATCACTAATAAGTAAATTCAGTTTTCATCAAATGGTGCCGTAGAAACCGCGGTGAATAGAATTTCGCTGAAACGCGGTGTTTGAGAAAGAGAGAGGATCTGATATTGAGAGACGGAGACATTTGTTTTCACCGTCGCTTCTACGAAACGATTTGATGAATTTCGCAAAATCAGAGAATTTCTATGAAATTGTAAATTTACGCGCGGCCTAAATATTAATTGCGCGTACGCTAAAATGCAGAGTACGCAAACACGCGTACGTCTCTTTGTTTCGTGGAACTTTTTTTTTACAAATACTCATTTAATTCAGAATTCGATAGAAAATGTTTTTTTGTGTTGTGCTCATGAAAGTGTGTAAGAACATGGGGTTATACTAACATTGGCGCACATGGTAGTGGTCAGAAATATCGGGGTCATGCACCAAACTAAATTTGGCGGGCACAGTACTGTTTTCAAATCGAACTAAATTTTCAAATCGAATTCGATACTTTCTCAATCGTATTCGACGTTTTTTGAATTGAAACTAAGTTTTCAAATTGAATTCGATACTTTCTTAATAAATTAATTTATATTTCATTTTGTTTCGAAACCGATTGATTTTCATTTACCTGAGGTATATATAATACCTTTTGTTCAGAGGGAGGCTCCTGTAAAAATTTGGCATTTTTGGCCCCAAAAATATTACAATTTAAAAAAAGAAAATGGGCCCCATTTGTCAGGTTCATATTTCCAGCCCTTGACCCATCTGACAAAATGGTCGGCCCCATTTGGCGGCATTTGCCTGAAAATTAGAGGCGGTTGAGAAGACAGGATGGTTTGTAGTAGGCCACCAATACATATCAGATTGCTGACAATAATAAAATCACATTTCCGGCGTCAAACGACTGAAGGAATAAAAAAAATATTTAGGTTTATATCAGATATCTCGAGACGCGCGTGTTTGCGTACTCTGCATTTTACCGTACGCGCATTAAATATTTAGATCGCACGTAAAATTTTACAAATTCGTAGATCTACCCTGATTTTGCGAAATTGAATTTCCCGCCATGGATACGTCGTTTGACGCCGACGATTCCCGATTCTGAAGAAACTGCTTATCATATTGGCTTTGATCCAATGATTCAGAAGAAGACACATGATTGGAGCAGTCACTGAGAGCTTGTCTGAGTGGCAGAAACTCGCTCTTTTTGTAAACGGCTTTCGTTTCTTCGAACTCATTTTTGTAACTCGAATTCCCTAAAAAAGTTCAGCTTCAAACTGATCGAGCTCGATGTTCTGTTCTATTCGTGAAATGTATTACATTCGCAAAAAAACTATTAACGGCGAATTTGATTCGCAGGTTATCCAGAGTACGGTATCCGAATTTCCACTGTTTAAATTAGAATTTGAATTAAATCCTCGAAAAAGTGCGATGGTCCACAATTATGCAAGGCGCACCTTTTTGCGATTGTAATGTTTTCTACAAAAATCTTAAAAATTACATTAAATGCTCATTTTTCATAGCCCTGACGCCGCATGCAAAATTAAATTTCTTCCGGAAATCGTACGTTTAAAAGATACCATTTCCCGTGGAAATCGCATTGTGCATATGGACACTGTATTGGAAAAATGTGTAATTTTTTAAAAACACTTTTTTATTGCATGAATATGTTCATGACGAAGTTGGGCGGAATTCCGCGTTCCGCAAATGTCTCCTATTCCGCATTTCGCGAAAATTTTCGTTTAGCCTGTTTAAATTATTCTATTCATAAATGCAGGTCGAACACCATATTTTCGAAAATATGAAATTTCTTATACACTCTTAATGGCCGTGGCCTAATAATATTCGGCCATTTCTCCTTATTAGGTTTGGCGTCCATTTGAAATTTCGTTGAAGCTCTGAATCATCGAGTATTTTTATCGTTAAAATTACGAAACTCGTCTTTGTCAATAAAACCATCAATTATTTACATCATCACTTGAACAATCTGTTGTTCTTCTCTTATCTCTCTCTCAATGTTCTCTCCTGGTTCTAGTTTTTAGATTCATTTCCCAATTTTTTAGTCGCAATGCCACCTGGCGGCAGTTCGATTTCAACAACGGCACCATTTGTAACTCCAAAGTCACGAAAACGCGAAACATTGCATTATCTAGCTGCTAGTTCATCGACAACTGCCGTTGATGCTGCTAGAGCACTTCTCGAGAAAGGCGCGAATCCGAGAGCCGTTGACAAAGATGGCCTGACGCCACTTCATTATGCCTGCGCCCATGACAATGTCGCAATGGCGCAATTACTGCTCACATTCGGCAGTGATCCAATGAGTACTGATAAACTTGGAAGAACATGTATAGCTGTAGCAAAAGGGAATACGTTAAGGTAAGCGCAAATCATCAAAATTTTGTCTGATATTCATTTTTTTTTTAGATTTTTAAGAAGATATCAGAAAAAGGACAAACACCAGAGGCTTGGAATATTTCGCAGATTTTTCGCGTGTCATTCTCGCCATGATACTACTTTTTTCATTGTTAGAGAGGTTTTTAATTTATTACATTAATCATTTTTTATTTAAAACGGGTTCAGGGCGTCGAGTCTTCGGAAAATCCTCAAACGATTCTCGCAACGAATTCATCAATATCATTTAATCGCGGAAACGCGATTACACGGAGTTATCGGCATGCGAAGAAGAAGATCCGAGCAACTATTGGCGTTTTCTCAAGGGCACATGTGAGGAGCCGAGCGAATAGCGAAGCTCAGGTAATAAAAATATTCATTTTTAATATTCTCATTTTCCGAGTTTTTTTTTAAGCTTCAAGATGTTGTTATGACATCGGAAGGATTGAAAAAGGTTGAAACGCCGACAAGAGAAGCAACCGCGTTTCGAGCGAAACGATCAATGTCAACATCAGATGTTCGGGCGCCAATTCCAACGAGGAAAGATATTCGCGAAGAAGAGGCAATGAATAAACGAGGCCGAAAACCTAGTCTCTATCCTAGGGTTTATATTGAATTTAAAAAAACAATTGTTTTTTAAAAAATAATTTTTTTTAGCTAGAAACTCCAAATGATGTGACACCGCGAAGAGCCAGAGGGGGACGTTCGAAAACGCCGGAAATTCTTGGAAGTGGCACGGTGGCTGCGAGAATTAATAGAGCGAAACGATCGAGAAGTCAAGATGGTGTTTTGATGGTGCCGCAGGCTTATGACCCGAATGCTTTTTATCATACGGAACGCGCAAAGCGAGCAGGACTTCGTCCGCGGCCATCGGCTCCGCCACTAAGCGCGGACCCGTCTCCAGAGCCACCGGCAAATCGAAAATCACATAACTCGACGGCGTATTTTACCGCTGATGAAGGTCTCGAGGAGGAGTTTGGCGAATTGGCAATCAACGGGAATGACAACACAATGCGAACGCCGACCAATCGCGAGAATAGTTTTGTCGATGATGGCGAGAGGCGGAAAATCAAGAGGCTCAAAGATAGTGAGCTCAGAAAAGAGTTGATGAAGTTTGGCATTTCGCCAGCAGGTCCACTAGATGCCAGGTGAGCATATTTATGTTTAAAATGTTTTTTCGAAGTTTTATTCAGAACTCGCCGCTTGTACGAGAAAAAGTTGATGTCGGAGCGTCAGAAAATCGCATCGCGTGGATATTCGCCCGATGATGATCGCTTCAAATCGGTATGTCTCATTTTTTGAAATGGCAATTACTCGTGCAATTCAATCGATTCGTTCGTCATTGGTACCAAATTCATGACGCGATTGAATAATTCGGCGTTTTCAGAAATTCTCGCCTCAACTGGAACTTGTCTTAAAAACTGGAACGATTCCGTCGGATTTTCTCGCTCGAGCCAAACAATACGATGAGCAAGTTCGCGTAGAATTCAGGTATTTTGTTTCGTCGAAATGTTGCGAGATCTTATTTACAAACAAAAATTGCAGCGGAAATGGCTACGGCTATACGGCGTTTTGCTATTTGCTCATGGATCCGAGAATTCTTGGGCAGAATCCCGAAACGATCACATTCGCCAATTTTGTCGATTCGATTTTCTATGTTGGGAAAGGCAGCAAGGTTTTTTTTTAATTAAGAATGTCACGCGACACATCGACGTCATTTTTTGTTGTTCAGAATCGCCCGTTGCAACACTTCATCGATGCGAGAAACGCGAGAAAAGAGAATTCGGAGAAGTTGAAGACCAGCGAAAAACTGAAGACAATCAATGAGCTGTGGACATTGGGCTATGGAATTCCGAGACATGAAATTGGGCACGGAATATCGGATGAGGAGGCGTTTGTCTATGAGGCGTCGATAATGGAAGCGATTCAAATAAGGAATTTGAGTAATCGGAAGGTAATCGAGCGTTTTTCGTTCGTTCTTAGCTTATTTTTTTTGCAGGGCGGCGAATTCCATGGACCGACGAAAAAATGGGACCAAATAGCCAAATCGGAATATGGTGTTTTTCTTCTAGACCGGTAAAAACTGAGAAATTGCGATATGTTTTGATTCGATGATATTCAGAGCGCTGAAAACGCTGAAAGTGTCTGGAATTCGCTACATTCAAGAGGAGAATCTTCCGGAGAACTTGTATCCATTTGTTAATAATCGCCGAGGTGGTACTCCAAAAACACCCAAATAAGTGTATATTATTGTATATTTTATGATATTTCTACTAGTCGCCGATTCACTTTCATTATTTTTTTTTCCAATTGCAATTATTCGATCTCATAAAACCAACACAAATACCACATGAGAGAATTGATTTTATATGTAGAGCTTGTATTTAATTTTTTTTATAAAACTGATAAAAATCTCGCGTGTATCTGATTAGTGTTGAATCGATTATTTAGCCAGTTTTACAACGTTCACCTCGACGATCTGGCTCGACTCGGATTTTTGTGTGAGAATTTTTGTTGGCGTCGGTTTGCGATTCGATTGCCACTCAATTTGCAGGCATCTAGACAAAACTCCAGTGTGTGTGTGTGCCATCAAATAAGAGTGACAAAGTCTATTTAAATGTACTGTAGTTGTCGTTGTGAGACGCACTCGCCAAAAATCGTTGACATTAATTGCAGTTTGCACATCGCCAAAGATGGATGACCTGAACCTCATTGACATATTGTTCAAGCTCGTGATACCAACGACGACGTTCGTGCTGTACGCGGCGACACAATGCGGTGTGAGCGGCGGTGGTGTCGAGACATCGAAAATGCGAGACAAATTTCTAGAAAAAAAAGAACACATCCGAATCGGAGACGAGCGAGATGGGCGGTAGCGAGGCGTCGAAGAAGGCGGGCGGCGCAGCCGGCGGTGTGCCGGGTCCGGCGATTCCCGGTGCGCCGCACGCGCCTGCCGCCGGCGCCGGCGGAATGGCCGGCACCCACGATCCCAACTATCAGACATTGGCCGGCATCGACAACAACGTGTTCGGCAACAAGGGCGGACCGGCGGCGGCTCCAGCGGCCGCTGCCGCTGGTGGTCCGAAGCCGCCGGCGGCCGGCGGAATGGCCGCCACACACGATCCCAACTATCAGACGCTCGCCGGTCTCGACAACAACGTCTTCGGCAACAAGGGTGGTGGTGGTGGCGCACCGGCTGCCGCTCCCGCTGGACAGAAACCTGGAATGGCGGCGACTCACGATCCCAACTATCAGACACTGGCCGGACTTGATAACAACGTGTTCCAGAAGAATGCTGGCGGCGGTGGAGCGGCACCAGCCGGCGGACCTGCGCCACCTGCGAATCCCGGAGCGAAAGCGGCCACTCATGATCCAAACTATCAGACGCTCGCTGGATTAAACAATGATGTCTTCGGCGCCGACAAGAAGGGAGCTGGAGGTGGCGGCGGTGGAGGCGGACCAGGAAAACCGATTCAACCAGCCAACAAGGTTTGATGCATTGAACGGCGCCCAGCAAGAATACTCGCTTTTGCATTCAGAACGCCAAAGCCGGAACAATGGATCCCAATTATCAAACTCTCGCTGGAATCGGCGGCGATGTGTTCGGTGCCGATAAGAAAGTGGCCGGTGGCGGTGGCGCTGCCGGTGGCAAGAAACCGATTCAACCAGCAAACAAGGTTAGGATAGCGTAATGCTCAAGGAATCGCTAGGTTTCGTTTTTCAGAATGTCAAGGCCGGAACAATGGATCCCAACTATCAGACTCTTGCTGGAATCGGCGGCGACGTGTTCGGTGCCGATAAGAAGAAAAAGTAATGAATTGACCTGTGCTTTGAACCATACCAATAAAACGCGATCCTTCATTTATTGTTCAGCATTCTCACTATTTACAATTATCAGTTTACAATTTCAAAATGGCAAGAAGCGACTTCTTCTTCTTCTTTTCGCACTCCTTCTTCTCGATAACCTCGTCGGCGATTCTTTGAAGCGCATTCAATCTCAAGTATGATGTCGTGTTGGGACCGAATTGCCAAGTGTGACGGCATACAGGACAGCTTGATGGGTTGCTGGTGAACACGCCCTTCCAGTACCATCGCATAATGCACCTTTAACATTTTCCATTTTCTTTTGAAGATAAATAAGATTGCTACGATTGACATCCAAGCAACTGTTGGCAGGAAAGGCATCCAAAGGGGATATCGGGTCGTTCCGTGCAGAATAAACATGGCGTATGAGGCTCATAGAGCAGTGGTTTTCTAAAACAAAAGCATATTATCACTCCGTTTGAAGCTTCTTACGGCTCTTTCTTCGCAAAATGCTTCTTTACATTTTGAACAACCTCCTCAATCGGCGATTTCTTCTCCTCCTGCCGCAATCGATCAGTTTCAAATCCAATATACGCAGCTTCATATTTGTTCAAAAGTCTTCTGAACGAATCGATCATCTCAAATTCATTTGTTTTTCTTTTCTTCCTACTCACATCGCTTCTTTGTGCAATTCGGGATCCTGCTCAAGAATCTTCAAAAGTGGTCCCTCGATTTTGAATTCGAATCGCGTTTCGAAATGCTGATATTCTTTGCATTGCATGAAATTCTCGGCAGCCGTCACACCACTTATATCGCATTCTTCAATTGTGTACTCTCTGAAATATGTCTGCAATTCCCTATTGTCTCAGTCCAATTTTTTTCAACTCGGAAAATTCATCAGTATCCAATTCATCGGCTTCTTCATCGTTTTCCCTCGTCACATCCTCATTTTCCGATGAGCTGAACCAATATTAAACCAGAAAATTCTCTTGAGAAATATCTCACGTAGAACTATATTCAGGAAATACCATTCGGGTTCTGAAATTCAGTACCTCATTTATTTTCCGTATATTAGAAATGTGTCTACTTACGGGTCATTATTTCCGGCATCCAAAGAGTCGTCTTCTTTTCTAAAACCGCAAAAAATTCAACAAAAATCGCAAAAAAATTCGAAACCTTCTCGAAATCGATTCATCAGGCGCCACTAAAATGCAACAAAAAATTCAAAAATTTACACACACAAACCTCGAAATGTTGACAAATTCGCAATTTCAATTGGAATGGAAGTTCTGAAACATTTACATTATTTTTTTTGTTGTTGAAAATTCGTCTCCAATGTACTCTTTCGAATCTGAAAATCAAAAATTCATAATAACTTTTTTCAAAGTCACGAAACCTTCTGCCGAAGGCGGCTGAGATCGCGTGGAATTTCTGAAAAATCAAAAATTTATCAACGGAACCCAAAAATGGCACCGGTACATCGACGAGTCCAATAAATCATAATCGCCTGTAAAATTTGAATTTTTTTTGCAAAAAAAAATAATCGAAAAATAACTGCAATACCGGAATGCGCGGTACTAACAGACAAATTGAGATAATCATCCGAATCCATTCTGCAACTTCTCACAATTATTCTTTTGGTCCCGCTTCAGATAAATAGTGAAACTATCTATCAATTGGAAATAGCAAACAAAATGAGCACAACAGTCACAGGGAGAATTTATCATGGTGTTAGTACTAATAAATATTATTTACAAGTATTTACAACGCATTCCGTTTCTTGTTATTCTTCTTCTTCTTCTTCGGCGCCGCCTTCTTCTTTGGCTCCTTCTTCTTCTCCGCCTGCTTGTTGATGATGTGCATCGGCTTCGTCGAGCTCGGCGACCAAATCGCGCGGCAAAGCGGACAAGTGCCAACACGAGGGTTGCTAAAATACTGCGGTGTTTCCTTCCATCTCATGACGCATCTGGAAATCAAACAATTATTCCCGTTTCAAAATCATTAGTCAATTCTCACGATTTGCATCCAATCAGCTGCTTGCACAAATTGCAGCCATACGCGTCGACAGCGTCTTCCAAACAGATCGTGCACTTTTCCGCCACCAAATCCCTAAAAAAAAATACACATGATTCTCGTATATTTCTCTCCATCAAATTCTCACTCCGCTCTTTTGCGTGTAATCGATCTCGTAATAATTGGGCTTCTAACACGTGGATAAATTTTACGACGCTTCGTCGGTTCCGGGTATCTGAAATGCGTCAATCATCATCAAAAATTTTTTCATTGACTCAAAAGGAAATTTGAATGAAACTATTCGAATTTTCCAAAACATTGAATGTGCGGCCTAAAATTTGAATATCATGCGCAGTTTCGTCTACCAATTCACGAATATGATCAAGTACTCTAGATCTGACGATAATTTCTGCCTATTTTTATTTTTATATAAATATTTCTTCTTAAAAGTAATTTGACGAACAAAAAAAAACATACCTCGTTGGCTCAAACAACCCGAAAATCTCAGCGTGACGTGCTGAAAACAGTTTTCGTTGTTTATTTTTGATTTAAAAAAAATTAATAAATTAACGAACATCCGAATTCATCGTCCTCATCGTCGTCATCTTCGAAAAACATTTCGCGCTCCCATTCTTCCGGAACCCTCATAATGCCGTCCCCCAGCAATGGAAAATAATAATCCATAGTTTCCTGCAATGAGCAATTTTTAAAAATGAAACAGCAAGGAAAGGTAATAAAATCGATAAAACGATCAAAGAATTAATTGGATTTTAATCCAAATATTATTGATTTATAAATAATTGGGATCTTCAAATGGAAAGGAAAAAGAAAAATAAATTATTATGATTTGAAAAACTCGACATGAAGGGATTAGTAGACAATATAATTACATGGTTATTAACTTTGTAAGTTGAATGTTCACCTAAATACATTTTTGGAAGTTCGATCAATCTACCGTAAATTATGCTACTACTTTTGTAGAAAACTATTATGTTGCGAGATACGTCGGAATCAGTGGGTCACATTAATTAGATATTAAGCATTGGATGAAGCCGCAGCTCGATTGCGCGGACGAAGTCGCGCCTCATTTCGAAGATTATGCATCGGTTTAATCTTCGGCCCCGACTCCCAGCTGTGTCTGCACAATGGGCAGCTCGGCGCCGACACGGTATGACACGATAGATTCCACTGTTGAATGCATCTGCAAATAAGCAAGACGATAATCGAACGCGGGATATTTTTTTTTGGAACAAACTTCGAGCATCCGAGGTGCTGCTTGCATTTCTCGCATCCAACCGGATCCATCGGCATCTCGAAGCATATCGTGCATTCGCCAAACTCCGAAACTCTTAAAATGATCCAACAGGTTAAAATATTGTTTTGCTTAAACTCCTGACCTTCTGCTATTTCGATATGGGCGACGGCGTAGAAACGCCGGTGTGACTTCGCGGGTTCCCAGCTCACGATGAATTGTCTCTAGCATATCATCAGGTTCATCGAACAACTCAAGTTCACCGAGATACATTCTCTATTAAAAAAAAGTGTAAGCGTAAATCATGGTGCATTGTGATCTCATACTCTGTCCTCGTCCGGTATATCCCGATGGCGCTGATTTAAATGATAAGGATGTCGTCTCGGCTGGTCAATGTCCGAATTCTCATCGTCGGCATCATCGCTATAAGTCTCGACGTAAACATCAATGAACGTGTCTCTTTCGTCATTATCGCTGTCGCTGCTGCTCTCAATATCATACACTGGAATGTCGTTTCGGTCATTCGGACTGCGTTGTCTGCGCGCCGGCGGCTGCTCGAGCGCATTATCGCTGTCGCCTCTTCTACGACGACGAGATTCGTGAGCTCGGCGGCGAGCATTCAATGTTTCATTCCGCACTTCATCGCCAAGTATATTCACTGAAAAATGTTTCAATTATTAACATTAAACACACACAGCAATCAAATATTACTTATTTCCTCTTCTGTCAACGTTCTCTCCGTAATATTCGCCACTTCTTGATTATGAATTTCTAATGCAAGCTCTCTATCGCGGTTCAGTTGCGCTTGTCTAGCCATGATGTCTCGTTCAACGATTGCAAGCGCTTCATCTATGTTCCTAGCCGGTCGATGTTCAGTCATGTCGAGTATCTAAAATCGTTGAATTTATTTTGTAATCTTTAAGAGACCCGACGATGAAAAAAAAACGAATACGATCATCACAATGCAAAATTAAAACATAAAACGTTGGAGGTTGTCGGGCTCGTTTGGCCAAACGAATGGCTTAAAAAGGAATAAATACATAACACCAATGAAGATGAAAAGGTTCGACAAGAATTCGATAGACAATGCAACCTTCGATTTGTGATTCACGGAAACGAGCCTCCAAATCACAAATGGTACAATGTAGTAACGCATTTCGAAAAGATGCGCGGGAACAACGACAGCGATTGAAGCGAACAAGAAGAGAAATTTCAGAATGGAAGGAATATGATGGGTGGTTTCCTCCATGAACATTATTGACAAGAAATAAAGCGGTGTGAATGCAATTCGCAGCTTCTCATGTGACAAAATCCTTCGCCAAATATAGAATGTGAAATGGCGGTTATCTGCGAGCAGGTAGGGATGATCGAACGCGTAACGGTAAACGGCAAACGCGATAAAAATAAGTAGAAATATATTGGGACGTTTGAAGGTACTAAGAATGGACGGGAATCTTGATAGCGCCTGCGGCCATGCATGAGCTGCGCAAAATGCGACCATGTAGAAGAACTGGGCCAGGTGGGGTTTCGGTTTGTGCGCTTGAGCATCGCCAAGAACGATTTGAAAGTTATTGAAATAAATGAAACTTAAAAATCCGAACGCGAGGAATTCCAGCGGCCACAAATGATATAGTGCTGACATTGTTGTTCGGAAAGGCTTCGAACGATCTACACGAAGAGAAAGCTGTGCTATCCCATGCACTGCCGCCCAAACAATATTCGTTTGGCGTGTTAGGGTAGCGACAGTGAAGAAAATCGACGATGCCAGTGGACTTCTGAAAAAACACGCAACTTAGCAACATGATTAGTGCAAGCTATTCTTATTATTATTACTTCATCGTGAATCCCCAAATTACAACGGTTAGTGAAAGCAAATCGGTATAAAACAGAACGGATGATTGAAGAAGAATGGGAAGAATTGAAACAATCAATGCCGTAATGTAAACATCGCTCTAAATTTAATTAATAATTTTTTTTTATCGATTTTAGTTGTTTACCCTCACAAACATTCTTCTGAAACGACAGAATGCGGGAAACGTGAAAAAGAAAATTATTGAGTTGACATAACGTTCATAACCGCAAAAAGGAATCGACAGAAAGTATAAAGCGGGCGGGGTTGTTATCATGGGATTCCACGTAAAATTGCCATCGCAGTATGCGCGCGTCTGGCCTAAATTGTAAGACGAAATTAAAAATTTCGTAATGGCGAAACCTATATGAAATATCTCGTCCATGTACGGCTTTGGAACATAGTGATATACGAGCGTCGTGATGATAACATGTAAGCCAGAGAGAATGCCAGCGTAAACGAAATCAGCTTTAAAAATTGTGATGTTCGGCCGGTTGTCTTTCTCATATCAACTAATAAACAAACTTTTTCGAGTGATTGGAGCATACGGCATTCGAAGAATTGGATTCACCACCATTCTCGATATCAAAAACCGAAGAGGTGCGAAATTACACGCGAAGACGCAGTCGATAAATTCAGCGTGCGAATCAGGAAAAAAACGAACACTGATGTGTCTGCAGCACACGGTGCCTGCAAATTGCGTACTCGTTTTTGCGCACCGTACACTCTCAAAACGGCGCCAATTCAGATTTTCTCGGTCCATTTTCATCATTATCAACATTTCTATTGCGTTTTAAATCAATGTTATTGTAACTTTTATTATTTCCTATGTTTCGAATCAGATTTAACAAAAAACGTTGCAGTATATATTTCGTTTTTTTAGTTTATTCTTTAGGGAATTTGTTGAAAACTTCTTGGCGTGTCTTTTACTGCCAAACAAAAATTGTTCTTCCATCCAGCAACATGTGCGTCGGCGTGGCCTTGCAAATTGTTTCATGACTGACTAATATCAATTTGGAAAACGGGCGCGCTCGCGCGCGTGCGGCCCGAATTAGGCACAGTGACGAATTGGACAAGTAGGCAAGGCAATGGAGACGACTGGGCTCAAGAGACACCCACGGAGCACTCAATCATTCGACGCGTCCCAATGCAAAAAGACGAGGTTCGACACACCACTACTACCAGCATCAGCAGCACGAAGAAAGCGATCCATCTAACACCTCGCCTCCATTCTTACTGGGACCAACAATTTCGTCTCTCGCTCTCGATCGCCTTGTTGCCGCTTTGCCAACGCTTGCTCGCACCCACCGCCGGCCGGCTTCATCATCAACTTATTGATTGTGCAATTTAATTGATCGCCTGTTCATCCGTTTCAAACTGTCGTTGGCGAAGAGCGAGGCGCCGCCCGCCCGCCGGCCTGCTTGCCTGCCATTCGCCTCGTCCCTCACATCGTTTGTCTTTTTTATTGCCTTGTTCCCGCGAATAATTTATTGCCCAGGGTCCGCCAAAAAGAATGAAAATGTTGCCAATTGGGTATTAATGAAGTAAAGTCATTGGGAAACAATAGAAATACCACCCTCCTGGTCAGCAAATGTGCCATTTTTTTTTGAAATTCACTTAAAAATGATGAATAATCAATTTTGAAAAATGATCAATTTCATGTTGCTGCTGTGTTATCGGTACCGTCGATCAGGCAGGGTGGTAGAGTGCCGATTTTGTTCCCTCACCTCACCCTATTAAAAAAAAACCCCCAATTTTTCGCATTTGTTCATTTGCGGAGGTGCTGCGTATCCACGTGTAATGCACACACTAGTCGGGGCACCCCGAATGATTGCGTCCCGGGACCCAAACGCACAGCGGGGCAGGATTTTTTTCTTCTTCTTCTGTTTGTTTAAATTTATTTCGCGTCATTGAAATGATATTAGTGGCGACGAATTGCATTCAATTAAGCTTTTTTATTGGCTGTCTGGATTCGCAAATTTTTGCCACCTAGAAAAATAAATTAATGAGGTTTTATAGGTAAATTCAAAATAAAAAAAGGTTATCGAATTTTTTTTATTCATTTTTCTGCCTCAGAATTTTTCTTCTCGTTTACCTTACAGGGTTTATATTTATATAAATATACCCTAATTATCTATAGTCATCTTCTTAAATAATGATTTGTAAAATTTATAATCTTAAGGCGATTAAAATTGCGGAAAAAGAAATGCAAATTAATGGAGAAAATTGAAACACAATTTGCCGGTGCGCAAAATGAATTTGAAATATACAACATGGTCTATTTGCGATCGCTCGGTCATTTAGCAGGTGCCGTCGGTCAACGGGGCCCGTCAGTCGGTCGGTCAGTCAACCCCCGCAACGCGCAAAACGCGCAACAAACACTGTGATATAATAAGAGACGTGGTTTTTGCAGAAGACCTCATTATGCTCGCCGTTTCGCACATTATTCTTTATTTTTGTTTGAATGCGATAACGAGCAGCACTCGAAGCGACCGGCCGACGACTCCGCGCGCGCCTCCCCATTAGCACGTATTTTTTTTTTCTTGTGGTCCAATCTAATTCGCGGTTTTATTCAATTCAATTTCTTGCCTAGTTTATTCTCTCGACGTCTCCCAATCTGTGTATGTCGAATTTCGAAATGTTGTCGTTTCTGATGATGACGACGACGTCTAAAGTATCACATTCAACTAACCCATATAATACCCTATTATTACCATTTTATGATGAGTTGTGGGGCGAGGAGCACGACGACGCTGGTTAATCATCACCGTCTTTCTTTGCTTATTATTTCTTTTTCGTTGTGCGCACGGTCACGACACCTGCATCACACCATCACCACCACCATATTTATTGCAGATTTTCCGAGTTATGCAGTAGACCAATCGCGATTCATATCATCATACAATCATGTTTGGCGTCTTCTTCTCACTTCTTCTTTTCCATTTGGGCGATGCTCAACAGGTGAATAAATCAATTGAATTATTGAGAATAACATATTATATATTTTTTTAAGTCACGCCTCTCGTCAACCTCAATATCGTCGATGAGCCTTTCAGCGACTCGAAAATGCGAGCCGATCACGATTCCAATGTGCAAGAATCTTGATTACAATATGACAGTGTTCCCAAATTTGCTCGGCCATCAAACTCAGACCGAGGCTCATCCGGCGATTACGCAATTCAGTCCGCTCATCAAGGTTCCTATTTGCTCAACTCACTCACTAATGTCAAAATTGTATTCGGTTATAGGTGAAGTGCTCGGAGGACATTCGACTATTCCTGTGCACCGTGTAAGTCGATTTCACTATTCGCCACCCGACCGAATCACTCGTCTCGTTTTCAGCTATGCGCCCGTTTGCACAGTGCTCGACAAACCCATTCAGCCATGCCGCGAGTTGTGTTTGTCGGCGAAAAATGGATGCGAGTCGCTGATGAAAAAATTCGGATTCCAATGGCCCGATCAACTCGATTGCAACAAGTTCCCGGTCAGCGATTTGTGTGTGGGAAAGAACGCGTCCGACTCGTCATCGTCCGGTTCGAGGTAAAATCGTGTTGCCTGCCTTCTCGTCGCTTTTTTTTTGACAAGAGTCAGTCGAGATGTTGCAAAAAGATAGCAAAAAATGAAGGGGGGGGGGTATTCTGTTTCGAAGCGCGACTGACAGATGTTGTGTGTGTGCGCAAAAAGATTGACAAGTTCAGCCGTTTCGCGTCGAAACCAAAAAATGGGCGACGATGACCCAATCGTGAACGATGCGCCTTTAATGATTCACACTTCCTTTTCATTATTATTATTATTTTTTTTTTCAAATAGGCGCAAGTTCGATGACTCGACGAGATCGCCGATGTCGATGCGCGATGTGATTTTGCCGGCGCACAAATGTCCGCTGTTCATGCGAACGACGGGAAGCTCGCGATTCTCGTTGCCGATGATCTCCGGCCGTCTGCCCGAATGCAGTTTGCGTTGCGCTGCCGACAATCAGGTGCCGATGCTGTTCGACGGGCGCATTCGTCGAATTTTGAGGATTTGGACGGCGGCGTGGTCGGTGGCGTGCTGTGTGTGCACACTGTTCACACTGCTCACCTTCTTTGTCGATCTGTCGAGATTCGCGTATCCGGTTCGACCAATCCTCTATCTGGCGTTCTGCTATCTCGCCATTTCGATCGTCTACATGATAGGTAATTAAAGGGGGCGGCAATAGTAATTAATGGGGGGGGGGATTCCGGCAGAATGGGGATAACGAAATCCAGAAAATGTTAAAATAAATTAAATTTCCACATTCTAGGAGTCGTTGGGGAGGATCGATTCGCATGTGGAACTTATGGACAATCGCCGACTGAGCTGATCACGCAAGGTGGTGAGAATGTTGGATGCAGTGCGCTGGCCGTCACCCATTACTACTTTTTCATGGCGAGCTGCTCGTGGTACTTTTGTTTGCATTGATTGTAAAACTTCAAAATTACCCTTTCAAAGGTGGCTTGTTCTTTGCTTGGCCTGGTTTCTGGCGGCCAATTTGAAATGGGGAGCCGAGTCGATCGCCGCCCTATCCGCCTACTTCCACGCCGTCTGCTGGGGTCTGCCGGCTGTCCTCTCGGTTGTCGTGCTTGTGACGAATTCGATTGACGGCGACGTGTTCACTGGTAGACTCGCATTGCTCTTCAAACGATTATTGAATGCAATTTTCTTTCCAGGAATCTGCTCGGTTGGAAATCTCAATCCGCAAGCGTTGCTCTACTTCTTCCTCATCCCGTTGGTCGTCTCTCTTGGTCTCGGCACGGTTTTGTTGTTCTGCGGCATCTGGTCGATGATCAGAATCCGAAGCTACATCAAATTGCAGCACGCCGACGTTGAAAGAAACATCAGCAAGCTCGAGAAGCTCATGCTGCGGTAGCGTCAATCAACCACTACCCAATCATTGATTGTTGTTTCGTTTAGGATTGGCGCGTTCGCTATCATGTACCTTTTGCCGGCGGCAATGAATGCTGCGATCATCTGGTATCAGGCGTCGAATATGCCCGCCTGGATCGAAGGATGGATGCATCATCGATGCGTGAGGCTGGAGGATCGAGAATTGTTTGGATTCAATTACCCGATTGAAGAATGCTTCCTCGATCCGAAGGTCAACGCTCCGGAGCTCGTCGTCTTCTTGATGAAGTGAGTTTTCATTTGAAACTCTTTCTCTCAATCATTCGCAATAATTCTAGGTATGTCTCGCAATTGGTCGTCGGAATCACGTGCGCCATTTGGGTGGTCTCCTCAAAGACATTGTCGAGCTACCATAAAGCATATCTCGCCCTCTCGTCGAGACCACTTCCGCCGGTTCCGCATGATCAGGTCAACCTACGATAGCTTCGGTATCCCAACCGACATAAGCCTCGCTTCTCAAACATTTAACATTTTAAGTTTCCTTTTCTTATTATAATATGTATATTGTTTTGAAAATCATTTTCGATACTCACATTTACGTGTCGCTATGATTCATGTATTAGAATTTTATTCTTGTTCTGTTTATTTTTTTCCAATGCTCGATTGCAAGGTATTATTTCACTCTCGCTCAATACAGGGTGCATTTTTCCACGTCCGATTCAATGTTTTGCCGCATAACTACTTAATTTTAACAATATTTATATATTTTTTGACTAACTTATTATGTCGATTCGATTATGTTTTGCATATAATGAATAAATTAATATATTTCGGTAAAATGTCTGTTGACCTCACGATAGTTTGGTGAGCGAAAATTTTTTGGGGGGCACGATTCCCCATGAGACATAAACTATTTCTTGCCGTCTTTCCGCTTCTTGTTCTTCCTTATTTGCGCCTTCGCCAGCGGATGTATGTGTGTGTGTGTGTCTCCAATTTTTCGTCTTTCTTTTCTTTCCATCACACATACCCAATTTTGGGCATTGTCGTTTTGGTTCGAGAACTAATCGTTTCATTAGAATGACAAAATCGGCTACAATAAATCGAATATAGTGGAGAATTAATAATAAAAGTCGTGGAAGTCTTTGAGAATGCTTTTCGACAAGCAGCACGCAAAACAGACGCCGACGAGTTGAATGGCGGCGAGAAGCGCGCAGATTCCGCCGACCATCGCGCCGTTTTGAATCACCCATTCTGCAAAAGCAAATTCATTTTGAATTTTAAAATTTGTCCGGAAAACACTCTCAAAAAAAAAAGAAAAACTCGATTTTTGTAAATTGTGCAACCACGCCGTCTCAACTCTGCGGACTTGCATTTTAATCTACGCCAAAGATTCCAGTTTTCTAGCTTACTTTCGACGCTGTGAATGCAGCCGTTCTCGAACAATGGCGCGTTTTCACGAGCGCAACCTTCCATCATTTCGACACAACACGAATCGGGAACATCGCCGATCGACAGCCAATCGGTGGCATTTTTGACACCGCAGCATTCGAACAGCTATAAATGAAAAAAAAAACACATGTGTTGAATTTTGCCCAATTTTTACTTGGTGCGTTTTGTCCCACGCGGTTGTCACACCGCGGCCATCTGTGTACCGAACCATACCCGTCTGAATTTTTTGTTTTTGAAAATGAATTGCTGATTAGGCGAAAATCGACAAAACTCACCTGCAATTGATTCGAAATTCCTATTCGAAAACTGTCGTGAAGCGCATAGCTAATTATAATTGCAGCGATTTCGCATGTCTGAAAATTGGAAATAAGACGACATTGTGGACAATTAAAAAGAAAAGAAACAGAGTAGCACTTTGGAAAAATTAAAACGTAAATGTGTATCAACTGCTGCGGACATCATCCTGGATATTCAATGGTGGCTGACGGTCTTCAATTGTTTCTGAAAAAATTTTCGACTCACAATTAATAATGCTAGAAGGACAGCGAATGAGACGGTCAGACAATAATTCTCGCGAATCGCGCCGCAACATCCGAGAAATCCGAGCAGCGTGCATAATGAGCCGATGACGAGCAGCAATATGGGCGTCGCCAACCTGCAAAATGACACTAATTGGGCGAAAACTCGAAGAATATTTGCAATCAGCCGACTTGTTTGTCCGTTCGTTTCGATTTGAAGGCGAAAATTTGAAAGAGGACAAAAAAATTGGAAAGAGAAGTTTCGCCGAGAAAAACGCGACAAGTGCCAAATGCAATGCATTTTTGAACTCAATTAGCAGTCGTTCTAACAAGTATCAATGATCAACAATTTGTGGTCCCCAGGTCCACCAACCAACCTCTCATCTCCTAGTATGTCTAAAACATTGTCATATTTCAGTTGTAAAATTGAGCCGACGATGATGAGGCCCAATCCGCCGACCTGAAATACACACCAGAATTTGGGTGCTGTTTGATTCTCCACCAACCCATAGCACCAAATTCGCCAAGAATAGAAGGTACTTGACAATCGTGACTCCGCCCTCGACCATATTAGGACATGCTTATTAAATATCGGACAGTTGATTGCTAGTGAGGTCCGGTTGGACAAAATTGGAGCAGACGAAAAAAAAGAGTTAGAAGAAGAGGAAGAAGAAGAAGTCGACACTTTTTGCCGATATATGCTCTGGGGAGCCAGCCGGCCGAGCAGCGAGACCCCGCCCCATTTATTTTACTGAAGCTTCTTCTTTGTCGAGGAGATATGAGAGCGTCGGCGCGAAACGCACACACACACATGCATAGGCACATACTAGGAGCGAATGAGACAGAAAATTTGTTCGAAAAAACGCCCAACAAAAATGGTGAACAAATTGTGGATGAAGCCGACATCCCACCATCGCGTTTTTCGCCCTCAAACCCCTCTCCGCGAAAATTTTTTTTTGAAGAATCGACCAAATGAAAAATGACGGTATTGGGCAGCGTGTTATTTGTCTTTTTAATTGAAAAAAAAAATTTTTTTTTTGGGTTCATCGTGAGCCTAAATCCTCCAAATTGAGGTAGAACACTGTTTTGAAGTTGCTATTCCATTTCTGAGGAAATTTTGCCACCAAAATATTTTCGAAAACCTTAATATATTCGAATTGGTTTACGCGATGATATACTTTGGTTCAAAAAAAATTTCGTGTCTTACAAGGTCACTGTGATATGGAATTGTAGTTGCGGACAAAATCCTGGAAAACCATTGAACTGACCTTGCATTTAAAGGGAATATTAAAAAAAATTGCCCGTTAAGCAGTTTTTGAAAAAAACTTTTTCTTATCGAAGCATAGCAATTTTTGGGCTTCTGACTAAGTCTTCTGACAATTTATGGGCATAGAATTCAACTCCAAAAAGGGAGAAAAAAAAACAAAACAACTAATCGCGACGCCGAAAACCCAAAAAATGCCATGCGCCTTTAATGGAATAGAACAGTGCTGGTATGAAAAGTGTCAATGGAACACAATAAGCTGAAGCTCGAAGAGGAAACATCGCCGAGATTCTGGTTTTGGATAACCCGGGAAATATTTTGGTGTATAATCATGGTGAAAATTAAATTGTTCGAAATAAAATAACCCACTGGTTAGTCCTACACGCTAAATTGAAGGCGATGTGTGAATGGAGTGTCGTACTGGTAGGGTTAAAAAGTTTTAAGGCAATCTGCGGAAATTTTGTGAACTCGCATGGAACCCCGAATGTTTAAATTAATGCCAACCGTGGTTCGTCTTTTTTCGAATCGCTGATTTCATATTTGTTCAAATATTACCGATTTCAAATGACTAATCGGTGGCGGGATATTCAATTTCACAAAGTCAATGTAGATTTTAAAAAATGCGCGTACGATAAAATGCAGACTACGCAGACACGCACTGATATTTTGCTTTGATACACCATGGCACACTTAGCCAATATTTTTTTTTATTTCGATCAGTCGCTTGAAAATTAAATTATACGTAAGATTTTTGTTGAAACTCGATAAATGGAAAATTTTAAAAATTTCAGAACTAAATCCAATTGTGCCAATCTTTCCAATTTATTTGGAATGCCAATTCCTGATGAAATCTCCTCTCGCGCCGATTGTGCATATCAGGTACGTTGCATCTTATCTATTGCCCCCCCCCCCTCAAAAAAAAAATTGCGTAATCCTTGATCATCTCTCGTCGGCGAATCAAAGCTCATGTCGAGAAAACGTGACAATCAGCAATAAATGCATATTATAAAATAAGCATGACTACACATTTTCAAACAAAAATCGAGGTTTTTGTGTCTTCGGAAGATTGCGACATGAAATGACCGCGAAATTCGGAAATTGATTAGAGAACACATTGATTGTCGATTTACAATCAAGCGCCTTTAAAGACATTGGTGTCAAGTTTTAAGAACATCCCAAAATTGGCCGCTCGCGCGCGCGCTCCCGCCGAAACTTGAAGAGACGCAGTCTGTCTTGTTGGTATCGTCGATTCGGTTCGGAGAGGTCGACCTCATTCCGGGGGCTGGGGTGCGGCGCGGCCGGACGGACGAATTCTCGCCGCAGTTTATCGATGGGTGCCGACACACGAATGTATGTGTGTGTGTTGCTGCCTTTTGTAAAAAAAAAACGAAGAACCCTCCTCTTACAAATGTTTTAATTCCATACAAAAGAAAAACGATGGGTTCCATGCCATTCCATAAACTTCTTGATGGCGATGTCGGTTTGTGTATGTGTGTGTTTTTGGCAAGCCAAACTAACCGGTTCGTCCAACCTGTTGGATTAGACTTCTTCTCCTTATTCGTTCATCATCATCATCATCACATTCACTACTTCTCCAACACGTTTCTATGTTTTTTTTTGCAGATATGCGATTTCCCACCGTCAACGAGATTTCCACATTTCTACGTGGAATTGTCTATGAGCAGGATGTCGATTATTCACGATTTGAAACCAAGTAATTGTTGCGGCGAAAATATTCACGTCGACATGGTCTTCAAATGCAAACATTTTAGATTGGACGGCTCCGATGTTGTGACGTTTCGCGAGAATGACAAAGCGTTTCGGTTATTCGGCACCAATGTTCACGTCAAGGTGAGATAATGCCTTGTTTGTCACGTATTCCAATCGATCAATTATTACCATCGCGAAAATAAACGAGCGCCTTGACTAATTGTGGACCAGCGCACTTTTTTTTGCGAGGCGGCAATTCGAAATTGAATTTGAACGATGGGAATTTGGGTACTGAATTATGGATAGCCTGCAGGTCAAACTCACTGTAAATCGAAACAAAGTGCTCATCTTTTTTTGCGATTGTAATAATACATATAGTCGGCGTCCGGCGACTGTTGTACGCGGGTAGATTTACGTGTATGCGCCTTGAAAAGGTCTCGCCACGCGTGAATGCTTATTTGATGTTTTCACGTGAACTGCTTCATTTTTCTTGATGAGTTTCACATTTCCTTGAATTTCCAACGATATTCGATTAAAACATTATCGAACCGGTCCATAAAATTTGAAATAACCTGGTAGTCCGTGCGAGACCATTTCGAAAGACGCATCCCCGTAAATCTACCCGCGTACAGCAGTCGCCGGACGCCGACTATAAACATTTATAATTTTGAACGTGTAAAAAATATTCGATAGATTCCTATTTGCTGGTAATGGGTGAGAATGCGTTCCGGTGATTACACTATTCTATGGCGCACCGTACCCTGATTCATAAAAATCGATTTAGTGAAAATAAATGGCAATTTTGGCAATATGCCAATCCTCCGAAAATTGCCGAATATAGATTTCACAATTTTTTTGTTAGAATTTTAAAGATTTATGATCCATTTCTGAAAAAAATTCCCGATATTTGCATTCGATCTTCTTTTTTGAAATCAACGTATTTTAACAAAATGCTAAAAAATGGTTGCCAATTCTCATTCTTACATGTTTGCGATGAAATTTTCATAAAATCACTAAAAGTCTATTTCTGAAGATCAATCGGATGCTCAAGATCGGTCGCCACAAGACCCATTACCGAATTACCAAGTAAAAAATCGATGCTGAAAAAAAATTTTATCTCGGGATGTTCGTTTTTATAGGGTGTTTCCAGAAAAAAAAAGGCGGCTACCAAAATTTTTCACTTCAAGACCTTGTAGTTTCGATTCATGGTTGTAGAATTTCGAAAAAAATAAATGAACGCACGCGAACCGCAACGCATCTGGCGACTTCGAATAATTAGGGTAGCCGTTTTTTGCGGGGGAACAGATTATTTTCTAATCCTACACTTTGAAAAATTGAATATTGGAAAATTTCGAAACAAAATTTCAGGTAGGTTCATACATTGCTTGCGCCATCGGCTTCGCCGTCACAATCGCGTTCTGCATTTCGTATTCGATGTTTCACAGTCGCGGAATGGGTCGCAATCCGTTCATCGATCATCTCGAAATGAGTACATAATAAAAAGCGGGCGGTCTCGAGACGAAATACCAATCATTTTGCAGTCGATTTGATTTTCGCTTTCATCGTTGGCCTCCCATGTCATGTTATTCTGTTTTTCGGCCTTCGAAATGATCGCAAATGCTTCTTCAGGTTACTTTTTTCTCGAGAGTTTGACAGAATTAAACATCGAAATGATTTCAGCCCATTTTTGGTATTTTATATGACGAATTTCATTTTGAATATTGTTTTCACAATACTCACTCTTGTCGCGTTCGCGATGGATGTTCATAAGAAAATCTTTGGAAATATTCAATTCGATCTCGGTTGGACAATTTTCCAGGTACTTAGTAGCGCATCGTGCTGAGACCACAAAAGAATAATCAATAATACACAAAATTTCGTTAATTGCGATATAGGATTATCTGGTATGCACCTTTAAAAGGTGTATAACTAATTGTACATAGTTTACCATATTCTCGTAATGGTTCTTAGCAAAAGTTCCAAAAACCTCGACCGCGACCAGGAAGCATTCAGTACCACTTAAAAAAAATTAAATCGCTGTAAGATTCATATCATTTTTATTATATGCGCCTTTAATCACAATAGAAGAAACAGCAATGATAATCGAAAACCTGGGATTAAAAAAAATGAAATCGTTCGGTTAAAGGCGCAAATGATAACAATTAATGATTCTTGCAGTCATTTTCTTTTTTTCTAATTAATAATAATTTCTATTATGGAAAAAATTTCACAAAAAATTTTTCCAATGCATAATTGTAAAAAATGCACATTAAATGAAATTTTTATATTAAAAAATTTTTATAAAACATCTATTTTGAATTTTTTTTCCAGATATTGTTCACTTCCGCTCAAGGTCTCGCAATTTACGTGGTTGTGCGCGGACGAAAATATGTCGCCGCGAAGAATTATTGGAAAAATAAATATAACGAGGTGATTTGATTATTATTATTATTATTATTATTTCGGGCTTAAAATCATTTTTGTTTAATTTTTTTGCCGTTGCAGAGAACGGGTCCGATGGATATCGACAACTAGCCACTCATTTTCATCATCGTATGTATATATTTATAATAAAATAGCGCAAACACAAATGTTTGAATTGTTTTGGTTTTTGTTTTGGCGGGCGGAAAATGCTCGAATAATTCATAACTCATCGTATCCCATCCCTGGCAACACACGCTCATCCGTTTCGTTCGAGCCAAAAAAAATTAGCTTCGTATTCCGATATTGCCCTAATTGTTGCGATTTCTCGGAAGAACCCTCAACTCATTTTTATTTATCATAATTATTTGTCGACGTTGCTCCGTCACTTTTATTTCCACAAAAAAAAGGAGAAGAAGAAGGAAGGCGTCGCCCTTTATTTCAGATTCAGACCGCCCATTCAGTGGCAATTAGTTGCAAACTTCCGCGCCATCCATCATTGTCCACAAAAAAAACTATTTATTTTTTGTTCTTTTTGCTCCGAAATTTCCGCCTCGATTTTTCTCTAATCGTTCTTCACCACGCGGTTTTTCTTTTTTATACCTTTTGACCTTTTGAAGATGAATTTTTTTTTTGGTTTTACATTTTTCTTGACTAGAATATTGTGGAAAAATGACGAATGTGAAAAACTGCAGCGATATCCAATGCATTGTGTGCGTACACCGAGACGCACAGTTCAATAAGAGCTACAGTAATCTCGAATGAAAATTATTATACAATTATAATTTTTAAAATTTCCTTTCTGTTTTTTCTTTTCAAATTTATTGTTTTTTGTAAATTGTTGTGTTGAATGAGTGTAATAGTAATTATTTTTGTATAATATTCGAAGTTAATTGTTTTATATAAAAAGGAACGATCAATAATTAAATAATTTTTAGTTGAGATTACTGTAGCTAAGATCGAGATGTGCGGACTCGGTGTACGCACACAATGCATAAGATATCGATGCTGTTTTTCCACAATATTTCCTAATCTCCTCTGCTCGAAATTCGGTTGATATTACGGACCATGCATTTTATCTGACGACAACAAAGAATTTGGTCATTTTTACTAGAAATTTAAAAAAATATATTTGGGACTGAATAGATTTTTTTTTGAAGAAAATTCCAGTTTTAGAAAAGTGTGCAATTTTGCGTGCGCGTGTATGAACCATTTCGAATCTTCTTGACGAGCTTCAAATTTTCCCAAAATCTAGCATATATGAAGCAGCCGCGAAATCGGGTGTTAAATATTACGGTAAACCGAGGGCGGCGCGTAAACTGGAGTATCGTAAAAAAATATTGGTTTGAAAATTTTCAAAATCCAGAAATTTGTGGAAAGAACAATCAAATTGTCTGCGAGATTTGCAGAAAATTGTCGATTTCGAAAATGTTGCAAACCGAATAATTGCTTGTTTGTGGGTGGGCGGGTGGGTGGCACCGACCGCCACCTTCGACAACAACACCAAATCCGATTGTCGTCGTTTTTCGCGTTTCTCTTTGCCACCATTATAAGAATACGCGGCGACGTCAAAATTCGCCGCCAAAAATGTATAAATAGCTTTATATAAATCGTGTGAAAAACGCTGATTAACTGCGGGAATTTGAAATTTCAACATTTTCCATAAATCAAATATCGCGAATTTGATTATAAATACCACGCAGGTGGATTATGCTAATGTTTTGAGGAAAATAAAACGAAAAAAAATTTTCAAAGTGCAAACCCGTCGACGCATTTTTTTTTCTTTGCGAGACTAAAAAAACGGTCCGCTAAATTTCAAATTTTGAGAAAATCTTATTTTTCTACAAAATCCAATTAAAATCTGCAGACCGACTTTCAATATTTTTGGAGGCCTTAAAGGCGCATGACGCAATGTTGTTTAATATCTTCGAATGCTTGATATTTTCAGACAATCCAGCGAAGCCGATGCTCGATTTTTGTAGCCCCCTTGGATTTTCCGAAATCCGTTATCGCTAAAAATCTCAATATTTTTGCGATTTTTGTTTTCGCACCGACTTTTTATTCTTGCACACATTTCTATGTGTAAACAACCACAATTATAGGTACCCTCCTTTAAAGGAAGCGAATATAAAATGAAAGAGTGTTTCGTGGTCCCCGCTGTAATTTTGCACCTGCCTGCAAATTTTTTTCTAAAAAGATTTCTGATGCATTCATTTACCGGTCCAATTCATCCAAATGAGTTGTGTTTTCAATAATTTTTTTGCTTGCTTTTGCCTTTAATGGATTTTTGGCGATTTTCGAACAACAAGCCGAAAAAAAGGTAGAAATTCCCTCCATTCTTTCAATTTTAACCTCTCGATTCGGGTCCTGTCACGCATACCAAATGCTGAGATGTTTGAGCCCAACTCCACGAGCCCACTAATAGTAAGAAAGTAATAAATCGCCAAAAGACCTTTCGAATCATTTTTTTTCCAGTTTTATTTGCACTTCGCCCCAATAAAGCTTTCTCTCTCTCTCAAAAAAGAACACAAATGGAAGGGAAGGAAATGCGGAAGATTAGAAAGATAATAAAAATGGCGAGTCGCGCGACCGAAAGAAAGCTTGCCATAATCTCATCAAAAATTCTGTGGGGCACCTCGCCCATCAAAAACCGAGTAATAATAAAATTCCAAACAAAAAAAATGAAGTTCTTGTCGCCGCCCATCCATTAAACGCCTTTTCATTGAGTTCTCCTCTCCTTCTTTTTTTTTGGTGAAAGTTGACATGAGGCGACTTTAATGGAATCGCAATTTCAGTTGTCCTACGCAAACATCATGTCGAATTCTTGTAGGCCATCTGTTCAAATATTGCTTTCGCGTTTTTCCGCGTTCGATTTTTCGTGGAAAAATCTGTGTGAATGCGTCACGGTGTTTGCACCACTCTATCGCGCACCGTAAATACAATTTCATTTTTTATTCATTTTCATCGTCAACAAACAAATTTCCAGATTCTGAATAGATCAATTTTAGTAGAAGTGCAATTTTTGAGAAAATCAGGTCATCGCAATGTCCGTCTAATAGAAAAAACTCGACCTCCTCAAAATGCCGACCCAGATTAGTTGATCGTGTTTTTTTTTTGTTTCTTCCTCTTATATATTTTTTTCTTCCTTTATTCACTCGTTCGTTTGTACTAAAAAGGTGATGGATCAATCATTTTTCAACGGCTACAATTTGTTTCTTTTCCTGAGAATCCCAATCAATTCCTTTCTGCCGCATCGCGCGAGTTTGAATTGGAAACGTGCCAATTAGAATCAATGCCGCCACGTGGAATGTGAAAATTCGACATTTCGTCGAGAACACACAGAACAATAGACGACTAATCCCATGTCCGCAGATGAATTTATATGAATTGGACATTAAGCTAGAAGACTTGTAAGAGAATTTCATCAAAATTTTAATCCAAAAAAAAAAACAAATTCGACAAGGGGTACGGTGGATGATAATTTTGTGCAATCACCGTCACGCATTCCCGCAGATTTGTTTCACGCGTTCTCCAAAAATGTGAATTTCAGAAAAAAAAGTCGAGAATGATAGGAAATGACGCCATGAATTGTACACCAAATGAGCCGAAATCGCCGCTGTTCAATTAATCACATTTGTGTGGGTCCGATACGCCAACAATGAGCATTGTTCTCATGTCTCTCTCTCTCTTCTTTTTTGTTGAAGATTCTATTTTTTTGGTGCGGCCACCAAATCCAAGTTTTTATTATATCATCATCGTCATTAAGAAAAAAAAATGACACCAAAAACCATCCATCGGCAATTATTTCTCATCATCACTCGCCCCCACCACTTTTAGTGAGTGGCGAAAAAAAAAGTCATTTCGGCGTGAAACAATGAAAAACGCTTTCATGCTTCATTTACCTACCTGTATTTGGATGGCGAAATAGCGAGCGTTTCGGCGAGACGCAGACGCGTTCTATTCAGGAGGGCGGCGGCGGCGGCGCGCGAGCGGCTTAATTCCTTGCATCGGATGAGTGTTTTTACCTTACTTGCTATTTCTCAAGTAGTTATTATTATTATTACTATTATTATTAGCATTATTGCTAGCTAATGCCATTCGCTTTTCAATGATGGTTTTATACACAAAGAAAGCGGCTCAAGTTGTTGGAATTGGCTTTAATGGATGATTGTATAGTGAGAGTATCGCATTTCGCCGAATACTATTCAATTCCACTCGAGACCCTCTTCTCCCATTATCATCATCATCAATTTTTGCTCGCAAATAATCATGGTTTCGCCAAATGTGTGAAAATGCGTCACGGTGATTGCACACAGAAATGCAATTAAAATTTTGCAGTTTTTTTTTTTCTACAAAAGCGACTGGAGCGGTTGAGAATTTCGCGATATAAAATTTCAATGCGCCTTTAAATCAAACATAAAAAAATTAAAACGAAAATGGCATTATAATATTGGCGAAAATTTTATAATTGTCGCGTCAAGACCGAAACCAATGGAATGTTGAGAAATTTTCAGATATTTAAAAGCAGCATTTCTTGCAAAAATCGCCACAATTTAATCTTGTCTTGTGCTCCTTTAAATTTTCTAAGCTAACCAATAGGATCAAATAAACCTTATTAGGAAATTCTACTGTGAGTCACACATATTTTTTCAGCCTAATATGGCGATGAATCATTTGAAAGAAACACCAACAAACGTCTTCTTCGATTTTCGAGATTCTGAAAAATATTTTTCGCGCTCGCGGTTCGACTTGATTGATGAAAAATTTTTCGTCTTTTTGATGTTGGGGCCCCATGTTCACCGCATTTTTATTTTTTTTTTCTCGTTCGCGTTCCTTCCTATCGTCGTTTTTTTCCTTGTTCAATGCTTTTGTTGGCTTTTGTACTTGAAAGTTATCGAAGGACGACGAGAATAAATAGATCGAATTACACGCTGCATTTTTCACACAATAAAAAAAAAGTAGGTAGAATGTTGCGACAATTATTGAGAATGATTGAAAATTCACTCTGCTGAATTATTGAGCATTAAATGCCCCACGCAGAAACGAATTTCATTGCATTACTTGCTTGCCGTTGTAATTTCGAATCGAATAATTGTTTTCCAAAAAAAAATGTCTGCAAAATTGCGTCACGTGATTGCACCATACATTTCATTTTTCATAACTTAACTTTATCCCCAAATTTTTGTCCAACATTTCGGTTCCTCCCAATTTTTGCTAGTGAAATTCGAACTTGTCGTGGTCCGAGCACTTCGAATTCTAATAATGTGTATAGCGCAGAAATTCGATCATTGCAGCAACGTCACAAAACATGCAATAGTTTTTGGTGTGCGTCCTACCAATTGGTTCCCGCCGCGAAAATGACCGAGCTTCCAACGACGCCGATCGGCAACAAGCAATCGTTGATTGATCTGCGTGCCGGAACGATACTCCGCGAGCACTCGAGGTTTTTTTTTTCGAGTTTAATCCATTTTCGGTCGCGTTCGACAACATAACAAAGAATATTATAAATTGTGCCCAAGGGAGGCAATGATTTCAGAGTTTCTTTTTGCTCACGCAGCATAAACTTCAAATATGGGAGTTCGATGGTTTTTTTTTTTCTTCACAAAACGTCACTTTTTTTTCCGAATGAATTGCACAAAAAATTGCGCGAATATAAAAGTTACGCATAATTTTTACATATTTTTCGAGAGAACGGGTATTTCAGAAAAAAAAAACAATAAATAAAAATTGTGCATTTTAGGAAGGACAACTTGTATTTCGGATGTCCCATCGGTGTGCTCTTGGTTCTTATTATTCTGCTGAAATGCACATTTATATCGATATGGATTATACGAGGCAAGATTCCACCAATTCAATTTGTATGTTTTGTTGCCTTCAGAATACGATACATTCGATTTCCGATGCACTTCATGGGATGGAGAAACCCAAATTTTTCGCAGTAAACGATGGTCGCCATTGTAAGCAATTTCTGAGAGCATCGATTTCCCCAAATTGCTCATGATTTTAGTGGAGGAAACTCGGATCCGAGAAGCTTTTCGACGACAGATTTGTCTGAAGAAGGCAAACATGATGTTATTCTGAACGACATTAAGCACAAAAATCCGATGTATGGAGGATCAGCGAGAAATCGACATTCGGTTGAGAAAGAGCGACCGAAAATTGATCCGAATATCGATTTCGGACCGCTTCCTCCAACGTTTCGTCGAAAACCGGAGATTGAGCACGAAGAAAATGGCGATGATGATGATGATGACTTGCCGCTTTCTACAATGGTGACACTCACGAACACTCAGCTCATCCCTTTAAAGGGACAAGATCAAGGGATCGTCAAGTATGTTGAATTTTTATTGATCCAATAGAATCGAAATGAATATTTAGAATGAAAACAATAAGGAATCGAGTTGAGAAGATCGGCTCGAATGAGGAGCAATTCGTCGAAATTGACATTGCGAATGCGCCGAGAATCTACGTGAGCAAGATCAAATCGAGACATGGCGGCGAGCAAGAGGAACAGGCGCTGACTACCGATTTTTCGCTTATCAATGAGCTGGAAAATGAGAAAGTTTGAAATATTTCGGCGACACTTAAATGATTCGTGAAAATTTAGAAGGAAAAAGAGAAGAAAAAGAAGCTGAAAGGCAAAGGGCTTAAAAAGAAGAAAAATAAGGAAAAAAAGCGGAAACATAAAAACGAGAAAACGAATGGGAATGGTAGGCCATTTTTCATTAATTTCCATTATTTTTTGCCTTCGTGGCAAATTGCCAATTTTCTATTGGGTTGATTTACTATAAGTAGAGTAACTTTCAAATCACACTTTCCTATATGGCAACAAGGGTCCGCCTGCGCCTTTAATTTATGTCGCAGTTCACATCACAATTATACCATTAGAATTATAAATAATTTCAACTATTAATATTTTTTTTTAGATATATGATTAATACTTTATAGTATTTATGTATTCAGTTTGAATTTGCAAAATTAGTTTTAAATAATGATATCGTAATTTCATATGAATTCATTTCTGTATCATGAAATTGGAATTCCAGCATTGAACCAACCTACAACGGAAAATACGAAATCTCCAAGGCATCTTGTCAGTGGTGGAAGCACAACGCGAACGACTAAACGACCGCATCAGTCGAGTTGGATCAACGGAGTCATTGATCCGGACGATCCCAAATTTTCGAATCAAGGCGAAATTCGCGGCTACACAATGCAAACCGCTTCGCGCATTCCGACAACCACCCCATCGAGTTTTGCTTATGAAGCGACTGAGGCTATCAAGGTGTCGGAGAACACGAGAATGATGTGGGAAATGGATGAGATCAAGTACACCACGTTTCTGGCGCCGAAGACCACCGAAGTCACGATGTTCGAAAATCGGGCGCCGGAGAACAACGAGATACCGCCGCCGCCGTCGCCGTCGGTGATTGAAGCACCGATAGTAGATGAGAAAATATCTGATGGGCACACGGAAGTGGTGACAAATGCGCCGAGCACGACTCACAAGCCGGCACAACAAATTCGAGACGGCAAACCGCCATTGAGGAAATTGATGTTCGAGAAAAAACCAGCTGCGCCGAAAAAGATTGTCGAGAATACGACGAAGGTCCCAATATTTGTCGGAAACACTTTTGTCGCCCCAACCGAAAGTCCATACTACGTTGAAGTGAATGATGCTGACACCGAGACGGTACGTGCTCAACACAGATTTTTGGGAATAAAACTCCAAAAATAATCTATTAGCCTCAAAAAGAAACGAGCGCCTTGAATAATTGCGGATAATTGTGCACTTTTTAGATGCGGCAATTCAAATTCGAATGTAATCAGTGGGAATAGGGGTACCGTACTACGAATAAAAGCTAACGCATCGTAAATATAATGGGGCATTTGAAAAAAGAAAGAAACATTCAAAATTTCAATGCAGAAATAAGAAATTAATTTTTTTTTAAATTTTCCTCCATTGAAATTTTGACTATTTTTTTTAAATTTACTCTGCATTAATCCTTAACAGCCTTTTGTTGTTGCCATTTCCGATTTTCTAGATTTACATCAAGGATATTACGCCAATCTATCGGAATTTGTTGCTCAATGGTCCTGAGACGACAACGAAACCGTATGATCCGAAGCATTTTGAAGTAAAGCTGCTCTCAAAAAAAAAAAAACAAATGAAAATTGTGAGAATAAATTTCAGATTGAGCTAACGCGTCTGAAATCGTCCACATTGTGTCTGGCGCGAATGGCGTTCAATGTTTGGTGTCTTTTTGTGGTAAATCATCAATGAGACTCGCAAATTACCGAAACATTGGAATTTCAGCTATTTTCTGCCGTCCCGTTTGTGATGGGAATGTGCGTGCCTCGTTGGAGTCTCTTCGTCCTCCACATCGTCTTCGACTTTTTATTTCTTGTCGTTGGATTTGTTAGCAGGTTGATTAAAATTAGCTCTGAAAAAATCCATAATGCGATCAATTTCAGCATGACAATTGCGGTGATGTCGGTTATCGTCTACTTTTCCATCGATGAAATGACGTCGGATTCACTATTCGAGTTTCTCCTTGTCTCTTTTGTGATAGGTGACCCGATTTTCAGCATTTTTTGCAGATAATCAAAAAAAAAATTTCCAGATATTTTCTTAATAATTTACTCACTTATTGTGCTCGTCGCTTATCGATGTTGCAGTCGGCTCGTCGACAATTGTATCAAAGACTCGAATGCGAACTATAGTTTGGTTGGCGATGGTGCAATCGCCGAGCAAGTCTAATTGGAATTGCATGCTTAAATATTTTCGATACGGGTTTATTATAATAAACAGTGTTTTTTTTTTAAATTAAACTCGGCTAACTTACATTATAATATTTAATCAGTTGGCATCGTGTTTTCCAAACAAACGGGGCAAGTCTGTTGTTTTGCTGAAATGTTTCAATTTTCATTGTCAAGACTCAAAACAATTGGACCTTTTCAGTGATTGCAAATTAAACAATGCAGCGCTGTCGTTATTTTGGCGTATTGGTGAAAAACGGAAAATGTATCCATTTGGCGTGGGATTCGGCGTTTTGTACGCAATGCAAGGCGAGTTACCGTAATCACAAGTATCCACCATTGTCCACGATCGCAACATTATCAGCACCAAATTTGTGTGCGCCTGTCATTCCCGTATCCAAAAACCATGTATTTTCGAATTTTGAAAACTTCTTAAATAATCTGACAATCAACAGATTTTCGCTTTCTCTGTGCAAATTGTTCAATTATTTATTTAAAATTTGCTGATATTCGAATATAATCGATTAAAGGCTCGCAATGGGGAAAATGAGTTGGGTTTCGTAGCGATTGATTCTAATAGCCCCTCAACTTTTCTTTATTTCCAGAAAAAGATCGGCAACACGTGCGGGAAGAATTGTAGAGATTTTTCCACCATTATAACATAACGTGTGTCATAAGAAATTTTCTCCCCACTGATTGCCAGGAGATTATATTTTATACTGCTTTATTCGAATATGCCACGTTGTTTTTAGGCCAGATATTTTTTTATTCGCATTTTAAACTTTGCATTTCCCCGGGCGTTTTAGAATATCCACTGAAATGCCAGAGCTTAATAATTTGTTTTTCATTTTTAGATCTCTCGAACAACATGGATCGGATCAATAAAGAATTTTTAACCGAATTTGAAAATATCGATTATGTAATGTTTTATTTTCAAAATTGTTAATATTGTTTAATGCAGGTAACAAAAGAAATGAGCAATGCATTAAATGAAAAGTATATTTTAATCTAAGAAATAAAAAAAAAATCGGAAAATTTACAGGCTTTCTAAAATTCTCGACGAAATATTTCAAACCAGTCCAATTGATTGTTCATTCTTATGGCTAGCAATCCGAGAATCGCCAAATACTCAAATTGCAGTAATTAAATATTTGAACGCGAAAAAGAACATACTATTAATTAGTGATGTCTCTGATCATATGGTTTTAAATTCAAAATTAGTTCATATTGAATGATTTACCAACAGATTGAGGTCGTTTGTTCGCTGATTGAACACCAACCGATCAACATTCAAGAAATTGTTCTTCAGTTTATCACTACTGCTTTTCGATCAAATCACTCAATTCTAACTGATAATCAATTAATAATGGTAAACGATCATTCGATTCCTATTCAGTTCTCATCTATTATTTCAGATTATTCAGAAATCGATATTCCGTATTCGGAATCGTTCGTTGCATGAGATTTTGAACAAATGGCTATTCAATCGTCTGTTTTTATCATTATTCTTTTTTATCTCGTATATTTTCAGATGCCGATAGAAGTCGGTCAATTCGCTTGATGAAAACAGCAATTATTGAATTCCTCGAACTTTCGGCCAACGAATTGTTAAGCGATCCCGAATCAAAACTTGATGAACAAACCGATCGTGAAAAATTGGAAGAAATTCATCTATGCCGATTTTTCATTCTTCTTCATGATTTCAATTCGGAAATTTGTAAATTAGTGCTTTTTGATGTGTTTCCTGTAATTCTGCTGAAAGCCAATTCATATTCAATTATATCTTACTTTCTAAAAAACGTTCATTTTGGTTCGATTACTGGTCTGCTTCGAAACATCATCTCTCCAAAATTCAAATCCGATTCACTAAATGCTTATTGCAAACAAAAACTGAAAAGTCTCGAAGGAAATTGTGCTGAAAGAATTCGCCATGTTTCTCTGGTAAGCGCTTAAAAGTACGATTCGCTACCCATAAAGATATCATAGAAACTATTTATTTACTATGCACATATTACACACTATCAAATTCAAAAATTTAAAAATTCATTGTTATTTTGTGGCAGAGAATTTTAGCCGTGTTCTTTTCGAATTCGAATAGTCTGTTTCTGAAAAAGAGGTAACCATTCGATTTGATGTTATGTTAATTCAGCTCTCCAGAATACATTCTGTTTTTTATCTTTAATATAGTCTTACTGGTGACAGAATTTGTCCCCTTTATTTGGAGTAATGGTTCCTATGATATTTTTATGCCTTTAGTGAATACCTCTCTTCACCTTTACTGAAAATTTAAATGGTAGGTACTCAATATGATTGTGAGTTTCGATGAGACGTTCGTGAATACCATTGAAGATAACGAAACGTTGTGTGAAATCCGAGAGCACGTGCTTCGAGTGTTCACCGATAAGCGTTTATTCGACACATGCGATGTGGAAGACATTTACAGATTATTTACATTTTTGCCTTCTTTGTTTAAACATTCGCATGTCGCTCGAGGTATATTCAAAAACAACAACCGTATTTGAGTTTTGATTTACAGATGGAAATGCGTATGAAAGATTTATCTACCTGCTTTTCGATGCTCTCGCATGCATTATCAACACTTGCTACGAGGAAGCTCGCCCAGCCAAACTGCGCCGTCTGTTTCAACCAGCCCATTATGTGATGTGTAAATTCATGTTGCATCCAATTGATGCTGAACGATGCACAATCAAAAACACGAGGGTTTTAGAACTCGTAAGAGCTATCATCAAGGTAGAATTATTTCTTAATAAATATCAATTTTCAACAAGATTATTGCATAGGTAATTAAATCTGGTAATTGGATGCAGCAAATTAAAACCGCCTCCTATTATGACATCAGTGAGATTGCCGAATTGATTACGCTTTTAAAAAATATGTGCTACTACTCCGATCCTGCGATCTTCGAACCTGAGCGTGCACCCGAGGAATTCACCCTTCCAATTGGTGAAAGTCTTCCAAGCAAGTTGAAGCCGATTCTCTCAAAAAATGAGCTTAAATACATTGAACAAAGCCAAATCTTCAATTTGAGTGCCGAGATTGTATGGACTGGTGCGAAACACAACTACAATAGTCATTTTGTTGATGTTATGGATTTCTTACTCGAGCGAGTAACCAATAAATTGGTGAATGATATTGAATTGATAATAATTCGAGATTTAATTTCTGATGATAAGGTATGTTAGATAATAGTATATCTATAAGCTATAAATATTTTCAGGATGTGCGAAAACAAGCAGAAGAGGCATTTCAGAATATCAAGAGATCGAAAAAATTGAATTGGAATAATGTCGTTTGGTTCCATTCATTTCTTTCGGTTTCAAATTTTTGAAAGATCTTGCGTTTCATTTTATTAATAATATCGGTTGTGTTGATCTCGCAAAATGTTGCCCTTGCATGAATAATAAATTTGATGTTTTATACTATCTAAATCCTTCACTTAAACCAAAAATATAAAATCCAAAGAAGTATTATGTGTGATCGTCTTAGAAATTATTGATTAAAAAACAATAATCTTTTTTAACATTTTAGGAGGGCGAAAAGGTTTTAGGTGAACTTCCACGTTAGCCTGTTTATCGATTATCGAAATTCATTTTTGCTCGCTTTTCCCACGTTTTAAAATGCATATTTTAAAATATTCAGTTTTGTTTATGGTATTTCAATTATTTTGCTTTTTACAAAAATTGAAACTGATTTTTATACAGCATTTAAATAGAAATGTGTTTTGTTTAAACCCTTCATTTGTATGTGGGAATTCAAGAAAATGTGCCAAACGCGCGTCTGCATTATTGCGTCGCGGTTCGCACACCATCCGTGGAAAGTGTGTCGCCGCCGATCGATAACCACGGAGGAACGGTGTTGTGCGCAAACACCTGCGTTTCGGACATCACAAATTGCTCGCAAACCGGCGAGTCGACCATTTGTTCTGTATATTTATATGAATATTTTACAACAAATGTGTAGCTCTAGCCCAACATTCTACTCATTGTAAACCTCGATTACCCCCTCAATTCCATTCCATTTTTCATGATTTGCTGATCTCGTATAGAATATGTGGAGTTCTTGGCAAAGGTTGAGTTGGACAACATTTCAATTTTTAAAAAGTAGCAATAATAGATTGAAAGAAAAAACTGTTTTAATGGTGCGCAATTGCATCTTGTTGATATTCGATTTGAAACTTTATTTTTCATATTTCATTTTAATTATTGTAGCTGTTCAGGGAGAACCAAGGCGAATATGGAGGATGAGGATTCACTTCTAGATGCCGTCGAAGAAAATGGTAAGTATATATTTATTAAAATAAAAAATGAAATTTTTGTTTAGCAGAAAGAGAGAGTCCAATAATAGCTCAAGAACGAGACACTCAGTCGCCTCATAATGCAGAAAAATCGAACACGGCTGAGCATGGTAATACTATCATAAAAACGAGTTCAATTGGTTTTTTTTGCCCATTTTAGAAAGCGACGACGAGAACCCAAATGACGCATTAGACTATAACGAGGATCCCGACGACGACGACGATAATGATGATGATGATGACGGAGAAGTGGTATTTTATTGGGATCTTCACATAAATTAATTTTTACGATTTTAGAAATCTGATGAAGAGGAAGAAGGTGCCGAGGAGAAGAATAAGAATGAGCAACTGGAAGAGGGGGAACTTGAAGATGGTGAACTTGAGGATAGTGATGATAACGAGAAGAATGGTATTTTGTCAACGCGTTTTTTTTATTTAACATTTTCCGCTTATTTTCAGAGAAAAGTGATGGCGAAATATCGGACCATGAAGATGTAATGGAAAAACGGCAGCAAAGATTCGGAATTCAGAAACCATCGATAGAGGTTTGTCGGAATGATGTGAGTTGATGTTGTACTTTTTTAAATAGTGGTTGTCGATTTTTGGAGTTCAGTTTTTTCCCCCGAACTTTGCTTATATTAATTTTTCAAATTTTTAGTCGCGTTTGTCGAGACCCGTCGAAAGTCGTAATCGGGCACCGGTTCGCGGAATTCCGCCACCGGCTGTGAGTCGGAGTCGGCCAACCATGACATCATGGGAAAAGGGATTACTCGACGCGAAGAATCGCATACAAACTGCCTCCGGTGAGATTTTTGTGCAAATAAAAAAAAACCCCAAATTTTCTCGTGAGAAAATATTTCGATTTCATTTTATTGCGAAATTCTAGCTATTCGCCAAGAAGACCCCGATTTCGAGCGGAAACGATTGCTGGCTGCGCCAACCGGCGAACGAGAATATGGAAGACGCGCCGAGTTTTCGAGCGATGAGGGTATTACGACCAGAGAGGACCGGTTTGATAATTTCTGAACACGTTTTGAAATTAATTTTTGATTTTTAGCAGTATATCTCCTTTTAAAGACGATGCTCATCGAAAATCGATTCCATCGCTGTTGACCATTCGAACAAGTCCGCCACCAGTGCCTCGAAGAAGAAGACCGCACGATGGTGATCGATTTGGTAATTCGAATCAAATCAAATTTTTCGTTTTTCAAGATTTGGGTCCTCAAACGATTTATCCTTCTAATAATCGCATTATGCGAAGAGATGGTGGAAGGCCGGTGCGATCTGATGAAAGGTATTCGATTTGCATCATTTCTCTGAAAAATTGTCAATTTTTTCTAGAAGGCATCTCCCTAGGGAGCGCACGGTTTCTTCGCGCCGCTCGCCACATTCTTTGCTTTCCCCGAAACGCACTTCTGGATCGCCGTCAGTTCGAGGAATCAGCTTCTCACCAACGAGAGACGCGTCGCCGATAAGCAGTGATTCTGACGAAGAAGCCATGAAGAGGAAACCAAAGCGATCATCATCGTCATCATCTTCATCGTCGTCGTCGTCTTCGGCTTCGTCGTCGAAGGAATCGCCGAAAGCAACAAAGGTGTCTGAATCATCGGCATCGGAAAGCGAAGGCTCGAAGAAGCGGCCGCCGAAGGAGCAGTATGGCTACAGCGAGTCATGGGTGAAAAAGAAGAACAATAACAGATCGCCGATGTCGTCTCTGTCGCCGGATCGTTCAAGATCTCGCAATCATCGCGGACGCGACTCCTCGTCGACTCCATCGCCGGATCGTGTGCATCGTCAAAATCAGCGTCGTCAGCGGAAGCATATGAAGCGAAGGACGGGAAATGTGGAGTTGTCGCCAATCCGACGATCGCGAACTCGATCACCGCCGCCGTATCCATCCGGAATGCGGCCGACACGCGAGCGAAAGCGTAGCACCTCGCCGAACAGCAGCCAAGTGAATGATATTCACTCGTATCGAATTCCGAAACGAAATAATAGCGGACGCGATCGTCGGCCATCGGATCGATCGAGCGGATCGCGCAAAATCAACAATGGCGAGACGGTGCCGCTGTTTTTGGCGAATGCTAGAGGTCAGAATGGCAAGAATCGGAAAATGAGCCCGATTCGCGATGGGAAACGAAGAGGCAGTGAGACGGTGACGAGAAGCGATGTAAGTTTATCAGTAGAAAAAATCAGTATCTATTTATTTTTCGTTTCAGCGTAGTCGACATGAAGCGAAGAAGTCGAAAGTTGAAGAGGTGAACGATGTGAATGGTGAAGAGAATAGGTATTTTGGAATAAAAACATTTCTTTGTAATTAGTTTTGTTTTTTTAGATCACGCGGTCGTTCTCGTAAAAGCTCGTGCTCTTCGTCTTCATCGTCGTCATCAACGTCTTCGTCAAGATCTTCAAGTTCGAATTCGAGCCGCAGCAATTCTCCGGCGCTTCCTGCCAAGTATCGAACAACGGCTTCCGCCGAAGATCCAAGCGACGGCGAATCGAAGAAGGAATTGGAATCGTCGGCGTTGAAGAAACGCAAGAAGTTTGAAGCATCGCCTTGTCGGAGCCCTCCATCTCCATCGCCAAAGCGATCGAAGTATGCGGAGCCGGTGCCGCCGCCGCCGGAAGAACCGGAATCGCCGAGAGAGTCGTCGTCGCCGGTTCCGCCGCCGCCAGCGCCGCCGGTTTTTGAAGAAGACGACGATGATGATGAGAGCGAGAAGAAGAAACGAATGGGTAAGACGATTTTTGACAATTAAATGATCATCAACGAGAAATTTGTAGACGCGAAACGAAAGAAAATGGAGCGCGCCGCTTTAAGAAAGCAGCTTGAATCGATAAATTCGAAACTGCAAATACCGCCTGAAGAAGCTGCGGCTTCATAGGGGGAAAAGTTGGATTGAACCTAATAATCAACATAATAAGCAAAAGAAAGCCGGAAAATGTGTAATATATTTAATATATTAATATTTGAATGTTTTAGACTTGAGCACCTCATCCCTATTCTTGCTCCCCTTCCTCCTTACAATTGTGATCTTTTCCAGTAAACCGAAATAGTCGAAAAAAATTCATTGGGTTGTAACGCGATGTTTTAATCGATATTAACTTTATTTCATTTACCATATTTAATAAGTCATAGACTATTTCAATAAGTTAAAGAAAAAATGTTTCAAAAAAAAAGCAAAGCAGAAAATAGCGGAAATAATTTATCGTTTTGATCTTCTATTAATTACCCTACTTTTTTATTATTTTTCAAATCAAAGTTGTACGGTTTTTTGTGATTTTCTTTTCATTGGATCGCTGATGTTTCATGCTTATAGCTTTCTCGTTTTCTCGGATGTTAATGCCCACGCATGTGTTCTCTTTTTTTTTTGGGTTGGAATCAATTTGAAATAAACCGTTTTTCTTTTTCGATGTTGTGCTTTCGTCTTGGTTCGGCGTTTTTTGTTCCATTATCTACTTGAAAATGGTGTTTTTTTTGCAAATTCCGATCTCATCGGAACGCTTTAGATGAAGAATGAATCGATCCGAATCGGAGATGGAGGTCAACAAGATGGAGGTGAGATTGCGTCTTGGGATTTCGAATTGAAAAATTTTGTGGAATCGATTATTTTGAAGAAGAATGTCGCCGTTGTAAACCGAATTCTCTGTTTGGTCTCGAGTGGACAAAAAATAAATATTGTCGTGGGGGGCGGACGAATTTGAAAATTTTGTTTACAACCAAAAATCATTAAATGTTATAATCTGATGGTTAAAAATGCAACACTCGCTTCTAATAGTTTATTTTTCCATGCAAGACCTAAAGCGGCAATTCGAATCATCAAAAAAGTCGTACGTGGCCATTCAATTTACAACTGCGACTTGTAGTTTGAATCAAATCGAATTTCAACTTGAGCTGGAATTCTGAGCGATGTGTTGTTTTCAGAGCGCAATCGAATGGGTGTTGTGTTTCTCGACAAGAACGTGAAGGCGAAACGGAATCCGCGACGAACGGAGAAGATCAATATGATTCGCGGCAGGCTCGACGAGAACGACAAGAAATCGTTCAAGTTCGAGCAGATCGTCCCACTTCATACCGAATGGGAAAAGTATTTTCGGGAACGATTGGGTCCAAAGAGCGATTTGAAGAAGCTGGACAAATCGATTCTGAAAGCCGATTATCATGGAGCTCTGTTCACAGTGTGGATGGCTGAAAATGCGACGCAGGTAATTTCCTATTTTCTTTAATACATAAAAGGTTTGTGTAGATTTACGAAATGCGCCTTTAAAGTGTTCCTGACACGATTGAAAGTGTTTCGATTTGTAGAAACACTATTCGAATCGAGAAGTCAATCCTTCCATGCGTGACCTTTTTCAAGGCGCATTTCAAATTCAATTTGTGGATTTCAAAAAAAATTGCGATTTCAGATTGGTATCAGTGGAATTGTTCTCCTCGAAACGCGGCACACATTCCAAATGGTGACGACCGCCGACAAATTCGTGGTGATACCCAAAAAGGGATCGGCGTTTCGTTTCATTCTCGACGATCGCATATTCACCCTGTTTGGCGACGGAATGCGAACACGACCGGCATGGAGGGGAAAGAAGCCGCGAGTGAAGCGAGTTCTTCCGATGTTCATTCGGGGAACTCTGGCGCCAGTTCCGGATGGTGGGGAGCAATTAGCTCTTTAATTGTTTTTTTTTTTTGTTTTTGTCGTTTTTATTTTTGCGGGTACAAATAGACTTTATTATGGAATTAATTAAATTATGAGAAGTTTGGGAACGTTGGCAGTGGTTAGTTTGCTTCAATTCCTAAAATGGAACTATTAGCTGATTCAAATTGTGTCAACCCGCCATTTTCCTTATTCTCCTCTTCCTGCTGAGCAGCTTTGGCCGCCTCCTGAGCTTCTTTGATTTTGCGCTCCTCCTCTTCTGCAAATTTCAAATTGGCTTCGAAATTGTCAATTTCAATTTTGAGAACCTTTCGCGGCGCGTTCCTTCCACAACGCCTTGTTCTCGTGGAGGAACTTCATCCACGGCGTCGGAATCTCCAATTTTCCGCTATAATTGAGCGGAATTTTGCGGATCGATGACGGCGAGACGGACGAGTTTCGTCGCGAACTGCAAACCAAAAAAATTGGATATGGCTTATGAAGCGAAGCTTACAGATCGGGAAGTGGGCTCAATGCGTTGCTCGGAGATTTATCCTCGCCTTCGACACTTGGCGGGAATAAGGAGTCCGATGGTGGAAGTGAGACTAGTGGCTCCACCTGATATCTCATTTTTTAAATTATTGGAATCATCATAGATTTACCATTTTAACGAGAAGCTCTCCGCAAACAACCATTGTCGGCTCAACAATGAAATCAATGAATCCAATTTGACTGTCAGCAACATGAACAGTGTGACGATCGCATAGCGGCGAATACGCCAATCCCATGGAAGCTTCGATGTCTCCTGAACTCCGATACACAAATTGAAGGCGTTGGGAATCAAACCTTGTCGGAAGAATTCCTCCAAAACGCCTTCGGTCCATCTCTCGTGAAGCTCCCAAGGTTTCGACGGATGCGAAATATCGCAAGCATGCACAATTAAGCAAAGCGCTTTGTTCTTGTCGATTCTTAAAATCATATGATTAATGAACATGGAATGAGTCGAACCCTTCGGGAAGTGTGAGCATCGACTTCATCGTTTTTATCTGCATGAAATGGGTAGACATGTCCGTGGCCAGCACGATTTCGATTACCATATTACGCAAATCCCTGAGCATTATACATTTAAGCCGAAAGCTTCTCGAAATTGTCTCACTTGTATTCGTCTTTGCTCAATTGAGCCACAATGTTTTTGTCGTCTTCTTTCATCAGACGGAAGCATGAGGAGACGTGATGGTTCTCGAGAACACTTCGATCGTTGTAGAGCATAGCGAAATGTGATCTGAAAATAATTGTTCTCGCAATGCGCATTCCAACATTTTCAGCATACTGTGATTGAATATGGAAGTTATTCGTATGACCGGTGTGCTCATAATCGTGAATCAAAGCGCCGAAAATTACAGCGAAGAGTTCCAGATCGGATAGTGAATTCTGAATAGGCAAGTTTTGGGCTCTTGATGAGCTAGATCTTCACTTACAGCGAGCCCAGTTTGAGAGAGCATGAAATGTGAAGATTGAGTTACATCAGCGGCATGAACAACATTATGGTACGGATTATTGTGCTTTGAATATCCCACTTCCAGGGCACCCAAGTAATTCTCCAAAGCGGACACGGAAATCTAAAAATTGACGTTGATTATTAACAATAATATCCACAAACAGCTTATCAATTTCAAATCCGCTTTTACAAATATTCAAAGTAAACAATTCGCGAAAAAAATGTGAATTTAGTGAGCGATTTAACGAATCAGCAGCGGCCGGAAATGAAAGATTCACGAGTCTCGAATTCGCATTCGATTCTGTCAACAACGCGGAATATACCTTGAATCTATCCATAAATCCGTAGCGATTGAAAAGCTCATAGCCGATATACTTGAGCGCATGACCTTCGGAGACCTCGTTGAGGTAGAACGGACTGAACGACCAATTGTTGACGTCTCGCAAGACTTCGGCGATTTCGTTGGGAATCGGACACGTCACCGTTTGCTGTTTTCGGAATAATCTGAATGGAATGAATTGAAAAAAATATATATTTCTCAACAAATGCCAACTTTTCGAAGAAGATGCCAGTTCGGATGGCGTTGGCGACGCTCTTGAATTTCGGCGGATCGCGTTTCTTGCCGGCGTTCTGACGTGTGAATGTCGCCGCGAGCCATTCGCGCACCTCATCCGGCACCGTTTCCGGTGTGACTTCAGCGAGCTCTTCATCCTCATCGCATATCCGTCTGAAAATTGAAAACGCATTAGAATATCGCCAGCGAATGAATTATTCACCGCGTCTCATCCATATAAGCCGTCTCCAGGACGAGCGCCGCATATTCGATGTTGCGTTTAAGATCTTCAAGTGGCAATTGGCCGCTGTTCAGCTGGTGTAGAATGTATCGAAGTCTGAAAAATAAAAAAAATGAGATAAAAATTGAAAAAAATACAAAGCCGCGACGCAACACGCTCGCGCTGCATTTCAAATTTCGCGCGTCGGGTCTCGCGCCGAAAATTTTTTGAGATGCCCGTTTCCAACATTTTCGATATCAGAAATCGATCGCACTGAGATTTTCCAACATTTTCAGTATACTAACAACCCAAAAAACACGAGTATTGAAGGAATTCGACGTACACGCTTTACTTAATTATTACCTGCACGCATGTTTTCGAAGCACGAGCTGATAGAATCCGAAAGTGTCGCCGACGAGCATCTTATCAATTTTTCGATTATTCTAGACGATGGCGAAGACGAAGAAAACGAATAAGCAAAGTGGCGAGGGAAAAAAAACGCGGGGCTCTTCGGATTTTTTCGAATTAGAGCGATATATCGTCAAATAAGACGATTAAGATTAGCGTGAGCAACTAGTAAGAATTACGAATGAGCACAGATATTTCTCAAGGCATACATTTATTATTAAAGGTGTATATTTTGAGAAGGGAGAACTGAAATCAACGAATTTTCTCGCTCAAATTATGTATTGCCAATTTACTTCACTTGTTATTGGCGAGCAAATTCGGATAAATACATATGCCTAATATTCAAACATTATTTTTTTTCGATGAAATCATATCTATATACTTTATTTATATGATGGTGAAGCTCTATTTTGAATAAATTCAAATCGAATATTAAAAAAAGGACGATTCCCCAGAAAACTGGCAAAAAGACCTTGCGGGCAAGCTAACATTATAATCCGGATGAAGCGAATCGATTTTGGACGCGAGGGAAGATGTCGACCGCACGCTTTCTCTATCTATTATTTTTATCCGGCTCAGGATGATGCTCGCCGCGGCTCGGTTGCTATGGGTCACGCCGAAAGGGGCGGATCATCATCATCATCATGGCACATATGTGCGCGCACGCATTGATAAATAGATATTCGCAATAGTTGAAATAGGCAAAAACTCACTTTTCGAGCGCTTCGAGACCCGCTGAATTGTCGTAGCTCTTCTTGCGAATCGTTTGCGATTGTTTCGATGATGTCGAACACGAGCGACGAAGACTCGCCGGCCTCTGATGGTGTTCCACTGCAAAAAAAAACAATGGAAAATTTTTTAAATATGATTCGGTTCATCTGCGGACAAATTCGCTATTCAATTTTTGGTCATGGCGTTTATTTGTCTCGGAATCAATCCCCCCCCCTGAAATTCGTGTTCTCCCATTTACCCTTGGATGTGCTCGGCGCGAGGCTCATCGCTGAAAACACCAACATACTCGATTTTCCGGCCGCCGACGACGACGTCTCCGGCATTCAGCCGCGAAACCTGTCAAATAGCGCCAAATTGGATTCGAGACGAGAAGAGCGACGATGGATTCGTTGATGATGATGATAGGGGGGGGGGGATCGAGATGATGATGATGATGATGAAGTCGAAGGGAAAACAGACAGCCAACCAACCAAAAATGTTCGGTGTGAATTAGCGCCTGATTGAGCATCAGGAAATGCTCTCACAGTGTCTCAAACATCTCGGCGATCAGAAGGCAATCAAATTCATGGGGGAGGGGGGCTCGAAAACAACTTTTCGCAATTTTTTTAGTTGGCGAATTGGGCCAAAAGAGGCCAGCGCGAAAAATTGGGTCCATAATTTAAAGGAGCATAATGGCAGGGACTCTAACAGGAAATTATCAAGCAAACGATTCGACAGTGCACCGCACACGACTCGCCTAACTATGCGAATATATAAATTTATGCGGTGCGACAAAACGTATAATTAGTGTGTGGGCACATTGCGATACTTTTTCTCGCCATCGACAATCGATGTTTTTGCGAAAGAAAAGCCAGAGTGGGTAGGCGCGGCGAAAAAAATATATATTTTTGTCTTGTCTATAATTAAAAAATTTCTCGTTGTCTATTTTTTTTGGGTTTGGGTGAGAGGGAGGCTCTCAAGCAAAACTTGAGTCTTGATAAATAATTTGCGGCTCATTTTGGCATTGAAATAATAATTCTTTGCATACTGTAAGTGGGCGTGGCTTATGGCGTTCGATGGTCTCAACGCGAGACTACTGATCGGAAAAAAAGTTTAAGCTACATAGAACCCCCCCCCCTTTAAAGGAAATTGCTTAGAATTTTGTTATCCATTGCATTGAAAAGTGTTACGGTAGGTCAGGCTCCGCCCACCAACACATAACATGTAGAATTTGGGGTACCCTTCCTTTAAACTCGAAAATTAGCAAGAAAGGAGGAAAGGCATTTTTGAATTGCCGCCAAATGCGATATTTTTTGGAATTTCCATTTTTGAGATTAAAATTTTTAGAAAAAAATATTCGAAAAAAAAGAATAGTGCGTGAAAACGCAAAAAAAAAATTCGAAAAGACACCCATCTCATTTGAATTTTTTTTTGGGGAAAATTCGAAATTCCTTTTTTTTTTTACTTTCCATACTATTGTTGAGCCCATGAGGAATGCCGTATAAGCAGCACATCGAGTTTGGGGGGTCCCTTTAATCGGACCCCCCAGAAGGTACACAGTAATAGGGAATAAATGGGTCCCTTTTGGAGGAAATACAAAATTTCGAATTGAACGGGATATTATTGCTTTTCTTAAATTGGTAATTTAAAGGTCAAAAACTAAAAATTTCAAAAATCAATTGGGATTAATTTATAAAGATGTCTGCATATGCGAAATCTGCGGCGAATTAATCCATCCAAAATTGGAAAAGGGATGATAAACTATAAATATGAATTCAGAATTCGACAAAAAACACAATTTTATGTTCATTTGAATAAGTTCAAACGAACTCTGACCATGAATGACAAGAAATTAGCCGAATTTGGACATGTTCGAAATGCCGAAAAAAAATGAGATATCTCGAGGCGAAACAAAAAGCCAATATCGTCTTGCTATATTTATATCGATGCCGAAATTTCGCCCTTACTGATTGACTTACGACATCCTTCGCCCCTTCTCACTTCTCCATCCTCTTCCTCCTCCCCGCCTCCCCTTCCCCCCATGAACGAATTCAAGTCGACTACTTACTACACTCGACTTTTCGTCACATTTTTTTTTGTGTTGATTGCATTTTTGAGGGAGAAAAGGCGGAGAAGAAGAAGAAGAAGAAGAAGGATTAGATGATAGGATAGGGGGTCCTAGGACAACGATATATGAGGTCTTACGTGTCACTTCAATTGAATCGCCGCCGCCGTGCTGACGTCGTCGTGAGTCGGACTCGGTTGATGTCGAACACACGATATCATGGCTTCGTGATGATTTCTGAAATATTTATGCGAATTCGTCGCTGGATTTTTGTCGAAATCTCGAACACCCATGAAATTGTCCGCCCGGTTTTACACAATTCAATTTCGCATTGCTTTTTTTGAATTGTTTTTGACAATTAAGGTTCAAATCAATCGCGCAAACGCAAAGTTTTCATTATTTTTTCGAAAATTACAATCTAGATTACGTTTTTTTCGAAAACTCAATTGTTTTCAGACTCAAAAAAAAATTGGCTGCAATTTAATTTTCAAAAAAGTCCGATGGAGCGCATTTGCAACAGCTAGTCGTAAATCTCCCCCCCACGCGGGCAAAAAAGAACCCTGTTTATCCAAAATTTTCAAAATCGAATTTCAGTAAAGTTACATCATTTTTTTTCTGATATATTTTTAAAAACATCGCCAAACACAAGAATGAGAACTCAATGAAAAAAAAAATGATTTAAGAAAAAATATTTTTTTTATTGTCCCTTTCAATGAGGGGACACGGCCAGGTAAATAAGCGTCCCTCGACATTTTATGTGCTCATAATTCATTCGGTTAAAGGCAAATAGAAATAAAATATATCGATATAGAAATAAATCGTTCCTACCATTTATTTATTTTTCTTTTTTTTCGATGATGAAGGATTTCTTATTGGAATATTCGAAGCGAATGACACACAAAAAAATGTTTTGTTTGAAGAATTATTGGCGCGAAAAGTGAACCAATTCAAAATTTCCAATTGAGCGCCTTCTTTGTCATTCAATTAAATAATTCTGACAGCAACCGAAGCAAATGCATGATGGACGCCGAAAAAAATGGGGGGAAAAATGAAAATTCACATTAAAATGCGGTCGGTTTTATGAGTGTCATCATTCGATTTTGGCACCAATAAGGCGATTCTCATCTGCGGACAATTTCAGCCAAAAACAAATTTCGAGTCGACGCACCTTGTTGGGCCTGGACGCGGCTGACGAATCGCCATTCGTCGCCAGCAGCTTTTTGTCGCATTCGGCGGTCTCGCGACTCGTCGACGGCTTCAGAAGGCAGAACGCGTTTCGAATGCACGCGCCGCACCCGGATTTTCGGGCGCGATTCGTCGTGCTCATTCCACTGAAAACAAACAAAAAAAATGGTGGATGTCGATTTACGAGCCACGTGGCAAAATGGAATAAATCGAAAAAAGTGGGAATCGAATTGAAATTGGAGAGGCGAATTTGAGAAAATATATATTCCAGAAGAAAGGAGGATAAGAAGTGGTCTGGGGGGTCCTTCTAATTCCGCGTATCAAATTCTATCCCCCTGTCGCCCGGTTGTCTTTTTTTCCTATTGTTTTGCAAGCCCAAGAAAATGGAAAAATAATGAAGATTGATGGTGAACTTTTTTTTTTGGGTGAGAGAGTGGATTGCGTGACCGGAAAAGTTGAAGGTCCGACGGCGAAAAAATTGCCCAATTTTTTTTCTCTCTTGAGAAAAAAAAATTGAAAACATGCAAATTTGTGGGGGCTTCAACACGTCAAAATTGGAATTGGTTGGAATTCTCCGAAGAAACCCGCCCATTTATTTCTATTAATTTATGTGTGCCAATTTTCGATTCGATGCGCCTTTCAACTATTCAGGTAAATCGAATAAAATATTTTTTTTTCTCAATCAATTTTAGAAATTATTTAAAGATTTTAGAATTTATTGACATAATTTAGAATTTGCTCAATAAATTTTAGAAAATCTTAAAAGATTTTAAAAAATATTTATAAGTTTAGCGATTCTCTCAATAAGTTTTCGAAAATATCAATAAAATTTAGATTTTACATTTTAGAGTTTATTATTGAATATTTGATTCTCAAAAAATTTTATTTGATTTTCCTGAGCCCTTGGGGAGTCGATTCGCATTTTTTAAAAGTTCAAGATTTGTTTTTGTTTTGTTCGATGTGTGCATTCACCGCGACGCAACAATGCAGACAACTTTCAAATTTGAATTTCACCGCCTGAAAAGTGCGTTTGGCGGCATCAATCACGAATAGTCTTGTCGATGAATAGACGCCTCCACGCAAAAAAAAAGAAAAAATAGTCAGGCGAAGCGAAAACAACAATAATAAGAATAATATGAAGGAATTAAACGCAGGCTCAAAGAGTGGACGCCAAAAAAAGAATATGGCTAAGCACATTTGTGTGTGTGTGTGCTGATGGTCGCAAAAACAACACACATTTATAAATATAAATGGAAAATGGGAGAATGCGACTCCGAAATTGTGGCGAACATCTCCATAATGAGGATGATGACAGGCGGTTGCACTTTCCATTCTTCAATCAATTATTTCTATTTTTATGTCGACGACAAAAATGAAATTCCTAAAAAGTGTGCATTTTTGCGTGGCGGTGCACTTGCACACTTCCGACAATTCTGCTTTTTTTTTCTTATTAAAAAACCAATATTAATATGGGACGAAAATTAGTTTTAAAGAAATTCTTATTCAACTTTCGCGGCGAAAATGTTGCGAATGGTCTCGAAGCGAATCTTCCCCCGGATGCTCAAAGATAAATTCGCAATACACAATTTTTGTGTGATGGTCTTGAGAGGAAACAGTATCGGGTAGCAAATAAAAAAATTGAATTGATCATTCATTGTTTTTTTTTCTCCCGGCCGCCGAGAAGAAGAGATGAGTGGACTTTGACCAGGAGGAAAAGGGGGGGGGGGGGTCGCCTCCGAAAACCAACTGTGTGTTGTTTCAAATTGCTCGCAAATGTTTTCAAACTTTGGGGGAGAAGCTCGACGGACCACAACTCGCCTCGCCGAGCGCTTCTGAATAATTTCGAGAGCTCCCCAAATGATGGACGAAAAGACGAAATTGCACAAAATAATAACAATAAATCAAAGCCGTAGGGCATCATCCATTTTTCCCCGGCAAAATCTACTCGATAAATATCGTATTTTCTCTGAGACACTCGTTTACGGTATGCGCCTTTAAAGGCTCGCTAAAAACTCGCCACAAGTATTTGTGATTGAATTGTTTAAGTTGGCAGAGTTTACACGAAACATTTGTGTGCAATCACACCGCATCAATATTGCGGTCTTGCATTTTAATCGACGCCAAAATATGGATGCCGGCAAATTTTGGGTAGATCAAAACGGAACCGAATAATGAAGAATGTCGAAAACAAAAAAAAACCCCAGCCAGATTGGCTTGGTAAAAATAATCAAAAAGAAAATTTTGTATGTTTTCTGCGAGAATCGTGTGAAACGACTGATTTGATCTACCCGTTGTGTGGGGGAAAATATTCCGACAAAATCATTTTCAATGGGTGTCGATTTACGCCAACATTGCTCAGTGATGAATTGTTCGTCTCGAGACCATTTCTGGCATTGAGCCAATATTTCATTGGTCGACCAAATGCGCTCTATCGTACTGCCGACTTGCGAAAGTTGAATTTTAAGAAAAAGACGATTTTTTTTTGGGTTTAGCCCGAAAAGAAAAACGCCGAGAATCAGCAAATTATACAAATTTTTAAAGGCGCCTTTAAATATTTGTTGAAATCCACACGGGACCCTTGACGATTTTGAATTTGAAATCAATTTCTTTGATGAAATGAAAGAGAAAGGCGAAAAATCGGTACGAGACCGATTTGGCCGCGAAATTCAAAACTGCGGCGTTCGAGAATATTCGAGAATATGAGACAAATATCCCTTCGAGACCCATCAAAATTGATGAGTATCTTTTGACTTGTTTCAATCGAGCATGACGATATTTTGACACAAAAAAAAATGAATGCATTCTAGTTTTCTTTTGACGAATCGTGTGCATAATTTAGAGGAAAAGTCCACTGGTAAAAAAATTTGGGAGAAGCGATTGAATTGAATGAAAACGACGAATGAATTTGGGGGGGGGGGGTCTGAAGTGTGGCCGAAACCCTCCGGGGAATTTCGACCGCCGTCTTGTTTTATTATTTATTTATAATATTGAGAGAACGCGCGTCGATTCGTTTCAAGAACTCGAAATCGCCACCGGCTGGAATCGCATTTATTTGATGAATTGGGTGTTGATGTGGATTTACGAGCAGGGTCTTTCATTTTTTTTTCAATTTTCAGTGATGTTAAGAATTCGTGGAAATAAAAGATACATCAAATTTTCAATAAAAGCTTCCACGCGTGGCGAGACCCATTTTGAAAGGCGCACCTCGTAAATCTACACGAGTATGTCTAAAGAAGTTTGCGATTTGCACGTTTTCTCCCCAAACAGCTAAAAATCAAAATTGTGCAAATCAAGTCGTATGAACACAGCGGAATTTTTTTTTACATTCTTAAAGGCGCATACAACCAGCAAATTGATTTCCGTTGTTTAGTGGGATCCTCGAAAGAGCATGTTCGCCTCAACTTCGAGCCGCTTCAATTCTCTGTGAATTTTTATTAGCGAGTGTTTGCACACATTGCAGCGCGCTACAGTACACTCAAATTTTTTTCTTTTTTTTTTTCAAATAAAGAAAAAAAGCAACGATCATCATTTTCGCTGCATGTCCTTCTAGTTTCAAATTGATATCAAAGAGCCGCGACGCGAGCCGCAACGCGTCTGACGACATTGAACAACTACGATAGACGCTTTTTGGGTTTTTCATTTAGCCCCAAAAATTTCGTGCAAAAAAAATTTCTGAAATGCGATGAATCAAATTGAATTCGACGGGCGATTCAAATTCCCTTCACCCGTGACATGTCCGCAGATGGAATTAATTATTATGACTGGCTTATGAAATGCTATGAGTGGGATATTTAGTCTTGTTGGAATTCAGAGCCGTCCATTTTTTGGTGCTTCGAGCCAAAATTCAATGTCGTCAGACGCTTTGCGGTTCGCGTGCGTTTTATAAACGCGTCGGAACAACAAGGTCTTGAAGAGTTTTTTTTTTGGTGAAATACACCATCAACCAAATTCATTGCGGACTTGTGCACTTTATTTGACGACAATAATCATTTGATGTATCTTAATCACACTTTCATTGATATTCAATAATTAAAGGCGCATCGAAATCTGTTTTTTTGGTCTTGAAACGAATTATCAGCTATTTCTGAATATCGCCGGCAATTTTTGAGAGGAATTAGCATTCAACATTTTTTTTGGTCGAAATCGAGAAAATAAAACAAGCGATCGGAAAACAACCAAAAAAGGAGAAGAAGAAGAAAAAAGAAAAGGATGGAAAAACACACACACATTCATCGCAAAAAGTGCTCGGGTTGGGGGTTTGTCCTTTACCAAATATGGCTGATTCTGAGATGTAGTTGATTGTCTTCCGCTCAATGACATTTATGTGACAAAAAATTGGAGGACCATCGAAATTTTTTGGACCAAAATCGAACAAAAAACCCCTAATTTTGTTCGATGTAGAAAAAATTGAGGATGATTTGGATGAGAGCGTAATTATAGATAATTTACGCTTGCAATTAAGCGCGTCATTTTTGATGCGAGATGATATTTCTGGCTGCCCTTTTAATTACTATTGATGAGCCTTTAAACAATTGGCTGGTTTGTTTAAAGGAGCACGCTGTCGATTCGAGACCCTTCCCCACACAATATAAAAAAAAGAAAGGATCTTTTAATTATCTCCCTTTTTTCACCGAAAAAAAGCAACTTTCTATTTTTATCGAAAAAATAAATTTGATTGGCGGAAATGATATGAAATCAAAATGAAATTTGAAGCGGATTGTTGCTCGAAAATGAATGCATCAATACTTCCGATTTCCAGACAAATTAAAGACAATTTCTTGCGGGAATTGCGAGGAAAAACATTGTACATTGAATTTGACGCAAAATTACGGACTTGTCGCGATAATCCGCCGATTTTTCGAATAATCGCCGATCCAACAATTAAAGTCTTATTTGAAATAAAATAACTATTTTTGCATCGATTTTCGCTCGACTTGTTTCTCATTTTTCGCTTTTTTCAAGCGAAATTCGCGATCGTCTGAAAATAAAAATGACTCAAATTGGAAAACAAAAAAATTGAAACTAATCCCCTTTTCTGGGTTAAAGTATTTTGATTGAAATATAATTAAAATATATATACATATTATTTCGAAGTATGAGAATAGAGTTGAGGCTGATATAAAATAGCTGTTCGGCATCTGAATTGATAAAGCTGTAAAAGGCAGATGCTGCGCTGAGTGTAGCACTTGTCACCAAGTTACAGCGATGAAAAGGAAAGCGCAATAGCGCAGTGGCGAAAATTTTGGAGTCCTACCGTGGAGATCGTGGGTTCGGTCCCGCTCTGACGCAAAGTGTTTCGCTCTCTGCACCTTCTTCCATCGCACACTCCCTTGTTGTCTCGCACTCTCTCAATTGTAAACAGTCTCTAGAAATGTAGACGGAAAATCACGTCTTTTTTTAAATTGCCATCGAAAAAAAAAGCGAGCGGCATGAAAATTTCGAGGCGGTAATTCAAATTCCAATTTAAACCGTTGGGAATTCGGATACCGTATTCTGGATAACCTGCGAAGCTAATTTGCCGTAAATCGACGCAGGGTCTTCATTTTTTTGGCACATTTAATTTGATGATTTCCAGCGCAAATAAATGATGGAGCGAGCTTTTAAAATTTGAAGTAATTTAGCCGTAAAATTATACATTTAAATAATTGTGGTGTTGAGGTTTGCGACCGGCGTGGTCCTTGAGAACACGTAGTTGAGTATTTTGGAATAGAAAACAATAATGAGCACAAAATGCGAGCCCTTAAATAATGGGTTGACGTTTTTCTAGAAAATTCGTACAATTTCAAATCAGTGAGATAGTGTTTACAATAGAGAGAGCGCAGACGAGGTGAGAGTGTGCGGAGGACGGAGACGCAGACATTCACAACCCAATATTTTGATAATTTTGATCAAATTTTTAAATAATACACTTCGAATTGTTGATAATTTTTGAAAATTGCTAAAATCACAGATTTTTGAAGAGTTAAGATACAAAATCAAGGAAGAAAAACTCTAAAATAGCGATTTTCCGGATCTACAGATAACAATTATGGTTGAAAACGGTTTCAGCGAGAAAAAATGGAATAATAATTTCAACAAAAAAATATTCAAAGGTCTTGAAGCGAATTAATTAGTTTGGGGGAAAATGGCTCTTTAATAGTGGGGGATGGGGGTGCATAAATTTACACGACCAAAAAAAGACATCAAAAAAGAATCGTTGGACCACATTCAAATATTTAAAGGAGCGCCGAAACTTGAATATCGCGATGGGACCCATTTAAAGGCGCCGCGCAATCTCTGGACGCGAAACACTTTCGACAGTCAAATGTTTGCTCGAGCAAAAAAAAAAAAGAAAATCCCCGCCGCGAAAAAAAGTTTCAATGGCTGTTTGGTCATGTAAAAAATAAATATTTTGTGTTGCTTGGATATTCTCGAAATCAGATTTCCAATTTTTCATTCATTCGCTCAATTTGTCTCCTTCGTCAACTTCTTCACGTTTTTTTTTTGCTGGGGCTCGCCGAGCCGCGATCTCAATTTTCTCTCGCTCGCCGACAAGAAATCGCATTTCATTTGATTTGACCAACAAAAAAAAAATGGAAAAGAGGAAGATGAAGAGCTGAATAAAGCGTGAAAGGTTCGATTCAGAGCTCAATGAGCCGACCGCAAATCGGGCACCGTCGTTCCGTTCCGGCCGGAGACGATCGAGAAGGGGGGGGGGCAAAAAGAAAAATGAAATACACACATACACAAACAGCCGATTATTCTCATGAATAATTCACATCTCTCTAACAAATTTGTTGTTGTTGTTCCCCCCCATTTTTTGTTTTGTGCAATAATTTTGATTCTAGGCGGAAATTTGAAACAACGGCAAAATGATTTGGGGTCTCGAAGCGATAAGCCAATTCTCTTTCTCTCTCTCTCATACGAAAAACCACATGCAATATTTTTTTTTGTTGGTGGCTCTCAACAGTTCAGAGACGAGCCGAATGCTTGACAATTGCCGCCCGCGGGTCGCCACTCTTCATTTTTTCTCTCGCCGTCTCGCGCCTCTCGCACGCGTACGCTCTCTCGCCGCCTCCAAAAGAATTTCAATTATAAAACGGTCGGCTATCGGTGCGATTGAGCGTGCGGCTTCATGATGATGATGATGATATTATTTTAACGCCGCTGATTTATTGGCCACCTGGTGCTAGTTTTTTTGGCGGCGAAATTCGATTGGTGTACTTTGAACTCTGGTATCTCAATACCAATCGGATCCGAAAAAATACAAATATTACCAGATAAATTAAGTGCGGGAATTGAGGGTACGCGTAAACCCCGGCCTCGTGGGCCATTTTCCCGACTCTTTCCATGTTCATCGATTCGTGTTGGAAACAAACAATAAACAACTAAGAGTTTATTTATGTACAATGGAATGAGTAACAAAAGGGTGTGGACTTAAAACGGATCTCCCAGCTTCCTACCTCCTCGTTCGTCTAACGAGCATCGCTTATATAGGGGGTGAGCTGGTGGCATTGATAAAGGCCTTGGATTATTGCTTCCGGTCGGAGGGTTGATTAAATATATATTGGCCTCCTTCCGGTCGCTGATCGACCTGGTTTTGCCCCTATGACTCACTTACACCTATCCCCTTTTCTTCAAGATCGTCTCTGATCGTTGAAGAGGGCAGCGATTTTTGCTCTTAGAGTACGGAGGAAGGGGAAGGGAAACGTTTACAAGTAAATAAAACAAAATTAATAAGATGTGAAATGAAAGATATGATATGAAATATAAAGGCAAAGTGTAACAAAATGCAATTAAATAACGTGAATGATATGGAGAGAGCAGATAATATGAAGATATGATGATGGAAAAAAAATTTTGTTTTGGGAAAAGGTTGATTGAGGGGATTAAAACCAATATTAAAAACGAGGTAGTGTTTAAGACGCCGGGTGGTTTAAAAGTAATCAAAATTGTGATAGGGTAAATGTGGCGGTGAATGTAGAGAAAATGGTTTAATGTGTGCGATGTGAATTTAATATACATAAGTAAAGGGGAACCAACGTGATTATTGCGTTTCTGGAAGTTGAGACTCGGTGAGAATCGTTTGTGCGTATCGGCATGTGCGGAATATTTCGCTCCAGTATCCGGCTTCTCCAATGATGTTTGCGTTGCCCACTAGAATGACGCCTGAATGCTGGGAGACTTACCGTTTGAACGGGTTGCCCCGTCATCCCACGGATGGATTTTTTTTGTTGTGCCTTTGATTATGGCAGTTTTGGTACTGCATGGATGGCTGCGGCTTTCTGCTTCTGGTGATTCTGCGTCGACGCTTTGGTTTAACGAATTGAATTGAGGGGAACCCCCTCGTTGGTTTTCATTGTTAGTTTGTGCATTGTTAATGGTTTGGCTCGATGCCGTTGAGTATGATTCGGTGTGGAGAGCCTCCACATGTTCTGGCCGGGTTACCGCGTTGCCTTCCGAGACACCGCAGAAGGCGGGGCTCGTTGGGCACGGCAACGATTCCGGTTGGAAGGTGAAACTAACCTCGAACGCTGAAGTTTCGTTCTCTGGTTCATCGGTTACCACACCCGCTTCCAACGGAGGGTTGTCGTCGGAGTGTAGTATGCCTGAGGAAGGGGTTGTTGGCCAAGACGTTTCCATTGGTTCGTCGAGTATGGGTTCTGTTCCCGAGTCGGGATCGTCCATTCTGAAACCAAGACAATGAGCTTTTGGGTTGGAGTGAGGGTGCAAAGACAAAGACTACGAAAGGTCGGCGAGAAAAGAAGCCAAAGAAAAGGAAAGACTGAGGAAAGATAGGAAAGAGAATCTGAAGTGTATGGGGTTTTTTTTTTGTGTATGGTGGGTGATAAATAGGGATGTTCGTGAAGACCGGTGGTGAAAAGAAAACAAGACAGGAAGGAAGGGCGTGGGATGGAAGGTTAGAAAGAGAGTCTTGATGGTGGTTTTAATGATTTCCTTAGGTTGTATCTCCGGTTTAGGGATTCAGCGTTCGCCGAGTTCTCCGGAACGTGTGTTTCGGAGTTATCAATTAGTTTTGGGGACTCCGTCCTAGCTAAATTTTCGTCGGTGTCGACGTTGTCAGCTTGATCGGTGGAATCGCTTATGTCTGGTGCTTCGGGGTTTTCTTCCAATGAGGTTGTCGCCGCCGGTCCTGTAATGGTGTATACCTTCTTTATCTGGTTCAAATGGACGGTGCGGTTCGGTTTGTCCGGTCTTGATATGTCGCAAACTACGGCCTTGGGGTGGTTGATTTCGACCACTCGGAACTGCCCTTTCCACGGGAGTACTAGTTTCCTTGACAAGTTTGCTTTGGCTGAAAAATCTTTCATCGTTACCCGGTCGCCGATTTGGATCGGGTTTGGCCTTGCTGACGCGTCGTAGGACGACTGGAACTTTTCTTGAGCTTTTAGAGCGTGATCTGCCGCGTTTGTCCAGGCTTCCCGTATGATCGTCGCCAGAGAGTTGGCGAATGATTCCGTCGATGTTTCATTCGTGGTCGGAAGAGCTGGATCAAGTATGCGGTCGATACTGAAGATAGGATCACGCCCGTGCATTAGGAAGAAAGGGGTTTCGTTGGTAGTATCATGCGTAGTAATGTTATAGCAAAAACATGCCGTTGCTACCAGTAGGTCCCAATCTGTGTGTTGTGTGTTGACGTATTTTGAAATGATGTTGTGGAAGGTTCGGAAGGTTCTTTCTGTAGCCCCGTTGCCCTTTGAGTGGTACGGGATCGCTCTGTGGTGCTTAATTGCTATTAGTTCACAAAAGGTTCGGAAAGCTTGCGACGTAAAAGTTGTGGCGTTATCGGTCACGATTTCGCTCATCGCGCCGTGCTTTAGGATACATTCTGTGAGTAATGCCTGTGCTACTGTGTCCGATCTCGAGTCCGGTAATGGCACGGAGATTACGTACTTACTGAACCAGCAGATTATGTTAAAGATGTATTTGTTTCCGCGTGGTGTAGTGCGTAGGGGGCCCGTAAGGTCCAATCCTACTCTCTCGAATACCTGCGTGTTCCGGAAGGGGACTAGCTTCTCCTTGAATGGTGGATTGGGATTATTCCTTGCCTGACACCTGCTGCATGTTTTGGTTCTGCGTTGCACATCGGCTGTCATTCCGTCCCAAAAATACTTTCTTTTTATTTTGTTCAATGTCTTGCGCCAATTGAAATGTCCGCCTGAGAGCTTGCTAGTGTGAAAAGCTTCGAATATTAGCTCTACTAAGTGTTTCGGGATTACTGCCCGTTTTGGTAAATTTCCGCTGGGATTTGCATAGAGTATGTTAGTAGGTGAAAGTGATAGGTTAGTGCATAACCAGATTATTTCTTCTTCCTTTTCGGCGGTCGTTGCTTGCTCTAGTTTGCCGGTTTTCAGAAACTTTTTGGCTAAACGTAAGTCGTCGTCCTTGTCCTGCTCGTCGGCGAGATCGAGGGGTATCTTTTCTTTTGTTTTGACTTGTGCCAATAGGCTGAAAATACACGGGTTTCTTGGAATTTCGTGCTTACCGTCTTCTGCTTCGATGTTCATGCATACTGGAAAATCGATGATGTCCCTGAGCTCCTCTGTGTTTTCCGGTCGATTGTCATCGAGAGCTCGTGAGAGACAGTCTGCGACCTTATTTTTCTTACCTTCGATATGTTGTATTTTTACATTGTAGCTTTGTAGTTCAATGAGCCATCGTGCTAAATTGTCATGTGTCTTGCTTTTTTGTAGTAAGAAGGTTAGTGGCTTGTGATCGCAATGTAGGATAACTCTCGACATACATATGTATGGTCTGAATTGTCGCAGCGCGAAAATTACCGCCCCCATCTCTACTTGCACTGCCGCCCATCTTGTTTCCGGCCCCGAAAGGGTTCGGCTGGCGTAAGCTATCGCTGAATAAGACTTACTGTCGACGTCTTGTATCTGCATGAGAGCGGCGCCCTGTGCGACCGCGCTGGCGTCTGTGAAGATGTGGAAATCGAGGTCGTAGTTGGGGTATGCTAAGATGGGGCGGTTCATTAGGCAAGATCGTAGTGTTTCGAACGCGTCTTGTTCCGCTTCGCCCCATGCGAACTTAATGTCCTTACGGGTCATCTTGGTAAGGGGTTCAGCAATGTTTGCGAAATTAGGTATGAACTTTCTGAAAAACCCGCACATACCAACGAATCTCCTCACTGAGTTTGCGTCCGTTGGGATTGGGAAATTTTCTATTGCTTTCACGTTTGCTTTATTTGGGGAGTAGTTATTCGCTGAAATCTCGTGTCCTAAGAAGGTTATGGAAGTTTTGGCAAATTCGCATTTCTGCGGGGAGACCTTAAGATTAAAGGATCTAAATCTGTCGAGGACTTTTCTCAGAGAGTGAGTGTGATCTTCGAAGTTTTTGCTGAAGATTAGGATGTCATCAATGTAAACCAGTACCTCGGACTCAAGTCCTCCCAGTACTGTGCGTAGGGCTCTTTGGAAGTATGAAGCTGCTGATCTGAGGCCGAATGGAAGATGTGTGTATGCGTAAACCTTGTTTTCTGTAATGAATCCGCATTTATAGGAGCTTACCGGGTCTAAACGCAATTGCAAATATCCGTTTGCCATATCCAAGGAGGAGAAAAGAGCCGCCCCTCCTACTTTTTCCGTTTTTCTTCTTGACGAGAACTAAAGGTGAGGTCCAAGGCGTGTTGCTTTCTGTGATGCGCCCGGATTCCAATAGGGCGTTGATATGCTTTTCCAGCTCGGCTTGGTATTTTACCGGCACTCGGTAAGGTCTGCTTTTGATTGGCATTTCCGTATTCGTGAATATATGGACCGGCTCCGTTTTCGAGCTTCCCAGATCGTAAGCGTTTTTTGAAAACACGTCGTCGTAGGTGTCCAATAGCTCCTGGAGTTTTTCCCTCTCGACATCTGAGAGTTCCGCCCTGATCAGGTCAATCTTAAACTGTGGATCTCTGAAATTTTCGTTATCTATTGACAAAACGTCAGGGGAACCCCCTGAAGAGTAATGGCAGGTCAGCACTTTTCCAGGTGTGCCTTCGGAGAATACCATCGCCGCGGTGGCGATGGTCATCTCTGGGTACAGAGTGACCATTTGATTCGATGGGTTAGTAACGAGGAGAGCAATGTGGTTAGTTGATATGACTGATGGTGCGATGAGAAGCCCAAGTTCAGTGATTTTTTTTTGCTTGAGAAATGAGTGTGGCGTCGAAGACGTTTTTATTTTGCGGGGAAACACAAGTGACAAAAGCCTCGGAAAGGGGTGGGATTTGTGTGTGTTTTGCTACTCGTATTGGGAATTCTGAAGTTGGTAAGACCGGGTTCACTTGGTAAGATTTCCCTAGTGGAAGTTGGTCTTTTCCCATCTCGAAATTGTTTTTGTTATAGTCCAGTTGGAACTTTGGGAGTTTAGCTAGTAAGTCGTTACCTAATATAATGTCGTAGGAGAACGGACCCGGTGGAGTGCATTTATTGATTGTGAAGTGTGTGATGTGTTGAATTTCGAATGATCCGATTTTGTAATTGATTGGCGCGGTTCCCGCAATTTTCACTTCGTTGCCTCCCAAGCCTATAGCGTTGTTAGTCAGCGGTTTGTTGAGCGTGTGGATGCCGATGAGTGCGCATATCTCAGAGCCTGCTATGGTAAAACTGGCGCCGGTGTCCACCAGGGCTAGGAGGTTAATTTTGTTCGCTTTAATGGGAATTTGCGCGGTGAAAAACGCTTGCGGAGAGTGGAAGGTAGCTATTGTAGTTGTTGCCGGCAATAGGTCCGAATAGTCGAAGATGACTTCGGAGGGTGGATTAGCCGTCTTTTTGCCAAAACGATGGAAAACGCTGAATGGCAGCGCTTCGGCCTGTTGCTTGATGAATATGGCTACGACGAGGAAGATTGCATAAAGGGTGACAAATGTGCAAACTATAGCGGTCCAGGCTTGGAACAATCGGTGACCGAGGTCAAGCCATTGCTCGTAGGCGCTGATGACTTCGCTAATCTCGTTGGCTTTTGTGCTGCCGCTGGTTGAGAAAGCGTTGCGGCTTACGATTTTTGTTAATTTGTCGGCTGAACCCTCTAATGCGTCCCAGATTTCGTTATAGTGGGCTGGGGAGATTGTTTCCGTTATAGACCCGATGACTAGGTTGTGGAAAATTGTGGGTTGAGATGGCACGAGGTCGGAGGTGGAAATGCTAAATGGGGAAATAGATTTAAGCAAGTGTCTTGGTGTATTTTCTATAGTTCCTGAAAAGGGATTGATGCGTACTAGATGGTTTTCGAACATGTATTCAAAGTTGGAAATCAGTGCGCACGGCACTTGGTTGGCTTCATTGGTGATGATTTGGGTAATGGGGTCTATGAAAGTATTAAGCGTGGAGTTATTGGGCAAGTTGATCTTGATTGATGGTCGGGAGTAACAAATATTAGTGAAAGGGACGATGGAGAAGGATGATTGTGGAATTACTGAGCAAGTTTTAATGGCTAATGTGTTTTTGCCGAGGAAGGTTGCTTGAATGTTAGATTGGTTGAGTATTTGGCGCGCGAACAGTGAGGGGTGGCTTGCTGCTGCTGCAACGGCAGACGCTGCGAGTGCGTTGAAGGACGCGCACCATGATAAGAAATAGTGAGCAAACCAAAGAGAGGAGGACTCTAAAATATCCTTCTCTGCTGCCAAGAGCTGGGCCGAAAGTTGGTTTGACGAGACAAAGTTTGTTAGGTTGGTGATAGAGGGTGGGACTATTTCCCGTTTGGCAATTCGTCTGGTTGGGACAGCGAAGCCTTGATCTGTGACTACGAGAGATTTGCCACAGTCTTCGATTATTGGATTTGAAGAGTTAAAAGACAGTGCGAATTCTTTGTTTTCAGACAGCCAAATGTTATCTAATTGGTGACCGGACATGGTCCGCAGTTTTATGAATCGGCAACTCTATTCTGGGTTTGGTTTCCACATGAATGCCGCTCCCTGGCGTTGGTTGCAGAAGCCCGTTGTGTAGTCGCAACCCCTCATGGATCCCGCGGGAGACTCGGGAAATTTTTGATTAAAACGCATTATAATTCTGGTTGTGAGCATGAGGCAATTATTTGTTACAACAGTTTTTGCTGGGGATAGCGCGCCGATTAGAAAGTTTGGCCATTCGATTCTGTGGGCGTTATTGGTTTTAAAAATTCCGTCTTTTGGCTGAAGGTCACCGAATGAGCAACGTTGATGATTCATCATTAGTTTGCATTCTTCTGCCGAAACGATTGCCTGCTTGGAATTTGTTTCGATGTAGCGGGATCCAAAAAGGTTAACGGAGAAAGTGGACGTGGTTTGAATGATTTTGCAGAGGGTGGCGGTAGAGTCATACGCAATGGAATTTGGTCGGTAAACGCTGAGAGAAACTTTCTTTGTCTGGGTGAATGGGGAGGGTTTGACTGAGTTGCAATCGAACGATGATGGAAAGTTGATCAGCGATTCGGGAGAGTTCGGTAGACATAAAAGAGCATTAAACGCGGTGGTGGGACTTGCCAGACAGGCGAGGAGAGCAATGAACAAAGGTAATTTCGAGACTCTTACCGTGTTAACTCTGGGCGTCATGCTGTTTGTTAGTTGGTTGTTGCGCATGGTCAACGCTTCGACTTGAGCGCGTAATTCTCTTACTGTATCGTCAGCGGTCGTGTCAGGCTGGAAATTACGTACGTCTGATGAGTTACCTTCATAGTTGTTTGTCCGTCTTCCTGGGTTCCCAAAGATCGGCTGATTCCGGTTTCTGATCTGGTGATTATCAATTGGGTCGATGCGGCCAAATTGACGGTTTTTCTTGAAGCAATTGGCCATCATATGTCCGAGACGTCCGCAGAAATAGCATTTCACTTGCCGTGGGGTGTTTCTGAAACGGTGTTGAGGGGGAAGGGTTCGGGCCGTTCGTTCGCGGTTTTGGTTGTCTACCCCTTGTAGGAGTGCTACGGGGAGGGTTTGTGGGTGGATGGTGTTAGCCCTTGCTGCTTCTTGAAGCAAAATCTCGTACCTCACTGCGGAATTGAGGGCGTCCTCGAAGGTTCTTGGGTTACTGGCCTTAACGTGGAATTTTATGTCGTATTTGAGCCCGTCCAAAAACGCTTCTAAGGTTTTGGCCTTGATATATTCACGCGAGTATCCGAGGTACGACGAATTTGCGAGTTTTCTGACCTTAGCTGCAAACTCATCTACGGACTCGCCCGGAAGCTGGTTCGTTGTTCGGAGTTGCTGGCGCGAAAGTTCTGCTCTTACCGGATCTTCGTATTTTACCTTTAGATGGTTAACCAAGGTTGCGAACGAGGCTTCGCTCTCTTGCTCCAGGAACTCCTCTGCGCGGTCTCTGGCTGCGTCTGTCAAATAAGTCAAGAAAATATTCCTCTTTTCGAGGTCTCCCAAAGGAGGTTTTGCTGTATTAGCATGATCATTGAAGGATCGCAAAAATGCGGAGAAGGTATCGTTTGGTGAACCACCAAAAATTGGGACTTGCGAGCTTGGCCGCATCGAGGCTGTTACCGTATTGATTCTCGGAATCTCGGCAAAGCCTTTGATGCGGTTTTCAGCTCTTTCGGCAAGAGATCTCATAACTCCGTGTGTGACTTCGAAGTCAGTCACGCACGCGGATTGAAGAGTCTTCAATTGGGATCCCTTGACGGTGTCGGAATCTTGCATACGCGAAAATGGTTTGGCACAAGAAATGCGAATCTCGGAAAGATCGCTGAGAGAGAGACTCTTTGCTAGAGCCATCTGTAAAATAAAAGAGGCACTGATAGCGGTAGATGCGGGAACGAGGCTATATATTAAAAAATTTTTAATCAATGGTTGGGTTTTAATAAAAAAAAATAGCCAGACCTTGCGTTTTTATTGAAAAATGAAGAGACGTGAATTGATTAAACAGCAATGGTTTTCCGATATTAAATCGTAGGATGTGGTGAAATGAGGTGAAGACAACGTCTTCAAGTAGAGTCTTTTCCAAAATGATGCCAAAAATAGACTCTTTGAAAACTGACGGCATTCCATCAGTGCGCGCACGCCTAACCAGACTGGGCCCAGTCAACTCAAAAATGTACTCCAAAAACGGCGAACAAAGCAAAAACGATGAACACTTCTGCGAGCGCGACTTCCCAAAATCGACGCGGTTCCTGCGCAGGAGAACAACTTTATCCCATAATATCCGCAGACGACAACATAACAAAACGAGAAAAAAAAAATAAAACTAAACTATGGTACCGGTGGAGGGAAGGAAACTAGGGAGACAAACCACTCGCTGCTACCAGTGCGGGAATTGAGGGTACGCGTAAACCCCGGCCTCGTGGGCCATTTTCCCGACTCTTTCCATGTTCATCGATTCGTGCTGGAAACAAACAATAAACAACTAAGAGTTTATTTATGTACAATGGAATGAGTAACAAAAGGGTGTGGACTTAAAACGGATCTCCCAGCTTCCTACCTCCTCGTTCGTCTAACGAGCATCGCTTATATAGGGGGTGAGCTGGTGGCATTGATAAAGGCCTTGGATTATTGCTTCCGGTCGGAGGGTTGATTAAATATATATTGGCCTCCTTCCGGTCGCTGATCGACCTGGTTTTGCCCCTATGACTCACTTACAATTACCAATCGGTTGCAATTACAAATCTTATCCGTAGAATTACCAGGGTTGATTCCGAAGCCGAATTTTGTCGGATCCGATTGGTTACCAGAGAAAGTTGTTCGATTAGAATGGATTGATTTTGAATTTTGCGCGCTAGAATCAAATTGGATTCGAGTTTGAAGAATTTGAGCTCAATTATCACTTTATATGGATTTCAAAAATTCCCCAAAAAATGGGTTATCGTGTTGGATTAAAAAATTTGAAAAATTTCGGTCCGAGCTTTGGACATGTAATTTTTGATAAAATTCACGTTACAACTATTTTTCTGCTCATTGAATCATTTCTAAAAAATAAATATATAAGGAAAATACTAATGGATACCCCAAGGTGCGCGCGTGCAGAAAAGGGGATTAGTTTCAAATTTTTTTTTGTTTTCCAATTTGAGTTATTTTTATTTTCAGACGATCGCGAATTCCGCTGAAAAAGGCGAAAAATGAGAAACAAGTCGAGCGAAAATCGATGCAGGAAAAGTCTCGACAAGATTTTATAAAAAAATATATATATAGAAAAAAAATGATGAGATGAAAATTTATTTGAAGGTCAAAAAGTGCCAAGAAGAGCTCGGCGACTCCACGAAAAAATCCCAATGCGGAAGTGAGATTAGTTGAATTAAACGACGGATTTATGGCCAACGCTTCCTTGTTCAGAATCGCCGCCTCGGAAATATAATAACAGCGCCGACGCCGTCGCGAAGGCATTATGACTATAATTTGGAAGAAATGAGACGAATTCGAAAATCGAGGGCATTTTAACGTCTTTTTGATTTCTACGACAAGTGCAATTTTCAGCATGAAAATTATTTGCAATCATTGCCGCAACGCACTTTGTACTATGGGGGAGTCAATATCTTCACGTGTGATGAGGCAACTCAACGCGAGGTTCACCATTCGTAAAATCTTTTTAAATTGTATCCATTTTCATTAGATTTGGAGAATGATCAATAACATGTGAATTAATTGTGAAATCGCTTGACTTTTAAATAAATTCTTCCTTTTTTTCTTTGTGACAAATTTATTTGTAAACTGTGCAAATTTGCGCGTTGGTGTTTTCGGAATTTTTAAAGAAGCAGTGTGCAAATTTTAACAGATATCCTGCAACGATAATTTGCTTTCTAATCGCGCCAAGAAGATTTAAATTCGAAAATGTTTTATTTTATGTTTTTTTTTTCGATTTTTGTAGTTCTATTGGTAATAAAAAGCGAATTTTTAAGGATATGTACGGTCAACAGGACCGTTGTGACCGCACGGCGTATGTTTCCGGATTACATCCAACAATCACGGATATAGAACTTTTTGAAGTTTTTAATAAGGTTGTTTTTTCAATGACGTAATTAAAATGTGAAGCCTTTTTAAACATTTTCAGACTGCGCACGTTGAGAAGGTTATTCTTCGTAGCGGTACATCTCGTCATGCACTCGTGGTGTTCAAGAGCGTTAACGGATTGTACACGGCTCTAATTTACTTCCAAAACACTCACCTGCATGGCCGCAAACTTCATATTAGACCACTAAGGTTTTTTAGTTTAGAATTTTGGAAAATATAGTCGTAATTTCCAGAGAAAGCTCTCACATTCAAAACGAAATGCTAACATCGGTATTTGATCAACCACGCGCAAACCGTCGGCCGGCATCGGCGAGTGAACGATATCGTCCGCAACTGCCGGAGCCACAAATGCATTCAATGTCGTTCTATGGTGACGATCGACAGAATCGTTACGGAAAACATTCAACAAGCTCTTATGGCCGCCGCCGTCCTTCAAATGGTCCACATAACTATGCGAATCCTCACGAATACCCTATCGCTAATATGAATACGAATCATCAACCGTTGGGAGAACATATATCATTTGACGACTTCTCACGAACTTTCAGAAGGTTTGAGTGCGTAACGATTGCATTACACTTCCATACCCCCACTAAATTCAGATTTGACGATCTTGCTCACATATCGCGTTCGGTTACACTCAATGCAGGACAAACTTACGATTCACGGTATTGTGTTCCTTGCAAATAGAATTTCTAAATATTGTGATTATTATTGTATTCAAAATTTCCAATAATTGCTGCAAACAACTCTACATGTATTTAATTCAAAATTTATAATAAATTCAGAGAGATTTATTGAAACGTGTTATGGTTTTCTTTTCAGTTATAATAATGATCAGCGGCACAAACCTGCGGAAGGAAAACATTCGCGTAATGGTTCGATTAAAGAATTCCCAAAAACCGAGCCGCCAACATGGAAAATGGAGCTGCAACATAAAAAGGGCGACAAGTTTGAGGGTCTGTCACCGTTGCCGAGCGACATGGAACGCATCAGCCCGCAAGATTTAATTGCAAGACTTGCAAATCTTCATAATGCGCCATCGCAAAATGAAAATGAGGTTGGCGCGAGAAAGAAGCGCCCAAATTTGTCAGTTATTAACCCCGCTGTGTTTTATGACAAGTATCCAAGAACCTCATCGCCATTGTCGCATCGAAACGTTTATGGTTTGATTAAAATTGAAATTATTATTATTTTCATTATACTGCTTTTTCCAGAAAATCATTGTCAATTGGCGTCGCCAAAAGATCCGGCAGTATTGGCGTACCGTCGCGTTCGCGCTCCGACGTCATTCGATGGAATGTCACCGATCGACAATACGGACTGCTCATTCGTCACAAAACACTTGGCTGCACTAAACGAGAGCTCGGACAATCAACCGGCGCCGACTCGCGGACTCACCAACGACGAGCTGTCTGAGATGATCGTCTCCACTGGAAATCTTCGCTTGAACCTTGTGGCCGCCGTACCGGCTGATATAAGCGACGAGCCGGCGCCGTGGTCGCCGTGCAAGCGTGTTCGTGCTGAAAGTGGATCGACGCATTTCTCGCAGTTCGCTAGCCCACAATTCTCACCCATTGTAATGAAACCGCCGGAAAATGGAGAATTCAATGAAACCGAAGATGAGGTATGTGTCATTTTGAAAGGCGGGTGTTCGTGTTGATTGCGCCTCGATTTTAGGTGTTCTCTTCTGAAAATTCGGATGTCAAAGTAGAAGAAGTGAAATCAGGGCCTAAAGTTGAGCCAACTAATGTTCTCGTCGAGCCGAATATGTTGAACTTCGACGACATTAATAACAGCCGTTTGCCATCGAATTCGTATTCGGCGAATCCGAACTCGAAACATCAGGAGTTTGTATTCCCTGTATGTTGCGACTGTTTTTTTGTCTTTCAAAAAAACACTAATCCATGTTTAGGAATTCCCACTTTGTCGTCATTCATCGGTTCCATCGATCGCCAATATGGTAGTGGATATGTCGGATTCGAGCCTAACACCATATATTTCTGCGAAATGTGGCGGAGCGATCGGAAACGATTCGTCGGGATTCAAGTCATTCCCGGTAATTGAATAATCGACGACGAGATTTTCATAACGTCAACTTTCAGAAGCCCTCGTTTGAGACATCGAGCCTTGAGGCTAGCAGCGATGAGCCAAAAAAGGAGGAGGCCAACGAATTTCACGAAGCGAACGAGGCAATCATTCCGGCGGAAGTTTGAATTCATTTTCACACCTGTACAATGATATTTATTGCACTTGTTCCATGTCACATAGTAGTTTTATTTCTGGATTTGACAAACGCACACAGCAAACTTCTCCGCAAACGCATTCATGTGTTTTAATTTAGAAAAAAAAACGATGTCTTATTTTTTTTTCTTAGCAATTTTCGAAATTGTCGTTTGCTTCTTCTTTTCTCTTCTCTCATAATTTTTGGGACGCCCTCTCCCCCGAAAATATTTCTTCTCCTTTATCGTTTTTTATCACATTTCTCATCGTTTCCTGTTTTATTGATGCCCATTTTGATCACTTTTACATTTCTATTTCTCTGCGAGATTTATTCTTTTCGAAAATATGTTGCCTTCAGGGATGCCCGCAGCGCACGCATAAATTTGAGCCAAGCCCCGCCCATTTTTTTGTGTTTTTTTTCTTCAATTCTGCATTTTTTACTATCTCTCTCTCTCTTTTTTTTTCCCGGCTCTGGTTTTACATCTCACCATTACCAATATCGATGAAGAATAAAAAAAATACTCGCCAGAATGAGAATTAGCATAAAAAGTTGGTCATAAAAATTGTGCATTTATTTAGACATCAATATTTTGGATTTGGGCTTGAATCTCGTCGAGCGACATTTCGCCTTGATCATTCGACATTTCGACACCATATATGGATTTGAGGTATTTGCAAATTGGCTTGTGAATTGTCCAATCGAACTTCTGACAGTGTTTCGAGCAGTAGCTCAACTGAAACGGCGACGGGATTTTCAAAATGAGGCAGACGCTTCGAAATCGGTACCTTGCACTCCGGGCAGCGCTTCTTCGCGTCGACGGCTCCGCACACCGAGCAGAACTTGCACACGGCGACGATTCGCTGTCCGAATAGGCTCTGCACAATATATTCATAGGCCGATGGTCGAGTTCCCGGTTTCGATTTCGACAATGCCTACGGAATTCAATGATTATTGAGTGTGCGCCTTTGAATTTGGATTCGATGCACCTTTAAACCGGTCTCGCGCCGAAAATTTCCAGTTGTTGAATACTGTCGATATCAGACGACTACGATAAATCGGCAAAATGTCGGAAATGGTCTTGAGACGACAAGACGCGCGCTGTGTACTCCACACGGACAATGCCTAATGTGGCGTAAATCGACACTCATGTTGCGAGACCCAACTCTACAGTAGGATCACGCCATCGGGATTTCGATACCATTTAAAATTATTTTGCCGAAATATTTTGAACAAAAATATTCTCACAATACGGGTAGATCAAATCGTATTTCCGAGTCGTTTCAAACTATTCGCAGAATAATTCGAGTGTCGCAGAAAAAAAAAAGATAACATTAGATTCTACATAAATATTAGTAATGACGGCGTGCCAAGACGTCATTTAAAGGTGCATCTCGTAAATATTGAAAAAAGAATGAAATAGTCTTGCTTACTTTGTTCAATGTGTCATAAACTAGTGAGTGCTTATATGGAAATGCGGCGACCGAATTGCGTAGCAAAATGTCGAGCGGTTTTCGAATTTCGTCGCCGTTCTCCCATTTCAGCAGAATTTTCGCGTATTGCTGCGCCGCGTTGTCCGAATCCGAATGGGTTTCGGCGAATTTCATCGTTTCGCGCATGAAAAACAGAATAATCCACAATTTCAGCGACATCACCTCGTTGCCCTCTTTGCAACGAAGTTGGCGTTCGAATATCCGATCGATGACATAGAGGATCTTCAAACAATAATTTCAATGAACTGAGGGCCGGCGAGAAATTGGTAAAACGCCAAAATTAGGTCTTACAGCGAGTGTGTAAGACTGGGGCTGTAAAGGCACATATCTCGTGCCAAGACCTCTAGCCAATTTTCAGAAAAACAAGTTTTAAAAAATCACCTTTTTCTTATATTTCAACGAGTCCGGATATTCATTGAAGCGGAATATTATTTTAACCGGATGGACTTCGTGCGAAGCGCACAACGAATGTATAAATTTGGCTAGCTCATCTGAAATTCGTCAGTCTTCGAAATCGATTCAAAATGTGTCGCACCCGGATAATTCTCCACTTCGACACCATTTATTTTTGGCCTTAATATATTATCGATGACATCAATCGTTATGTGATTGTTGATGATCGCCACACATTTGTGGTTGCCGATGAACGCGGCGAGTTCGGACGCGGTTTTGCCGATCGAATTCACCAAATACATTTTGGCGCCGGCGTCCATTAAATATTTGCACATGTCCGGATTTCCTGAAGGCGGAAATCGAAGAAAAATGGATAATCAATTCAGTTTTGGAATTATTTTGATTGAGTTTGCGCTTTTAAACGAGGTCTCGAAGTGTAAATTTACAAAATCAATTTCAAATGCAGGAAATGAAATTTTATAACAGTTTACGTCAAATTCAAATTTCCTTCAACGAGAAAACCGTTGAAAGGAATCACTTCGAGACCCAGTTTCAAGGCGCATTCGCACAACGTCTCGAACTCACCCGAAAGCGCGGCGAACATCAACGGTGTGTATCCCATTTCGTGCTCCTTGTCGTTCACATCGCATCCAAATTCGAGAGCCTTCTCCGCCACTTTCAGATTCCCTCTGAAATTCGGTAGATTTCGCGAAAAATACAGTGTTTCAATGAATTAATAGCAACTAAAATGGAAGTGTGTGTTATATTAAATTATACATTCAAAACGTGCACGTGCTTTTAATCGTGGTCTCGAGACGATCGCCTGGTTCGTCTCCATCCATCGAAAATTCAAAAAAAAAGTTATTGACTATGTGCCAATGCGTCTCGAGGCAGCGAGATTTACGCGAGACTGCGTACATTGCATTATAGCGTACGCGCATTTAATATTCAGTCAAACGAAACATTTAGACTGTCACTGATTTCGTGAATCCGCCTCCCTTCAAATTTTGACACCAACAATATTGAAAATGAGAAAATCATCGAAATTGGTAAAAATGGGGGATGGTGCGAATTAAAACGAATCCAAAAAATAAAACGCAATGAGAAATCAGACCTGTAGGCGGCCGCCGAGAGCACACTCATTTTATTCGGGTCCCGCTCCGAAGCCGATTGCTCATTGAGCAACTCCAACGCGCGGTCGGTGTCATTTTTGTCGATGGCCTCAAACAGCGGCGACTTGTCGACGCTCATCCTGCGAAAATGTCGTTTGAGCGATAAGTGGCTTTCAGCTCGGCGAGCGCGAGCCCATCATTCCCATGGCAACCAACCATGGGCGTCGTCGCTTATGAATTATGAAGGCGATAAATATTTATTATGGAAGCTTCCGAATGATGATGATTGAAACATTGCGCCTGATGGTGGATTTTCGAATTTATTGAGAGAAAACAAACAACAAAAATAACAATAACGAATTAACAATAAATTTTGAAAAGTGCAAAAAAAAAATTCAACTATTTTTTGTTCTTCTTGCTTTCGACCTCCTTCGTCCGAATCTCCTTGTTCCATTCGCCTTGCTGCTGCATCAAACCGCCCATCAGCCTCTTCGTCGCCGCCATTCTCGCGCGATCCTTCGCCTTCACACCGGCCATTTGTTTTCTGCAAAAAAAACAAAACTTCTTCGGCTGATTAGCACCCAATTCAGTACCTCGCCAAGAAAGCGGTGTCTTTTCTCAACTCCTTCACCGCACCGCGCATTTCGTTCTTCAATTGCTTCTGCATTCGTTTGCTCTCATTCTTTTTGCCCTTGTGCGGCCGTTCCGGATCGAAATCGTACTCGAATCTCGGCTCCAACATCTTCAGCATACTCTTCTCGGTTTTCACCAGCGAGAGTTGCGTGATCCTCTGCTTCTGAGCACATTCCGCTTCAATGGATGACACAAGTATATCGATTTCTTCTCTGAGCTCATCCGGAAGATTATCCTTCTTAATTGCCTTCAGCAGAACGCAAAACGGCCTTTAAAAAGCATTTAAAAATTTAGGATTTCATTTAAATAAAAAAAACCTGAATACGATATTATATGTCTCGGATTGATTGGAGTAAAGAACCCGAAGATGTTGAACAAGCGATACTAAACTTCGTAGAACAGATAATTGAAGAGATTCGCTTTGTTTCAAAGGCTCATCACTGAACACCGCCTTCAATGAGATCGGTGGAATGGTTTTGATGTTCTGAACACTCAAATCACAATCAAAGATGGACAAAAAAAATTGGCAAATTACCGTTTTCTTTGCAACACAAAGCATATCCGAATACGGTTTTGACACCGGGAATCCACTCGACGAGAATGATTCGGGCTTCTCCTCAACCGCCAACAACAAAGCGCTTCGAGCAAACGACACGAGCTCCGGAATATACCTGAGAAGTTCACTAAATTGATTCTTGAATCGCGATGCTCACCGTTTCGTTTCAGCGATGTACTCAATGAGAGTTGTCGCCAGCAAAATCTGTCGCGACAGCACTTCAAGGCTAGGAATCTTCGCCGTCGACAGCGCACAAGTCGCCAGAAAGAACGCCGGTGTGCATACTGGATGCCAGATATCGGCGACTGGGAACAGCGCGGCAACCAGGCGAAGCAACGCAATTAGACCAAACGATGCCGGCGACGATTTCAGTTTGTCTTGTCGCTGCTTCCAATGCTGACGAATCAATGCCCGAATGCAGCGAACACCAAATTGAACGTCAAACTGCAACAATTGGATATGTACATCGCGTTGGTCCCCAAATTTGGGAGCAAAAAACGAAAACAAGAAAAAGAGAGAAGCGTCTCAAAACAAATCTTCGTGACGCATAATTTATTTATTCCAAACTAAATTATATGCGCAAATCTAATTTATTATGAAAACTAGTGGAAACAATTTTTTTTACCAAAAAAAAAAATTTCGGACTCACTTTCAACAAATCGAACATCGTCTTCTGGGCTAGATTGATTTCAGAAAGCGTTTTCTCATCAAGATCTTCTTTGGTCATGTCGTCAAACCAACGAAGGCACATCAGGAACAGCTTGTTCAGCTTGGTTTTGTTGCCCTCCTTCAAACTCGGATGATTGCATTTGATAATTCTGAAATATTTCGTTGCTTTAAATATTTATATAGCAATCTTCGACCTTTCCAACACTAATTCCATATGCTCTGAATATTTTTCCAATAAATCGCAGAATTTCTTATAAGACTTGGGCATTTCGAAAATAAATGGAATAGTTTCTGCCGTGATTTTTGGTTTCTTCTTTGATGACTTTGCAGGCTTCTCAGATTCCTCTTCCTCGTCATCATCTTCTTCTTCCTCGTCGCTGACTTCTTCAAGAAGATCATCCATGTCTTCCTCTTCCTCATCGTCAGCTTCATCGTCAACGTCTTCATCGTCGTCGTCGTCATCAAAGGATTCGTTGCGTACTTTCAGAACTTCATGCTTTAGCATCTATGAACAAAAATATTAAGTCGTTTTGAATATTGAAAACTATACCTTTCCGTCATCCTGAAGTGTTCCATCATCAGCAAATCGCACTTCAAATCTTGAATTCTTCATCTTCTGCTTCCTTGCATCAGCCTTGGCGCCGGCTTCCCAATCAACATCAGCATCTGCGGACAAATGCGCGTTCTTCACAGCATTCGTCTTCGAAATTCGCGCTGCTTCAAGCTCTTCGAGTCGTTGCTTCTCCTTCGCCGCCATTTCGGCTTCCGTCAATTTTCTTTCCGCAGGAGTCGCCCGAGCGTCAGCCTCGATTTTCAATGACAATGCAAGTTTATCGAAATCGTCTTTTTCTTCGCGCTGACGACCCGTCGGCCGGAAAGTGCTTTGAACGCGGCCGAACAGAGCTTGGAATTTCGCGTCAAGACTTTCTGTCATCATTTCCTAAAATAGTGATCATAAAATAATTAACGAAGATCGAAAAATTGCAACCATTTCATCTTTGGCTGTTTGCTTCTCATGCTTCATCATTTTCGATTTTGCGATCATACTGGAAATCATATCTTCCCTGCTCACTTTCTCCTTTACCATTTCTTCAACAGTCTTCTCACCACCTCCAAAATGAGCAATTTTCACCTAAAATATATGATTTTTTTCAAATTTACTTTATAAAACCCCAATTTACCATTTTGGCGCCAATATTTCCCGGATCATCGTCATCATCAGAATCCGAAATCATCGATTTATCATATTTTTCAATATCCGACAACGTTTTTCCTCCGTGCGTCAAAATTGCTTCTTCTTCATCATCATCATTATCGACAAGATTAAATTTTGAAGCTTTCTTGAAGTTCTTGGCGCGCTCTTCAGCGAACCTCAACGCCATTTTCTCTTCTTCATTTTTACCTTCCTTTTCTCCAATTCGTTTATCAATGATCTAAAAACACTGGATTGTAAACTATGCTTTTATGGGAAAAAACTGCCTTGCTAATTTTGGTTTTCCTGTCATATTCAACGCCGATGGTTTTTTCGCGTTGCTCATGTGCTCTTTTGCGGGATGCTGTTGGCGCACCCACTTGAGTTACGGTTTTCTTTCCGAGAACCTGAATTCTAGAATAAATTTCGAATCAATTAAACATTGACCAACATGGTGTTTTGATTTATTGAACTTCAACTCGAATGGATTTATTTTCCTTTGCTTTTGGCCCGACGGTTTCGCTTTTGTCTTGTGCTTTTTGCCAGCGATACCCATATCTGAAATTTATTTTAGAGTTAATATAAAGAAATTTTACGGATTGACAAGTGAATTCTCATTTGCAGAGGTTAAAAATAATTCAATTGAAAAAATAAAAATAACGACACTTCAAGTTTACGGTCGCATGCACACTGACGTAAAACTGCAGACTCGAATTTTCAAAAATTGTCATTTTTGATTCAAATTTCGCGAGTAATCTTCGAATATGCAAAATTTTCGTTTTCTGAATAATTTATTTCATCCACTATTTTTCATTCGATTAATTTTTTGACTTTGGTTGTGTTTTTCATGAATTCTGAGAATATATATAGGCCAGTAAATACAATATATATCACGTTATTTGAAATTTTCAGAATGGACGCCATTTCTCGTGCTCTTGAAGAAACTTTGGATCCACGAGCCGAAGTTCGCAAACGCGGTGAAAACACATTGCGAGAAGTAGAGCACTTGTCCGGCTATGTTGTTCAAGTTCTCGAATTAGCCGTTAACAAAAATGGCGCAGTGTCGCCGCAAATCCAAATGGCTGCCGCTGTCGCATTGAAGAATTTTACAAAGCGCAACTTTGTAAGAAATTGAACAGTTATTAGAAATTTAAGAAATTGATTATGTTCAGGGACCCGCTCCAGAAGTCGAAATGTCGCCAGAGGATGAAAATATGTTCCGAACTGCACTTCTTGAAGCGATGTTTAGTGCAACGGGGAGTATTCAGGATATTCTCTCAAACGCTTTATATCTTATTGCTCAGGTACCTAATAAATATTGATAAGGGTAAAATGTATTTATTTTAGAGAGACTTTCCACTGAAATGGCCAGAGTTGGTCCCATATCTTTCGCAATTCCTTGTCGCCGACAATTTCAATCATTTGGTGGCTTCTCTCACTTCAATGGAGCAAATCTTTCGGAAATTTAGATATGAATCGAAGTCAAATGAATTATGGAAGGAGCTTTTAAAATGCCTTCTTAGTGTATTTAATTATTTGCCAAATGTTATCGAAATGGTTCAAAATTCAGACTCAAGAGCCGCTGACACTCCTTCTTCAAAAAATGATGGAAGTTGCACCGCGACAAGACCAATTAAGTGTCGTCGATTTGGCGCAATGGCTCAAAATTCTATGTCTGATCGCGAAGGTGTTCCACTCACTTTGCTCGCAAGACATTCCTGAATATTTCGAGGACCACTTGAAAGAATGGATGGGAAGTTTTCTGATGCTCATGAAAATCGAGTGCCCTTCATTGGTTTCGGTGTCGGGCGAGCCGACGATTCTCGATGAGATGAAGACCGAAATTTGCGAGATTTTCACACTCTATTCGCATAGATATGAGGAGGAAATCGCGCCATTCGTGCCAAGCATTATCGAGTCCGTTTGGGGACTTTTGGAGAAAACTGGTCCCGAGACAAGGTATCCATCTTTTAAAATGGTTCGCTTCAACATTCGCTTGTTTTAGATATGACACTTTGGTGTGCGCCGCCCTTGAGTTTTTGTCGATGGTGAGCCAACGCCAATACTACGAAAGCCATTTCACCGGACCGGGAGTCTTAAAAACAATAGCTGAGAATGTCTGCGTTCAAAACCTTCTTCTCCGTCAAGAGGACCTCGAAATGTTCGAAGATGAGCCACTCGATTACATGAAGCGAGACATCGAGGGAACCGATGTTGGAACTCGCCGACGCGGAGCTATCGATCTTGCTCGCGGACTCTGCCGACGATTTGAGGACGTGATGATGCCGACATTATCGGAAATCATTCAGAATCTTCTTGCTTCCAATGAATGGATCAAAATTGATATCGTGTATTCGTTGGTGACCGCGGTTGCGGCAAAAACGGTTACTGCTCGCGGTGGAGTGACATCAACGAATCCGCTGATTAATATCAACGACTTCTTCATCGGACAAGTGGCCAATCATTTGAATTCCGATGTCAATCAGCTTCCGATTTTGAAGGCCGACGCGTTGAAGTAAAATTCGAGGAGATGATTCTAATCTCATTCAAATGTTTCAGATTTGCGGTGACGTTCCGGAATCAATTGGCTCCTGAGCATCTACTGACGACCATCCGAGCCGCCGACGCGCTTCTTTCATCGAATACACCGATTCTTCACAAATACGCAGCTTATGCTATTGATCGAATCTTGCTCAGAGATTCTGATCATGTAATTTTAGAAACAAAAAAAATAGTGGGAAAAACGCTCTTACAATTTTAGATATTCTCTGCTCAAAATCTGCCTGTTGCTTCGATGCTTGCCAATCTTGTTGCCGCATTCGACAAGGATCCGAAGTCGCAAAACTCGCCGTACTTGATTAAGGCGATCCTTCGCGTTATCGTGATCCTCGATGATGAAACGATTCGGCATGCCGATGTGATTGCCACCAAATTGGCGCAACTCGTCGCATCGGCCACCAAAAATCCGGCGGATTCGATTCATACGCATTTCTTGTTCGAGACAATCTGTGTTCTTGTCACTAAAGTATGTTGGTTTTTAAATTTTTAATTTCGAATAGTGATTTTCAGACAAAAACGATTGGCGGCTCGTTGGATGCTCAACTTTTGCCGTTGATTGAAGTTATTTTCACACAAGACCTCGAGGACTTGACACCGTATGCTTTACAAATCACCGGTAGGAATTGTGGAGAGTTGCGTCAATTCGACGAATCGCATTTTATTTTGCAGGCATTTTAATTTCCGCGTGCGTTTCGCGTCAATCGCCTGTCGATTCCTACTACGCGTTTTTGCCGTTTTTGCTCTCCGAACGATTGTGGGCGAGATCGGCGAACGTTCCGGCAGCGCTGTCGGTTCTTGAAGTTCTGCTGTCGGTGAATCCGGAGAGAATTGGCGCCGAGTACGCACCGATCATCTTCCAGCACATGTCAAGGTGAGAATTCGCTAAAAATAACTTTTTTTTTTCAATTTATGTGTGTGTGTTTTTTTTTCAGACTAATTGGCTCAAAACCTATGGAACATTACGGTTTCCAATTGGCTACATCGCTACTCAAAGGAATTCAATTCTGTCAAATCAAGGATTCGAATCCGATTCATTATTTGTTGAACACGATGTTCCGACGAGTTCAGAATGCGAAGACGCCAAGATTCATGAAGCTTTTCATTGTGTTCCTTTGCCGTTTCACGATCGAAAGAAACGCTATGGATTTGGTGCAGGTTTCCAAATTTTTTTTTGTTGAGATTTTAAAGAAAATCGAAGATTTGCAGTCTTGTGAGTCGATTCAAGCGGGAATGTTCGACATGATCATTCAACGAGTCGTTCTTGAAGACCTTCCATCGATGAAGAATCTGACGACGCTTCCGGAGAAACGAATAATCGCGATCGGAATTGCGAATATTTTGCAAGACGCAACGCAATATGTCATGTGGGGAATTTGAAATACTTTGTTGTTTTTGTTTTTCGAACAAACAATAATTTTTTTAGCAATACTTATGGAAAATTGGCGAATGAAGTGGCGAGTTTATTGGAAGCTTCATCGGTTAGCGATCGATTGGTTCTGTCGCCGGAGGAGGAGCAAGCGGCAATGTATAATGCCGAGGGAGAATTCGTCAATCCGTTCTGTAGATTGAGTTACGCTCCGAAGCCTAATCAAGCTGCTCCGCATATTACAAACCATAAATGTAGACTTAAATACCATTAGTAGTCGTAAATCATTAATATTCAGACTATTTCGCGCAAGCTGTTCTTAATCGTGGTCCAAGCGCCAATCCGCAGCTTCTGCAAAGCGTCCATCCCGACATTGTCAATTACCTTTCATCGATTCCTGCATAAATCGCTAATATCTATGCTCATCTCGTTATATTCAATATATTAAATTGCTAAAAACATTTTAAATTTACTTACCCGCGCCTATTTTAAATTTTGCTGAATTATTGTTGAGTTTACATTTCGGGTTATTTCCGGTCTTGTTTTTGAAATTATGAAGCGTTTTGTTGAATGAACAATTTTTAATTCATGTCTGTTTAATGGGAGACAGAAAGAAAAATGAGAAAATGGATTTGAGAATGCGCTCGAAGTGGTTTGTTGCTCTGCGACGCCAAACAAACACGCCCACTTTCTTTTTTTGCGCTTCCGTTTTCCAAACTTGCCATTTTTTGGCATTTCGGAAGAAAAAAAATCCTATGGTGTTACGGTTTTAATAAATTCGTGGCGAGACCGCGTGAGCACAGTACACTTCTCATTAATTATACGCAATATCGAGAATTTAGTACGCAGTGTGTTTGCACAGTGCGATTTGGGCGCGCAAATATTTTATTTCTTCGCTTCTGATGCATTTTCGATGAGTTCTCCCGTTTTATCCAAACTTTCATAGTTTTTTTTTTTGGATTTTTTTCCGTTTTCTTATCACGAGTTTAATCACGAATGATTACTGATATAGGAAATGCAATTTTTATGCGATTTGAAATGAATATTGTGGGTTTTTGAGCGAATTGTACTCCTAAAATATGAGATTTCTTTAACATTTATCAGTTCAATTCTTTGAAAAGTCGATCTTCCCGCTGTGATCGGTTTGATTTGAAATATGAGTGGGCAAACGTGCTCTATTGCAACTGATCGTCTGAGGTTAAACAATCCTAAAATTTTTTCATTGGGCCTAATTTTTCACCCGAATTGATAACACTTTTTGTCAAATTTTCTATTTTTTGCACATATTTTGTTCTTTAAATTGATACATTTTAAAAGTTCTATTAGCGAAATTATGTTTTTGCAGTGTTGCGAAATCAAGCTTTCATAATGGACATCGCCGCTTTCACCGAACTTCTTACCCACCTTCAATCTTCTGATAATGATGTCCGCAAAGAGGCAGAAGCAAAATATGATACGGTTGAAATTCCACACAAAGTCGCAGCACTCTACGAAACGTATGCTCAAAATCCAAATAATGCTGAGGTATTTCGTAAATGTATCTTTCGCAACAATTCAAAACATTTAAGATGAGAACTACTGCTCTTATATTCCTCCGTCGTTTAGTTAATAAAGAAGGTGATGAGCTGTGGAAATGCTTCGATGCTGATTTCAAGAAGGGTGTTTTGGATAAGGTATGATTTGTATACACTTAACTATATAATTGTAAATTTTTAGTCTTTGCAAATGATCGTTCACGAATCTGATCTTTCGATTAAAAAGAAAATCGCCGATTTGGTTTCTGAACTTGGATCAAGCTTGATTGGTACTCTATTTCAACGATTTTATCATATTTCAACGTTTATGTTTAGACGATTCTGGAAATCAAAGCTGGAAAGAGTTGTTGGAGTTCATGGACCATTGCTTTAATAGCGATGATCTTGGAGCTAACTATCTCGGACTTCTTATTGTTCGGTAAATATGAAATTAAAGAATAACGTAACCTATGATCAACTTCAGCGGATGTCCAGTTATTTTTGGAAACAATGTCGATCACTTCCTTCCCATTCTTAAAGTATTTTAATTTCCTTGATTTCAGTACAATCATTCGTTTTCAGAAAGCTATGCTTAGTGCGATGGCCCCACAAAACGACTTCCAACTTAGACAATGTGCTGTGAAGGCTGCTGTAGGATTTATTGTGGACAATGATGACGAGAAGGACGTTGTTAAAACTTTCAGCGGTTTGGTTCTGGATATGTTGAAAGTAATTTGCTGACATTTATCTCAAAATCATAACACTTTTAATTTCTAGGTCTGTGTTGATACACCGGAATCCGAAGATTCCGACGGTCCACTCGGAGATCTTGCCGAACTCGCTTCAAGCGTTTCAAAGTGCGTCACTCCACACATTTTACAAGTCATTCAAGTTTGCCTTCAAATCGGATCCAACAAGGAAAAGTCTGAAATGGCTCGTCAAAACGCCGTTGAAGTTATCATTTCGTACATGGAAAGTGCTCCAAAAGGATTCATGAAGCATGCTCTCAACACCCTCGGTTCAATTGTTGAACTTTGTGTTCATTTGATGAGCGAGATTGAAGATGTTGAACTTGATCAATGGCTTGCTGATGACGAAGAGGACGATGATTATGATGAGTAAGAAAAATATTAAGCGAATAATGTTTCACAGTTGATTTCAGTCTTCCTGTTGTTGGAGAGTCGGGAATAGACAGAGTTGCTTGCTGCATCAACAGCAAGGTTCTTCTTCCAGTGTTTTTGCCTGTCGCTGAAAAATTCTTGACTGCTGGTTCGCCATCGCCGTGCAGTTTTTAGAAACATTATTTGTTTTCAGGAAACTGGAAAATGAAGCATGCCGCTCTTCGCGCCTTCTCCGCTGTTGGAGAAGGTTGCCAACGCGCCATGGAACCACATATCGACCAATTCATGGCCCACATTACCAAGTTCGTCAATGACGAGCACCCACGCGTCCGCTTCGCCGCGTGCAACGCCATTGGGCAAATGTCTACCGATTTCGCGCCGACTCTTCAAAAGAAATGTCATAGCACCGTCATTCCTGCGCTTTTGCAATGCATTGACAATTATGAGGTCGCTCGTGTCTGCTCGCACGCCGCCTCCGCTCTTATCAATTTCTGCGAAGAATGCCCGAAGAGCGTTATTGCCCAATACATTGATCTTCTTGTGGAGAAACTTCAAGCAGCGCTCTCAAATCTCTTCTGCCGTCTCAATGAGAAACCATATAGATTGATTGTCGAAAACGTAATATCAATGTGACCTTCAACAATGATTTATTTTATTTCTTTAAGGTTATCACCGCCCTTGCTTCTGTTGCCGAATCAGCGGAGGATTTGTTCAAGCGCTACTTTGAGACTTTGGTCCCCAAACTTGTTCAAGTGTTGATGGTTGTTGAAGAATGGAAAGAACTTCGTGGAAAGACTATTGAATGCATTTCGCTCATTGGATACGCTGTCGGAAAAGATGTTTTCCGCGACACTGCCATTGATATTTTGAAGATGTTGGGAGGAAGCATGGCTGACTTGGCCATTGATGATCCGCAATACAGCTACATGATCAGCAGTTGGACTCGATTCTGCGCTGTAGGACTTCGATAAAATACCACATAATCCGCCTACTTTCAGGTTCTTGGAAGCGACTTTGCTCCATTCCTTCCGGTTATTATGGACCCAGTTCTTCGTGCGGCAGAATACCGCCCAGATTTCAACATTTTGTCTGGTATATATTTGCCTTTGATATGAATACGAGTTTTACTATTTTTAGGCGAGACACCTGAACATGACGAAGGATTTGAATATCATTCAATCGGCGATGAGCACCAACTTGGAATCCGTACGAGCGGTCTTGAAGAGAAAGCAACATCATGCGAAATGCTCGTTGCATTTGCCAAAGAAATGAAGGGCGCTTTCTTGCCATGGGTTCCAAAGGTTTCCGAGCTGGCTTTGAAGAATCTCGATTTTGCACTTCACGACGGAGTTCGTCAAGCTTCCGCTGACGTTATGTCGAACTTGATTGTGTGCGTCGAAGGCCAAGGAGTTGAAGCCAAACGTCAACTTTGGGTCGAATTCCTCAACGCGTTGCACAAGAGCATTATGGAGGATGATGACGCGGAAATTATTGCTGCTTTCTTGTCGGCTCTTGCTTGCTGCATTGATGTGATGGGAGGATCCGCGATTACTCCAGAAGAAGCTAATGTCGTTGTTCAAATTTTGTTGAAGGAGATGACCAACTATGGAAAGAGAATGCAAGATAGAAGTGAAGAGGACGAGGATGATGACGATGCCGAAGGAAATGATATGGACTACATCACTGAAATTGATGCTGCTCTTCTCGGTTCCATCTCGGAACTTCTTCATTCGTTGATGAAAGAGACGAGACAACTCTGCTATGAAGCACTTCTACCAGTATTCCAATGTGGCATTCAACTTGTCCAAAGCCAGAAACACTACTTCGAACGCCAATGGGGAATGTGCATTTTAGACGACGCCATCGAATACAGCTCCGAGGTAAAAACATTCTTATTTTTTATCTTTACATTTTTGAAAAATTTTTCAGTACGTTCCATCGAGATTCCAAATTACTCCCCTTATGCTGAACTGTTTGAATGATGAATACCCAGAAGTGAGACAGGCCGCTGTTTATGGATTTGGAGTTATGGCTCTTCGCACCAACGAAATCAAGGAGTACGCCAATGATGTTATGCAGAGTCTCGAAGGAATTGCCGCTATGATTGAAGAGTAAGGAAATGGTTCGCTTAGAATTTCTACTTTCGAATATTATAGTCCTCAATCTCGTTCGACAGAAGAAAGCACTGTTGCCACCGAAAATGGAGTTTCTGCCTTTGCCAAGATCATAATGAATGTTCCACTTCCACCAGAAGCATACAACAAGGTAACATAACTTGCCAGAACCGTTTGATTCCATCGTTTCAGTGCATTGAAATGTTCCTTAGTTGGCTTCCAACACATGCCGACACGGATGAGTCTCCCTACATCTACACATGTCTCACGGAATTATTCAACAAGCAAGATCAAACACTTTTGGGAAAAGACAACTGCAACGTTCCTAGAATTCTTCTTGTTTGTAAGCAACTTGAGAGTGGACCAATTACCGGGAAACCAATGATTGATATTTTCAGCTGTTTGCGCTATTCACAACAACGCTTTCCAAAATGACGATAAAGGCAATGCGGCTAGGCAAAATATTGAGACCCTCATCAAGAACATTTACAATGCAATTCCAAACATTGCTACCACAGCTGGACTTGATGCTACTTTGCAAGGTGTTCTCCAGACAATTGTTACCCAACAATGAGGAAAAAGGGAAGAATCTAAACTTTCTCTTTGAATTGTTCGTTTAAAACTGTTTTTTTGTTTGTTGTTCGCGACATTTCAACTTCATTTCGTTGCTTGTTTTCATCGTTACCAATCGAAATGTCGTTGTGTTAATATTGCCTATTATGTTTCACGGAATTCAGTTGTTACAATAAGAATAAATCCCCGGTAACTGTTGATGAGAAATTTTTATTAAACATCGCAAACCCGTATATTAGTTAGTATCCAGCTGGCGCACTTTCTTCCCCTTTCCGGAAATCGCTATTGGCATAGATTTGGAAATCATTTCCGCGTTCAACGGCGGTTACCACCGTCAAATTGTTAACGGCTCGCATCGAATGCCCTCGCTGCTCCAACGACTTGATGTAGGCTTTTGGGAAGTTGGGCTCATACCATGTGTAGTTTGGCTGGAGCTGGTTGTGCATTCGGGGAGCATCGACTGCCTGCTTGACGTCGGCCTGAAAGAAGGCAGCCATTGTTAAGCCGTTGATAATCGGAAGGTGGGACCTTAAGCCAGAGAGCATGAAGTGCGACACCTGCGACTCCGGAAATGATCGTCGATCCGCCAGCGCCGCCAACTGCGAGAATCTCCTGAAAATGAATGAATCGATGCGCTGAAGGAAGAACATCCTTTAAACCAACATTGCTGTTCGCCTTCTCATCGAAAATCACAATCGGACTCTGGCTGCTCATCGGCCGTTTTCCGGGGCGAATGAAATTCGCCGGCGACGGCGGGAATCCGAAAAAGTTGGGATGGCCGGGTGTCGAGAAGTCGTCCATTTCATTGTTCCACAAAATGCCCGTCGATTCCGAGGTGACGAGAGCGCCCAAACTGCAACAATTGCGTCAATTCACCGGAATTCACAAATTTTGTCGAATGCGAACGAAATTGGCGTGCAATTGTTTGAATTGCCGGCTTGGGTCTCGTGTGGAAAAACACTTGTGTTCGCAGCGATGCTTAGTTCAACCAAATATTATGTGAAATCGCAATTATTGGCTATTCTTAAAAGTATAAAATGGCGGAATGTTAGAAAATCTCATTTTACGGGACCTATTAATGAACCTATTCATGAAATGAAATGAAGTCAAACGACTTGACTAAATAAAAAAAATGATTGGCTATGTGAAATTAGTGCCAATGCGTCTCGAGGCAGCGAGAATTACGCAAGATTGCGTACATTGCATTATAGTGTACGCGCATTTAATATCCAGTCAACAATTAATTTAAATCTACACCGATTTTGCGAATTTGAAGGTCCCGCCTTTCTAGTTTGAGGCCGACAATAATTTTTCAAAAAAAAAAAAATTAAAAATTGCATTAAATGTGCATTTTTTAGAAAATATGTTTTCTATTGCACGAATAGGTTCATAAATAAAAGGGCGCGCAATTCAAATCTTTTTTCAACTTCGCCCCCAACCACGACCATACTATAAATTGATTGTTGTCGTTATCGAGACGGCATTCCCATCGGCATCGATGACCGAAATGTGTGCAGTTCCGTGATCTTGCGGAGGCGCTTCGAATGAGCCGCCGTAATACGAATCGTCGTGAGTTGTCTCGGTGATTTTTGATCTGAAAACCGTTGGTGTAGATTTACGAACATGCGCGTTGAAAAGATGTCGCAAAACCCGGAATTTCAAAAACCTTTTTTTCGTTCGATTTTTGTCATTTTGAAGCAGTTAAAATGCATAAAATTAGCAATTTTAAAACCGTGGCAAGAAACCACAAAAATGAATGAAACCCTTTCATGAAAAAAGGCTTGAGGAGCGGAAAACATGCTCACAGTTTCGACGGTATACGGTACACAATGCGGTGTACACACACACACACTAGAGTTGACGCGCGAATACAGAAAAGTTATCGATTTTCCAAACGGGGGAATATATGTCGTTGGGAAATTAATCTAATCTCGATTGCTTTTTCAGATAAATTGTTCGAATCTCGATTTTCGCACCTCACATTCTCGGCCCATTGTTTCGTCGTGATATTTTTGGCGATTTGAGTGGCGTTTGCGACGAATTTCGGATCGCCGAGCCAACTTCTCGCCGCGTAGCTGAACTTGCTCGCCTCGATGAAATGATGATACAAATTGGCGATGTCGTCGAACGATTTCATGTTGTACTCGAAGCTGAAATCCATCGCGTTTTCCATTATCAATTTTTTTTTGCAAAATATTCACCCGTCCATGACATTGAGAATCGCTTGAGCCACCGCCGAACCGGATGGCGGCGGTGGTCCGCACGCGATTCTTCCATTCTTCAATTGTGTGTAGATCACCTCGGATGAATCGTGAACGATGGACGCATAAGATTTGAAGTCGTCCAATGTTAGAATGCCGCCATTTCTTCTGAATTCCGCCACCATTTCGCGCGACATTTTTCCGTCGTAGAATTCGGCGATCGGATCGGACGAATTGGCAAGCCGTTTGAACGTCTCGAGCAGATTTTTTCTAGAAAATCATACTAAAATAAATAATTCTCGAAATCGTTGAACCTCACCTGGTTTGAATCTGCTCTCCGGGCATATAGACTTTGCCAGTTTTCGGATTCACGAACTGCTTCATTGTTGGCTCCTTTTTGATAATCTCCTCGTATTGTTTTAAAGCTTTTGCCAGAGCATGAGAGGTCGGATACCCTAAAAAAAACAAGGGTTGGCGACGAAAACTCAACAAAAGTTGCCCAATCCTCATACCTTCTTCAAGAATTTCAATGGTCGGCTTTAGAAGAGCATCCCAGAGAACCGCTCGGCTCCCAAATCGGTCGAATGCCGTCCGAAGGCCGTGAAGCTCACCGGGAACCGCTATCGCTCTCCAACCAACGCGACTCTCATTCCATTTGCCGACGTACATCCTCTCGGTGGCGGCTAGCGGCGCGACTTCTCGCGCGTCCACCACCGCGCACGTCGTTGTCGTTCTGAAATCGCAATGCGGAAATGCTCGCGAGTGACGTTGGGCCGACTTACGCGTTGTAGATCGTCATGAAATGGCCGCCGCCGAGGCCCGCCGATTGGGTGTCGAGAACGCCGACGCAGAACGTCGTCGCGATCGCCGCGTCGACCGCGTTTCCGCCGGACAACAGTATCTTTCGACCGATCTCCGAGCACATCTCATGATCGGCGGCAACGCCGGCTTTCGAGTATTTTCCCAACGGACTGATCGACGGCTTCGGCCATTTCGGCAATCGCGAACTGTTCTGCAACCAACTCTCAATTGCATGTCAATTGACTCAAATGATTCGATTTTGGTTCGAACCTGATTCAGCAAATGGAAATACAATGAAGCGAACGCGACCGTCGAGATGAGCAAAGTGAACACGACGACAGTCAGACCGACAGCGGTGACAAGCGTTTTGACTTTGAGCGGTTTCTCCGGCTCAATAAGCGGCTCCTCTTCATCGAATGGCCCATATTCGGGCATCACATCGTATTCGACACTGAAAATGCAAACCAATTACGTCACATCGAGTTTTTTTTTAGCAATCTCTTTTATAACAACAAAAATAAACTGGAATTTGATGGGTCAGAAGCCGACGAAAAAAGCGTGGCCACGTCAATTCGAGAATCATTCGCTGATGCGTATGGTACGAAGCCGGCTATGACCGACGCCATCACACCAGTATACTAATTATGGTAAATTATTTGCCATGTGGCTGTCTGGCAGCTTCTGCCCAATTATCTTCGAATAATAAGTGGAATGCACTGGAAGATCTTTGAGCATCAGCGATGATCCACTTAGATCCCCGAGGCGGCTCTGGTAAATCAAAACCAATCGGATCCAAGTTTTACAAACGAATTCGACCAATATCTAGGATTCCGAATTTCCTTGGATAGACAGGGTCCCAATTTTGACATCGCTGAATCACGCAACTCTCAAATGAGTTCGAAATTCAACGATTTTCGTCTTCAATTCTTACGAGCCTTTAAAAAAGACTATATTGTAGCCAGCGATCACATACATTAATTGCAGATTTCAAAAAAAAAATAACGAAAATGAAAAAAATCAATGAAGAAGAATGGAAAAATGAGCAAGAAATATTTTTTTAGCATTGATTTTTTAAATTAAATTTTTTAAAACATTTTTCGAATTTTTTGAGTGCAATCTTTAAGGGCTAATTGAGAGAAAAAAACAAAAAAAAATAAAAATGATATGAATTTCAATGCAGAAAACAAGAAAACCCCATTTTTTAAAAAATATTTTCTCTGTATTGATCTGAGAAAAAGGCAAAACTGCAACATACCTTGTGCTAGTCGTCGGATAATTGTTCATCCTGCGAAATGGGCAAACAAGAGAAAATCGATTATTCGCGATGGCGTCGCCCACCAAAGCAGTCTGTCGTCGCAGAAAAAACCCGCTGTGCCGAAAATTACACGAATCGATAGTAAAAATGTTGAAACTATTTATATCGAATTGATAAGGGAGACACAAACGATTGCAACTGATAATTTTGGGCAGCTCATCAAATAAAATTTGAGGCGACACGATTTCGATTTATTGAATTAACGAAAGCAATGACAATCAACCCGTTTTGTTTTGACGATTAAAACAAATTCAATTCTTTTTTTTTTCGGATTATGCTTAAAAAGCAACACACAATACATCATTATTCTTTAATATGGCCTTAATTTTTAAAGTGGTCAACGTTTGACACCGTCTCGTCGAATGCTCGAAACCCATAATTGCACAGAAAGGAACACATTTAAAATATGAAAAGAAGGGGAAAATAGTGGGACACAGAAAAAAAACGTAAAGAAATAACAAAAAAAACCTAGGCAATCTCAAACAAGCATTATTAATTATTAAAAATCACAGGTAGATATGTTCAGGAGGTATACACGAGTTGGAATTGAGTTGAATTGAATTGAATTGAATTGAAGGCGTCTACACGTCGGGCAGATTCCAAACCCAAGCGAGCCGGAGCTCATTCAATCGCTGGGTGATGTTTCGTCCCGTGTCGCGACACGCCACCAGATATTTGTTGTTCTTCCAATGTTTGTTGTTGTACAGCTTATTGACGAGCTTCTCGCAAAACACCTATAATGTCAATTTGATTCGATTCGAGCGCCAAATTGAAAAAGTCGATCGAACCTCGAGATTGCCATTGTTGCGCGTCGAGCACGTCATGTCGGCTTGGCATCGCGCCGAACAATCACCGATGCTGCAATCCGCGTCCGTTTGACACGGCCGATTTTTGAACAACGAGTTGAGGCGCGATTTCGTGTACACCATATCGCCATCCATCAGCACAAATCTGAAAATTGGGACCATCTACCAAAAATTAAAAAAAAAAAATTCGAAAAAGTAATGTAAAGCCTGCCTCGCAAGAGCAGCGTCAATTTTTTTCCCGCATTTTTCCACGGGGTATTTCAAACAATAAAAAATGTACCTTTTCGGATAATCCGCCGACAATCCAAGATTGTCAAACCGAACATCGCACCATTGAAGCGGCTCATCGAGAAACTCATAGAGCAATTTCAGTGTGCCCATGAGATGCACCAAGATTTTCGACTAAAACTCCAATCATGAGGTAAATTGTAAGAAAATATGAATAATGCCAATGCTTACCTTCAAATTAGTATAATAACCCTTCATACGGAAAGCAACAAGTGATTCTGGTTGATACATATGGCCACAAGTTCCAATAATCTAAGAAAAAAAATCTACGGGAATTCAATGGCGAACAACGATACCTTTGGCGTAACTCTAGTCAATGGTAGCACCCGGAACAGAACAAATTCGGGCTGCTGCAAAAGCGCCCAAAGTGATCGCCGATCCGCTTTCGACATCGCCTGACCTCGAGTTCGCAACAACGTCGGCCACACCGTTTCCAGTAAATGTTTACTGTAATGCTTCGGCCAGCCGAGCATGAGCTCATCATTCACCAAATCAACAACCTTCAAGCATTTCAAATTACCAGTTTTTTTAAATTAATTGCAATTTCTATCGAAATCGTTGATACCTTGTTATAAAACTGCTCATTCGTGAGATCTTCATGCGGCTCTTCAAACATTTCAATGAAAGGTTTTTGACTTTTGAATACCGCTGTTTGACCGCCGTCTTTGATCATTATCGCGACCTGTGGAACAGGAAGTAAAAATTTGAAGAATTCTTAACGGTTTCAAATTGATAGTTACCGAAGAAAAAATTTAAAGGTGCATGAAGTATTGTCGATGACAGATAAATTTCGGGGAGCAGCGCATAAAAAAATTGGCATCGCAATAATTGAAACGTTGGCTGCGCATCAAAAATGAGCAAAATTACTGCAAACATTAAAGGCGCATGCAAGAATTCGTTATTTTCACTATAAGATTGAAAACCAAATTTGACTAAAAATGTTCGAATTTCCGACATTTGCCCTGCCTTCAATAATATCAAAAACTAGACTCTATAGAAAGTTTTTGCAAAGAAAAAATTCAAGCAAACTGTAGGGGCCAAAAATTTCTGCAAACACCGGGACGCAAAATTTCAAACAAATTCGATGGAGAATAACGAGAATAGAAATGCAAATTACCTTATTCGAATCATAGAAATCTCGTATAACCCAATTGCGATCATAGCACAACCGATTGCACGAGTCACCCGTAATATCGCCCCGCTCGTACGCATCGCAAAGTGCCGTTAATATCTCATTGGCTCTGAAAATCGTAGGCTCAATGTGGGCGGGGTTTGTGAAAACCCGAATGCAAAATTCGAGTGCAATTCGGGCGGCGACGAACCTCGTCAAATTGAGATTATGCCTCGGCTCGACGGCCTCCGTCAAATGGTGGACTTGTGTGCTCGAGAACGCGCTGTAGATGAGGTAGACGAGCAACAATGACATGACAAGTATGGCGATGCGTCCGACGTGTGAGCAGCAAGCGATCCGCCACGCTTCCTCACCGCACTCCTTGTCGCACCTGCAAAATGTCGAAATCGAATTCGAAGCTTTTCGCAATGTATTCGTTCTAAAAACAATAAAATCCATCATTTATCAATGATAAAACGTGTGATTTTGAGAGTTTTTCGTCGAGAAACGCTGCCAAAAAAAAGAAGATCGCGCGTTGAACAATGGAAAGAAGCCAATATCGTCGAGAAAAACCCACAAATAAAATTAATTGCGATCATGAACTATTTCACGCCTCATCCGCATACCCCCCAATGTCGAGATCATTCAATTGAAACCAATTTTGCGAACACGACCTCAAACGACCGACGGCGGACGAGGCGAATAGAAAAAATGTGGAGAAGCAGCACGCGTCGAATACAACACGATGAATGAGTCGGGCTGGTTGTACTCGGTTCAACGATCAGAAGTATTGTTAGCAAAAAAAAACGTGAATCAGTCACCGACAACGTGAAGTGTGGCGAAGAACAACAAAAAAACACACACACAGACACGCGCGCGGGGAGAGGAGAATAGAAAGGAAACGAGAGGAGAAGCATAATAATCGAATTAGCAACACATTTTAGGTGGAATACATGCATTCTTTGATACGTTTATCGTTATTTTATTATTATTATTATTATTATTATTATTATTATTATTTATTCCCATCGGGTATCGAAGCGAAAATAGTCGACATCCGGCGACTGATGTAGATTTACGTGCATGCGCCTTCGCAATGGTCTCGCACGGACTAACTGATTACGTTTCATTTTCGAAGTCGTCTCATTAATATTTGATTGCAGTGATTTTAGGAATTCAATGAAATGATATGCTCATAAAAAATTGAATAGTTCACGTGAAAATTTCAATATAAGCTTCAACGCGTGGCGAGACCATTTTGAAAGACGCAAGCACGTAAATCTACCCGCGTACAGCAGTCGTAAGGCACATTTGAGAATTTTCTTAAATTATTTCTGTGCAGATAGTTTCCACAAAGCATGTTTCACGTAAATTGGCGAAATTGCTTCACAAATTTAATATACAAATCAAATAAAAGTGAAATGCACCAAATTTGGAAAAAAAAATATTAAAAGTAGGTTTTTCTGCGATTTGCACATGGTTTTAAAGATTGTTTGATGTTTTCCCGAAAAATTTGCGCACCACCAAAATTTTCCGCTTTCGTTCATCATGGCAGAGACAAAGAAAAAAATTGGAGTAGGTTTCCACAAAAAAAAAGAAACAATTAATATATCTGTGTCAAATGTTGAGTGTATCGTTTCAAGACCTCAATTCAACATTATCAAAACCGGCTTGATTTGCGATGATTAAATTGGGTAAAAGAGAGTAATTCAATCATTTAATGAGATTTTTGATCTATTCCATGAAAGTAAAATCTTCAAAAATCGCGAATTACACAATTCATGAAGGTGTCAAAAAATTGGGACCCTATGAGAATTGTTGGGTCAAGAATCTTGCAAAAGCAATTCGCAATGCTCCTTTAATCGCAATACGGTAGGCCTGTTTCCAAAACGTTTAAAACATATCGGAAATACATTGAAGCGAGTCGCACTTTTTGAAAACCGCCTTCAATATTGATATTGCAGACATTCTGTGGGTTGATTCATGATCATTTGAATAGGAACAATCATATTGCAAATTGGGCGAGTCTCTCCTAATAAGGCATCTTTTTGGAGTGGCGAAAAACAAAAAAGCAAACGCCAACAACTACTACTTGACAAGTTTTGGCAACACATTCAAACACTTCCAATTGGTTACGTACTCGTCGTACAAATACCAATTTCGCGTCGAGACCCAATTCATTTCAGCGACAGAAAAAAAAGAGAGAGAGAGAGAGAGATCGGGGGAAAACACACAACAAAGTCTAGTGAAATTGGGCGGAAAAAAATTCGATTTCGCCAAACTCGCCACCAAACAAAATCGATACCGCTGGGCGCGATTGATATCGCCGCGAGAAAAACCGAACAAGAAGAAGAATAGAAGAAGAAGAAGAAGATGGGGATGTCGATGATCACAACACACGCACAACACAGACAACCATATACAGGCATAAACGGGCGACGCGATCGAATTTTCGCATTTTCAATATTAAACAAAAAAGTGCATGTCTTCTCGGCGCAAAAATTCGCAATTTCCGGTTTTTTTTTCATAATTGGGGAACCGCCAAAAAAATTGTCTCAAATGCTAAATTGAGCGGAAAAATTCGCCAATTTTTTCTCGCCGACCACAATTCTCAAAATCCATCAAATTTTTGCGCAAATCACCAAAAATAATCGTGACGCGAACAATTTTTGGGGGTACAAATGTGGAAATATAGTGGCTTCAAAAAAAAATCTTTTTTTTATTCAGAAAATATCCGTTCAAACGGAATATTTGCAAAAACCAGTGCGAATCACCTTCTAGGAAAATCATCGCATCAGCGGACACCAATCGAGGCGACAATTATTGAAACGCTTGCATAATTCACAATATTTAGTGGGCAAATGAATGAAATATGTAGGAGGGGGGCTCAACTTAATCTTTTCGCGTCGGGACCCGACCACATGTCGCCGTTCGCTTAAACAAACCAGCCAAACCCAAGATGAGGCTCGACGAGCATCGATAAAACGGGCGGTTTTCAAAATGAGGACAAAACAAGGCGAAACCTCCTCCACACACCCCCTCGTTCGTCTCCGGGGAATCATGAATGAGGCATGGAAAACGGGTGCGACAAAACCGCGAAGGGTGGAGCGCGACACACACACACATACACGAAAATTAAAAACCAGCCGTTTGAGGGAGCCAACGGTCGTCGTAAAATATATGAGCACTTTCTCAGCGGTCGCCACCCACCAATAAACTCAATGGGTGGTCGGCCAATTTGCCAGCTTCAACTACCACCAATTACCGTTACAAACAATGGAGACGTGGGGTTGGAGGGATCTCGTTTGGATAATCGTTTAGCAATTTTGCATACTTGAAAAGAAACAAGCGAAAACGCTCACATCGCAACACAATAATTTCAAGGTCGAACGACAATAAAATCAAAACTAGTTTTTAAGCATAAAAACAGCAGCAGCAACAACAACAAAAAACAACATCGCACCTGGGGCAGTTTCCAACGAAAAACAAAATCAAGAAATGAAATGGGCGAGCAAAAAAAGTGGCTCACGTGAGCATTAATTTTGAATAATGTGCGTGGACTATTTTTTTTTTTTTGAGAATCCCATTGTTCGCCAATTTCGTCCACCAGTTGCCATAGCGAATTGCGTTTTCTATGTTGCTTCAACCAATGACGTTCGCAACAATTCATATTAATCAAAATGGCTCAAAAAATAATTATTGTGCGGTGGGATAGAGTAAAAAAAAAGCGCACTTGAAATACATAGTTTACAAAATGTGCCGTCGCCAGCCATCAACACACACACATACACATTTTGGAAGGTCAACTCGGAATCGCTTCGGAGTCGGAGATGTGCAGAGACGACGACGACGCGGTATCGGCCAGTTGCTGCTATCGATGCTGCTCGCCGACCCCCGTACAACTTCGATTATTTTTATGAGTCACCGTGGTGGCCACAAAGGTCTAACAAGCTGGTCATCTGTGCACATTTTTCGAGTTCCGATGGTCTTGATTCTTCGTTCAGATTCGATACTATTTGTCGCGTTCAAATGCACAAAATTCCAATGGGATCAGACTCAAATTTATATCCAAGCATTCTAACAGTAGGAAAGAAAATTAAGGTAATTAAAATTGTTGTTGTTGTGGAAATTTGCAAGAGGAAATAATTAAATGTATGATTTCTTAACAAAATAAACAAGCTTCGGAGGTGAGTAACACAGTGAAGTAAATTTTTAATCATTTCTAATCGTATGGCTGTATTACCGAAATGGCTTTGAAATTCGAATTACGCCGAACTAAATTTTGAACCTTCTTTTGACAGAAATATTCCAATAAGGCGCCAAAAATAAGAGAACGATCGTTTTCCCGCTGATTTCAACAATTTCAAATTTATATGGAATCGAAAATATTCCTCCAAAAAAGGAGCTTCAATAATTTTACGCTTTAAGACATACAATGAGGATTTACGTTAATTCGATTGATATTTGTTGAATTTCTCAAAATGTTTATTAAAAAATATATTTATTTGAGACTACCGTAATACAAGAGCACATTGGCATAAGACGGAAAATCTTGAATTTTTTTAATTTGAATTACCGCCTAGTTCCCGTATCGGGCCAATGCAAGAAAAAAGAGGTAATTTCAAAGCAGAAATAAAGAAAAATAATCCTTTCCTGCATTTCCCTATAAGCGAAACAACTTAGAGCAATTTCTGCATTTTCTAACGGCCATAAGATGAGAGAGCACAATTCTGTTCAACACTATAGAACGTTTTTCAAGCTCAAATGAGAACCTGATTTTGAAAAAAAAATTACCGTTCAAGGCATTCGTCATGATCCATTCCGGCATATTCCGTCGCCGCTCGACCATTCGCCTGAAAACAAAGAAGAGTAATTGAAACCGGTTTGAATTCGTTTCGATTTCGAATTTTAATTTGTTCAAAATGAATTGAACCAACCAATTTCAATGGCACCAATCTTCGAAATGCCCTTTTCGACGTGCTCGCGTACATCCTTATGCCACCCAAGATGCTCTAAACGCGAAAATGCAAAACCGGAACGGATAAATTCGAGCCAGGCAACGATTTATAATTTTTTTTCGGTCGGCCTACTATTTCGCTATACAAACATCGAGGTAATCGCAAAATCAGAGCGGAAACGGGATGGGGGGGGGAGTCTAATACAAATACAAAATCGATATAATTGAAAAAAAAAACGTTTGAATGGTTATTTTGTTGCAAAAAAAAACGTCGGAAAACTAAAAAAAAATAACGAATTAGGCGTCGGTTGCTCATGGAGACGAAGGGAAGGTGGCGACAAGAGAGGAGATGACGTTTGTGATAAAAAAAAGACAAATTGCCAGCGGTAAAAAGAAAGTGACAATGGCGGGATCTAGTAAACTATGCGACTCGTCGAGCAACAGGTGACAAGAAATATGAGATCGGTGTGGGTGGCACGACGAAACCAACCAAAATGATCATAGTTTTCGTCTGCGCGCGCGTGCCGTTCTTCCCATTAATAAAATCGTTCGCACTGATGATTGTGGGAGTTTGGAGTGTTGGCTACGCGTATTTTTGAACAATATGTCTTGCCAAACTCGCACACAACGAAAATGCTCTCACTGATGCCAGATGTGTGTGTGTATGTGTGAAAAACGCCAATTCGGCTCGTAAATCTCAGATGGGTTGAAAGGGCGGCGCGCAATTTTTTAAAGGTCTTTTTTGTTTTTCGCTCGATTGTTTTCTAGAAGCGATGTCGTCATTTAGAGGGCAATCAATACTGTTTCGCAAATCGGTGACGCTATTGCAATTTTTTTAATCGATTTCGCTTACATTGGAGCTAATATTCTACACATGAGCGGGCAAAAAGAAAGTTTTTTCATTGGCGCGGAAAATATTTGTTTATTACAGCCATCTTGGCCAAAAAAATGAAAGGAATCGACAGCGAGATGTTCGCGAGGGTTAACGAATTGAACCATTCCTCCTTCTACCAATTATTATTGGACCACATGAGAAAAAAAATGTGAAATCGAAGGTTACCTCGTCGTCGTCGTCATAATCATCGTAAATGTCAAGTCGAGCACCATAATGCATTGGAATGATCTCCATTGCTTCAACAATTCATTGACTGAACATTAACGGCTGTAAAGAGAATAATTGGTACAAAAATATGATATCAATAAACATTTTGAACACAAAAACGAAACTGGTTTCATTTCGCATTGAAAACGCGTATCGCAACGCGCTTATTGTTCACTGAACGCACTGTACATACGTCGTCGGAGGAACGAAAAAAATGATAAATGCAAATTTTATTGATTTTGTCGTGTATTATGCGCGGAAATGAGTTTGGCACATGAAACGAGGGAGACGAAAAAATTGAGATATTCGTCATGCGAATTCATGTCGGGGTGCACTGCGTACGAATGCGCATTATTTGACGACATCACCAGCGACCGATTTTGTTTTTATTTGCTTCTGTGCGCTTTTTGCGTTTTTGCACGATTTTCGCAATTTTTTCATATTAAATTGTAGTCAACTTGACTCAATGTTTATTAAAATATATAATCATCATAAATAATACGAAAAATTCAATGTTTTCAGCGATGAGCATTCACACGCGTAGCGGGATGGATTATAGCAGTTTTTTAAAGGCGACCGCTTACATTGAAGAATATCAAAAGCGGCAAATGATTCAGGAGAACGTTTGTGTAATAATATCGACATTTTTCATTTGATTTTTATAGAATTCATCGCCATCCACTTCGAATTTTCCGTCCAACACGGATATAAATCAATTAATGGCAAATGTGCGCGAATTTATGGCCGAACAACGCAAATTGAACGAGAAAGTCGAGCATTTTCTAACAACTCAACAAGCTATCAATACGCTTGTTCTCGATAAAATGACGAAATGCAAATGCATCGGAATGGACGCGATTCCCGATCATTTGCGCTCGAATTTCACGACGGGAACATTCTGTGATATGCCACCGGTGCCGGTATTCAATCTAACCATTCCGCCAAATTATCAGAATGATGCTCCATCCTCGCAAATCGACGTTGAGCTTCTCAAAATGCATCAGCTCATCGAGCAAAAAGATTCGTCGGATTCGGTGAAGGTTGAGGTCGAGGAGAAGCCAACAACGTCCAACTTTGATAATACTGTTAGCGATTTATTAATAGGAAACGATATGAAATGGAATCGATCGAAAAAGAGTTATAAGGTAACCTTCAATCTAAACGAATCAAACAAAAGAACGTTTTAAAATTTTAATTTTAGTGTTCCGAATGCGATAAGGTGTTCCGCGAGAAGCATGGCTTGAAGCAGCACCAATTGATTCATGATTCCAGCGGCGCGTTCTTCTGCGATATTTGCGGAAAACGGTATACAAGACAAGAAAGCGTCAACCGACATAAACGAGTGAGTTTTTTTCAATAATAAAAGTCGATTAAAGTGTGTTATTCAAAGAACTTACATTAAACCCGGAAAATCAACGTGAAAGAAAGAAATGCCCAAAAGAAGTGAAAATGATTGAAATTCTCTCTCAAACACACACACACACACACACACGCTCACGGTTTATTCTCTAAATCACCCAATTTTATTTATTTTCATTCAATTTTCAACATTTTCAGACGTCGCAGTGTCACAAAAACGTCGTTATGAATGATTCAAACTCGATGGCTTCTTCGTCTCATCCAATGACTATGATATTCAACTCAAACTCATCGCAAAATTTTCAAATGTAACGCCCAAATTCAAGTTTTGTAAATAACTCGACAACGATTCGCTAGTCTTTTCGCATTTATGAATCACTCTAATTACTATTATTTAAAAAAAATGATCATTTATATACCCACCACAGAAAAATTCTCACTTAAATTGCGTGTACATTATGCAAAATATATAAAATATATTTGAAATGTATGAAATAAATCATTAATATAATAACCACCGGCCGAAACGCGTTTATTCGTGTATTTGACATGAAAGATTAGCAACCTGCAGGCAATATATACGATATTCTCTAGATTATTATGTTCCTTTTATTCAAGGCTCTTGTCGAGTGCCTTCTTGATGTTAGCGAATGCGTCTTTTCCAAGGTAGTCCGGATTTCCTGCCTCCCATGCTTCACGGCGAGCATTCTTATCATCAAATTGTTCATGCGGAGCCTGAAGGTGATAGAATGTTGAACGAGCTTCGTTCAAGCTCAATCTTACCGTAAACGGAGCGTGAGCTTTTTCACTGAATTGATGCCATTGTCGGTAGTGCTGATGCTGATGGATGGTGTCACTTCCCGATGACCACGGCTTCGTGGCTCCGATGAAGTGCACGATTTTCGTGGCGGGACCGAATCGTTTGAACGCCGCCGCGTACGAGTAGAACGCACCGGCCGTCATGTTATAAATGAACGGGAGACGGTGAGCCGATGGCAAATCGCGCCAATTGGAATAATACTCGTTGAGAAGTCCCTGATCACCGCCATCGAATGATCCTTTTGAGACGGCAAGAGCCACGAGAGCTTCTGTCAAATCATTTTTTAGATTAAAAAAAAGGTTCAAAATAGGCGATTTACTGTAAGTTTCGAGAGATGGCGAGAAGACGAAGACGCCGGAATTGAACATGTCCGGCCATCCGATGTCAGCGACCGCGGAGAAGTCGGGATGGCTGAACAACTCGTCGCTGTTCTGCAGCACCATTGTGTCAGCGTCGAGAAAAACTGCTTTGGTGTACTGGGTGAGGCGCCAGCAGTGGAGTTTGGTGAATGTGACACCCAAGTCGGGGCGACCGATGAGCTCAAGGTTCACCTGAAACTCAGAAGTTGGGAATGTTGAAGAATTCGATGGATTTACGGAATCGCGACTGTCGAAAACATCAACGAGTGTGACAACGTCGAATTTCGCTTCCAACTGTTCGCGCACACTTGGAGAAACCTGCAATTTGAAAAAATTGATTGAATTTCTCTGAAAATCTGAAAGAAATTACGTCATTTGTGATGAGACAATGGATTCTTCGCGTCGTCTTCGATTCGATGAGTGATTGATGAAGGGTCAATGCGCCATTCGCATAGCTATCATTTGTTGCCAAAGTAATCCAAGCCTCACTCATTGTGTGTTACCTAAATTAATAACATATAACGAAAATGTGACAAAAGATGAACGAAATACAGCCCCCGTCGAATTCGAAGAAGCACCAAATTTACAACAAAACAATAAAAAACGAGCGAGATTTTGTAAATAATCATTGAAGACTCGACGAGGGGTTTGGTTGTGCACTCTTTGGAGTCACACGAAAACATTGCACGAGAGACGAAGCGAGAGAGAGAGTCGGCCGAAAAAAAAAATAACCGGGGCTGCACTTCGATTTATTACAGCTTATTTCATCATCGTCGTCTGGAAAATCAAAGCGGATTTTTTTTGCCGCGGGAGAAATGTGCAAGAATTGAGAGAAATGACGTGCAAAAATCGAACAACGTTGTGATGGGAATGTTTCGACGAAAAAAAAACATTTTTTTTTGCTTTTTCGTGTTGCAACGAGGAAAAGCGAAGGAGTTAGTGGCGAATTGGAAAAAAACGGTTTGTTTGTCGCGAGCGTGATATTCGCGGAAAATAATAGTGCGAAAAATGAGGAACGCGGGAAATTGCTTCGAGACCATCATATCAATACAGATATGCGCCTTTGACTAATATTACTGTAATTGTCATTTTCGAAATTAATAATCTTAAATTGCCCATAATCGTCGCTTTTTATCTTTACGGTTCGTTTATATTTGCAAACAATTGCTGAAATTTCAGATAAGATTGAACATGTTAGATGATAACGTTTCTGGTTGCGAAAATTCGCAATTAAAAACAGTTCCTATTTTTCAACCCCAAAAATATACAAAGGTTAAAGATTCGTTTTGTTTTATTGGCTTTTAAATAGAGTTTTGACGAGCGAAATCACGTGATTTTTACAAATTAATAGGAAGAAAGGGGGAAAAATGTCATATTAAATTTATCAGAAGTCAAAAAACTACTTTGTCACTGTTCAACTCACCTTCTATCAATATTTAAACAACTTTTTATCATTTATTTGTGTAATACGGTTCAATAGTATGATTTTCGAATGAAAGTGAACCTTGGCAAATAGAATCTGTTCGTTAAATAATTTCAAAGATTGAACTTGAAATCTAGTCGGCGGATCTCATCAAGTGCTTTGAAAAGTTGGGTAAATGAAGTGATTTTCACCACACCAAAGCTCATTTTTGAATCGAAAGCTATGCAGAAAAATAAAATTTCGTTTTAGAATCCTCAAACAAAAAAATTTCTAACAAAAACAAATAAAATGGCCCCGACTGATTACGATTTGTGTCTAATTTTTGATGACCTGCGACCGGTTAACAACCAAAAGTTTTTCTACATGTGTTCGTGTTTTCTTTTATTGCCTTCGCCGGCGTGTTTAAAAACATTCCTCGTGTTCTCGCCGCACAATACACAATGAGCAAATATGTATCGAAAAACGCGTCAGTTTCACTTTGCCTTTGCGCATTTGTTTAATTATTTGAATGTTTTTGTTTTTTTTTTCAATACCTGCCAACTTTTCACTATTTTTTTTGTTCTTTCTGTTATTTTTTTAATTAAAAATTTCACATTAAAAAATTATATTTATGCTTCAAAATCAGAGAGATGCATAATTTGAACAATGGGGTTGTCCCATTCAGCACAGTTCAACCAAGACCTCCACCCAATTTACCTCCTTTGCAAGATCATCAGGGATTTATTGTTCCAAATGTAATTTTCCCAATTTTTTTCTAATTTTACTTAAAAATTTAGTTCGTTCGAATTCGTCCGCGGCCGTCTACACAAGGTATATCTTGGAAACCAGAGGGATATTATTAATATAGGCTGTAAACTTTTTTTTTAGATGCAACAGTTGCCACAAGCAGCGGAAATATGAGAATTGTTGAAACCGATCCATCTACGTTGCCGGAAGTTTCAGTTCCAGAAAACTGCACGGTATGCTGAAATTTTTATCAATTGTACCGCATCTGAACCGATTTCAGCTATTCACAGTTGTCAAGGAGATTGAGGGAATTGAGCGGACATTTTTGATTCCGCTAACCAACGATTCTTCAATTCAAGATCTTATGGTAGTTTTATTTAGAAATAATTATTGAATTACCTAAACTTGGAATTTAGCAAACTCTACCGGAGGGGTTTGATGAAATGGCAGTGAATGCGATTCGAGAAGCTGAAGCAGCTGCAGCGAGCTCTGATGAGCCTACTGTAGCCAATCCCATTGATACGGTTTCCAATGATTCGGAACTGGTGAGAATTCTACAAATCACTAAATGAGATCCAACTATCATTAATATTAGATTGAGGATGGTCCTGCAGACGACTCCGATGTGGTGTACGTGAACCCACGGCAATACTACCGAATAGTTCAAAGACGCAGAGCCAAAGAGAAATTGATAAGAGAAGGAAGGTTGCCGCCGAACAGACAGGTCGGATTGCATCTTTTAATGTGTGTGTTTTTTTCTGAAGAAATTGAACGTTTTAGAAATATCTTCATGAGTCGCGTCACATTCATGCAACGAATCGAAATCGAGGAGTCAATGGACGTTTCCACAGTAAGAATAAGCGTTGAAATGGGAAAGAGGCGTTCAATTGCGTTATTTAGAGAAAAATAAAGAAAAATTGCTTCCTGGATTATTACGACCTGATCCGCCAGGTCATGAATCGTAAGAATAGGTATCTTCTTATTAGTAAATGATCGTTGAGCTGCAGTACGAGGAGGAATGACGAATCTTCCATGACTGAGTGTCCTGTAGATCCAGTAACAGTTCCTACGACATCTCATCATCAGATGCAAGCGCAACAACAATAAAATTGATAGTACCTTATAAAATTATGCGATGATCTCATTTCCTGTTGCTTTAATTAGTATTTTTTTTGTGCTCACATGTAATAAATTGTGTTCTTTTCGCGAAGACTCCTTGTTTTACACTACACTTTTTTCTAGTCGTTGACGTACGAATTTGAGGTGCAATTGATTTATCATTTGAATTGCCGCCTTGTGTCTCGTATGGAAAATCTCTTAGGTTCGAGTTTAGCATTTTTTAAATATCATGATGTTGAAGAACGCAGTTTTAATGAATTTTCATAATTCCGGTTATTAAATGATCGATTTTATGTGACCAATTAGAAGGCAATTCAAATTCAATTCATTTTTAAACGTTCGTACGACAACAAAACTTTCGAGATTTCTAATTCGGATCCCTCACTCAAAAACTGAGGTCTCCGAGATTTATTGCGTAGAAATTGGGCATTATCAGTTTGCCCGGCGAAAAAAAGAGACACGGGGTTTTTTTTAAACTTCCCTCATGTGATTATCACAGTTTTTTAGACACATCTTTAACTTGTTTGATATTTATCTTACTTTTTTTCTCAAATGATTTTTGGATTGATTGAAGGTGTTGTCTTTTTCTAGGGGAATGATTTAGGGGAAGTTGGGTTCTCGTTGCGAAGCGCCTTGAAATTACGAAGAGTTTGGGATTACTGAAACCGAAGTATAGTCGGCATCCGGCGACTGCTGTACGCGGGTAGATTTACGGGGATGCGTCTTTCGAAATGATCTCGCCACGGGTGAGAAATTATTTCGCTATTTTCACGTGAGTAGTTATTTTTTTGGCATTTCCTCGAATTTTCAACGTTATTCGATTGAAAAATTATCGAACCGACCCATATAATGCAAAATAATTGGTTTGTCCGCGCGAGACCAAGAGAAAGACGCGTCCCCGTAAATTTACCGGCGTACAGCAGTCGTCGCACGTCGACTATAATACACGTCGCAAATGAGCTCGAATCTAATTTAAGGAAGGTTTCGCTTATCGTCAGCGTGTGCCGACTGCTCTAGACGGGTAGATTTACGGGTGTGTCTTTAGTCATGGTCTCGTCGCAAATGAATGTTTTTTGCCATTTTCACATAAAATGTTTATTTTTTTGAGTTTGGCATTTTCCTAAATTTCTAACGTCGTTGAAATTTAAAATTATCGAAAAGAATTTGAAATAGCCGGTTATTCCGCGCGAGACCATAACGAAAGTCGCAGCAGTCGCTGACTCTAACCATATTTAAAGGCGCATATAGTTAAAAACTCTATGTGTGTGTTAAAAGGCTGAAACATTAGCCATGTAAAACCGACATCCCCCAAAAAATGTGTACGTGATTCAGGCCATTCGAAAGAATATTTTCAATCATGTGAACCTCTCTCCTATCAGATTATTCATCTGAAATAATAATAATAATATGCAAAAACGTAGTGGATAAACAAGCGGTTCGATTAAATTGGGAAATAAATGAGATTTTTGGATTTGTAGTAGGCGAGATGTATAGGTTGTTGTCTAATTATTCTGTCCGACGTTTGGCAATCGTTGAGAATTGGATTTATTTGAAGCTTTTTTGTTCATGCCGTGACCTTTCTAGCTCATTTAAACCCTACTTTTTCATGCTAACGAAGTGTTTCATTATTTTTGATTCTCATTTATCCGCCTTTATTTCAAACCCTATTATCAATATATTGTTCAAAAGTTGTTTGAACTTTGCGATCTGTTAGCATCATATCAGATCTTTTTTGCAAACATCCGCCCTCCATCTCCACACTCTTGATTTTTTTTTATCGCCTCCCAAACTACCGGGAGGCGCGATTGGCCTAGATAATGCGATTTTCAGTGTCCTCTAAACGATAGCTCCCACTAATCATCTCGAACTCTTATCAAAAGTACATGTATCTTCAAGAATCTCACCACTTCTCCAAGAAGGAAACCGGTTCTTCTGGCTGACATGACACCAAAATGTCAAAATCGTTTGCTGAATCGTGACGGACGACGAGAGTTTCAAGATTAATTGAGCAGCGCGCGAAGTCGGTGTGGTACTGTAGAAATAGTTGAGATGTGCAAGTTTTGGGTTCCCTACGAACGTGAGAGTGAGGCTCGTTGAAACTAATTAATTTGCTCCCAGAACATTTTAACGAATTGCTTTCATTCATCTTGCTATCTTTCTCTTTTCTCAGCTTCTTCTAGTACTCCTGCCCGCTGCAAAAGTGTTTTGCGAATGTGTGTGTGTGTGAGTGTGTGCCCTCCCGGAGTCACGAGGTTCAGATTATCGAGTTCAATTGGGTTGTGAGGGATTCAAGTCGTTGCTAGAAAATTGTATGTTTCGGCCCGTCGCAACTTTTCCGACGACTCTTCTCCTCCTCCTCCTCCTCCTTCTTCTTCTTCTTCTCCCGCAACTCAACTTCTTGCGGCGATTTCGAAATGAAAGTGCGTTTGGAGATGAAGAAGAAGAAGAAGAAGAAGAAATGTTTGAAATTTCCAGAGCGAGTGTGTGCCCGGCCAGCCGGCTAGTATATACTGACGAATGGGATGGATGGGTCATTGAGTGTCCACGCTGAATTGAGAGAGTCGTTTTCGGGGGTCCACCGCCGGCCTTGGCCTTTTCTTTAAATCACCGAAATAGCGCGTGGAGCGGGGAGTCTCCCGTCCGGCCACCACCATGGCCTGGAATCGCGGTGGTCACACATTTGGCTACGACGACTAAATTTCGTCTTCGTTTCGTTCGCCCGGGGTCTTTTTTTTTTCCATCCGTCTGGCGTGGTCGCGCTCGCGCGCGCGTCTCAGAAACTTTGATGGGTTTCTTCTCCATCTGACCATCTGTCTCACGTTTTTTTTTTTCGTTTTTTCGTCGCGTACCCAATCCTGTGTGTGGTCTCTGTCTTTTTTTTCTCATTTCTGCATTTCGGTGTATGCGCGCGTTTTTTTTTCTTGGTTTCACCCCCCACACACTTCCTGCCTTTCTGCTAGAACTGCGACTACTCGAAATTCGCACTTGGGAACATTCTAGAGATGAAATGGGTTAAGTAACGTATCGTTGAAATCGCCGCGACGCGCTGGTCAAGAATATGAACATCTGGAATCGCGGCGATCCAATAAAACGCTAACGAGGATTTTCGGCGTTGGGGTCTCGGCTCGGCTTCTCAGCGTGATTAATTTGGTTGGATTCGGAGAAAAAATGTGCACGCGGAACTTGAAATGGAATATTAACGGCATCGCGTTGCAGATTAAGACGCTCATCCAACGTCTTTCTCCAATTTTTTTTTCCAAAAATGACGTTTTGATTACGCTCAAAGATCCATTCGGCAGAAATGTTTCTATTTTCAACTTTTCACGTCGTCTTAGGAACTCGCCGCGGCACGTCACAATAGAAACGTCAACATTGAAGCGGCGTCCATCTATTTTTCAGAAGTCTTCTTCTCCACATCGCCTTCTATTAGTTTCATATATTAGTTTCCTTCATTGCAATTCTATTGGGATTCTTCAAAGCTTAACCGCCGCAATTTGAAAGGAAAATGATAAATGAGAAACAGATAGGTTTTGATGCGACAATTGACCCCGAGGATCGAGATCCTCACTGGAATTTTGTGTTGATCGCAGAATTAGTTTGTAAACATCATTGAGACGAGTGATGAGCTCCAGCGTCTTATGACTCGCAATTTGTGGAGTTTGAGAGTTTGGGTACCGTAATGCCCCTAGTTGGAATCTGCGTTCACAATCGTGATGTGACTGTCGAATCGAGATGTTTCACTATCAGATTTTTCGATTTCGAATCGAATCCATCGGGATTTGTGAACTGCAAACCACTACCGCCGCCGATGCTGACAGACACAGTATTGACCTCGGCCCCAATCTATTTCAGAGTGTTTCTCTCATCCGCGTTTCGCTCTCACTCGATATATGTGTGTGTGTGTGTGTGGGGGCCCTTTTCGCTAATGTTTGACCCTTTCCAGAAGTCTAGAAAATGTTTGTGTGCGGGATAAAGTGAGTGAGAGACACACACCAACCACACGTACTGGCAAAAGATGTCGAAACGCGAACAACGGAGACAGAGGGCTGTAGGAAGAGGGTGGCGATTCGGGGCGGGGTGGTGTATGTGTGTGTGTGTGTTGCGCGAGAGCGCGCGCGCGCAAGCAAAAGTGCCCGTCGGCGTCTCGCGATCTCGCACGGTATATCGCTGAAAAAGCGTGCATTCTGCACTCGCTGGTTTCGGTCGGTCGGGTTGGTTCAAGTCCTCTTTGGCGAAGAACCAATTTCAGCACTCGTGGGCCCCGCCGGCCGGCTTCTTGCTCAGCGCAGCAGCGTTAGCGCGCGCGCACGCGCTCACGCGCTTTGGACCCTTTTTGTGCGTCCCATTTCGTCGTCTCCATTTTGAATTTGCTCCATCACTTCTTCGTATGGCCCTCCCGCCTTCAATTCCATTCCATTCTTCGCGTTTCCACCCATTGTGCTGCATTTGAGAAGAGTTTCGGTCTTCGAATCGAGGGCCCATTTTTAGTTTCGGGTCTCCACTGTCGTGCAAAAATTTTCGATTGCGCATTGCTCGATTTTCAATGGGTCGTATGCCACACAATTTTCCATTCAATTCCATTTTTTCCATCCCGAATAATAAGCAATTTTCATTTTTGATCTATGAAATTCGTTCACAACATTTTATTCGATTCTTAATGTGATAATGCAGAGCTCCTAGCAGCTTCCTCCTTATTTCCATTTGCAACATGTGACAGACCACATTGCAAGTTAATGGCGACCTATTTGAATATTCTGGCAATCATATCCCTTCATGAGCAATCTTTGAGTTGCTCGAGCTACTCTATCCAATTCGTTCCGCGTTTCGCTTCCTCCCCGTCAGCATCATCATCCTCCTGCTCCTCCTCCTCCTCCTCCTCCTCCTTGTCCCACCGAAACCCAAGTGTTGGTGTTTCAGCAGTCCCAGATAGATAGATATCGAAAGTCGCAGCATTCTCTCCTAGCATTTCTCTTATCGCAACATTTTCTCATTTCTTATCAAGAAAAGGTGCATCTCACCCGTTTAAACGCACACTGAAAATTCATCTCGACACACCTGCCGCCGAAATTCCAGCCAATTTGGTTTGTTTTGTGTGCTGCCTATTTCGATGTGTAGATATCGTGTGCGTATGTGTGAATGCAGTTTTTTTTTGGTTGAATTTTGTGGCCGCCAAAAATTTTGCAGACCTACAAAATGGGCGGTATCAGTCTATTTGTATGTGTGAGTGTGTCGCACGCGCGCGCACGCCCTTCATCCCGCACGGTGCGCTCTCGCCAGTCGTCATCATCATCATCTCGATATATTCGGTCTTCAAGAAAAAAAAATTCAAGAGTCTGCAGTCGAACGTCGTCGTCGTCGTTATCTTGATAACTCTTCTCGACACTTTCCTATCATCTTATAGATTGGGTCGTCGTCAGTCAGTCAGTCAGACATCGCGATCTCGCGTTATTCAAACCATCGCTCTCATTCACTCCCGACGAGACATTGACATTTTGGCGTAAAATGGTGAATGTTACGTCTTTATCTCTGTTGATTGAATGCGCGAATTCGCCGATATTTTGCTTCAAATCATTTTTAAAAAATAATTTTGGCACATTTTCAAGATTCTTGGATTATCTCTTTGAATAGACCGCCGTCAAATGGGATTAGTCGGAAATAATAATCATTAAAGAATTAGAAGAAATGGGTTCCGTTTTTGACAAAAAAAAATCAGAAGGTCCAATTTTTTTCTTTCCCTTGAAATGTTCTCTTATCTCTTTCGCATTTTTATCAATCGTTACAATTTCGCAAATTCGCTTATCCATACCATTTGAAAAAGTGGCTTCATTGCGACAAATCGCCACCCAGCTCGCCGCCAGCCACTTTCGATTTCAGCAATGTTTTGTAATTTGATATGCGCATTCTGCTGCAAATCGAATTAGAAGACATCTCTCAGCCGATTTGTCTTCTATAAAACGGCCGCACGAAAAAAAAACTTCGAGAAATTGACGAGTTGAAAGTCCATAGTGATGTTATCTCGTGTCTCATGTGTCGTCTCCCACTCTCCCGCAACGCGGCCACCCATACTTTATAAATTTGTCCCGATTCGCGCGTTTGTATATTTTAAGCATATATCATAAATATAGTGCAGGTCGAGCTTTTCGTTGATGAAGGTTTGCTCTCTTGCTCGCGCGCGCACACACACACAGACACCCCTCGGTATATTTGCGCTGAATTCGAGCAGCGGTAGCTTCGACCGGCGGGCTGACTAGCCGGCATATAAAAATAGTGTGGTGTATGCAGACCGTCGCCCCCAGCTAGCGTGTTCAAACAATTTCAGAAAAACGCACCGCCGCACGCGACCCCCACAACCTTTGGTGGGGGGGGGGGAGGCTGAGACGGGCGAGTGTGTGTGTTAGAGAGCGAGCGAAACGCTATACACACTATACCGTCGATGACGGTTGATCGGCGGGAGGATGGCTGACTTGACTTTGACTGGACTCGACTAACTGGCGGAGGCTGTCGCACGGGGTGGCGGGCGTCGGCGGCGCCTCGCCCGTGTGCCTCGTTGGTTTTTTTCCCCCACGTTGCAGCACTATGCGATGAATGGTGGCGATGGTGGTTTTGGTGTAGCGGTAGGTTGGAAGGACGGGGGGGGGAGCGGCTGACTGACCCCTCCGTCCGAGTATACTACTCAAAACGCACACAATCGTGTACGCCCGGGTGGTCTTTGTGCGTCTTTCTCTCTATGTGCGTGCGGTTTTCCAGCACTAGTAGACTCGCGTCGAGGAGAATGCAGGGAGAGAAGGGCCCCGCCTCGGCCAGCACATATCGCGCAAACTAATCGATTGATCTGACTCGCCGGCCCTTTGATTCTTCATTCTCATTGGTCGTGTTTTTCCACCCGTCTTCTCCCCCTTCCATAGTCCCCCCCGCACCTTCTCCTTTCGGTTTTTTTCTCGTTCCCCCTTCATCTTCGGTTTCCTTGTCCGTAGGCGACGGTCGCCGCCGAAGACGCCGCCTGGTACGGCGGCTAGAATTTGGATGGGATGGCTGAATTTCGCGTCTGTTCTTATCGCTACCAAATTGCGAATGGACGGTCGTTTTTTTTTTGAAAATCTGTTCTTGGAGAAGCGAATCTTCAAATTTTTGACACACAAACATTTATACAAAAGAAATGAACAATATTTTTGGAAATTCGATTTTGTGCGTTTTTTTGTTCTGCTCTAATCGAATTAAATGTTGTTGTTTCGCGTCATCGCTAAAATTTATGGAAAACAGTCGGCAACCATTCATTTCTTCAAAAAAAAAAAGCGTCATCTTTATTTTCTTGCCATTGCTCCCATGCCTATGATTCATTGTGGGAAACCGAATTGGTGATCCATTATTCGCTTCGAGGCTTTCTTTTAACCAAATAGTTCGAATTCTATTATTTTCGTTGTTCATTTTTCAGGTAGAATAGGCACAATAATATGGGACCGGAGAATTCGGCCAATTATGATTATCTGAAGCAAGCATCGGTTTGTATTCAGCAATTCATGGACGAATGTCATAACGAGAAGGAGCCGAATGGTCTCACGATTCTAACAAACGGCAAAATGAAAGAGGTTCGGATCTTGACTGGATGACTTTTGTGATTGAAACATATAAATTTAAGGCGGCTGTATTTGAGAATTTGAGCGAATTCAAGAATCAGATCACTGAAGAATTGTCGAAGATCTCGATGGCACTAACGCAGTTCATGGAATCGCAGAAGAGCGTGAATGAAGTGCTTCTAGGAAAAGCTGTAAGCTTCTTTTCTCCATAGCAAAAAAAAATTTCGAGTCAATTTTGTCTGATAAAATTTTCGGCGGTCACATGATCAAATAAACATAATTGTGCGAATCGGGCCATCATTGTGTTTGTGTTCATTTTCCAGAAATGCACCGCGTGCGGAGCGACGGTCGGCGGCGACGGCCATAATCGTGAGAATTCGCGCGTTTCCGAGGAGCGCCGAAAAGTGTCGGAAGAGGAGGAACACGCGGATGACGTCGAGAAAGCCTCGTCGGTGGTGTCGAGAATCGCCTCGATTGATACTGAACAGTCGGTAAGGAGTCGGCCAAAAAAAAACATAATACGCGGCTTTCGCTTTTCAATCGCACCCACTCAATCTCGATGTGTTTCCAGATTGATCAGTCTGTCAAATCGGTGTCGTCGTCGATGGGAGCACCGGAAGATGAGGATGAGATGATGAGAGATGATGAGCTGGTGCTCAATTCGATCATGAACTCGACGAAGACGGCTGAAGTTGATGAGAAGCCTGAATCGGTAAGAATTGTTTTTTGGGCCTAGATGAGGAATGCTTTTTTAGTTTCACATCTCCGATTATCTCCAGAATGTTTTCATAAAGCAGGAGCCGAAATCGGAAATGCCGGAGGAGAATGAACAGGCTGATGATAAGCTTGTGATCAATAACATTTTGGAGAAGATTTTTGGACAAGTAAGAAACGATATTTTCTAAACGTTGGAATTCTTAATCGTTGAATTCAGAATTACACCGACACAATCTCAACGGCTGCAATGGATCAATCTGAATCGCTTGGACGAATGGAGAATTTCTTGAACGACTCGATGAATGGATTTGAGCCGTCGACATCTGACACGCCGAAGACGAGAAAGCGTAAGAACACTCCTGCGAAGGTGCCGAAGCTTGAGAATAGCGCTGGATATGAATGTCCGATGGACGGATGCAACAAGATTTTCAAGGAAAAAGGATCGGTTCATCGTCATTTTGTCACGCATATTGGAATGAGATTTAACGTAGGATTGATTACGGTAGCAATTGTTTCATGAATTGCGTTTCGTTTAGTGCGACCAGTGCAAAGCGAGCTACACGCAAAAGCACGCTCTGATGCTCCATCAGAAGATTCACCAGAATCCCGATGCGTATCAGTGTCGCGGTTGTGGAACGAATTACACGACACAGAATGGCCTGCGTTTGCATCGTCAGGTGAGAGGCGGCGTTCCGAAAAATGGAGTTTTATTTCGGAATTTTCAGAGAAATCCGGCTTGCCAATCGCTGGCGAATGAAGTGCAGAACATTCCAAACGAGATCAAACAGGAGAAAATATCGATGTCGATTCAGAATCTTGTATCGTCGCTCAAAACTCAGACACCGCTCTCTTTATAGGTAAAAAGGCGCAATTTATGCATTGAATTTTTTTTTGTTGATTTTCCCACTCAAACCCCTCTCTCCCCACCCATCCAGAATGGCTATGCAAGTTATTCATGTGCAATTGATCTAGACAATAAGGACATTTCTATTTATTATATTAATTTATAATAATTATATATATAATATTTGTATTATTGTTTGTTTCTCCTTTCTTCTTGTGACGGAAAATTTATACCCTCAATTTTTAAGACACAGCTACCTGAACATTGCAATTCTCTCATTAACTGCATTTTCAAACGAAATCACTTATGTATTCTCACTTGAAATTGCATTTAATTTATATATCGTTTGATATATATGTTTTTTTGTTGTACCCTGCTCAAAAACACACCCTTTTATGCATTAATTCCTCTTTTTTTTTGTTATTCTATGGGACAGATTTTCTCTTTTAATCATCGTTTGTTTCATTTATTGGTTGGTGCTTGGTTGAAATGTTTGCCTTTTTAATTAATCAATATTGGCTAATTTTTTTGTAAACAGTGAATCACTTGTTTCGACATTTTATGTTGTTTTGTTTCGAAAAAAAATGAATAAAAATTTTTTAATAGTACACATTATTACGGTTTTTCCACGCGAGACACTTTGATGGGTTTTTTGAATGTGATATTTAGACTGGCACGATTGGAAAAATCGTGGGAAAACTATTTTTGGTAATGAAATGAATATATTAGGGAATTGGTAGAAGAAAATCTATTCAATTATGAAGCAGTTTAGAGAAAAGTGAGAGGTCCTACTAATTAGAAATTAATTAATTTAATTACTGGTTAATTTTAAACTAATATTGACTTTTCACCAAATTATAGTTTTTAAAGAGGTTGGAGAAAAAAAAGGATTTTTTCGGAATGTCAAGAATTTGCATCTAATTTTTGGTTGATTACTAGATGGTCTCGGGCAGAGCTGCACGGAACTTTAATTTTCTAAAAGCGGAAGACGGAACAAAAAATGTTTTAGCGGAAAACGGAATACGGAACACAAAGTTAATCTAACTCGAATATTTTGAAATTAACAGCGCAGAATGTGAGATTTTCCAAATGCTCATTCGACAAAGGACCTTTTTGTCGAACAAATTTCTCCGGCTGTGGTTTTCAACCTTATTGGATTCGCTAGACGTGCTAAACAGGAAAATTTTACGGAAAACGGAAGACGGAATTCCGTGCAGCTCTGGTCACGGGTCGACAATTCGGCTTCTGATGTACGTATAGCTTCTTGCTAGGGACCACATATTATCCAGAGATAAATTAATTGGGCTCACATTATTAGGCGAAAAATAATCCGAATTTCTCTTCGGATCGATATAAAAAATTCTTGCTCATCGAAATGGTCACTCAAAATTCAATCAGATCCGGCCCATTCGATTTTTAATTCTAGAGATCAAATTGTTGGATATTTCCGGAACGGAATGGTAAATAATTGTTCGAATCTGATTTGTTTCAAATTTTCGGATCCGACCCTGTTGTGTCCTTGAGTTCCGCGTGTATGGTGCCGAAGCGTGGGGATCGAAGTGAACAGTGATGTAGAGTTGGATAGCTTTATTATATCCTTAGATTGAACACTACAATGTATGATGGCCGGGTATTTATACTAGTGGTGAGGTGCTTCTAGAATCTACAATGCGCATGTGGGGATATTTACGTGATGGACTGGGTTCTAGAATATTCCATAACCTACGAGATTACAATAGTTTACGTGAGTGGGCTCACAACACCTCCCCATCTAAGTTAGAGTTCTCATACAATTAAACTAAGAGATAATGTTAATTACAATTAACAATTAGACGTATCTCTTGCTATATGGATTGATGACGAGTCTCTTGACTGGTATCGCGACTCGACTTGATCGACGAAGCGCCTGTTGTGTAGTTGTCGTGTGTGGTTCAGTAGTACGCGTTGGTATAGTAGGTGGCACATTCTTCGGTCCTGTGTTTGTACTGTGTGATTCTGGACTTTGGATGACTGGTAACGGCAGGCTGAACACATCCATGAGTGTGTCGGTAGTAGCGAGCGTGTCTCGGCGTTTAAGTTGGTTGGTATGGCGCTTCCAAAGTTGACCATTTACTCGGACGATGAACGTGACATTGCCCAATTGACGAACGATGATGCCAGGTGTCCAGGTCGGCTTCGTTCTTCGATAATCCTTGACGAATACCGGTTCGTCTGGTTGGAAATTGCGTTTTCTAGCTCCATGGTGTCTGTTGAATTGCTGCCCCATGATTGTATTTGGTTGTCCAACTTCTGTCTTTGACGTTGGCGAAAAAAGATCCCATTGTGTTCGGATTCGGCGTCCAAGGAAATTCTCGGCTGGTGATTTCCCTCCGGGAGACATAGAGAAGGTCTGCAAGGCTTCTGCCGAAGGTTCCTCCCCTTTCAATTTGAGAAGTCCCCTCTTGAAGGTGTCCACGAACCTTTCAGCTTGTCCATTTGATTGTGGATGGAACGGTGGTGATCTGATGTGGTTGATTCCTCGCTCCTTACAGAAGTCGGCGAAGTTGGTTGACGTGAATTGAGTACCGTTGTCAGTGACGAGTGTCTCCGGATTTCCGAATTGAGCACAGATCTTCTTGAATATTGCGATTGTTGCGCTCGTTGTGATTGTCGGAGTTGGTACGATCTCGGGCCATTTCGAGAATGAGTCCACAACGACGAGGTAATACATACCTTCTATTGGTCCAGCAAAGTCGGCGTGCACACGAGTCCATGGTTTTGTGGTAGTTGACCATGACTGTAGTTCTTCCTTGATAGGATCCTTGAATGCGATGGCGCAGTTCAAACATCCTCGAACAAATGATGTGATGTCATTGTCGATTGACAGACAGTCGTTGACAATATTGAGGCTGTCCTTATGATTGGAATAGTGCCAAAGTTCTGATGATTTGTCGACTTGGGGCCATTTTCCGGACCTGATGAAGTTCATGACATGTTTCAGTGTTGGATCCCTTGATGTTTCAGTCCGAATGATTTCGGCGAAAACGGGCAGATGTTGGCAGTGATCGGCGTATTTGGCGTTGATCTCTGCTTCAACTTGTGCATGGACGCGATCTTCAGCATCCATTTCCTTTTTTTTGTCTGCGATGAGCCGTCGTGATAGGACGTCGGCTTGTCCGAAATCCTTGGTGTTGACGTACAAGGTTATGCGGAACGTGCATAACCAGAGGAACGAACAATCATGTGGGCTAACTAGCACACCAAGAATTAATATTGCCACTCCGGGTATGAGACCAGGAACCCAGGTCCATGCTTTCAGCGGAGCACCTTCGGAGCATTTCTCTTCATTCTTTCGCTCTTTCAACGATCAAGCAAAAACAATTAAACCCGAATTGTCAGACGAAGACAAGAGGAACTTCCTCTTGACATATCTCACCGAAGCAGCAAGAGATCGAGCAGAAGAACAAATGGAATCCAGGCCAGACACCACATTCGAGGAACTCTGTGACTATCTCAAGTCACGACATGAGGATCCGGTTCGTACGGAGGTGTCACGTCAACAGCTACGCAATTGCCAGCAAAACACCGGTGAGTCAGTAGACGATTTTGCTTCCAGGATCAGCAAGCTCGCATCGGCGTCGCATTGCAATCAGCCGAGAGAACTCATCAGGGCCAAAGCCCTCGAAGCATTTCTGGATGGTCTCTAAAAAATCAGAAAATAAAAGAAAAATATTTAAAAGAAAATGATAAATGATATTGCATTGATTGAAACAAACGAGTTTGGCTCAATTTGTCACTTTCAGTTATGAAATCAAAGTCCTATTTGGCAAAAAAGGGTCCTTTTTATATAGAGGTTGGCCCCCCTATTGGTCCCATTTTGTTGGTCAAAATTGGCATTGCCTGAATAATTTGGGGTCCTTCTTGTGGCAATTTAGCATTTAATGCGGCAGTAATTTAGAATAAACCGATTACATGAACGCGTTTCAAAAACGTTTTACTAATTATTCAAAAAATATATTCTAATGGAATGAATACCAGTGGAAAAAATGTATTCTTATGTAATATTCGAAAATTGCGTGTATTTTTAAAAATTTCTAAATGAAATTTTGTTGATTTCTTCGTTTAAACTCAATGATTGTATTTGGAAAAATAGGTAAGATTTTCAATATTTATTTGTATTGAATATTTGAGGAATTCGAATTCACATTTGCATTATATTTCTACTAAAAACCGAAGCGGAAAAATATTACGATTTTGATGATTCGCTTTTTCATTGTTATTGCCGAAGAAGTGGAGGAAAAAGCACAAATCGAACTGATGTGGTTCGTGATTTTTTTTGGCTTAAATTCTGAAATGATTATAGTTTCAAGGGATTGGAACGACTTGTAAAAATTCGAAATTCCAGTTTCCAGCCAATGAATTTGTATGTATTTGGTCGAAAAGCACGTTAGTTAAACCGAAAAAAAACTGCAGATTGGACCATTCGAGGCTTGTAGACGACTTGTGCCTTATACGGTGAAAGCTGGAAGAATGATTGACGAGTATGTCATCGAATGTGATTTTGGTTTGAATTTGATTTAATTACCCTAATTATGATGATTAATTAGACAATCAATATCTTTGCCCGCTTAATTTTCTTCAATTATATGACAAATGCTATTTGATGCCTGAAAATGCCACAAATTATCATGGAATCAAGAAGATGTGTGGAGAAAATTTTAAATTGGCGAAACTCGACAGAATCGATCTGATTGGAATTGTCGAGAGAATATTCAGACCATCGGCTCCAGTTTCGATGGATTTCCTCACAAATTATACGGGATTTTTCTCTGAAAATATTCACAAATCTGATAATCCACAAGATGACGATGAATATTTCGATTGGAGGGAACAATTCGGTGGCACATTCGGCCATATCAAACCAATTGATATCAATGACAAAAACATTCTGTTTATTTGCGAAAAACCATACAAAGACTCATATTCTTGTTCGTTTTTCGATGCATTCAAATCAAATTCATTCAATTTCAGCAATTCATGGAGATGTTGGAAGATATTCCGAGATATTCTTTGAAGAACTACCGAATAATCAAGTCTATCCGACGTTTGGAAAATATGGGTAAATCGAAGATGAGAATTTTCAATTTAGAAGACAAATTTAGAAGTTCATCCAATCCGAGAGAAAAGAGCACGGATGATGAAGACAGAATATGCAGGGTATGTTGATTGATAGCCTCGAATGAATACGATATTCAGAAATTGATGGATTCATTTTCTGACTTCGGGCACCATCGATTCATCAGATTCAACGAGGATCATTCGTTGAAACTCTCAATTTCTTCCGGTTATTTCTTGCAAACCAAATATGTTCATACCGGAATCAAAGAGTCCAATTCAACACGTTCGTGTGAAGAATTCGAGAACGAAAAGATCTGTGATGCGAGAAGGAATGTGACGGCATCGAAGATAATGATAACGGGTGAAGGGTGATAATTGGTATTCAATCCCCATCTGAAATACTCTTTCAGTAATTGGCAATTAACATCGGCTCCTTTCGGTCAACGATCTCCAATGTATTGTCATTCGCGTAAGAATACCCGAGAAAACGAAACGATTTAATCGATTTTAAGGCTATTACAGTTTCGATGAAAATGGCTATTGTCGTAGTGATTTCACTCCATTTGTCAAAGGAAATTATATGAGATGTCATAAGGTCGCCAAACACAAATGAAATCAAATGATTTGACATTTTTAGGCTTTTGAAGATGCTGGTAAATATTTTCGTGGGCGAGAGACATGCGATCGTTATATGGGGAAAAATACCTGTAGACATTGCCAAAAGTTATTCGGAATGTTAAGCGAACCCGAAACTGTGGCGGAAATAAATTTTCTCGGCTGTAAGAATTTCTAGTGAAAAAATTTTCCACAATTTTCGGAAAACTGCTTAATAGGACCCATCTGAAATTGGAATTTCAATTAATGATGATCGGTCTATTAGAAACCACCCCCACTTTTTCACCGCACTGCACTGCAAAATTTGCAGTTTCTAACAGTAATGTTTAGCAGTTTAACAAGTAATTCTACTATTCTCGAAAAACACGGTTCAGAAAGATTTCGTATTTCGAAAGATTATCGTATTTTCCAACAATTGTCAATATTTCAAGTGTCAAATTGTGGATTTTGATATCAAGCTTCTTCGCAAGTCTTGCGAAAATCAAATACCTAAAAACAATAGAACAATACAATAGTTCATAAGAACACTAGTAGTTTAGTGTTATACTACATAGTTTCTGAAAAATCTAATTTGACATCAGTTCTGCGAATCTCCTCTTGATAACTTCAATTATTGCGAATTTAAAAAAAAATAAAAAAAAAACACTGTTAAACATTATTGTTAACAATTGCAAATTTTGAAGTGCGGTGAAAAAGTGGGGGTGGTTTTTATTAGACCATGATGATCAGATAACACATTTTCCGATTTACCCGGATGGCCAATAATTCCCCACTACCGATTTCTTTTCATTTTCAGCGATCGCCAAAGACGGCTGGAACTACTACTATCTCGGTGTCGATTTGCAAAGTAATAACATGTTTTATCGCGATTCATCGACTCGTCCCCAACCAGTATTCGAATTCTATCGGTCATTGTGGGATAAAACCTATTTACCTGGTAAACCAGGAATGCACATCGTCCTCACAAAAAACAAACTTCTCCAGAAAATCGAGTAAGTATTCTATTCAATCGATTTCATTTTTCAAAATTATCGAATTCTGTATCAAAACCTCAGACAATAATTATATGTTCGTATTCAGCGCATCGGTTGAAATAGGATACATGTGTCAATTCATTGTCGATCGACCAAATTCTTTTGAAAAACTTTATTGAATAATTAATAATTTGCTTTTGTCGAAAATAATAATTGTCAATATTTTTTTTTGTATTTTCTGATCGCAATAATAAAATGAGATTTTAAAAATTGTTCAGTTTTCGAAGCAACCTATTACTGCATTGAATTTTTATAATTTTTTAATTGTTAATTTTTGCTCACGTCAAAAAGAAAAACACAAAAATGAGCGAATTTTCATTCCAAGCAATTATTTCAACAGTGACTGGTTGTAATTCTATTCCATTCTGATTTGAAATGCGCGTCTTCTTTCTTTTATCTGTTGCCGTTCTCCTTTCCTCCGAGACTGTTCTTTGGGGTGAGTCAATCAAATTCGCAATTTTCAATATTCAATCATCTCGTTTTCAGACTGTGTCCCTGATTTGATGTGTATCTTAGGAGGCTGGTGCACGGAAAGCGAACGATTGTGCTTACAGCCACCAGGCTTGTTAGAACCGAGTTGCTGCTGTAAGTGTATCGGAGTTTATCAAAACGATTTATGAGTTGTTCAGACCGAAAACCCAAGTGTTTAAGTGGATGGGAATCTGGAATAGAAATTGATAAGGACATTATTAGATGTAATACGGCCAACACTTCTCTTGAAGACTGCTGTGGTATGTGTTTATTTGATGTTTATTTATTTCCAAAAACGCAAGAATTGGAATTCGGTGGAAAAAACTGTTAGAAGAGAGTTTTGGTTAATTGAATCAAATTTATTCGTCAAATTTATTATATTACTAAAACGGAGAAGATTCTTAATTAAAACATTATATTGTCTTCCCGGGCGGTGCATAATGGCAGACACTCTTAGATATTGTGCGAACTTTTTTCTTATTGCCTTTTGCTTAAAAAATGCAGATTCACTAAGAAATTTCTATAATTTACCGTCAATTTTTTTGCAAAATAACCTTTTAGCAGAACTCAAAAAGAAATTGTCAGATGTTTTTTTTTAATTGCCGCCATTTAGCGAGGCCCCGCTGGAAAAACAAAAAGGTGTAAATCTATGGAGCGAAGCATAAGGAGGGATAATATAGTTTTTCGCAGTCGCGCGACTTCGACAATATTTTATTTGAAATGTTTATCTATTTTATTTCTTTTATCGTGTTTTTTTGTGTTTTCTTTTACTTAAATTTTCAGTTTTACTAATTTCGGACAATTCAGGCTTATAGGAAATCGATACTATTTATATGCAAAATTTTCAGATATTGTTCGTCCGAAATCATTGATTGGTCACAGATTTTTTAATTATACAAGTAAAACTATTGAAATCATACAATTTCAGTGTTTTATTTCATTTATAGCAACATCAGAAGATTACCCGGAATGCCAGTCGAATTCGGATTGCGAACCAGGACACTTTTGCGACAATCTGGTTAACAGTAAAGCCAAGATATCGAATCGAACAGGATGCTTCAATAGTGAGTTTCCATTTACCTGAATTATTAATAAATTTTAAGCTAATTGAAAATCGAACCTATGCATCATGTTTCAGTCACCAAGAGGGCCTATGCAGCAACGATGCTCTTCAGTGACTTTGCATATAAACAGCATCGATTTCCTATAAGCCTGAATTATCCGAAATTAGTAAAACTGAAAATTTGAGTAAAAGAAAACACAAAAAAAACACGATAAAAGAAATAAAATAGATAAACATTTCGAATAAAATATTGTCGAAGTCGCGCGAATGCGAAAAACTATATTATCCCTCCTTATGCTTCGCCCTGTAAATCTACACCTCTTTGTTTTGCGCCAAGACCACTGTCATTGTTTTTTGGCATTCACTTTCCAGTGGGGCCTCGCTAAATGGCGGCAATTTCTTTAAAAAAAAAAAACAACTGACAATTTCTTTTTGAATTCTGCTAAAAGCTTATTTTGCAAAAAATTGACGGTAAATTATAGAAATTTCTTAGTGAATCTGCATTTTTTAAGCAAAAGGCAATAAGAAAAAAGTTCGCGCAATATCTAAGAGTGTGCCATTATGCACCGCCCGGGAAGACAATATAATGTTTTAATTAAGAATCTTCTCCGTTTTAGTAATATAATAAATTTGACGAATAAATTTGATTCAATTAACCAATACTCTCTTCTAACAGTTTTTTCCACCGAATTCCAATTCTTGCGTTTTTGGAAATAAATAAACATCAAATAAACACATACCACAGCAGTCTTCAAGAGAAGTGTTGGCCGTATTACATCTAATAATGTCCTTATCAATTTCTATTCCAGATTCCCATCCACTTAAACACTTGGGTTTTCGGTCTGAACAACTCATAAATCGTTTTGATAAACTCCGATACACTTACAGCAGCAACTCGGTTCTAACAAGCCTGGTGGCTGTAAGCACAATCGTTCGCTTTCCGTGCACCAGCCTCCTAAGATACACATCAAATCAGGGACACAGTCTGAAAACGAGATGATTGAATATTGAAAATTGCGAATTTGATTGACTCACCCCAAAGAACAGTCTCGGAGGAAAGGAGAACGGCAACAGATAAAAGAAAGAAGACGCGCATTTCAAATCAGAATGGAATAGAATTACAACCAGTCACTGTTGAAATAATTGCTTGGAATGAAAATTCGCTCATTTTTGTGTTTTTCTTTTTGACGTGAGCAAAAATTAACAATTAAAAAATTATAAAAATTCAATGCAGTAATAGGTTGCTTCGAAAACTGAACAATTTTTAAAATCTCATTTTATTATTGCGATCAGAAAATACAAAAAGAATATTGACAATTATTATTTTCGACAAAAGCAAATTATTAATTATTCAATAAAGCTTTTCAAAAGAATTTGGTCGATCGACAATGAATTGACACATGAATCCCATTTTCACCGATGCGCTGAATACATATTGTTGAGAAATGACAAATGTATCTAGGTGTCGTGGGATCCTGCGTTTTGTACGCAATGCTAAGAGACAGTTACCGTAATCCTCGCAGCGATTTACGGAGATTTTTTTTAAATTTTCTTTCAATTTCTTTTGCTGAATTTTCTAATTTTCTTTAGAAATCTTATATTTAAAACCTGTAGAAAAAAGAGTTTAATTATTTATTTTTCAGAATATGCACTTTTCCATTTGTCTAGTTGAGTTGGGAATTATTGTGAAGATTTTGACGCTCTAAAAATTATTTTGAAAATGAAGAATACAAAAAAAGATAATAGAAACGCATACAAAAAGCAAAACATGATTAAATAATTTTATTAACGACAAAAATGATTTCTTTTTAATCTCTGCTGTTTTTACCAAAAAAATATCGTTTAAAAGTGCTTATTCTGCTAAATACATTATTAAACTCGGTTTCTGCAAAATTTAAAAATTTAATTTTAAAAAATTTCGAAAGAAAATTAAAAAATTGAACGAAAAATAAAAAAAACGAATATGCGAAATTAAAAAAAAAATGTCCCCGTAAATCGCTGCGAGGATTACGGTAACTGTCTCTTAGCATTGCGTACAAAACGCAGAATCCTACGACACCTAGATACATTTGTCATTTTTCAACAATACATATAATTATTGTCTGAGGTTTTGATACAGAATTCGATAATTTTGAAAAATGAAATCGATTGAATAGAATACTTACTCGATTTTCTGGAGAAGTTTGTTTTTTGTGAGGACGATGTGCATTCCTGGTTTACCAGGTAAATAGGTTTTATCCCACAATGACCGATAGAATTCGAATACTGGTTGGGGACGAGTCGATGAATCGCGATAAAACATGTTATTACTTTGCAAATCGACACCGAGATAGTAGTAGTTCCAGCCGTCTTTGGCGATCGCTGAAAATGAAAAGAAATCGGTAGTGGGGAATTATTGGCCATCCGGGTAAATCGGAAAATGTGTTATCTGATCATCATGGTCTAATAAAAACCACCCCCACTTTTTCACCGCACTTCAAAATTTGCAATTGTTAACAATAATGTTTAACAGTGTTTTTTTTTTATTTTTTTTTAAATTCGCAATAATTGAAGTTATCAAGAGGAGATTCGCAGAACTGATGTCAAATTAGATTTTTCAGAAACTATTTTGCAGTGCAGTGCGGTGAAAAAGTGGGGGTGGTTTCTAATAGACCGATCATCATTAATTGAAATTCCAATTTCAGATGGGTCCTATTAAGCAGTTTTCCGAAAATTGTGGAATATCGTATCACTAGAAATTCTTACAGCCGAGAAAATTTATTTCCGCCACAGTTTCGGGTTCGCTTAACATTCCGAATAACTTTTGGCAATGTCGACAGGTATTTTTCCCCATATAACGATCGCATGTCTCTCGCCCACCAAAATAATTAATACCACGTTCGTAAGCCTAAAAATGTCAAATCATTTGATTTCATTTGTGTTTGGCGACCTTATGACATCTCATATAATTTCCTTTGACAAATGGAGTGAAATCACTACGACAATAGCCATTTTCATCGAAACTGTAATAGCCTTAAAATCGATTAAATCGTTTCGTTTTCTCGGGTATTCTTACGCGAATGACAATACATTGGAGATCGTTGACCGAAAGGAGCCGATGTTAATTGCCAATTACTGAAAGAGTATTTCAGATGGGGATTGAATACCAATTATCACCCTTCACCCGTTATCATTATCTTCGATGCCGTCACATTCCTTCTCGCATCACAGATCTTTTCGTTCTCGAATTCTTCACACGAACGTGTTGAATTGGACTCTTTGATTCCGGTATGAACATATTTGGTTTGCGAGAAATAACCGGAAGAAATTGAGAGTTTCAACGAATGATCCTCGTTGAATCTGATGAATCGATGGTGCCCGAAGTCAGAAAATGAATCCATCAATTTCTGAATATCGTATTCATTCGAGGCTATCAATCAACATACCCTGCATATTCTGTCTTCATCATCCGTGCTCTTTTCTCTCGGATTGGATGAACTTCTAAATTTGTCTTCTAAATTGAAAATTCTCATCTTCGATTTACCCATATTTTCCAAACGTCGGATAGACTTGATTATTCGGTAGTGCATATTCTTCAAAGAATATCTCGGAATATCTTCCAACATCTCCATGAATTGCTGAAATTGAATGAATTTGATTTGAATGCATCGAACAACGAACAAGAATATGAGTCTTTGTATGGTTTTTCGCAAATAAAAAGAATGTTTTTGTCATTGATATCAATTGGTTTGATATGGCCGAATGTGCCACCGAATTGTTCCCTCCAATCGAAATATTCATCGTCATCTTGTGGATTATCAGATTTGTGAATATTTTCAGAAAAAAATCCCGTATAATTTGTGAGGAAATCCATCCAAACTGGAGCCGATGGTCTGAATATTCTCTCGACAATTCCAATCAGATCGATTCTGTCGAGTTTCGCCAATTTAAAATTTTCTCCACACATCTTCTTGATTCCATGATAATTTGTTGCATTTTCAGGCATCAAATAGCATTTGTCATATAATTGAAGAAAATTAAGCGGGCAAAGATATTGATTGTCTAATTAATCATCATAATTAGGGTAATTAAATCAAATTCAAACCAAAATCACATTCGATGACATACTCGTCAATCATTCTTCCAGCTTTCACCGTATAAGGCACAAGTCGTCTACAAGCCTCGAATGGTCCAATCTGCAGTTTTTTTTCGGTTTAACTAACGTGCTTTTCGACCAAATACATACAAATTCATTGGCTGGAAACTGGAATTTCGAATTTTTACAAGTCGTTCCAATCCCTTGAAACTATAATCATTTCAGAATTTAAGCCAAAAAAAATCACGAACCACATCAGTTCGATTTGTGCTTTTTCCTCCACTTCTTCGGCAATAACAATGAAAAAGCGAATCATCAAAATCGTAATATTTTTCCGCTTCGGTTTTTAGTAGAAATATAATGCAAATGTGAATTCGAATTCCTGAAATATTCAATACAAATAAATATTGAAAATCTTACCTAATTTTCCAAATACAATCATTGAGTTTAAAAGTAGAAATCAACAAAATTTCATTTAGAAAATTTTAAAAATACACGCAATTTTCGATTATTGCATAAGAATACATTTTTTTCCACTGGTATTCATTCCATTAGAATATATTTTTTGAATAATTACTCTGGTAACTCAAAACCAATCGGATTCGACAAAATTCGGCTCTGGAATTACCTTATCCGATTGGAAACTCTATGGATAAGATTGGCAAATTGTCGGATCCGATTCGTTTTCTGGATATTTACGATTGGTAATTTGGCTTGTTACATTTAATTTCTAGTTAGTATGAGAACCACATTCAAGTAAGCAATTGAAATTTTCAAAATTTTGTATACTGTTAAATTCGTCTCACACATGTTAGTAAATGATTTGGGACCCTGTGAGAGACTACAGTATTTTGCGATGTATTTGGGAACCCCGTTTAGGAAAAAAATAATCAAAATTAGTAAAACTTGCAATATAAACAATCAAGCTTTTCGAAATTTTGCACTTTTTAAATTTATTCAAATAGTCTCAGGCATCGAATAAAAAAAAGTAGACTCTCGAAAGATTCAGGTAAATGAAAATCAATCGGATTCGAAAAATTTTTTTTCAATCAAAAAAATGGGAATTAATCTGTTTCGAATTATTCCAAAATTTCGATCGAATACGATTTCCAAATTGAGAATGAGAAATAAATCAATCGATTTCGAAGATTTTTGAAGCGAAACCAACATTTCAAATCGAATTTAAGCGTTTTCTTAATCGAATATGAATTATTTTTCTATCGAAACAGGTTAATTTATATTTAATTTTTCTTCGAATCCGATTGATTTGCATTTACCTGAGGTGCTTAAAATTATTAGAAAGATCTGAAATTATTTTTTTTTTTGACAAACCGAAATTGCCACTTCTCTCATTACCACGTGTTCGTCTTCATTTTCTATTTTTTTGTAAATTCGTTGGCGAAATCTTTTAATAATAGTAATGTTTTTTTTGAGTTTTTGATTTTAAATTGTCAAAAAACACTGAAATACTTGGTTTTTCAGGCGAAAATCGAATATTCAATCATTTTGTTCGCCTTCAGGCCGCTGCTTCGGAATTATGTAAGTTATTATTTGTTTTATGGATGAATTTTCACAATTTTGAATTAAATCTTTAATTTAAAACATTTTTTGACATTGCGCTTTCTTTGTCTCCACAATGAATGCGTCTCGGACCACTGTGAGCGTGTCTCGAGAACATTCGTTGAGTCGGATCTGAGAGAGCCCGCACGGGTGCCGCGCTTCTCGTGCCACGAGACGCGGACCAACACCCCGCATCGGTGACCCATAGGGTCCGACCCAGGAGGGAAATGCCTGGGGAGTCTAGGCGCACACGGTGGAGTGGCGCGTCGAGGCACTTCGTTGTGGAGACGGCCAAATTGGCAATTTTAATTTGAAAAAATGGATTATTTTGTAGAAAGCGCAATAGAAAAATAGACTTTCAAAATGACAAACTCGAAAGGTTTGGTGGAAAGCGAAAAATAAATAGTCGTGAAAGGGTTTCTTCGGCTGTTTCCCATCTAGGCGGTGCCTGGCCGGGCCTCGGCATGGGCCAAGCATGACGGTGTCGAAGTACGGACTTCCTGTACTCCACTAGTCTCCTACCCGAGCAAACCCACCAGCATCTTTCGAAATAGCCGAACAATCACTGATTATGACTTTTATTATTTCGTCTTTCAGCCAAATCTTTCTTACACATCTTGTTCAGTATGTTAATTAAACCTTGTCATTATTAGATTCAAAATTTTAATAATTTTTAAATTTTTTTCATGGAAAATGGAAGAGAACACAGCGAACAATGCGACAAATCGAGAAAACAGTGACAATATTCAATGTTTCAACTTTTCTCAATGTTTTGTTTCAGATTGGACGAGATCGAAGATGGGTCGAGGTGCAGCTTGAAAAGTGACTTGATTACTCATCCACGTTGCCATTTTAAATTTCACAATTCAGATCCGAAGGTATTGTTTGAGATTCTCATCGTCTTTCTTCAATCCCAATCTATTTTTGTTTCTACAGGTTGACTTTTTTTTTAATTGAATGAAGGGGCTAAGCTGCCGTCCTACCGAACAGTGGTAGGGCGGCACTTCCCTTTTATTTCTCTCTCACTTTCATAGACGTTAGAAATTAATAACGTTTCGAAGAAAAGACTGGTTTATTTCTACAATGAAGTGGGGAAATTACAAACAATTAGGTGGTGGATCGTAATGGTGAGAGTTGATAAAAACGGAGCCGACACATCAAGGAAGGAAAAGGGCTCCATGATTGATGGTTATGGGGGTTTATATGTGGTGCTGTTACAATCAATTTAATAAAGGATTGATAAGGATTACATCAGCTACCGGTAGTCCACGACTTCCGGTGGAGCTGATGTATTTTTATTGATTTTTTGTGATTGAACCTGATAGGATTTTCCTTTACACCTATCCCCCACAGGGCAAGATCGACCCTGATCGAAAATGATTCCTAAGAGCTTGCGGTTTTTTCGTCTTGTTCTAGTGTCTCGAAAAAAATGCTGGGAGTGTACTCGGGAAGGAGACAAGTGGAGAGCAGGAAATCTGCCCATCGTCACCGTCCTGCTAAGCCCATGCCGAGGCTCATCCAGTCATTTGAAAAAAATGGAGACAGCTGAAGAAGAATGAAAAAACGCAGTGCCGAAGGACGCAAAAGAATTTTGAGAAGGTTCGGTATTTCGGAAAATTGCCATAAAATTGGGAACAAGATTAAAAAAAATCTAGGTGTGAGACAATATCCGTAAAAATGTAATAATGAGGAGGAAAGAGTGGAAAAATGGGGGTCGGAAACAGCGGCCCATACGTTGGGATCGTGTGGGAAGAAAAAAAATTCGAACAAAAACGAAACGGACTCAGCTGATCAGATGGAGGCGAAGCGTGAAGCGTCCATGGTGGCGTTTTGCGATTCGATCTCTCTGATTATGCGGCTCCATGAGTAGACTGTTCTGCTGGCCGGAAGATCGCCGATGATGATGTTGACTTGTCTCGCTCGAGACAGCGCGACATTGATGCGGAGGTCATCTCTGGCGAAGTCGGACGGTGCCTTGTTCGTCTTCGTCAAGCAAAGGATGACGACTTCCTTCTGGTGTCCTTGGAAGCTGTCGACGGTGCCGATGTGGATGCTACCTTCCGTTGCACTGCGCTCGATAGAAGGTGATGATGCCGACCTGATCAGCGGGACATGCTGCAGTACTCGTGTCACAACTATCTTCGCGATTTCCACCTCACCCGAGTTCGTCAACGAGGTGCCGACCTGGAAACATGGCTCTGAATGGTCGATGAATAAGAAAATGGAAAGTTTTTGTTGGTCCACCACGTGGCCTGCTGCATAAAGGATGCGCGATCTTTTGGCTGAATGCGTGTTTGAAGTGTATTTCCATAAAACGCCTCCGAGAGGATGCGTGTTGTTACCGGATGAGTACGCCAAACATGTGTGAGTTCCACGATCGGAACTCTTTCTCCGTCGGTGAGCCAAAACAACGGCTCTCCGACTCCTACTTTTCGGATGGATTTCGTGTTTTTGGTGTGGGAAAATGGTGGTAGTTGGCGGAAATCGCCGACGAGAGCCAAGCGTGCAGCGGGAAAAGCTGCGTCCAAGGCTGTCAGTGTGGTGATGATCGGTATCTGGGACGCTTCGTCGATCTGTAACGTTTTTACCTCACCGAGATTCTTCCATGATGTTCGTAGGAAGAGGCTGTAGTGGCGATAATCCGGCGCGGTTAATAGCGCTTGATGAACAGGTTGATAGCGGCTTGCTCTGGATTCTTCACCGATTGTTTCCAGGCACGTTTGCCAACTGATGATCGTAACTCTTCCTGGATCAGAAGACAGAACTTAATCGCTGTGGCGAACTCTTCGTTGTGATCGGTACGTGTGTCATCGTTGGCATATTGCCCGTCCAATTCGAGAGCTAGATTTTCCAAATTTTGTCAGTACCGGGGTGTCGAATTCCATTCGTAGCGAATGCTGTAACGAGGTGTAATTTTTGTTTGACACTAACCTTATGATGTTGGCGTCTGCTGCTCGGATGGAAGCTGCTGCTTGTTGAAGGCTGTGGATGCCTAATAACACACATAGCTCGGAGCTGGCGACCTGGCGACCCCTGTGTCGATTAGGGCTAAAATATTAATGTTGTTGGCTTTAACTGGGATTTGAGCTGTGAAGTAGGTTTGTTGAGAATGGAGAGCGGGGATAATTGGTGTCTCCAGTATATCCGAATAGTCAATTGTGACCACTTTCGCTTCGTTATCTGGTTTATTTGCTTTTCTGAAAATTCGCAGCGCTAGAGCTTGAGATTGCTGTCGGGCAAGTGCCAAAAATATAATGATCAGTATGTATGAGCGTGTGTGTGTACCAGGGCTGTGCGGCAATGGAATTGCCGATTTTTCAAATTGCCGAATTGCCGGATTGCCGAAATTTTGATTTTCGGCAAATTTTATTGGATAACGTAACGGGCAATAAATAAAAAATATAATAACAACATAAAATGAGTAGTACGACGAGTTGCTTCGCTCCGACGGTGTCCTTAAATACGCCGAAAGTGGGCGTGGTTTGTGGGAGACAGTGATAAATGTCGTGGGCTGACGGATGTTGAGCTCGTGATATTGATGAAACAATAACGGATGTTACAGTTGATCTTGTGATGTGATGAAAAGTGATGGATAACGGTTGTGGTGGTGGTAGAATGCAGGCGATGTCAGGCGTGGGAGGTGTTAAAACGGCAACATGCTCAGACGTTGAATCATCCAATTCATATGGATGATATTGACAGGAAATTGCACGAACGATAACTGTACTTTGAGCTTGCACACTGATGTGAATAATTTTGCTTGATTTCGAAGTCGGTAACGACAAATATTGCGTGGGATGATATTTCTCACTACAGATAAGAAATATATTGGAGAAATATATTAAAAAAGGAAGGTCGTTCACGACACAGTACGTATGTTGTTATTATTATGCATACTAAAAGTGTCCAACCTTGGAAGATGCAGTGTGCGATGTCGAAAACTTTGTTCCAGGAAGATATAAGGTTCGATGCTTCATTGAATTTGCTCTCTCCATCGGATGAGAAGCGTTCCTGTTGACTATTTTCGTTAGGGTTTCTGTCGAACCCTCGGGGCGCTTCAAATTTCGTTGTAGTGTGTCGGGGTTATTGATTCGGATAGCGACCCGATCACCAGATTGTGGAAGATTGTCGGTTGAAACTTTGGGCCATCTGTTGAGATGTATGCCCAATTTGCGAATTTCTTGAAATTTTGGCTGGTAGTAATGTTGGTTTTTGCCTGGAACGAATTGATGCTGAAAAATGTTTCTTCGGCGATGAATTCGAAGTCTGTAGTCAAAGGTACTTTTCTGGCTTCGTTGGTGAGAATTTGGGAGATGGGATCGAAAAAGGTTTGGAGTGTAGTGTTATTCGGTAGGAAAATTCGTATGGCTGGTTTTGAATAGCATTCGTTTACGAATGGGACGATGCTAAATTCGGTCTGGTTGATTATGGAGCAAGATCTGATCGACAACGTATTGTGACCCAAAAAGGTGGCTTGTATGTAGATTTGTTTGGTTTAAGATTTCCCTTGCGAATAGTGAAGGTTGGCTGGCCGCTGCGGCGGTTGCTGCTGCGGACATGGCATTGAATGAATTGCACCAAGGTAAGAGTTGATGCGAGAACCATAAAGAGGAAGATTGCAAGATATCTGTTTCCAGAGCGAGCAATTGGGAGGCAAGTTGATTAGAAGAAACGAAATTTGTGAGATTCGCAATGGCAAGGGGTTCTGCGTTTCTTTTGTTTATTCTGGAGGTTGGAAAAGCGAAGTCTTGGTCTGTTACAACAAACGTTTTTCCGCAATCGTCGATTAGCGGGTTTGATCTATTGAATGATTGTGCGAATTCCTTATCTTCGCTCAGCCAAAAAATGGCAAATCAGAGTTCGATATTTTATGAATCGGCACGCTTGTGCTTTCATCGGCTTACAGATGAAGGCTGCGCCTTTCTTTTGGTTGTAAAAACCGTTGGCATATTCGCATCCTATCATTGCGCCTGCTGGCGATTCGGGATATTGTTGTTCAAAACGTGCGAAGACCTTGGTGAGCATTCTAAGGCAATTTGTGGTGCGCGTGGGGCGCGCCAACGAGGAAATTTGGCCAGTCGATTGTGTGCTCGTTTAGTGTTTTAAAAAGACCGTCTTTGAAAACTAGGTCACCGTAGCTGCATCGGTTGTGCTTAATCATCATATTACACTCTTCGAAAGGTACCATGAGTCGCTTTGAATTTGTTTCGTTGTACCTGGCACCAAAAAGGTTTACCGTAAAGTGTGATGTAGTTTGGACTACTTTACACAACGTGGCTTCTGAGGTGTAGGTGATGGAATTAGGTCGGTAGATTGATAATTTCATTTTTTCGGTGGGTGCGGAATTGGATTTCAGAGTTGAAGTGCAATCAATTCTTGAAGGAAAACGATAGAATGATTCGGGAGAACCAGGAAGGCACAAGAATATATTGAAGGCGAAGGATTGCGGCATCAGGCCGGCACTGATGGCCAGTAATAATGCAAATTTAAATTGACTTACCGGCCGAATTGTGTTGATCCTTGGCTGATATGCTCGGGCGAGCTGGTCGTTGCGGAGTATCAGGCGCAGCTGCGCCACCGTGTTCGTTGTGTTGGCTTCGGCTGGCAGTAAACTTTGCACATTTGGACGTTCGTGCATGTAAGCTGAAGATTGGAAGGCACGACGGCCTCCGGTTATGCCGTTGTGCGGCAACTGATGATTGGCTACTGGGTCGACTCGGGCATACTGTCTTTTCTTTGCCCAGCACTGGGCTGCGATGTGGCCTCTCTTTCCGCAGAAGAGGCAACTTAAGTCCCTTTTCTTTGAATTTGACCATCTGGTCGAATTACGAGTCGAACGAAAACGGTTGTATCTTTCGTTGGGGTTTCGGCCCTGTAAAAAGGCCACAGGGCATCACCTGTGGGTTTACGGTGTTTGCCCGTGCCGCTTCTTGAAGTAAAATTTCATACCTGACTGCCAGCGTCTGAGCTTCTTCGAATGTTTTTGGATTTCCTGATTTGACGTGGAATTTCACGTAGCGTAGACCATCCAGAAATGCTTCGAGGGCTTTGGCCCTGATATGTGGTGTCTGGCCTGGTTTCCATTTGTTCTTCGACTCGATCTCTTGCTGCTTCTGTGAGATATGTCAAGAGGAAGTTGCTCTTGTCTTCGTCTGACAATTTGGGTTTAATTGTTTTTTTGTTTAATTGTTGCTTGATCGTTGAAAGAGCGTAAGAATGAAGAGAAATGTTCCGAAGGTGCTCCGCTGAAAGCATGGACCTGGGTTCCTGGTCTCATACCCGGAGTGGCAATATTAATTCTTGGTGTGCTAGTTGTTAAACTACCAATAAGGTTATGCAAGTTACGTATGACCTTATGGGTAGTTTCGAAGTCGTTGACGCAAGCGTCCCGAAGTTCGCTTGCGCTCCTTTGATCGCCGTGTTATCGGCTAATCGCGGGAACACGCGTGACGTTGCGAGATGAAAAGTAGAAAGGTCTGTCAAGCTCTGAGTTCTTGACATCTGCAAGGCGTTGGTAGAAATCTTGCGTTTTGCGTTAAAAAAAAATTTAAACAAAAATGTTAAACGGGGTTCGCCACGATAAGGGTGACTGAGGAAAACGAGGCTGCACGGGGGTGACTCAGCTTTTGTTTATGATTAGCGACGAATCGTGGGCTGATGAGAGATTTTAGAGAAAGCCAACGCATATGTCTTATTGCAACTATGCGCGGCTTTTTCTCATTACAAAAAATGTTTTTTCTTTGAACTGAATTGGGAGATTGAGACAGATGTCCAGCTTTTTGTGCGGCTCCATACGCACCTTCTTGTTGCTTCACTCTTTTTTTGTTGCAACAAAATAACCTGCCTGTGCCGGTGATCGGCTCGGTAAATTTTGTTTGTTGGGTCCCTTGACCCGCGCGCCGCTATATCGGCTATGCATGCAACACAAAAATAATGGGAAATTACACTAAGTATACTAAACTAAAGGCCTTTTCTCGCTCACGTTCGCTCTCACACAATGGCTCTCTTGCCTCCTTGGACTCTCAACTCGCTGCTACCAGTAAAGGGGTTAAGCTGGCGTCCTACCTCTGGTAACTCAAAACCAATCGGATCCGACAAAAATCGACTCCGGAATCAACCTTATCCGATTGGTAATTCTACGGATAAGATTTGAAAATTGTCGTATCCGATTGGTTTTTTGGGTTTTTTCGGATCCGATTGGTAATTTGTCAGATCCGATTGGTAATTCTACGGATAAGGTTGGATATTTGTCGAATCCGATTCGAATTGAAATATTAAAACAAAACGGATTCAAATAATTACCAATCGGATTCGAAGAAAATCGAATCGGATACGACAAATTACCAATCGGATCCGAAAAAACCCAAAAAACCAATCGGATACGACAATTTTCCAATCTTATTCGTAGAATTACCAATCGGATAAGGTTGATTCCGGGGCCGAATTTTGTCGGATCAGATTGGTTTTGAGTTACCAGAGACCGAACAGTGGTAGGGCGGCACTTCCCTTTTATTTCTCTCTCACTTTCATAGACGTTAGAAATTAATAACGTTTCGAAGAAAAGACTGGTTTATTTCTACAATGAAGTGGGGAAATTACAAACAATTAGGTGGTGGATCGTAATGGTGAGAGTTGATAAAAACGGAGCCGACACATCAAGGAAGGAAAAGGGCTCCATGATTGATGGTTATGGGGGTTTATATGTGGTGCTGTTACAATCAATTTAATAAAGGATTGATAAGGATTACATCAGCTACCGGTCTCCCACGACTTCCGGTGGAGCTGATGTATTTTGATTGATTTTTTGTGATTGAACATGATAGGATTTTCCTTTACAATTGTGTAAATTTCACCTATTTTAGAAACCATCAGATTTATTAGGCGACAATACTTGTTCAACTCATACTCCGATGATGTGTGATGTAAAGTTGGAATGAAATTTGCCTATTTTATACTAATTTTTGTTTTCAGCTGTCCTTTGTTATTGGAAATGTCTTTAAATCGACACAAATCGCAAATCTCTGCATTCATCGATGTCGCAATATTGAACAATTATTGGTAAGTTTATCAAGAGGTTTTAAATTGGAATTTTTTATCCCGTTCAAAAATCTCGATATTAGGTTTTGACCAAAAAAATTCGAAAAGTTTTAAAACAAACTATTGACAATCATTCAAAATGGGCGGTTTCCTATATTTGAAAAAAAGTATTCATTACTAGCATTACATAGAAAAAATCGAATATTTCACATAGTATTAATTGAATGCCAAAAATTGTTGCATCACTGTGCTCTTAAATATCGCTATTCATTTCTTGCTGAAATACATTAAATAATAATTTTGAATCTTTTTAGGAAGATTCGAACCACAAAGATCGATGTTGTCATCGGATTCAAATCAACTTGATTTTCTTTTAATCGTTTTCTTTAATTTTTTTATTCGTCTTTTTTTGTCATACTTTTTTAGCAAGCTTACTGGTTTGGTTAGTCTCTATTAATTTAAAAACGGGTACAGCAAGTGGGAAATCTTTAAAAAGTGTTCTACCCTTTAGACGGTACCACCGGTAAGTCTTTCTGTTAACGCCGTTATTCAAATTTGAACTTATTCATCGATTCGAAAAGGGCGGCCCGGCAAAACTTTTACCCTCGCAGTACGACACTCCAATTACGCACTGCCCTCAACTTAGCGTGTCGGGCGGGCTACACTTTTATTTCGACTAATTGAATTTTTTTCTCTTTGTCCCAAATTGTTCTGCGGGTTACCTCATACCAAAAAGTGTCTTATGTTCGTCAAATCGAATCGTTGAGTATTTATTGAACTTTAGTTTTTTGCCGAATTTTATATTGTTCAGCAAAATTTTATTTATTTTTTGTCTTGAGAAACCTTTCGACAATTTTTTTCTTTGATTATCCGCGCTGCGGTACCAACATTCGCACTGTTTATGTTAAAATTTGGCTTCAACGGCCCACAATTAAACAAACTGCACTTTTTTTTGCAATAGCAATATATCGATCTTGTTATCAATTTAAAATTTTATTGGTTGGCGCCTAAACTGACACGCGTCGTCATGTGGGCATGATTTTCGAAAATATTGTTGTCTTATCGCGTTGTTGCCTGTTGCCTTTTCCACCTGGGTTCTCCTTTCCTCTGCGTCTTTCGCTAGGGACGCTACATTCCTCCGCATTTGAATGCCGTCGACCACTCGCAGCACGTTGCTCTTTCTTTCTTTTCAAAAGTTTCTTAATTTTTTTCAACTATTTCTTATTTGCAGGGTATCACCTGAGCACACATCAGAAAGGGGAATTAACCGGCCATCGAGGCTGGTTAACGTGTTCATGGTGCTGTACATGGATCCACCTCATCTGACTTGCGGTAATTATTCCAAGGTAATTCTGGAAGAAGTATTAAATATCAATTAAATAGTTTTCAGCCACGGTAACCATGTGACCGTGCAAGATCATACATCGATGTTGGAAGAGATCTGGGTGATAGACCGGGGAATGCTGTGGCAATGTGTCTCAACACGTAGAAGTATGTGACGTCAGATGGAGTCGAATTCCTCCAGCGACATTGGACGATCCATTGATGTACTACATCGACATGAAGGATTGAACGGCATTTGACACATTTGATTGTTCGCTTCTACTCGCCCCCTAGAATTGCCGACTTTTCCTGTTGAACGTTGCTGATCCGATTCCGACGCTTGATGGCGGACTCGAAAATTGGAAGTTTATTTCAAGAGATTGGACGCCGCTGGGACCATTGAGCAGCAAGGAAGATCCCTGGTCGCTCTTCAGGAGAGCCAAGCCTACTGCTTTTTTTTCGGCGGAATAGATGATCTTCTAGATCGTCTAGAGCCAGTCAGAAATCTTACTTTTGATTGGACTCTGGGAAATGGTCGTAATCGTATGCGATTACGGAAATATTTACCAGAGGGAAATTGAAAGTTTATTTCAAATGATTAGGCGCCGCTGGGACTTTTCAGCAGCAAGGAAGATCCCTGGAAGGCGTTCAGGAGAGCCAAGCCTACTGCTTTTTTCCTGCGGAATAGTTGACCTCGTCAAAGGCCAGTCAGAAATCTTACTTTTGATTTTCGGCCAAACATCCATTGAGAAGCTGTATGATTTTCTTCATTTTAAAATTGTAATGTTTGTATTGTTTTGTGTTTTGATTGTGCCGACAGTAGGCGACATTCGATTCAAGAGTGTGCTGCTATCCCATTGATGGAGAACTATTGGAATGAAATTGAGGGAACAGTGGTTCGGAATGCATCGAATTTGTACCTTGGGGTCTTTGACCCTTTGAGGTCATTCAGGCGTTCTGTTTTACTGATTCGAATTTCGGATTCCAGTTGTAGTATCGGTTGCTCAAATCGAGAAGGCTCTATCGAAATGAGAAGGCTTCCACTTTTGAATTCGGCATTCTATTGTAAAATCCACCAATTGACGTTACCTTGACAATTTATTTGTCGTTTAATTTGTGGTGCGGCGCCATCTACTCATAAACTTTATTATTTGCAATTGTTTAAAAAATTAAAATGGCAAAGTATAGTTAAAAGCTACAAAATCGTGGTAGAACATTCGAACAAGAAGCTCCATAAGGTAGGGGCTTTGAAGAAGTCGTTTTTGGATGAATTTTGTTGCCTTCGAATCGACGGTACTATGAGCTGTCCGACCGGTGGAAAGAGCGTTCTCTATATAGCGAAGTGACGATTCAGGTACCTCAAACAACTTGTCTCCTAAATAAGAAGGTTTAAAGTACCTCGTGTTTCCGAAAAATCTTGAACAACTCGTCAGTAATCGGCTTTGAGGTATTTGAAGTATACGGTATGAATGTGAAGTTCTTAAAGAATCGAAAAAGGTCACATCGCCTGAAATGAGGTAAGATTGATGAGAAGAAGTGGAATTGTTACCAAGATTGTGGGAAAAAATGGCGATCCTCGAAACTTTTTTGAAATTTTCGACTTTCCGCTTCGCTTCGCATTCGCTGAAATTCGGTTTGCAAGAAGCATGTCAGGTTCATTTGGCATCCATTGCAGAATTCCTTCTTGACGGGTTTTCTAGAAGCGGTCGACGATTATGTTGAATTGTGTGAAGATGAATGCAACCTGTAGCATTTGTCGACAAATCCCGAAACGAATCGCTCAATCGGATGTCGCGTCAGCATGATGTGAGTCCATCCGGAATTGTTGGCAAGCTTCAAAAAAAATGGGAACGTGTTTTTCAATAATTTTCGAAACTTGATGTCTCTTAAACAGCCCGTTCAAACTGCGAAACTCGTTTTTGCGTTCGCACAGTCTTATAATCTTCCAATCTCTGAGAATATCGCGATTATTGTTGATGAATCGCGTCTCGTTTGAAAGATAGCAAAAAATTGACGTCATCAGTGTTGACATCGACTTTTGAACAACGCATGCCGATAGTTTGTATTGGGCGGCTTCCTGAAAAAAAATTAAATTGGGGGTTTTTTTCAATTCAATCAATCGCAAACTCGAATTTCGCCCTCAAAATTTTTAAACGGCGGTATACAATATGAAGTGGAGCACATTTCGATTGCTGTCATGTTTGATGCCCGATTTGGTAGCAGCTATAAAAAAACTGACGGTCATTCTTTGGGTCGTATTTGAGATATAGAAAAAACCACCCACATGAATATTTTTTCGTATAAGCTGATCAATATTCTCTAATCGTTTTTTCGACATTTGCTCTTCATATTTCAATACTCGATAATACCATGGAACCCTTTTCGGCGGTTGTGGTCCATCTCAAAAACTGATTAGTTAAAGGCGCACAGTTTCATTTTGACTTCGTGGTTTTCTAGAAATTCGCCCAATTTCAAACGCCAAACAACTCACATATTTTCTCGATCAGCAATTGTGCGCAATTTTGACACGGAATTGAATCGAAATGCACATGATTGATTAGAATAATTAATAAAAATGTCGAAATATAAAACGCGAATCGAATAAAAGTAGTGCGATGCATAATAATTGTCTCGCCGGTTGTGGCGGATTACAGCGAGTAGGTTTGAATCTTTCAAAATCGTTTTTCATTTTTATGATTCAGATGGTGGCTGCATGGAAAACTGATACTGATGTGTACCAGAATAAGACAAGAAATTGGAGAAATGGAACGATTTATTGCATGGCGGAAGATCCGGGAAGTGGTGTCGAAGGTGGTGGTTTGGTGAATGCAATCGCCTCGCGATTGATCAAATCGTTTAGAAGCTAAACTAATTTTTCAAGTCGCACTCTTTGAATGAGAAATGCTCACATTTGTTGTTTTAGTATACGATTCGTCTTTTCCCGAAACGAGTCCAATTTGGTGGCAGAATTGAAAAACGGTGAGAAGCGACGAGTAGAAGTCTTGTCGTCGCGAGCACGCGCCATAACGCCGCTTACGAATCTCGACCCAAGTGTCCATCGACGAGAATTTGCCGGTTTCGAGTATTTGGCGACACATCATCGCGCTGGCGACGAACGCCGCGCAACGTCGTGTTCCGGCCTCGCCATGAACTAGAACCGTCGTGTTGTAGCCCTCAATCGCGTTCGTCTCCTCGCAAGCCCACATCACCTCGAGGGCAACCGAATGCATTCGAGCATTCCTTGGTCCGGACGCCTTAAACAGAAACCACCAAATTATTGAATCGCGTTGGATGGTTTAACCGGAGTCGGACAACAAACGATATAAATCATTCTCGCGGGACCCGGCGCGCGGAACGAAGACAACTCGCATTGGTACACAGTGATGCCCTGCTTCTCATTGAACACATTCAATGTTTTCATAGTATAACGGAAAAGACTCTGCAAGACGTTCGCCGATTTGCATTGAGAGCCAACGTGCTCGTCGAACCGTATATTTTCCGCCAACGGCCACATCGAAATACTCGCCGGTGTCTTCCGGTGTCAGCATTGAGACAATCGTACGCACATTGTAAATCCAAAGAAGGTGCAGAAAATCGCCGAGCGTCTCGCTTATCGGCTTCTTGAACATTATTGCCATTAAATTGAGAAGAGGTTTTTCGCGACGAACCTGTGCAATTATAAAATTGCCCCATGGCGATCGAATTGTGTTGGCGTGCACGTAGAACTCGTGATCTTTGGGATCAAGAACCTCATCATAATTGGCAACATTGTTGAATCGACTTTTCTGGAATCGAGCATTGTTGAAGCTCAACATGGAAAAGCTTACACAGGCGTTCGAAAGGAATCGATGAATCGTGCGCTCGCTCGAATCGAACTCTTTTATGTCTTTTTTATATTTCGCCTCTTTTCTTGTCGTCTGAGAATGCACGAATTCATCGACGGTTTCCGCATCAATCATCGCTTGATATCCATTATCGCTGAAAACGCCCAGAAAAGAGGCATCGCAATCCGAAATTCGACCTACGCGGTCACCGTTTTGACACCCGGCGGAGTTGGTGCAGTCATGTTCAGTTGGCGTACAAAAGAAAATAATTAATGACTGAGAATGGCTAGCGAAATTTCACGTGAAAAGAAATATATAAGAATTTATTCAACAAGGTTCAAATCAATTTTTTAATTATGCATGATTGGCTACCCTTTGGGAATGCATTAAAAATCACATTAAAAAAAAGAAACGGGAAAAACAATTCAAAAAAAAACTGGGAAAGAGGGGAGGATTCTATTTTTCATCAGCAAGTTTTTCAATGATCTTCTCAACCTCATCCTGCGTCGGCGTTTTGTGGATAGCTGAAGAGAGCTCGTGTCAATGGAACCGATAGAAGCTATTGGAAATTTGCGCCAACCTCCGTCTAACAAGAGGGTCTCAATCAGAGTTGCACGGAACTTAAATTTTCTAAAAACGGAACACGGAACGACTTTTTGGTGACATAAAAAATAATTTATTAAAACCTAGTCCAACCCGAATACTGAAATTCACTTTTTTTTTGCGGAACACGGAAAACGGAACCCGGAACAAATTTTTTTCTACGGATCACGGAACAGATTTTCTTTGGAAACGGAACGCGGAACAGGAAAATTTCACGGAAAACGGAATTCCGTGCAGCTCTGGTCTCAATGATATCGCTTCTCACTTACCATCGTTCGACACCGCCGCAGTGAGCGGCGTTTTCGGCGGCGACGGCAATGGCGTCAATGCTCCTTTAATGAGTGTCGCGAGGAAGTTGTCAAATTGGCTGAACATTATGCTATCGTGCAATGTTTCCAATGATCGGAGAGGTGGCCAGAATCGCTTGATCTCTAAAATCAATTGAGTAGTGGTGAACAATTGAGGCGGTGAGAAATGGACCTCCAACCGAAAAATCGTCGGTTTCATATGTCATGAGTCTCGGAGCCGACGAGCTTCTCGCAATCACTGCCGTCGAAAGGACCGCTGTTCCAGCACCAAAATCTAGAATCAACGATTATTCTTATTGGTTCGAGAATGCTGGCTGGTGTGAACCTTTCTTTGTTTTATTCTTATTCTCATGATCTCCAAATTTTCCATTCAACACATCAGTGCTGATGAGTCGATTATTGATTTTCGCATCGCGCGACATTCCTAAAATTGATAATGACATGTTTCCGATAATACAATCATCAAGATTTTCAGATTCGATTTTCAAACAAACAGACAGTCGACAAGAACGACAAACGGTTGTCAGAATATCTTTGACGAATGAAAATTTAAAAAAAAGTGGACTAGACCTGTTAGCAACTGAGCTGTGTGATGTTTGAATCTATACGGGAAGTAACGTCGAGCTAAAAAAATTCAACATTGGTTTTCAATTATTTTCAGGAATGAAAAACAAAATTTGACAAAATAAATTGTGTCTCAAAGCTGCTTTTTCTGTAGAAGTTTGGCACAATGCAAATAATTGAAAACAAAACGCGATTAGAAGGGTCTCGACACGAACAACGAACATCGACGATATGCAAAACGTACATTTCTCCTCGACGACCTGCTCGGAAACGATGAACGAGCCACGCATGCCTACCACAAAAATGGTTTTAAAGTACACCATGATTGGAATTTGGTTGTCAGACGTTTTGGTAGCTCACACCACAATAATTAATATTCAAGAAGCTCACATCGACTTTGTCGATCGCTCAGCGGCTCTTCTTCGACGACCGGCTCCACCTCTTTGATCGAGTTCATCGCCAACGCGCGTTTCGTCTGATCCAGCAAATCGGCAACCCATTTGCCTTTTCCCGGCCCAACCGTTTCTTGGCTCTCCACACACGTCTCATTGTCGTTGGAGCCGACGGAGCCCTGAGCACACGAGCGGTGACGGTCATGTCGACGCAAAAGCCTCCCACGACGGGCCTCACCTGACTATTGCTCTTCGCGACGCCCGTTATCCATTCGCCGTGCGGTTTGTCGCCTTCCTAAAAGAAAGCGAAACGTGTTAGGTGTGCACGACACAGCACGATGTTTGAAACTACCTCCATCGATTTCTCGGCGCCCGTCACACTTCGTTGACGCTTCGACGACTTGTCATCAGACGCTATAAAAAAAAACAACGATGGTTAGACATGGAAGAAATGAAAATGTTGAGGTGTCGGTCGAGAATGACAGTTTTTAAGAAAAGGTCACAGACAATACAGAAACGGAGGGGCAAAGAAAAAACGATTGGTGAGTTGAGCGGCGAATCGAACCTGGCGAAATCTTACGAATTTTCGACGAGCTATTCAATTCGTCCAACGCGACGAGATTCACCGATTCCACATCGTTCAAATCATCTTCCGAATCGTGTTGCGTCTTCGATGACGAACTCAACAATCTGAATGTGGGTGTCGGATTCATGAGAAATGACAATTCAATGTGATACCCATTCTTCTCAGCGACCACATCCGAGCAGCTACTCACTGAAACCTCGTCGTTCGTCGGCGTCGGTGTATTCAGATGCGTCGTCATGGTGATCGGAGAAATCTTCTCCGTCGACAATTTTCTCTTCTCCAATCCCGAATTCTGATTGCCACCTTCTGTTGCACATTGCTTGCTAGTTGCTCCAGAATTACTCGACGACGATGTTTTACTTCCACCAAGACTGAAATGACCACTCTTCTAATATCGATTTGTATATCGGGATGACATACTTGAATCGATTCTCATAGATCCTCTCTTTCTCCGTCAAGAAGCACGGATAGAGACCCGGCGAGAAGAGCAACTCGATATGGAATCGATGGCTCTCGGGAACGTCTGGCCGACTATCCTCATAAACCATCATCACCACCTGAGTCATATAATTGAACTCGGTGACACCGGAAAGAAAATTCATCGCGCGTTGCCATTTCTTATCGTCAACCTGAAACGATGGAGTTCGTCGAATCGGAAGAATCGTCTCTCACCGAGCACAAGTTGCCATATCGAATAAGATTCATGAGGGTGTGAATATGCGATTCACTGGTGAAGTAGAGTCGCGTTCTGACATGCCTCAACGGCGTCGCTATCCCTTGCGACGCCCTCGGATCAAGCCGCGTCTGCGTCTCGCCCTCTTCGGTGTTCTCAAGACATCGATGAAGATCATTGCGTATCTTGCGTATCAATGGTGTGCACACTCGTTGGGCAATGATCATTTTGCTCTCCTGCTTGATGCCATACTCCTGTGGAACGACGATGTCGGCCATATTTTTGACGCAAAGGTACATTCGCTCGAATTCCATCTCGTTATTGATGCAGAGGTCGGGATTGTGCTCCATGTCATATTTGATGTTGTCGTAGATGTCGGGAATTTTCGAGATGTCGAACTCGATCTCGCCGTTCTTGTTCTTCACACGAAATTCGCGAAGCTCTTTGTTCCATCGCCGCTCGGCCAAATCCATCGATTCTTGCAAATAGAGTGTCGCGCCTTCAAATCGACAGATTCGAGGCAACGCGAAATCGAAATTGACGAACCTGGCTTATTCTGCGAGTATTCTTTGATGACGCCGCACATTTTCTCGACGTAGCCCGCAATTTCGTGGCACATCTTTCGCGGATTCTTGATGAACTCCATCGCGTTCGCTATCGCTCGCAAACCGTTCGGATTCAGCTCGGCGTAGTCTTGCGGTGTGAACTCGCGGTCGGCTTGAAGCGCTTTGTGCAAATACCGTTTGAGCTCCGTCTGGTAGAGGCGAGCCTGACAATCATCGTCGAGAAGGCCATCAGTGTTCGCCGATTTCACCATCTGAATTTCACACACATTTTTTTTAGGGAGGCGCCTTTAAAGCGGTCTCGCGACGAATCATTTTGTAAATGGTTGATGGTCTCACGCGGAGAAGTATCGACGCGTGGTGAGACCCTTAAAGGGACAATTCAGAGCAAATTTTTCAACGCCGCAAATTTCAATGTAAACGGGCACTCAAAATTTTCTCTGCGTTCTGTGCGATCTACCTGCATCAGAATCGGCGTCAACTCGCCTTCCAAGGCGAGAAGCCCTTTGGCGAACGCCGCCGCCGTCGTCTGAACTCTCCCCTCATCGGAAGCATAGATTTTCAGATCATGTCGATACGTTGAATGCAATCGAAGGAATCCAAGACCCTAGAATCTGCGTCAATCATCTCGACGATTTTTTTCGCGCATACCTGAGTGTCTTCCGGCGAGCTCTTCCCATCGGTTCGCCGGATTCCCGGATAGAGTGTTCGAAACAATCGACCGAGCGCTTCCGCCTGCATATTGCCGGCCGTCGTCAATTCGCCGCCCCATTTGAGAATCAATAGCAACGCGGGACCCTGATGGCGAATCTCGTCCTCGCTGATTTTCGTCTAAAACGTTTTTGCGAAACGCCGAAACGGGCTTCTTCAAACCTCGCGCTCCTTCAAATATTTGAGTTGAACCTTGCGATTGATACCGGAAAAGTGTCCGTACCTAAATTGCGAAACATTTTCACAACTCCATTGTGCTTATTTAGAACACCGAATCACCACTATCAGCCATTCATCATGCAAAGCTTTATTCGAAAATGATACAGATATATACAAGCCCTTAATTCTTTTGTATTCTTTGTTTGTTTTTTTTTTGATTGTGAAAAGGGCGATTAGTGGTCCGAGTGGCATGCAATAGAAAGCATAAATAAATATGGCAAAAAATATATATAGAAATTAGTGATTTAAAATTAATCAAAAAGAGAACACCCGTGCAATGGAAACGAAAACAGAGAGATAGAGAGCACAACATCAGATCTCACTGCACGAAACGTTGAATGCGTACATTTCAAGGACGGTTCTCATCTGCTCCCATTTCTTCGCCTCCTCTTCGCAAGCTTCAAGCTCATGCTCAATCGAACGCGTCTCTTCCTCGTTCTCGCATTCCTTCAACTTCTCAAGCAACTTGTTACGATTTTGCTAAAAACAAAACAAAAAAGAAACATTTGCAATACAATTGAGTCAAACAAAACCTGTTTCTCGGCGACCAAGGATCTCGCCAATTCGAGAACCTCCATCAGCTGATTCGGCTTCTTCATCTTGATCTCATTCTTCTTGTAGCCGTCGTACTTCTCAAAAAGCTCGAAGAATCGCTGATCGGTCACAATCAGCTTCATCTTCTGCTTTGGTGTTCGATCGCCGTGTCGTATCACAGCCACCACACATCTCAGCTCCATAAGCTTTCCACTAGGCGTGTTAACCAACGGAGGATCATCTGCATCCAAATTTTTAATGTTTTTATTGTGGGCGTCTCGCGATTGCAGAAAATTGGCTAATTGCCAGAAAAACCATGACAGCGGTCTTGGCGCAAAACTAAAAGTGTCGATTTACGAGCCTAATGCATAAGGATAGATTAAAAATTTTCCGCCGTCGCGACAATATATATATAGTTAATTGTTTAATTACCTCCAAGACCCAAATCAAACAACGGCGGCGGCGGCACAATCTGATTCGGAATTTTCATGTGCAATTTATTGGCCAATCGTCGAATAATCATGTTTCCTAAGATTTTGGCAGTATCCTAAAACAACATCCATCAAATATTTTTTTTTAATAACCCAACTACCTCATAATATTTTGTTGAGGTTTTAACAAACGAGAAACCATTGACGTCGCACACGTATGACTTTCCGTTGGCTCGTAGTAGATCAAACCCGCAAACGGTTTGCTAAATAAGGAATTTAGGCAAAAAATTCGGAAACGAACGATGTTAAATTACCCCAAAAGCTGTGACAACCTTCTTCGCAATCGCTTTTTCCTTATTACTCAGTATTACAGGATATCGAACTTCCTTGCCATCAGCGTCTCGTTCTACCTATAAATTAAACGCCACATTTATTTCCTTGTTTGGGAGGGAAGAGAAACAAATGCTTATTATGCGATAACCTATCAATCAGTTCAATTTCTATGTATAGTTCCTGGTTTACGCGAATTCAAATAAAATTCGTATTGTCAAATCCTGGACGATTTTAATGATGATGCCCAAGGCCAAGGGATCGGAAACCTCTTCCAACCAACCGAAGAAGGTTCCGAAAGGGACCGAGATTTTGTCATGACACAGATAAACGGCGGCATAGGCACAATGGAAGCATAGTGGAACGGCTGTGGATATCATAGGAATCTTATATGCAAGTTATATGGAAGCATAATGGAAGCATTTTTTTGCGGAACCGCGTGTTTCGTATATGGAATGAGCCGTATGCCTTCCATATGGGAAAATAAGAAAACAATTTGATTGCTGTATTCAAAATTTATTTCATATTAACACATTTATTTAATTTAAAATAAAAAAAAAACAACAATGAAATGAATTTCAATTAAGATATAATCAAACCATTAGTTACTGGCAACTGCCGAACTATTCGAATCATTGTCAGTACTGACATCGAGCGGGACGCTGTAATAAGTAGATTATAATGGGCCTATTAATTTGAAAAACTTGTAAACCATTGTTACGTAAACTAAATTTTTCGAGAAAATACAATCAGTTTTTTTACATCAATAATTTTCTTAAAAATAAAAATAATTTATTTTTATTGCATTTTTGGAAACCCTTTAGTGCACAAAATAAAAAGTGAATTGGCGGAAGAAAGAACAACTCCAAAATTTGAAGCAAAAAGGCATTTTGGTTAAAATTTCAAAGACATATGAATACTCACATCTGAGGGTTGCTGGTAGAATCAAGCAGCTTCCTTAATTGCGCCGCGAGCGCTTCCGGCGCTACACCAAATTTCCTTTGAAGTCGTTGGCGCATTCTATCGCTTAATCAAATAAATAAATTAATAGTCATAGTTCAAAATCTTACAGAAGATTATCCATGACTTCTCGAACCATGCGTAATGCTTTCGCTTTGAAGTCATTTGTCGGTTGTTGCCCAAAGCCATGGATAAGAGCATCTGTAATATAGATATTTGCAATAAAGTATAGGATCTTTATATAGTCGGCGTCTGGCGACTTCTGTACTAGAGCCCCACTTAAAAAGATAAATGCCACTGAATGATATTGGTACGAAGGCTGTACGGCAATCGGAAATTTCGGCGATTCGGCTAATGGCAAATTACAGATCGAAATTTTCTTCGGCAATTTGAAAAACCGGCAATTTCGGCAATCGGCAATTCCATTGCCGCACAGCCCTGATTGGAACCAAATAATCAACAAGCTTTAAACTTAGGAAGTACTTTATAAAGGCTTCATTGCGCATATTTTTCTAATTGAAACCATTTCTGGAGTCGAACAGGCCAATTTTTGATGATAACAACTTACAAATTGGGCGTACGAAGGTTTAGGAATTGGCGTTGATTTTGTTGTTTGTGAGGACTGTGGAGAAAAATTTTTTTGCTGAGTTGGCGAGTAAATTGGACTATCTGGATCTGAAGTGTCGAGCGAATTTGGTTCCATGTTAGGGACTTCTGGTTCTTTGTTATTGACTTCTAGAGCAGTTTCAGTTATATCTGACAACACTCTCGATCTTGTCTTCATCTGTAAAAAATTTCAAAACATTATGTTTTATTAAAAGAAAAAAGCGAGCGATAATAAAAAATATGTTAAAGTAAATAAAAATAAAACGGATTCGATGAGAAATTAAACACAATTCGATTGAGAAAATATTTAAATTCGATTTTAAAAGTGTCGGAAACGATTTGAAAACATCGTATCGATTTTAAAATTTTCGAATGCTATCAATTTATTTTTGGTTTCGATTTTGATGATAAATATGAAAATTTTTCCTTTATTTTTTAAAAACATTTTTCCTTTAATTTTGAAAAAAATTCTTTAATTTTTGACAAAAAAAAAACACAAAAAATCTTGAAAATTCATTGAGAAAAAGCAAAAGGACAAAAATTTTGAAAACGAATTTCGAAAATGTGAGGCGTGGCCGCATTGTGCAAAGCGGCGCACGGTTTTGCAATGCTGCGGCACGCCTCTTCTACGCGCGTCTGCTACCAGTTTGGAGCAAATTGTGAGTAGTTTGCGATGCCAATTTCGGAAAAACCGGCAAAAATATATTAATACGACTAAATTGTAGTTGGCAATCTTTAAACAAAGTGAGGAACAGTTGACTGAATTAACATAAATCTGAGTAACATAAGTCATTAAATGGTAGAAGCTAAATTTCGTCCGTTGTGTATCATGTAATTTTCAAATTTTCATTGTTTATATGATAGCATAAGTTTTTTGTATTGATTTTTCTAGAAATTGTCTTGGTCTGCCGTCCAGACGCCAATTGTATAATGTTTATTGACATATGATTATTTTATCCATATTCCATCCATATTTGTTCCACGGCTCGCAAACACCGGAAGCATATTCATCCCGTTTTCATTCCATCCATATTCGTCCCATAATTCTTCCACAGCCACTAAGAATTACATTATGCTTCCTATATGGAAGCATTATGCTTCCGTTCCACAGATTTCCCACAATGCTTCCATTATGCTTGCGTCGCGCTTAATCAGTGGATGGACTATCTCTTGGTGCTTTCCCAGAATTGCTAGAGGGTGGAGAAATGGCAAAATTCACACATATTGAAATATTTCTTCCTGGTCGCTGCGAGACCGAGAGGCCGCAATTTCCACGAGTTGATAACAGAAAAAAAGCTGATAAGAGGACAGGCTTTAGACAAAAGTGGCTCAATCGAATGCGTTCTTTGTGCGTGTTATCAAACCTTTCCATCGAGACCCGGTGCCTTCCTCGCCTCGGCGTGTGCGTAATACGGCCCAACCGCGTACACTTTGACATCAGTGCCGTCAGCGGGAATGAATTCCTCATAAATGTAGCTGCCGTCTTTGCGGACCTCGCTCAGCGGCGAATACCAGCTACTCCGATTGTTGATCTAGAAATCACGACAATATTAGTACGAAACATTTTGGCGCATTTTCCCCCCAAAAAACACACAGACATATTTTTTGTTTAAAACACGCCCGGGCAATGTGAGTGTCAAAAAAAAAGAGAGAGAGAGAGAGGAACCCTGTTAAATGGAAAAATATGGGTAAACGAGTTGTTGTTGTTGTTGTTGTTAAGTAAGCGGAAAGAGAAAAAATGTACATTTTTCATCACACTCACATGCCACGATTTGACCGTCTTCCCTTTGATTGACATCGTGCCCTATAATTAGCATAATTTCAGCATGGTCGATGCCTTATTATTTTTAGTTTCGCCGTTATATTCGCTTTCATTTTTTTTAATTTGGTTATTTGGGGTTCGTTTTATTTCCGTTTAGTTTCACTTCAATTAAATTCGATCAAATTTGACGTCTACATCGTCATTTCGCACCTTTCGGAACAATCTTTGCGATCCGCCGCCGACGCTTGATGGGTAATAAATGTAGACGTTGTGGTCTTCAGCGGAAAGGGGCTTCTCGACGAATGGCTTATTGAAAACCTCGCCATTGACTTCGATATGATCGGCGTGCTCCACCAAATGCGTATCTGTCATAAAAGCTATAAGAATTGCTCAGAACATTCCAGCAAATGCACCTTTCTCCTTGTCCGAATTTCGAATAACAACTCCATGTCGGGGATGCTCGATTCCGTGATGACTGAGGATCTTGAAGACCGTTCGACGATTCAGCTGGAATTCAAGCATGAAAGCTTTTCAATGTCGCAATTAGATTACCAAATCATATTGGCGATTCAGATCATTGATAACATAGGGATTTCTCAGCTTCACATATTCAATAGCCTATAATATCCCATCGTATTACAAGAAATTTTCAAGAATCTCTTCTTCGTACCTTGTGCAATGGGAAATCGGTCGAATGGAATGAAATCAGACAATGACACATTGGCCAGTTCTCGACGGACTCATTGAGAATGACATACTCGGGAAAAATGAAGAAATCGAGCCAATCTTCATAGAACTCAACGATTTTCTTCATGATTGCCTTCATTGGTTTGCTTGTCGCTTTGCGATTCATCGCGCATATCCCAATGAGAATCTGCAGCAAAATTTTCGAATCGCAAACTTTTTCAAGATTGTACCTTGGCTTTTGACGTCGAGCATGTTGAGGTGTTCTTTTCTTTTGCAACCAGATCTGGCATTTCACATCTAAATGAGAGAATCGATAATCGAAACCGGAAAGTGATTAGAGAAAGGTGGAACCAGCGACAAAATCGAAGATAATATCTAGGCCTCATAAAAAAAAATGAAAAATCAAAGTTCAGCGGCGATTTTCAATACAATCGGTTGGGGGATTTACACAAGTATTAAAATCGCATTGTAAAATGATGATTCTATTTTGTTGATTATTTTTTTTTGAACATTTCTGACCTGGGGGTGTATCAGCTGCTAACAAGCGGTGTGCCTGAGATAGTTGCTCACCCAAAGTGCAGAGTGAGAGAGAGAGAAAGAAAGAAGAACAATAAATGATAATGAAAAACTGGCGAGTTATCAACTGATAGGAGTTCAAGTGATTTCAAGGAATTTTGAGTGTTTGGTCGAGAAGCGACAAACTCGGAGGTATTATATCGAGGAGCGAAAGAGCGAAGGGCGGACGGAGCTCGTTGCGTACTCGTGGGAAGATATTTAATATATTCCCTTGAATCCATATATGTTCAGAAAACCGGCATTGAGTAGGCGGATATTTTGAATATATTGAATATGTAAATCGCAATCATGTTTCGACGAACTTCAAAGTTTTGGCGAACACCTCATGTCGGTCGCTCTTGTATACATTAACAACGACAAACGACCACTTTCATATATATATATATATATAAAAGAATCGCGATTTTAAACGTGAGCGGAGAATATTGTTGACTGGCAAGTGTGCGAGAGATTCGGCATTTTAAAGAGACGTCAGAGTGTAAAGGGTGTGCATCTAAAGGCCAAGAAATTTTCAAAAATTTCGCTTCTTTTTTTTTACATGAAAATTGAAATAAAATGATTGATTGTTGTTTTCAGATTTTCGAAATGGTTTGTTTTCCGAAGATTAATGAAGAAATGGAGAAAACAATGTAAGACTTTTTATTTTTTTTTTGTTGAAATGAAAAAAATTGAAAGAAATAATGAAAAATAAAATGTTTTGTACGTAAAAATATGTTAATTGTTGCGGATTTAGAAGGCTACCGTACCAAAATAATTAAATTCGAAATTCTTGTTTTTTTTTTCTGAAAATGAAAATTATTTTTTATTGTTGAAATGGTTGTTTTCCGAAACGAAAATATACTTTCAGAAATGCTCGTTTTGAACTTCAGAAATTTAGCAACAAAAGAATATAACTCGATTTTCAAATTTTTATTGGTAACGATTAAACATTTTTTGTAAATTATGAAGAAAAAACATTATTTCAGGATTTCGTTGTCCGTTACGAATACAACGAAGAGGATTTGAGAGTGACTATCTGGACAGATTCCGAGACCGAAATTCTACAATTTTTAAGAAATGGAAATTACCAATTCAGCCATCAAACACTTGAAAACGAAAATCTGTTCACATTTTCTGACCTCAATGTTTCGGATGAAGCTGAAAATTCAAATCAAGCTAATAACAATAATATTACGGTAAAATAATTTTTAAATAATCGAATTTGATATTTTTTTTGTTAGAGAGTCTCAATTAAGAAGGAAATTCAAAATGATAAAATTGTAACCGTTGAAAATGGTAAGAAGCTGAACGATTGGTTCACAAATGAGATTTAGTTGATAAATTAGAGCACTCAATTCTGGAAGCCATGGAAAATCTCAAAGCCAATATCATCGAATCATCGCGTTCATCGGTTATGGAAGTCGCCGGAGTCGTCGAGGAGAATCGAGTAGATCAGAAAAAAATTGTAGAGAGGATTTTAACAGAAATGGAAAAGAATAAAAAGCAGTTGGTAAAAAATTATCAAAAAAATTAATAATAGGCAAAAAAACGTTGGTTTCAGGAAGAGCTTCGCAAAGAAATTCGCCAGGCTACTTCAAACTCAAGACCCGCTGTTGTAGCTCCGCCGGCACAATCTGCTGCGTCGGCTATAGTGATTCCGTTGAAAAAATCAAAACCTTCGGAATTTGAAGCAAAGGTATTGTTTTTTTTCTTCAATTTCTTTCAATTTTAATTTTTATAGAATGAGCTTCTCGCCAATGGAATTGATTGCTCGTTTTGTCAACAAAATATTAAAGTCAAGGTTTTTAAATTTAAAAAAAAAACGTTGTTTAACCCTGATATTCGCTATTCAGAATAACAACATGGGCGATCTTCTTGATGAAATGCGAATCCACGTGCTAACGCATTTCAACACAATATATCCGACATTCAAGAGGTACCCTCTCTCTCTTTCTCTCTCTCATATTTCAATCTGCCGCCTAATTAGACATTGACACCCAATCTGTCGTTTTTTTTCAGATTCAATTGCATTCAGTGCGCGATCGGCACGAATTTCCCCAAAGAAATCGAGAATCATTTGCGGAAACATGGGAGTTTGATGAAAATTACGGAAAAACGCGACAAGCTTCTGGAAGAGAAATTGTCAGTTTCAGAGAGCCATTTTTTTGCAAATAATTTTAGCCGCACATATTTTCAGAAATGAAAATTATCTTCAAGCATTGGCAACATATAGCTCGAAATGTTTTCCTGAAGTCTTTGAAGACATCCCGAAATCGCTTGAATCTGTGGTTTGATTAGAAGAAGAGTTTGAAGCTTCTCATTCGCTTTTTTTAGGATCGAAAAGCGCCGCCGATGAGAGCTTTGAGAGGACCATTCCCATATTTGCTGGATTCATTCCGCATCAAAAACCATATTCCGAACGAGCGAATGGGACAGATTCGAAGATCCGAACCCGCCGAAATTGTCCAGATTAATGACTAATCTATTTGTTTTATATGAGAATGAAGTTCATATTTATACAGTTCCAGAATATTCAAGAAATTTCAAGTTTTCGATTAACTTCGTTCGTATTTGATGCTGAAATTGGCGTATTATGGGGTTTGGAATTCTAGAAATATGGAATGGTTGAAGAACACGCTGTATCGGATCGAATGGAAGCTGCGGCGTGCGCTCAACACCAAGAATCAATTGATCTACCCGATTCAGTGGAGCGCGCCGAGGTTGACAGCTGCTCATGGGCCGTCGGAGCATTTTCGGAGAAGTCTCGACGACGAGAATTGCGAGAAATTGAGGCTGATAATGCGCGAGGTCGAGGTGATGTCGCGACTGAGTCCGACGTTCCCGCGACGGATCTCCGATTCGGACTGGAAGAGAATCCTCGAATGCGGTTCGAGGAAGCAACGCCTAGACCAACTCATCTTCTTACATCGAAATGAAAGGATTCGAGAGAAGGAGAAGCTGAAGAAAATGGAGAAGCGCGCGGAGAAGACGAGAGTCTTCAATGAATATGGACTACTCTATCGGTAGGAAATCAGAAGCGATGAAAAACTGAACATGAGATTTACAGACCATCAGAATATGAGAAAACCCACCAATGGATGAATGTTTTGAGGTCGTTCCTTCAAAATTCGCCAACTTTGGTAGTCGATTGCCAATTTCTCGACGTTTATTTTCGTTTCAACCACATCTTTCGATCCATCTCGATTTTCAGAAGCTTTCGGTGCGCGGTCGTGAGCTGACAGGATCCCAACTGAAGTATATCATATCGGAGAATCGAGAATTGCGCGAGCCGTTTCGATTATATTTCGCGAATTTCGACGTTTCATCGCGAATCGTTCAAGACATCCAGAAATCGAAACTGCAAGGCATCCATCGAATATCGCCGATTGTCACTGATCAATGCTTCTCGCAAATTTTCGACAAGCAACGAATTATTTATTTGAGTCCTGACGCCGACGAAACACTTGAGACTGTTGATGATGACAAGGTGTATGTGATTGGAGGGATTGTCGATCGGGTAGTTGAGCCGGAAATCGAGAAACACGCGTCGAAAATGGCGTCAGAGAGGGCTGCCGTCAAATGCGCGAAAATTCCTTTGGACCAATATATGGAATTCAAATCTGGCAGCAAATTCCTCACGTTGATTGCTGTCATGAAAATCTTACATGAGGTGAACCAACATGGGAATTGGGCTCGCGCTTTGAAGAAATGTGTGCCAATGAGGAATCAAAGAAGCGCAGAGGAGAAAAATCCTGTCGGAAGAGATTTGCATAAGAAATATCGCGAGTATAACAAAAGAGTTATCAAATTGGTTGAAAACGAGTTAGGATATTAAAAGGTACTTTTAAAATCAAATTTAGAATTTGCTGAAAATAATAATTTCAGAAATTTCGCGGGGATAGGATTAATTGTTGATTGTTATTTTCTTGTTTTTTAATTTTTAATTTAATAACATTTTTAAATCGTAAGTTTTTTTTTTAAATGAAATAGTACGGTATTAAAGGAACATTATGTATATTTCAGAAAGGTCTTCAAACGCACCCACTTTTTTGATTAATTTTTCTTTTAAATAACTTTTTCTTAGTATTTAGTTCGCTTCAAATATATTAATTCAGACAAAATTGTACATAAGAATAATCACATGATAGATCTTGAGCGGGTTATCGAGAAACTCGAGGCAAACCATTTTCATTTGAAAAAAGAATGGCTCGATATTTGTATCAAATATATTGAATCAACGGTATTGAAAAATTAATTTAATTTTTATATTAAAAGAAAATAAATTAAGGATATTCAAGTACAATCAATAGATCAAATGGCTGGATTAATAATAGAGCAATTCCTATATTCGAATATTGCCGAATCGTATGAATCCCAAATGAAAATCCCGCAAATGGCGAATAAATTAGTGATTCCAAAAAGAATGATATTTCAGGTATTCGTCGAAATTGGCAATTAAATAATAAAAAAATTTATAAAGATAATATCAGTTCTCGACATTTCCACTTCGGTTTATGAGCAATTAAGCGAGGCGACAAAAAGCGTTGATGATCTCTCTTGGTTTCACGGCGACGTTGAAGAAGAGGTAAAGATTTTTTAAATTTTTGATGAAAAAAAAAACGAGAAATTTAGAATGAGGAGCACGCAATTTGCGAGACGAAGAAGAAAACAAAGAAGCGAGGAATTTTGAAAGTCGAAATTGAGGATGGCATCAATAAATTGCATGCAGTTGAATATGTTGATGAATTATTTGATATAGAGGAATTGAATGTGGGAATGAAAGTTTAAAATTTCACAAATTCCCATTTTATAACATATTTTTAAAGATAATGCTAACTGGGAAAGCTGTATGTCGTAAGGGAATCATTTTGATCAGTCAATCGAATTGTCAAATTCTTGGAGGCGCCGTCGAATCTCTAGAATATAATGTCGTAGATCGATTGGCGGCAATTTTAAAAATTGACTTGAACGCCGAGACGAAGCGAAAAGAGTGTGGATTTCCGCCAAGATTTATTGCCTCAATGATTTTTTTCAGATTGGCCAAGGTTCGTGTGAACGAGATGAGGAAAAAGCGGGCGATGAAAAAGGATAAATCGCAATCAACAATTTCGCCGTTTTTGGTGAAAATGCCAAAAGTTGTTGAGGCGCCGCCGAAAAAGGTTATTTCGAAGCGACTAGACGTTTTGACCTATATATTATTGACAGGTTAACCCGAAAATTGTTGAAGAATCGAATAACAATGGTAAATTTGTTTTAAAATTGGGATTTTTAAAGAATTGCAGATGTCGTTTTTACCCCAATTCCACCGCCGAAGAATCCAAATGAAGAAGTTCCAACAAATCCAGAAGGTTTTTTAAAAATTCTAATGTTAGATTGAAAAAATGAATTTGAAGATATCGTTCAAAATACGTCCAACGAAAAGCCAACAGAAGTAGAAGAAGGTTATTTTTTTTTTCAATATTTTAATCAATTATCATTTTTAGAAGAGTATTCACGAATTCTCAAGAATATCCATGTTCCTGTTAGATCTCCTCCGTATCAAAGTGCGTTTTTTCTTCTTCTTCTTCTAGATTTCCATAAACTGTGTATTTCTAAGAAGAAGCTGCTCCTGAAATAAATCCGAGGCCAAAACCTGCTGAGAAAATCGATTCATTTAAAAAGAAGCAGCTTCCACAAGCATTATTAGAAGGTAAATGCGCATATTTTAATATTGAAGCCTTTCATTATGCAATGACGTCGTAAAATCTAATAAACGCATTTGATACAGACGAAAATGGATCGAAGACTTCTCGAAAATCGCCACCAGAGATTTTCGCGACTGCTGAAAAATATCAGCCAGGAATGATGAGCAAAATTAAAATTGAAGAGAATGATAGTATTATCCCTCCAGAATTTTTGAGAGAGGTCTGAAACGATCAATTTTTCAATATTTATATAATTTCATAGGAGGTCGGGGTGATTAAAAGTCGAGGAAAAGATGAAATTGCCCAGCGGAAGTTGTTCAAGGCTCTTACGGAGGATATTCATGGCCCGAGAGGGGTTCATAGCAAAAAGTTGGAAGGGGGGGGCTTTTTGGTTTAAGTGTTTCAGCTTGAATTGAAAATTTAGAGATGCTGAAATGCAAAAAAAGAATTCTGATGATCATTCGATAACGGAGTTTTTCGAAAAAGTCAAGGTTAAATTATTTACATTAGCGTCGAAACTTCATTTTCAGCACCTCAAAGAGCATAAAAGAGTTGAGCCACCGCAAAAAGTGTTGCGAATGGGAATTGTGACGCCGGTTCCGGTAAGAATTCGCCGCGGGTAGATTTACGCGCATGCGCCTTTAAAACGTGTCAACGCTTATTTTGCTGTTTTCACGTGATTGATTAGTTTTTTTTCTTGATGATTTTGGCATTTACTTGAATTTCCATCCGCGCGAGACCATAGCGAAGGCGCGTAAATCTACAGCAGTCGCCGGACGTCGACTATATGATGAGATTTAGAAGCAAACGATTGTGGAAGTTGACGATGGAGAAGAGGAAGAGGAACTGAACGTAATATTTTTGAGAATTTTTTAAGAAGAGGACGATTTTCTTTTCAGGAATATGAAGATTATAAGCAGTTTTTGGAAACCATACAACAATCAAAAGTTTTCATTTTTCTTATTATTTGTTTTTGCCCAATTTTGACACCCAATTTCAGCAGAAAAGTTGTTTTGAGACCCAAAAGGAACAACAAAAGGAAGAGAAAATGGTCGATGATTCGTCGATTTGTTCGTTTTTCCCATTTCATTTTTCATTAATTAAAAATATTGATATTCAATTTTGTAGTGGATTGCTCGATGGAAATCGAAGGACGAAATATGTGCGAGAGGCTCGGAATTGGGGAAACACGAAAAAGACGGGCCGATGATGAGCCGGAGATTCTGAAGGGATGGAATCCGAATATTCAGACATATAAGATTAGCACTTTGCTTCCTGAAGGGCGTGTCGAGGAGAGAACAATGGAGATTGTTGGGTGAGAAATGGGTGTGAGATCAAATTTTTCTGCTGGCTCTCACCACGATCTGTATTTTTTTTTCTTTTTCAGACCTTCTCGAGACGACAAAATGCTCCAAGCAGAGCCTAGAAAGTCTAACCGACCTGTATTATATTTTATCACTATTTTACACCAAATCTGTATTTACAGTACCCACCAAATGCCACTCAGCCGTCTCGCCAAGGACTAGAAAGACCCTTCAATCCTCCACAACGAAAAGCTCCGTCGAGTCAAGCTGCTTCAAAAAAAGCGCTGCCGAAGCATGGAAACAATGTTCAGATTTATCGGACTCCATTGGCTCGAAGGGTTCGACGATCGATTCATTTTGTTTAGTTTTAATTTTGTATTTCAGATTCCGAGCTCGGAATCTTCGAGAAAATTCTCTCTTGAGCTTCTCCATAGACTGGAAAACCTTCATGTGATCCCTTTTAGAGACGCGTTGACTACCAGAAAATTTTGGATGATGGCCAAAATTGTGGTGATTATGGTCCGAAAAAAAAGGATGCGCATAATTCGTTTAATGGTCCGATTATTGTAGCCGACGACTTGCCAAGCTCTACACGAACTCCAATCCGATGGAATATTATGGGAGTTCCAAGTGCACGTCTCCGATACGAGCGTCAAGAATGTGATCTGCGATGTGTCCAGTGAGCTTCTCGATAAAATATTCGGGTTCAGTGTGAAAGAATGCAAGCAGTTGTTCGAAAACAATCAAATGGATGCACTTCGAGCAAAGAAGATTGAAGCTGAAAGGGTAGATTTCCAAGTAAAACCATCGGCATTTTGAAATTTGCAGAAGCTTAAAGGCTTCAAACGATTGGATCTGATCGCGTGGGTCGAGGTGAACCCGGACTTCAATGTCAAACCGATCATCATCGATGTGAAAACGATCTCTGATGCATTGAACATCTTGTAATTTGAAATCCTGTATCATATATATAAGGCATTTGTTAGATATACCGCATGTTTATTATTGTTTCGGTGTTAATAAATCGACGCATTTATGGTCCTGACACGCAAAATGCTCGCCGCAATCACGAATCGCGAGAGTGCAGAAGCGGCCGGCGACACGAACGCAATTGCCGCCTTCGCATGACTCGCCGAGTTGGCACACTTTTCGAGCACAGTCTACAATCAATCGATCGTTGGGGATTCTCGAATGCCGATACCATTGCGACGGCAGGTGCCGTCGATGCAGACGAACGGATGCTTGCATTCGCCGACGCACGGGATGCCCTCCATGATGCGGCACTCGCCGAGTCGGCAGTCTTGATCATGCGGGCATCGCGACGGGCACGGATTCGCGACGCACACGTTGTTCACGCAAATCGTTCCGCCGTGGCACGTGTCGTCTTGGCACGATTTTCCCACAGCTATGAAGAGCGAAAAAAATATTTAATTATGATTTTGAAATTTTTTTACCGTTGACGCATTGACCTTCGACGCAATATGTTCCAGTTTCGCAATAAATTGAAGTGCATTCTGGAATTGTTCATTCATTTCTCGTTTTAATTAATTGTCCGATTCAAACGACTGAAAATGGGGCGGAGCTTCATTCTCACAATTTTTATGCGGATGGGAAGCTCACTGAATATTAAAATTATTTCATACACTTATAGGTAGTCTGTTTCTGAAACTAAATGCGCTTGCCGCGAGACACAGCTCAAAAAACTGCATGCGCCTTTAAAAACCGAATCCAATCAAAAATTTCGCAAAAAGAAAAGTTTGGTCTTGAAAACCACTAATGCCGGTTATTTTGAGTGTAATGAATTAATTCAATTGATCAAAGGTTCATAATGGTGGAATGTGCTGGGTCTTGTAGCGACTGGTTATGGTAGGTGCGTTTTTTTTCTCAGGAGCGGGCTTTAGCATCTAGTCAATGTTTTTTTTTTCAATTATTTAAAAACAGCTGTTTCGATCAATAAATGTGTTTAGAAAATTGAAAATTTACGCGTGTTTGGATAGCATTGTCCGTGATGGCAGATCTCGTGCGGCTGACAATTGCACAATGGCTCTTGCGGTCTGAAATTTCAGCGATTTGTCTCCGAATCTCATCAATTGTTCGACTTTAATTGGCATTTATTCGCCATGCATAGCATATTCGGTCCGCAATCGGCGTGTCCGATGCAAAACGCGTTCAAGAGTTGCGCGCATTTTCCGTCTCGACAGATTTTTCCCTCGTCGCAAGTCACTGCGTGACATCCTAGAATATATTCGGATTATTCGAGTGTTGAAACGCGCGACTCCGACATACGATCAAGAACGCACTGGCCGTTGAGGCATTTCCCGCGACGGCCGCAATCCGTCACAATGCTTCTCGCCGATCGTTCACCGGTAAGAACGTGTCGATTGCATTTCACTGATGACAATGGGTAGCATTTGCCTTCGGAGCAAACTGTGCCCTCAGGACATTCAACCTGGAAATTTGATGAGTTGAATTATTCGCCGATATGGGTAAACATGGGAAAACCAGTATGCATATATTTGATTCACCCGGAAGACTCAGCGAAACACGCAGATCACAATGTTTCTCAGTTTTAAAGAAAACAAAAAATTTTTCTATTTTTATAATACCAATGTTTCTCCCAAAAATTTCCGTTGGCTTTCGAAAACAAAAAAATATTCTCACAGCGTAATTTCACAACAGTTTGCATAAGGTGTGCAACCACGCTGTCTGAAATCTGCAGATTTGCATTTTAATTCACGCTTAAATGTTTTTGCGCAAGTTGCCATAGTATTATTTTTTCGAAAGATGCTTTTTCGTAAAGCCATTAAACCTCGAATGAGCACGTCATTGACGGTGCTCGACTCCTTCCAAGACACTGTTTCTCCTCGCACGTGTAACCAATGGGACATTCGAATTCACCGAAAACCGGGGGACATCTATTTCAATAAAATTTTTAAGCGCCAAAAAAGATGAAAAAAACCCCTACCTTTCTGCGGCGACTAATGTGAAAAATAGGAAAGTGTATAAAAACGAATTCATATTGTTGTGATAATTGGAAATGATATCCGAATCGATCCCGATATCTTCTTTCTCTCCATCTTTCGCGACTAGGAAGGCGATGAGTCATTTCGCGGGAAATCGAAAGTTTAAAAAACGACATATCATTTCTCATTAGAAAGACAAGTTCATTTGGACTTAAATATGAGTAAACTATGGATTATTTGTTTCAGGAAAATTTGAAAAAAATGGAGATTTTTCGAATTGATCTGCTCGAGTCGACCCGAAGTCGCCGGATGATAAGACCATTGAGGACCATTTCAAGAATGTAAGAATTTTTTATTTTCAATTAAATATGGTTATTTTAAAAATATGAAAAAATGTAGGGAGAATTTGAAAAAAAAATTCAACACTGCACCAAGGAAAAAAGACAAAAAATGGTTCAGGCCGTAGAAAAATCTATTTTTTACCCGGTTTTTAACAATTTTTCTTCCTTTCCCAGTTGAATATAGTATCATCCGATTGTAAAAATGATGTTTTAAATGTAAATTTAATAAAAGTTTTGAATTCCCACGAGCCTTCTAAAGACCAAAGTATTTCCTCGTGTCTTCATTTAATTAATCATGTGTGCCGTCAGCAAAATATCGCATAATTTGCATAATAAATAGCCATTTTTACATCGTGAAAATTTCATTTTTAATAAATATTAAACTAGCATTCGCTTAGTTTTAGGTGTGATTATTGATTTTCGCAACAAAAAAAAATGCATTCATTCACACGTTTTATTCCGCCAATAAAATGTAGATCAATCATAAAGATTTGATCGAATTTACCATTGAATGCCATATTTAGTTGTTCGAATTCGAAATTTTTTGATTTTCAAAGTGTTTCAAAAACAAATTCAATATTTTGCAGGTGCTTTTGCACAAATGGCGAACCAATCAAATTGCAGCCAATTGCGTTTTGAGCATCGTGAGTTTTCATTATTCTGCTAGCTTAAAAGTGGTAAATAAATTTCGAAAGCTGAAAAATCTAGAAATCACGTATAGATAAGATATTCGTGTGAATTTCTCGCGTCAATTCCTCAATTTTTTGTTCCTACAAATTGCGTTTTATTTTTTTTTTCCGTTTTTTTTTCCATCGCATCTAGAGGAAGTAGAAAAAATTTGCATTTATTATAATTCTCGTATTCCAATCCGAATCCATCTCATTTCCGCGAGTTGAAAAATAAAATTGAGGCTGTGATTTATACGCTTCAACGCCGTTCATAGTAATTATTCGCCACTCCAATTTCCAGAATCAGCCAATTTCTGGAAAAAGAACGAAACAATAGAGTGTAGAACCGCTATAATTGCCATAATCCCATAAAAGGCAACCATTCATTATTAATATTTCCTGCAAAATTCGGTGATTTCATTTGTTGCGAAAAAAAATTAATAATGCTGGTTTCATTCTAATCCGTTTTATTTTTATTTAATCTTGACTAGAAAAAAAAAGCGAAGAGATTTTCTCGAAATTAATAAATCACTTAAACGCGATGAAATTCTCGAAATTCCTCGCAACAATCAACAATGATATGTTTAATTGGAATTTCAATTCGAATAAAAATAAATAATCTTAATGAAATTTTTTGTGGCCCAATGATTTTTAATTAGATTTGCTTTCCTTGCGTGTATGTATGTGTGTTTCTCGCTTATCCGTCTTCGTTTCCTCAATAAATCCCAATTTTTTTTTGCCAGGTGGCGGAAGTGGCGCAAAAAAGTTGGCGAGAATGGCGAGCACTGTCGCCTTCGAGCTCAACAAGGCCACTCTGAAATTGAGGTTGGTTTTTTGTGTGCTTCTACAATTATCCCACGAAACAAAACAATTCTAAGAGGGTCTCCTCTTTTTTTTAGACGAAGTCTACACATTTCCGATAAACGCGATTCATCGAAACGAGCCGATGAGCCCGGTCCAAGTAGTACGCAGAGGTCTGCCAAAGGCGAAAATCGTTGTTGTCAAATGTCGAGCAGTTTCAGCACTTCGCGGGGCTCGATGCGGAATCGTCAACTTTGCGCCGAACTCTCCTCTTTTGCGCTTTATCCCCTTTTCGGTTTTCAGCTTGCTTATTCATCTTCATTATTTTTTTTTTCCAATTTGATTTCAGGCGCCCTCACAACTACTCACTTCTCATCGCCCAATTTGTTATTTCAAACCGATCGACGATCGAAATTAAAGATTCTTGAACTAAATGACTCGATATTTTTGAAAATTATGGACTTTTTAGATGGTATTTTCGTGATTAATTAAAAAAAATAGGAAACAAATTGAAATTTTAGCGCAATCGATGCTTGCCGCTTCGCAAACTTGTCAACGACTTCGATATTTGGCGTTGAGGAAAGACGACGAATTTTTTGATCGCCGAGATGTAAGCAGAAATTTGATGAATTTTTAAAAAACATTTTTTCTTAAGGTTACTTCACATGAAATTGTTATTTCGTATAATCGAATTGTGAAAAAAACGCAAGCTCGAATGCTTCGAAAAGAGCGATCCCGATATGATACCGTATTCAAAGGAGCAACAATATCAAGTCTATTGTGCCCGTTCACGAGAGCGTTAACTAAAGTACGATTTCTATTTTTAGCCTCATAATTAATTTAAGTGTGCTAATTAGATCACGTTCGAATCAAACGTGAGCGTTTCCGATTGGATTAGAGAGATTCTCGAGTTACACGATAAACAAAAATTAGTACCATTGGCACTGTCGTTTACTGGTGGAGCTTTAACTAGAGGTTTGACGGCAAAATATTTTCGGAAGGATATCAAAAATTGAATTAAGGGAACCAATTAGGCGGCGCCGATTTGCGAAATATCAGTGAGACCGAATTTATAAAAATTGTTGGCAGACTCCAGCCGCATTTGCAAGAAGTTCAGCTAGCAACTTCGAGATTGTTTAAGACTTCTACTAGCCCACCGCGATTGCTTGGTCTTATATCGATGTTGACAACCTTTGGTGTCGTTTATGAACGACCGCTAATGCGATTCTTTTTTGATGAAATTGTCAAAATAGTTTCGGTTCGTTTCCTAAATACAGGCTCAATTTACTTGAATCTGCTTCAGTATTGGCGAAACGATGTTCAATCACGAAGTTGTGACATCTATATGAGACGTCCCCTTGATGCCGATATTGACAGCTGGAATAAACTTGGAACAGTTGATGATTACAGGATAGACCCCCTGACTGAAGAATTCTTAGTTTCAAAAGTCACTATTAAGCATTCCTTCCTTGTACATATTGACCTCGTTTTTCATTTTCATTGAATTCTTTGTAAAATAAATTTTGGCTATATAGAACTTTTATAGTCATAACAGTCTATAGGAGGGCAGTATAAAACATAGATGCAATAGGTATACAAGAGGCATGCGAAAATATAATGTACACTTGAATTTAATATGTACAATTCTACGCAATTTTATTAGATTTGAGCGTCAACGGCTTGAGCTCCGAGAGTGGCTTCTCCCAAAGCCGATCCGCAACGATCAATGTTGGTGTGCTCGGGCTCGTCAATGATCTTACGACGAGCAGCAGCAGCCAGATCTTCATCCTGCTTCTCTCCGGAATTTTCCGATTTTTGTTCAGCAGGAGCATCTCCGGAAGCCTTGTTTGGTTTGCCCTAAAATTAATTATCACCGACGATTATCTCAATTGTGAATCATTACATTACGGCGGTTCTTGTGCTGCTTCTTAGCCTTCTTTGGTTGAGCAGCTGGTTTTTCTCCACTAGCGTTCTTCTCGTCGCTCTTCGCATTGTCATCGGCGTTGTTGCGAGACTTGCGGTTGCGGCGGAAACGAGAAAGTAGGAGATGACGGAATCTGTAGCTTAATTAATGTTCGTTTCCCGCAACAATCAATGCATACCTTGATCCTTGAACATTTTCGCCATTGGGTCCGGTAACATTGCCAGCTTCCGGGCCCTTGGCTCCTTCGACAAGGTCAAAGAGGACTTCCTCGTTGTCAGCAAGTGTGCGAAGGTAGAATTTGTTGGTGATGGACTTAGCGATAGCTGTTTGGTGGACAAAAACATCCTTTCCCCCGTCCTCACGAGCAATGAAGCCGTACCGTCCGAGAACGGAATACCACTTCACGGTTCCCTTGATTCCGGTTTCGACGACAACCTTATTCTTTTGTTCATCCTCCCAAAGGCGGATCCTCTCGGAGTTCGGAAGGCGCTGCAATTTTCAAATACGAGTGATACGCTCAATTGAGGCAACCCACTCTTCTGCGAATTCTCTCTTCGCTGTTATCAGCTTTATCACCAGAGATTTTCAAATCTTCGAGCTTCTGCTCGGTTTCTTTGGTGATATCGACAGCGTTGTTCGCGGCGTCCGACATTGTTGGTAACAGTGGGAAACTCAAGCGAGTGTACTGCAAATAATTTTAAGTCAATTATTGAAACAATAATGTACGGGTGCAAATGACGATTCTGTTTCAAGAAATCAAACCAGTAACAGAAGAGCCAAGCGAAAAAAAGGACCTTCGCCCGAGGAGCAGCTAGAAATGATAAATGACTAATTTTGGATGTGGCTTTTGAAAACATGTTTTTGGGCGGATCCTTAGCTTACGGTACTACAGTATGCTAACCTGCACATCGTTTTTTTTACGCGGGGATTTGAAATTTTAATTTATTGCCACTTTAATTAATGACACTCATTTTTGTTCCTTTTTTCTTCCAATGGGAATAATTAATTTAAAAAAGCTATAATTTCAGATTTCCCTAATTTTTAGTGTATTTATTCCAGCCGATTTTTTTTATTTTTTGCTTTTTTCGTGTGAAACTTTCAACACATATTCCACATTTGCACATCACATTTTCTCTCGAAACTTTTCCGCTCTCTTCTGTCTCGATAGCCATTGATTACAGACACAAAGTTGGCGTTATATGTGCGTTTACGCGTCGCTTCGTCTGCGTCTCTGTGCGCTATTGGAACATTTTGGCCGGTGTTGCTGGGCAATTGATTCGGGAACTATTTGACAACATCAACTATCGACTAAGCGTGGAACACACCGCTTTTTTCCAATAAACATTGCGAAATATTGAGGTTTCAATAATGAACTGCGAAATGTCGGCTGAAGAGCCAATGGATTACTCAGGTTAGATTAATTTCGCAACATTGCGTCATTTTTGGACAAATGGTTAATAATTCCAGAAATATCCAGAGCAGCCGAATGGATTCATCTTCCAATAGAGCTTAAGGAGCAAATTATGCGCCTTTTACCTTTCCAGGATAAGCAAAATATGATGCTCGTGAATCGGGAATGTGCAAAAGTCTGTGATACGCTTCCCAATAAGCTGAGAGAAATATCAATTTTGGAGATGCCTTCAACTGCAGTAGGATCACTTAGTGAAGGAAAAGTTATATTTCGTTTAAAAATTTCCAGAAAACCACTTTAACAATTATGTGGAAAAATGAGAGAGGAAGGCTCGTAAGCAGAATGGTGGATTATCGTGGAGATCAAATGTAAGGCTTGAAGTGATTTTCATAATTTTAATAGATTTAGGCACCAAACTGATTGTCCACCTCATACTGCCGAAGCTATGAAAGTTTTCGTTAAAATTCTGAAAAGAGCCAAAGTAAAAACCGTTACAATTGAAATTGTAAGTCGAAACCACCAAGTCTCGAAGTAATTTTTAATATTTTCAGCCTTGCTTCGAAGGTCTTCAGGATATTTGGGATCAGGCTATGAATGAGCAGACTCGTGTTACTGTAAAGTATTTCAACATTAGGTTGCCTTTTTGTCAGCTGGCCTTGAAAATTATTGCGATTCCAGAACAAACGACTATCGCCTTGTAAAGCGGGCATTGCAGTGCGCGAGAAACTCAAAACATGAAATTTCTCTCTTGGCAAATGATTCTGGAGCAATAGAAACCGAAATTTTCGATATGGAGAAAGTAATTTGATTTTTGTTTTTTGAAATCTAGTATAGTCGGTGTCCGCCGACCGATGTTTTTTTTTTGGGGGGGGGGGTCAGATTTACGCGCTTTTCGTATTTGGACTCGCACAGTCTGCGCGTTCAATCAAAAAACGAAAATATCGATCTCAGGATCGGGTCGAAATTTAAAAAAGATCGTTTAACGCCGACATTAACCAGTTGGTCCGCGTGAGATCACAGCGCACATCAGTCGTCGCGTTATATTTTACAATAAACGCAATCTTTTTAAATTTTTTAAAAAGTATTTTTATAATATTTAATACGCCCAATTCCACTAATATTTTCAATCTGATCCCGATTTGTCCCAAACCCGTCTGAACGCTCGTCCGATGGGGCAGGCTTTGGGTGACTCGTCCAGATGACAATCGGCCCCTTGATACCCCGGGCGAACGTCCCCAAAATCAGCAATAATTATTAAAAATGTTATCAGAGATCATTCATACAACTTGTTGAGACTGGCTAAACTTTATAAAAAATCTCATTAGTTTTCCTAAAATCTCTTAAGAAAACAAGTGTTTTTTTCGTGAGAAATATAAGGAGTTTTCAGATAAAACAGGCGAGAAGTGTGATTTTGTGGTCTTTGGTAAGTAATATTCAAGATCATCAGCTAATATCCCTCAACGCGCACAATATTAGAATAAGCAGCGAGTTCATCACTTCACAATGTATTATACAAATGCTTACGGTAAGAATTCAGATTATGCGCGACTACGGAAAATTGGCTCCATGCCAAAAAGGCAATTGCAGGCGCAAAACTACGAAAATTGAAGATTTACGGACCAACTTTAAAAATTGATTGTTGACGCACTAAAATAAGGCGTTTGCCAATTTTCCGCAGTCGCGCGACGTCGAAAATAATCAATCATTTCATTTTTAATTATAGGAATGGAAAGATGGGCGCCGAAAACTTGAGCGACTTCATATCTCATCACCACTCATCGATTATGAAGAAATTACCAAAATGGTTCCATGTGTCTGCTGGAAGAACCTAACAGAGTATTATAGTATTAAAGAGAATTTCTAGAATTTTCCCTTTAGCATTTGTCAGCTTGTTTGGCGCGAAGTGGATGAGGAAGGTTATCTTCATGCCATTCGTGGACCCTCTTTTGATGTACCAGCGGCCATTGGAATTATCAATTTAGAAGGTATTCATAAATAAATTTTTTAATTATGATTAAAGTTTTCAGGAGTCCAAACATTCATTTTCCGAATCATCAAAATTAATAGCCACCTGGCTGAATTGATTTGCACGAAGTGTAGCCCGAACAGCGAAAACTGCAACAATGTTCAACAAGTCGAACAAGCTGCTAACTAATTCAGCATTTTATGTACATAATTTTCACGATTTTTATTTGTTGCTCTGTGATTGCGAATAATAAAGTGATAATCCTTCCAAATATTGTGTATTTCGGCTCTTTGTGTCCCCATCACGACAAATACCGTTTCAAGCTGGTCAGAAAATCAATGGTTTTACCGATTCGTTTCAAGACCCATTTCGAAGGCACGTTGTTGAAGGTACAGAAATTCTTCACAGTTCGCTGTATAATAAATTTCAGAAGAAATTTGAGTTGATAGATATTAGATATCAAAATTTTCAACAATTTAAATTGATTTTTGACGCGTTTTTCAATTCTGAAACTCAATTTCAGATGCAAATATACATAGAAAATTTGATGCCAAAAATGGAAGTGTCGGTTTTGGCGAGTGCGTCAAACGCGCTCCGTTGCGACCAATGATTTTCGGTTTTTCGCCCGACAACAAAACTAGCCGCTCACCTCTCAACACTGCAACACATAATTCGATTGTTGGTTTTTACAGAAAGAATCGTTTGTCTCGTTGTTTTAAAACGAGTCCAAATGGCTCAATGTCCTCCATTGGTGGCGCTGATCTCGTCGAGCAGCGCGCAATCGGCGGCCAACTCGCGAGGCTTCAAATCGCTATCGCACATTTTTTATCCATTCGCCACCCATGAGCTTACCGTTCGAGTAGGTCCCAATTATATTTGTTGAAGATTTTTCAATCAATTGCTTTATATATTTTTTTCTGTTTTGCTTTTTTTTGACGCGCCCAATTTCGCTCGTTTCATTTGACAAATTTCCGCTTCCGTTTTGTTGATTCATTTGATATTTTCGAATGATTTCAGGAGCCGGTCGCCAATCAGCCGATCACCTCGAAAGTCCGTGTAGATGTTCGCGACATATCAAACGATGGCCATTTATTATCATTGTCAGTCCTGCCGTACGTCCTGATACAGGTAAAAACTTTGAACAGCTTCCCGAACTTCTCTTTTGCGTTGAGAATACTTATGCATGTTGGTATATTGATAGGAGGGTATTACTGTAGGTTACTGTAAGAATAGTGTGAATTGAACATGTTCAATTTAGCTTTACTCGTATGAATCGAGTGAACACGCATTTCCATAACCGTAATGTCTATCTGTCTCTCATTGTCTGCGTCGCATCTCGTCGCGTTATCTTGTCAGCGATCGAAGAGCGATTTCTGATTTTTGTGTCGAGTCCGATTCGAAACGCCTCATTTGTTTTGTAGGCGCTTCGGCATTGCACAACAGCGGATGAAGCGATTTGCATGTTTCGCGATGTGCTCAATCGATGGGCTGAGCCGTCGGAGCACGAGAGCTTCGGCGCTTATCTGGCCTGCCTTTTCGTTGTATCGACAGCAGATGAGAATCCGATGACCGAGTTGAGCCGAATGATTCAGACGCAACAAACGCTTCATGTAAGAAACGATTGTGTCGGAATTGATGATGAATTGGATTGGTTGTAGAATTCGACGTCGACGCTCGTCATTCCGCCGTATTGTTGCTCTCCGAAATGGATGACGTCACACGCGAAAACGCTCAAACATTATATTTTACTCGATGATGGAAATCTGAAAGGAACGCGAAATTGCGATGAGATTTTTGCACAAATGTGTACCACTTATGGAAAAGAGAACTGCCAAATTTTGAAGTTTACTAGTAGTGATCAAGGTTTGTCGAGAGGACCTCGATGAGTTTCTTCAATTTGTTTCTTTTTTTACAGAATGCCCACCGGAAATATCGAAGAAATGGTCGAAGATCAATGATCTGAACGACGTTCTGAGTAAAGGATTGGATGAGGCGATGAAGCAGGCGACGTCGTCGTCGTCGACTGCCACCACCCCAATGACAGGATCATCGCTGACGTCTCCCACATCGTCCGTCTCAACTATTTCCTCGTCGTTTCCACCGGTGTCGGTTAGTCCGACGCCTCCATCAGCAAACATGAATGGCGGGAAACTTTGGAGGAGCTCGGCGAAGATATTCGCGAAGAGCGATGGCGATGAATGCGAGAAGGTCTTGAAGCGATTCCTTGAAACGTGTTTGGTGCCGCACGTCGAGCGCGAACTTCGCGCTTTGCATGATTTGGCCGGAAATCGGCGCGGAATCATTGGCAAATCAATAACGAGCGGTGTGAAGAAATGGTTCAGCACCGGATCGTCGCAATCGCTTAGCTCGATTCCGGCGAGCTATTCTTGGGATAGTCCGGAGATGCAAGCGCGAAGGCTTGCCGATCTCTCGTTGATGTTTGGGAATCACGCGTTCGCCTATCAACAGTATCGCGCGCTCAAGAAGGATTTCGAGTCGGATCAAGCCATGATCGCCCACGCGGTGGCATCGGAGATGTGCGCTGTCGCTCTGCATTCCTCGCAGCCGAAAATGACGGCCAAACAATTTCCGGTGCATTATCTGGAGAACTCGGTGGGATTTCTGATCAATCATTCAGCGTATGTCATCCGATTCGCGAGGAATCTCGAAATCATTTGTGAACAACTTTCAGAAAATACGCGCATATTATGCGGTGCGCCTTTAATGCTGCCGATGTTTTGTCGGATCTCGAATGCTACAAGGAGGCTGCTCAGATTCTCACGCGCCTCTCGAAACTTGATGGCGACCATCTTGTGGGTGTCGCGCAAGCTCACGCGGCGACATTGTTCGATGAAGCTCACATGCGAAGAAAGGCGTCGTTTTATCGAGTCCTTGCGGCGAATCGATTCTCGAATGCGAACGTTCCCATCATTTCGTTTGACTGCTATCGACTTGCGATGCCTAATATCGACGAAAAGCATTGGGGAGTTCTTGATGAGCATTTGAGTGTGAAACTGCTCTCGGAAGGCGAAAAGGCGGGAGTTATGAACACGAAGATGGCGCTAGAATGTGTACGACGGCTGATTGCGGTCTGTCCGAAACTGAGTCCACAGATTCAGAAGGAAAGACTTCGAAAAATTGTGCATGTCTTGGATTCCTACGCGGATCAGGTTGGTGCTTTCATTTAATCTTTGGATTGTTGATCGAGCGTTTTCAGGAAAACTCGATTCCGATCAACTTGCCGAATGTTGATCTGAACAGCGTCAAGGTAATTTATGGAGAGCGTCCGTTATGGAATGAGATGGATGAAGACGAGAATGGTGATGTTCTTCCATCGCATTGGGAAGTTCTCGAACGAGCCGCGCACTATTCGCTTTATGGAAAGAGCACGCCGTTTCGAGGAATGCAGCTGGTGAGTGATTCGAATTCGGATAACTCGCGTGCCAGAGAGACACCAGCTGGCGAATCATTTCGCGTCATGATCGACCTCGTGAACCCGCTCGCCATTCCGCTGAATCTGAAGAATGTTCGACTATCGGTAGTTGATGTTCAATCGGATGTCGTCGACGCCTTCAGTGTTGGATCATTGGATAGCCTAAACCTTCTTGAAAACGAAACGAAAACGATTGGATTATATGTGATTCCGCACGTTGGATGCACTAAATTCCGGGTTGACGGCCTTCTATTCCGGCTGACTTCTGACGAGCAGAGTGTCGGAGTGGATGTGAAGATCCCATTGAACATTCAAGGGAAACGATTGAACAAGACGGCGAAACAGCAAAAATCGAAAGTCTACGCATCGGATGAGCGTCTCAGCGCGATTGTTTCGCAGAATCCGTGGCCACTAATGGAGTTAAAGGTGAAAGCACATGATCAAGTGGCTTATTGCGATCAAGCTCTTCGATATGTGGTGGAAGTTGAGAATATTGGAAAGGAAGACGTGGTAGCGATGTCGTTGGCGACTGATGGAATCGATCGCGTTGCCGCGGGAATTATGAATCGAGACGTTCGGAATCCGATTCCACCGAAACCGGCGGCAAATTCCGCTGAAGTGTGCACTTTTGATTTCAGTGGCGAGCCGTTTTTGAAGGTCGGAGAAAAGAAGAAGTAAGAAATGAGCATATTTCAGATGGATGAATCCATATTTCAGATTCTTCTTCGACGTTCGAGCCGGAGACGAACAATCTTCAATGAGAGCTTCGACACCCACAGTAATCCTTGTCTCATATCGCGGCTCGAATGGAAGTCTGCGTGAATGGAGGAAGATTATCAATGTTGTGAGGAAGCGGCTGATTAGTGTCGAACCAACATTACTTGGTAGTTGATGGTATTCAATTATAGTATGATTGAGATTCTTCAGATGAGGATGCTGGACTGTTCTCGTTGAAGACGCGGAATTGCGTCGGAGCAAGTCAAGCAGCTCTTTCAAAGATCAACATCATTCGATTGAGATGCGCCGAATTCGGGAAGACGCTTGAAGACGGTCTCGAAATGGCGTCGGCAATGAGAAAAGTGGAAATCGAGAGCGAGCAGACTGACACGATAGTGGTGCGTCGAACACGCGGCGGCGAGATGGTGTGGCTCAATCCGGCTGAGAAGCAATCGGCGCCGGATTGGCCGTGTCCGGCGACGCCGGAATCCGCTTTGGAAGACGGGATTATTGCAAAGAAGCTTGGGATCATGTGGAGAGCGAGCATTGTGAATAATGATGGGCACGTCTCGTCGATATTCGGTGAGACGTTCTGCGATGATCCATTCGAGAAGAATCGAATCGAGAACGCCGGTCCGAATCACACGGCGATGCTGAGAATATCGTGTGACGCGGCACGCACCACATCTCATGATTTCAACTCGAATCGAATTTGTGAGCTGCCGGTGAAAATCAAGATTCGGAACACCGAGCCAACGCCGGCGAACATCAGCATTCGCTATGTGCCGAAAATTCGTGAAGCGGTGGATGGTGTGCATTTGGTGCCGCCGGAAGCGCGCCAACAAATTTGGGTGGATCGGCCGGTTCGACGGGCGCGTATCGACGGTGAGCAGCAGGCGGAGGTCGAGATGAAGGTTCGAGTCTCGCAAGCATCCATGTATGATATTGGGGCGAGTTTGGTGATCGACGCCAAGTTTGAAGGGAGCGACGAAGTTCTAGCCTTCAAGGTTTGATTTTTGATTGATTTCAGCAAATTCGAATCGGATTTTCAGGTGCCGAGTATTCTTTCAATCGTGCGAGCAGTTCAATAATAAAATTTCCGGGTTATCCTGTGCTCTTTATCGTTTTTTTCATCGCCTCATTCCGGTTACAAGTGATGGTTTAATTAATTTCAAGCAATTTCGCGGGTGTTATCTCTATTTTCGTTAAATATCGTTTCCTTTTCTCGCTGTCGTATTTCTAATGAATATAATTTTTCTTTATTTTTTTCCGGTTGCTTGCCTATATTTGAAAATTTACTGGTTTTCACCCAGTTTTCGTATTTGCCATATTTGTCGTTATTCGTTATTTTTGTTTTAATCTCCCAGTATTAATTTTCCTCTAAAAACTGTTGATTGTAGAGTGAGAATGGCTTCGCAAACCCAGGGAATTCAGCAATTGTTGGCTGCCGAGAAGCGCGCCGCCGAGAAGATCAACGAGGCGCGAAAGAGAAAGTTGCAGCGCACGAAGCAAGCCAAGCAGGAGGCTCAGGCGGAGGTTGAGAAGTACAAGCAGGTTGGCGAGTAGCTTGATCAGATTTGATCATCAACTTTTGTGTGTGTTTTTTTTTTCCAGCAACGTGAGGCCGAATTCAAACAATTTGAGCAGCAATATTTGGGAACCAAAGAAGACATTGAGAGCAAGATCCGCAAGGATACTGAGGATCAAATCAATGCGATGAAGCAAAGCGTTGCTGCCAACAAGCAAGCGGTACGAAGCCTTTTTCGAGAGATTCTCAGTGATCACGAATCGATCGTTTTAGGTTATTGTCCGCCTTCTTCAACTCGTCTGCGACATCAAGCCGGAACTCCATCACAACTTGGTGCTGCAGAAGAAGCTCCACGGACAATTCGCCGCCTAAATTCTGAGAACCGCAGAATAACTGACACATCGGAACAATTTGCTTACATTCCAGTCAAAAATTCATTCTCTTACGTATTATGTTTTATTCGTCGTCTTTTTTTTCGCTTTTCGGCCTAACGATTGATTATTTTCTTCTTATTTTTTTCCGTGATGTACTTATTCCTGTAGAATATTATTACTACTAGTAAAGCTGAATAAATGGATATATAGAAATATGGCGAATGTGGCACTTCTTTGAATTCTTACCGGTTTGACGGACCTGTTTTATATGTGATGGCCGCGGGCCGTGGCCGAAAATTTTCGGGGACGCGGCAAGGCATTTTCGATGTATTAACGAGGCGGCGAGCGTTGTTCGCCTTTTCTAGAATTTTCCTTTTAGCGGTTCTGATTTTGCGAAGTTTCAGATGATCGAGATTACTGTAAATGATCGACTTGGCAAGAAAGTTCGCATCAAGTGCAATCCGTCTGATACTATTGGTGATTTGAAGAAGCTTATTGCCGCCCAGACCGGAACACGGTATGTTTTTCGAGTGCAAACTTCTTGGATAAATTAAAATCAATAGGATTCGAAAGCAATTTCGTTTTTAAGCGAAATCAAAACTAATCTGTTTTGAATTATTCCAAAATTTTAATCGAATTCGATCTCAAAATTGAAAATGAGAAACAAATCAATAGAATCTGGTTAATTTATAGTTCATTTTTCTTCGAATCCGATTGATTCTCATTTACCTGAATTGGTTTTTTTCTCACAAAATTTGCTCAAGAAATTCATGCTTAAAACGGCCAATTTTAATTTAAACAGCGAGAAAAATCTGTCCTATCACTGAAATTGTCCGTATCGGCATTTAAAATTTAAAAAAAATCCAACAATTTGCGATTTAATAAAAAAAATAATTGAAAATGATTTCTAATTAATTTATACGATATTTGACGTATTATGCATAAAACGATGGTAGCTGAAAATCGATAAAATAATTGAGTTTTCATAGACGGAATAAAAAGCGGAAGATTTTGACGAAATAGTATTTGAACGAGAAATCCTTATTGTCGACGTGACTACGGAATGTTGTCTAAACTCCAAAAAATTCGATGAAGGTCTTACAGGGCGCGGTGTGCACCTTTAACTTATCCACATTTTAGATCCGTAAATCTACACCTTTCGTTTCGCTACGCCCCAAGACCACTGGCATTGGTTTTTGTTAGGCAATTTTCCGTAGTTTCGACACAACTTTTCAACAGTTACATGTGCTTCATTTTAAGCCCTCTTGAAGATTTATGAATTGAGGGTTGCTGAAATAAAAATGAAAAAAAGAAGAATTGCAGATGGGAGAAGATCGTGCTCAAGAAATGGTACACCATCTACAAGGACCACATCACACTGCAGGACTACGAGATCCATGAGGGCTTCAACTTCGAGCTCTACTATCAATAAACTCGATTTTTGTACTTATTTATTTTGTAAAACTTATAAAAAACAAATTTCATTAGAATTTGGAGTGTTGTGTGTCAAAATTAGCAAATTAGCAGCACTGGGAAAGGGATGAATTGGTCAGAGAAGGTGAGAAAAAAATGGGAAACTTGAATACATAATTGGTATTGGATTAGGAAATGGTTGACTGAAAAGATTCTATTGATAGACAATTGAGGATTTTCGCTTTCTGATGAAACTGCGCTTCGACGGCTTCACCATGGCGGCGTCGCGTCCGAAAAAGCTGATCAATTGCGGATGGAGTTTGAAGTGAAGCGGCTCATTCTTCGGCTGTTCGAGAATCTCGCCGTCGAGATTCCAAACTCCCGAATCCTCCTGATCGGAGTCCGGCTGATACGACCATTTCGTGACACGGTAGCAGTTGAGGCTTCGGTCGAGCTCGAAAAGCCGCTTGCCGCCATACATGGCGACTTTTCGCATAAACTGCATGTTGTGGCATCGCGAGATTCGAGGGACCATCGCGAGATCAAGAGTGCCATCGCCAATGCCTAAAACGAACGATTTTGCTGAGCAAACGGCCAACGAATCGCAAACCTGTAAATGGCGCCAATCCGTGTGGTGTGAATGGTGTAACAGTTGGAATGACACAACAAATCACATGCGTGAACTCAGCGTGCCAATGATAGTCGTAATTTCCATCACTAAATTAATTAATTAATTAGCTGAACACAAACCGCTTAATTACCCTAGCGGTTTATCGCAGATGTCGCACGGTTTGACACATGGCGGCAGCTGATCTTTGGGATTCGAGCTCTCCTTATGCGAAAGGCTGAATTGCACTTTGCCACGATAGATCGGATGGCGGATTGTGGTTCTCAGCGCGCTCCATTGGTATCGAATCGGTCCGAGGCATCGATAGCTCTCCGAATCGCGAAGAACGTCGCCAAGCCAGCCATATGAGATGGCGTTGGCCGAGATTCGCACCAATTTCTGATCTTTGTGAACCGTGCAGACGTCGACATTGCACTCGGAGCCTTGAGAAAATAATTCGAAATCGGGCTCACACCAAACACTCACCAATGGCGATGTGAACAGCCGACGTCGCATAGTCATTCGTCTCATGGACGGTTGAAACGATGGAGTTGGCCGAACCAGCTCCAATGATGCCGAATCGAATGTGCGGTGTGACGAGATGACTCGTGTTGGGATCATCGATGTTTCTGCCAGCATCGTTTTGGGTGCGCAACAGAGCTCCGGAGAGCAGCTCATTGAAGAGTCCGTCACCTCCAACCGACACCTAGACGCCTCGATATTGGATTAGATTCGCGATCGATGCTTACAAGTCCATCGAGAGCGGTCCATTGCTCCGGCGGCATTTCCACGATATAATCCCTCGCGTGATTCGCTCTTTCCGTCAGAATCACCTTATAGCGAAGGCCTGGAGTCAGCCAGAAGAACGCTTCAACCTGGAACCGTTGATTTTCGGATTCTAGACGCAATTTCAAATGAATTACATTATCTTTGAAAATTTTCTGGGCTTTTCCCTTTCCGCCAAACGGATTGATGAACACGATAATATTCTTCGGGCGATTCTGAACACCTGAATCAATAAATTAATCGCCCGATTAATTGGATAATTAACAAACGTCTCAATGTGGTGTCGATGAGACTATGCCAATAATCGCGTTCCGACGTTGTATAAAACACCACGGGAATCTGCTTCAGACGCCAACGCTGTTTGTCCTTTTTGTAGACGAAATTGAAGAACAAGGTTTTGTCAGAAGAAGCTGGCCGCTGAAAAAAGAAAAGAACAGTAACAGCAGGAAGATTTGAAAGTCTATCCTTACCGTTGGAATGACTGGAACACCTTTTCGGATCTTCAATGGAAAGCATGTCGTTGAAAGAAGCTCATCAAGACGATAAACCACCAAATGTTTGCCGGAACCGCTAAAAAACCATCTTCTTCTTTTCGTTGGAATTGTTAGTCATTTGAATCGCCTATTTTGGTATGAGTCATTGAAGGGTGTGATCGGGTTTTCCGACTGACTCTGTCAATTTTAAGTTGAGGATTCGAATTCGAAATCTATTGAATGAACGAACAAATTTATAGGATATAAAAACAAATTTTCTAATTGACTTAATGTATTCTGAGAGGAAAATAATGCTCTTTTATCTAAAAAATATAAATTAAATTGTGCCTAAAATTAGCTAAAACTTTTCGAGTTATATGTGACTTTAACCAATATTTTTAGTTAGACTGTAAATATGTGGAAAAATTTTTTTAATTTTCGCAAAAAAAATAAAACGAAAAAATGCGCACAAGTCAGTTTTAAAGAATGTAATAGAACTCACTCCAAAAGCCGAAATTCAAAGACATTATGGTCCCTGTCGAAGACGATTCGATGGCGTTTAGCATGCGGCGATTGGACATCTGCAATCAATTGGCCGCTTTCGCCAGAAATGCGGCTTCTCGATGAAATCGGCACCGTGTCGACGTTTTGTCCTAAACCGAAAAATGATAATTGCAGAATGATATAATTAAGGTGGAACCTTTGACAGACTCAATCGGAACAATTGTGGTATGGGGATTGTCATTTTTCACCTTTTTCGAGCCACCCATTTCTGAAAAAAATCGATTGTCAAAATGCGCGATCGAGACAAAATAGTAGAACATTTGATGGAGCGGGGGGTTTCGAAACAGAAACTGAAAGTGGGGAGAGATGGAGGCGGACGAATTGCGCACACCCCTTCAACAGTGGCAAGTATCGATTCGATTCGATTTGAATGCCGTCAAACAGATGTTAGCGTAAACAAATCACAGACACTCGCCTATCATTATATTCTTCTTTTGTCAGGTACTCGTTTATCATTGGCATATAACGCGTACACAAAATATAAAGAATAAATGAGAGAGAGACACACACACACCAGAATGCTATTTTTTGAAGGCTGACAGCATTGTCATGAATGTGACCTTTTGAGGCAACTGCAACCGGCGGTGAATTGGATTTGGTTGTGAAAGAGAAAACTGATTGAGAAGCCAATTGATTGGCGAGATTTCAATTTCCGGGCATTTTTTTGACCGATTTATTTAATAATGAATGCTGCAGATTCAATGGATTCGGGTGGCCTAACTTTCTTTAAAAAAAATTAAACACGAATTTCGAAAAACCAAGCTTTATGTAATTTCGTCGAAGATTAATTTCTACTGTCTAATTTTTTCTGAATTCGGATTATTTGAATATTTAAATACGGAGAAACTTTGAAATTTTTCAAAATAAACAGTATATTTCTGGGTAAATATTTACACCAATGTGTGATGGCCTAACTTTTGACAGCGGCCATCACACCATGTGAACCGGCCTAAATGTATTTCCGAAAAAAATATTGAGAAGGTACCGTAATCAAAGGGACATCCCATTATTCGTTTTTTTTATAGTTTTACGCGATATGAAACGATCTTATAATGGATAAATTTAGGAAATGTGAAAAATTATTATATTCGCGAAAAACGAGCTCCCTATGGTATCCGATTTCCAACTGATTAAATTCGAATTTGAATTGCCGCCTCGAAAAGTGCAATGGTCCACAATTATTGCATTTTTTAAAAACAAAAACTTCGTTGGAAATGTTTTTTTTCAAACATTTTTTTATGGAATGAGTAGGATCTTAAGAATTCTCTCGTTGAGACCTCAATTAAAGGTTCATCATTGCTTGAATTAAAATGATATGATGATTACATAAACCATAAAATATTTAGGCCATATTCACACAATTTCTCACCTCCTCGATGCTTCTAGAAAATTTCAATTATGCGATTTTATTTAAAAATTTTAAATTTTGCGCACAAGCCTTTTGAAATTGATAACAATAAGCGCGACCTCATTATTTTGTAATTGTAAGAACGCGTTTCTTAAAGATATTTCAAATTCCATGCGAGACCCAAACCAATTACTGCCATTCGTACAGTCGGCTGCCAATTTTTGAGTTGCGTGTATAGTCGGCGTCCGGCGACTGCTGTACGCTGGTAGATTTACGCGCATGCGCCTTGAAAAAGGTCTCGAAACACGAAAATGCTTATTTCGCTGTTTTTACGTGAACTGCTTCATTTTTTTATTAGTTTCGAATTTTCTTGAATTTCCAGCGTCATTCGATTAAAAAATTATCGAATCGGTCGATAAAATTTGAAATAACCAGTTAGTCGTTGCGGGACCATTTCGAAAGACGCATTCCCGTAAATCTACCCGCATATGGACGCCGACTATATATTTGTCCGTTATTTCGCCACCAAAACCTCCACATTCATCTTTTTTTTTCATTTTTGGGTTGCTCATTGTGCAAACGATCGGAATAAATAATTTTCTTGAAAATCAGCGAAGCATGAGAGCACAAAGCTTCGTGAGAAGGCGCTGGTTGAATATTATTGATTAATGTCGCCAACCGACCTACATCTATACAACATTCACCGCTAGAATACACATTTATTGACAGTGTTTCGAATAATGCAGAATTCGACATGACGTCGAGGTTCGGGTTCCTCGTGTCCAGCCGTCGGTCTCCTCGTTGAGCGCAGTGTCTCGCGAGCGCGCGCGCGTTTGTCGTCCTGCCACACCGATTTCCCTCATCGCCTCCGTCCACACATTGCTTTCTCTTTGCCTTCACCATATCGATTATTATTTTTTCGTTTTCTTATTTGCACTTCACATCTCTTTTCTCTCAAACATGCTTATTTATTTGCATTCAGCGCGATTTCGATGAAATCAATTAATTGATTATATTTCTTGCAAATTCTCATATCATTCTTTTTTTTGGAAATTTTCCGACAATCAGTTCGACAATTATCAGTTACTAATTTTTCGTGCCAAAACACACGGAAGTATTTTTTATGTAGTTGTTTACACCTGCCTGATAGTGATTGTTCTCTGCGTCCGCATTTTTCTTTTAATAATTCAATAGGTTTGAATTCTATCAGCGAATTAATCCATAAATTTCAAATCAAATCCCTTGCATATTTTAGCTTAAAATAGCACCGAATTAGTGGGAATTAAAATTAATTTTCCAAAAAAAAACGAAATAAATTTAATTTTTTGTTTCGATGGTGTCAGCTGTTATATTCTATTTTCTCTTTTTCATTTGATGATTGCTAAGACATTTCTATAAAAGGAAACTTCGAGAAACATTCGGGAATATCAAAACAATTAGTAAAAATTTAAACATTTCCGTGAAAAATATCTATTCGGGTACTGTAATATTTCAAAGGTGCATGCTCAATTTATGTTAGTGTCTTACTACGCCCGTCTACAGTAGTAAATGTGATTATTCGAATTTTGTCCAATTCTTTTTGGCTTTTTGCCAATTTTCAAGATTAAATATTTAATTTGGCGCCATTTTTTTAGAAGAATGGCTGGCGACGAAACATCGGACAATGCGCCTTGCACGTCAAAAACTTTCTCATTTTTTGATAATTCTAACACATTCGAATTCGTCGTTGATTTCGAGAAACTCACCATCGACGTTGATGCGAAACGTCCCCAACCAACGGTATGAAGACGAAAAAAAAAACGTTTTTCGGTTTATTTTTCAAATTTTTATTAATTTTTAGCAAATGCCGGATAACAAATGCGTAATTTTTCGAACACCAATTCATAAAACTGGCCGCTACGCACCATACAAGTGCCCTATTAATAGCAGGTGAATTTTTTTTCTGCTGCAAATTTTGCCTTCAAAAATAAATTAAAGGTGGAAACAACGACCAAACGAAGAACAAAAGGAACCCGAATATACAATTGAAATTCTATTGCCCGTCGTTTTAAAAGGAGACGTTGAACCATTAAAGCTGTGCCTTATCGATAGGTGATGCCGCTAATTATACCGTATAATTTAATTAATTATATGTTGTTGCAGGAAGGATTCGGTGACGCCGTGCAGTGTTCAAGCGGCGCGTCCGCCGTCGCCCGACGACGACGTCGACGAGCTCACCGAGTACTTCGAGCATTTCGTGCGCGTCGACCTGAAAATGTCGGCGTTGGCCGAATCCATGTATGTCTGAAAATCGTGTATATTTCTCCCCACCACTCGCTCAGCAAACATTTCAATTATGTTCCTATTTTCATCTTCTTCATCAAAAATAAATGAAATCGTTATCGCTTCATTCAAAAACACAAAACACCTCGAAATGAACAAAACGAGCGATCAGTTTGGCAAAATTGATTTGGGTTCGTCAATAAAAAAAAAACATTCATAAACAGAGAAAAAAATCATCATAATAAGAGCCATAATTATTAAAAAATGTACAATCGGCGATAGATAAAATCAGCATTGTTATGTCCCGCATAATGTTGAGAATCTTCTGAGGTTGTTCAGTGAATGCTAGGTGATCAACGAAGAATAATAATCAGTCGCCATGTTCCGTCGTCTCACATCGGTATATGTTGTACTTAAGGAAATGATATACAGGGTGTCGGACTTCTTCCTGGAAAATGATATGCTTAATTCCCAATCATTAAAAGTGGCATCTTCCATAATTGGAATTTGAATGAGGAGTATCCCTAAAATGAACTACTACAGTAAGATCTTTCGAACTAAATCCATAATTACCGTGAGTCATGTGATGTCTAATCGAACATCAACGCTATTGCATGTCACGTGCCCATTTAAAGAAACAAATACCTTTATTGCAAGCCTCTCAAGGAATTCGCCATCGCTTTTCTCGCCACAACGATTCTCGAATTGAACGTATTTAGAGCGTTCTAGTCGAATGAAATGCATATCTTGCAGCATCATATACTGAAAATCAAATAGTAAATTTTCCAACAACAAAAAAACGCCAACCTTTTCTTCAAATGGTCCTTTCATTGTGACAAATCCACCAATCTCCGACGATCTCGGCACATGATTGTAGGTCTTGAAATTGCGAATCGGCAATACTCTCAACGGCTTCGGCTCCGTCTTCTTCGCTGTCCTCTTCAAGAACAACTGCCGTCCGAATCCCGGATGCTGTGTTCGATGAAACGTTCGACGATTCACGCTGACAGTCGCCCCGACGGTAGCAGCGCAACGTCGCTTCGGCTCCGGCGAATCGGTGGTGTCTCGCGACCGCGAGCCCATCTGCAACTCACCCAAATTTAGTCAATAGTGCGCGTCTCGTGGTTGTTGTGTGCGGGAGGAGAAACGAAAACGAATCGATGCGGGGGCCACAACAATAGGCCGGCGACCGCACGAAACGCATTGGCCGCAGTAATCTTGGCCGGCGAAACACACACACACACACGCACGCATGCATATACTCACACACATATTAATAAACACGGAGGGCCATTGCCAGCGGACGGATAAAAATAAAAGATATACGCTCATTGGAAATCATCGCGAAAGAAGATATCGCTTTCTCACCGTATATCATTTTTTTTTTCAAAATCGCAAACTAATGAAAGCGTCGCAGCTCCGTCTTAAGAGATAGAGGGAGAGACCCATACTATTGGTCAAGTTCTAATGCAAACACACCCATTTCTGTACTTTTGCGCAAATTGTGCAAAATGAAAAAAAAAAACAATTTGACCAACACTTTCCGCTCAAAATGAAAAAATCAGTCGTCAAGCTAAGGTCATTATGATAAATCTATACCTGATTTCGTTTTCGTGATGACGACGACGGACTATCTTCAATGGGCTGTGGCGATGATTCAGATGTCGACGGCCGCTCACCATCATCCTTCAAAAAATGAATGTCGAGTTTAGAAAATTTCAAGAAATATTCTTACTGCAATGGTGACATCCATATCGTCTTCATATCGATCATCTGTTTCGCGCTCCTCTCGATCTTCATCGTCATGATCGCGATCCTGGTCTGATTCCGATTCTCGACTCTTCTCGTCGTCGTCCCGATCCTCCTCCTCCTTTTTGTCTTCTTCACGTTGCTCATCTTCATCATCCTCGTCCGTACGACTTCGCGGCGTCTCGACTTCCCGCTTCGGATCTTCACCGTCGCCATCATTACTTCCCATTTCCTCTTCCGGCTTCCCCGACTCTTCCTTGGGTTCGATCTCCTTGCTCTGTTCACGCGTCTGCACTCGCTCTTCGTCGTCGTCGAGCTCTCTCTTCGGCTCATGATCCATATCAACCGATGCTCTCTCATTATTTTCTTCGCTATTGCCGCCATCAGATCTATCAGCATTGTCCTCATCATTCTCTTCCGAATTCGCCCTCTCATTCTCCACAGCATCGTCGCGAATTGCCGACGAATCAGCACTCTTCGATGATTCAGACCCAGCCGTCTTCGACGATTCAATAGTTTCCGTAGTCGCCGCAGTCCTCATCGTCTCCGCAGTGCACGTCGTATCCTCAGTTCCTCTCGGCGAATCCGGAACATCAACCGTCGGCATTTCTTCAGTCTCTCCAGTTTCATTCGCGTCGTCGTTATATGTTCGAAGCTTCTGCTCAATATCATTAGCAGTCAGCTGAAAGCAATTCATTGAAATCTCGTGACAATCTCGTCTCAATAAGCTCACATTGGTGTCGATCATAGTCACAGTCAATATTGGAATCGTATGATTCGCATATTCAAGCTTATAACAATTCCTCTTATACAAACGCTCTTCAGCCATCGCCGCATATTCTTTCTCAACTCTAAAAACCGAATACAAAATATGAGAAAAAAAGGAAAATAATATAATAATAGGAAACCTGTCAACAAAATCGCTCTGAGTAAAACAGTTGGGCAAATTCTTGAATCGGAATCTCATGTACATCTTAATGGCCGAACATTCGTCCTCGTTGTTCGCCAGAGTTGCAAGAGAGCGAACCGCCACCGACATGATCTTATCAATGAGGAACAAATGGCAAGCTTGAGTCGGGAAGAGGGATCTGATAATTTTCAGTTCAATGGGTTCAGGAAAAAAAAGACAAACCTTAAACAATCCTCATACTGCGAGGCATCCATCTCACCATCCATGTATCTCTTGATTTCAGTCAACACTAGTTTGTACAACGTAGTTGGCAATGGTCCAACGTTCTGAAAACGCAGATTAAAAAAAGATTAGTTGAAAATCGCAAAATGATACTCGAATTTTGCGCATCGCCGATCCTAAAGCTCCCCAATTCTTTTCGGCATGAAGCAATGTTCCTCGAGCCAACTGCTCCATGTCGCGCTCCCATTCCTGTCGGCATCTTTCCTGCTCCTGAAAATCGTAAAATTTTCATGTCGATTCGAGTTGTCGCCGAGATTCGTACATAATAATCTTCGACGCCTCTCAAGTAGGCCGAATGAATTTTGTGCAGTCGCTCGCAGAGTGCATGATGAAGTCGCATGAACACGAACAAATTGTCGTCGCCATAGATCAATCGCCGTTGACTTCCGCGCTTTTGGAAAAGGTACTCATCCTCTTCATACTGATCCTCACACTCATATTCCGGCCATTCGCTAGAGTCGTTATCAACGTAGTGAGTCATCAAGTTGATTCGTCGACCTCTGGAAAAAAATCGAATGTTGCCGTCTAGAATCGACCCAAAAACCTTTTGTCAAACTCAATTTTGTCAACATCACTATCTCTTCGATTTTTCCTCTTCTCAAGCTCGAGCTCCTCCTCTTCCTCATCGTCCGACATTTCCTCAGTTCGTTCGCACATCCATTCAAGAACAATTCTAAAAATCATCGATTCAAGAATATTCTAAAAACACCTTTTAACTCACTTCCTCAATATGATTTTCATCTTCCTCTTCTCATCTTTCGTATAATGCTGTTGCCTTCGAAGATAATGAACAAGAAGATCATTGACATCATGAAGGATCGATTTGCGTTCCGGATAACATAATTTCATATGCGGCCCTTTACTGTACTTTCCAGGACAGCTAGAAAATAACAAATTAAGGCTGAGAACAAAAGCAAAATTGTGCTTACTCTCCCTGACGTTGATCAAAGTACGCTTCAAACGAGTGAACGAGCGATTTCGTCTTGAGAAGGCGCGAATCGGCTTGTTTTACTGTCGCAGCTTGATGATCCAACGATCTTGCAATATTCTTTTCAAGTTGCTCTCTCCACATTCTAAAAAAAAAGTCAAGCTAAAATTCCAAACAAAAATGATTAATCGACTTGTTCATCTGCGTCTGAGCCTGTCTCCACTCTTTTTCCTTTTCAATGAATCGCTGAAGAACCTTCGGAACCGCGTTGAACGGCGAGTCTCTTAATCCATGGATGATCTTCGACGCAGCTTCACCATAGATTCTTTTGATGGCTCTTGTGATCAAAACTCCCGACGAGCATCCAAGTTTCTCGTCAAGCCTAGAATCAAACAGTTTGAAGAATATAATTGCAAAGAATTTTACTTGAATCGACATCTATCATACTCGCTCATCCGCTCCATTTTCCTTTTCAAAAGCTCAAACGACTCAATCGCGTATTTGTTAACGTCAAGAACGATGTCGAGCTGAAAATGCAATTATTTCAATAGGGAAGCTGAAAAAAATCGGAATACTTCAAATCGTTCATCCTCTGTTTTGTACAAAAATTCTTCAAATGTCGATTTTCTCGAAGCAACATTGCCGTTATCTTCCGAAGACCACGATGGATACGAAGTCCACGTATCATTGAGAACCTAAATAAACCGAATTACAATTTTTCCATACAAAGCTTCTTCGTACTTCGTCACAAAGTGCCGTACGTCCAGACGGCTTCTTGAGCTCATTTTTGTCTTTGATTATGTGTCGATAGCTCACACCAAGAGTGCAAATCGTCTTCTTAATCACATCTCGAACAATATTCTCGCCTTCACGAATCCACCCTTTTCGAACTCCCGATTTCACATCGCTCTCATCATCGAGATCGCTTTCTGAAAGAAAAAAACCAACTTAAATAAAATCAATCAAGAAGATAAAAATTGATCGCGTTCTACCATCGGCATAGTCGAATTTCTCGCCAAACAATGAGAAAATTTCATTGACAATATCGTGATGTCGACTTCCGAGCATATTCTTAAGGTTGTCAAGGAACTCATCAATCGATATATGTCCAGGGAGGAATACATTCAGCAAAATGAAGAACCGATCAAATTCCATTCGAGAAAATCGCTGTTGAAGCTAAAAAAAATGAGAAAATAAAACATAATAATAATTAATAAGAAAAATTAACCTTTGAGTACAATTCCATATCAACAGAAGAGAGCAATGCATACATATCCATCGTCGGACCGCGTTCCGGTTCCGACAATGGGAATCGTCCATCCTCGAACATATTCCTAGCCAAAATTTTTGCTATTTCCCTTCGCCCAAATTCCGCTTCATCACGAATTCGCTTTTTCTTTTTCGGACGCGAATCCTCATCACCAGCGTCGGCGTCACCATCAGCGGTTTCATCTTTAAAAAAAAGAAGAGTAATCTCATTATTTTCAGCGGGTCCATCAAACCATCATTATCGATTTTATAAATGTCGTCTTTTTTCCGTTTCAACAATTCGTCGGGAAGCGGTTCGGTTTCAAACAAATGCATATTCAACATCGCCTGTTTCGTTTGATTGAAATGCTCAATTTTTGGAATAAATCGCTCAAATTCCTTTAGAAGATCATCATGGCCAGCAAATAGTTTCCTCGCCACTTCCAGTATAAACATCTTTTTGACTTCCATGCCAGCTTCAGCTACTAATTTACATTCAGGCCGCCGTTTGCCAACCGGTTCATCCTGATTTAAATTCGCTTAAAAATATGAACACAAAATAAAAAAAATACTGGTGTCTCTATGAAGAATTGAAGAATATCGAGGAAATCGCGATAAACTTTCGGATTCGACTCAAATCGCTTTTTTATTTTGTACGTAAAACTTAGGGCGTTACTCCGATGAATTAGTTTCTGCAAAAAGTTATCAGAAGTTCAAATTTTTGCAATGAATTAAATACCTTTTCAGAACTGTTTAAATTTTCATCATCATTGTCTTCCTCTTCATCATCATCATCGACATCATCATCATCAAAGACATCTTTGAAATACTCGGCGAATTGCTCGGTGAATAGCTCATCGGGGCAAATGTCGGAATCCATATCATCGTAGTCAGTGTCCATGATCACATCGCCATTCTCATCATACTGCCCCTCATCCTCTTGATTTTCTCCGTCGCCTTCTTCTCCTTCTTCTTCCTCCTCAACTTCCTCGTCTTCATCCTCATCTTCAACTTCTTCATTTTCTTCATCCTCGATCATTTGGTGATCTTCATCCTCCTCTTCTTCCTCATATCGCGGTTGGTCTTCATATTCCTCGATGACATCTTGTTCGCCCTCATGTTCAACTTCAGGTTCATGTTCGCCTTCAACTTCTCCTTCACCATTGGCATCAGGATCGGGCTCAGGATCGACATAAGGATAGTTCCCGTTAACCGCATGAGCATGGCCGTTCATAAATGGCGGATCGGGCGGCGGCACTTCTTCATATTCGTTCTTCGGATTGACTATACAAAGCCGATTCCCAATATATGTTACTTGGAATCCGGCGGGAAGAAATGTGTTGAAATTAAGAATCAGTTCCGGATGATCGTGGAACAGGGCGCTGACACGTTGAATTACACCGGGAGTATCTAATCTGCAATCGATTTATTCACTAAAACAAATGTTTGAAAACAAAATTCCTACGCTTGCGATCTAAAATCCTTCATCACTCTCAGAAATTCCTCATATGTATGGTTATCATGGCGGAATTCGGCTTTAACTGTCTCCAAGTATGATAACGCATTTCGGACCTGAAAAATCGATTTTTTGTGTAATTCGCCAACAATTTATACAATGCAATAATTTTGTAAAAACGTACTTTCGCACTATCTTCTGGCATAGCTGCATAGTCATTATGCTGGAATTGGTGATTTGCATCTGCGCCGTTGAACATTTTTTTGGATTTTTTTCTTTTTTTTTCCGGCGAGAAAACACCTACAAAAATTGCGATTTCTCACATAAATTGCGCGAAATTGCGATATAACATAAATAAATTGAATGGAATATGTTTTAACAAGTTTACAATGTCAATAGATGATGATTTCAAAAAGACAGAGAGAATTGTTTAGGCACGCGGTCGTGACGGGAGCGAATTTTCGAATGAAGCGCGGCGGGTGGCCGTAAACAAACCACGGCCATCACTCGTCGCGTTCTAGGCTTCGGCGCGAATTTGAAGAATAAAAGATTTTGAAATCATCAGCGACTAGTACATGAAATTGTAAATCACTATAAATTTCTAAAATCAATTTGAAAGAATACATTTTTCAAATTATTCATTCACTTAAAAGCAATTTGAGGTTTAACTATTAAAACAATGTACTAAAAATATAAAATATTCCAGCGAATTTTTATAAAATAATTTTTATTCTATATTTTGCCAATAAAATTGAAAACTTACAAAAATGCAGTTTTTCGCGTAGACAGCGAACCAATGGAAAAACAAAAACGCGTCGTAAATTACCCCAGAATTCTTAAAGGAGCATGAAACTGTAGCACCAATTTAAGGTGTGTGATTTATCCAAAAAAAAACTTTAATTGCAGACAAGCGTGACGTGAAATGACGTGGCAGGTCAACACACGTGGATTTCGAGCAACGAAATTTAGGATGCAGTTGAGAGTTTTTCAACGGTTAGTCGGAAATTTTTTCTGCCCCCTCCCCAATTTGACGTTTTTCATGAAAAGATTTTGTTTAAAGTCTTCAATGAAACCATATTATAATTTGTAATTGAACACCTTAAAGGTACGCGGTTCCAAAATGCAGCCAATGAAAAAGAATTCGTTCAATTCCCACAATTCGGACGGCAAGAATCGCTACTCTGAGAAGCATTCCAATTATGGCGGCAAGAAGTCGAGCTCGAAGTCGAAGAATTCGCAACAGAATAAGGTTTTTTTGTCCAATATTCTTCTAAATTATACGCCCATTGTTTAGACGAACCCGTACCTTTCGAGCGAGGTAACAACCTTGGGTATGAAGAGCATCTTTGCTCAGACTCAACAGAAGAAGCTCAATGAGATGCGTAGCCGTCAGTCGCAGTTAACCAACGCCGCCTCGCAATATTTGTCGTATCAGCAGAACTGTGGTCTTCAGAATTATTACACGCCACCGAATTCATTTTATACCGGTTTGGACTCCAACACCTACAACTTAATGAATACCGAGCTACCGTCTCTTATGAGCGTCGCACCTTATAAGCAAATTGCTCCGGAGAGATTCGACATGAGCCATATTTCAGGTAAAAGGGATTTCATTAAATAATAAAAATAACGAGTAAATCTAGACGAACTCTTTGCTGTAATGTCAGATGGGATAACGGAGCTTCCAGTTGGAGTGGCCATGGAAGAAATGCCGAAAAGTTCTCGAAATAACGGAAATCGAAAAAATCGAATGGTTGAGATGAAGACTATCGACGATGGTGAATCTTACCTTCGTCTTAAATATACGTTACGCAATATATTTCTTTTTCAGGAACCAATAGTCGTTCGGTGTTCGTTGTCAGCGATCCCATGGCTGCGACGGCTTCGAATCGCTCAACGATTGTCCAGGCAACTACTCCGAGACCTCCCAACATCTTGGCCAACATCGAAACTTGTGGTGAACCGCTTTATTCGAGAAAGGTCTTTATTGGAGGGCTTCCAATCGATGTTACGGAAGGTAAAAGAGTTTATTATTTATTCTGAAAATTGCCTAAAATTATAGAAGAGGTTTGGACAACCTTTGCCGCTTTTGGAAAGGTTCTCGTCGACTGGCCTCGTCGTCCAGAAAATCGCCGCAACGAGTTTTTCGATATGGACATGCAGCCAAGGAGAAATTGTAAGCCCAATGGCTGAAAATTGTTCTTTAATTTTTTGTTTCATTTCAGCTCGATCGGTTTCCGGCTACGTCTTCTTGGTGTTCCAGAATGAGTATTCCGTTCGGGCTCTTGTTAATAGTTGTGAAATTTTCAACAAAAAGTAGAAATGCAAAATTGATAGAAAGCGATAAATTTCAAAACATTCAGGTTTTACTTGGAGCTCTCATCGCCAACAATGAGTGGAAAAGCCGTCCAAGTGCGCGCTTGGAACCTTTCCGACATCGACTACTTCGCCGACAACAATGCTCCAATCGATCATCGTCGAACCGTGTTCATCGGCGGAGTTCCGCGGCCAACAAGAGCCGGTAGGTGCATTGATGGTAGATCACTCAATTTTCGAACGCTTCAGTCGATCTCGCGAGATGTCTCGAAAAGCATTACGGCAAAGTGTCCTACGTCGGAATCGACATTGATCCTGAGCTCAAGTATCCGAAAGGCGCTGCGCGAGTTACATTCGCCTATGCGAAATCGTTTGTGGCCGCAATTAGCGGAAGATTTGTGCATGTTGTGCATTCCGATACTAACAAGCGAGTATGAAATGCCCTATTCGCGTGTTTGCTGATTCCGCCAAATTCAGGTTGAAATCAAGCCGTATGTGATGGAGGATCAAATTTGCGACGAATGCGAAGGCAAAATCTGCAATTTCAACTACGCGCCCTACTTCTGCGGTGACGCTTCATGCCTTCAATACTATTGCGAAAAGTGTTGGGATCGAATTCACTATGTAATGTCGCCGGCTCGCTCAGAGCATCGCCCAATGGTTCGCACCGGCGATCAAACTCGAGTAAGACCAACCAAATATGTCTGGAATTTTCAAGAAGCTAGTGTTTCAGGTTCTTCCACGCCCTCCACATCATCCGCAGAATGGAAGCCGCAGCTACCCAATCGCTGAGCAATATGCCAGCGTAATTTCTCGTGTCACCGCACCCAACACCCATCATACCTCAATGCCATTGTACCAAAAACAATTTTCGGCAACCCCAACTTCAATCGGGTTCTAGACAAATTCCTTTATCAGTTTTATCGCGGTTCGTTTTTAATTTGTAAAACGTGAAAAAAAATTCATGTCACATTTCTTCAACAAGTATGATTTTTTTGTTATAATGTTTTAAATTGATCGCCAAACAACCCTCAATTATTATGTAAATTCCACATGTTTTTTTTTTGTTTGAATTATTTTGAATGGTTTGTAAGAATGAAATTGTAATTTAGGTAAATAGTTTCCCCGTACCCTCTGAATGTTCTTGTAACCATTTATAGTTTTGTATGCCACTGGCCCACCAACCCCCGTCCCCCTCTAAAAAGTCCAAAAATACTCGTTCATTGTGTCAGTTTCAAGCCTCTCAACAAAGTTTTAACGCTTGAGTCAAATTTGGTATGTAAAATCAAACCGCGTGTTTAATAATTTATTTCATCTACCCATATAAATTGGGCAAACTTAATTACCCAGTTAATACCCGCATGTTGATTTGATTATTTTCACATAAAATTGTTTTAAATCTCTATAAATGGGCTTTTCGTTTCAGCGTCGTCATATCGATATGAGTTCGCTGGTTTGCGAATCGGAATCGATGTGGTGTAAAGCTTGCTTCCCTTTTTGTCGAAGAAATCGAGAATCGCCTTCTCATGGTCGAATTCCATGTAGACGAAGCCGCCTTTTCGGAATCCCAATTGAGATGCCGGACTCCAAGGGATCCACGATGACGGCGGATAGCTGAATAATGAGCGATTCTTGAATTTCGCAGACAAAATGATGGGCTCTCACTTAAAAAGGAGATTCATTTCCGAAAACATATGCTTATGCTTCGTAGAAGCGTCAGTTCTCGAAGCGGCGCCAGACACGACATAGTGAATATCATGATCGCCAAATCCATTGAACACAAAATGCTGAACGCTCAAAGTTATAAAGACAATCGGCGATAAGGCTTACTTGTAATGTGTGATCATGTCCAGCGAAATAAGCATTAACATTGAACCGCTTGAGCATCGGATCCAATCGCCTTCGAAGGCATTCGGTGGGACCATGAGAAGACATTGAATGGATTGGATAGTGCCCAGAAACTATCAGGTATTGGGCACTGGAACGAAAAATTTGAGATTCGAAACGACATCAAAAAAGAGAAAAAAGAAATTGCTGCGATTACCTCGAGGCGTTCAGATTCTGCTCAATCCAATCCCACTGTAACTCGGCGGCGGTCGCATTTTGTGGTCCCTGGAACAATTTTGGTTTCGATTAGTCTCGTCATCATTTCCAAATCACCCTCGGATCATGCGATTCGTTGCGCAGCATATCAAAGAATCCCGCATTCTGAATGTCTTTCGTATTTCCGCACAACTCGATCGTGTCGATCATCAGAAAATCGATGGTGGTGCCATTGAACTCGACCGTCTTTTTATAATACAACGACGGGAAGTACCTGGAAAAGGCGAATCGCGTCGCAATTTGTTCGCCCAACCGAACCGAACCAACCATTTGAAGCTGTGCTTTGTGTACTCGACTTCGGCGGTCACATTCCCAAAATGATCGTGATTGCCGGCAATGGTGAGCCATGGCACTTGAAGACTTGGCGCCGTATAGACATTCTCGAAACGCGTCTGAAATCTCGCTAGATTAATCCCTCTCGCTCACTTCTAATCAGACTCCTCATACCTCAAATCGCTCGTCGAATTCATTAGTGGGACCCGTGAAATAGATATTGTCACCCATATTGAGGACCATTTGAACATCGTGCTGACTCGCCACATTGCCCATCGCATTCTTAACGGATTCCTGAGCCCATGTCGTCTCCATTATCGGAATCCCTTGAAAAAAAATATTTATAGTCAGGGTCAAATGAATTAGGGGTGCATTTGCTTTAATATTTGAATTGCCGCCTTGGGTCTCATATGGAGTCTTGTTTAATTTAACCATCATAATGTGAAAAAGCATAATTTTTAAATGAATTTCTTTTGTATTTTAAAAATGTCAAATGGCGAATTTGAAGAAAAATTAAATTTTCCATCAATTTTTGAAAAATTGTTCGAATTTTTAAGCAAAATTACCTCCAGTGTCTCCTACTAGCAAAATTCTGTAGGATTTGGCGTTTCGGAGCGGATCAAGCGCAAATCCGCTCGCAATCGATATTTCAGCGCTCGATTGGATGTCTGAAATTTGGGTCAGATCACAATTCATCCATATTTCTTTGAACACAAAACAAATGCCAAAAAAAGCAATGAAAATGCGGGGGCCCCGTGAACACAAACACAAAACATGCACCTAAATCCCGAATGAGAAACCAACTCGAAACGGCGATGAGAAGAACGAAGAAGGCGCACGAGGCGACGCATCCATACATGAGTTTGCGCATCTTGCGGCGACGTTGAATGCCGTGCTGTAATCGAGAATCGAATGAACACCAACACTAATAATCTGGCTATGAAACTGATCGACCAAACCAAACACTTTCTGATAATCCCATCGACGTCACGGTTTCGGTTTGGTTTCCAAACAAAAAAAAATGACAGAGAACGGTGAAGTGGAAGAGCAGAAATCAATAGCAGCTGCGGACAATTGATAGGTTGTTCGCTTATGAAAATATTTTGACGCAAACTAGATTATTCCGAAGTTATTGGATGCATTAAAGTTACTAGAAAAAATTTCGATTTTACTGAGAGTAGTTTTAGAGGAAAATAAATAAACATTTTTAAACTATGTTCATATTTATTTAAATAAAAATTTTTTATATAAATAAATATAATATATTAAATAAAAAGGATCGCAAATTTTTTTTTCAAATTAAGAGAACCGATTTGATGGTCCACATCTAACAAAAACCCCAACAATCGTGTGATTCTCGCCATCATATGTCAACATATGCAAATTTTTTCCGGTATTATTGACTATTTGTCATTCTATTGTTGAAAATCTGAATCGATTCAAAAGAAAATTGGTTGTGTTCAACAAAAACAACATTGGAAAATCTCGGGATGAGGGTAACAGTTGGCCGAATAAAAAAAACAGATGCGAAATGAAACCGAAAAGCCTCGATTAATATTTGCACAGTGACAACTACGCATTTATAATCAAAAGAAAAACTAGGCGTCGCATTTTTGTTTTGTTTGGCTCGATTTACCTGCGAGGTGATCAGTTCATAGGTCTTCTGCATCATCACGCCTCCCTGTTGATGACTCATCCGGCGGAAGCTGAAATCAAGAAATCCAAAACAAAATGCCAACAAGAATGATAGCGGTGAAACACGGAATAGGAAGCGACTTCATTGGGTGTGTGTGGGGATCAACTCACTCATATTGTCCAAGTTTTCCGCTCGCTGACGTCACGAACCGCGGATAGTGCTCAAAGATGGAGAACTGAGAGTGCGAATCGCGAATCGCAAACCTGGACTATCGCACTAGCGCGTTTTTAGGCAATTATTTTGTTTACATCCCGTGTTCCCAACAAATCGTGCCGTCGGAACAGCGGACCAAAGCGAGTTTCGTTGAAACCGCGGTGAAATCAAATGTCTCCGTCTCTCAACATCACACACACTCTCTCTTTGTCACGAAAAATTCTTTTCACCGCCGTTTCACCGAAATCTCGCTTCTTCTACAGCACAAATAGTTGAGTTGTGGCTTTCTCGTTGTTTTTATTGTTTTTCAAACTATTGTTTTTGTTTTTATTTTCGATAGAAATATCAATCGACTCATAATATTTTGTTTGAGAATTGATTCGAAATGCTCAATTTGATAATGGTTCAAACTACACACAAAACACTGTTCTTTAGGGTATTTGAAAAAAAATTATTCAGAATTTTTTTGTGCAAGATGATTTAAATTGAAAAATCGTTTTTAAGATTTTTCGCGGGACAATGGAATTTTCGAAGTCATCGAAGATTCATTTGTTACTACCTATGTTGAAAATGTGGTCTTTCATGACAGATTTTGGAGAAAAAAACATGAAAATCGCAGAAATACTGCTTTCAGTGTGATTTTTACCAAATTTTTGAGTTTTTATTCCAAAATCTGCATAGTGTTGTAAGAGGGAGATTCTTCTGACTCATTCACTCTTTAGACAAACCCCCCTGCCAAATTGAAATTTTGAGTCTAGTTTCATTATTGTGTTACATTTTTTATCATGACGCTTCACAAAGTATCAAATTTCCATATTTCTTTAAAAATTCATAAAACGAACTAAAAAAAAATAGTGACGTTTTCAGCAGCAGCAACAGCGTGAGCGCAATCGCGCTTCATCGCCAACCGCCCCCAGCCAATCCAAATAATGAGTGACGAAAAAACTGAGGATGTCGTCGTCGAGGAACCCGAACAACCGCCGATTGAGTCGTCGAAGTCCGACGAGGAAAAAGCGAAAACGAGCGCCGCCGAAACCGGCGTGTCCGACAAAAAAACGGATGACGAATCGAAATCCGAATCGGAGAAGCCGGCCGACGAGGCGCCGAAGCAAAAAAGATATCACGGCACGTGCAAATGGTTCAATGTGGCCAAAGGTTTCGGGTTCATCATCGACGACATTCAGCAAAAGGATATTTTCGTACACCAGGTTTTCTTTTGAGCACCCGCAATCAACCAATTACGGTATTAATTACAGTCGAACCTCAATATGGGAGGATTTCGAAGTTTGGATGAATTTGAGCGCGTTAGCTATTATCTAAAGGAGCGCGAAAATGGAAAAGGGCTGGAGGCGTATGAGGTATCGTTTCGAAAATTTCGATTTGAAAAGGAAACGCCAATTTAATGCACACTTGACGAATTTAAGAGAAATTCAATGGTTTGAATCGATAGAAGTGGGAAAAGTTTGATAAAATTAACTTGGTCTTCGAAAAATGGAAAACTTTTGGGTTTTATAGCGAAAAGAACAATTTCTGAGTGGTTGGCGAAAAAATTTGGAACGTTTTTTTCGAAAAATATGATGAAAATCTCAAATCGTTTCGACATTTCATTGAAATAAAAATTCTTACAAAATTGCTTATTGTGCGAAAATGGAATTTCTCGTCGAAACGAAATTGATCGTGATTGATTGAAGGTTGCTGCGTCGGATGAGAACGAGGAGCTGCGCGGAAGTCGAATTCACCCGATCGGACGCAAAAAGGCGCGCCAAATGCGCTGTTTTCGTTGCGGTCTCTTCACGACCCATCGCGCCAAAGACTGTCCGTACGTGAAGGACGAGTCGAAGGTGTGCTATATTTGCGGTCTGCCGGATCACATCAGCTCGACGTGTCCGGACCGCAAGAATCGTGTGAAGCGATACGCATGGCAGGCGAAGGATTGCGGATCGCCGCTGAGAATCAGCTCGACGGCGCCGAGCATTAGCCCTCCGACGGAGGAAAATTAACCCGTATTTACTCATTTTTTCTTGTTATATCCATCAATCTCTGTTACTTCTTTTTTTTTCGGCCGGGGCATTTATAGGAGCAGATGAGAATCAGGTCCAAATTTTCTTGATTTTTCATGATTAGGCGTCTAATTTTCCCCCATAATGCCCTTCATCTTGTTGCTTTATTTATAATCTCAGGAAACCATAATCGATCTTTACACCACCCACCCAGCTCAGGTTTAAACTAACTATTAATACTCAGGGATAACATTCAATAAACTCAGGAATTCCTTTTATTCTTCTTCTAATCGTCACAAATTTATATATATATATATATATGCACTAATAAATATTTTGTTAAGCGATGATTAGAGATTTTAATGATTTCGCAAGCTCCTCGTCGCATTTGCAGGTCTCATAGGCGTTTCGGAGCTTCGCGTCGACGGATTTAATGGAGTTTTGAATGGTTGCCAACTCGCAGATCAGCTCAAATTCGAAATTTACGATATTTTTCGAGCAACTCGATTTACTTCAATACACTTTTTCATTTCACTTCTCGCTTCTTTGGCACTCGACGGTTCCAAAATGCCGAACGGCCTAAATTGGCCCTTGATTGGAGTTGGCTTTGATGTTTTCTCGGAATCATTCTCATCGTCCTGCTTCGCTTCTTCGACTTTTCGATTTTTCACCGATTTCTTCTCATCACCATCGTTGGACTTTGGAATAATTGTGAATTGCTCGTTTTCGATTTTAACGCTAAACATATTTATTTATTTAATTGAAGGCGAACAAACAGAAATTGACAGTTCTGAGTCATGTTTTACGCAATTCCATAAAAAACTCTAAACTTACTGAACACTTGGCTCCAAATCGTGAGCATCTACCGAATTCACACTGAACAATGTGACTCCGTGAGTGGTTCTGAAGAAATTCATGAAATGAAAAGAAAATAAATAAGAAATTTTACTTTGCTTTTGATATACAAACTCCTGCAAGCGATAAACGGGCTTCAAGTTGCTTTTGAATGTTCAAATAATCATTTACAAGTGTTAGCCGCTTGAATTCCAGCTCGTTGAGCTCTTTTAAAGACATATTTGCTGAAAATTGAAATGAAAACGATGAAAAATCAAACCAAAATGGCGATAAAGGCCAATGCGTTGGCACAAGTGCGCGCCATTGTAAAATAACAAAAATCGAAATTGTTTAAATTGAAAAATGCAATAAAAACATAAAATTTAAAATAAAAAATAAAATAAAACACAAAATAATTAATAAAAGCGCCCAGGTTTTGCGAATTACCAATTCAACCCAAAAAACTCCAAAATAAAGCAAAAACCAAATTGAATTAAAAAAAAATAAGAGTACTGTAGGTTTAAAGACGCACGCAAAAAATTATTATAGGTCTTGTAACGAATTAACCAAACTCTCAATAGTTTTATCTTTTATTACTCATTCTTTGCAACAATATTGTTCTTGTGTTTAGATCAAATTAAATGTTCATTTAATCGAATCTCCGAAATGTTTTTTTCATAAATTGAATACAATTACGAGTTATTTTATTATTGAAATTAAATTAAATAGAATAAAGTATAATCTTCAAAGAGCGGTTTTCGACGGGGCGCCAAGACTATTCAGATAATCGTCAAAGTCGTTATTCGCAGATGTCTAAACGAGTCATTAATGGAGCGAAATACAAAAAGGAAAAAAATGAACCTCTCCAGCAACATTGCTAACAGCAGACACCTCGTTCACATCCTTCAACGTTCTTTCAGCTTTGCTCTTCGGATGCGTTTTAGTAATTGTCTTTGGCAATTTCTCATTTTCATGCTCCTCGTCAGGTTGCGTTCGTTCCACTCCCAACTCCTCCTCTTTCTTCTTCTTCTTCGCCGTCTCAGTTTTCTGCGGCGGCTCGATCGGAGTACCGGCCGTATCGCTACTAGGCTGGAATCAATTTTAAACTGTCAGAGTGATCCACTGGATAACAAATCACCGCCGGAGTCGATGGTCTTGACATCTCGGGTGTCTTCGGCTCCGACTTCACCGGCGTCGCCACCGCTGTCGTCGTCGACGCCAACGCTTGCTTCGTCTCACTCGGCCGCTTCACCGCCTTCGTTGTACACAATATTAAGACGTTTAAGATAAGTATTGAGATTTGTAACACGTAAAGTATGCAAACTGCTCTAAACGAATGCTGGAAAATCGCCGAAATCAGCCAAACACTCACATCATTTTGAATTTTAGAAATATCAGAAATGAGTTGATCACGGAATAACGCATTTGCACAAAATATTCTAATATTTATGTTGAGATCGACCGGCAGGATTCCAATATCAAAACAATGGGGGGGGTACTCGCAATAATATCTAACACAGTATTAGTATTAATAATAGTAATATAATATAATATAATAATAATTAATATTAAATATGTCGTGGCTTTTTGTATAGCATAGTACTCGTAATGATTGATCGGGTCTTTTTTGGGGAAGAAGCAGAAGAACAGAAACGGCAGTGTAAATATGACCCGATTGGCTAATTTTTGTTTGGCAATGATGGTGATAATAAATAAATTTCGGTTGTATATATGTACAGAAAATGTTCGAAGCTTCGCCGTCGTCGTCGTCGTCGTCTACGGCCACGGCCAATAGGGCTTGGTGAGCATTATCTGCTTGTTCCTTTGCGTCTTCGTGTCCTCATCGGAAGCGAGACTTCGCCGACGATGCTTATGCCGAATGTGGTGCTGAAATCAAGCGCCCGGTCAAATTCCATTCAAAACTGAGCCGATCAAAGTGCCGCATTCTTATCGCGTTTAAGACACGACTCAAGTAATCAGTGTCGCGACAACGACAATATCAAAAATTTCCCGCAACGACGATACCTTATGATGGTGATGATGCTGCGAGTGCGACGGCTTCTCGACGACATCGTACACCGGATAGCTGGAACATGCGCTAGCCAACAGGAGGGCGATTATTAGCAGCAGCGACATCCTGCAAATCAGTTGATGATTAATGGAAAGCGAAATAATCGAACGAAAAAAAAGGAGATCTGGGTCGCGACCCGACCCCCTTTTTTTTGGTGGTGCCGGGAGAAATGCGCAACATTCAGCCAGCAAGGTGGATGAAAAGTGGAAGGCAAAAAAAACTGATTGGCGAATGATAGATTAGGCGAACACCAGTGAAAGTCAGCAAGCAAAAATGCGGCCTTCAAGCAGGTAGCCCCCCCCAACCTGCAGATTGATATGATCGAAAGCGAAAAGCTCACCAATTCGATTTCAGCATTGTGTTTTCGTTGTCAGCTTATTTCGATCTCTTTTTGCTGGATGAAGATGGGCAGCGACCTGCAAATCAACATAGTTAATCAAAATTGTAAATGAAGAAGTTAGTAATAGTAATAGTAAGAGTATTATCATTTGATCTAATCAAGCACCGACCGCAACCACCTTTCAATTTCGTTAAAACGGATAACGACTGGTAGGAGGTGGAGGAGAAGGACGGGAGGTTGGTGAGGCGTCAGGCGTGGAAATGGGCGGAGTTGGCGGGCGGCATGGCTGCGCAGCCATTGCGTAAACCCACCCCGAGCTATCTTATTATTTTCACTTTCGGCCAAAAAATTTTTGTGTGTGTGTGTGTCTGTGTTTTGGGCTTTTTATTATTATTTTAAATATGTGTATAATTTGGGTGACCGGTTCTACCAACCTCTCACACAAGATTTGGTGTGGGTGTAGCAAGAATGAACATGAACATACGATGAAAGAGAACAATGCAACTGGTGGATTCGGGTTCTTAGGCGGAAATTTGCACCAAAAAAAAATTGGCGCCCAAAACTCGCTCTTCTTCTTCTCCTCCTCCTCCTCCTTTTTGTTCGATCAGCCAGAAAAAGGGCTTCTGCTGTTTTGGTGGTGTTGAACTTAATCTCGACACAATGGGGGGAACCGAAACGAATCAGGAAGAAAAAATGTGGATCTCGAAACGAAATCGCAAAACGACGCACCGCATGATCAGCGAGGACAATCGAGACAAACGAAACGAAATGACCCGAAAACTGCAAAATCGAACAGGAACTTGGCGATGGCTTGGTGAGGGGGGCGGGCGGGCGGGACGGGAAAAGGCTTCTCGAGAAAAAAAAAACCGATATGCGATGTTCTCGAATCGTTTCGTTTTTACTATAAATTCCGATGGGACACGCACGCGCAATGATGATGAAGCAGCTGAAGGCCGGCCCCCCACCTCTTCCCGTTTATCGAGAGAAATGAACGGGAACACGAATTCCCGAATATCACTTTCTATTTCTGGGGGGATCGGTGGGAAGGCATATGATTATTCAAGAACAGGTGTTTGAATTCAATGTATACTGGTATAACCCCCTCACTTCAACGTTTGGGTCTCGAAGCGAATTCGCAAAGTTAAAAGATTGTTCTTTCAAAATATTTCAAGACGAGTAGGCTCTTTTAAGATGCTCATGAAGTCGTGGGCAATTTTTTAAAATTCTCAAGGGTCTTTTACAGCAACAATTGAACAAAAAACAGAAAGAATGTCATAGAAGCTCAATTTGGGTTTGCGTGGGGGGGTCGGGTCCCTTCGCTTCTTTGGTTTACTGCCGAGGGTTACAGGATGACGTGTACGATGGCAAGTCTTGAATCCCGTTTCTGCTTGCCATCATCTGTTTTACCGTTTATTTTTACACACACACACACACTAGTAGTTGTTTTGTGTATGTAAATGCTTATTTCCTGTTTTACCTCGTCATTCTCGAGAGGAGTGAGTGTGCGCGCGATTCGATGAGAATCACGGTATCATCAATGGAAGCTTCTAATGAACAAGATGATGAGGATTCGATGAGGGGAAGGGTGAGGGAAAAAACAAGACAAACAATGTGTGTAAAGGGAAACGGGGGGCGCGAACGTGAAGTTGATTATTTCACGTGGAAACGACGACCGGCTCAATTGTTGCGAACATCGAATCAGCTGATTCCGGACGGACGCCGACCGGACCGGATCGCCGCCCCCACGCCCAGCTTTTCAAATGCTCTGACGTTGCTACCTTCGTTTTTTTAGAACCTTCTTGACATCGCATCAGCATATTACACAGTCATAAGGCGGACGAGGGAGGGGAAAAGTGAGTGTCACCGCCAATGCCTATACATATCAATCCAAAAATCATCGAAAGGCGCTTTCGATTAATCGTCGCAGTTTCACTTTCCCCCGATTCCAATGATATATGTACATAGGTGTAGATGAAGGGGGGGGGGCGGATTGTACCCTAGGTTAATTAAGAGTGAAAAGCTGCATACTGGAACTGGAATATGTCGTCAATTGAACTTTGAGATGGATTGCGTGATCTCAACGATCAACATCATCTAGCCGACGTCTCCAGCGTCAGCCCCACCCTTCTTCGAAGGATACTGTAGAAATCGCTAAGAAATAACCGATGAGTCGAGTTGTCGAGCAATTATCATTCAGCTTCGTCGTTGTGTATGTCGCCGCCGAATGGGGGTGCCCTTGGAATAACGAAACAAACAAAAAAATGTGTGTGTGTGTTATCTCGAAAAGCCGATGACTCTTATCAAATGATGGATTGAAGTACCATCAACGCTGATTAGGTGATGGTCAAAATTCGCGAATCTTTTTGGGTTTGTTTTTTTTCCAGAAATTCCAGGACGTCGTCTTTAACACGAATTATTGGCTTGGCAAGCGATTTACACGGATCATGGCAATAATTTCTAATGCCTATGGATGCATCCATTTCAGTAAAATTCAATTCTTCTGAGAATATTGAAGGCTGAAAAGCTTATATCCAAAACGGGCGGGTTTCTGTTTTTGACTGTTTACACACTTACGCAATTTTGAACACATTTCACAAAATTCATTTTCGTTTCAAAATGATTTTCTTGAAAGGAAGGGAAAGAAAAGGAATTGGGCGCATTTCATGATGCATTCACTTCAATTTATCTTCAAAAATCAATTTCAAAAAATTGGCTCACAATGGCAAATGTTGCACAGAACAAATTCCAAATCCAATTTTCGATTTGCCTTTCGTCAAATGCATATTGAACATTTTTTGATGCAAGACTCTACATTTTGGTTGTTGACTGATGCAAACAGTTTTAGAATCGATCACGCGGTCATCTTAATGAAGTAATCTGTGCACTTTTCTCTTCTCGCATTCGATAATGCCTAGAAACTACACTCAATCATGAGAATGCTCCTTTGAATTGCATCGGATCGAGTCCACTGAAATCAATTCGCAACTCGTTTTTTCTGTTATCAAAATTCTCTCCACTGATAAGTGTTCTCGAATTGATCATTCGATATTCAGCGTTAACTATGCGTAATTATGCAATAGTGATATCATCTTGGTGAAGGGGGGGCTCGTCATTTCGCTTTTTGTTTCCCGCAAAAACTCGCGTCTCATCACGTTGTGCATGCGACGCCCAGCGATTCGAGAAGAACACTGATAAACCCCAGCAAAAATTGATAATCGAAACTTTTTTTTTGATTGCTGTTAGCTGGTTGCTGATTGAGGGCCGCAGAAACGATGATAAACGCTTTTGATAATTATGAATTGTTCCTAATCGCTGGGGTGATTATAACGCAAAGAATGCAGGGCAAAGAGCAGCAGGCGGCGGCCACAATCTACTTCCTATCTTACTCATTTGTTTTCTGCAATTCAAGGAGAAAATGATGATTACACACGTTGAAAAATTGGGAACAATTCAAAATTGCTAACACCGCATGCATATTTTCCTTTTTTCAGCTAAAAAAAAGGGTTTTTTTTGAAAGTTTCGATGTCGAGCATTTTGTCAACGAAAGGAGACGCAAACACCATACGCAATATTGCACACATTCCAAACCAATTCGTTTTACCATTGGCAAAAAAAACGAGCACCCTGCCCCGATTTACGGCGAGTTTGATTCGCAGGTTATCCAGAATTCTAATTTGAACTACCGCCTCGAAAAAGTGCACAATGATCCACAATTATGCGTAGCGTAGATTAACATGCAAATTTGCAGAGTTCAAATGGCGTGATTACACAATATTATATAAAAATTGTGCAATCACGTCGTATGAATATTGCAGTTTTGCATTTAAGTCGATGGTTTTGCGAAAACTCAATATTCTCTAATCAAACGACATCACTTTCTTCCCAGCTCGTGGGTGGCCTCTTTTCAAGCCTTCTCATTATCATTAATAATACAATTCTTAGTCATCATTAATATAATCATTGATAAAAAATGCAATGAAAAAGAATAAAAATGCAACCAAAAAGTGTGTGTGTATTGCTCGAAACGTCACTCGACTCGGTCGGGAGGGTCAAAGATTCGCAAACGGTGTTCATGTTTCGCTTATTTTATTTCATTTAAAAATCTAATTTTAGCGTTTGCCGCTTTTCATTCTATTTGAACAATCTAATAATATCGGCGCGTTGAGATCAAAAAATGAGCAAACTCAACAAGTCGAAAAGTTGGTTACCATTTTCGGCGTCGACGACGAACCGCCCCCCCCCCCCACCCCTCGAAAATCAAGAGAAAGAGAAATAGAGAAAAATGAAATACTCACAAAAATAGCGCACACCGGAAATACGGTACACGAGAAGCATCATGCATGCGCGTGTTTATCGCCCGTTTGCCTACACTCATCGCAAAAAACTCGCGCGTTTTTTTTTCGGCTTCTTCTTCTTCTTGTCACTCGCTGATCACCGAAATACTAGGCTGATTTGCGAGAGGACACCGAGAAACGTTGGCCAACGGCACACATGCGGAAGCTCCTCGTCAAGCCGCGCAACGGCAGGCGGCGAATTAGGAGAAAAGCAAAAAACAAAAGCAAACATATATTTGGTGACGATATTCATAGTGATAGTGTTGTGGCGAAAAAACGCGCGACTGTCTATGCAAACTTTGACGCGATTCAATCTTTTTAGGGAGGGGGGAACACTTGCGGGAGAATGAGCATGAGCTAGAATTGCGATTTTGAATATCAATCTCAGCGT